CCCTAACTCATGGCTCTTTACCGAGTAATGTCTTAGATAGGGAATTCCTTGGATTATTTGCCATCGTATCTTTGTGAACGACCTTCTATAGCCAAAGCCACACATATATTAGCCTGTGGGGCACCGACTAACAAGGTACCTTCTCGGTCGGGAAAGACCGTCAATTAGGGCAGTTTCCCGAAATATTAGAGGTTCCAACCCATCCATTCGGAAAAAGTACCCAGGCTTGTGGTCAGACTTCTGTCGGATGTTGGACGCTCGACATCTGAAACAGACTACGCGTACGCTAATCCTCCAATCATTTTTGTTTTTTTCTGCCAGTGGCGTGCTAGTACCTTTAGTAGTCCTCAACAATGGAGATAACTAACCACCTACGTGCAATATACCAACCATAAAGGGGGGCCACCGCCACCGACGAAGTACCAAGTCTCTCTATCTGAGGCTGTGGTCCTAATTCCAAATGACTTCCTGAAACTGTTCTCAGTAGCTATACGAGGGGATCCTCATTGTCATAATGCCAAGCCTTCGAAGAAGGTTCCATTCGCCTCAATACGAGTCTCGTTCGACACTAGAAAAATAGTAAGCTCTCATTCTCTATTACGTTAACCAGTATCTGACCACAGTAGCACTCCACCAACAAGACGATAAAGATGCGAAATCCCTCATTTCCTCTTGGGTAATGATAACTGCCAAGACGTCCCATCGCTAGAGCCGGGATCTGAATAGGTCCCGATAACCGACGAGCTACAGTTGGTTTGCGGGGGCCTACAGTACACCGTGTCCACTCGACGACCCGAGATGCAGCTGCATGCATACTAGCGGGTGGGCATGGGGACTGGAGTGATGGCGAAATGCTTGAATTATCAATTGGTTTGGGTAAAAGCTAGATCCTACGGTGTGCATTTCTGACCTTGATAACCCTCTACCATTGGTCTCTTTAATCCTCCTGAACCTAGTACTCGTGCTACGTTGCATAGTGCCGCGGGGGTAATTCCGGCATTTGAGCTAGGATGATGCTCCAACCGCCAGTGTTGTCAAAAAGTCTCAAAGGATAGAGCAAGATGAGGCCCGTGGCGCGCAGATTTGAGTTCCGTTCCTGAAGCTTTGCAGCAAGAGGCCCAACTAGCGGTGTCGATCACGAGCGGCAAAAGTTAAACCTAGGCAATGGACTGCAGGAGGGCTGAACAGAGCACACGTGCTTAATATACCGTGGGCGTCATAACCAATTGGTAAATTCTCTGACTCGCTATCGCGGTCTAATGCGGATTACCGCGCAACGCTACTCCGTCCCAGTGAAAATCATGGACGAATAATGTGATTGTGGGAGGTAACTTCTCTAGCCAAGAACTGCGGTTCCTGAATCTGGAGAACCTGGCCTAGTTGAGGAGTGAGGATTGGTTCACATCTCCGAGTCTAACCCAGGTACGGTAGATAGCGGGCCACTGAGAGTTGGAGAAAGAAAAAAGGTGTTGATCATTGTCCCAGGCCTTATCTCAGACGGGAAGGAGAAAGTATGGTGTCACTGTTCGGTAAATTCACGCAAAGGTTCTTTCCAGAGTTTGGGACGCCAAAGGCGATGGATTTTGAATAGTGCGAACCCTTCCAATGGGACGAGCCAATTTGAAGTTGACTTCGGCCTCGCTACCTTCTAGCATTATGGAGAACATGGTAACTTACCAGGATAAATCTCTTTATTCCAACCTCAAAATGCATCGCAAACCTTGCCACTCGCCACGATTAGTCAAAAAAAAAATTTTATGTTGCACGACCTCACGATGTCGAATCGAAGTAGGAGCACCAAACTCTGTATGGTAAGTGGTACTCAAGGGAAAATCCCAAGCCGACATCGCTAGAATGGTACTGGTTGGACGAAAATAGCGCTACCATAGACCGAAACTCTATCTGCATAGAATTTGCTCCAGAGGCACTAATTCTCCACACACTATCACTAGATTACCTATGGCAGGTAAGGTCCGACTGATCGCTGCGTCTCACTGTGAGACCTTCCCGTGGGCACCTACGTCGTGGGTCCAAAGCAATATGCTGAAGATATGCAAAGGCGCTGAAGGATTTGATATTTTCCCTCGTTCTGGTCTTCGTCTCTAGAGCCTCAAGTCTGCGATTCGCAGTTCCAGCGATGGCTGAGGGCACATGAAACACCTTGGCCGATCGGGTTCGGGTCAGATCTTGCCCGCCAGGCACTCGGCCCGTGGTTCAGGGTGGTTGCCTGGGTCGCTATGGATCACAGACGAAAAAAGAAGAAGCATTGTCGGTACCGGGAAGGAACAGTGCTCATACCCGCTGTCTTACCAACGGAAGTGATTATCTATCTGAATCAAAAGAACCATGGACCGAACCGGGCCGTATCGATTTAGTCAAATGATGACATCAGAATGTTCATTCTATTTGCAAAAAGCATTAACAGCGGTACGCTATACTAGCATATAGCATCATGTATTATGATTTACAGTGCTACGCAATCGCCCTGCCAACTCCGAACAAAATTCGTCCTTCTCCATTCTAAAAATCCAAAACTGCTAATCCGATATTTGAGTCGAGATGAAGAACACGTCCAGTATGTTCAAGACAGAACTAGGTGGCGGTGCATAATACGGCCAGATGGGCGATGAAAGTAACCTTTACCAAATAAACAGATCACCAATATATGATCTCACAATAGAAACTTCGCTTCATGTTTTATGCAGAACCGTGGTGATCTCTTTATCCTCTCGCCATCTCAGCCTAGTAAGTGTCGACGATACTAGCATACATTCTACTCGGAACTGCAGGACAGAGGATGCCCAAAGCCCTGGGACAGAATGACCCAGCGATGCTGAACTATTGCGTTGAAATTCTTTGCCGTGGTAAAGCATCACTTCCTCGTAGATATTGATGAAGGACGCGCATGGCCGAAGTTGGTAAGAAACACGATCTGATACGATGTACGTTTGGTCCATAGTAGGACTGGCAACTTCTCTTGAGTAGTAAAGGACCTAATTTTGCTTTGCAGGTACATCGATCACTCTATGCAGTGTTCTGTCACCATGACCAACCCGACGAGCACTTTCGCAGACGTTCAGCCCGGTTGGTAGGCTATTTGTATTATGGACACAAGGAGATCTTACGAGGAAGTTTGAGGCTTCCCGCATCCGAGTAGACGTCTCAACTGGATCGGTGCGAGAATTGGTTACAAACAATTGACTCAAACTACCTCAAAGGATCGGCCAGATATCCATATTCCATGTGCCTCTTTGCTAGGTCTTACCAACTCCAAAGAGCGCAGGCTGGAGGGGCCAACACCAATTAGTTACACTGTATGTCTCGTGTCAATTTATTCTGATTTTGTTCGGTCTTTTGAGCCCCATTTCGCCTGCTTGTCGCGCCTTCTTGTGACCAACACGATAGACCTTGGGATATCCATTTATACCACACCGAATCATCGCTGAGCTTCACCTGCGCTCAGCGAACCGAGAAATTCCACAGCGTTTATAAAATGGCCTACAATTTCGGCGCAGAATACCACATGCAAGACTTATGACGCCTTTGCTGACCCTTTCTCGATGAGCTAGTAGCTCATAATCTCATAGACCAAAACGGAACCTACGCTCCATCAGATAGTTTCAGCACTAAACGATTATACAAGGAAGAGAGCAGCAGAGTCTACAAGAGGACGACTCTATGTGCAGTCACAGTTCTGAAGAGTGATTTTCCCTGGTGCCCTACGAGCTACCCAATATGTTAATCCTTACAATCTCATCTGTTCAAAGGGAATATCTGGCTTGGTATCCTAGGGGAGCTGCCAGTAATCATATAGAGACATAAGCAGGTCTCATTTCGCGTCTTTACCACACTTCAGTTGTTGACCGCAATCCTCCACTCTGTCTGACGGTAAATCCAGCTTGTTCGTTCTGTCATTCCTAGTTCTCATCAGAAAAGTCAAGCGACTCCAGATTCTCCGAAGCAACGCATGGAGCGTACTTTGCGGTACGCAAAACTAAAGGGACCGCAGAACACAGATTTGGGCAATTCGCCTTGATGAGGCGCTAAAGTCCTCGGGATGGAATTTGTAATTCAGAGATAGAATGGTTCTCGCTGTTGGTAATCTGCACACCCTTCCGGAGCGACGAGAGTAAATGTCACACAGCGATTAAGCAAACTACGTCTCACTGCTTTGAAATCGAGCCACTTACACATCGCATGCTACATCACTTCCAGGTGCGAATGAGGGCTTAAAACGTCCTAGTGGGCTTTCCAGGATTGAAAGACCAGCGACGTAACTACAAAAGATCCAGACGGCATCCAATAATGTCTCAGTAAGGTAGGTTGATACACGAACAACCGACACAAATTCAAACTTCAATATTCGATTAATATTACCCACTACTCATGACCCAAGATTATAACTCAAGACATGCCGCCGCGGCATAATACCCATTCCCAAACATAGAGGTAGGGCAGAAGTAACCCCGGTGCCTAACACAACCAAGAAAGAAAACAGAGATAAACCAGGCCTCAGTGGATGGAGTTTGAGATCACATTCCCATTGGGAATCAGTCTCTTCCTATCATATGTTTACATCCAATTGTCTCATCATAAGCCATGTTTGTTATGGAAAGAAGAAAGGAAAAGGTCAAGAGGAAAATTTTTTCATATCAAGCCCTTACATAATCATTTCGGTTACCTAATATCTCGTCTCGGATAGACCGCAGACGAATCGGGAAAGTAAATCCACATCCGAAAATCCACACATAAATATCTCGCGATGCTGCGAATCTTTGCAAACTTTTCTTCTTTTCTTTCTTCGTGCGGCGACGCAACTACTATTTCACCCGTGTTGCTTGGACATCATATTTCCTCCATGATGTAAACCAGGTGTCAGTTGCGTCACAGAGCGTTGAAATTGCACGCCGGTTCTACTTTATTGGTCTTTCTGAATTTTCCAAGGATGAGACCATTTGGTTTGGGATCGGACATACCTTCCAGCTTTCTTAGTATTTATGAAAAGAAAAATGAAAAATGGGAAATGGGAAATGGAAATTTCAAATTTGAATTGTACTCAATACTAGTCAATCGTAATCCTGTCCCTGTCTAAGGTATTCAATGTAAATCACCAGAATGCTCTCTATCGATAAATTACTCGCCGGGCTCATCGCCGATCTTCTCCAATTTACCCATCTCTCTCTTCTCGCCCGCCTCGCCGAAAATGCGAATACGATCAACGCGCAGCTTGTCACTGTCCCCATCCCCATCCACAAAGAACATAACCAGCGACGTAACCCTCTGGAACTTTACAAACCGCAAATCAATTTTAGCCGTGCCCGTCTTCGCATCCCAATCCTCCGGCTGGAGAGACACCATCTGCACAGGAGGGATATCATCCGCCTCATCGAACCCAAGCACATGCGACCGGTTCGTGTAGAGATGAATCGTCTGCGGACGCATAGGCACTTCATCGTCGTCGCCGTCTGCAGGCGGAAGCGAAGTCACCTGCAGCGAATGCACCTTCAGCGTCGACTGGAACGGAACAAAGAGCATCAGCTGTTCGTCGGTGTCGCTCTCGACCCAATCGGCAGCCTTGGCCTTGCCATTGTTCAGCGCCGACGGCTTCGACGCGTCGAACAGCGTTTTCGCCGTCCCGAACTCGCTGTCCCGGTTCAGCAGCTCCAGGCCCTTCGGGTCGTACTGGTCCGTGATATCGGTGTAGCCCTTCGGAGCTGCCGCGCCGATCCACGCTGCGCCTGAGCTTCCCTCGCTTGCGCCCTCGGCGTCGTCAGGTTTGCTGGCTTCTGAGGCGAGTTTGCGGACTACTTCGGAGAGTTTCTTGGGGTCGGCGCCTTTGACGGTTGAGGTTGGGCGGCCGCGTTCGAAGACGATGAATGTGGGCATGCTGTTACTTCGTAGTTAGTATTTTCTTTTTGGTAGGTCATAAGGGAGGGGTGCACGTACGCTGTCACTCCGTAGGCCTTGGCGATGTCCTGCTGCTGATCAACGTTGATCTTGGTGAAGGTGATTCGGTTCGGGCGCGACAGCTGCGATGCCAGCTGCTCGTAGGCAGGGGCGATGGCGTGGCATGGTCCGCACCAGTCTGCGTAGACTGTGATTCAGTTAGCGACGGTAATACAGATGAGGTCGGGGCGTCAAGGCGGGGTGAGGGGCTCACAGTCTGCTACAACAAAGCGAGACTTTGTCAGGAGGGAGCTGAATTGCTCCTTTGAGGTTATTTGGACGGTGCTCGACATCGTGGGGGTCGAATGGGGAGTAGGAAGAGGGAAGGAGATGAAGGAGGGGGCGGAGTTGATGTTCGTTGCTTCGGTCAACCTATATATGTCATCACAACCCCTCCGCACTTTCGCCGCAGAGGCCGAAAACGCCTGGTACAAATTCACTCAACGTAACGGTCAGATGTGATTGTGTTATCTTTAGTTGTAATGCTAAATAAAGTCAGGAATCACATAACGTGATGTTCACCGTGAGGCTAGATTATGTATTGCGCTGCTCCTCAGATATATATTTCGAGAGGCCTCTCTAGGTTTAATGTCAAGACCACACAATATACTCCCATAACCATCAAAAACCACTGTCGCCGCCCTCATAGCGACGTGCGCACTGTAGACGAGAATGCCCTTTCGATGATAAGACATCTAGCGTCGGTGCCACATAGCGTCTTCCATGAGACAACTCTGCACTGGGGTAAACGCACCGTAGTGCGACCAGAACCCGGCAAAGACGCACCGGCAAGCGTCCAACTCAAGTCCCAGATCAAATCTAACAAATCGTTCTTTCACGCATAACTTCAACTCAAACCATCCTCCTCAACCGCAAACAAGATCTTCATCCACAAACTACACCCCCGACACCCAACAACAATCTCCCCATGCTCAACCTCCCTCTCCAAATCCCTCTCCGTAACTAGAAATCCCTTCTCATCTCCACACCGGCAACCCCGATACCAATACGCCGAATCGCCCTCCTCCTCACAGCCCAGATCCTCAAGATCAACCACCTCCAACCCAGTATGGAACACTGCCCCCGTTTTCTCGCGCTCAGCAGCCTTGGTCCGGTCTAGCCGTAGCGCGCGATCGTATTCTGTGCGGAGCTGCGGATCGGAGAGGGTCCTGTAGGCTGTTGTTATCTCGTCAATTGTGTAGGTGGTGTTATGCGACGGGGGTTGGTCTGAGGAGAGGCTGGTCGGGAGATCGGGGTTGGCTGCCTTGTCTGGGTGGTTTGTTAGGAGGGCTTTATGATATGCGATTTTTAGTTGTTGTTTTGTGAGGGTTGCGCTGGTGAATTGGAGGTTGAGAATCTCGTAGTAGTCGGGCGTAATTTGGTTTGAGCGCGTCATTTTGGGCGTTCTGGTAGGTGAGGTTTCTAGTTCAATTGTAGTTTATTGTATAAAGGACGTAGACTGGTTCTTGGTGGGTTGAATATGGCGGTTGCGGAAAGGTTTGCGATGCGTTACCGCCACCTTTGCGATACCAACACTCCCCGCTTTCATTGAGAACGTGACTACTAAGTACGTTCGATGTTATATCGAACTGTATCGTTGTACATTCTTGAACACAGAGCTATATACGGAAAGAATTTTCGACGAAGAGTCTGTTTAAGATGTCTGATTCAAAAGTTAAATCCTGTTCTACCAAACTTCCACACACTTGTCGGGTGGATATCCACATATACATGGCAAAGTAATACGACGAAGACACCATCTCTGATGGCCAGTATCTAAAATGACACGCCGGATATCAATACAGAAAAAAAAAGGAAAAGCAGTGCGCTGTAACCAAATCCAACCAAAAGCATGCGACATCAGGGCATCGAACCCGCTTACTCAGAGGTCTTGAACACGAAGCGGTCCTCGGGCTTGCTGGTGAAGGGAACGCCGAGCTCGAGAAGCTTGACGTAGACATCCCTGAAGTCATTGAAGAAAGCATCGCTGTCGCGGGCATAGCGCTCAACGTGCTTCTTGAACGCCTTGTCCTTGATGAAAGCCATGTCGGCGGGCAACATCATCAGGGTTCCAGTGGTCTTGTCGGTGAACTGAGTAGGCCCGTTCCACTTCCTCTGCTGCCACTTCTCGTCGACCAGCAGGCGGAAGAACTCGTTGGTGAAGACAGTCGGGCTGAAGTTCCAGGGGCCGTCGAAACCGGAACGGTCAGGGTGAGCGCGGCCGAGGGCGTGGGCGCCAATCAGAGCCACGATCTCCTGGTCGTTGAATCCCATGCGGTAGAAGATGTCACGGACGTGTTGATGATCCTTCGAGGCATCAGGCAGACGGCCGTCAGGGGTGCAGGCGGCCACGTCCCTGTCCTCACGGCCGGGCCTCCAGGGGATGGTAGGGCCACCCAGCTCCTGGACGGCGCAGGAGCCAGCCAGAGTCCAGAGGTCGGAGTAGGAGATCCAGGGGAACTTGGCCTTGACAGGCTCGAGGAAGTCTCTGGCGACCTTGAGACCAGCGTTGGCACCGTGGTCGGATTCAGGGGCGAATCTCATCGTGGCACCGTTGCTGCCTCCGGTACCAGTCTCCTTGTCGTACGTGCCACTTGCGTGCCATGCCAGACGGACGAGGACCTATACACAGTGAACGTTAGCTTCAATTGTGTAGGCAATGTGATGATGAATGCTTACCGGTCCATAGCTGCCGTCGTCATAGTCAGTCTCATCGGCGAGACGACGAGCAATCTCGTCGTACACCTTCTGGTAGTCCTCCTTGGTGGGAACAAAGTTCTTGGAGCTGACAGAATCACCGCCCTGGAGGTAGAAATATGCACCGGCACCACCGGCAAGGGCGACACCAGCCCAGAGAAGGGTGTTGCTGGACTTGGCTTCACCAGCTTCCGAAGCGTAACCACGACGGGCCGAAGCGCGGAAGGCTTGAGTGGGAAGAGCGAAGCGAGTGCTGCGGACAGCAGGTCTGAAGGAAGAAGTGGCCGGTGTCGAGCGGAGGAAGGCCCGGGAAGCGGTTCTAGCAGCCATGACGAAAGGTGTCTGGAAGAACAAGGAGGTGAGACTAGATGGTACAAAAGCAATGAAGATGGATCAACAATCGAAAGTTAAGAGGGATGACGAAGAGAGGAATGGAAAGGAATGAATGTCCGACTAAAAGAAGAGGGAGAGGAGAAGAGAGAGAAACGAGGGCAGGGATAAGTACTAATACTAAAGTACCAATGGCTACCTGTCTTCGTTCCCGAGTCGGAAAACCATCGAAACAGGCGATACGCACCAATCAGAGAGCGTTTGGACCTTCCGTCTGGACCAAAGGCTTTTTACTCAGCAACGTCTCTCCGCATTGTCTGCAGCTCTAGTCGCAGTCGGAGGGGATGCTTGACTGCGCATTGGCTCTTGCTTGGATTGCTGTCAACTTCCCGTCCGTGGCTCCTCTGTCGACCTTTGGCTTAGAACCCATATCATTCGGAGCCTTTTATGGAAACTTCACATCATGATCCTTCTGATTCGACTAGCAAACACATGTGCTTTCTAAAGGGCTTAGGCCATCTTCACGATCAACATCAAACCGATATCCAGGGCGGCTCCACATGGCCAGATACTAGCCCTTGTTCATTAATAATTCCAACGCGTTGTTTGGCACGAAGGACCCGCCAAGCCTTAGTAGCCGAGGATTATTGAATTCCATCCATCCAGACCCCTCGCATTACTAACGTGCCGTTAGATTCCTCATATTGTCTCTGCAATATGAACGCATCGGGGAACCCACTGCAAATCCTCATTCCCCAGAGTGCTACATGTAGCTACGGAAATACCAGATATTTAATCATTAACCAAAAAAAAAATAAAAAATAAAAAATTATTCAGGCAAATTCGAGATGTCCGTCGTAAAAATAGTCCTGCCGTTCGATAAAAGCGAACACCAGGGTGGAGTAGACGCAGCCCTGCTAAAAGCTGTTTGGTTTTGATCTTCCACGAACGATAAAAAAAAAGTATGCCTCTTCGCCATTGAAAAGGCTAGACGCGCACTGTGTGGTATTGTTCGGTTGAAACTGTGTTGAAATGAAATCTACGGATTGTCAATCGCATTACATACATTAAAGAATGCTCTGACCGGGGCAGCATATGATGCGCAAACATTAAAGCACTGGTGATGAGAGATGGGAAAGGAAAACAAAATCTTTTCCGCGAAGAAAATGGAAGAAAACCCCGGAAATGCGTCACATGACCAACTCGGCCTCGGTTAATCGTTAGTCCCAACTGTCTTGTTCGCCTCGTTTCGTGACTCTTGGCTTGTTATGTACATTTCTGGGCATATATGTAGATTTTATACACTGTAGAATGCTGTACATTATAGAAATATATCCTGTGCTTGTGCGATAGTCAGAGTGTCGGTTTATGTCCCTTGCGAGTCATCTGTACGCGTTTCTACTACGATTCCCAGACCCACAACGCATCACGTGTTAGAGTCTGATAAAAACCTCTTCAACCGAAAAGCCCTTCCGTCCGTCTTTTCTTTTTCCTCTTTACACTTTCTCATTGGAATTTTTCTAATGAAACGATCGGATAATCAACCTACATATCTGTCACCTACAGTATCGTGGGTCATATTGCCGAACCAGATTGAAGTGGGCAATTTTAAGGCTCCTCTACTATGCTGGGCCCCTTTCGGGGGCTTGTAAGCGATGTAGCCGGCGTCACCTGCTGCTCACACATTCTTTCACCGACTTCACTCGTAGTGTGTAATTATGGCGACGTATATCTGTAACTACCTGGATACGGGGATTCTCCTAGGGTCCGATTATATCGCTGATTAACCGGATTCGAAGGAAGCCTTCCATAGCTTTCCATCATTGGAGTTCTCGCCATGGCCTTGCCCCAGGAACGACGCCTTTATTTGCCAGTGCCATAGTTATAAGCCTCAGCTGATGCGGCAGGTTTGAGTACTTAACTGCACCGGGCGCAAAGGCTTGGTGGCTGGCAGATATTGATCGAATATCGCCCTATCCTACAAGGATGGTTTTTGCTGTTCGCTGCTCGCTTGTCGCACAGGGCATAAACAGGGCCGTGCTTTGAAGGCTGGGAATGTTTGCTGCAGCTACGCTTCCCTCAATCACATACGTAGAGTATGATCCTGTTGTTCGCGCTTTAGCTGATGGATCCGATACCAAGGAGGGTACAGAGTTGCAGTGTCAATTGTTTATACCCACGTTTAAGTCTCTTATAAAATAACAGCACAATTTAATTGAGTCATCAATTCTTGCACTCTTCCTGTGTTACATCACACTTATAAGTTTCGTATGACCATTCTCCTAGCCCCATTGAACAGACGTCACTAAGCATTGAGCTCTAATCGCCCTCATTATCCGCTTTCTGCAATTATACATCATCCTTGGTTTATAGACGATACCCCTGGATGGAACAATGATGGTATGACGGGAGGGGAGAGCTTTAGCGAGGACCGCTTGATTCTTGAGAATGCAGTCAAAAAGAAAGAGATCGCAAAACTTGCCTGCTAAAGTTTCAATCTTGCTGCATGACTTTGGGAAAGGGCTATTTTTCCAATCGGCCTTTCGCATCAAGGACATCCATGAGAGGTCCGTCAGGATGCACTGTTCACGAACAGAAGAGAATATCGAGTCTGCAAGATTACAGCTGCATGTTGTGTTTCGCTTGCACCCGGAATTGGAAGGGATGGATGGTGTTCAGAGAGTCAAGGGTGTCCTAGATGGCAATGTAAAGGATCTATATTGGATCCTACAAGATGGAGGCTACTTGTATCAATCAATTCCTAAGGCAGATCAAGTAGTCAACCCAAATAAGGTGAAGGGAATCTCATCTACCGAGACCCCACCTTGATCGGCTTTTGAGTTCCCAGCGTTATATACATTAACAGACAGGGAATCCTCGCGGTCCTTCATACTTTCGTATAGAACAAGGTTCTGACCGTAGCTATATCATATGCCAATAGACAACCGCATTGATCGAACAGTGTTTACACATAGTATTCCCCAACTCTGACTTTACATGTGCGATGTAGTTGTATCTCCCACACTATTGGGCCTTAGCTATGGCATAAACTGAGCTCTATTTGTAAGAACAGCCGGTTTAAAGGGTTGATTGAATATGCCGAAAATGAATCATTGCGTCAAGGCCAAGCATCGCTGGTACCTATGTAAACCCTGACCCTATCAATATACAGTTAAGATCAGGCACGGTAGTAATGCTTTCTAATAGTGGTAGCCCTTCATATTTCATACACTTCTCCAAGTGTACAAGCTGTGTGTATCAGAACTATTAATTTGTATTATATTTGGTTAATCTAGTTTTGATCTCGAAGACGATCCAAGTATCTGAATGGGATTGAGAACACCGATCCGTGAGCTATGTATGGGCCTTGAGACTCCGAATAGGAGCAGTCGCAAGCTCCTCCAGCGCAAAGATAAATTCGATGATACCTAGCTAATTAAACTTTACAAGTATGCGATTTTACCTCGATTAATGACGAGACTAGAGGAGTATTTTGTAGAGACAGATGGGATGGGAGCCCAGCTGTAATGAAATGGGGTACTGACTGCCAGCCGCTAGCTACGCCGAGAAGGGTTTCATTTCATCCTACAATAATAAGATATTGGCGACACATGCCAGTAATAATGTCAAACCAGGAATGTGCGCTACTACATCTCTTTTATTCGGTCGGATACTTGGACGATATAAGACGCGTACCACGGTTTCCTCCCTTTGCAACCAATCCGAACCCCCAACTACAGTACTATGCAGAACGATCTGCCGTTCTGCCATGTTTGACTGGGTGGTAGATTACCAAGGATTTATCGACGAGCAGAACATTGGAATAACGATACCTGTTTATCTTACTCCTACGTCATGAATAGATTAGTATATTACGACATAAATGAAATAGGTACGAAGGATTTTCACATACGACCATAGGGTGTGGAAAACAGGGCTTCCCGTCCGCTCAGCCGTACTTAAGCCACACGCCGGCCGGTTAGTAGTTGGGTGGGTGACCACCAGCGAATCCCGGCTGTTGTATGTTTTTTAAGCAATATGCTTTCATGCTTTTTTGATTCGTTGGGTTTAGCACCCTTCCTTCACCTTGACGCCTGCTATCTTATTTTCAGTTATTTCACCTAATATGTCCTGAATCCTCTAATCTTTACCTAGGCTAACCTTTAGGACGGGATATGATGCCAGGAATGGGATGGGATGGGGCACGGGACATCCCATTCTTGGTACCCCATTTTCCATCCCGTTTTTCTTTTTGGTAGCTTTATTCCAGAGCTCTTTCAGGAGACTCACAGATTGAATTAGAGCACTTTAAGCAGTGTATTCAAGCTGCTTGGAAACTACTAGATCAAAGCACTCTAGATCGTATCATTTGCTTTATGTCTCGCAGAACTCAGGTTGTCTACAAGGCACGTGGCTGGTATACTAAGTATTGATATGGGGAATCTATAGAATCAATTTGTAGACTAAAACATGCAGAATTTCCGGGTGTTGCAATATGTTTATGGGATCTGTAGCCAGAACCCTACAAATAGTTCTGTATCCATCATCACCTTCAGCCTTCTGCCTCTCTAGATAATACGGCGAGCCAGACGAGGAGCATTTCGTCCGAACCGCCTTATTACCTCTACTCTTACGGGACGATATCCGATCTAAGCTCTACAACTGAGTACAAAGGTTCTTCTTTCTATCCTGCAAACATGAAGTAGCAGTGTTATAGTAAAAACCACACAACGGACCTCCCAATTACTACCTATACTCCGTAGTCTTGGGTGACAGCGTATTACTAGTAGCAGTTTAGTCTGTCTATTCAGCGAAAGTCCCCAGTCGGCTTGGTATCGCTGTGCGTGCGCTATGAAGACAGATACATCACCGCTCCAAGTAGCTGGTAGAAGTTAGAATAGTAGGGGAAATGAATAGAAATGAGTGAAACAGCTCAGAAGCAACAAGAGAACCACTTCCAGCCACCACCTTGCTTTAGGTCAGTACATAGTTACGCGTAGCAAGTTAGCTGAGAACAATACGGGACAAATTGGGGAAAATGCTGAGGTGTCTCGCGCATCTGGGAATAACGCAAAGGAAAAGGTTAGACTATAGTGTAACTCTTGTCAATAAGATGATCAGCAGCAATACTCAAGCACCAATCAAGAAATACCCCTGATGTGGGAGCGTATCGGAAAAATCCGAGAGCTTTGTGATTTTCATTCCAAATTACAGAGCCACAGACACCATCGCCTATGACCTGGTTTGAGTTTTGACCCATATAATCCCATTGGCATCTGATCCATATCTGCTCCGGCTCAAGAGGATCATCACTTGGTACTCGTAGTAGGGAGTGGGACCCGCGGGTCCCTTCGACAAAGCCTGAGAATGGACTGTCAATGAAGATATTGTCACCAATTCTTGTTTCGGCTGCTCGAACAAAGCCTGTCAGCTTGAAAGGTGGTACTGGCATAAGGCTGTTTTTGAATAGCTCATTAACAAACTCCACACCTTTAACTAGTTGGACCAACGCGATGTCTGTGTGGGAGAGTTCAATAATTGTTTCGCTAAGTGTTTTGTTAAAGGAATGAGGATGATGGACTTTTCCATCAAATGGAGGTCCCGGAAATCCATGAGCCGCGACTGTCATGTACTCAAAGCCACGATGGTCTCTCACGAGGACACCAGAGGAAGTGAGAATCTCCCATCCCTCTTCCGGATGCTTACCCGAGCTGAGCATTACCCCTGGCCTAATGATATCGTAGCTGGAATCATCAGCTTCCGGGGGGGAAGGTTGCTTAAGCCGTAGCGCGGACAGCTTGCGGGGCCTAGCCATCTCCGACTCGAAAAGATAGAAACAGTTACACTGGGCAACGGACCGGGGAACTGCCCTCAGGATTTCGTCCTTATCGGCTTTGCTTTCTAGGATGATGATAATAATATGACCCCAAAACTGTATTTCGGTGATGGAGATATCAGTTCTTGCGAAGAAATCACGGACCAAGTCAAAAACCAGGCTGACGGCTGCCTCATTGTCCCTAAGATCCAGGTTTTCAGAGACTTTAATTCTCGAGCGACTTCGATGGCGGATAGGGATGATTGGCCCCTGATCATTTAGGTCTTCTGTGAGATAGCACGGCACACCAGCAATTTTTTTCGGCCATGGCTTTGCCGGTAGTTGATCTAAATGGAATACTAGGACTCGGTCATCGAAGTCGACTCTCTGAGTTCCCGGAAAAACTTTGAGGAGGAGCTTGAAATTTTCAGTCTTGAGGAACTTCGAGGGAGTTCGGCGTAAATCAAATGGTAACATGACCTTTTAAGGAAATAGTAGAGTAACCTGATATGTCAATGGAAGTTGAAGGCCAGCACCGGGGTGGCCGTGCTCCGGACCTTGAAGAGGACGTCGTTGCTCTAGGCTGTCTATGGTCGCTTTGTCTCCTGTGAAAAGATCAGTCACATTGCTGGGAAAGATGCACGGAGGGATCAGAAGGGGCTGAGGTTGAGCAGAGGTCGGAGAGACAACAAGCAAGTTCTTGGAAAGTGAGGATTCAACAGATGAAGTGGCTTCCCGCTTCTGGTGCCGGGAGGGGCCCTCTGGAGATCTCCGCCGAGGAGAGATTAGGATCACCTCTATCGGAGACCTTGGCGGGTCCATTTTAGAGCAGATTGAATAGATCAGAAAACCGAACGAGGAGATGAAGATCAGAGATGCTGGTCAACGGAACGAGATAGATATTTAAAGCCAAAAGTAAACTGTCTGACACCCCCAGGACCGCCTTTCGGGCCTGAATTTCAGAGCTCACAGTGAAGTAAATTGAAAGAATCAGAGCTAACTAGCCAGGATACAGTGTGTATATTGAAGGAAGTTCACTGACCGATAAGTGAAGAAACTACAAGTGAAAATGGCAGGATGAGTGGGAACTCAAGATCCTCATCATAGACGTAGATAGGGAAAGAGCGTCTGTAGTTGAGGGAGATTGAAGTGAGTGGAAGGTGTCAGCCAGTCATAAGGCTGGCTCTATGCCTCGTGTCCAGGAAGGCCACCAACATCTACCGCCTGCCAATATAGTCCCTCCTTCCTAAAGTGGTATAGTCGGACTGCGATACAAGGCGGCAAGGCCACATTTCTCTTCTATGTTTAGGTGCTCGCAGGTGAGCTGACCGTAAGGTTGAAAACGAGTCTAGCTCATCCGTAACTATAAAAACTACGGAGCCGGCGCTCCTCTTCCGAGAAATTTTAGGAAATTCCGTCTTTTTCTGTCCACAGAGAACATGGTGAAATGCTGCGATTTGACGCAATTGCTTGCAAGTTGCTTGCCTTTATGCTCCTTATTTGAACTTTATTTTGATAGAATTGGGCGGGAAATTTGAGGTGTGCCTTACTTCCAAGTCTCAAGCAGTTTGAGGGAAGCCACTACATCTCCGTGCTGGGCCCAAACTAGCAAGGGATCTAGCTCTGTTAACCTAGTTCTATATGGGCTTCTGGAATCTGGGTAGATAGATAGGTAGCTAAACATTTTGAAAGAGACCAATGCCCTTCCCTACATCCTTGCGAAAGCGATCCAGTGACTTACCTGTGGCATTCAATTGCATAAACATCTCTTGCAGTGTGTGCCCCTGTCCTACTCGCTGTTCAATCATGCAAATTGCCTTTTTCTTCGTGCGTGCCACTGCTCTATTCGCTGCTTGTAGCGCCATGCACTCCCGAACTTTGCCTCAAGAGCTAGGTTCCTTGCTGGTTGGTAGTTCTTGGATGGTGGTTTAGTATGTCTATCCGCCTGCCTACTGAGTGTCAATTAAGGACCTCGAAATGGATTAGGATTTGTGGCCGACCTTATCTCGATATGAACGCGGGAGTCAGCGAATCTCCAGCGCGTGTTCAGGAACCAGCTATGGTCAGTACTGGGTGGACGGACGAGATCAGGATTCTGACGCCCCCAATCGTTACTTCTAGGACCCATGATCGTGGAACCAAGACCTCACCCAGAGATTCGACCCGTCGACTTCATGGTCGTGAAGGTCAGGGTAATCTGGTTATAAGGATCAGTTCCAGAGAAGTATTCTGTAGAAAATGAGGCTGAATCATCCGGAGGCTCCCCGATGACAACTTAGACTTGTCTATTGTTCCGAGCAATAGCGAAAATCAGATTGACAAAAATGGTCATAAATAGAGCCCAGTAGGCGCAGTTCTTCTAATAGTAATACCCTCATATAGAAGCCCCGTAGAAAGCACTTAAGTTAACATATGCTAGACTAGAATATAAAAAACAAATAGTATGGACTTCGAGCTCCACACAAGCATGTTGAGCCTCACTCAGACTGCGAGGGTCCAGCAATTCAACCTCGGGAATGTCCATCACCTGAGGAAGGGCATCCGATGGGTTTTTGTTGCTAAGGGGGGCACTCTCAACAGGGACAAGCTTCATAGCCTAGACAGATGATATAGAGAATCAAGTATAGTTTTCTTTTACTGCGATATATCCTTCCCTTAATCACCATCCGGCGAGCCTCATAACTTTTTAGCTGCATTGCTTGTCGCTTATTATCTAAACTACACTCTACGGATGTATAAGAGAACGACCCAAGGGACTATTTAGGAATGAGGCTCACTATGGATAAATAGATTCCTCGTGGGCACATTTGCTCTGCCGGTGACAGTCTACATCTGTGTCTTTTTTATCATCAGAAAGAGAAAACTGTGTGTCAGTGGGAACGTAATAATGTACAGATTGCTTTGGTTTTTGTTCTTATCATTTTGTGGACCTTGGAGAGGATCATGATGTATCCTGCCTGCCGATGGATAAGGGGATCTACTCAGTAATTCTAGTGCAATAGCCCTAGGATTAAAAACCCACCATCTGTGGCGGAGCAATGTTCCGTTGAAAAGTTGGGACTGGAGATGAATTCCTGGGACTTCCGCAGAAGAATACATACAGCGCAGTGCACTAGTATAGTTCCGAGCAAAGCTTGTCTGTCCCATATAGAGCTTCTATCTCCAAGATCCAGAAAGAGTATTGAGGGCTACTTAGAATGACTATTATTTTATCTATTGTAGAGGTTTAATATGTTCTTATGTATTTGTTTGTGCATACATGATAAAGCGTATTTTCTATATGGGACTAATACGTTACTAATATTTACTTCACTATAGAACATTTCAAAATATAAATACAAAGTCTAAAATTATCTCTGGAAATGTTGAGCAGGATAACCCCAATCGAATTTTTCTAGATAGGGGTTATAAAGCTGACGCTAACAGAACGCTGGGTATGTTCTTCCTTTCACCACTACAGTACGATAGCGAGAGGCCTGACTGCCCCTTCCCAGCCGTATCAGAGCCGTACCGAGGTCTCTCCGGCTGGAATTAGAGAGGAGATCAGGCGTGTGCTGGCCACACACCAGAGAGCGCACGAGCGCAATATCAGTCAGGTCAGCTGCTCCGGCTTGCAGACCGTCTGGCTGCGGACATGCTATGACCCAGATCTCGCGAGTAAATACGAAGAGCTTAAACGGAGATCTGGGATACCCGGATTGGGCGTCTCGGGGAACAAGTTCCTGGACAATCCTACACGCTACGATTTTGACGATGGCAGCGAGGACTCATGGCGACTGGTGTTAATCCGAGTCCCCGAGATCACGGAATTTTATGAAATTATTGATATGTATGGCGACGGGAGTTATATGCAGTACAAGAGTGGGCAAAATGATGAGTACCAGGTGACACAGGCTGAGGGTGAGGAAGTTTGGCTCGACCTCGCTCTAGCGGAGTTAAAGGTCCAGGCTGGTCTTTATCTGTTAGACCGAGAGGCTATTGTATCTGGATTAATTAAAATTATCTGGATCGATGAACATGGGAATATGGTCCGGAATAACCGGCTGGACCCTTCTATCTCGGACTTGGAGGGGCTTACAATGGCACTCCTCAACGCTACAAGTTTAGTGGAACTAGCCAACTACGTTGGCACCCGCGGGGCTCTAATTGAGAGGTAGACGGGGTTATAAAGACGGCCTCAGACAATCCACCTTTGAGCCACATTGCCATTGGCATCCGCAATCTTGTGATGTCCAAAAGGTTCTATTCTGCCACGCTAGCTCCCTTCAGTCTAGGTCTCGTTTATGAGAGGCGTCTTTCGCCATCAAGATCTGAACCCCATATCCTAGGATATGGGCCAGACATAGACAACGAGATTATCAACATTTTTGAGCATGGTGACGAAGCACACACTCACGGGAGAGGATGCCACATTGCTTTTAATTCTTCAAAGTCACCAGACTGTCCTGGAATTCCACGCCGCAGCGATAGCGAATGAAGGAGCTTGCAACGGCAAACCTGGATTGCAGGAACATTACAGCCAAAACTATTTCACTACCTTTGTTATTAACCCCAATAGATAGAGATTAGAAACAGTGTACAAATCTCTATCTTAACTTGAGTCCAAATTAATTATGCCAATTGTACACATTTCACGTCGAACCGAAGGACGCCAGCTACAATATAGATACATGGCAGTAGTGGGGGCTGCTACTAAATGTATTTATATGCATGGAGAAGGACAATAACAAAATAGTAAGGCTGAGCCATTCACGAATCAGAAGAATTTAAAATCCTGTAAATTTTCTATATTAGTCTCCCTTCATTCCTGTGTTTATATATTGCTGGTTCTAGATTACAGACTAGTATTTTTTTACATAGTTTACTGATTCTATAGATATACTCTATTACCAGTACACTATTTTACTTGATACTATCTATCCATTAATATTTAGATTATGTACTATTAAAGAATCCAACTATGTAGGTTAAAATTATACACTGTATACTAGATCATAAGAGTAAATTCACTATCAATAGGAGTGTCTCTTTTAAGTTCTAGAAACTATCTAGACTATTCTTAAGTATTATCTCTTTTATCTCTGATTATCCAATTCTCTTGGGGCCTGGTATTGTATCGTCTGCTATATAGCTAATAAAAATGTTAAGTATAAGCTGCTCGCCCTTTCTCAATAGACTGCTGCTGTCAAGAAACTGTCCTTTATAGTTGTTAAGCTAAATAAATATTCTTATATTGCTGATACACTAGCTCTTTATAGGTTACTTTCCACTTAATCAAGCAATAAATCTAAATAGGTGTCTGTTAAAGATATCTTTAGTCCCTATTCCAAACTGTCACTAGGACAAACTGTACCTGATCTGATTACACTAGCTTGGAGACATCTTCATCGGGTATCTGGCCGAAGGAAGGAATACACAGGGATGATGTGGGTAGGCAACTGAATGTTCTGGGATAAGGGGCATATACGAAAGTTCCGTCCCATGGATCAGGGGACAGATGTTAATTGCAGCTCAGAGAGCCGCAGGTAGTAGGGGAATAGCGTGCTACGGCGCCGCAGGTGGCAGGAGCAGAGGACTGGGTTTCTATTGAACGATCTACTACCATACACAGAGGTTGATCACTGGTTTCTGAAGCCATTGGGGTGCGGTAGAGATTTTACCGCAGCGGGTAGCACGTGACCCGCACGTGCTACTATATCACCCGCAGGTGCTGTAAGGTGCGCCTAACAACAGAAACCAGGAGTCACCATCTAGATAGGAGGGGCTTTAACTAGGGATATGAACAAAACCAGCAGAGTTCTTGAAAATAGGCCCCTTAAAGAAAAAAATGCTTTGCGTCGTTACTGTATGATATAGGATATACATAGAGCCAATGGGTAGCGGGTAAAATAGTTCAGAGTGCGAGACTGCGCAGCTTATTTATAGCTATTGATTAATTTGGCTATATAACTGGGGATAGTCTAAGAGCTACTGGAAATCCTGGTGATTTTCTATCTGTTTGATTATTAGCTGCATCTACCTTGAAAATTTCTGAGCTTTAACTCTCCCTTAATAGTGTTTCCTGTATGTGTCAGTAATTTTATATATTCCGCCAAGATATATACTTGTAAGGGATAAGACCTGCAACGTTCGATAAACTATCATAGCTATCAAACAAGAAGAAAACGCTGAAGAAGAAAGAAAGGAGGAGAAGAATCAACGAACAGTGAGACAATGAGGTATGGCAGGAAGGAGGGGCAGAAATACACCAAGTGACGAATACGGAAACGAGGGCCAACGGCCTGAATATTCTAATGGGCTTCAGCCCGCTACAATACTGCATCAAAGACGGAGAATTAAAATTTTCTAGATCTAACATGGCTTGTAAAAATAAAGAAATGTGTGATTATCAACAAGCCGGGTATCTGATAGAAGAATTCCCCTACCTTTTAAATATCGCATGCATCACAACCTTTCTGAAGAACAAATCCAGATAGAATTGTCGTCTTAATTCTATCACTTACAAAAATGAGCACATACGACCACAGGGTGTGGAGAACAGGGCTTCCCGTCCGCTCAGCCGTACTTAAGCCACACGCCGGCCGGTTAGTAGTTGGGTGGGTGACCACCAGCGAATCCCGGCTGTTGTATGTTTTTTCTTTTTATTTAGTACAGTTGCCGCTTTGTCTTCACCCCATTCACCCTTTTGTTCACCTGAAGCTTCCCTCGCCACCCTGAACCCCAATAGATCTCACCCAGTGACCCGCGTTCCTACCTTTCATCGACGACTACAAGGAATAAAACCATATGCAGAAAAACACAAAAATGGCCATAAGTTAATGTATATTGAAGAAGTCCTTATAAAAAGACTCCTAGATATAGATAAACAGGGATTTCTAGTTTAACTGGAGTTTCTGTGTGAAATGGCACAGATTTTACTTTGTAAATGAATACAAGATCCTACTGTATCTCTTAAAAGTTAACTGAGCCTATTCCTTTATTAATGCTGTCCTGAGCTACATATATAATATATAAGACAAATGACCTATCAGCATGTAAAGCAAGTAGATCCAAGAGTTATAAAACCATGGTATAAAACTGTTCAAGCAGCTATTCAAGAACACAGTATATATAAAGATAATATCTGGAATTTTGATAAGACTGGCTTTGTAACCTATATGTAGCTGTTTTTGCCTGTGTTTCTCTGTCTTACACAAGAGCTGCTCGTGTAATCTTATTTGCTTTTTTACTGGTCAGGTATCCAATTCTGAATAATAAAAATCAATAATTAAAACCCGATCTAGCTCAGCGTTCTATAGTATATTATCTGGCCGAAGGTCCTGATGCAAAACTCCTAATAAATAAATTTTCTTCTGACACCGCGAAATTTCATGTCTGATTATCTCCATATATTTTCTCTTACTAATAGATCTACCACCCCAAGCCAAAAGTAGCATATAGTGGATCTCTCCGGCTCCGTGTAGGAAGTAGATCTTAGCCAGGTTGATTATACTAAAAAAAGACAGGGAACTGCAGATCCTTAAGCTTACTAAAGTATACAGTTGTCAAGGGTATCTACTGTCAGAGCCTATGAATAATATGTCGTACAAAATATTTGTAGGGTAAAGGCTTGGCAACAATGCCCTGGGCAGAGCATCCCATGATATAGGGCTGCCTGTAAGTCAGTCCCATAACATTAAAGAAACCAGCAGGAGAACACAAGACCAGAAATAAGCAGGTGGCAGGGGTAATAAAGAAGTGAAACGCTTTGAAATGGATTGGAAAAGTTCTCTGCTGCTACAATACATAGATCTCATGCTACTTCTGGAACAATATTATTCTATTCTAAAAGTGGCGGACCCCCTTTTAGAAGTCGGCCTCAACTATGTCCTGAAGGATAGCCAGGTACCCCTGGCTGGACGTGTTGTGTGGCCCTTCTCGAAATCCTACCAGATCACATCTACATTATGAGCTACCCAATAATTCTTTACCCTGAGCGTGTTCGACAACCCATACTCGTGTTTGGTTCCTCCGGTATCATTTGTCGCGACTCCTGCAATGATGCTGAAGTTTTAAAAAGTCCGCTTTGACATGACTTGAGTAGAAGCAGCGAAAGTACCATCATATCTATGAAGGAGGAAGAGTTATTCTCTTCTGCATGCATAGAAAGGGAGAAATACATTTACCAATACCTTCCCAAACACAAGGACATTCTCGAATGCCTTGATATCACGGAGACCGGTCTTCGGTTCCCATATATGCAGAATGGACACCTTCGCGATTATATTCGAAAGAATTTTTCTCATATAGATAGTCAGACAAAAGATACTTGGAGACGAAACACTATTTGTGCAATAGAATTTATCGCCATTCTATTATACACGGAGATATTAGTGCCCGCAATTTCCTTGTTGCGGATAATCTCTCAATCAAGCTTTGCGACTTTGCAGGCTCTGGCATCGATGATATGCCCTCAATCGTCACGGAGGAAGACCGGTATAGAAAGTCCACCAGAATTGCCTTAGACGTTTCAGACAGACTTATTTGCTCTCGGATGCCTTAAATTCGAGATTCTGGTTGGCTCACGCCCCTACGAAGAAATCAGTGATGAAGATTGGGAAACAATTGCAGAAAACTATGATCGCGGGATCTTTCCCCAAGTGGAGGGCTTGAAATATAGAGATATCATTTAGTAGTGCTGGACATCCCAATATACGGAGTCCCGCCAACTCCTATTGAATATTGAGAATGTTGACTATGGAAGAAAAGACACAAAAGTGGATCTATTGCTTGTCTCTGATAGTGAACTTCCCAGTGAAGCACTTTTCCCGCTGGGACTGGTGTCAACTTGTATACTTGTCTTTTGTATTTCCCGGAGAAATAAATAAGCCTAACAATATATCATCTTACTAAAAGCTGTTTACTTAGACGTTAACCCGGCTCTAGAAGCCTCTAAGTTGGCGGCTAGCCACATAGAAACAGGTCTTGCCATCGCAGCTGAGTTGTATATGAGGTCTTTAGCAGAAGATCGGCGGTGACGATGCAAAGGCACATTTTGTAAACTTTTCCATGGATAGTTTTTTCTCGCCCCTAGTGGGTCCAAAAACAAGCTAATTATGATATATCTTGATCAAGCCTCCTATGCCTAGAGCATAGTGTCCCGCAGTTTCCGTTAACTGCCGCACTAGTTCCAGCCTTGTGTGGAGTATGACTAGGGTTATTAATGTGATAGTTTGATCTTATGTCCCGTGCGCATGCTATAAGACAACGGCGGATAGTTTGGACAAGGTGGTGAATGCTTTGTTTCGTCAAATTTGCGCTGCAAATTACTTGAAATGCCGCCAAATCTTGCTTTAGATTTAGATCAACATTTGACTATCTTATGTGCATTTGCTGGTAGATTAATATGCGCTAACGTAAATGCTTTCAAGGTGGGCAGGTGAATATTTCATCCAAGTAAGAAAAGAACATCCTTGTATATTCCAAATAGTAGCTTGTACTACACGTTCTATCAAAAGCATATCACATGCACAGGTGCACCCAGACTACAGATCCTGATTGGCAACCAGTGAAACCAGTGAGAGAAGGGCCAGAAGCGGCTGAGAGGGATCCAGAGCGGAATATAGTAAAGCCGAAACCGAAGGCATCGCTGATGTCGGTTTAGAGATGGGCTTTCGATCTATATAAGAACGCTCTTCTTACCTGAAAATCTCAAAGTCAATCATCAACTAGAACAGACCGCCTCACCCATAGCAATAATTAATTTGAATAATCACATTTTATCCCGTGAACGTAACAATAGCTGCTCCACATATCCGACACCGCATGTCACTGGAAGGGGTCATCGTTCCATTACCCCAACTCTTGACAAGAGAAGACCATGATGCAGCGATGAGACTTTTTGATACCCTCGTCAAACATTTTGAACATTCAGACCCGATCGGCAAAGGTTTAAAACCCGTTACGCTTGTTCGTCTTGTCAAAAATGAGGTTTCCGATAAGGATAGCTTTTTAAGATTCTTTTTCTGTTTTATTGAGGAACATTTGGATGGGATCTCGAAGAGTAATGATTTCAACCTCGCACAAAGTCTTTCTCGCTTGGGAAGTTTCACTACCTGGACCACCGAAGGTACTGATGTCCTCCGTGACGGACTAGTCAAATTTGCCAAGACTTTAATGGACAATTTCTTCTTACCCTGTATGTTGCGATGCACCTATCCTAATACGCGTGATGCTGATAATCATTCAGTGAAGGCCTTAGCTTCAAAAACCCCTTATAATACGCCGGGCCCTCTTTCCCGTCTTCAACTCTCTGAAGGAGGAGGTATTGGCACTCCGCAACGCCTCAAATCTTTACAAGATGACTGTCTTGAACGCGACCGTCATAGATGTGTCGTAGCTCGTAAATTTTCTGTCAATGAAGCTCAGGAACGATTCGAAAAAGATGGAGACAATCTCAAAGATGATGATGGAGAATCTTTATTGCCGGAGAGAAATGAGATGGCATATCTGGAAGTAGCACATATATTCCCACACTCTCTTATGTCCCTCTCCAGTAATAGCGGAGAACAGAAGCTAGTACGTACGCTTACTGCTCGCCATCTTTGACCTCTTACTTACAGTCTACCTAGTCCGAGTCTAAGGAGATGGCACACAAGATTCTCAATATGTTCAATCCTACCATTATTCCCCTCATTAGTGGGACCGACATTGACCGACCAATGAATGCACTCACTTTGACTAAGGATGCCCACACATTGTTTGGTAATTTTGAGATCGCTTTTGAGCATATAAGTGATCACCAGTACAAGATCGACTATGCGAACCCAAATCAATTTGTTCGCATTATACAGCTTCCAGTTACCCGTACGCTTTATCTTACCCCGGACCAAAAAATAGACCACCCTTCCGTTGATTTTCTGAAGGTTCATCATGCTATCGCGAGAATTCTCTATCTGAGTGGCGCGGGTGAGTATATCGACAAATTTATTCGGGACATGGATGAGATGGAAGGCGGCCAAGTCAATTCGAACGGCTCTAGCCGCATCGATGAGTATGTACGTTTTAAACTTAATTGTGGATTTGAGGAGATGCATGTGTGCTAGGACAATGCAAGTGTACTCATAGTAGATCTGTGACTACACTGAAGGGTAACAGCTTTTATTTCATGATACCTATATTCTTTCCTATTTTGTTCCCCAGCCCTGGGCATTCGTAACTCTTTATATGAATGATATGAACAGGATGGGTTGTTTTTTAAAATCATAGTCCCAAGGGTGTTTGTTTACATCAGCACGTCCTCTGAATTTGTTGGCCTACAAGTGCTGTCTTACGTGACTTATAAAAGCTAGACGCTCATTCCTTTTGTATGTTTCAGTCTCGATTGTAAGCTGCAACGAATTCGGCATTGGGCTTCGATTGGCTGGCCGTTCATTTTCATTGTCAAGGACGTTACATGGCGGGGCGGCAGGGATGTGATTGGATGATACTGCCCAGTGTAAGGTGCCAACGAATCCATTCCAGGTTACAGGTCATGTAGGCGCGTTAAGACGCCAAGGTGGACCGAAACTAGTCATGTGATGGGGTTAGCAAACCAACTGGCTCGTACCTTACAAGTTTTAATTACCAGCCTATCTGATCCTTTCATGCTTATAACCAGCCAGCTTAATAGATAAATACCTCCAGTTAGAACAAATTATTTCTAAGTACTTCCAAAGTAGTTAGAAGGTACTTTGCAATTAGTTAATAAGCACTTAGAAACTGTTTATTCTTTTACCTTCTCTACCCTAACAGACTCTGTAGGATCTTCTCTTCAATTTATTGAAATATCGTCACGGTCCATTTTATAAAAAGCAAGAAAAAAAAGATCCTTCAAGTAATCTAGTTAAAGAATAACTTGAAATTAAAACTTATTTGTGGACGGCAATGATGAAAATGAATTTCACAGGAAATGTTACAGTATTTAATAGCTGAGGTGGACCGTTCTGAGCGCCAAGATATGTGGGGCGCCTAACTCATCTTCTTTACGGTCCACCTGACCTGTGTACTCCAAACATTCAAATCGCCAATAAAAATGGTTCATCTGTAAGTGCGCTACATTCTCAGGGTCTGTGTCCGATATTGCTGGGCAATCCATTCTTTGTTTCTCTTGCATGAAGTTGCCAGTACAGTATATCTCAATTTTTATGAAATAGCACTAAAGAATGTCGCGATCAATAAAGCCACTACAGCAGAAGTGTAGCTTCCCGCGGTTAAGACCAGCATCCAAATCTGTTGCAATAGCTGTGGTGAATGCAGTGACATATATGATGATCAAGACAGAAAAGTAGAAATGCACCAAGCAGTAAAAGTTGATATTGAATCTTTTCCTGTCATCTTAGCAGCAGCTTGTCAAAGGCTCGAGGAAGGAAAGATAGACTGGGAAAATATAAAACAGAGAAGGATAATCTTGGAAGAGATAGGCAGTATAAGGAGAGTCATCTTATCAGAGCTTTTTGGATGGGCCGTTCTGTCTAAAACCCGCTCTGACCATACATGCGGGTGAGACATCTTTGTTAGACCGGGTGAGAAATATTCAGGTAGGTGAACGCTGGCCTGAATAGAGCAGCACCGCGCTTACATGGTACCCAGTGAGCACCATCATACTTATAATCCCGGCTGTTGTATGTTTTTTGGAACTTCTTGCTTTTTTTCTTTCTTCATTTCATTCATCATCATGGAGATTATTCTATTTACGATAGATAAAAAAGTAATGAGACCAATGTGTCGGCCATGTTTCTTTAAGTTAAAGAGTTGTCTCTTATTCTCTGCGCCACTGTACGGAAAATCTGTGGCCCGTCCCTGAGACATTACCCCACCAACCAACACGCAGCTTACTTATATCGTAAGAAAAAATCCAGGTAATATGTGAAAAAGATTTTGCGCGCGCCAGGATTCGAACCAGGGTCGCTGCCTATTCCTACGTTAACGTGGGAAGGCAACATGCTTACCACTACACTACACGCGCATTTCTTGGTGACAAGAAGAATCAAAGTAATCTATGTTTTGCGGAATGTGTAGCTCAATCCGACCTCTAATCCCATGGTTTGAGCAGTTTCGGGATTCATAGTGGGTCTCGGGGGTAATTCTGCCTTGGCTAAAATAACCAATGCCACTTTATAGTGCTCTAGTTGCAAAAGCGCTTGTTGACAGTTCAGCTTGACAACAAGAGCAAGGCAATAAGCCGGGAAAACCCTATGTGGAAGAGTACTGCTTCAATATTAGAGAGCAAGGTCTACGCCAATGGGTTGGTCGGGAGTCAGTCCATATTCCTTTAGGCGGTTTAGGAAGTTGTCGATAATGTAGTCTTGAAAAATGTTCAATGTGGTTATGACTATGATCTATCTGGTTTCTTTAAATATACTCAAGATAAGTCGCTCTTCACAATGCCGCACCCCAGGAGCATTTAAAAGACCTAGGCAAAGATGCCCCACTTATAACTCTACTGTGCATCCCTAATAGTTGAAAATCAGTTCTATTAGAACCATCTAAAAATATCTCTAGAAAACCATATCCGCAGGAGCTTTAGACCACACCGGCGGTAGCCACGCATTGGTATTATAAAGCATTACCATGGATACCATGCACTATGATCAATCCCAATTGCTGTACGATACTGCTCCTTGTCCCATTCTAGATGGGTGGAGAGTTCAAGCGCTAGAGGACATGGATGGTCTGCTTAGGAAGGGAAATTTAAAGGTGAACATATGCTATAGAATGAGGCTGCGATTACAATGGCAAAGATCTAGTAATCCTGCTATGCCGTACTTTTTCGCCATTGCCACCGACGGCAAGGATAACATATCCTTTGTGGATGTACATGATGACCATTTCTTCCAAACCCACCCCACACCCCGGCACTTGCGAGTAGAGTTGCCTCCCTCTTCTTGTTGATCTCTAGATGCTCTGTTTTGGCAATTTGACCTCTGGAGGCAAATCTCTTCCATTGCTATTATATCACAAGGAGAGTAGTTAGTATACCTTGTATTATGAAACTAGATTAGTCGATGTGTAAGATGTCGAGAAAGAAGTGGCCCTCGATTTATGTCAATTAGGAGTATTGCAGACCTACAGACACATGCAATTACTATAGCATCGCTACTTTGCACTTGGTTATCAGGTGGGCAGTTTCTTTCCAAGGGCTCTGGCTCGCTCAATACACTCGGATCAAACCTCCACAAAAGTGACGTGACTTGGTCACTCTCGTCGGTAATAAACATGAGGATACAATAATCCATGCCATAATTGCAAAAGCGTCCTCGACTTCCAATCTCATCATGTGATGTCAACTACGTGAATGTGTCTTTGTGGTAAGGCTCAAGAGGGAAAGCTTCCTCCTCAATACCATAGTACCACAGTGGCAAACCATCTTGGGCCCGGCTTTAGAGTCACCTCCAAAAAGAATGATTTGGGCTCATTGTATAATGACCCAGATATGAGTCCAAGAAAAAGTGGCTGTCTTAGCCGTGCGATTGGAATCCAGTATCTGGCGAATGTTGGCCATAGCCATAGTATTGGCGAGTATATTTTCACGGGCACGCGAGAGAATGAATTCGACGTTCAACCGACTATCACCTGTATCACTGTTCCCCAAATATAATTTCAATCAACATCTCTGCGATGAGCCGTTGGCCGCCATAGTTGAGGGACGTGGAGTTGCCAAGCACTATCATGGAGCTTTGCGTCTCTGGAAATTGAGCGCAAAAGGTTATAGAGTCTCTGATCATGCCTCCATGGGTATATAGCGAGGCGTGGTAATTTTCTAACGGCCTCTATGGGTAATTGTGAGCAATCTTTCTCGTCCGCAGGTAGGGCTAGAGGGCCTGGAAGCTGCATGCAACACCGCCCCGACGCATAGCTGTACACTCTCAGTGTCGGGATTGAATTAGAAGCCTTCCTTGCCAGATGTGGTCAATTTCTTTGAATGGGTTGTGGGTTTTCTTTGGGGAACTTGGAAGAATTCTAAGTCGCCTCTATGTAAGCCTGATAGATAACTAACAAGTCGGCAATAGAACTGCGTATACCTCCTGCTGTCGACATCATCCCGTCGTGGCTCGGAAATGGTAAGGGTATTTCCACCGGTGAGCCATCCTGCAGGGCCACATACGCTTTTGCAGTGTTAGTATCCACCGTTCGCTCTCCCAGAGAACACTTCCTAGTATTAAACCTCATCTCCGTAGCTTCATCATCATAGCCCGAACTATCACATATGACACATGGCTATAAGGCACACGACTGGTGACATGTATCCATGGAACCGCTTCAAGCCTGTACCATTCAACGATGAAGTAATGCAGGGTGTATAATCCGGTCAACCCTCCCTCAACATGACATATTCGACGGAAACCTTTGCCTGTTGGCAGTATCAGCAGCAACGGCAGTATCTCAGCTACCACCCTCGCGTCCTTCTGCTACTATCTAGCACTCCACGTCGCAAAAATGGGGACCATACTGAGCAAGTACCGCGATAGGTGCGAACATCCGTTAGAGACAAAAATCTGCTGTACAGTATGTGGGATCGAGATCGAGGTGCGTGAAAGGCAAGACATAATAAACGAACGAGAAGCATGGAGAAGAAAAGCCGATCAGAGCTGGAGCGAAACTATCATGGTGTCATCCGCCGAGCTGGAACAGACGTGGTTCCGCAAGAATCCCTCGCTGTGGTCAATCTACTACCGCGCAAGTGAGTTCGCCTCTTTACCCTCCTACAGATACTGACCTGTATAGTAATTGACGACCGCGGGGCCTGCGATATATATCTCTCTGGGATAGGCGCGAAGACTTATAATCCAGGACGGCTTGACCATGTGCCCACCAACCCGGAGAAGGCACGCATTTACGGATCGCCCAATAAAGGGACTTCCTTCCATATGGCCCCGGTGCTGAGGTCGGATCGGCGCAGGGGGTGGAGGTATCGCGTCGGATATCCGATCCACGCTCACTGCTGGATGCTTCTTGACCGGGTGATTGGACATGATGTTATCATGCGGCATCTGCGGGAGTTTACTCGGGCTGTGAAGGCGTTTTGGAAGGGAAATAACTCATCTTGGTTTCTGAAATTGGGGCATCCAATTACTGGCGAGTTCTGCCGTAAGCAAGGTGCGAACTGGCTCAGGCCACAGCCTGTGGAATTATCGGCGCATGTTCTTGAGGACCCGAGGGTACAACGCAAAGCTCATACATTGGGAAGTCCGTTGCGGATTGCCGGACTACAAGAGCTGATGGTACAAGTGACGCGAGAACGGAACGTGCAGGAAAATAAGGACGTGCGAGCGCGTTCAGCAATTGAGAATCTCCCTCTTGATATTGCGATATACATGGTTGACATGATCTATGAAAGTCGTCCTTACTGTTTGGAAAGGGTTCAAGACACGCGCAATCTACTAGAAGCCGCTCAGTGGACATTGCCCGCTACATATTGGATAGGGCGATGTAACCCGCAACTGGTGTTCGAAGTGGATGAGCTCATCGCGGTAGGGTATGCCGTCGACTGGGCGAGCTTCTGTCTCGGACTAGAGCAACTGGTATTGAGCGATGGTTGGTATTGCAACAGTGGGTTGGGAAATCGGGAACGAACGCTTGGAATAATGAACAATATCAAAAAAATCTTCCTGGGTAGGGTCAAGGCCTGATAGCTTATTCTATTTGACGTTCAGATTGTGTTATTCAGAATCAATTTGTTAAGTTACTATGTTCCATCATTTATCAATGCCTGCAGATGACCAGGCCGTTTTGCCAGCGTATTATATGGCCCGCTTTCAACAACACACCCATGGTCCAGAACCACAATGTTATCCGCAATCTCCATCATCTCTTTCGCGTGTGTGATGATAATCACCGTGAGCCCTAGCCGAGATGCAACCAGCTTCTGCACAGTATGTCGGATGAGCTCGGCGCTGGCTGGATCAAGGCTCGATGTGGGTTCGTCTAGGATTAAGATCCGGGGTCGACGGACAAGTGCCCGGGCAATTACCAATAGCTGCGCCTGTCCTCCAGATAGACCAACTTCTCCATCCCCAATAACGGTAGAGTAGCCTTGCGGAAGGGATGAGATGAAACCATCAATTCCGGCCGCCTTTGCTGCATCGCGTACGTTGCGCAGGGTCCGAAGAGGCGTTACGTCCAGCCCATAGCTGATGTTAGCTTCGATGGTTCCTGGAAATATCGTAGGCTGCTGTGAGACGATCGCGATAAGCGAGCGAAGAGTTGGCGTGTGGAGCTTGCCAATATCAATTCCCCCGAGTGAAATAGCTGCAGAAGGCGATTCGTACAGAGCTAGCAGGAGCGAGGCTATCGTCGACTTTCCTGACCCGGAGCACCCAACAATCGCCGTACACGAGTTTTCGAAAATAGTGAAGGAGACATCTTTCAGAACTGGTGCATTTGGGCGGGACGGGTATTGGAAGTTCAGGTTGCTGAACTTCACTGGAGCTGGCATTTCGATGCGCACGGTTCCTATATGCTCGTGCGCCTCCCCGGTAAGATTTGCAAGCCGTAAGAGCCGGGATCCTCTTTCCCGTGAGGCACTGATTTGCGGGACTAGAAAGTCAGCGAATGTTCAGCATAAGGGAGATATACTAACTCCAAGACAGCACCACGCTTGCATATCCAATGCTGAACAAGAGCATTGAGAAGACCGTCAGGATATCCTCTACGGTGTATCCTGGAACTAACACCAGAATTCCCCCGTAGTAGAAAATCAACGCTATGTACGTTAGTTTCAATAAATATAGTTCATGTAAGGGTCATGGCTACATACCGCTGACAAATAAAATTGTGGACTCCACTAGACCAAAAATAAACCCTGTATAACCCGCTCTCCTCAATCCAGTTGTCAGACATCTTGACAAGGCCTTCGTGTGTTTGCCCTGGAAGAATGGCTCAAGTGTCAAGGTTCGTACCGTGCGTATCTCCGAGAAAGTCTCAACGAAAACCTCTGACGCCGCATCTCTAGCCTCATTACAGCGTCCGTCCCACAGTCCACTGATTCGCTCGAAACCTCTTGTAATTGCGTATATGATAGGACCACTGGAAAGCGCGACCAGTGTTAGTTTCCAACACAGAGCCAAGCTCCATATAGTGGCTATAATGGTAATCGAAGTAGCAACCAAGACATAGCCACCGAAGCGGCCAAGTATCTCTCGCATTTCCTCACCGTCTCGAGCTAGGCAAGCAGTAAGCTGTGACGGATTATTCTCTTCTTCCTCGAACCATTCCTGCGGCTGATCGAGAACTCGGCGGAATGCCTTTTTTCGGAGACTATCTACCCAAGCCTGGCCACATAGACTCAGAAGATAATGCATAAAAAATGATATAATTCCATCAGATATTGAGATTCCCAAAACAGCCAGCGCCCATTTTAGGGTGCCCGGATGCTTGTTGAAGAAAGTTGCCTGCAACTTTGCGAGGAAATACGAGAATATAGGCGTGGAACTTGAGTGGCATAGCGTAAATAAACACCCAAGAAGCAGAAGAACACGTTGCCCAATGGTCAGGTTTGGTATTATTGTGAGCATTATCTGAGACAGGGACATTGTTTGGCGCCGTATGCGGTGCATACTTCTGCGGTGTCTGGATCCTCTGCGGAAATCATCAGAGAGCTGAATTGATCTAGTCGCGCCTTTTTCGAGAACTTCCAGCGGCACTCCATAAGGGTCTTGCAAGCCCCGCTGTGGTGTGGTCACAAAAGAAAGCCCGGGCTTTGGGCATTTTTCATTGTATGATTCGGGTCTAAAGCCCATAATCACGGAAGATATACGCCGACTTTTTGTCGTCATGCGGATTGAATCCACTAGGGTTGCCTCTGAGAACATGTTCTGAACTTCATGCGGAGAGTCGGGATCAGCCCGCAGGGAGTTCTTCTCGTCGGAGGGAAAGAACTTCTCATTGCCTGCGACTTTCTCAAGCTCAAATCTGTATCCAGCTTGTGCAACAGAGCCTTGGTCCAGGACATAAACAAAGTCTCTGTCCGAGATGTGCGACATGTCATGGGTGATGATGATGGTTGTCTTTCCTTTACGCCACTCCCGGATTGCTCGAATCACCTCGCGACGATTTGTCCCGTCTAGAGAACTTGTGGGCTCGTCCAGGATCAGAACTGGAGTATTCCTCAATCTAGCTCTGGCGATTCCCACCCTTTGCCGCTGGCCGCTGCTTAGGCAGCTACCGCTATAGCCCACGCAGGTGTCGATACCATTTGGCATGTGGTCGATTACACTTTGTAACATGGCCAGATCGATGCACTTTTGGACATCTTCCTTTCGGATCTGATCATAGTCCTGCCCTCCAAAGACTATATTCATGAAGATGGATTCGTTGAAGAGAATACTCCGTTGTTCTACTAGGGTGAAATTTTTCTTGATCCAATGCTTGCTCAAGGTTTGTATGGGTATGCCATCGATAAGAATTTCACCAGAGGTTGGCGAGTATATCCGAGTAAGGAGTTGACCTAGAGTGCTTTTCCCAGAACCGCTCCTCCCGATAACAAAAGTTGTTTCCCCCGCTGGGAAGAAGAAACTTGCCGAGTTTATGCTTAGCCTATCCGGCTGGGATGAGTATGCAAAAGAAAGCTAGATCGGTTAGGAATCACTACACTCAGGACTTAGGTTGCAAATCTTACCTCTCTCACTTCAATATCACCATCGCAATGACATGGATATATCGCGCCCTTCATTTCTTTCGGGCCCCCGTCTTTGCTCTGATTGTCCATAGTCTTCAATGCGGAAGCTGCAACTGCGCCTTTATCTAATACAATGACTTGTGTCATGATAAATTCGATGGACTGGGCGGCATTTAAGCAAGCCCAGAATGTTCTTAAAACGTCACCAGCGGAGAGTCGTCTAGATGATGCCAAATTGCTACCATACCAGAAACCTTGAACAAACATGCCATACGTCATCAATCGGATGAGTGCTATCTGGATGGCATTCAACCGCGCTTGCTTAAGATACTGGGAGGCAGCCTTGTCAACTCTGTTCGAGAAATTTTGAAGTTCAAAGGCTTCGCCGTTTAGACACTTCACCGTACCAATCGAACTAGTAGCGCTGTTGACAACTTTGGATGCTCCGGCGAGTTCGCCCTGCTGTGCTTCAATCCTGGACTTGATCTTGGCTGATATGATCGAAGTCATGGCGGAAAATAACGGAATTCCCGCCAGTGTGACCAGAGAGAGGTTCCAAGAAGTGTAGAAGGCCAATGCTAGCGAGGCAATGGCTCGGAAAGTATACTGCAATAGCAGCCCCAGAGGCTGAGAGGTTGATTTCTGCAACTCATTGATTTGGCTATTAGACGTTAGACAAGCATAGAACAACTCAGGGTATACTAACGTTTGGAGGTAGGTTAAAAAGGCCCGGGTTCCATCCTGTTGTGTTTCGAACCATTCCTGGTTATTTCGCATGAGCCCATTGAAGAGTACCCCCTGCGCATTGGCGACTTGTAATTCTCCAAAGATGACAAAAAGAATGAAATAGATGCTGTTACAGAACCAACTATAGACACCTAAGCATGCTAACTTGACACAGGTTGTTTTTGTCTTCTGCATCAGCTCCTGACCAGTGATTTGATCACTACCGAATGCTGCCAAAGCTTCGAAGGTCTCTCCAAGTAGTATAGCAAAAGCCGGAGAAGCAGCGCTGGCCAATAAAGCGAAAAGGAACGCAAAGCCAAGAGTTGAAATGTGTTTTTTGGTGGTGAAGCTGAAAAGCGACAACCAACTTGGGTTCCAGTCCAAGCGGCGCTTGACTTGATAGATACTTATCATAATGAATTTGAATGTTATGTCATTGCTTTGAGACCGAGTACTTCATGGTCTTTGTGTTGGATGGACGACTTGAAGGGTAGAGATATAGAAAAGAGGGGCACGGCCAGCCATGAGATAAGCAAGATATGCAACCTATGTAGAACCATTGTGCTATTCTTGGCTTTACTGATTGTTAAAGTTGTCCAGGAATTGGTGAGGTTGTGGAGGAAAATCAATGGGGTTGCGTTGCCATTGTTCTTCGGCGGTATCAATAGCCCCGTGATCCACATTGTACTGTACCATTGGATCCAAACTACCTACACAAACCGTAATGTATGTACATGATTTGCTTTTAAGTAATCTATAGAAAGTCGAGGGTCATCTATCAGATACCAAGGTCATCTGCATAGCGCTCCGGAAGCTGGGAGTCTACAACGTGAGTAGATCGTACTTGACGGAAGTCAGTCTGCCGGTGGACCGTGTTCCCCTTGACTATAATCATTGGGGTGAGAACAAAGGGATAACGTTAGCTTTATGAGCTCGTCTTTTCCGGGTTGGCCTTCTCATAAATCCAGTCATTCAGACCGGCACGGTTTCTAGTCCATGTCAGAAAATTTGGCGCCAATCTAAGGGTACCTGTGCTCACCTGGCGATTTCAATAGCGTAGAATTGCATGCGCACGGCTGATTCTTTGTTAACCCCGCGTTGCTCGACGAAGCGCGAACCTAATGAGACGGGGGAACCTACCAAAAATCGTAGTGTCCTGGTCGTACTCGAACTTGGGGTTCGAGCGCAGCATGGTGCCAAAGTTGAAATCATCAATCGTCTTCTCGTACTGGTTCATCCAGTTGCGCCACTTCTCCTTGCCCGCCTTGCTCTTCATTTCGTCCTCATTCAGGGTCGCAGCCGGGTCGAAGTCGGGGAATTCTTTCATGAAGCTCTCGTAAATCTCGTTGTCCATCTTCGTCAACCGAAGTTGCGAGCCTCGGACCTTCTGGAGAATCGACCAATAGGTCATCAAATGTTCGACGGCTGCCGGACGTAAGTATACTGAGTTCGGATAAGACGACGGTTTCGCAACGTACCCTTGACTGCAAACTGCTTCTCCATCTAGAAGGGGTCAGTAATCAATCTATATCCCAAAAAGAGCCCAGGTGCAAGGTTACGAACATCCTCGAAGTTCTCGGCCGTCTCGGGATCAAATGGCTTCGACATTTTGGCGGCTGGTATTGGAGGAATTAAACGAAATGATGATAAGTATATTCTAGAAAAAAGAGGTCAAGCTGTGCGAGCTTTCATGTATCGTGAAATTTTGTCAAGTTGGAGTTTTAAATGAAATGCCCCGCGATTAATCTTTTTCTGCCGGCGGAGATAAAATTTGTGTCCCGCCTTTATCGGTACGTCATTTGATTAAATCCACAATAAATTCCCACTGTACTTAATTAAGGAAGTTTCATTAATATATCAGTCTCTTTGATAAAAGTTATAGGTTATTGTCTCAATCTACATGATCTTTGCTAAGCCAAAACATTCTAGTATCATCTACGTAGATGTTAAACATTGCACGAGCTTACTAATCATCACATAACCCGCCCTTATACGGCATAAGTATTTTTATACTTGGAAAGCAAAGGAAGTACTTGGAATTCAGTTCAAGAGAAAAAACCAGATAAAGCCATCAAATCTAGAATGATCACTAGTTATATAGTTGCTCAGAAAGTGCACACGGTCATAATCTATGTTGTTATAGAAAAGCTGGGCTTTTGTGCAATGTATACACCCGTGCATAGTCTCTTTGACCCACAATCTACTTCCATTACTGAATCTTAATGTTCGATTTTTAAGCTTTGCTTAGTACAACCTGTACTCAAACGAATTAAGAATGCTCAACTTATATGAGCCATGATGTGTCGTACCTACACCCAGCTAGATACATTGTATGACTTATAATTCACATACTCGTGGGACCGGAACCACGAGGCGAAGAACATGCATTGCAACTGAATACAACGGCATACACCAACAAGGAAACAATGCCCCACTATGGCTCACTGAGATGTCTCCAGGCCTGACTCAATTTCAACCTGGTCAAGGTATATATCGATTGAATCACAAAGTAACTATCGTATCTGTACTAACTAGCAAATAAAAACAAAATAAAAAAAATAATGGTAAACGCATCATCCTTCTGACTTTTCATAAATCCATAGAGCATCCCACGCTGATCTAGATATCTATAATAGGGCTGTGTGCTTACCACATGTTATCATATCCGCCTAATATTACTTAGACCCCAAAGTCATAGAATTCAAAAGCTTCACCACATCTATTTCTCCTGCCTTAGCGGCCAAATCTCGTGCTGTCTGCCCGCTGTCATCTTTATCGTCCGCTGAGGCTCCGTGACCAAGTAGAAAATAAACATCGTTCTTGAGCCCGGATTTGGCCGCTATATGAAGTGCGGTCTGCCCAAACATGTCCCTAGCAAAAACATCCGCATGATTATTCACCAGCAGCCTCATAGCATGCCCTTTGGAGCATACCGCTTTATGCAAAGCTGTCTGCCCGTAGTCATCCTGAAGGTCAACATCGGCTCCACTTTGGATCAGAAAGTCCACCATCTTGCGGTAGCCGCGCTCGGCAGCCTTGTGCAGGGGAGTCTCCCCAGAATAGTTCGTCACATTTATATCCATACCGCTCTCCAGTAAAAGGGCTACCGTACTTCTGCGGGTGCCCGATGCTGCAATATGAAGGGGGGTGTCGCCAAGATCGTCTTGTGCGTCAGCTTCCGCACCACTCCTTAGTAGTAACTCTGCGATATTATCATGTTCATTGCGCACTGCGTAATGCAAGGGCGTTTTTCCCTCTTTGTCCAGCTCATTGACTTCTGCATCCATTTGCAGAAGAAGAGTAGTCAATTCAGCGTCGCCGTTGCCAGCCGCTATATGTAAACCTGCTTGACCAGAGTTATCCTTCACATTGACATCGGCACCTTTCTTCAGTAAAAGCAGCAGCATTTTCATCATCCCGCGTTTGCTTCTATCGTACATGATCAGTGCTAGCACCAATGGCAGGCCGAGCCCTCCAGAAGGCGAGTTTTTATCTGCCCCCTTTCTCACCAAGTACCTGACCACCTCAATGTGTCCCTGTCGTCCAGCCTGATACAAAGGTGTGCCGTGTGGCCCTTGAGACTCACTGCCAGCAGGCGGGTGCGCCTCCATGTTGGCCCCTTGTCGCACCAGCAGCTGCACCACTGGTAAATGCCCATTTCGAGCAGCCCACCACAAGGGGGTTCGCCCACCGTCATCGGCATCATCGACATTAACTCTACCAGAGCCAAGGAGCAAAATGACCACGTCAGTATGACCCTTTTCCGCAGCCCATAGCAATGGCGTGCGGCCAGTTGTGTCTTTGATCCCAGGATCGGCATTTGCCTTCAGCAGTAGCGCCATCATCGTCGGATTCCCCTTCTCGACAGCCCAATACAATGGTGTATGACCGTTCAAATCTGGGATATCGGGATTGAGTTCATTACGCGCTAGGAGTAGAATCACGACCCCTTCGTGGCCGTTCTTGACTGCCCAGCAAAGAGGAGTTTGACCGAGCTTGGTATCCCTTGCATTAACATCAACATCTCCGCTTGCCATGAGAAGCTGGACCACTTTCTCATGTCCCTCCTCTGCCGCCCACGAAAGCGCACTTCGGCCATCTTCATCTTTACAGTCCAGCGCCACACCAGGAGTACTTAGCAGAAGCTGTACAATCGAATCGTACCCCTTACTAGCGGCCAGGAAAAGCGCAACTTCGAATTTGCTCTTGGGCCCCGGCGCCGGAGCATCCGCGTTTTCGGCCATCATAAAAGATAAGCAGGTTAAGAGTAAGACCAGACCATTAGGCGGAAATAAACGACTTCTATTTCAGGTAAGGTCGTAGAAGGGTGTCAGAAGTTTATGTCATTTTGCAACACGGGATGTGCTGTGGATCAAATATCGGGCACTTTTTCTTCGACGGCATTCTTTGAGCCTGCAGAGGGGTAGAATCACTGCATTGATTCAAGTATTAAAGACCCCTCCGCCACGTGGGTTGCTTTCACTGGTTCTTTAGGGTGTCCACTTGAGACGAGTTCTTCTTGCTTGGTGGGCTCACCCCGGCTCTCGGTTCGTATGATATGCATGGGATGCTAGCCTTACCCTTTCGGTCTTTAGCCTAGGGAGAAATAGGGCAGTTGTTCTTCCACTTTTGGAGTTTAGTATCATATTGAGAGTTTTCCTGATTTATGTCCTAAGGACTTAAAGCTGGTATATATTTCTATCGTTTCAATACCTTCTTTGAAAGTGTTATTATGGCAGGTCGATAATCTTGAATTCACTGCAGATCACTCCACCATTGGGCATGAACCTCAGTTATACTCCGTACCCGAAACTTCATCAGTATCAGCCTTATCATAGAGAATGAACTGAAATCAACATAGTGTGCATTAGAGCTTACTGAAAACACAGAATACTCATTAAACTTTCGGACATCGCATTACATAGTTAACCTATAATATTATACAAAAAAGAATTCAAATCAATTAATCACTATCCGAGTCAGGTAATTCTTCAAACCGTCCCTCACGAACAGCCTGCGCCACAGGATTCTCCACCTTAAGGATGCCATTGGCCCTGGCCCTATCCAGAGGTTAGCGATATTTCAAATGCAGCAGGACGAGACTTACCTCTCAAAAAGCACAAATAGTCGCTCTGCCTCGCGCTCCTTCTCTTCCTGTGTCATAGGCGGACCCGTGTCTTGCTTCTCTGCGGCCCATCTCTGGCCGGTAATGGGGTTGATCTCCGGGTCGAACCGCTCTGCTGCAAATGCTTCTCCGGCGGTCTTGGGGATCTCCATGCCTCGGGTTGCAAGTAGTCCTGCGGCGAATCCGTAGCCAATGTTCTTCGTAAGGTTTTCAGCGTTCTTTCCTGAGAGTACGAACATGAGCTCTGAAATGGCGGTTTTCAGATTTGGGTATGGCGCTGTGGAGAGCTTGAGTAACTTGGAGGACAGCGTGTCAGATTGTCCGATGGGTTGGTTCCGGTCGTTGTCCTCTGGTAAGAATAGCCACTGCATGTATTTACGGGGGCCATCTGGTGCCAATTCGTGGATGGTAATGAGTGAGTGAAGAAGTGGGATAGCTTTGGTCTCGAGATCCTCAGGGGTGTAAAGTGAAGTTGCGTGGTCCAGAATATTGATCAACTTGTCAACATTGCAGTTCTGATTGAAGGTCGGGAACAATGGGTTGCTATCGAAAGGCTTTCCTTTCTTGTTTTCAAGATCAAGCGTAGATAAGCAATTAAGGAGGTAGCTGAGCAGACCATCCAATGGTTTGTCGGGAATGTCGATACGGCTGATCATCTTGAAAATATGAGGGATCGAAGGCGCAAACGTTGCAGACAAGTCCGGATAGAGTTTTGACACGTTGAAGATGAGCTTCAAAGTGTCGATTAGAGCAAACTCATCTATCTGAGATAGAGGCCTTTTGAACGTTTTCGGGAACTGCTTGGCATGTCGGACGATTTGCTATATACCAGTTAGTTGTGCCTTGATGATAGGTAGGCAGTCTTACATAGTTAACATTATCGCCCAGCGCGTGTTTATTCACAAGGTTGTCGAAATCCATGGTTGTGTCATATGTAGACAGGAACAATATCCGGCTGATGACCATTTCATCTTCGGAAGAATCGCACTAGGACTGTTAGATTCTGCGAACCTATGCTTATGGGAACACACCTTGAGCATCTCGGCGAGTTTACCACCATGGCCAGTATCTACGAATAGCTGGCGCATCTTTGAATCCAATAGAAGAGCATTTGCAACGCAGCGCAGTGCAGCCCGACGGATGTCTACTGATTCCCCATCGACACCGTACTTCACCAATATTTCCATTCCCTATAGAGATTAGATAGAATACGTCAGCAGAAAGTAGAACGTACCCTTTTCGAATAGATAGGACCAGCGTCCGCTGGATTTGTGCCACGCTGTCTCAGCTGTAAAAGTAATTGAACTTTTCCTATAGTATAATCAGATAATGAGATGTACTAAGCTAGCACACATATACCTACGAGAGTTGCTCAGCTTTTTCTCCTTCAGATCTTTTTCTAAGTTGTCCAATAATTCAGTGACTTGTTGCAGTTTCTCTACCATGGTTTTTAGCACCCTATTGGAAGTTCACGTCACACTGGCTTGCGCATACCTGCACCTTGAAGAGCCTGGAACTCCATCGTTTTGGCCGATGTCTCAGGGGTATAACGATGCCCGCAGTAGTGGTGATGTTGGGCTCTCACTTTGTGTAACGACCATCAACAACTGTCGAAGACTGCAATCTGGTAGGCGGCTTGGAGCTGAGGCCTAGTCAAGGAGATGAGGTTAAGTTGAGGCTGCGAGCGGGATAAGAGGTGTCCACGAGATCACCGTGGTGTTTCTGACGCAAGAGCTACTCTGCATGGACAGAATAGAATAGGCGGGCAGATCAACCCCACCGACGTTTATTCAATAATGGTTAGCCGCTTGCTCCGCAAAGACGGCTATGGCGTTTCTTCATATTCATGTAGACAAAGTATCATTCTGGAGGGATTCTTATAATTTTCCTTTCGTGGAAGTAATACTTCTGCTCATTTAGAATCATCAGATCAGCCTCTATTACCCATATAGCGCTCCATTTAGAAAGTTGCTTGCGCTGAACTAATCCTCGCTGCCTTGACACCTGATCCTGTGATTGCGGCCTTACTGCCCCAGGCACTCACGCCACTGCCACTTTACGCGCTACGCCACAGGCGCGATCTCGCGTCTTTTAGACTTGCGAGGCTTGGCGTGGCCCTAGGAGAGATCCGCGAAGGGCTTCTCAATCGCTTCAGATCGCCCCAGAAAGGCTTTACCCCGGGCGATGGACATTGTGGTCTGAGTTCACTGCTTTCCTGCATCGCAATGTTCCTTACCTTCCTCCCGTTCCCATTGTCTTCCTTCCTGTCGTTCGACCTTTTGAAATATGGTGCAGGTTTTCGGTCCTTTGTCTGCTCGTCCGCCTACTCCGCCCAGGACGACTCGTATGCTATCTGAGAAGGATCAGCCGCAAGATTCTCCGATAACCGTAAAGACTCCTGTTGAATCACCGTTAGCGACGAATGCCAATGGTGGTCTTACCAGTCGGAAATCCAAGCGAGTGAACTTCTCGCCATGGGCGAAGTATCAGCCCAACAGGCTGGATCTAAAAGCTCTGCCTCCTTCGAATGAATGCAAACCTACAAAATCAATCCTCAAGACGACCAGCTCGCCTGCTCCCGCAAACTCGCCTGATGTGACACCCCATACCCCAGAGTCTTTCGCCATGCTGCTAGAGTCGATCACGCAGCAATTAGCCGGTGAGTCGGTCAGCTCAAGACTGGACGCCTACATGCAATTTTTCGGGGCATTGAGGGCATACGAAGAACTTCCAGGGGGGCAGGATATTGCGGACAAGCTTAGCCTAGTCACTCAGTTCATTCAACGAGATGTGACCCGCGACATTGGCATTGGCGGGCCTATGAATACCAATCTTGTCACTCAAGCCCTAAAGTTGTCTGCTGCTCTGGTATGGCACACGGAGCTATCTTCCCAACTACCTGAGGACTTCAAAACTTTTCTCGTCGACCATTCCATCAACAGCCTACAGGATGCGAAAGTGCCCAAAATCGTGGCCACCCACTACATGTCGATTTTGTCAACCCAGAGTTTCCACGCGAAGATAATGAACAACACCAGACTAAGCCGTCTACTGGCGATCTTGCATGATCTCACTAGCCGGGTAAATGGGAGTGCAATCGTCGCACAGCGGTTGAGCATATACCAACGTATTCTCAGCCAGAACAAGTCATTGTTTGTCTCTCAAACGTCACTATGGATGGAGCACCTCATCTCGGGCTTGCTTCACCACATCAAAGATGTCAGGATAAAGGCTATCTCCCTCAGCTATCAAATCTCGGTGACATTCGGTCCAAATCCCATCCTATCCAAGAACATCCGAGATATCTTCGACCGCCCCCTTGGCCAAGATAGGAAATTGGTACAGGAAGTTAGCGAGCGGATGTCGCGAATGATGGCAGCTGCGGAGAGCGGTGTACATGTACCTCAGATTTGGATTGCTGTCATCTTACTTCTGAGGAATAAGAGGCTGACTGTTGACAATTGGGAACACCTAAAAGAGTTCACTACTCCGCTGCAAAAATGTTTCAATTGCAGTGATGGGCCAACGAGAGGGCAATCCATTCTTGCGTGGAATCGATTTGTTCAGGTCATCTGCCCGAGTGAGAGAACAAATCCAGCGATCTTAAAAATACTAATTAGAGCAATTCTCTCCCAACTCGAACGAAGGAGTCATAACAAGCTCACGTCACAGCCTAACCAACTGGTGCTATCGAGCTACTACAATCTCCTATATTATGCCTTCCGTCCGTCCGCGTTTTACCAGCATCTCGATATTGTTTGGGACGAGTATATTGCTGCACCTTCATCGAACGTTTTTATTTCGGTCCCCGGCTTAAGCGACAAGCTCGCCCAGGTGTTATCGAATATGCTGTGGGGCTCTCAGGCGAAAGTTTGGTTAGAGAACAAAGCCAATGAAAATAATCGCCTTCTCCCGGAAGAGTTGCCTCAGCTTGACTGCAAATGGGTAAGGTCCAGGATCACGGCTGTGTTAAAGGTGTTCGAAAACATATTTACCTCGTCGACCTGGTCCGACAACATCGAGCAGTCAAACATCGCCACTGCTTGGGTCAGTCTTTCTCGAGCTCTGTCATATGCTTCTAGCAAAGAGATCACACCCTCCCCGGAGTCAATGCAAGCAGTAGCCCACGTGCTTGGTCTCCTCCAGCGCCTCTGGAAAGCTGGCCCTACGTCAATCAACGCTATTGGAGAAAACTCCTTGGACAAGTTCTTCGACAGGTTCAGGTTTCTATCAACGACCATGATCGTCTCACTCGGGAGCATATCATTCACTGAAAAACTTCTCCTGAAGACGGCTGATGAGAAGTTCCAGGCTGCCAATACGCCAACGCATCGGCCTGTAAAGGTCAATGCAAGCCTCGACAGCCCTATTCTGCATTTTCTTCGGCTTGTCAGTGATGTGTCAGGAGTCCAAGAGCCCACTGCTTCCTACTTGCGTCTGATCAGTGATACCCTAGACGCTGCTTGTAAGGGCAGAATGTCAAGAGGCTCACGCCTCGAGCTTCTTAGGCAATGCGCAGATTTATATCCGAGTGTAACAGAGTTTTCCTTCAGAGTCCATGATTTTGCTCAGGCAGGCTGGAAATCAACAGCGCAATTGGCTGCGGATTCTCTGTGCTCTTACCCCCTTGAGTCCGCCCGTGAACGTGACGGATCTGTTTTGCGTGACTATGACAATGCTGTCAAGATCCTCTCTACCGGGTTGAAGTATGGAAACAGCATCCAGGAGTGGAATCAACTTTTGGATACGTTTATTCGCGTTGTGAGAAATGAGAAGGGTGACCAGGCAATTGCAACAATGGTCGTGGAGCCCCTTTCTGAGTGCATCATGATGCTAAAAGCTCGTGATACCTATTTGCCAGCAGCCTCTCTATTTAGCCATTCTCTTTCCATCACATACTGCCACTATGGCGTTCGGAACATGGAGGGAGCGATGGTTGGACATCCTGCTCGAAACACCAGTGAGACTTCAATATTTCCCTCTAAACTAGTTGAACTAGTGAACTGGATTCTTCGAGAGTCTTATGAAGCCTTTGACGCTACGGTGACCAATGGAATTGCGGACTTTCTGGAGTCTTTGACGTCCTTTTTGGGCTCTGGAGTCCCGGAATTTCGCTCCGCGATCCTCGAAACGACACAGGAATCCCTTGCTCTTTGGTTAAAGGATGACGTACGCAAGATTAACGTTGAAAGTGGTGTGGAAAGCAGGATTCTCACTGCGGTAAGTTTACCAAGCAAGGGATGCGAAAAAAACACTAATAAGGGGCCCAGGGCCGCGCTCTCTCCTCCGCAGTTATAAATGCTTTGCAAGCTTGTTCGCCCCACGATGCGTCGCATCTACACAGGTTTGAACCTATTCTCTGTTCAGGCCTTGGGTCCTCCCATATGTCCATAGCAAAGAGATTTCTTGATTTTTGGAATTCTTCGTTTGGACAACAGGGATCACTCCCTTCTCCTGAATCGGTATCCCGTGCACTGCAACAGCTTGAGTCGCGAATCAAGCTTCAGCAGTCGGGAGAGGGACCGCAAGAGGTACGTCAAATAACGCTCATTGCAGGCATATGTACTGATTTTTTCTTTTAGCCTGGGGTATCCCTTGAGACGCGAGAATCAAATGGCAGCCAGGTAGACTTGTCTGGAAAAGCCCGCATCGCCTTTATTCTAGACCACCCAGTGGTACCATCCTACCCCGTGGGCTTTAATTCGTCTCCTGTCACAAAAGTCATTGAATCATCAATTGCAGAACAGCCAGGAGAGGCTAGATCCCACCGATCAACTGAATCAAACGAAACGGACCAAACCAGCATCGAGGATGCTTCGATCCCATTCCTGCCACCCAACGAAGAACCCAAAAAGCGTACCGATGTATTTTCAATGATTGAGAACCTTCGCTTCTCCTCACCCCCGTCAAACACGCCGCGAGAACATGGATTCATGACCCCTCCGCACCTACGCGGTCTACACGCCCCCGATCGTGAGTCGGGAATACCCCAAACGCCCACTTTGCCACCTGTCACAGCTGACAACGAAGACGGCTTTCTCGGTTCTTCTCCTACTCCTGGTATAAGAGGTCGAGCACAGTCTGTTGGATCGCAGATTCCTTCGGCGTTGTCAACTCCGGCAATAAACTCTCACTTTGATAGTGACATCCCATCCTCTCCTCCCGAGTTCAAGTCACAGGACGCAAATTCCCGTATCCAACAGGGGTCCCTGAACACTGTAGCTGCTGAGAACAGAGCGGGCAAGAAAAAGAAATCTAAGAAGTCGAAACGCACATCAACACCAAAGAATAAGAACAGCACCAAACAATTCGAGACACGGGAAGATCACAGTAGAGCCGCAACGCCCTTGAGTAGCCGTCTCCGCTCTTCTACAGGTAAGACGCCTAAAGCCAATGCACGCAGTACGACCGAACGTCAGCCCGACGCTCTCCAAAGTGGTGATCTAGAGCTTGCTGCAGAGGCCTCAAATACAAAACCTGGCTCTCCTAGCAAGCTCGCATCTACCTTATCTACACCCAAGAATTCCGGCGTGTCTGACGAAACCACGGATGACCTGGATTCCGCTCTGGACTGGATTGCAGATTCTTCCAGTGATGACATGGAGACGCAGATTGCGTCTCAACTAGAGCAAGACCTAGAATTCGCTGTCGATTCGGATAAACCGGATACTGAACAAGCAACAGAACCTCCTTCCGAACCTCCGGTGACCAGGAAAAGAAAACGGGAGGAAGAAACCGTATCGACACCTTCCAGGGAAGAGCGACGCAGATCGATGAGGCGCTCTGCTAAAGAAGTAGAGGACGTTGATCCTTTGGAACCTAGGAGCCTTCGTTCTAAGAAGTCACCCATGTCCAACAGCGCCCAGCAGCTTGTTTCTTCACCGGCTGGATCGGCGCCGAAGAAGCAAAAATTACAATCTAAACGTGACACAGATGATTTACCTGCTAGGTTGCCCGATTCGCAGCAGGATAGTATCAGTGCTGATACGGGCACTGATGCTCTAACTGCCTCCCAGAAGCGCAGGTCTTCCCGTCTGAGCAGACAATCCCCGCCAGTTGTCACAGAAAAAAGCCCTGCTCCCAGGAAGTCCCCACGAAACAGTCGTTCTCGCAAGCGAAACGCGAAGCGTAAGGGCAATGGGTACAGGGAACCTGAAGCTCAGACAGAAGAGACTGTTACGGCAGCCTCCCAAGACCAAAAAGAACCGCAAGATGACTACATTGAACAGAATAATGTTCCAGAAGCTGTAGAACTCCAAACTTCTGTTCCAGCTGTCGCTCCAACAAGCGAGCAAGAACCTATTAATCGAGCATCTGTAACTGAAATCGAAATGGAAGACGCGGAAGTTGATTCTGCTCGAACTAGAAACCAAGCACCATCTCAAGTCACCCAGATGGAAACTCACCCGGAGAGAGACAGCGGCTCAGCTGGAATCATTGCTTCTTTCAGAAATCTGCTGGATGACATCAAATCGGCCACCTTGGACCGAGACGCTATCCGACAAATTGACGACTTGATGTTCGAAATCCGGGCTGAAACGGGCGAGGCACTGAGGAGACATACTGGTTAATTATTTGCATAGCGAAGGCGTTCAATTGTTTGATGCTTTTCTTCTTACATCTTTTGTTTCTCTCTTTGTTCATCTCTTTCATTTGGCACTGGTGGGAGGCTAAGGATGGTAATTGATACGTATAAAAGGTTATTGGACAGGGACGTTAGCGTTGGTATCTGGTACCCTATGCATGAATATATCCATTTAGAAATTGATTTTTGGCGCCATAAACTTTAGCCTAAAATCGAGTCTCGTGTGACACCCTGAGAGCTGTATACTCCTATCAACATGACAGCCTACAGGTACTCCCCCCACTAGCATAATGGGTGTAAGTAAGATAATCAATCTCCTCCTTTCTGGGTGCTACGAATCTCTTCCAGAGCTTCAGATAGTTAAAATAAAAGAAAAAAATAATTATTCCTAAGAAAAAGAAATCTATATAGTGATATTCATCATGCTCAAAGCGGCGTCAATAAATTCGTTATCCCTGTCGTTTCTCTGATTTTCCTCCTTCTCTTCTTCCCTCTTCACCTTTTCTCTGGCCTATACTGTGTATCAGTATACACTATAACCTTTGGACTTATAGTTTATCTATACCTTCTTCGCCTTCTTGCTTGTTCTTCTCTGACGGTTCTGTTGGGCTATAGGCGTCCTGGAGAGCCCCGCAGCCGAGGCCCTGGGCAGGCAGCAGCAGGGCCGCCCGAATTCTGCTTGTAAAGCCAATTAGCATAAAGCAAGTGGTTGAATATAGAGAGAGACTATATCGAATAAGTAGAGAATATAATATCTGAAAATATGATACACTTGACGGAGAGCTAGCTTACCTTCTTGCCCTTGGAGAAGGTGACCTTCAGCTGCTGCTGATCCTGCTGAGCTTGCTATTGAGTTCTTGTGTCCTAAGGGATATTACCAACAGCGAACTATTGATCAATATAGCTAGACGAATTGATTAAATTGTCATTTGTATATATCTGTAGCTCTTTTCATGAATAGGTCATGGTAACCAATCTGTCTATTTACAAAACCTGCCAGTGTCGAAGTATTACCCTCCTCACCAAATAGTAGGAAGATATAGAGGTGGACGGCTTTTTGTGATTTTATTTTATCCCCGAATTCTAAGTGTTTCTATATTCCTGATAACATATTTGGCGGATGATATAAGGCGGCCCCACGTGCCCCACTTGTTGTTGTCTGCCGCTTTCGGTGGTCCCCCACATCGCATCAATCATCCCATCACCATATTCAAGTTCTCATATTCTTGCTTATAGTATATTCCTATAATGGACCGTTCCAACAAGCCTTCAGCCATCGGTGTGGGTGTGTCCATTCCTCAACCCACCATATCCCTCCGCGACAATACCGTCGAGGCCACGCTGCCCTCCGGCGAATCCGCTACGATTCACCTGTACGGAGCTACTGTCACATCCTGGAAGCTCGCAAATGGCAAAGAGCAATTGTTTGTGAGCGAGAAGGCTCATCTTGATGGATCAAAGCCTATTCGAGGCGGTATCCCTGTGGTGTTCCCCGTACGTCCACTCTGGCTTAAAAACCAAATCCCATTCATCACTAATTAGATTTTGCTGTCGATTGTAGGTCTTCGGCCCTCCTCCTCAGAACCATGCCACATCCTCCCTCCCACAACATGGATTTGCGCGAAACAGCACCTGGGAATTCCTAGGCAAGTCATCGTCGGAATCCCTAGGCAAGGATTATAGTGGGGACGATTCCGTTAAGCTCGACTTCGGCCTCTCCCGCCCTATGCTCACAGAGGAATTTCAGAAGGCTTGGCCATACGACTTCGGGTTGGTGTATAGCGTTACGCTCACCAAGGAAGGTTTGGAGACATCCCTCCAGGTGCAGAATAAGGGTAGTGAGAACTTCGACTTCCAAGTATTGTTGCATACGTATTTCAAGATCGACGTAAGGCACCGTCCATCGAGGCTTCTCTTTAAAGTTCTAACATCTCGGCATTAGGATATCACCGACATCCGCGTCAAGAACCTCGAGTCCAAGGCCTACGCTGATAAAACCCAGAATGCTACCGTTGTCACCGAAACATCGTCTGCTATCGAGATCAACAAGGAAACAGACCGTGTTTACCAGTCATTGGACCCCAAGGTTCCGATCGTTGTGTCCTCTGCAAGCGACGATAAGCCCATTTTCTCCATTACTCGGGAGGGACTTAATGATGTTGTTGTATGGAATCCTTGGATTGAAAAGGCCAAGGGTATGGCCGACTTTGGCCCGGACGAAGCGTACAAGAATATGATCTGTGTCGAAGCTGGTTCCGTGTCTGGATGGCAGACTCTGGAAGCCGGTGACTTCTGGGAAGGTGGTCAGACCATTAGGCCGAGGCTGTAAAAAGGGTTCGAATGAGTTCTGTTAGATGATGGACGGCTTCATCTCTCGTCAAGCTTGCAGGTAAAGAAGTGCATTGGGCCTGACCGAGTACCTTATCATTACTATTGGCGTTGTTAATATATCGCCCAATACAAATTTTACCTTGAAAGCATCTTGATGATTTCAATGTTATATATGTTCCTAAATGATCAGTGTCAACGGTTCTACTGTTTAATTAAAAACACTAAATGACGATTGGTCTGCTCTTAGTGAAATATTACGCATAATTTTCCAAGAACAGACCTATTTACGCCCCACAAGCTCATTTTGTGCAAAGTCTAGACGTCGAGCAGCCTCAACATTATATCGAGGTCCCCTGTAGTCATGCCTTCCCCGAAAGGCCCACCATACTGCCGTCATAGCCATTAAACCTGCAACAATAACGCCGGTATAGTTCATGTTATGTGCCGTAGCTGGAATAACAAGAGGAAAACAGAAGAAAACCACCGTTACAATAATATACAACAGAGAAGCAACGTTCACAATAAATCCGAGCCGTTTTTTAAGATAAAATGGGCCTGGGAGGATATTCTTGCGACCAGTCAGTACATGCGGTAGAATAGCCCCGAGGTAGGATAATGTGCTCAGAACGATATAAGACGATATTAAAGCTTGGAATGCGGTGGTACTTCCAATGTAGATACAGCCCAGACAAGTTACCATGGTGCTCACGGCTATGGTTGCACGGACAGGAGTGTTGAGTTTTGGATTGACTCCGCTGAAATAAGAGGCGAACGGGGTTGCATTGTCCCTGGCAAGGCTCCACCACATACGACCTCCTGTGACCAAGGTTCCGATTAAAGTTGGAAAGGTGGCGAGGAGGAGGACAGCAATCAGCCCAATTGCACCTGTGTCAGAACCTGTGGCTTGCCTATAGATCTCGGCCGTTGGAAAGACGGCGATTTCGCTGTGGAAGACGGCATCGAGGTCTTGAATGGAGTAAAATAAGGCTATTAGATATACGAATGCTGTGGTGAATGCCGTGAGCATCTGAAGCATGATGCCCTGGGGGACCTTGATTTCGGGTCTTGGAACTTTTAATTCGACTTAAGTATCATTTCGTCGACATGGTCTTAGTGACATACCTTCTTCAGATAAGTGGCTGATACAGTCAGGAACTCCAACTGCAAATGCCCCATTCAGGAGTCCAGTCATAAAGCTGACACCATCCGGCCAGCTTCCTGTGTTGTTAAATTTGGTCCACACTTCAGAACCGCTTGCATGCTTCTTTGGCATAATCGCGAGGACGGAAATAGTCACAACTAATCCGCACATTGAAAAGATCAAGGCAAGTCGGTTTATCAGGGGGATGAAACGATTTCCGAGACAGACGATCCCACAACAGACCCAATTGACTAGCTGAAAAACAACGAAAACTTGCCATGTATGCCATTTCATTCCCGGATTTTGGAGCATATACATAGCCACGACCTCATTTCCCAGCATTGAGCTGATAGACGATGCGGAAAGCAGCCAGGCACAGGCATTGAGGTAGGCTGTAAAAAATCCAGCAATTCGTCCGTGTTTCTGGCTCAACACAGATGACCAGTAGTAAACTCCTGCAGCGGATGGCATGGACGAGGCAAGCTCAGAGAGAGAAGCGGAGATCAGCGTGTAAAAGATACTGACAAGAATAAGACCATATAGAACTGCCATCGGGCCCCCATTCTGCAGAGCCGTAACGATAGTACCTCCTGTTGAGGCCCAGGAGCTACTTTCTGTTAGCCTCTTTATATCTTTCATGCGGTATTCAGAATCGCCAACTTCGCAATGGTAATCCCTAAGCTAGCTAAGCTGAAGAGATCGAAATTTCGGACTAGCTCTTGCTTGTGTCCTAGCGACTCTAACCGAGCTGCATCCATCGTGTTATGTGGTCGAACAGATGAATGAATGTGTTATCAATGAAGTTCGAGACTTCTGCCCTGCAGTGCATCAAAAGCGAGGTCACTGAAATTGCCAAAGTAATGATTGAAATGTAACCAATGGATCGGATTTTCTCTCCGTAACTCAAGTAAGGGTGCCAGATGGCAGCCACGTGAGCTGAAATGAGTTTGATATATGTCTATAGGCCCTCTATAATAGCATGCTATAAAGACTCCGAGGCGCAATATTACGGAATAGTCAGTTGTGAAGAGAAAGGGGCATGCCTGATCCATTGAAAATGGTTGCGGTAATCAAATAGGCGAATGAATTGCCCCCGATTGATGTAAGGGGTTCGAGAATTATAACCCGTGTAGATTTGTGTAAACTTAAAACGTCTTAATACCAAGATTTTGCTTTACAGGAGGGGTGGGTAGTTTGTAGTAATTTACACGAAGTTGTCGTGATTGGCAAGACCGAAATACGTGAGCATTCTATATGTCCAACCTTTGCTTCTCCTTCAAACTGCTTCGTGCTTCTCTAATATTTGGCCTTAGCTCAGGGAGGGTTTCTAAATATTGTTGTTCTTGTCTCCATCTTCCCCAGAGACATCATCGTCGTATCCTATCCTCAGCTGATGCTCCCTTGAGAACCGGACTGTCTGCCAAATTATCAATGCAACTAGAGTCGAGTTTGCAAATTTCAAACAATGTGATAGAGTGCATCCTTCCATTCTAGCAAGTTCTGCTCTTCAGGTTCAGTATTTCCAAGATATATATATCATACTATGAACTATCAGAGCCATGTACTGCTATTTACGGCCATCGGAATCGAAATACATGGAAAAGACTGTCCAGTCGCGTGGGACAGAATCTGCTAAGAGTAAAATAATCAGAATGAAAGAATGCTTTACTCCCGCCAGCTCTCTCAGTTTGTCTTTTTGCATGGTTAAATCAAAACTTCTCTTCAACAAACTTCGATTGCACATTCCTTGTGTTTTACTACATTCAAGCCGACAGTCAACAAATACAAGAAAGTGGTTTTCCGAAAGCGAGTCAATGGATTTATCGCAAATTTCTCCGTTCTAGGCACTCATGATATCCTACACGCAACGTGCTTCCTCACCGCCGATTTAGAGTTGGCAGGTTAGAATCTCGTGCCAGCTTGAAAAATGCAAAATCCGGGATCAAAGCTTGATCACAAGGCTCTTCCGGTAACTTCGAGACGGACCGTGCTGGTTTGGGTTCTATCAGTTACGATGTTAATGCTTATTTCGATGCATTCCAGGAGTAACAGTCTCTACACCGGCGCACTCCTATGGCAGCGACACTCGCCGCCAAATAATGAAAGCGCTGCACTTCGTACGCAGGGCAAAGATCTATCCCTTATGCAGGGTCACGTATCTCACGATACGTGACCAATGGCTGGAACTATCATATGTGGCACAGCAATGCAGGTTGGACCATTCTCTAGTTCAGTACGTCAATGTCTAGAACATACAGAACTTACGGGCCTCGCCCCATCAAGCAAAGTTTGCTGATTGCCATTCTAGAGGTCAATGTTCGCTTAAAAAAACCCAAAGAGTCGAGAAATACAGATATAGTTTTGCCTGGCGGCCCTCGCTGCCTGCGGCATTCCGAACGATATTAAGATTACCCTCGAATGATCAAATTCCCCCTTGTTTTACAACGGCATTCGAGGATACGTGGCAGATGATTTGACTGGATGCATGGACTAGATCGGGTATGCTCTGTTCGGACATGCGCTACAAGATTCACTACACCTGCGCAGGCCTGTTTCACACTTAACTCGAATGCCATTGCGCGGCATCTGGCGACTACATGGGGTCGTCGGTTGATGTCCGCCACTGTTGCGGGAACCCCTTGCGCGCTGAGCTCTCCATCCCCTTGCTTCTGCCGCCCGGCACGATCAAAACACCCATGCGTAGTGTATCCTTATAACTAACAGTCAAAAATGCTAATAAGCGAGAATCAAAAGGGGCTTGTCCAAGGACCAAGGAGATTTTGTCCCTCTTTCGACCAACTAGTATTGGCCTCTTTAAGCTCGACGGAGTCCATTTCGAATAAATGTATACTAATACAAATGCACTTTGCCTCATCCAGAGGGGAATCAAGTTGCCTTAGTTGAGCGGCCTTCTAAGTTATCGGCAATATGGGGAATGTGTCGCCCACCCCCCGTCAGCTTTTTACCGAGGCTGTCGTTTTTTGGAGTATTGCCCTTTTCCTATTCATTGGCAGAATGTACGTACTAACAGTGCCCTTATACATCTTACGCTGACGAGCTAGGGTCTCTCGAGCGATTGGAACTGGTTCTATCAAGCGATTTTCGTGTATGCCAAGTTCCTCACCCCCAATATAAAATGGACGGATTCTGAATAGATGAAACAGTTGATGACTATGTCATGACTGTAACTTTTGTGAGCTTCACTTGAGAGTTTATCGATTATGCAGGCTAATGCCCTTCACATCTCAGTTGGTCTATACTACCTTGTTGGTTCTGATCCAAATATCTGCACAACATGGCACAAACCTTTTTCCTTCGGAAGAGCTGCAACAAATCATAGCAGATCCCCATCAAATTAAAGACCGAATATTCGGAAGCAAGATCGTCATCGGCCTGGAACAGTGTATGTTGTTCTCGACATGGGGCGTCAAGATATGCATGTTGAGCCTGTTTTGGCGGTTGACCGCTAATATCCGCTTCTGGCATCTCTATATCAAGATCATTGCCGCTTATGTAGCCGTCGGCTTTGTTGTGATCATGGTAACTTATTACGCAGTGTATTGCAGACCCTTCCAACAGTATTGGCAGCTCCCTGTGGAGAATATGCAATGTGCAACTTACCGAAACTACTCCATTACTCAGGCTGTCTTTAACATCTCTTCGGATGCTGCCATGCTAGCTGTGCCTGTCCCACTGCTTATGAAGACTCAGTTAAAGGCAAGGAGGAAACTCGTATTGGTTTGTATTATGAGCCTTGGGGTATTCACAATCATCGCGGCAATCCTCAACAAAGTCTTTAACTTCGCGTCACCCCTGACAACTACTTATCAAATCTGGTACATCCGCGAAGCAAGCACAGCAATATACGTGGCAAACTTGATATGTTTATGGCCACTCCTACGCAAGTTATTCGGCCTGAAGGCATTTCAATCGAATAGTAGGCAATATCGGCCACAGGGCGCACAATTTGTCAAGGAATCCCCTGGCGCCTCACAGTCTGCGGAGACTACGGCAAATAGTTCGCAGCCACGACTGTCACTTTCAATCCCACGTCTTTCCTTGAACAGACTAGGAAGCGGGAAGATGGTCAGAAGCATCGTGCCAAAGGCGCTTGAAGAGCCATATGCAAGTCAGGTAGAGAACAAATGGCCGATCAATTGCCAAGATTCGAACCAGATGGTGTCCTATGAGAGACACGGGCAGAAATCTGTTCAAGGTGACAAGCATGCACTATGCGATCTTGAGGCTGGAAACATTGGGCTTATCGATTGCCCCTCTAGCCTGAAGCTTGGGCAACGGAACCCGGCTTAGACATGGGTCTTCTTTTAGCCCCAATGTATAAATACCTAGGTATCAGCTGTGACAGCCCTCGATCTCTAGATCAACCTGCATATAGTCCCTCAGACGGGTGATCGGGAATATATGTCTGGTGATATAGTGGGTTATCCTGAGCAGCATATCAAAGATATGTGGATATCGAAATCATCTCAGATAGTCCGTGGGAAAACATCGCTTCTGATCATTGCTGCCCTTGGAGCGGCCAGGACGGTTGACGTCTGTGCACCTGTCCCCTCCCTATTACTCGAGGCGTCATGTCCACAAAAGCTCTTATTGCACAGAGGGCAGCTTGCACGTCGCCTAGTGAGCCAAGGGTCCACGCAGGAAGAGTGAAATATGTGCCCACATGTCAGTGGTCGGATATAGGTTTCGCCTTCGAAAGAATCCATACAAATGGCGCACAGAAAACCGGATTCGCTTGGCTTGCAAGCTTCAGCGTCGCTCTCGTGCTCGCAAGCATTCCCAAAGCCACGGAAACCGCCCTCTACCTTGTTGCCTGTTTGAGTGATTGGAACATCTTCAACAGCGCCAGTCTTCGTGGCATATTCTTGAGAAACAATTTCTCCTTTTCCCTTGCCTTCGTGGCCATTCCTGGAATCGTCCGACACGCAGTACAGAGACCCGCCAGTTTCCTTCATCATCCTCTCTTTTTTACTCTGAGCCGCCCACCAGTCGCTATATTTCACCAACGGGAACTTCTTGTCGACATCACCGCTCGATATTATCAAAGGACCTCGTCGAAAGGGGACGCTTTCCAGATCCAAAAAACGAGAATTCAGTCGGCCTCGGCGAAAATGGCGGTACCTCAAACCAATAACCAGCCTGATAATATGGACGTCAAACCAACACATAGACATACACATGAGCACACACTATTCGCCATGGGGCAACATACCAAACACTTAGGACGAGCAGACCCGCGCAGACAGGCGCGAGGTAACCAAGTGGAGCTGCAGGAGATGGCTTGTCAGAATGATCCCCCATGACAGATTATATGACGCGATCACCCTCGGTTGGACACAAGAGTTACATCAATGAGAATGGTTCAATACGCATATGTTATGTTGTATCACCTCCAGGGTGGGTCGTTATATTCTTAGGGATGAAGGTTCGACAGCAGTGGAGAGAAAATGCAAACCAAAGGTCACCGCGTGAGCTGATGACATATGTATTATTGACAGATACCATAAATGGTAAATCAGCCAAGAATCAACCCCGCAGGCTGCTTGACCATGGTTCGTGGGCTTAAGTGTCCCTTTAAGCTGCGTAGCAATCAAAGACCGGGATGCTGATTGGGTTATCCGACAGCCTTGAGCTCACTCCAAGCTCCGGCCCATGGTCCGTCCAGCTGTCATGTGCCATCAAGTCTGGATTTCTCACATGCAATCAAATTTCATTAATGTTTTGTTCATGATGGTGTGCTATGTGAGCTTCCCAAATTATGAGAGTTGCTGTGAGGTAACTGTCATAACACGCGTGACCTTAAGAAAACAACCTGTCCGAAGAAAGGACACAATATCCAAATACTAATTCTCGATCTTTAAAACGGGATGAAAATAAACACGCCCCAGCAACCATATCCTGGAGAGCCGCACCTATACACTCACTATGGGTCTCATCGGGAATCTCTTCCTCCTTAGACTGGTCTATATGCCAGCTAATTTTTTAGATATACAGTGTATTCACACGTTCTTCGCTCGTTTGAACTGCCTACGGCGCCAATTTTTTTTGGCTTATATGCCATAGACAGAGCAGGGCCTACTTACCATATTAGTATGTATCATACAGGATATGAATGTAGAGAGTGTATATCAAATAATAGATGGCATTTACTTACCTTCTTGCCCTTGGACACGGCTTAAGGCGGCTGTTGCTACTGCTGCTGCTGTCGCCGTTGGGCTTGCTGGAGGTTATTGGTACACATGCTAATCAATATTCAATAAAAAGCTTACTGTAATGACATATTGCCTTTCTGGTGGCTAAACAGAAAATAGAGTTAACTGACCCTTCTAGCGCGGTAGATATATTCAAATGCGCATACAACGGTGTGAAGGTTGATCCTATGTAAAGATAGGAGGAACCGTAGAATTGGCTCGGCCAGGGTTGCACCGAGCTTTTGCCCACCATTTGATAGTAACCTGCCACCGACAGCTCGTAGGTGTGCTCTTCGAATGCTTTCCTCATCTCCATATACATAAATATCCGGATAGACCCTAGTCATGCTCTGTCTATTTCGCTTCTTGTACCGAGTATACTACCTGCCAATGCGGTAAGTCGTGTAAATTGCTGTTGTTGTGAGAGGCCACGCCTTCCCCGATTTAAGCATCCTCTGCTAGCCTCAGGCTAGAAGTAACAATCTTGTTTAAAGGTGACGCACCGGAGAGTATTCGAAGCATATCATAACGTACAACGCACAGGTGCTATTCTGCAAACTTCTGACATGGGATTTAGCGACTGACAGGAGCTTGATTCGGTGCCATTTATCCCAATCAATTACTACCGGCTTCCGCTCTTTTTGCTGTGGCTATTATGGGGTTATAGATACTTAGGGGAGGTTCTGCTTGATTGTATCGTGTCTTCATCAAGGTTATAATGAGGGAGGTACAACGTCTAGGGGAAACAAGAGCTTTAGTAACCTTCATAGCTTTGAATATGAGTCTGGTTGTTTCTTCTGCTCGATATCTGGTCATCTGATGCCAGTATCTTCCGATACTGGGGGTGGGCAATACAAAGCATCTCAAGTCTCTGGACAATTAGAAACACCAAGTCTAGGGATACATCTCTTATTATTACGTAGTAGACTCTCCTCCAACTACCTAGCACTGCCAGTCTGCTTGACGGGGGCCTCGCTTTCCCGCTACTAAGTTTAGAACTATATAGACTAGTGCGAGATACTACGCAAGCTATGTACAGAATTCGCCAGCCCTTCCAGCTCGATCCCCTCCACTGTTCTCTGTGGACCAGAAATTTGCTGCCTGTGCCATCCCAGTGTCTCCATAGATTTGATGTATCAAATCTCCTAAGTAACACTGGTGAAGCAGTGTTGCTACACTTCAATTCCAGTGACGCCTATAGAGGGTACAGCTGATGAAGAGAGCGCTTCTGAACTTCGGCAACCAAGGACTCCCATGGAGTGGATGTGTCAACACTCCCGGCATGTTCTAGTAGAGCGTGATTTCTTCTCCAATTCCGTTGTGACAGGCTCACGTGAAGAAGATATCTGTCACAATCTCCTGGATGCAATCTATTATGTGGAGCTCTGGACAAAGTGACACAGTCTCTTGCTTCAAGCACCCATATGTCTGGATCTAACCAGACACACATAGAGCTCAAAAGAAAAGACCTGTTCATCCTCATACCAAGAGCTGCCGTGGAGTGGAAATCTTTGCTTCGGGTACATCTAATGTAGTGATACATCTGATGTTGTGAAGCCGACAGAGATCAGATACCTCCCTCGGCTTTTTTCATTCCACGCTTGACGAGGCACGTGAAGGGACGTTGGAAATTGAGGGGGTCAGCGTCTGGAATGTTGCGTAAAGGGCGGCTGGTGGCGAAAAGAAGAGCAGGAAAGAGATAACAGAGAAGGGTATGAGGATGGAAAAGGAACAAAAATGTCGCAAGATAGAAAGAAGAATAAAATAGAGGCAGAGAACGTGGCAGGGAAAGAGGTAAAGGAGAGGAATACAAAAGGTAAACGCAAGAGGTGGTAACAGAAGGGTAAGGTATTTACGCTGGTGGAGTGGGGGTGTTGATTATGAGGAGCAGGAGGCGAGGAGATGGATGGAAAAAGATGTGGGTGGAAAGAAGACGAATAGGGGGTTAACAGAAGCCTTTATACCAGAGCCAGCTGACAAAAAAAGGAAATGGCAATGTCACCTGTTTTTGCTAGGTATATTCACTGACAATTCTATACTCACCAACAATCTGCTATTGGGGGAGCCTAAAAGCAGATCAGCTTTCCCCCAGGCTTTCCTTCTACAGTATATCTCTTTTATGTATGTTTACATTATGGAGAGGGAGATGATTTACAAGTGGGTACTGAAGAGGTGCGTCTTGAAGCTAAACAGTAGTTTCAAAGATAGCAAATGCAGTAGCTTTAAATAGAGTTCACATGAACTCACCTTATAAAGGCCTACACATCACTTGAAGATTGCTTCTAATACGTATCTCAGATCCCGCAATTATTGGAGTACACCATGAGGGTTAATGAACAGAGCCTGAAGAAGCTTGTACGCGGAGGCCCGGCTAATTTGCAGGCCTCTGCCAGACTCATATCTCAACAGGGAGCGCGGTCCCTGGATGCAAAGCACGCCACCCCTGCTCTCTACTGATCACTAATAACTTTAGAAAGCCAGTCAGCATTATCTTAATGGTGGTATTTTACTCTTTATCCACTCCCACTTCCGCTGCTAAGCCATTGTTGGCTTGGTTAAGCAGGATTATAAATGGTATGCTTGCAGTGTTAGATAGGGCAATACAGGAGACCAGTATATCCAGTCCCAGATATATACACCATTCAACGTCCGGAAGGGAATATTGGCTGATCAGATAGCAGCCCCATTTTTTACTTAATGGCCTATCTCATTGTTCTTTCTGTTTTCTAATTTAGCAGCGGATTTTTCCCCTCAATGCATTTATTCAGAGACTTCTGACTATCTCTATAGGTCTGTACCACTATCAGTTGACTAGATAGATGTGTGTATCTACACTTAATGAGGGCAATCGGTCTACTAGTAGGTGGAAGCTATCCAAGAAAATTCTTGTCTCTGTACAAGACTATAAAAGCTATGCAGATGAAATAGAACCTTTATTTAACATTATACGTGTGTAGACCATGATGTTCACCAACACGTGACCTGCTGCCTCCGTTGCTTGCCCTAACAGTAACAACACGGTAGCCTACAAGACAATGTGATATATGCCTTCTGATGCATTATATATTAGAATGCCAATATTTAGTACGACTAAATAAAAAAGTAAGCCTAGGGAGTTATTACCATTATATATAGAGGTAATAAATACCCAAAAAAAAAAGAAAAAAATTAGCATGTCTCGGTTTCGATCCGAGGACCTCCGGGTTATGAGCCCGGCTATATTTGGATTAGCATTTTTATTCTGCCAATTTTCAATTATGTAGCAAACTTACCGCTCTTCCCCTGAGCTAACATGCTCTGATTGGTTGAAAAATTCAAATGCATTGAATTTATATTCACCTTTTCAATGAAAGTCATCCAATCCAGTCCAGAGATGATAAACCTGTCACGGGTAAGCCTTAGGCTTAAGGCCACGATGGCATGTCGCGATACTATATATACCGCGCTTGTGTGAGATCAACTCCGATCGGAGATGATCATAGTAGGTCTTTTTACCTAGTGGAAAGATCTATTGTATCGAATTGCTAATCCCAGGAGGAATCCTTTACAAGAACACTGTTGAGCTGTGTAACAAACCCTGAGCTAACATGGTCTGATTGGTTGAAATTTACTATCTTAGTATATACTTGTAATAAAATGCCAAAGGATCTGCTATGGCACTGCTGCTAGGGTTAGTTGATTTACTTGGGTCTTATCTAGCTGGTTCCTGAGACTATTTAAAATGGATAGAAAGTTTTATATAACTCATGATTATCCAATATATATTTAGGTAGAGGTGTAAATATTGCTAAGCCCTAGCAAAAAATATTTTAGCACTGGGGTTGCGGCCAGGACCGTCCAGTACTAACGGCCCAACACCTGTCACCAACAGGAAATTAGGAATCCATATCACGAGAGCCTATCTGTCTGGTTCCTGCCTGAAGTATAGGGATACATGGGCGCCGAACTAGGCCTCAGTTATATTGAAGGCTATGGCTTACAGTACCCGCTGCTAATGGTATGCTCTACTGCGTGATGGGAACACAGAAAGGCTCAGCCGCCCAGACTGTATCTGGAGAAGCAATCATACCATGGAGAGATGGACAGAAACAATTAGTTGGGGCATATGAAGTGTCACGGATTAGATGGTGATCCAGTCTAAGGACTCTTAAGGTACTCATTGTCTGATATGCATAAGCAATTCGGCTATTGCTGAGGAATATCAGACCATCCTCCAGTCATATTTTTAATGAAGGATCCGCACACAATATATGGAGAATCTCCAGCTTTAAAAAGGTTTATTATTGTAAAGGCGGAAAAGTAATTCCTGTTCTAGAAATACTGTATATCTCTACTTCTGATCACCCTAGCGTCTTACCTAGTTGACAGTATTCTATCCCGTATACTTCTTGGACCTGACATAAAGAGTCCTTAATGTATAGTACTTGTAATACGGCATATTGTAGATCCATAGCAGGCAGATCATTGGTATTGGGTGTGGTTACTATAAACACTTTACAGACCAAGTATACAATAGTTGGCACATGTATATAATTATGCAGCCCAGGCTAGTGCTACAACTCCGTCCATGGCAGAAACATATCCCCTACCCCAAATAGCTGTAAGAAATCGGTACCTGCCCACTAATATCCAACAATGAATAATTCATAGAGTATACGAGTCCATCTAACTTCCAAAGATTAGTTTACATGGTGGACATGTGACATGTTGCGACCTATGTGTTACTCTTGCTGCTGTTAGGCTCACATCCTTAGTCCTTACCTAGCTGCCTAGTTTTATACCCTTACAGTTAACCTTTCATAGGTGCTGTTAGCTCAAGAACAGCTATATTGCCCAAGCCTCTCAGGTTGACGAATGCGTGATGTTGATTATCCGTACTACATACATAAGAAATCCAGTTAGTAAGCGGATCAAATAACTAAACTACAGTACACTGTTGTAACCTAAAGCGTTGCCTCACCCGCAGAACCACAGAACGAGAGCGAAAAGTGCAACGTATTAATAATTTAATCCTAATGGTCCAGCTGAGCCTGATGCACTGCTTAGGCGCCCTGGGTTTAGCGACAGTCTACAATGTCGCTTATTGAACCTGATCGGGCCTGAACCGCACGTTGAACATCTCCGCCATCGCCAATTCTCTCATATGTGCTTGTGTGTAGTATGTATGAGGGGGTGCGAGGAATTAAGGGGCTCGATAGCTTCATTTAGGCGACGTACTTATGTGTGTACAATAGCGGATATAGTAGCCGTAAGCCAAACGCACGGGCCGCACGAAAAGGTGGTGCAGAAAACTCCCTGGACATGAACCTTTTCCTGTAGGTATCTAAATGCCCAACCGACACGAGTTATAAAGACCTGTCATTGACAAAGTATCTGATCCAATGTGCTATCAGGCTATTGGTGTTGCTTTGAACTTCTCCACGATAAGCTTCTGAATCCCGTAAATTATATTCTAAAAATATTGTTACAATACAGTACCGGAGTCTTACTCGATCTACTCGTAATCCCCTAGCCTACCATAATATTACTCTGTACGGACAATGAATAGACTGGGAGACTCCACTCCTTACTTCCTCGTCTTCTTTTCTGCCGTAGATTTTCTGCTGAACTACTTTCATTTGTACTGAATGATCTCATCCTCACTCGCCTCCATATATAAACGGACGCTGATCTTGTGTAGCGGGGGTTGGTTGAATGCCAGTGCTCGCTCGGCGCCTGTCATCTACCATATCTTCGCCGAGCCTGGCTCAGCCTGCCCAGCCATCCGCCAATTCCGCTGGTGTCACTTTTGCCTAAAATCTACAGAGGACATTCTCTCTGTCTTACCTGTCTTGACACGCCAACCATGAATTATACATTCATCGAATAGGCCCACATTCCGCATGTTGACTTGCTAAGAACCAACTGGTCAAGGTTCTTTGAATCCCTTTCTGGCTGGGATTGCCGAGAATGTATATCCCTCGTCAACATGGACGGCTTGTCGCCCGTCTCAACGAAACGGTTGGCGCAGACAACAATAAGGAAGCTCGAAACGACACTGCACACAGGAATAATATCTTTATCATCGTAAGTGCATCTCCCGGAGGGTTTAGTGATCGAGTTCGGTCTCGATCTTTTTCTCCGACTTTGCTGACAAAGTCATGTGGACAGTGTGCTGCGTGCATCGTCTTCGTATTAGCCCTCATTCTGATGACTTATTTTACCTTGCGCGCCCTTCGTCGCATGAACTGTCGCCCCAAATATATCCCCGGAAAATTTTTGAAAGACAAATGGAATCGATGGCATGTTGGAGCATCGTACGGTCAGGTTCCGAATGACGGATCATCGTCGAATCGAGATGAAAGCGGTTCAAATAGCCGGCCTACACAGGGACCATCAGAAATGAATACTAATAGTACAGTTCGCCGGGAAACTTCAATCCGCTCTATCATCACACTTCCCCCCTATTCATCAAGCCCAAAACCTACAGAGCAGGTCATTGCGCGAGAGGGGGAGCGGGGTGGTATGGATGTCGTCGTCGAATTCCCTGAGACTGCCGAGGAAGAGGAGTCGCGCAGGGAGGAAAGAATGGAAGCTCTATACCAAGTCCGCCAGCAACGGAGACAGGAGATAGCCGAACGGGAGGCCCGACGAGAGGAGCGTCGTGACGCCCGTGCCCGTGGAGATTACATTCGTCTTGAGCAGCTTCGGATGGAGAGTCGTACTCGAGTACAGAGTCGCTCTTCTGCCAACGGTAGCAACTCTACTTTGTCTTCTGCGTTGAATTTGGCAGAACAACCAAGTCGAGGTCGGGACAGGCGTATTTCGAGTGTCAGCTATGCTGAGTTAGGTTATGTGCGACACGATGGATCGCGCATGCGCACTAGTTCGCCTGATGCGGATTCTCGCCCTCTCCTGTCGAACGCTGCTACTATGAACACCGACACTTCCAACCGTTCATCCACATCAAGTTTGACAAACGTACATTCGCGGGGCGAATCCTACTCATCTGCCAATTCCACAGCAACTGGTGGATCCGAACAAGACGCCTTGACCCCGGTTCAATCACACGCTGCTTCTACCCGCTCTATGATTCCGAGCACCGGTGAAGTGGATGTGGGAAATCTTCACATACCTCCTCCGGATTACGAACATTTGGACTGGGGAGATGCGCCCCCGTATGAAAGCCCAACTGCGGAGCGAGGTAACCACCCGCACTTACGTGAACTGACTCCTCTACCAACAATCCAAATCGAGCTCGCCAGCCCTGTGAACAACACCCCTACGACGCCAACTAATCCCCGTCATGAGGAACATAGCCCATCAGAAAACCGAGATACGCATCGTGAATCTTAGCCTTATTTCACCTACTTATGTCTCTACTTAGTCAATATTTTGTCTATTATTCCCTGACATCACCTACACCAACATTACGCCCTAACGATGTTTAGTTTTTCATGTATAGCTGCTTTATTGTTATCAATAGTGCACTCTCGCTCTGCCTTTTTATTACTCATCTTCTTCCCCCCCAGGACCTTAGTTTTACTTCAGCTAGCGTGGCGTTCAGGTGGCATTGTTTACGGTTCTTATTCAAACCTCTGCATGTATATAAAGAGGAGCGGTTTGTATGATTTTACTGAGCATATAAACGAGGAGAAATGGATATAGCCAGAGATTCTGCTTTTTATACATTTCAATTTGACAGTTGTACAGAGTAGTACCTGGAACAGTTGGAGGCTAGACGAAAGGCGGTCGCACCGATGGCAGTTGGACTCCACCCGAAAGTAAACAAACTACTAGCCAACAACTCAACCCAACCACCTCAATTTCAACCCGCCAGATCCATCTCGACGCAATTTACACGTACAGTGTATTCAGTCATGCCATTGAGTTGACTGCAGAAACCCTTGAATTACTACCGCATACATTGCACCCAATTAAAACATAAATTTCTCTTGTGTTGAGTATCCCTGCTCTCCGTTGGGACTTGGAAGTCGCGGTGGGCGACGCGCCGTCTAAGTGTTCCCGGCATTCCGCTTCGACACTTGACGTTTGGAGCGTCTTCATTTGATGGCTCACACGGAATCGTATCTATCATTGTGCTTAATCCCCTACCTTAATATCGCATTCGGATACTCCATTTCACGCCTACAATCATGTCGCGCGAGCACACTGCTAACAGTTTCGCGTCATTCGGGTCGGACTTCGACCTTGAGCACGAGGCCTTCGCGTCCACCAAAGAAGTCGGCCACAGCCCTAAGCTTCCGGATATGAAGGAAAACTTTGGAAACTCTCTTCGTGAATCTCATCATAAAGAAGAACCCGACTACGCTATCAACTCCTCGATGCTAGAGCGCTACTTCCCCGAATTCTCGCAGGCTGGTTCTTCGGAGGAGGATGAGATCGCCGAGGACGATGAATTCTCTGTAGAAGTAGGAAGGGGAGCCTCAAAACCCGCGCGTCGGCTGGACGATTCGCGAAATTCATATATGAGCATTGAGAACAGTGTCCGGTCTTCGTCTCCCGCAGTGAGACTCGACTATCCTACTTTTACGCCCCAAAAGCCGGCCATGCGCAACACATCACGAAGGGCAGTCAGCGAGAACCTTCGCAAGGATGCTCAACTGAGGCAGGCTAGTCTCGCTCAGAAAGAAAATGTGGACCCGCAGACCTCCAAATCCAAGTCCAATAGCCAACGACGGACGCTATCCGACATGCATGCAAAGGTACGCGACTCATACGATGGCTCTTTTCTCGGCGATGAGCGGCCACCGGCAGCCGCGAACAACGCGCGTGCGACGCGCTTTGGAAGTCATCAGATCGCCGATGCCGTGGAACGAGCGTCACAGGAGGCATATGCTCGAGAGATTAGAAGAGGGAAGCAACCCTCCAATTCGCGGCTGGCATATATGAATACGGCTGGCGATACTGCTACTCTGCAGTCGTTCCTTCTGCCCGATCTTCCCAACCTTTCAGAATTAGTTTCAGGCGTTTACGAAGACGGCACACCGGTTTTTACGCGTCAAAACCGGACACGCACAACACGTTTTGTTTCGCCTCATGATGCTACCGACGTGTCTTTGACGCGTGACCATGTCCCCCTTGACGCTGTCCCAATCCCGGAAGATGAGAAGGCCCTGTTTGTATCCCTGAGGCTCCTCCAGGATAAGGTCTCGGAGCTTGAAAGAGCTAAGGCGGAAGCTGAAAGGAAGATCGAAGAGGTTAAGAGCGAAAATGCGTCTCTCAAAGCAGGCAAACCCCGCCCGAAGGATAAACATAGCCGGGCGAAATACGACACCGACGACGATGACCACCGGAAGGATCGCTTGACTAATGAGAATCGAAGTCAGTATTAATTCCGCAAAGTACCTTTCTTCTAGCGCTAACGCACTGCAATAGAACTTGAGGCTACCAACTTGGCTCTGCAGAACAAACTGGACGTTGTAGAACGCAAGGTAGAAATTCAGGAGGCGGCGTTGAAGAGACTAAACCGGGAACGAGATATGGCGGTCTCTCAACTAGGGGTAGCTTACCTTGAGTCTCAGGATCTTAAGAATGAGATTGAGGAACTTCGGCATGAGAATGCGGAGCTGAAGTCCCAGCTGGCGAAACTTGCCCCGTTCGCAAGGAAGCGTGAAGAGGCTTTACAATCAGAACAGACATCCGCATCCGAAGCAAGCACGGAGTCCAGCCAAGAAAATACTCAGCATAGTAAGAATGTGAGTCGGGGAACCAAGGAATTCACCAGCAAGAGTACACGATCGAAGGTTGGACGCCGGGAAGATTCCAAGGCGAGAATTTCCTCTCAGGTTGACAAGGAGGTTTCACGACTTGAGAAGGAGCGGGCGGATGAGGCCTTGTTCTCTATTGACGTATCGCGATCGAGGGAACCATCTTCATCCAGTGCCAGCAGATCAGGACAGCGCATCCAAGCCAAGAAACCGAACACGGGCAAGCAACGTGTTAAGCGAGTGGTCGTGGAAGAAGTAGACGTCACAGAGCCTGTCGAATCGACCGTTGATGCAACCGGGAACAGCAAAAAGCCCTCTGGTGCGGAGCAAGACGTGACATTGCTGAGCTTTATCGATGTAAGTAATGCCCGGGATTTTATCTAGTCGATCAAAAAGCTTACGTTGTCCATAGGAACGTGAAATTGCCCAGCTGCGAAAGACACTGGAAGAAGAGAGACTGGCGCGCAAACGAAGACAACCAAATACGTCAAAGGATCACACCTCAAATGAAACCGAGAATACAACTCGCCGAAGCGCGTCAAAGTCGACAGCGCCTCGGAAATCGTCATTGAAAGAACCCAAGGAAATCCCTACTAGGCCGGCCTCGGCTATGGGCGACGTGACAGCAACCTCTAAAGCTAGTGTGGGTGAAGGGGATAGTAACCTGTCAGGGCCTATCGAACGTCCTAGGCGACACTCGGACCATTCCGTCACCCCTCGCCGGAGGCGCCAGATTTCCGAAGATATGACGTCGGCATTTATCCTGCCCGACATCACGCTCTATCGTGCTGATTTGGTAGCTGAAAATCCGGCACGATTGCCCGAGTCCGCGCAGCGAGCACTGGATAGCGCTACCCAACATAATGGAAAGAACTGCACTGTGTGCAAGCGCTCCATTCCCGGCAACTCTTGTGTCCATACTCGAGAGGCAGTCAAGGTTCCTAAACCTATTCCAGTGTCAGAGCGTATGCCAGAACCTTCAATCTACAATGAAGAACCTACCATGCGACCTGCACAACCGCCAGCGGTTGCCCTTGCTACGGTACTCAAGGCTTTGGAGGACGAGCTTTCACATCTAAAGATGCAACTCGTGACGTACCAGGGGGCGTACAACAAACTGGACGCGTCATTGAGTAAGCGCCAGAGGAAATCGCTTTCTGCAAAGATCGAGAAGCTGTTGAAAGATGTCGACATGAAGGCCGACCAGATCTATGCACTATACGATGTTCTCGAGGGACAGAAGTCTAGGGGACAGGAGATGACCGAGCAAGAAATGGAGGTGACTCTCCAATCAATAGGAATTGATGTGGAAACGGCAAGAGCCGCTGATGTGACTGGTACGACTGATAAATCGGCACACAAAAATGCTGAAACAGACTACGATATTGACGATGATGAGGATCTTCCATGGGAAGGAATTGAGAGTACGATGGATGTGACGGGTGACAGCAATCGCAATTGACTGTTAGGATAATTGACTGGGTATTTGTTTTCCTATCCAACAACTGATTTTAATCCCCCTTTCTCCTTTCACTTTCTCCCTTTCCTCTTTCTTTTCCTATCTTTTTCTTCGTCTTTTTTTGTACTATTTCTCCCTTTTTGTCTCTTCATTCTCTCTTATCCTCCTTACTATCCTGACAAGTGGAAAGCACAGATCAAGCCAGGTTCAAGACGGCCTTGAATGTGTATGTCCCTGTACTGAGTGTCGTTCATTTTTTCTTTTCAGGCAAGGATCATGTCCGGCAAAAAGATCTGCTCATCTCTGAGCGTTGACGGTTCTCAGGATGCTCTTGGCAAAGGTCTTAGTTACTTGAGATCAGTCTGGGCGTTGATTGACCTCTAGGGTCTCCGTCAGACTTCGAGCTCGTCACTCGACCTTGTCCTCTCTTTATTTCGACTCTCATCTGTTCTCTGGAAATGGCGTTTCGAGTCTGGGTACATTGGTGTATGTTAGGCATTGTTCGTGTGTGTTAGGATTGGGTTTGGATATTTGCGTGTAATACACAATACCACTGTTCCTTGGGACCCACCCGTGACTCCGATCTGATAGCCCTAAATGGGTATAGCGTATATGTCGCCATGGTTTTGCTTAAATCTTCTTCCCCGACTAAACCAAAACCTTCCTTCCTATACAAAAGTCGCCACCGATTCCCTATATTTTATTCCCATACCTATCATTAGATGTCAATCTCTATCAAGCATAATTAAATACCTTCCACTATTGTTTCTTTTTGATGGGATCAAGTCGATTGCGTGAAATTCAACCTCGCCCTATCGACGATGTAGATACCATTATTACGAGCGAGAATAACGACTCTCAACTCCAGTCACCGCTAGAAGGCAATAATAGTTTGGCTTCCACACCTCGCAACTACGATGCCCTCGATGAGCATCATGATGATAGCGAGAGCGTAGATACTGTTATCTACGATGGTAATTCTACTCAGGACCGTTCGCTGACCGGCGCGTCCATAAGTCGCCGGCGTTCATATCCTCGGGGTATTTCCGATGATAGCGAAGACGACGACGACACTGACAATGATGCGGCTGAATCATCCAGCGAGAAACCAGTCACATGGAGCTCATTGCCTAAAAGGGGTCAACTTGCCATCCTGACTTTTGCTCGTTTGTCAGAGCCGCTGGCTCAGACGTCTTTGCAAGCATATATGTTCTACCAGCTTCGGTCTTTTGATCCCTCCCTTCCTGACTCGACTATCTCTGCACAAGCAGGCATATTACAGGGTAGTTTCACTGCTGCACAATTTGTGACGGCTATTTGGTGGGGCCGATTGGCCGATACTGAATGGATGGGCAGGAAAAGGGTTCTTATGATCGGCCTACTGGGGACATGTATTTCCTCCCTCGGATTCGGATTTTCAAGATCATTTGCGGTTGCGGTGGTGTTCCGAATCATAGGCGGTGTTCTGAATAGTAATGTTGGGGTAATGAGAACGATGATTGCTGAAATTATCCAAGAGAAAAAGTGAGTTTCTCACAGCGACTTAAGCGCCAGACATTTTAGTCTCAATTACAAAGCGATTAACAACCAATCATAGATACCAGTCTCGGGCATTTCTGCTATTGCCGATGTGTTTCAATATCGGTGTCATTATTGGTCCTGTGTTAGGAGGCATGCTGGCCGACCCCGTGAAGAACTACCCGCATCTGTTCGGACCTGGGTCGTTGCTAGGAGGAAAGGACGGTGTGGGGTGGATGCTACATTGGCCATTCGCCCTTCCCAATCTTCTCAGTGCCATCTTTATCTTCGCTTCGTTAGCGGCCGTGTTTCTCGGACTTGATGAGGTATGTGCCACGAAAGATGGTTAGGTTTAAGGCAGACTGCTGAACAAGCGACTAGACGCATGAAGTTACGCGACACAGAAGCGACTGGGGCCGCAAGTTGGGGAAAAGGCTTTCCAAAACCCTTTCCCGACGCCGTGTCCCTCAGTATTACCGTCCCCTTATCAACCATGAAGACGACGAATCTCTATACATCGATGGAAGCGTAGCTAGCAGATCAGTACGCTCTAGCCCAGTGCGCTCACGTATTCGACCTCATGGGGAACGTCCAGGCTTCCGTCAAATTTGGACGTCTAATGTTCTGCTCACCTTACTGGTACACTTCTTACTAGCATTCCATACTAGCGCCTTTAACGCTATGACATTTGTATTCTTGCCAGCCCCGAGAGCCTCAGAGGGTAGCCGAAATGGCTTCTTCCACTTTGGCGGTGGCCTCGGTTTGCCCTCCTCTCGAGTCGGTCTTGCTACTGCTATTATTGGGATCATTGGCCTTCCCCTGCAGATCCTCGTCTATCCTCGAGTTCAGTCCCGTTTGGGGACCTTAACTTGCTTCCGCGCTTTTCTGCCATTTTCGCCTCTATCCTACGCACTCATGCCGTTTATCGTACTAATACCAAGATTCCCGTGGCTGGTGTGGCCCGTATTTACTATTGTTGTGGGGCTTCAGGTTGTTTCTCGAACATTTTCCCTCCCTGCCGCGATCATCCTTGTAAATAACAGCGTTACGGACCCTCGTGTTTTAGGGACCGTTCATGGCGTGGCTCAAAGCATCGCTAGCGGCGCACGCACCCTCGGGCCTCTTATCGGGGGATGGGGCTTGGGGTTAGGATTCAAGAATAACATGGTGGGTGGCATCTGGTGGGCCCTGGCAATGGAGTCACTGATAGGTTGGCTCTTGCTGTGGTCGATTTACGAGGACAAGGGAATTGAGAAGAAGGATCAACCAGAAGAGGAGGATCCGCGATGAAGGGTTGATTTAGATGTGCATAGCATATACCACAGGAGCTAGACTGCCACGATCTCATGAGGTCTACGACATGCGCATAGGATACACACCATAGATACAATTCTATTTAATCGGATTAACACAACTCAGGTCATCAGTTCATATAACGTCATTAGCGCAAGTAGCCGATAAGACTCCTTGGTTGCCCACATTCGTGCTTAAACAGCATTTGGTCACTGGCCATACATCCTAGTATTCATTACCTTTCAATTTAAGATTAGCTAGCACTTAGAAAATCAAGCTCCAATGGCTGGAGTAATGAAAGCCTTGATCGCCTGCTTGGCATCGCCATTATTGGATTTCAAGAGCTCGGTCGCCTTGATTTTAGTCAAATCCAATTGTTCGACCTGCAGCCATAGTTGCATTGTCAGATGAGCCCTCTGATATTAGTCGAAGAACATGCAGCAAATCGTAGACGTACCAAGAGGTTAACATCTTCCGAGGTAACTTTCACAGCTTTCTTCCTCACCACCTCTGACTCCTTCTGTGCCTCAGCCGTCCTCTTCCCCGTGTCCTGCCCCGCAGCGATCTCCAACCGACTCATCGCCTTTCCCAATGCCTCCTGGTCCGCGGATGAAGGCGGCTTGGTGCCGGAGTCCGCGCCGATTTCATTCGTATTCAGAGAGGAAAGGGCAGCGGCGGCTTTGCGGTCTTCGGCATTTGCGGGGCGGTGCTGGTCAACAGCGTCTGGGCCAGGGTGGGCAGAGGGGATGGAGTCAGACATTGTCAGTGATCTTAAAGGGTGGGCTTAGTCAAAAGCTTATGTGGAGTCTAGAGTTAACTATGGGGAATTGGATCAGCAGGAACGGCAGTCGTTGAAGAAGTTGGATGTTTTGATAAGATGGAGATGGGGTTGATTGTGAAGGAATGACGCCGATAAGCCAATCTTAAACTTTCCCAGTGCCCGATTCGGCCTAGTGGCAGAATGGCAGAGTGGACAAGTGACTCAGGCTTGACCCCGTGAATAACCGGATTCGTTCATTTTTCTTCTTTGTGTTTGCCAATTCGTGTGACTCCTCGGTCAGTCAGACAATTATCATCTGGCAATCGGTTTGTTGAATTCTCAACAGAAACCCCATCAAATCCATCAGACTGTGTATATCGAATCATTTTGGTAGCCGTCGATAGTTAGACTCCACATCATGGATCCTTGGACTCCAAGCTGTGCGTCCTCCCGGATATGACATTTTCCCCTTCGTATATGTATAGCCGCCACGGAAGCTGACATTGTAATCTCCCCTAGCTTGGACTTCAAAGCCCATCAAGCAAGATGTCATTTACGATGACGCCGAAGGTGTTCAAGCATCTCTTGACAAGTTGCAGAAATTGCCTCCTCTGGTGACCACACAAGAGGTATTCCTCGTCGATATCCATTGTCCTGGGATATATGGCTAGTAATGTACTTATTGAATTAAACAGATCACCAATCTGAAGAAGAACTTAAAAAATGTGGCTCTGGGCAAGGCATTTGTTCTCCAAGGAGGTAAGGCCCTCAGCCGTCTATTAATGCTGAATGAGAGGCTGACCCCAGTAATAGGAGACTGTGCCGAGCTGTTTGACTACTGTACCCAAGATATGATCGAAGCTAAAGTAAAGTTGCTCTTGCAGATGAGCTTGGTTTTGATTTGGGGTATGGCTTCACAACCATTCTGCCGTTGACCAATATTCACAGTATCTAGGTGCCAATAAACCAGTCGTCCGTATTGCACGGATCGCAGGACAGTTTGCCAAGTGAGTATTGTTATCCTATCTCTAGGTTAAACCCTACATCAGAATGGCATCGTATGAGTCTAACATTACCAGGCCACGGTCGAGTCCTATGGAAGTTGTCAACGGCGTTGAGATGCCCTCGTTCCGTGGAGACAACATCAATGGCTTCGATGCCACGCCTGAGTCTCGCAATCCAGACCCGTCACGGCTAGTCTCCGCATACTTCCATTCTGCTGCGACACTCAATTATATGCGTGCGTCACTAACCTCTGGCTTGGCCGATCTGCATTCCCCACTGGACTGGGGACTCGGCCATGTCATCACGCCAACCATCAAAGAGGAATACGAGCGCATCGTCAACAGAGTCAAGGATGCTCTGCGGTTCATGCAAACTGTGGGGATTGACACCGACCGTGGTGTAGAAACAGTCGACATCTACACAAGCCACGAAGGTCTCCTACTCGAATACGAGCAAAGCTTAACCCGCCTCTTGAAGAACCCAGCCACCGAAACTAGTCACCCGGCGCAAGCCCCAGGAGCATTCACAGCTGCGGCGCCTCCTCAAAGTTACTTCGCTACATCCGCCCACTTCCTCTGGATTGGTGACCGCACCCGCCAGCTCGACGGCGCCCATATCGAGTTCTTCCGCGGCATTACCAACCCCATCGGCATCAAGATCGGTCCGAGCATGAACCCAGACGAACTTGTACGCATCCTCGATGTCGTGAATCCCACTCGCGAGATCGGTAAAGTTACTCTTATCTCCCGTTATGGTGCACAGAAGATCGCTCAGCACCTCCCCGGCCACATTGCGGCTGTTCAGGCCTCCGGCCATCTACCGGTCTGGCAGTGTGACCCCATGCACGGCAACACGCAATCCACGCCGTCTGGTGTCAAGACTCGCCATTTCACCGACATCCTTTCCGAATTACGCCAAGCCTTAGAAATCCACAGGGCTGCTGGCTCTTTCCTTGGTGGCATGCATCTCGAATTAACTGGAGAGGCCGTCACGGAGTGTGTCGGTGGTGCTGGCGGTTTGACTGAGGAGAATCTGAGCGAGCGGTACACAACATTCTGTGATCCACGGTTGAATGAGAAACAGGCATTGGAGTTGGCATTTTTAGTGGCTGGGTTCTACCGCGAAATGGACGAAGAGACAAACTCGATCTAACGACAGGGTATATTTCGGATATGTCTTCTGCTTAATTTACCTTTACAACCGCCTACAATTCAAAAGAAACAAAAGGCACGAATAAAATGATTATGGGAACGAAGGAAAAGTCAATATTTTGTATCCAACAACATCCTGGACCCAATCCAAGTGATTACCACCAGACAAGGACAGGACAGGAGAGTATCCATACAGATCAAGTAACCTATTACGCAAACCACTCCATAGCCTTCTTGATACACCGACGAAGATCCCGATCCATGGCTGTGCCCGTAGCACTCATACCAACAGTATTCATATAATTCAACAAACCCTCCGACACCAAGTGTTCAAAGTCATGAACATTCATCTCGATCTGCACATATTCCACCTTCTTCTTCCCCTTCTCTTTCTCCTCCTCCTTTCCTTTCTCAGCCTCTTTTTTCTCCTCACCATCACTCTCATCCTCACCCTTCTCCTGACTCTCACCTCTTACCTCCTTTTCCATCTCATTTTTCTTCATGTCATCCTTCTTCGTATAATTCCCACAACCACACCCCTCCACAACCTCCCTCACAATATCCACTACATCAACAACCGGGCAAGAAGCAAGCACCCTCCACCCCAAATCTTCAAAAACCTTAAACCTCCCAAACCTTGCCGCCCCCAACAAAACATCTACCAAAAACCCCTCATCAAGGTCCTCATTCCTCCACCCCCGAACCCGACAACGAGGATAGAACCCCATCAACGCCTCGCCACCCGCATCCCCATACCTCGACCAGCCGAACAACCCCCTCAAATCCAAGTCCAGAGTCTCGAAACCATAGTGCCAGCCCCGGAGGAAAGAGAGGTATCGTTCGTAGGGATAGAGGAGGCAGAAGAGGGCTAGGCTTGACATGCGGTGGGTGAGGATTTCCTTGTCCAGGTTGTCGGTTGGGGGATTGGTGGTTAAGGAGGTGTGGATTTTTTGGTCTTTCTCGATGAGGAGGTAAGTTGTTAGGGCTTCTGAGAGGAAGGAGCGGGGGTAGGATGGGGGGAGTTGGGAGTAAGTTTGGGAGTTGTTTTCGGTATACATTTTTTGTTTTTCTTTTTGGGATTTGGGTCTTTGTTTCTCTTTGAGTCTGTGGGGGGTGGTGGTGGGGAAGGGAGGGGAGGGCAGGGGTGGTTGTTTTATATAAGGTTAATTTGAGGCGAAGTGAATGAATAAGATGGGGGTAGTTATGTTGCAATGTTGCGTTGGGTTTATTTCGGCGTTGTACTAGAAGTATGCTTTTTCTCTCTAGTTTTGGGATTGTTAGGGGTATCATGTTGGAAACTGTGGTATATGCTTGCGTGGGCGGGTGTATAGATGGTGGTTTGTGATGGTTGACACGGTCTATCACCGCACCTGAGCAACTTATGGAAAACAAACTGAAAAATAAAGATATCCAATTGGCATTGATACAGTACAACATCAACTGCTAAGGGGTATGATAAAACATAATAAATGACCTGGTCCAGACCCAGCGCAATTCAAATGCACAGAGACAACAAAGAAACTAAAGCAAACGGATTATTCTACCAGCCGGTTACCAATCTTGGGCTTGAAGGCAAGGCTTTTCCGTCTAGCTGCCTCCAGTTTCGCCCGCAGCTTCTGCGACTGCTCCTCACTTGGACCTGAGTTGGAGAAAAGACCCTGTCGGAGTTGCTTTGGAGGACAAGTTTGTTGGACAAGTTTAGACCGCTGAGATAGGAAGAAAGGGGTGGCAGGAGACATGCCAATGGCGTCCATGTCGATAGTAAAACCAGGGGTTTTAGGTGTTTGGAAATATTTCTGATCTGCTTCCGGATGGCCAGCTCCAGACTTTCTATTCCTCTTTGGAGTTGAAGGCGCTTCGTGAGGAGTGGATGTGGCAAACCGCCCGGCATCACTAACAGCACCCACACCAGACCGTCTGCTACCCGCTGATGTTGTATCGGCTTGTACAAGAGTTCCGTTGATATTGCTGAGAGCGCGGGGCTCCATGCTCTTTCTGCGCTTGGCTCCACCGCGCGGGATAATTGAGCTATCAACGGTATACTGGGTCTCGTCAAGCCACTTGCTCTCTCTTTCGCAACTAAATCTCAGTTAGTACACGTGAAATCGCCAGCAGTTTGTTACGGGTGTACATACTCCAGAACCCAGCCGACACCTACACATTTGACCACACCTCGGGCGTGCCGAACCTTCTCCATAGTCCGTACACCACCGTCTTTGTATACAACATGGGTAATACCAACTTTGCCCTCCCTTGAGTCTGTCTGTTCATAGGGGGCCACGCTTGAGCGAGGATTCCAAGACCAATTCTTGATGCATCTGGCACCCATTTGCTGCAAAAGTTCCACAAAGATGCCACTTGCATCTTCTCCTTCGGTTGTATGCACGTCCACATACACGACAGCTCCTTGCAGAGGCCCTGTGTATGTCGGTTGGTAGATGCTGCTACGTCTGCGAGGTGACTTGGCGGGGCTAGGAGAACGTGGAGGAGCCTTTGCGCGGCCACCCCCTCTTGCTGTATCCTGAGCCCTGGAGCTGCTTCTCGATCTGTTCGGCTGCAATTGCGGCATGGTGCTATATGATAGTCTTGGCGCCTTGCGAGGCGGGTGGGAATCAAATGTCTCGTCTCGGGGAGGAATAATTGAATTGCGTAGTCTAGGAGAGGAGCGTGTTGGTGAAGTTATGGAAAGGGAACGGCCTCTCTTGCGGGACATCTTCAAAGGCGATATCTCTCCTTCTGGCTTCAAAGGTACCTTGGATACCGTATGGAATGTCTGCGTGGGAATGGTCTTCATTCGCACTGGCGTGACAGGAGCGGGAAGTTGAACATCATAATTTTCTTTGTCGTCCTCCAAAAGTTCCTGAACAGAAGCAGCCGGACGTACTGGACTCTCAAAAACAATGGAGACCCGTGTATCATCATGGGTCTCAACTTGATCAAGCTCTTCAGGATCCTGGTCGCTGAATATCTCAAACATAGGAAGTCCAGGAGATTTCTCTAAGTCTTCAAAAGCACAGCGACCCATTTCTGGCTCTTCCTGGTGACCCTCCTCTTCGGTGGCCGCAATATCATCATTCGGTTGGAGTTCAGCGACTGGGGATTGTGGCTCGGCTGAGAGATCAGGGTAAGATACATCTTCATGAACGCTATTGTCATCTCTGGGCCGGCTCAGATTACCCGACAAAGAGAAGATGCCTCGGCGCCCTGAACGCCTTGGCTCAGCCTTCTCAGGACTAGTCGCCTTCCACTGACTAAGTTGCTCTGCCAAGAGTGTGAAGCGGGGACGGTTACGCCTTCCTTTCTCTGAACTTGGAACATGAGGCTCGGGCTGAGGGGAGGGACGAACGTCCTGTGCGGAAATACTAGCGTCAGGTGTGAGATCACCGGCGCCAACGTTCATAGTTTCCTCTACATTATCGCGGTACTCTTCAGGGAAGCCGGGAGGCGCGAACGACGGAAAGAAGCTTGGAAACGACGGAAAGAAGATCGGAAAATGAGGAGTCGGTGGTTCTTCAATTTCGTAAGGGGTGAATACCTGAGGGGAAACCGTGCACTCTGTAGGCATCGGACTAGGGGTTTGTCTAGGCACTTGTCTCGGCATCGGTTCACGCTTTTCCTCAGATACCTGTCTAGGTGTCCTTGTAGAGGTCCTGCCCGGTGTCCGTCGAGGTGTTTGTCTAGGTACTCTCGGCGTGGGTCTCGGCATTTCCTCGGATATCTGTCCAGGCATCTGCCTAGATATCCTGCCCGGTGTCCGCTGAGGCGTTTGTCGAGGCATCTCTCGAGGCGCCTGACTAGGCGTCTCTCCAGATGTTCTGCCAGGTGTCCGTCGTTGAGTCCGTCGGGAAGTCCGCCCAGGCGTTAGTCTAGGCGTTCTCCTAGGGGTATCAAATGCCACTAGTGTAGCCTCCTCCTCATCGAATTTGTAATCATCGAGGACGTCAACTTCTTCATCATATTCGTTGTGAGCGTCAATGTTATGACTACCCACAGCTGGTGAAACCTGAGCAGGGCTCTCTGTCCCCATGACATCTCCGCGCACTTCAGTGGTGGGGCCTTCAGTGAAGACGTCTTCAAGCCCCTCAAGCATGCTTTCACGACTAGAGAACTCTATTGGCTCTTGCAACTCTTCGGCTGGGTAATCAGCCTCAGATTCGTAGCTCTGGTCTTCAGACTCATCACCATGTTGCACCTCGAGAGCAGCAATGTCCTCCTCTACACCCAGTGCCACTGGGTTCCTATCGTCGTCGGAAACTGGTTCAAGCTCTCCGGATTCACTTGCAGTCTCCATATCCGGACCAGAAGCATAGGCATTCTCCTCAGCGACTTCAAGACATACCGTGTGTTCTTGAGAGGTCTCTAGGTTGTATTCTTCAAATTGCTCCTCAACGTAGTCCTGCTGTGCATTGAGCCGGTCCTCCATAAGGATATTCTCAACAATTGCGTTTTGGCCTTCGAAAAGCTCATAGATATCTTCACCATATCCTTCGCTTTCAGCAGTACTGTCGCGATCCAGGGTAGCACGCCCCGTAGGCTCTTCAAAGTCGTCGGTAATATGTTCGGCGTCTACGTCAGGCTCACTGAGAATGTCTACATGGTCCACACCCATGTCTACTAGCACTTCTTCGCGAATGCCACCATCATGCTCCAAGGGCAGCTCGCGAATCTCGTCTTCGATCTCATTCTCAGGTGTATACGATCTGACCTTGGATTTGTCAACAACTTCAGCTTCAGCTTCAGCCTCAGGAGTTTCGGTAACACGTGGGTAAACTGGGGTTTCGTTGAAATATTCGGATTCTTCAGGCATTTCTATGGTCTCCTCCGAGTCATGCCTCCAAAAAGGGGACCCTGCGGCTTTGGAGGAAAGGACATTCGTCTCTTCGTCATTGTCAGAGTCAAACTCCAAGTGCTGAGTCACAGGTGATCTTTTGGATAGCAAAGAACTTTTGAACGGTGAGGCGACCCTTTTGGCAGGGCTCTGGAGTAAACTTCGTTTCAAAGGCGTTGAGGTTTCTGGTAAAGACGGCTGTGAGAATAGTGAAGCGTCAAAAATACCCTTCTTAGGTGACGATTTAAGGGGCGAGTTACGGCCAGGCGTGAAATTCGGCTGGGAGAGCGGCCTCAAATCATCATGAAAGCCAAAATCTCCACGTCTTGGTGTCTCTAAATTCGCTTTCTTAGGCGACAACTTGAGGGGCGAGTTGGTCGTTGGTGTGAGGTTAGGCTGCACAATAGGATTCGCATCGTCGCGCAGAGCAAAACCGCCGCGTCGTGGAGTCTCTCTGACAGTGTAGCTAAATGGAGAAGGGGGAGGTCGGCGAGCGGGACTAGACATGAAATTGGTATCGCTAAAATCAATCGACTTGGGTGGTTTGAGCGTGGGTTCTCCGTTCTCATCGACAGTTTTGCGAGGCTGTCCCGAAGTGAAGTTGATTCGTTTCACTGGGGATCTTAATCCAGTGTTTCCTGATCCGTGTTTGCCAGGAGAGTCGATCGGTATCTTAGTCTGGTCTTTGGCGGCGCTGAGCTCATCATCCTCGCCATCTGAGCTCGCGTACGAGGAGATCCCTTTAGCCACCTGTGTCGCCTTCTTCGGTGAAAGTGGTTTTGCGGCGCCCTTCTTAGTCGCGGCAGGTTTGCGACCTCTACCAGCAGTCGTAGAAGCTTTCCGAGCAGGCTTCGCGCCAAGGCCAGCCGGACGTTCAGATGTGGTAGCTGCTCGTCTTCTTCCAGCAGGCGGGGGCGATGGTTCACTCAAGGTATCTTCTGAATCTGACACATCCTTAAAGGTTACCGTCTTCTTTTTGGCAGGACCTCGCAAAAGGTTCGATCGCATGATTGCGGAGTTGGTCGTGATAGTCAGCTCCTTCGGTCCTTCTTCAGACGATGTGTCCATATCAGTCTGGGCACTGGTCTCCTTCTGAGCATCCACAGCGGTCGATGAAGCCGATTTCGCATTCGTTGACCCTTTAGGCCTACCCCTCTGCTTCGGAGCAGTTCCCGGCTGTGCAGCTTTAGTCGCTTTTGCCCTCGGCCTTCCTACCCGCCTCTTCTTCTCGTCTGTATGTGCATCGTGATCCTGATTTTCATCGGCAGTTCCTGCCTTTCTAGAGGCAGTAGTCGTAGCTTTCCTACCGCGGCCCGCACTGGTTGTAGTCGGTCCAGTGGGCCTGCCCCTGGATTTCGTCGAGGGTTTCTCCTTGGTATCAATCATCCCCAGCTCATCATCGGTGTCGTCATCTGAATTGTCATCGGCCGGCCTACACATAGTTGACAGATTAGTCCGCGCAGTTCGCTTTCTACTCTCAGTCGCTGAAATCGGTGCCTTGGCTTTCGTCGTCTTCGCGGCAGGTTTAGTAGGCCCAGACCTGCTTGTAGTCGTGGTGGTCCGCTTGGCCGTACGCGACGTCCGTTGAGGCGACGACGCCGGCGGAATAACCGCTGCTCGAGCCATTGTGTAGCTTTACTTTCGCTATTCCGTTTCCGAGGGTGATATAGGTCGTTAATCCGCCTCGCGACGTTTTATTTGGCGTGGTGGCGGGGAAGAAAAACAAAATTAACAACCCGCAATACTCATTGTGCGCCTGATCTAGGTGCTATAAACCTCCCTTGTTGGACTTCAAAAAAAAAGAATAGAAAAGAAAAGAAACTTCAAACCCTATGCAGTGTCGGCAAAAGCAGGAAGTCGAGGATGTTGTCGTTGGCGCCGACCGTTAGTTCTAAGTGGGCGTTTGTCATGGCTTGCTTGTTTGGGACATCAGGCGTTCGTTTCTCTGGCAACCCCCGGGACCCACACTGACACGTGAGCATTATAGGTACAAGAAGTGAGTGTACTTGTCATTTTATTTACGATATGATACACATAAACAAGATATTTTATTTTGCAGTAGATCTCTTAGTAGTCAGCTATGTCCATATATAAAATCACTTTCCAAAGGCTCCAGTCTAAGGTGGTGGTCTAGATCCTTATCAATGAAGCAGTTCATGAAGAGCAGTACACAAAATATTTAACAGTTCATTCAATGATATATTTCCAAAATTAAGAGCCAAACCTAAGTCAGCAAATTTTAACCTAATAACGATCATATCAAAAGATAACCAAAAAAGGGTAGAAGTATATATGTTGGGATATATTGCAATATATAGAAAAGGGGTTTATAGAAGATCTGTTCTCACAGCAATGTGAAAAGGGCAACACTAGCTGCGACTGCAGATGCAACAACAGTCGGAATTATAGTAGGACCGCCACTTTCCAATAAGGTGACGGGCTCGTAATCTTTAGAACCGATGGAGGAATTGGTAGAGCCATCCCAGCAGTACTTCTGGAAGCACTGCTTGCAGACATCCGGAACTTGAGTGTTGGTACGCTCGAAGGACCGACTCAGAATAGCGCAACCGACGCAGGTTGACCAGTTACCATCGCGAGTGCTGTTGCCCATGGTCACCACATCATATCCGTTGCGGATAGTGTCGTCTCTCTCCGAGATTTCGTAGCTTGGCTGGAAGGTGGACCAGTTCGAGTAAGTCACATACGGATAATTCGGGAGATATACAACCAAAGGCGCAGGCCCCGTGGTATTCGAGCTGTTGCATCCGAAGAATGTAGGCCGCGTATTTAGGCCGTTGTTGACAAAGGTATTCTGGTCGGGGATGGCGGGGAAGGCAGTTCCATTGGCGATGCCGGTGGAGTTGAGGCTGCGTTCGTACGTGGCAACAAGAGCGGTACCATTAGGCCAAGAATACGTGGTGTCAGCCGAGGAGTCAACCGCAAAGATAACATCAACATGACGCTCGGGCTGAATCAAAGGATGCAGAGGAATGTTCTGGAGATCCTCTCCACCATCCACCATATTGAGTTCCTTCTGATGGGCCGCTGGGGAGCTCTCGTTGGCCCAGTTGTAGAATGGATTGGGAGCGTAGACAGCAATGTCGTTGTTATCTTCACCAATCTTTGCCAAAATATCTGCAAATGCCGACTTCAGGAAATTGGGAAGAGAGGTTGAATTGACCTGCAGGAAGAACTGGTTGAACAAACTGGACGATGTACCCATTACGAAGCCGGCATTGTCAAATCCACGCACGCAGCTTTCATTCTTGGGAATGGATCCACTATCAAACTTGGAACCCAGGTATTCAAGAGGCACAAATCCGTTAACGGTTGGATCGAAGGTACCGAACTCCCAAGGGGTAAATTCATAGACGGTGGCGTTGCTGCTAATAACGAGCTCATTGGGATACCGACCATCAGCAACAAGGAGAGGCATCGGCATATTGGCCTGTTTGAATGTATCCGTGGAGGCAATGGACGACCAGGTATAGCTCGGACCACCATCGGTAGCATTGATTAACTGGTAAGATAGAGCACGACCCCTGATAATCGTCAGTAAATAGTGCGCAAGTATACAAGGTCGACCGTAACGTACCAGTAATCGGTGATAGAGGTTTCATATCCTGCATCCTCCTTGCCGGTCACTGCACTGTGGAGATGCTTGTAGTAACTCGCAGAGTCTAGAATCTGAATGCTATCGCCGTCAGGCCCTTCAAAGATCGAGTTTTGAAACTGCCAAACAGCGCCCTTCTCATGGGTCTGTAGCGACGAAATGGTGGTGAAATTATTAATATAGATCGACCCCACCAACCATCCACCGCCACTCAGACCGGATAGATACGTTGCCGATTGTAACAAACCACCCAGCTGTCCAGTCGCTGTCGAGTTTTCTGTTCTGCTATCAAAAGCTTTAATCGCTCCTGCACCGTTCATCAACGCACGGTATCCCCCACCAGACACTGCAATGCCGACATTGGGAAGATTGGATATGTTGCTCGAATGGCGATCAAGATACTGGACCGCATCAAAGTCTTGGATGGTGACATGACCGAAGAAATCCCTCATGGCAGACTGAGTCTTCTCTCGCCGAGACTTCAACCATGATTTCTCGTTCGATGAGAGCCCAGACGATGCGCTACGCACCGTAGGACGACTGGCAGGGCAGCTGACTGTGGAAGGTGTATACCCATCCGGGGCATTTGGCAAAGCACGCTCCAACACAGTTCGATCAATCCTTTCAATTCTCTCGCCATGAGCGCCCGGGGCCGCGGTTACGCCTATGGGCAGTCAGCAGTGTCAGAATAGGTTAAGAACGCGACGATCGTAGTCAACGGAGTTGGGCGCCGCAACAATGACTAGTAAACTTACCAGAGAGCAACCCGGCCAGAGCAAACGCAGCTGTCGCGGGTTTCATGTTGACATGAACTGGACTCTCACTGTTCTACGTGATAGTGTCAATTATTTCTTGTAGATTAATGTTGAAAGGATTACTCGGAGACTTGGCTTAGTTTTTGGGAAAAAGTAGTGGTCACTCCTTTCTTTCCACTAGGGGGTGTCCTTAGGAACGGGGGATTCGGAAGCTTGGCCAAGCACACCCAGGGTCTTGGTGCGATCATGACTAGTGTTTGAGTATTCTGACTGCGCACCATGGATCTGATTTGATCGTTTAAAGACTGGGGGCCACCGAACCGAGGAACGGGCTTCATCAGTTCGATCCATGATGTCAAAGGGAAGGGCTAAAATCCGGGCCTTCCGCTGATGTGGCCGACAGGGATGGCGATCAATGATCTATTTATTCATTGAACAACGCCTTGTCTCACTGCAGGCAAAGAATGTGTGACTATCGAGTCTATCAGGCTCCGTGAACAGAATACTAGATACCGAAAACACTGCAACTGCTTGGCTTACCGATGGGACTCCGTAAGAATAATCTTCAGTGCCAAAAAAAAAAAAGGCAGCACTATCCTCATTCCAAAAGGTATAAGCTCGATAAAGAAGTTTCGCGATACGAGTACGAGCAGTGTGGGTCAGTGGGAAATGAAGTGGAAAAGTATTTTCACTTTTGACTCCATCCGTCCCCGCTGATAGGCCATGTTCAACACTTCCATGGATTCTCGGTTGTGGCGGTACTATTTTAATGCAATGGGAAAGCATTAAAATTTATACTCTGTACATAAATAAGAGTAGACAAGGCAGCAAGATAAAAATCGGGTATACTCCGGACTTTGAAAGATCTATCCTCATGTTTGTCCAAGAACGTGCTATCTAGGACCTACTAGCAAGTACAGTACTGAGATTATTCTGTGTAAAATCTGGATAATTGTGACCCACACGAAGCTAATATCGTATGCAACCGAAACTACTCTTTCTTCAATACGAATTATTGGAGATATGTAGCTATAGACTTGGTTATCAGTCATCCATGTCAGCATATCTGTACCTTGAGATTTTGAGGTAAGGCACTGCGCTTGGCAAAGCTTAGTCGATAAATTAAATCAATAGTTAACCTCTTGTGATTTGTAAATTTATGCAGGAATCAACTGCCGGGTCTACTAATCAGGCCAATTGGCTTAATCCGACGCAATATGCATACGGCAATGTTCGGCGTTAAGATGTTATATTTACTTTGTAGACAAAAGTGAGATAAAATGTATGACCCCTTTCCCCCTCCCTAACTGGTATGAAAGAAAGAACAAAACAAAATTCTTGGTTTTGATCCTGGTGTTTCATTTTCCTTTGACTGTAAAGGTTTCTCTTCTGTGACTTTACAAACGTCGCCTTTTAAAACCACAGCCCAAAAGCCCAACGAAAAGGGTACGCCTGACACTGACACCAAAAAATTGAAGCGAACTTGAGTTGTCCCGTGTTCAATATGTACAGTACTTCCACGCTTCGGTAGGTTGAATGGCCATCTTCTTGGCCCAGCCAGTATTACCCTGTACTTGCTCACATACTAGTAATGTAGTATATGAAATAAGGTCTCAAGGAGATCGTTATCACTACTCCTTTGGATTATTATTAAACATAGGTTGCCATATTTATATTAGCAGACAGCTAGCTAGACATCGCAAAACACCCCTACTTAATCCCATTTTATTCCCATAATTCATACTCATCCAGCCACAGATGAAGGCCATTAGTACTGTGAGGGTCCATAAAAAACACCATACCCAAGACAAAAACCCAATAAACCAATAAACTCAAGCGGCAAACGAGATATCTTGCAAATGGCGCCTTCTAGCACCCTGAGCCCTCACCGTGTCCCAGCCAGGTGGTACCGCGCCAATAGATCTAGAACCTCATCATCCCCGGCCCAGAGGTCAAATATCCTGCATTTCATAATGATTAGGGCCTTGTAATCTGTGTAAGCCTAGAGGAACCTGATTGGTGAGCTCCCATCCTGGAAAAACCTGGAATCTACAGTTGGTGATGACTGTGATAAAGTACATGATAGTGATTATACTATGTATGAGATAATGTGGCTTCGTAGAGCGATTTTAAGATTGGGGCTACTTTCGATCTGGCAGATGACGGAAATAACGGTTTTTTTTTACTCTAGAGGCGTCATTTTCCAGCCTGCTTGCTACAGCTATGGAAAAGACGAAAAACCAAACGTCAAGCCAATGCTGTTCAGCGATGATGAAACTTTCTGTGTTTGTGAACTCCGATATTATGTCAAGTATGACCCCAGAACACTCCACAATGTCTATGCTGACCTGTACGGATAATCTGCCCCATAATCACCATCATCTTGGAACACATGGCCGTCTTCCTTCTCACGAACCGGGTATAGGAGACGATCAGTAGGTAGTGGTTCAAAAACTGCGAACGAGGGTCAAAGGAGGGAATATCAAGGCCATAAGCCAACGCTGAACGGTGGATAGAATGCATAACTTCATAAGGCAGTACTGCATAGATAGCGGTTGCTTCGTGGTAGAATCAACCAGTTTCAACATAACACAAGATCAAAATAATTTAGAAGTCATTCGCTTCGTGTCATAAGAACGAAAGTCACGGAGCATTCAGAATTATTTCCTTTATGACTTCCCAATACACAGCTAGAATGCTAAAATTCACAGCAACTCGTACATAATATCCGTCCGCAAAGTATATTTCGTCCCTCGGAAAACCGAATCACCAGAATGAAGCAGATTATTCTGTTGAAACACAAGCACAGAACCAGTTTTAGGGAAGACCCTCAACTGCCTCTCCTTCTCCTCATACCTTGGAATAAAAGAAGTAGCACCACCAAGTAACTTCCCCCCAACATCCAGATTCACATCTCCCTGCCCCATTTCCACCTTCTTCTCCTCGCGCTCCAGCTCCTTAAGATCCTGCTCCCCATCCCCATTCAAGTAAAATTGTACAGTATAAAACGACCCCTCCTTCCTATCAGGCGTAGTATACTGGCCATCCCAATGCGGCTTGAAATGCTCCCCTCCTTCATACTTGAGAAACCGCAGCCGCTCATTCAACCTCGTCATCCCATAGGTCTTATATCGACCCGCAAGCCCAGTAACAAGAGGCTTGTCCTCCACCCGAACAATCCGCATTTCCTGTAGAAATGGCCTCAGCCGATTTAATAGCTTTTCCGCCAGCTCTGGCGCGTCGTAGATAATCCGCCCGCAGTTGCGGGTATCTGTCGCGAGGGCTTGTTTCCCGTTCCCGATGTTAATCATCGCGCGTTCCCAGACGGGTGTCGTGGAGTCTGGGGTAAAGGTTGATGCTTCCGCGAGGCGGATTAGTTCGTTACATTCTTCTTCTGTGAGGAGGTCGTCTATTACTGCGGCGAAGAGGTTGCTGTATTCGGGTAGTCTGGGGGAGGAGGTTGCGAAGTCGATTTTCTGCCATTTGGCCCCGGTTGGGGCTTGTGGGGGTAGGAAGGTGGAGTTTTCATTAGGATTCATAGTTGCGAATATGTGGTGCTGTGGAATGCTAGTCTGGGGTGCTGGATATATGAGGTTGTATTTATAGATGGTTTGGTGTCCTGTTCAGCCTTGTGGGGCGATGCCTAGTTGTCTTTGTCTGCCTTAGCTGACAAGCCAAGCCACTTCGCCCAACAACATAGTATTACTTCATAGGATGAGTGCGGATTTTGGGAATGTTGCTGTTGCCAAGGTTTTCACAATAGAATAATCTCGGTGACTCACACTTGGAAAAGAAAAGTGTCTAAGGAATCTCTACAGATTCCAGTCATTTACATAGCGATACTTGGTGGATTGACTGATGTGCCAACAATCAGTTGCAAGTCAATCATTTCACTGCCTCTGTCTTTCTCGTCTTTTTGATGGTCTCCTTGTCCGGTGACATCCCAAGTAGGGGAAGGTTCAAGATAAAGCTACGTTTTAGGATACTTACATACAAGTGTTTGTACATAGAAAATACGCAGTTTTTAACATTCTCGATGAATAGCATCTTGCATAGGCTTCACCTGTCTACATCTACCCAAGGCATGGGTATTGTTTCTATCATGGTCTCTCCGAATGTATCAGGTGATTTAACGGGCTCGAAGCGTTCACACAACCACGTTTGCAACTATACTCTTTCCGTATTATGGCATATCAGCGACAGTCGTTCGAAGATGTATACAGCTTGACCTGGAAACATTGATATATATCGGATTCCACATAACGAGGAAGATACACTTCTCCTACTCGACCTAAAACCAACGTTGGCTGACGGTCTAACCTTGCACCTCAACATATTCAACACATAAAAGGAACATAAAGAGACGCCTTAGTGAAATCTGAGGGCTAGCCATTATGGCCGTCATGAAGGTAACGACAAGATTCCTAAGAGGGCTTGAGGGAGAGATAGTTTAATATATTAGCACACATTGGACGCCATTGGACGATATACCCATAAGCCCAATAAAAAAAAATAACAGCTGGCATTCCTCGTCACTGATTTGTTTCGTCTTTGTCAATTCATATTAAGTGGAGGTACTATAGGATCGTATGGCGATCATTTAAATGGACTCGAGACGAGGCTACCAAGGTCAAAGTAGGTCCAGCCCTAACTGTCTCTGCTAGTTCTACTAGAGATATCGAAGAATAGCCTGTATCACACGTGGAGTTCCTGGCGATCGGACTTTCCCCGACCTTAAAAGCATCGGAAGTTCCAGAGATCCTGGTATGTGTCATGTTCTCAGCAAATCGTATCCGAGACTTTAATGGCCTGAGCGGCCAGCGGGGCAAATAGAAACAGGATTATCTGGGCTAGAATGCAATACAGCGTGCATTTTCTGCATCTCAGGTCTGGACAGAGCCAAAACAAGGTATTGGGGAATGTCGCGATGGGATGATGTGTTATATGGCGGAAGCCACGTCAGTTATTTGTTGTGCTCTGTTCGGTGGGGGGGATCGGATCGTCTGTGTTCAAGGTAGTATTGGATGAGTTGGAAATTCACAGTATCCCAGAAGTGTACTTTAACCGTTGACAGTTGTGTCCATAGCATACGCAGGGGAGCGGGGGAGCAGGATCAAATCTCTGCTGGTCACACGGGCAGTGGAGTCGACTTATTGCAGTTAGACTTAAACATCGAGACCGTTCTCTAAACAGGGTGGCCGAGGCACAGACCAACCCTGAACTCCTGGAACCCGGGGATCACCCTGCTACAGGAATGTCATTGTCAACATGATTGGCCTTATGCAATCTGATATTTTCTTCAAGGGCTCGGTCCGACAGGAACGGACTGCCCGGATCTCTTTGGTGGCGGTATATTTTTGGGTCAGAAGTTGGGAGGTAGTGGCAGTTCCGGCCCTACCTGCTGCTAAAAGTGGGCATCAAATGTCTTTCAGTTGACCTTCGAGACAGTGCACGTCGTAGACGTAAAATCTATAGGTGATTTAGCCATCTGGTCTAGAACTACTGCTTATTCAATTTTTAGATTATGCTTTCTGCCCTGAAGTTAAGAGAATTCTAAGATAGTTGATCTCAAGTAGTATGCAGGAGTATCAACTAATAGGAAAGGATCCTTGATGTCCGGCAGCGGTTATTGGACAATTCATTCCAGAATAAAGTCAAGATGTCATAAAAACCTATTTCTATCAATAGTAGAAAGTATAAGGTGCTCACGGGGACAGGCACAGACGATAGATAGTAAGGGTATTTTTTTTGGGTCTGGGTCCGGCTGCGTCTGGAGAACCGAGAGAGAAAACTGGGGTCGGCAATTTGTTAACAACAATTTCCCCCGGAAGTTCCGAAAAGGGTAAGTAGCTTCCAACCAAATGAAGGTAAGAAATGCTTTCCATCGCCTCCGGAATTGGAGCTTTAGTGATGCGCCACTTTTTCGAGTTATCAAATTTCTGAAGGTCACACGGTGTCTTTCGGATCTATCTCGGCTGGCCCAACTGTTTCCTGCCCCTTCGAAATTTTACTCTTGTTGCAGCTTGTACTTTTGTGGATCGCGCTGTGTACCGTACAGCAGTGATGTGGTCAAATACCTATATACTACTCTCTTGTTTCCAATGTGTACACATTCTTTGGCAATGATAAAAATCTCTCACTCTTATAGACAACCTGCTCTACTGTAGATATAGTATCGGCGCAACATACTCTGTACGCAGAAGCTAGAACTAGATTAATTACCGACTACAGGGTGCGAGACTAAGTAAGGGTTTACGAGAAGTTCCAGAAGCCAGAATAGGCAATGGAACAGTTAAGAAATTGAATGACAGTGGGGCTTATGACACAGGTAGGCCCTAAGGGTTTCTAGCAATAATGAGCGACCAAGTACCCCTGTGCCTGAGTATCAATCCTTCATGGCATGATAGTTTGGGTGAGTACATGAAATGATTGCGGCTGGTACCTGGAAACCCCCTATAGAACACCCAATCTGGGGATCAGTCTATAACAATCGGTGTGGAATTGGCCAGGGCCATCTTCTCCGTAAAATGCAAGTTGCAATCTCCGTGTTTGATAGCTGCTGGCGTAAGTAGATACTCCATCAATTGTCAAATTGGCAATGGGATGATGCCCCGTGACCATGTAACCAGATGCGCGGGTTCCCCATCGAATGTTCCATGGAGTGAACTGGATTTTCCAGAACAATGCATATGGCCCCGTGATCAGGTTCGACAAGTTCTCGACCGCTAACTTTACCGTCTCCTTGGGGACTGTTAGCCCCAATCCGCGTTGAGCTTCTCCCGTCCCCCGAGCCAGGATTCGCCCCCAGCCCGGGTTTCCCAAAGAAGGAAGCCGAGTCCGCCACTGACAGTTTCCAACTGCCACACCCCTGATACGCACTTGGGGTACGGGGTCTTTGAAAATTTTGATTTTATATTTATATCTGATTTTTACAAGTAGTACTAGTATTATGCTCTCAGTACGCAATATAGAGTGGCTGTAAGACACGATCCTGGTAAAACACTCGAATCACTATGAATCCATGATATCAGTTTGTAGTCATCCGGCCATCATGCTGGCAAGGACATCTTGTATTTTCAAAAATTGTTCTTGATTTCCCTTGGGCAACTTATATCATGGATGAAGTATCCAGATTCGTCACCAAGTAGCATAATTGTTGCTTTGTTTGGGGGGAGCATGGCGATCGTACGTAGTATACTAGAATGTCCTGTCAAAGGTATCAACGCCTTAGTCCAGCGTCAGCGTAGAAAGAGTAATTTCATAGAAAGAGCGTGTAGGTAAACACCTCAATTCTTGCCACGAACCAAGACCAAGTGACCACTGATGGTGGGCCCAAGGTCTTCAACGTCCAAATCCGCCCATGCATTCCCCGGGTCTGGACCGAGTGGCTCCCTCGCAGGTTTCCCTTTCGGGTAACTTACCAACTTTTTGCTGCTCACATGAGGCCTCATGACTCTCCTCAGGCCCAGAGCCGCTCTTGCCCGGCACTGTCTTCCATTTCCCGCCGTGTGAAGTATATAAACATGACATTCCTCCATGCTTTGGAGTGATGAATTGAACGTTATCAATTGAATCTCTCGTCATCCTCTTTTTCAACCTCCGTGAAGAGATACTTTCGATTAATTCTCAACAGTCTTCACCTAAGCTTTACGCTTATATCCAGCTAACTCTACCTTTCCCTTCAAATACACACATTACTTCTACAACACACATTCTCATACATCATAATGTCTGTCTCCATTGAAACCACCGACATTGCCCCCGCCGCTCTTACCACGCAGGCGGACCCCTGCCTCGGTTCCAAGAACAGAATGCCCGAGTTCAGTTTGGCTGGAAAAATCGTCTGTGTTTCCGGTGCTGCTCGTGGCCTTGGCCTGACTCAAGCTGAAGCCCTTTTGGAGGCTGGAGCCAAGGTGTATGCCTTGGACCGTCTGGAGGAACCTGTAAGTGATTCAATATCCGAATACTTGCTCGACAAGCTGTTAAGAATAAATCTAAACGTGTTGGTTGGATTAGTCTCCTGAGTTCTATGAAATTCAGCAGCGCGCCAAGGAGGAGCTGGGAACGGAGTTGCATTACCGTCGCATTGATGTTCGTGACACCGAGTTTCTGGAAAACACTGTCGAATCAATCGCCAATATTGAGGGTCGCATGGACGGCTTGGTCGCTGCAGCCGGCATTCAACAAGAGACTCCTGCCCTCGAATATTCTGCTCAGGATGCCAATACGATGTTCGAAGTCAACGTTACTGGTGTGTTCATGACTGCTAAGGCAGTTGCCAAACAAATGATTCGTTTTGGAAACGGAGGTAGCATTGCACTAATTGCGAGCATGAGTGGTACTATTGCCAATCGGGTACGTTTCCATAGTATATTTTAATCATTCCCGCGCCCTCTTGCGTCTTTGTGAGTCCTTGGGGAGGGAGGTTCACGAGATACGTCTCAATCTGCATCCCCCGCTCACGCCACCCCAACTTTCTGTTTATGTTATTGGTTGGCATACCTCCATCGTGAATCATACTGACTTGTTTTACCACTAGGGTCTTATTTGCCCTGCCTACAACGCTAGCAAGGCTGCTGTGCTTCAACTTGCCCGTAACCTCGCCATGGAGTGGGGTCAGTACAACATTCGGGTCAACACCATCTCACCTGGCTATATTGTTACTGCCATGGTTGAGAAGCTCTTCATTCAATACCCTGAGCGCCGCGACGAATGGCCCAAGCATAACATGCTTGGACGTCTGTCAACCCCTAATGAGTACCGGGGTGCCGCCGTCTTCCTTCTCAGTGACGCTAGCAGCTTCATGACCGGAAGCGATCTACGCATGGACGGAGGTCACGCCGCCTGGTAGATGACATCGTTACGGGTTTATTTCATTATCATTCCATTTTCACATTTTAGCCTTTCTATTGCATGGCGTTGGGAAAGCAAGCGTGATCGAAATTTGGATTCATAGCCTTATCATGACGTCTTGTATTTTGACATCCTCCGAGCTGATAGGATGGGGTTTGTTTGGGGTTTCCAGCGTTGCAGTTGTCGGATTGCGTCTTATTTGGGTGATTACAGCGATATTGTACCTATACTTAATGCATGAGACTTCATTTGGAACCAGTGGCGCGCCTTATGGTAGTAAAAGTTTGAATGTAGATGAGCGTTGCGGACCCTTGGACAGTCGCGACTGGTGGAATTAGCTACTAAGAGGTAAAGTTAAGTGAGATTGCATGAATCGTCCTCCACTTAGTGGCAGATCTGACAGCATACCTTGTATGTTCGCACATAACCCACTTGCGCGGCGTAAGTTAATACAAGGAAGAGCCAGTATACGGGGGTTCCCTACCGACTTCCCGGTAAGCAAGTACGCGTCAATACCTTACCACTCCAGGCCAACACTGCCAAGAAATCCTCCGTTTAGTCTAGTATCAATCCGGGGAAATTGAACATTATTCTATTAAACTTTCCCCCACATTTCAACCAACCACAAAAGTATTGATTGTGTCCATGGTTGATTATACCATGACATCAAGACCATGTCCCTCTATCATATCAAGGTCTTTGTTTAGAGCCCGAATCCGTATCTCCTTTTCCCTCTTAGCTTGGAGCTAATATTTATTCGACCACTGTCGTACGGTTGAGGATGTATGATGTCTCCATGACTCTTACTCCGTTAAGAGAAAAATGGGGTAAATCTCGGGATCGCCATATCCGATGTGTTCTTCTCCTTCACTCACTCAGTTTCCAACGGATTGCCTTTTGGGGCCTTCTACAGATGTACCTACAGTTGGAGTAAGAGTCACGGGTTGATATCGTCCTAGCCTACATATTCCCCTGGAGTAATTTGATAGGCTGTGGTCCAACCTAGGGGAACCGACACATGACTGGGAGGAGAGACAGGCCTGAACTTTTGATACCTAATCAAGCCGTTCCTTTTTTAACTTTTATGTAAGGGATGCATAATTTGGTTAGTCTAAGTGGTTGCTTACTGCCTTAGGTGCTCTATAGCGTATGTCACGTTGTTGGTCTTGGTAAGGCTCAAACTGGTGTTCACGTGGATCTCTGATGAGTTGGCATGGTTTTAGATTCAAAACGTTGAGACTTTGTTTTGGCTTGACCCGGCTCATTTCGTAAGTTGACTGGCTCTCGGCTGTTATCGGGGTCTTTTAATTGCTAACCTCGTTTTAGTTTATTAAACCCTATATAGCATCATGCTCTGGCCGCATAGGGCTTCTCTGTCAGTACGAGACCCAAAACGGCTCCGACTTATTCCCGTGAGCATATATAAGGCATCTCATTGGAATTGTTGGAGACTTGTCATGTCATTTGATCTCCACGATATCATCGGATTATTCCAACTATCCAAACACACGTGTAGAACGACGGGTGACTTCGATGCCATGCAATCTAGCCTTATTCTGTCTTGAGCCAGATTTAGTTTGACAGCACATTAATCTGCGTTCTAGCAGTATAGGGCAAGATTAGGCGCTGCGATGTAGGTCTTCCAGTATCCTAATTTCGCTGTCAAGGCATTGGTTATTACGCTCTGTCTAAATCACGTTCGTATGGAGCGTGGGATGTCGTGGGATTATCGGAATTGCCTGAATGGGCATGATCTCGTGGTTTTGGAGAACACCTAGAGTTGAATCTGGCTTTGGAGCTAGTGGCAATGGGGGGGTTAGAAGATGAGAGCATGGGAGATTAGGCTCCTCTCTGCCATGATGGAATACGTGGGATTCTGTAGCCTTCAGCTGAAGGAAACATAATCTATTTACGCTCTGCACTGTTGCTAGGTCTACTCGAAGTATACCGATACCTAGCAACAAGATATGGAGAAGCGCACAGCGTGTATACGCGAGAGGTTTACTCTTTTCATTCCGATGTCCTGGCGACGACGGTTACCCCAATTCATATACTCGCACTGGTAGGCGTTCTCAAATGCCTAGGCGCTATAAACTAAGTATATTGAGTCTACTAGCAGCATGCCATTTATCTTCCAACGAACATGAGGTTGTTGTCCTGAACAACGAGAGTCAGACTCGCCATAGTCGCGGCATCTCTATGTATGCTCCATGCCGAGAATGATTGCCTACTATCAGCATCTTTAGTTGACAAAGGGATCAGTGTGTCTGACCGATATAATAAGCCGATTAAAGGCATTGATTGGGTAATTAAGGCGCTTAATCATTCTACTAAATATTGCTGCTCTGTTGTGGTAAAGGTCTGAAGAATGTAAGTCTGAGTAGGTCCTACCATTTATCAATAAGGATGCCTTCAATCTTTGATGAACCCTTCACATTTCTACCATGGAGTAGCCAGTATTAAATAGAAATTATACCTTGACACGGTACTTATTGTAATGAGCGACCAATACCAGAAGTGTGGTAAAGCCAGTTACCCAGTCATTAACTTGCAGTAATCATCCCTGCACAGGAGATATATAGGGATGCATCATCACTGCTCCAAAACGTTCTTCAGTCAGGCTTCATTTAAAACGTCGACTGCATCATCAAAGGATGGCATCTTTGTGAGAAGACAAAGAAAACTTTAGGTTTCTTGCTACTACAACTTATTAGTAAGCTCAACATTGCATCCATCATCCTCCAGGCGATTACACCCATTTTCAAGGCACCCTTACAGCTTTTCTACCTAATGTCCTTGAAATCTATGGCCGAATACGTGGGTATATACATCTCTACTGAGATGAAATGCCCTACCCACTGCCTCAAATAAGACTCCGCTTTAAGACGATCTCTAAACTCATCGATACACATTCCCGTGCTATATCTTCTATTATAAAGGCCACAATAAAGACATACTTACAAAAACCTGAATCCAAATCAGCAAAAGCATTCAAGATGAGCTTCCAGAAATTTATCACGTATATATACGCAATCAACCAGAAACTTAGGTTGCTACATTATCCACCCCCGGCTAGTTCTCGATATAACGAAGCACATATACCTTGATCGGCAATTCAGCATGCTGGACTATACTACTGTTGGAGAATACCATGAATAGCTCCCATGGCGCAAGACATGATCTAGTTCATAAACTAAGATCGACCACAACATAGATCATCTGCCCTTTGCCCTCGCCATTGGCGCAAAATATACACTTTCATCTGCTGGGGGCGTTAATGGTATTTATATTACATATAACCCCCTAGATGGATCGTTTATACATTGAGTCTCAAAACCTCGGTTATTTGGGGTCCGCGGCCATTTCGAAATTTATCTTGCTTATGATCCAGTGGCCTTTTGAGGCGATATCGAATGGCCTAGCCCCTCGACAGACCTTCCTATATATGGTACACTCGCGTGCCTTGGTTATTTAGATGCGTGAATTGCTGGTGAGGCAGACTGTCCACTACCGTGATGTCTTTTTCCTTTGTTTTGTTCTTTCCACACTATATATCTACGAATACAGGTGCTGGAGCTTTCTAGAGTTTTTTTTTTTTTTTTTTTTTTTTTTTTTTTTTTTTTTTTTTTTTTTTTTTTTTTTTTTTTGAAGTACGGCAGTATAGACCTAGTGCAAAGTCCATTGAAAGTAGAATGTGCCTACGTAAATTGTCCGTGTTGTCTCTAGTAGGGACTGGTAGTTATGGAATGTAGCACGGTATTCGGCTGATTGGGAGCGCCGGCAATTGGATGCCGTTTGACGCGGTTACACAGCACCCATACAGTTCTCGTGGACACGAATAACTAGTTGTTCCAGAATCTGTTTCCTGGAGCTCTCCTTCCCTAGATTCAGGTGTAGCTAGAGGGAATCGCCGAGTAAGCAGTATTGGATCAACAATGCCCCTACCGCTTGGATATATGGAGTATACATCTGCAGATCTGATTTTCAATTTCCTACCTGTTATTGGCCAGGTCCCTGAAGAATGGAGCCCGACAACATCCATAGTAGTATTTCTGGAATTGGATTCCACCCTTCAGTGACCAAATATCCTGAGGTCTGTTGCGCAACGTTATGGACTACTTAGCTTGCCAATATGTATCTCCTTCACTACATAGACTTACACACATGTGCACATTTATAAAGCCCCCAAGTCAAACGCCCCAATCGTAGCTCATACCATACTATACAAACAGAGAATAATATACAAATCTCCATAAACACCACCGAGTGCATTCACTCATCCTTACCCCACTTCCGAAACAACGCCTTTCTCCCCTAACCGTCCCATAACCCCCCTCTTCAACCGTAGCAACCTCTCAATCTCCCCCGCCGGCACCCCCTGCCGATCCCGCATCGACAGCGCCTGCCGAATCGTCAACGCATCCAGAAACTCCCGGCCCTCGAAATGCTGCCTTCCGAAGGACTCCGTCTCCCGTTCCGCCGCCTTGGCTATCTTTTGGCGTGCGGTGATGACTAGCAAAGCGGGGTTCGAGGCCCGGGGGAAGACGGTTTGGACGGAGTCGCTGCGTTGGGGGCCGGAGGTGAATGTGCTTGAGTTGGAGAGGGTAGGGGCTGGACTGACGGGGCCGAGGCCGCGGAGGGAGGCGGCGAAATCGGGGTCTCGTCCGTCGAGGTCGATTGCTGGAGGGTGGTGGGTTTGTTAGTTTTTTTGTTGAGCATGGGTTGGTTTGGGAAGACAGACGGATGTGGAGAGGGTGTGTTTTGCGGGTTGGGGTTGGTCGCCCCGCGTGGGATTTTAGGGAGTAATACTCGTACCGTTTGATTTTGTGAGAGATGGTTGCTCTTTGGAATGGTATGTTGGGCCTGTTGGAGTCTGAGACTGAGTCTGAGTTGGTTCCTTGGGTGTCCGGGGCGATGGAGCAGGTCGAGGAGTCGGAGATGTGGATGGTACAGAAGGTTGTTTAGGGTATTGTCGTCGTGAGACTGCCTGTGCGGCAGATCTCACGGGTTTCGATGACGATGAACCCATGGATGGCTGCCGGATACCGCAATGTCTAGCTTTTGTGGGGTGAGAAGTGTTGAGTTGATTGCTTGGAGCACGGAGAACGGAGAGCTTTTGGCGATAAATTCTCACTAGCCGAAATTGGTCAATGTCTCGGGTGACGTCAGCTGGTTCGAAAACAACTGTTCTGATTCCTACTCTGTACAACTTGCATAGTGGTCTTATTCAATTGGATTTTATTTGTCGGAAATACAAAGTGTGTGTGTGTGTGTGTTTGTGCTATTGGCTTGCTTGGGAACTTCTACACTTATGCTGCACGCGGAAGCGGATCGCAGTTATCTAAACAACAATACAGACGGTATTCAGTTGCATCTTGGAAATTTCCAGTAAATCCAGTACCGGCCAGATTTACCTAAGGCCACCAAGGCGTCTACCCTGTACTTCACCCAAAGCGCGACTACCACTGATGAATGCGACCGTACCGGCCGCGGCTACGGCGGGGAGGACCTGGAAGAGGGTCCAGGACTGGTAGTACAGGAAGAAGATCCCTTCGATGGAGAGAAGAGAGCCGAGGAAAACAGCGTGAGGGATTGGGGACGACTTGAAAGCCTTGGGGAGGTGACAAACGTTGGCGCCGAGGAATAGCCACTAGACAAGTTAGACAATTGATGGCCGAGAGAGGAACAAATAGATACTTACCACACCGGCAAGAACCGGAAGAGTGGCTAGCACCATTGCCACGAAAGCGAGGCTTATGACTACTGGTGGGCTTTGCGGATCATCCTTGAAGATGTGGTGGATTTCAGGCAGCTTTCCGTATCTTGAGACCTCGACAGTCGGGACCGGCTGATCTGGGTTTCTGGTCACTGCTAACTTGAACACAGCACCGTTGTAGGCCTCCGAGCTGCCAAAGGATCCAATCAGGAGCTTTGCATCGAGTGGCTCAGGCAAGGAAAGGAATTGAACGGGAAGGTCTTTTTGAGTCTAAAGCCATCCATCATTAGCCAAGCCAAAACAAAACAGTTGTCATCTCCCTCACGTACCAGCTCAATCCTCGATTTGCCATTATCTTTCACATTGAAGGGATACGAGATGTCTAGGCCGGTCTCAGGGTTTTGGAGGAGTAGGAACACTTGGTGCGCGCGTTTTGCGGAGCTACCCTCGCGGGCTGTGAGAGTCACTTTCAGAGTGTCGGCACTTCCGAGGGAGACGGGCTTGGGAAGGGCCTTGTTGTCGGGAATACTGTCAACTCCGCCGATGGTTAGCCAATTTTCATTGAGTAAAGCCAAGCGATTAAGTAGTAACCGAAATCACGCACTTTTCCTTCAATCCAGAGCCGACTCCAGCTCCCTTGGCCTGAATTGACACGGTGGCATCAGTAAACCCCCACGCGGCCTTCGCTGCGGTCGGGGCAGCAGTAAAAGCCAGCAAACTGAGCTGGATAACGGTATGCCACAGCTGCATCCTGATTGATAGATAGACACGGAACCCAATCGAGCTGGACGGAGCGAAACAATTGCGACGTAGGTGTCCTGAGTACGTCGACTTGCGGACGCAAGCTGAAGAAACGCTAAGATAAGCGCCCGCGGCTTTGGGGCAAGCTGCGGTCCAGTGACCGTCCTCCCGCCTTTGCAAGCCCTAATTTCCCGGAGTCTTCAAGTCGGCTTGCCAAACATTTCTTTCTCGCTCTACGATCGGTTTAATGGCTCCCTCAACCACTGTGACAACCCGATAAATCATCAAACGCCCTGCTAGTCGCTACTTTACCTTTGCATAATGTTTTATATTGAGATCATCTAGCCCCGGGAGTGCCCCTGCGACTGCAGCACGCCTTACATTCTAACTCCTTCGCCTCCGCTTCACCGACGAACGACCCTGTGAATAGCCTTCCAACACCGCCGTGGAAGTCGTTTTGGTGGCTCTATCTGTCTATTCTCGTGGTTATTGGTATGTCTGGATATACTTATGGTCTTTTACGCACCTATGCCCTGGATTTGTGGTCTACTATCGTTTCCAGGAGTTGCCGCTCCTGCCTGCGCCCAGTTCCGAACCAGCTGTACTGTTTGGTCCAGTTCACTAACGTTCTACCTGATAATAGAAATAGACGGAATAATTTGATCCGCTAAACCCTACTCTTTGAAGAAAGCGACCCAAAAGACGCAACAATACCCCACACTCATCCCTTGTGAACCGGTAAACCTGGCATCCGAAGTGCCGATGGTCGAACTTTGATAGAAAACCGGGTGGGCCTATTATTTACTGAGAGTGCGCTCGGATTCAGAGAAGCCATTTGCAAACAACAAAAAGTGAGGCGACCGTTTGAGTCTGTTGTTGTTCTTATTGTTTGCTTAGGGCTCAATGCCCAGCCAACCCTAGGCGGGGGGTGTTTAAATCTATTCACTCGTTCGTATTGAATGCTAACAACGGAAAAGTGGTTGGTAGAGCTTCTGTTACTCGTGGAGAGGGCTCTCCTGCCCCCTCGATTTTAGACCTGACTCCTGCAAGTGTTTCTCTTCTCTTTGTCTTGCTGGCCTCTAACGTATCATAAAGAGAAACTCCCGACGAAGCTCCTCTCGTGCTTCCAGAAAAGCAACACGAGAACTTGAACTTAGCGCTTCCCATCCATCTCGTTTGGCATATTCTCTGCCTCCAACTCCCATCGCTTCCTCCTTTGAAGAGGCACTGTCATCCACACAGCGCGCCAAAAGACACCGTTCGGTGAACTACTACGAAAAGACGCCACAGTCCAAAGGAGCCGAGACTCCAGATCAGAAGAACGCGTCCTTTTCAACTCAGCCATCCGGCAGCACCTCGAGAAAGAGTAGTCGTAGTCGCAAGTCCGACAACACTAACAAAGAATCTGTCAAGGCGCGTGATTCCACCGGTGACCAAGTAGTCACTCCCTCAATCTCTAAACGCAAACCCCAGCCTGAGCAATCTAGCCTGCATACATATTTGCAGAAGAAGTCTCAAGATAGGCGAAAGACCTCAGCCACACAAGCCGAGGCATCTGAACAGACCAAACCCAAACCTGACTCCGAACTTCCCACCATGGGTGCTGCCGTATCTAGCAACCGCAAGGCTAGAAAGTCTGTGCCAGCGAAACTGATTGGTGCTGAGAGCACTGAAAAATCTACCCCCAAACCTATGGTAGCCACTCGTATCTCCACTCCTGTCTCTCGCAAGGATCGCAGGTCTAAGGGTATTGTCCAAAGTAGCACTAAGGCAACCCCACGGGTGAAGACGCAATCGACGCCTGCTGTCCCTTCCGCATCTAAAGCAGTGGAGGCCCAAGCCAATGGAGCTACCGATCCAGTCACCCCCGTTGAGCGAGCTGCTGTCTCAAACCCGAACAACACAACAGCCCGATCCCGTCGTAGCGATCGCAAGTCTGCTAGGAAATCCGCTGCAGATCGCTCTCAGCTAGCCAACGAGTCATCTCAAGCAGTTACTGCCACCAGTACGGATACTGAAGATCACAAACCTGTTATTCAGGACTCCGACAAACCCGTTGCTCAGGATTCAGACAAAGGAAGCTCAGACCCTCAACACATAACCAAGAGACCGAGCAATACAGTAACCCTGACCTTGGGTCGTAAATCGATGGAGACTTTTGTCCAAAAAACCCTTGAACCCGTCTCTTATAGCCACGAGGTTGCCGATAGTGTCGAAGGGACACCCGTTCATATGTATGATGATTCTTTCCATTTTGATTATGATACGGACATGTATCGTAACAATTACGGCCTTGACGGCCAGATGGACGCACCGGCCTCGCCTACGAGCTTTTCTACAACCACCTCCACCGCTGCCCGGACATCTGGCCGGACCCGGAAGCCCACTATCAGAGCCTTGGAGTCCCTTGAATCAGAGCGGCGCTTCCGCCGACCTCGGGCCCAAACTCCCGGCAAGATAGACTCACCCGCGGCTGATAGACAGGGCGACAAGGCAAGCACCGGGCAGAAGAGTGCTCGCCAGTCGAAGACACCGCCAGCGGAAACTGCGCAGGCTTCTTCTACCGAGTCGCAGCCTGATATGGCTGCCTTTGCCCGCCGTATATTCGAGCTGGCTGTGGCTGCCGTGTCGGACGACTTTGTGCCGGCGCCTGAGGCCGACAACTGGGTTGAAGAGCTGCGAAAGGAGCACCAGGGTAAGGGAAAGGTAGAAGTTGCCGCAGTGGAGACGGCGGTTGAGGGAGAGGGTAGGCCACCCTCGCAAGACAAACCTACTGAGCAGTGGACTGACGAGGATGGTTGGCTGCACACAGGCCAGGTCAACGAGTATGGAGAGGAATATCTCGTCGTTGGCCCTGATTTTGAGTGGTATCGTCCTAACAATACTTACGGAGACAAGGACCTTCCTCAGCCCCCATTGCGCCTGAGGTCGGTGGAACAGTCCGAGAAGGATCGTATCTTCGGCTTTCCACCACGGATTGGAGAGCGTAACCTGCCTCGTGAAACCTATCTCCCATTCGTCATGGAGGATGTTTATCACGAACGGGCTAAGATCAAGGCCCGTGATGAAGCCCGGCAAAGGGGCATCACCGTCGACCGGTCAATGTCAGTCGCTCAGATTGAAGCACTGATTGGCCGGCACGGGAAGACTGACAGCTCGCAATCATCCGCGACTCCCGCTCCAACAAAGAGCTCCAAACCGGGCAAGCCTGTTGGAACCCGGAAGCGACGACGTACAGAGCCCGTTGCTCAGAGCGTGGCACCCTCGACCAATGAATCTACTGCAGAAAGCACACATAAGCCTAAGAGAAGACGCAAGAACACGGTAGGAACATCGGCACCGACCCCGAGTGAACCAGAGCCTCCATCCGAGCAACCCAAGACCCTTAAACTCAAACTGATATTCTCGAAACGGGGATTGCCGGAAACTCCTTCTGCAACCAATTCGACTAACACTTCTGGCAATACGAAGAAGCGCCCTCATTCCGAAATCGAGACGGGCGGTGACAACTCTACGAACAACAGACCTTCGAAGAGCCCTAAAACCCTTTCATCCAATCCCGTGGCTACCCCAAAACGCCTTCTCAAGCTCTCTACTCCGAAGCAGGGTCAGAAAGAGAAAACCAACATCGCACCCACCTCCATCCCCGATGTACCCCCTTCCGCTGATCAGAACTCGCACACAACGCCCGGTGGACGTCCCCGTCGCCGCGCCGCCGCAGCCTTGATGGCCGAGTTCCAGAACCATAAAGAAGAACGAGCTCGCAGAGCCAACGCACGAAAGAAGCCGAACACTGACAATCCCAATGAGACAAACCCCAGTCTGACCCCTAGCTCTGCGAAACAACAGCACTAGTGGTTGACCACAACACCCTCTAAATACGATAATCCCATTCCAACGTTTTTCCTTTTCCCCCTTCATACGTCTTTGCCGTTTTAAATCCACTTTAATTCTTTATTCAAGTGACCCCACGTCACCCCCTGGCTGTTAGACATTTGACTATCACGGCGTTATGAACGGTCTTCGGAAATAAGCATAGCGGAAATCTTTCAAGATATGGCACGCAATTGCACCGGCGTTTGAACTCACGTTTTTTTATTTTTATTTTTATTTTTTTGTGATTTATCAACGTATGAGAGGCTCCTGTGGACCTTTCTTGCACCTGATTCTCATGTTCTGTTCTCTTTCTCTCCCCCTTTCCCATTCGTGTATTGTCCTTCGGTCTGTTCCATCCTGCCTTATGACACCAAGGTGACTTGGCCGAGCATGGACTGGGCTCTTTCGGCTGGTCCACGGCCTCTTCCAAAGTCTTTGTAATCCACAAACAGGACAAGAGGCGATGGGGGAACTGTATTATTGTTGCCTTCTTCATGTATGTACAATGGTTTCCGCATCCTTTTTATTTTCCTTTTCTTTTTTCATTTCTCGATCCGGAGGATATCGGAATTAGAAGCAATTATATTTTGCGGGGCTTAATCGTTTGTATTTAATGCAGGGTACTTTCCAGCATCAGGTTTGAACCCATCGAGAATGAACTTGACACAAGATTCCATTCCATGTTCAGAGGAAAATTAAAGTAGCTAGCCTCAGGCATCAAGCACCTGACTTTTCCGCCTCCCCCATTCCCCAACCTAAGAGTAAAAAAGCACGATCCACAACCACCCTATAGCCAATATCAAACGGCAACCAGTAAAGGCCGGGCAAAGAAAAGAAGAGAAGAGAAGGCAGCAAAACTACACTAAGATAAAATGCCCCAACGTCCTAAGCCCCGCGTGGTCATGAATCCCCAATCCCTTCAGTCCCAGCCTCCCCGGCGCGGTCTCCCCGTGCAAGATATTCGGCAGACGAAAGAATATAAAGTCGCTGCGAGGCGGTATGTTTTCCTTTCCTTTCCTTTCCTTCCTTGCTTTTCTTTTCTTTTCTTTTCGTTCTTGTTTCTTTTTTCTTTGGTTTTTTTTTATTTACGGGGTTTGGGTTGGGATGTAGTTGGGTGTTTGGGGTGCTTTGTTTTTGAAGTTGTTCGGGTCAGCTGATGATGGGATGGTAGATGGCTTTCGACGATCGTGGCGTTGCCGATTTTGATGTATACTTCTTATGTGCTTTATGAGAGGAGTGAGTTTTCTTTCTTCTTTTCTTTCTTTATTTTTTTTTATTCGTGGTAGAAGGGGGGAATGCTGATTTGGTTTGTTTTTAGCTTATTTACATAAGAGTCGGAAGCATTTGGTTCCTTCTACGAAGGGGTCGGAGGGTAAGGATGGGAGTGCTTGATTGGTTGAGTATTTTATTGGACTTATTTATTGTATATTAATTGGTGGTTATGGGTTATGTATTTTTTTTTTTGAATATCTCTAGAGTCTGCTGTAGTCTTGCTTGCTGTTCATCTGGTGTATGTAGCGTGGGTGTATGTGCCAGGGTAGATTTCTGGGTTGGCTCTGGCGGAGTGTTTTTGAAGATGCGGTGGATGGTTGTAGGTGCTTGAATTATGAGTCTATATGGTTGGACTGTGTTATTTTCTCAATTGACTAGACAGTACTCCGTAATGTATGATTCTATTGTTGAGAGCGGATATTGCTGCTTTTGAATTGTATATTGTGATGTATTAAGTCATGTTTAGGAGTGATGAACAAATCGAGAAAAGACAGTTGGGAAGAATTATAGGAGGCGAAACCATTGCCGGTGATGAGCTTCTATACAGTATTGGGGGCTTAAGCAAAGCACTGTGCCCAGTTTCCCCCGGATCTAACAAAGCTCAGTCCCTCGATGAAATCATCCCGTTTGCAACGGCCATGCTTGTCGGCGCCACAGCCCTGCAGTGGGATAACCCGATCGTTGACCAGTACTCGGACAAGAGGCTCCTTCTCGCCCTTGCACTGCATCATCTCCACATAGGCTCTGGACCCAAAAGGAACGGCCCAGGCAGCGGAATAGCCTTTTGTCTCCTCGGTGGACTGCACTGAAGTTTGCGACAGGGGCTCGGTGTTATTGTAAAGTCCAAGCGCAAAGAAAATGGAGACCATCGTATTATCGTGCGAGAAGTCCGCATAGAGAGTGGCATTCAGTGGGAATGTGGCGGGGTTCGAGTCCAAGGTGGTGTTGGTGCTTGTGTGGTCCTCGACAGGGGACTGGGTCAACCGAGCGATCAGCTCGTTGGCGAAGCCAATGCCTTGCGCGGGTCCGAGAGGGTTGCCTGCACCGTAGCCATAGTACTTCTTGACTGACTGCAGGTAGTCATATTGCACCCATTCTTCGTGAGTGAACAACGCGCAGAAGGGTGAAATGCGGCTACCGTCACGGGTCAAGGCGACGGTGTCGTATGAGCACATGTCCATGAGATAGACAACCTCTTTCTTCGAGAGCTTGGCCCCGGGGAGATCCTTCTCCAGCCGCTTGAGGATCGAAGGTGTAAAGACATCCATGAACTTGTCCTCCGCCTGTTCTTCTACTTCACTGTTCTCAAAGGCTGTGCAGGTACTGTGGTCCAATGTATTATTGAACCCTTCAGTCTCGGGGATAACCACATTGACAATAGGAGCAGTCTGATTCCGTCCAGACTTGGATTTACCAAGTTTTGCCTTCTGGAAGCCCTTAATGAAGTTCTCTCCAGACGCAATTACCCGATCCGAACCCGCTGCCCGAATGAAAGGAACAATGTTCTTGGCCAGTGTCTCATAACGCCGGTAAAATTTAACGCCCGAATCCGCCAATTGGTTCTCTCCAAAGGGTGTAAGGTCATCCGCGCCGAGTGAGTAGTTGTAGGACTTCAAGAACGCATAATCCCCCGGGAAGGAGGTAGCATTATGCTGGATGGCCTTTATGAGCTTGGCGTACTTTGCAGATTTATCCTTGGTAGGATACCGTGCACCGTGACGTGAGAGCACCTGAGCAAAGGTAATCTGGCAGTGATCCGGAATGTCTTCCGAGAGTGAAGACTCATTATCGACCGAGAAGTAGGGCGAATACTGACCCCACAGGTGAGAGACTCCAGGAAAGCACTGGTACCCTTGGTCAACAGTATTGCACGATTCGTGTCTCGGGCTTGACACTGGAGTTCCGGAGACCCTAGATGAGGATTAGCCGCTGGTAGATTTGAGGCATCCAAAAGAGAACGCCATCTAGCGGTGGGCTCACCTCGAGAGAAGCAAAGTAATCGAAAGGAGCACGGAGAGGACAGCCATGACGCTTAGAATTACCACTCTCTTACTGTTAGACAAGCTGCTGGACAAGCTGCTGGACAAGCCCTCCACGCGGGTGGGACGGTCCTCATATAAGCCCTTCATTTCCGGCTCATGCTGATCAAATATGGGGACCCTGCAACCCTGGTCTTGCTTGCAATTCCCGGCGATATCGGACGGAGATTTACCCGTGTGGGTGAAACGATAGTATGGTAGGGGGAAATTTGTTGCACACTAATAGATTATTCAAGAATGCAATACGAGACATGGTCCTCAGTGCTAATGAAAGAGCGGGTGAAGGTCGTTTGTGAGTTGTTTGGGGATTGGTGTGTAAGGGGCCACGTGGGCACGGTATTGGTGGCTAGTTGCGTGTGATGGCCTAAGGAAGAAAACACAACTACCATCGTATACACTAAGAACATGGATGAACCATTTTCTCTGGGAACGGAATAGGAACCGCTCTATGATCCTAGACACAGCTCGGAATCCGGTCGGCCTTTGGTTCCTATGAAGTTAAGATCTGACATTGTTCTTCCATGGATCCACTATCGATGGTACCTGCCGCCTTAGCCGGTTTGATCGTGATAAAGCCACTGGTTATCAATCAGTGTGCTACCGGCCAATTAATACCCCGCGCTCAACAAGAATCCATTTGTCTTGTCAAACCCCATCGAAATGACAAATAACCCTAATACTCCCGAGAGAGATCATAAGTTTACCCATCAATATGCAGGAATCCTACAAAGAAGCGCTTGGTGAGTGGAGGGCTACGAGGAAAGTGAGAGAGACGCTTCAGAATAGGATCCCACGGAGAGAGATACGAGATACAAGTAAAGGTCTCAATGTCTTAATGCATTAGCGATTCAATCTAGCAATAACCGAATAAAATCCAACTGGTGCAGCTGATGCCTGCATCTGATAATCTCTACCCGCGATTATTATAACGATCTTCACCGGATATCGCACACACAGAGATCCACAACGGTATTAGAACAGTCAATGTTTTTCTTCTTTCGTTCTCTTGGTGCCTGAACTCATGAAAGATTTTCTCTTTTTCTGTATCCGGCTTATTTTATTTTAAATTTTTTTTTCCCTCTCCTTTCTTTTTCTTTTTCTTTTCTTCTTCTTTGGGTTCATGTCTTTGTTGGGCAAAGATACTGTACAGGTCTATGATAGACACCACAATCCCCAAGTTTGAGTAAACCAGGTCTTTAGAACAGTAACGCGTGCGCACGTGTGCGCTAATCAAAATAATAGTCGTGGTGGTATCTTTCGTCTAAAGGGGTCCACGGATACAACAAACCAGAATAAACCCCACAACACCGAACAGCCCAAGATCAAGCCAAGCCTCGTGATAGACGCGTATCAACTGCTATAAACAACCCAGCGAGGCGGCGGTAGGGTAAATCAATCGATGCCAATGGACATCATATCAGCATGTGCAACCGATTAGACAGGGATGAAACAAACTATAAGCAAGAATGTGAAACATTGACAGCAGAAGCAGATAAAATATATGCAGGAATGCCAGGAACCCAGTTCACACAGTTCAATAAGAGAGCCATCAGCTTTTCGCCATTTGAATAAACAAAACTTCCATGCTGATCACGCAAATGATAATTTCCTCCAATGCAATGGGATTCTCACCTCAGGCGAGATAAAATATAAGCTCAATCAATTTGGGGTGCGGGTAGTCCTGGGCGTCAGAACAAGTGACAACCGGATACCCACAAAAGAGAGAGGATTTAGGATAGAATCCGTGTATCTTTCAAAGCGCCACAGAAGCTTGTCAAAAAGAAATCAAGTTAAGCCATCTACACGACGGGATACGTGAGCTCAATGCCTTCGCTCCACAATCAAGCGCGTGTCCATGGCCCAGGGAACTGTGGCAGCGACCTTGCCTGCTGCTCATCTGCCAGAGTCCCTCGATTGGTCCAGCTACCTACTGGCCTGGTAGTTGAGGCGGCCGACGACACCCCTGCCGTGTCCACTATACGCTGTGTGGTCTCTGTAGTCGGCCAGGCCTGATGTTCACGTTCAGATGGGCGAAGGGTCCGTGGAGAGGCCGGCCTAGCCGGGACCTGGCCAGAAGGTACAAGACGACTGATATGCTCACGGTAGAAGTCCCTCTCGGAGCGATAAAAGTCACGTTCCTGCATTAGCACCCGAAGTTCTTGGGCTTGCCTTTGTAGGGCTTCGGTTTGCTTCCGGATTTCATCCTGCTGGGCCGTGATCTTCTGCTCCATCTGCAACTCGTTTCGTTTCCTATTGCGGAACCTTCTCGAGGCGTCACTGTTTGCCTTTCTCTTCTCTGCTTGACTCGAGGAGCCTGACTTTAGGTCTAGGATGCAGGGAATCATCCCAGGAAAGGGAGGGTCCGCCTGGGAATTAGCCACAACGACGGGCTCATCCCCGACGTGCTTGTGCCCTGCCACTACCGAGGGTAGTCGAGTGACCGGCTCCATCTTTGTATGTGATGCGGAATGCAAGAACGACGGTGCAGGCTGTGAGCCCGAAGCGGCAGTGGCAGCAGGAGACGACCGCCCGAACTGGCTGAAGGCCGAGATGGGTGTCGTAGGGCTTGTCTCCTGAGGACTTGGATTTGGTGTCGGGTTAGCACTTGATCGGCGGCTGTGGAAGGTCGGTGTTGAATGAACGGACACCGGAACAGACTGCTGATATCCCGCCACGGATATCGGTTGACCAGTGACAGAATCTACTGGCAAAGGTGAGCCAGGCGTCACGGTGTATAATCCCAATCGTGACTCTTTCGCCAACGGAGATTGAGAAGCGCTCGCCTTTCGGGGATACCCGACCCCCGAGTTGACAAATCGAGCTGATGGTGAGACAGGGGCGATAATCTGACGGCTTCTCATCCCAGGAGATGCCGATAAGCGTTTTGCGTGCGTTGATGGGGAAGGAAGATGTACTTGTTGGGGGGGGAGGTGTTGATGAGATGGAGATGCCGAGAACCGATCTCTCAGTGCCTCCGGACCAGTCTCCGGAAGGGGAACGGATACTGGTGGTGCATTCGTCGGGGGGTTCAGGATCGAGTCAACTCCAATGGGACGAAGCTGCGTAGAATTCAGCGGGGGCTCCACAGGGATTGACGGGTGCCATGAACCAGGGCGATGCTGCCCGCGCATAGAAGAATCCTCGTCTACAAAAGGTCTTTTCTTCTCGTGTTTCTCAGTTCGAAGGGCATCTTCTGATGAAGGGCCTGTGACTGGAGAAACTGGCGACATATGCTCCGAGTCTCTTTCGAGGGACTGCCGCAAGAGCCTGGGGCATGGCGGGGCCCCCCCTCTCTCCAGGTGAGCCGGAGACTCGGGCAGGGGGGTGCGAGAGAGGGCGCCAGTCGGTTGGGTGAGATGATAGCCAGACAGCGAATGATATTGATGAGTGGAATGCCCCGGGTTGGCGTACGGAGTGTTAGTCAACACGCTGATCGCTAGGGTCGCCACGGTGAAAGACAGAAAACAAATCGGGAGGTTAGACCTGGATAAAGACGGGTTTGTAGAAGAAATTATACAGCTTGGTTTTGGTTCTTCAGGAGAATCTCCGTGCTTGTCTTCAAGAATGAGAGGGCAAGCAAACACTACAGCCAGAACCACATTCAATCACACACGCCTGTGTTTTATATATGTAGTATAGTAGCAGTACTGCCGGGGCCGTAGATAAAACAGAAATAAGGATATATATAATCAGAAAAGATTAAAACCAAAAATAAAATGAAATCAATCTAAGTTCTTAAAATAATATAGAAAGAAAAAAAAAAAGGAACACCAGTGGAACAACGCAAGAATAGATTGTCTAAGAAGAGACAAGCAAGAGAGAGAGGGAGAGATAACTAGAATACTCGATTGGGGGACAATCAGGATAAAAATAATGATTCCGAGGATTAAGAAAGTAGAAAAGAGACAACACGACGACGATGGATATTATCTCTAATTATTATTATATTTTTCCTGGACGGAGGGATTGTGCTTCACATTCAACGCCGTTTTGACGGACCAGCAAGCAATGCAATTCTAGCGGTGTGCGAATGGGAAGTGGGACCAAAGTGATGATGGGTTTGCTTTAGACCGCAGGAGAAAAAAATATATAATAATAATAATTATAATAATTATAATAAATAAATAAGAATAAGAATTAAAAAAAATTTAACTACCCCCAAACTAAGACAAGGACCTAAGTCACGAACTGAAATTGGGGGAGACACAGAGAGAGAATGGAGTCAAGAGGAGCTCGTAGAGTTGTCCAGTGCTATTCCTGACTACCTGTTACCTGATTTAGTGTTGACCAACGTACATAAACTCCGTCTTCGAGGTACATACATACATACAGGATACCTAACCTAACCTAACCTAACCTAACCTCTGTATGTACCTAAAAAAGGTTCCAGGATCTCAATGCATGTATGGGGTCTTTGGGCCCATTCGTACATGAAAAATTTAGGTATACGCCCGGGAAAATTCCAGGGCTGTTCCCGTCGTCATTACAGTACATGGTACGGTACGGTAGGGCTTTAGGCCCATACTGTATGTACAGTACGGAGAGCAAATCACCAAAGTACCACCTAAAAGATGGAGCCCCGGGGAATCGGGAAGTTCATTTAGTTGCGGACCTGAAAGGAAGGCCAGAAGGAGTTAGTGGGAGATTCCTTACAAGTAATTAATTATTCGCTTTAATCTCCTCTGACGGTCCTGGGCAATTGAATGTTGACTGATAAACAGGAGGATGTTACACCTGAGGTGGACCTCAACTTTATTATTATGGCAAAGGCAGATTATCTTAAAGGGCAACGACAGGTCCGAAAAGCCTCATATGGACACTGAGTATACCCAATCTCCCAAAAGGGCTGCCAGCTAGCTTCCTTCTGGGGAGGGACCCTTGAGAACGAGAGAAATCACCTAAAGATTGTACCCACCCTCAAGAGCCACTCCTGAGGCTGGGAAAGATGCAAGTGAATTAAGAGGCGCCGTCACCATGGTCATGGACAGGATCGGTGGAGGCCTAAAATCACCTAGTAATTATGCTAACACCTGTACCTTTTAGGGAGTCGGGCCCGACATCCGTAGCGACCTTTCCTATCCATGTAATTGATATTGTCCATGCATACGTATGCACACTTACCGCCACGATTTGCATGGGGATCCTGAGAATATTATACTATTATTATGTATGTATGTATGTATGTATGTATGTATGTATGTATGTATGTATAAATAAAGCGTAGAAATAGGTCAAGAGAAAGGAAAAAAAAAAATAAAATGAATAAACAAAATCAAATCAAATCAATTTAAATAGTTTTCTACAAAACATTGGTTTGAACCTTAAAAGGAAGGCCATGGAATGGGTTTTCAGCTCTTCGTCTTGACTTTTTTTATTTAAGAGAGAGAGAGGAAATAAAATAAGAAGGTCTTACCAAGGTCTTGGAACTTATGGACAGAGAGCTAATGTCTCACTGCCCCATCACTTTTTCCAAAGATTCCTCGAAGTCCAAGACTCCGCAGTTACCGTTCAAGGAGAGACACTTTCTCGCCAGTAGGTCGATTGTCACGCACATCATATTCATCTCCCGGACAGGATGTATCAAGCTTTATCAACCATCTAAACCAGTTGAAAGGAATGACTGACGTAGGACTGCCTTATGAATTAGATCGACTGATGATCGAGATAGTTTCATAATACAAAGAATACTGGTAGCTTCACTTCCGGCTGAGCCTTCGAGTGTGGCTAGCTGGCAGACCAATCCGGCCTGTGCTTCTATCTGTCCACCAAAAATGATTAGGGTTGATGCTGTGAGGCAAGTTATTGCAACTAAAGGAAACCCAAACAAAGGCACCAGCCAGTGTAGAGCCGAAAAAATGGGGCGGAAAGAGGGATGGACTTCCATCCCGGAAGAACAGCTAACTCGAATCAAAATATTTCGCATGCAGGGTGCTTCACTTTGGACCCAAAGTTTGGCAAGTAGTGAGCGACAGACCGTGGTGCACTGATTGACTTTGGAGGCCTCTGTTGATCGCCGTTGCTCTTCTCCTCACTACCCTTTTGCCCCCACCCTCCCGTCATCTCTGGGGGTCCTGACAGTTTCCCTCGCAAGTCATATCGGGATGCCGGGGCTGTCTAGCTTCCTTCGATACAGGCCAGGCACCAATATTGGAGCCTATCGTCTATGCAAACACATAAATGGTTCGCTTCGGTGGCACGCTGGCCCCCTATCAGATGGATAAATCATTACGGGAGGAACCTGTTATCGACGTTCCGTCTCCTGAGTGGCCCACGCGGGGATCTGCTCGTCCATTGACGTCGTGTTGAAGCGAGACTAGGTAGAGGTGTCTCAGCTACGTCATTGGGCATCAATCGCAATGTAGGCAATTCCACAAGGTTTGTGTGGTGATCCAAACAAAGACCTCGAAGGATCCCGATGTTCGTTCCAACATGCGGATAAGGATCGCGGGTACGGACTGTTACGGCGGCGGCTACCTAGCCGTACCATGTCTCTTACACGGTCGAGGATGTATCCTTTGCACTGAGAGCCACTGATCGATCTCAACCAGCAAACGTAGCGATCTGCAGGCTATTACACAGCCCGAAACCATGCATATGAACCAGCGACTAAGCTCCCACGCATTGATTGCTTTTCCATATTGTTAGAGTCGGCTTGCACCTTGGCAGGCGAGCAAGCTGAGGCTGTGTCTCATACAGCAGCACTACATATAAAAGGCACAGATTGAATTATAATGAAGACGTCGAAATTGCTTTGCCACAAGGAGCATCTCAGTCAGATTGTTCCTCACCGCTAGTGGCTAGTGGTCGTCGTCGTCTGGTTGAATTCTATTAGCTATCTTTACTGCCGAGTTTTTTCTCTTTCTTCTTTTTAAGAAAAAGAGAGACGGAGAATTCTCGCGAATTTCCATAAAACCTGGCTATGCAATTAAGAGTAAAGCAGACGAAGGCAACTGATAGGGGAAAAAAAAAGGATTGGAAAAGTCAAAGAAAAACTTACAGGTGAGCCGACCTCTAATGTCGGTAAGGATCAGAGAGCTCCATTTTCTGCAGCAAAACAACAAATCACCTGCAGTGAGTTTGGGAAATTCATGGGGGATCGTAGGATTTTGACGATACCATTGGTCAGAGGTTCACAATTGTAAATTTTTGAATTGCCTCGGTCAGGGTTACGGAGAACTGCTCCCTTCAGTTAGTGTCGCACTGCTTAGTTCCAGTGGACTTGCCCACAGCCACCTAGACGACCAGCATCATAAATTCAGTTTCGCGTGGATGTAAAGCGTTAGTCTTCCGAGCTGCGGTCTTCATTGGAACCTGAAACCCCACGGAGAAAGGCGGTATTCAAATGGAGAGAATGATTAACGTCACGCATCCGAAGGTGGATAGGATTGTAGACAGCCAGAGTTTATTAGTTTCAGTAAATAAACTGATAGTTAACGACGGGCGATGGTAGATCGTGTGGGCCGGAACAAGACACGCCATGGTCTAGAATGACAGACAACAGGAATTTGATGGCGGGTCATGCCAACTCGACTTTACCTGGCCACATGGTCTGTCGTGCCATAGATATGCGCTATCATGTTTCTCCTCGGTATGCGAGAAAGTGTGGATAACTGCTAGGGTAGTTAGCGTATTCAAGATAGGAGATACAGCTGAGCGCGTGGCAGATTAGACTAAGTATACTTGGTATATAACGCGTACAGATTACTGTGTATCTTTTTTTTTCCACTATCGCGGGAAGTGGAGACAATATTTTATTCATCGTTTGATGTATCCGCCATATGCAAGAGTCGGAAGTTGTTTCCGTCCGGTATAATGATATCTCTGGAGGCTGTTTGGTTTAATTATAGATTGAAGATACCCGGTCTGTCGAAGATGGAACAATGAGAAGGGAAGGCGAAAGGAGAATGGGGTGGGATTATGAAGATGACGGTGGTGTATGTGAGAGAGTGGCCACAGATTGCATGTCTAGTACGAGTTCCACGAGATGTATCGGTGCCTTGTCTTTTAGGCGGCTTTCCCAGCAATGCGGTTCGCGACGGCCCCATCCGCCTAACCGTAACTTCATTTTACTGTAGGGTACCAACTACTAACGTACCATAGATTACCTAGTAGTAGATATTTTATCTACCTACTTGGATAGGGGACGCGTTCTTCCATCTTTCTCGAAGCTTTGTCGGAAGGCAGCATGCGAAGATCAGCCAACAGTTTCACCCTTGCCGCTAGCCTTGATGCATTGGGATGTGTGTGTCATATCTTCTTTACTAGAACTATTTTCCTTCGTACTATATCACACTATCACACGCCCAAAAATTTAGTCATAGGCTTGTCTTTTTTTGGCCCTCTTAGTTTTACCCTTACGCCCCTGGCTACCAAATGCACGTCTTCAGTGCCGCTGTACGCGCCGGTCAATCCCACCGATAATTGATAGCTCCAATACATCTCGTGGTACTTAAGTTTAAATGGTGAGTAATGCTTTCCTCTTGAAATTTTCGATCTCTCAGAGAGATATGGACTCCACCTAGACAAATACGTTCCATATGCGCTGTACGTACCCTAGTCTATCATACCTAACTTTACACTTCAATGTTTGTTTACTACATAGTTTACTTAATACGTAGAAAATTTGTATTTTCCTATAGAATCTAATATGATGCTAAAAAGAGAAGGGCTAATAAGAAGATAGCGAGCGAGAGAAAGAAAGAAAGAGAGAAAGAAAGAAAGAAAGAAAACAACAACAACAACAACAACAACAACAACAACAACAAAACCCCTTGCAAGATAATATTAATTGCCCCCAGCCTTCCACGAGTGTCTGCATCCTTCTGCATATCGGGGACCCACCGATAGTGTGCTGGCCCGAGGAAACCCTTCAATGGGAACTTGATATCCCTAGTCAAACTTTGGCCTAAATCCTACAGCATGTACATGCATGCACTGTCATAGGTCACACTTGCCTCCTGCCAACTTTTGAACCGGAGGGACTGAGTAAGACTTGCGCGGAACGACAACGCTACATCCGATCTCTCTGATCCTGTATGTGGGTTGCATCATCATACTTGCATAGAGAGAACAATGCCATTATGTATGATTTCTTCTGCAATTAGGGTTATTTTGCGTTTTTAGTGGCTACTTGGTATGTCAGCAGGGCTTACGAAGCTACCACCTACTGACTAGTATGTAATACCTCCAGCATACTGTACGACATATCTCAACCCCAACTATGCCGTCCTGACTTAGGCTCCGATTTTTCGAAGATATGGCCAATTTGTCCCCTCTCCAACTTGGCACAGGATAAATGTCGCTTTTCAAGGCTGAAGATTATCTTTAATCTCTCACTAGCTGGTAGAATGGATTCTTGTTATTGTTTGATGTACTTTTTCATTCGATCCCCTCCAATAGCTTGCTTAATCACGCGAGATCAGTAAATAATTTTAGACCCATGCAGGTGGAGTTTCAATTTGCCGGGTGGCTAGATTTCTTCTTCTTACATGATACATATACGAATATCTTTGATTTGCTTTTCCCATTTTTAAAAGTACGTGCATTGCTGCTCTCCCATCATTGGGCCGTCTCAAGGCTGCGGTCACTCCCGGGCCTAAAGCAAGCATCTGCAATGTCCACTCAGCAAACATCGTCAGCTTCATCGCCTCATCTTGATACATGGACTACTGCAAGGGATTACTTCGGCGAATATGCTTCTACGCCAAGATTCCAGTAACACACGGCTGACAGTCTGTCCAATAGTTCGAGGGACAAATATGCCGGTAGCACATGACTCGATGAGCTTCTGTGGAGGTTCAACTCGATCCATCCATCGGCTCTTTTGGGCAACAACTCGGGTTTCAGCTGGGAGAAAATCTCAATCCAAATCCCTTGTTTCAACGACAAGGGAGTGATCCATCCCCGACAAGCATAACTCAATCACCACCTGTCCGGTAACCTGGACCATTCCCAACAAATGGATACTACAAGGCGACGCTGGGTAGGAGATTTTTACACGCTGTGCGGGCATTGCCTTCTCCCCTACACACCTAACTATGTCACACATAAATCAGTTCGGGAATCGAAACTCATTCCTGGGCTTGCCCCTGATTCCCACATCAACCTTATAGACTCGCCCTCCATACCGGATTGAGTTCGGGAACTGCTCATCGTCGGTGTCATCCTTGGCGGTCGTGATGAGCAATTCGGTTCCCACAAATACCGGACAGGTGATGTTTCTCGTGGGGAGCGACACTTCACCGATGACCTTCCCTTCCGGCGAGATGCGAATGACTTTACCACCTCCGTAAATCGCGCTCCAGATACAGCCTTCCGCATCGATGGCAAGGCCATCTGGCTCCTTTGGCTCCCCCAGGTCAAAGTGGACTCGCCGGTTGCTGATCTCTCCGGTTTGGGCATTGAAGTCAAACGCGTAAATTTTTCCAGTGGGCGAGTCAGTCAGGTACATAGTATCATCCGCATGGTTCCAACCAATCCCATTGGGGATGGTCAGCCCTTCAACCATACGGTGCAAGCCCATATCGGGATCCAGCCTGAAGAGAATCGCCTCGTTGACCGGGGACTGCACCTTGGGATCATTCATGGAACCTGCCCAGAATCGCCCATGGCTATCGACCGCCCCGTCATTGAAACGCATTCTATTTTGGGTTAATCCGCTTAGTCAGACTCTACGGGCAGTAACTGAGCAAAGAACTTGGAAGCCTAAATACCTGTGAGCTTTTTCGGGGTCCTTCTGATCATCCCAAGCCTTAGAGATGTACGAGAGCAGGCCCGTAGCGCGGTCGAGAAGAGCATATCCATGCTTCGCAGCTACGATTATCTGGTTGTTGTAGGCATCACCAGAGTCTTTGATATTGGCTGTTACCCTAAGGTCAGGTTTCGCTGATCAGCTTAAGGTTGTCGGAGAAGCTACAACTGCAGGGATGTGTCCGTCCACGCACCCGATTGAAGCAGACGTATCAAAAGTCTTCAGAGAGTCTGGCCCTTTCGCTAAGTCCACCACATAGAGCTTCTGCTCCCAGATATCGACAAAGCGGAACTCATTCCTGGGCTCGTCATGGAACGGGCCCTCCAGGAGGGTTCCTGCGATGTCGATGTACGGCTAATGATTGAAGAGGTAAGAACGAATTCGGTATTTACATTTCTCTCACCAGTAGCAATCCCAACCACGGTGTTCAGAACATTACCTCAGAGACCGTCCACTTTTGGAACGCTGGCATGGCGATAATCCGATTAATTAACTAATTATCCCAGGAGACCGTGCTTTGATTTCAGGATCTGATCGGTACCACACTGAAGGTGCTGGATCTGGACCCCTGGACAAGGAGACGGTAGCTGGTTACTATCAATAACCTCGTAGAAACGTGGACAGTCTGAGCCGGGCGTCGCAAGTGGTAAGAAAGCCGAAAGGGAACGAGGATCGATTCAATAGTCTGACCAGATTGTCTCAAGACTAACTTATCCAGTGTCGTGGCAGTGGGTGCCAAGACCTTCCCCACCTGACTTGGATCTCTTACTCTTACAAATCCTTTTTGATACGCATAAATTCGTCCCTATCAGCGGGTCGTCCTTTACTAGTCTAGTCGCGTTGGATGTCATACATTGCTTTCCTCAGTGGATGGGATGGATTTACTTTGCCATTGAAGTACATACTACCCTTAACACCCTCTAGTCTCAAGGGTTGTTCCTTCAGGAATTGGGGCCTTTTCCGGTAAATGGGAAGAGGGTTCTACGGAGAGAGGGTTATGGAAATTACAAATAAGGGGAGGAGAAATAAGATAGAAAACAACTCTTTCTTTTTCCTTTTTTTTTTAAAAAAAAAAAATAAATAATAAATAAATAAAATAAAAATAAAAATAAAAGCGCCCCGATATTCTTAACGGTGTAGCAGGATTATTCCCCGGACCAATTGCTTCTCAAACTATTGGACCTATGGTGGGCATGATTATTGGGAAATCTGCACCAGGACACGTATCCACACAGATGGGGCTATCACACGTCATGTGAATAAGCAATGCGAGACAACAAACGTGGTCATAGAATCTACAAGTGGAGGAGAAAGAGAAGAGAAGAGGCAACCACTCAATCTGTTGCTCGATTAATCAAATCTGCCGCTTGGGATTTCCACCGTGCGCGAGTCTTGGGCGTTTTAAAAGGACCGTGGCCGCACTGCGGCAAACTTCCCGTGTTACGCCTCATTTGTTCCAGACTAGGACCTTCGGTGGGGAAGTCAGGAAACGGGGTAACATCAACAAATAGGAACTCATCCGGCTTTTCCTGCCTGGGGCTGGACAGTCTGGAAAAGAATTAGCTGCCGGTATGTCTATCCCCAAGCCTTAAGCAAGCTGCGTGACAGAATTGAGGTCGCCTTGCGACCGGAAGACTCCACTTCCTGTCCCTGGTGGTTCCTTGGTTGCAGACACGGCACGACGGCCAAGGTCCCAAGCTCCCGGACTTTTGGCGCAGCTTGCCTTACCATCTGAGTTTCTGGCGTACAGCCGTTAAATGACAGGTCTGCATTGCTGGCTGCATTGATCACCAGTTCTTTGTGTATTCTCTGAGGTCTCTGCCGCCACAAACCCTCTCCGCATTGCTAGCCTGCGGTCAGATCAGACACTCTGGGATGTCTGGGAAGCATTCTGTACCTATGAACATCCAAATGGCGAGGGAGGGAAGCGGCCCACTCAGACTGCTTCCAATTCCTTCGATGGAGCTCTAGCATGGAAGCGAGACCCTTCAATTCGGCAGTAGATAAACTACTAACGCAAGAAGGCCTTAGTGAAGGCCACAATTTAGTATGAAAAGTTTCTGTCTTCATGCCACTCTTGAATGAATGTGAGCGGTCTAGCAATGCTCTAGACGTTTAGGGTCGCATACTATACTTTGGTCCAGAACCAGCCGAGCTGGACCATCTTGTCTCTGGGGTTGATCGTCAAAATAGTGTCCAACCTACAACAGTAAACGGCAGCATCAGTGAGTTCTAGAGTGCAGCAAAGTCTACTCCGGACCGCATCACTTTTCCACTGTCGGTCTGCGATAATCAATGGTTGTTCAAGTGGATAGAGAGTTTTGGGAGGGGTGCTTTTGTTTTTTTGTTCTTCTTTTGTTTTTATTTTCCTTCTTGTCTTTTCTCCTTCCGAGGGAACAGGGAAACTTCGCAAGCGGAGTTGGCCAGCTCAAAACATTGACGCATTGTTGGGCAGTTGAGAGTACCTGCAGAGGCAATCCAGATGCCTGATATTTGATGTGATCCACCAACGCATACACGGACCAGTTACTGTATTGAGCATCTGCGGAAAATGCGGTGTAAGCTCAGGTAGGACGCAAGACCGTTTTTCTCCGTTTTTCCTCAAAATTTGGGATCCTTCTGACGGTTGCGGGCGAAGTTGAAAATCCAAGTACACGGACACTAGTCCTGATATACGTTATATATATATATACTCAAATCTTCGACAAGCCAATGTAGATGGAATTGGATAGGCAGCCTCACATGATCAATTCTTCATGCAATGCAAGACACAACCCGTAACTTACATGGTTGCTGCATGATAGGCTGTACCCGTCACGGTCGGTACCATACGGTTTCTGTTCGTTTCAGGATTCGTATCGGACGTATGTAATACCAACTTTGAACTCTGTCATTCAAAATCACACCAGATTAGACTTAGTATTTTCCTCTCATTTCTCTATCCATCTAATTATTTTTTTTTCCAATTATGATTTGTTTTCTTTTCTCTGCTGCTGCATGAAATATGCACCCAGATGAGAGCAAGATCCAACAACCTCCTCCAATGATCGGCTGGTATGTTATAAGGTGCAGTCCATAGCAAATAAAGAAGCAAAACCATCATCACGCAGCCCAACAAAAAAGCAAATCCAAATAAGGATTGCTGCATACTGCAACTAAGAGGCATCCCACTCCAGAGCTGCCACGACAGTACACTTAAGAAACCGGTGAACTGGCCAACCACACCGCAGCATCATTTATTCCAACGCTTGGCTGGTTGTCATTGGCGGTGGTATTTTTTTTTTTTTGATAGCCGCGATTTGACGCTCTTTTACTCTCTTTCTCTTTCTCTTCTTCCACCTACGGCACCGTGGATTGGCTAAACTTGGAAAATCGCTGAGGTGCTACCAGTAGTAGTACCTCCCTTCGGTTTAGGTCCCTATCCTCGGGTTAGGTACCAGGTAAGTACCACCTGACTGACCTGTACCTGTGGAAAAGGGAAAGGTGAGGTGGTAGTGATTGTTGTCGTGCAGTGCATTGCTTAGGTGTGTGTGCATTTGTTGTTGAAAGCGAGGTGGGTGACCCTGATTGGGAATCGGGCCTGTGATGTTGAGTTGTCTCTCGCTCTTCATTTTTTCCATTTTCTCATACTAGGTATACCACAGGTTTTTGATGAAAATACCCGGTAGTTAGTGGGGGTTAGTCCATTAGGTATAGGTACCTGGCCTGCACGCTGAGTTGTTTGCAGCAAAGACAGGTAGCAATCAATTAATTGTTTTTCACCCTGCATTGCATGTCGACTGGGCTTTTAGATCTACTCTTGGTTCTGCTGCATGACTCCCTTGACTCTTCAGGAAATATATATATATATATATATATATATTTATCTATATATTTAAATCTACTTAGATTATATCCATATATACGTACATATGTACATGTATATATAAGCATATATCTACAATTGTACAACCAGCATTCAATCCAAACTACATAACCCTCCCCTCCAACCTTCAAATGTCCATCCCATGTTACTATACTGTACACCCCAGATCGGCATTGGGTACCAACACATCTCACGTGCCCCCGCACATAGAACCTTCACCCAGTACCTAGCATGTACCTACGACGTACATGTATATCCCCTAGAATTAGAACCTTTAGTACTAACAATACCAACAGACCTCCCCATCCCCCCTTGTTAACTAACGAATATAAACCAATCCTCTATAATCCCACCCACCCACTGTATCACCTACATGCTTTCCCATTATAATCTTCCAAAAAAGAACCGTTACACGAACGATAACCGTTGAGTTGGACTCGGCCGGCCGTCAGTCTTTGACTCGAGTATGCACTGTACAGTCAGCATGATCAGCAGTGTCCACCCGCTAGATCTCCCTTTGTTTCCGAACGAAGAATGAGGTGTACAGAATCCCTCGGCTACGCGTGATCACTTACATATCTGATCTAAGATCTAAACCTGAACTTTATGTAGGTTGGCGATCAGACCCTTCCTGGATCATGTAGAGATCGTGGATGAGCAGGTGACGTACTGTACGTCTTGTTTGGGTCTTCTGTGGGTGGTGGGTTGAGATGGGATAGGGTGAGATGGGAACGGCATGATATACGCATGTTGGATGTATATGTGTAAGGACCACTAGATAGAGAGAGGGGGGGACAGAGGCAGATTAGGCTATGGTGTGGTGTGTGGACAGTTACCCGTATGTACAGGTGCCTGTTTTGGTTGGCATGATATGCATTTGTTTTTTGCCTTACTTAGGGCCCAGTGTGTAGGTTTAGGTGTGGCAAATAAGTAAGTTTTGGCTGGGTTGGGTTAGGCGTTAGCATGGGGTTGGGATGGTGTATGTGTGTGAAGTGTGTGATGTGTGCGATGTGTGCGATGTGTGTGATGTGTGTGATGTGTGTGATGTATGTATTATGTGCGAGGTTTTAGGGGGTAGAGGTTTGTTTGATGTAGCTAGTGGGTGGTGTCTACTACATTTGTATGTATGGGTGTGGTAAGTTATCAGGCAGGTTTTCGAGGCAGATCGTGGTGATTGTTGGTGCCAATCTGGGTATACCACGTTTTTTTTTTTTTCATTCTTCTTCTTTGATTTCGGATTATTTGAAGATATTTGCTATGATTGTTGGGTAGTATTTGGGGAAGTGGTTGGTCGATTCATTATTGGATAGCTTTTCTATATTTTTGCTGCAAGTATGATCCTGTGGATCCAACTGGCATCTGACTATCGTATATACAAACATAACACATCACAGATGAGGTTGCAGTGCATACATTACAACTTGGATCCGAGATTGACGTGAACGGCCTTTACATTCGAGTATGCCTCCAATCCGGCTTCACCGAGCTCACGGCCGATACCGCTCTGCTTGATACCACCAAAGGGAACTCGGAAGTCGCTGTCGTTGCTGCTGTTAATCCAGACCATGCCTGCTTCAATTTCGGAGGCCACACGGTGCGCACGCTCAATATCCTTGGTGAAAATGGCCGCGCCCAATCCGTATGTCGTGTCGTTGGCGCGAGTCACGGCCTCGTCCTCGGCGGTGAAGCTAGAGATCACGACGAACGGTCCAAAGACCTCCTCACGATAGATACGCATATTGTCCTTAACGTCCGTGAATATGGTTGGAGCGATGAAGAAGCCTTTGCCGTCGCCGACGTTCTTGTAAGGCTCACCACCAGCGACGAGTTTTGCTCCTTCGGACTTGCCGGTCTCGATATAAGAAAGGACTCGCTCGTACTGGGCCTTGGTGATCTGAGGGCCCTGGAAGGTGTCATCGGCGAAGGGGTCACCGACTTTGCTGGTCGCGACCACTTCTTTCTTAAAGAGCTCGATAAACTTATCGTACACAGAGTCATGGACCAGGATCCGAGAAGTTGCTGTGCAGACCTGTCCTTGGTTGTACATAATGCCGATGTGTGCCCATTTAGCAGCTTGTTCAAGGTCTGCGTCGCTGAACACCACTAAAGGAGATTTACCACCCGTTTCAAGGGTGATGTTCTTCAAGGTGCTGGCAGCCATCTTCATGACTTCCCGGCCGGTCAAGGTGGAGCCAGTAAAGGCGACCTTGTCCACATTAGGGTGGGTCACCAGAGCGCTGCCAGCAACCCTTCCGAGGCCGTTGACAATGTTAATCACACCAGGGGGAAACCCAGCTTCCTTGATGAGTGTGGCAAGGTAGAGGATGCTAAGAGGTGTCTGTTCGGCTGGTTTCATTACGATGGTGTTACCACATGCCAGCGCAGGGCCAAGCTTCCATGCAGCCATGGCAAGGGGGAAGTTCCATGGGATGATCTGGCCCACTACACCAATGGGTTGGCGGAGAGTGTAGGCGAGCTTGGCCGGTGTGGTGCTAATGGTTTGGCCATGAACCTTGTCGGCCCAACCAGCATAGTACCGAAGGGTGTTGATGACCTCAGACAGATCCTCGTTCAAGGAGACAGAGTAGGGCTTGCCTAGACAGAGTCAGTCTAAGGACAACCTCAAGACTCAGTCGGTAAACTGATGGCACCAACCATTATCCCACGTTTCAATGGTAGCCAAAGTCTCTCGGTGCTGTTCTATGAGGTCTGCTAGCTTCAGCATCAAAGCGCCCCGATCCGTTGGTGGAAGCAGCTTCCATGAAGGATCCTTGAAGGCCTTGCGGGCAGCCTTGACAGCAATGTCAATATCCTCCTCGCCCGCAGCATAGACTGAAGCAATCTCCTTTTCGTCTCTGTGAATTGCTTAGTTTTGGTTCACGGGACATGGTGTCAGTTTAGACCTGGCTAACTTACGAAGGGTTGATCGTGGCAAACTTCTCGCCTGACTTAGATGGTACAAACTCGTTGTTGATGAAGAGGCCAATAGGCTGAGAGTACTTACGCCCATTAGGGGCAGTCAACTGCAGCGTGACGTCCGACATGATGGGTGAGGAGCTGTGAAAGAGTCGACGAGGAACTGGGGAGGATATTGCTAGCCTGGAGAGAGAAAGACCACGCAGGCACAAGCGGATGAGGAGTGGAGAGGGATAGAGGGGCATCAATGCAGAGAAGAGAGGAGAAAGGAGGGGAGAAGAAGAGGGAGGGGGCCTATAAGTAAGTCCAGTGCGTAAGTGCCTCAGCTGTTGTTAAGTTGCTGAAGGGACATTCCCCGCCAGAGATTAGTAGCTGGAGAACCAATGGTAAGCTCTCGCTGGCAGGTGACTTAGTGCCCCACTTATAGGTAATCGTTTATCGGATGCACTTTCTCTTCCCAGGAAAGCCTCCCCGTTCTAGAATACTATGGTTCTCTTCCATGGTTCTCCAATAAGTTTGTCGATATATATCGGTTAAGACCATACTAACTATACTCCACCTTAGCAACCCACCACTCACCATTACATCACTCTGTATCGAGATAATATGAAACGAACCAAGGTATATCGAACGGCTTTCCCCGCCTTCTCCCCCTCAATGACCCGCTCGGATCTCTCTTAACTACCTGCAAGTGTTGATTGAATTGGTGTCTCGACTTATCGCCCTGCAAACAACTTACAGTTAGTTCCTTGGGGTCTCGACACTCTACAATCCCGGGTGAGGAATGTCACCAGGTTATGTATGACTGGGCCTTGTACATCTCTTGACTTATGATCAGTAAGTAGTCATTGAAATACCATTCATATTATTGGAACACCTCAAAACCCAGATAAAGAACCCAGTTCATTGTACAAAAGGAAGCAAGTACGCTCATGGCGAGCTTGGAGAAAGTCTCGTTCAGAGTCGCATTGGAGAGAAAGGAAATTGAACAAAAATCAAAACAGAGAGTTCATGTCGTCCTCTACTCGCTAGATTCAGCCGCGCTCTCCTCCCCCTCCGGTGATGGCTCCTTCTCCTTTGCTAATTCTAGGATGAAGTCCCATTCCTTTTTGGTAACACGACTAACGCTGAGCCGGCTCTGCTTCAGCACCTGGAGGTTCTCGAGGGGTCCTCCCGACTTAGCATGCGCTTTGAGATCATTCAATGAAACAAAGTTCTTAAACTTGCGTCGGAACTCCACGTGGACCACCTCCCATTTGGGATCTTCTCGGGAGGACTTCTCGTCGTAGTATGGATGTGCAGGGTCAAATGCAGACTCTGGGAGATATCGCGTCAGAGTGGATTTGGGTAATATACAGGATTGATACGAACCGTCGGGTGTGTGCTCTTGTACGATCTCCATCAGGCCTGCAACCCCAGGCACTCTGCAGTTGGAGTGGTAAAAGAAAGCTTGATCACCCTTCTTCATTTCTCGAATGTGATTCCTTGCTACTCGTCGTAAGCCCGTTGTTTCACATATCGCTAGCTTACTAGACACCCTTACCAGCAGGGTTCCGCACACCTAGCAGATAATTAGCATTCACTTCGCTGCAACGCAGGAATTCACAGGGAAAACGTACCATCCCACGGTTCCGGCTTGCTACGCGAGGCCAAATCATCGATAGAGAACTTAACGTCAACGCCCTTCTCTAAGCGGGATTCAGGCTCTGCTTTCATCAACCAATACGAACGGTCGGAATCATCTTCGTCGACTTCGTCCTTTGCGTCCGCCGAGTCGGATTTGGGTTGCTCTGATCTGGCCGGTGAGTTGTCTGTCCCATTCTGAGAGGGAAACTTTCGAGGACGTCCAACCGGCCGTTTGCCTTCCTTGGGAGTACTCGGTTTCGAAGAAGTGCCTGCTGTACGTTAGCGAACGACATGTCGCGTTTCATTGGAACGCGTCACTTCTAGCAGATGGAACAGAGAGCCGACGAAGGAGGCCATGGTGAAATACGAACCTGCGGTAGATGGGTCCTTACGTGGACGACCCCGTCCCCTTTTAGGGCCGGGAGGAGGCTTGGGGCCACTTCCCTCGGGGTACTTGCGAGGGCGGCCTCTCTTCCTCTTCTCTCCAGTGGTTGGATCTGAGACAGCAGCCTGGGCGAGCAATGATGACATTAGTTCGCGATTACTTGAATATACACGGGGTAGATCGCGTCTTTTCTGTTCGGGATTTTTTTTTTTTTTTCCTTTCTGTCTTTGAACAAGATGTCTCGTGTCACAAGGGATGGGACGTCTCGTCAGTGAGCGGCGGTCGCGAATTGCCTTTTATGATGGGCTTTCGCATGACGCGTTTGCTCACGTCGGACTGATCGACCTCGGGAAAAGAAAAAATGGGATTCCGCGATTCACGTCGGGGATACGCACTCTTTTGGGGGAATTGATTTCTTCGGCAACGGGCGCGCCTTCGGACTTGCGCTTCTTGACTGGCATTTTTGTTACGGGGGAGGAATTTGCGCGAGGAAAGGGTGGCAGGTGAGGGGGTGTGAGGAGAAGTCAAAAATAGAAAATCAAATAAAAGGCAAAATTGATGAGAGACAGTGTGAGCCAACCAGTCAAAAGACAGTAGGCGGGGAGGATGGACGAGAGAAACACAGCGATCCAGACGCGCCGAAGGGAATAACAATCAATCCTGTGTTAGTGTTGGGTCAGTTATCTATCGGTGGGTGTACAATCGAATGATTGTCTTAAATGTCCTTCGTCTTTTTAAGGAAAGAGAATTCGGGGGTGGGGAGGAAGGAAAGGACACTCCCACCAACCTGGTCGTGAGACTGGGTTAACTGGAGAGAAGGAAACCTGAAAACCTAAGGCAAGAACTGGCACTGGAGTTTGAAGCTTTGTTTTGCGCCCGGGGGGACGGGGGGGACTTAGACTGGACTGGACGCGACGGTGGATCTGGGCCGATCATGGTCACGTGCTGTGCGGGAGTCCAGTTTGGTCTAGTCTGGTCGGTTTTGATACTCAAGACGAATCTCTCGCTTAGTAGCGAGTTTTGGATTCATTATGTACATGTATCCTTAGAGAAACATAAGTCGAGGACTATACAACCCCAGATTACTGGAACGCATTTCTGGAGGTGGTTCGTAGTTATACAGTCAACCTCATAGTAGGTAATGGAGACTTGGATACGACTACTAGTATGTGCAGTGGCAGTATGGGTTATCAAAGTTATACGTGAGAGTATCCTGAGAAAGATGGTAAATATACGAACGACTAGAAATACTTAATAAAAAGTATTTACTCCGGATCACGTTCTGTAAGTCTGAAAGTATATAAGTGTACATTGATATTCCCTTTGACTATATTGCTGACTGATAGATTTACTAAGCCCTAGATTCAAAATGCCAGAACCTCGGATGAGGTGAACTATAAATTTTCCGGATACAACCGTCGGGGAGATAGAATCCAATGTTAAAATACATGAGTAAAGAAAGTAGAACTCATAGACTCCAGCGGTGAACTGGGGCCAGCACACAACTTCAAGAAATACTTTACAAGTCAGAAGAATAGCCTTAAGCAACTACATTCAGAGCAAATCCCTGAGTCTCCACCTTGCCTTAATTAAGTTTACCAATTAGCAAGATCGGAAACAATTGAGTCACTTGGGCTACTGATCGACACCTGATTAAAGTCTCAGACTTCGTCGTCCATCGATCTCTTTGCCAACTAGAGGAATACTTAATTGACTTACGATTCCTCTCCCCCACCTCCCCTCTTCCCACATGTGCTGGGTACTTCGTAGATCCGGCTGAGACCCAGCGAACGGTACCTAATTGGAGAAGCCAAGAATGGATTCTGCGTCCAATCGGCTATCAGATCCGGCCCTAGATGTTGTCGGGGGGCGGAAATTCTGTTTAGAGGAAGAGCAGCATGGAGGACAAACGGCCAGCTCACCAGATTCTTACCAAGGCGTTGAATATCTCTATCTAAATTTTAATACGACGTTGCCATACCCCGTGGGCATCTCTTCCCCGCAACCGGGGCAAACACCCCCACCACCATCTCCCAACCTCACCAAGTATGCTTCACCATTCTTGTGGGCTGAGTCCCGCAAGACCGTCGTCACAATTATCTCCTGCTGTGTCACAGCCATGTCGGCTTACGCCGCGGGAGCATATACCCCTCCTGCGGATGAGTTGACGGTCAAGTGGAATATTAGTAGGGTTGTGTATAACCTGGGGATATCCTTGTATACTTTCGGCTTCGCCGTTGCTCCCATGGTATTGGCGCCATTCTCGGAGATTAATGGGAGACGGCCGATCTTTGTATCCAGTGGTCTAATTTTTACCGGTCGGTTCTTCCCCCTTGCACAGCGTGACTTAAGGAGAGACTAAGATTGATATCTCTGGTGGATAGTGTGCTTGATTGGATGTGGTGCTACGGAATCTTTTGCTGGTATGCTTGTGGCAAGGTTCTTTCTTGGTGTTGGCGGATGTAAGTTAAAGTACCTCTCGCGCTGTACTGCACTTTGGGTTTGCTAGTTAACGCTGTTTGCCCACTACAGCCACCTTTTCGACAATGGTGGGAGGTATCCTTAGTGATATATATCATACGGAACACCGCAATGGCCCCATGTCGTGCTTCTCCGGGGCTGTCCTTTTTGGCACTGGCTTGGGACCACTTATTCCGGGGTTCATCGATTATCGCGCTAATTGGCGCTGGATTCATTACTCCCAAGCCATTGCTTCCGCGGTCTTAATGCTTGTCCTGCTTTTCTTTCTCAAAGAAACCCGGGGGAGCGTGCTCTTGAGCCGGAAAGCTAAAGCCCTCAATAAATACTACGATACGTTGGAAGGCGCAGGCTATTGTGGCGTTGTGTTCAGCCAGGGAGATGATCTAAAGGGGATGCAACAAGTTAGACGCATAAGGTGGAAGGTTAAGAGTGATGAAGAGCGTGAGACTTTAGCGAAGATGATCACCATCTCTTGCTGCAGGCCATTTCGTAAGTAGGAAAATTTCTTAATTCTATGAGAGATGCCGCCAGTACTCATGGCTGACGGAACCGTTAAGACCTTCTGCTTACTGAGCCGGTGGTATTCTTCTTTTCGCTCTGGGTCTCCTTTAGCTGGGCGGTCTTATATCTCCAGTTCATCGCAATTCCCATCGTCTTTTCGACCAACTATGGTTTTAATGTGGAGCAGACCGGGGCCGTTTTTGCAGCGGTCTCGATCGGTGCACTACTAGCCACACCTTTGAGCATCTACCAGGAGAAACTCGCTACGCGGGTGGGTAAAATGTCAGGCACTACAGAAGGGCGTCTTTATTTCACATGCATTGAATCTATTCTGCTGCCCATTGGGTTATTCTGGTTTGGATGGACATCCTTTCCCTCGGTCCCGTGGATTGTGCCGACGCTGGCAGTGGGATGTTCAACGATCGGCATCTTCTCTATTTACTTAGCCACTTTCAATTACCTTGCGGATACTTATCATCGATATGCCAGTTCAGCGATCGCTGCACAGTCTTTCTGTCTGTCCCCCTCCCATCCCCGACAACAGCTATACATGATGCTGACGGAAGCCATTACCTACCAGGCCGAAACGTTCTTGGGGCTGTATTTCCGTTAGTCACCAATGCCATGTTCAACAATTTGGGTTATCCAGCGGCCTCCAGTCTCCTTGGGGGGATTGTAAGTCAGGAATTCCACCAACTGGAAAGATGTGCTAACCTCGACCAGGGTGTGCTGTTGACGATCGTGCCATGGGTCCTAGCATTTTATGGGCCGCGAATCCGCGCTAGAAGTAAATTTGCGAGTGTACGAGGCCTTAGTCCTAATCTTCGACAGCCCATTGCTAAACAGCTGCTAGGAAATCATGAATCAACATTAGAGATGCCCAATATCAGCGCCTGCTACAACATCCAACCCGGCATCTGAGCAAGAAAGTTATCCCGCAAGTTCGGTGGTCCTATACGTCGTCTTGGTCACGTTGCAATCTATTGTATTTGGAGGCCATAAAGATACCCACTCGATCCTTATTTAGGGTGCCTTCAAGCCCCAGTAACATCCTAGCAAGGTTCAGATCGCGGGGCTCTCATGAAGATAAAAAAAAATGGCAGGCGCCCGAGCAAGAAGCCATCATTTTTATTTGCTCCCGGATAAAGTTTATGCACTCAAGGTGATCTCGTGTACATAATCGTTGTATATTAAACAATTGTCCTGGCGATGACATACCTAGTACTACATAAAAAGGGGTGGGTCCTTAATCTAACTTAAGTTACCGAGCCTTCTAAAATGCCGGTCAGGGGTCCCTCGGGATTCGCTGATGCTGTTTGTCCGTGCAGGGGAGCTTCTTTGCAATTCGGCCCCCTTCTAGGGTTCGTGCAACATCTTGGATTATCCCTTGCAAAGATATCAAGCGTATGGCGGGAGGTGATGTGCAGAATTGCGCCATCTTTCAAAGTATCCATTGGCCGCAGGTCAACCACATTGTCGGCCGAGCTTATTCTTTTCTTGTCAGCAGTCGGCCGATAAACTCGGCTGAGGGGCACATAGTCGTAGAGGGGTACATATTCACAAAGCCCTGGCGATGAAGTCGGGATATGCCAATGCGTCCCAGCACAGCTCATGGGGAGTTAAATATTTAAGGTATGACTTGGAGAAATCCGGGGTTTAGAACGGACTCATACTTCCATCACATTCCTCGGAACGAACCATTGCCCATCTTTGACGGGACGGTTCCTCGGCGGGTCCTGGCGTACCATTGGAGTCTTGAAGATGTAGTCGTGTCTCATCCCTGTTAGTTCGCCATGCTAGCCTTCGTTACCAGTGAGGATATTCCTTAACATCTTCAGTTATCAATAACTAGTAGTGCATATCGTTGATTGCATCGTGGGGCTATCCTAAAAGGAATGCGCTAAACACCCCACTATAGGATGAGCACATGATGGACCAATGGAGACGGTTCTGCCTTGCAGGCGGTGGTAAATTGCGTGATTTCGGGGAAGAGCTACCAGGCGGTCATTCGCTGAACCCGCATCGAGGGGAAGATCTGGAGGGGTCGAGATTCATGTCTGGGACCGGAAAGGTACATCCCATTGACCTTTCCACCAAATACTACCTACTAACTAGTATTATTTCCCCGCCGCCAAAACTATTTCAAGGTCCCCTTTTCCCTCGTTCTCCATTTATCCTCTCATCTCTTCCCAATCTAGCTCTACAGTCAAAACCAGCCTTCTTTACTACTTCCCTTTATTTACTCTTTCACAATGGCCCAGGAACGTGCTACCCCGTAAGTATAGCCCATACTGATCCTGTTGCTACTGTCCTGTAGCCTCTAGTATCCTGTAGCCTCTAGTATGATGAGAGTCCATCCGTAAACTGACAAGGGAATTGACGACAGCATCCGTCTCGGCTCTACTGCCCCTGACTTCACGGCCGACACTTCCAACGGCCCCGTCACCTTCCACGAATACATTGGCAACAGCTGGACTATCCTCTTCTCTCACCCCGATGACTTCACTCCCATCTGCACCACCGAGCTGGGTGCTTTCGCCAAGCTTGAACCCGAGTTCACTGCTCGTGGTGTCAAGCTGATCGGTCTGAGCGCCAACGGCACCGAATCCCACAAGCTCTGGATCAAGGACATCGACGAGGTCACCGGTTCAAAGCTCACTTTCCCCATCATCGCCGATCCCGAGCGCAAGATCGCCTATGCCTATGACATGGTTGACTACCAGGACACCACCAACGTTGACTCCAAGGGTACGTTCTCGTTACCGCTATTCTGGTGGATGTCGAGATGCTAAGAACATGCTGCAGGCCTGGCTCTGACCATCCGTTCCGTCTTCATCATCGACCCCAACAAGAAGATCCGTCTGATCATGTCTTACCCTGCCTCTACCGGTCGTAACACCGCCGAGGTTCTCCGTGTTGTCGATGCCCTTCAGACCACTGACAAGCACGGTGTCACCACCCCCATCAACTGGCTCCCTGGTGATGACGTTGTCATCCCCCCTCCCGTTTCTACTGAGGATGCGCAGAAGAAGTTCGGTGAAATCCGCCAGGTCAAGCCGTGAGTTTTCCCGTCTCTTAGCGAGCAAGATTGGCGCTAATTCTTTCTGCCTAGTTACCTGCGCTTCACCAATCTCAAGAAGGAGTAAATTATAACGCAGATACCCACTTAGCCACTTTCCGTTCGTTGTTCCCCGGAGGAAAAATAAGCTCGGATCGCGGACATGGTTGGGAGCGTTTTCATGAAAAGGAGTATGATAGTCACGGCTTAGCAACTCTAATAATCTGATACCTCTTACGACACTATTTGCGCTTTTTTCTGTTACTCAAACGTATAATCTGAAATGCTAAGGTTCTGCCGCCCATGGCACCAGCCTTATGGGCTGTCTTTTCCCTTGCAGAAGGTAAACCCGACGGTCATTGTTCCTGCATAAGGGGGCATGGACCATCAATTGCCCTTACATACTATTAATATCGAGGCGTATTGCACTATAGAGAAGATCAAGAAGGATATTGACTCTGCGCCCCACGGGCCGAGAAAGGGCAAGAAAGTTATTCTGCAGTCGATGTCATCCTGCATGAGAACCCGTCAATCAAAGGGAGAGATAAGATTGTACGAGGAGAACGACTGTGTAGACAGGGTAACTCTGTCAGTAAGCATCCATAACCAGAAGGTCAAGTACATGACCGCTACGGATATAGATACTTCATATATACTTATTTGTATTTCAACTATACTTCATCCATTTCACTTCTCTCGGGGTTAACTGATGCGGGCGTTGGGCGCGCCAGTCAGTTCTTGCGGCGAATTTGACGGGCGACCTCACCTTCTTTGTTCAACCCCTCGATCGCTGGACGGTGAGACAAGATCGAAGAATTTTGTCTGACCACTTGTCAGGTCTTAGTGCGCTTATTCCGTCAGACATCTTCCGTATGTCGTGTTGTGGCTCACTTTAGGGCTATAACTATCCTTTGGAAGGACAAAAGAGATGCAACTCATATCCGTCTTACGCATCTTTATCCTCATATAGAAACAGAGTGTTGTTCTAATTGTTGGTTTTAAGAACACGACTCCTATTGTGGGGGCGAAGAGGGATAAAGTCCACGCATGATTATAAATAATAGTTTGTGGGGGATGGAATGTAAATGAGTGAGTGAGTGAGTGAATGTGTATGGCATTAAGAAGATGTGCCATTGCTAATTGTTTCCAAATGTTCTTCATGGATTCTAGTGTCTCCTGTCAAAGAGATTGACTTTGAGCGTTGGGAGTAAATCGCGCCGTCCTTGCTCCACTCCTTCCACCAAGTGTGTGCCTGGAACCACTTTTCTTCTCGGAGACCGCCTTGAAGTCCGCACTTCTTTCTTCACCGTCTTGAAGCAACACACCCTCTCGATACCACTGCGGATTCACTGGAGGATCTCCCTTGCAGCCAACCCCAAAAAGCGAGAAGAAGCCTTTTCTGTGTCTCGAAGGCTTGATTCTGCTCCTTAGCGACGGAGCCTCTCTGGGTTGGTGGTAGCCGCGGGGAAAGAGAATCCACCGGTGGTCCCATCACATCTCCCGCCCGGCCCCTGACTTGAGCGAACCGCTCACGACGATTACGATTAACCCACGTGTGATCTTTTCCTGGTCGGCCCCGGTGCGCTGACCCTTATTTGACCGTCGGTACTTCGCTTCACCTTTTGTTTGTGGTTCTCGCGTGTAATGATACCCGATTCATTCGACACCTGAGTCCGAAGAAAGTTTGGATACGCCCGATTACGGAAATACTGCTCGCCACGCCCATTCGACCTTCCGGAGGCCGTTGATCCTGGGAGAAAAAAAACCTGCAAGGCAATAGGCATTGCGCTGTCTCAACTGCGCCAAAGTCCATCCTTATCAAGATGATGTCTCGGAGCCAGTCGAGTCTGGGATATCTGGATTCGAATCGGGATGACCATTCAGGTTCAGGTATCTCGCCTGGACAGCAACAGCCGCCTTCGACATCGGGTCCTATAAACCTGTCGGGTCTAGTGTGCAATGTTCGCCGAACCACAGGAAGAGAACCGCATCCCCTAGTAGGAGCGACGACAACTATATTAGGCGATAAGCTCTACGTGTTCGGTGGCCGCGTTCTCTCGAAGACTCGCCCGCAGTTGACGTCCGACATATACGAGCTGGACTTGATTCGACGTCACTGGACCAAGATTGATGCCACCGGCGATATTCCCCGTCCGCGATATTTCCACAGCGTCTGCGCTCTTGGAGACAACAAATTGGTGTGCTATGGTGGTATGTCCCCCAAGGATACAACGCCCAATGGCTCCAACGGGCAGGAAGCGCAGCCAGAGGTGGTTGTGATGTCAGATATACATATATTCGATGTGCCTTCGCGGACGTGGACCCGGGTCACTGCTACCGACTCGCCCCAGGGACGATACGCCCATTGTGCGACAGTCCTACCTTCCAGTGCTCACTTCACCTCAGCAACTGCTCCTCTTTCTGCTATTCACCATAACCCTGCATCGTCGAACCCTCATCAGGGCTCAATCGGTGTGGACATTGATGGGTTTGGGGGCGCGGAGATGGTGGTGGTGGGCGGTCAAGACAGCTCCAACCATTATATCGAGCAAATAAGTGTGTTCAACCTCCGCAGTCTGAAGTGGACCAACACGAGCCCGTTGGGAAGAAGTTGCGGCGCTTATCGTAGTGTGGTTGCCCCATTGGCCGGTGTGAAGGTGTCTGACATTGGATCCGCTTCAATCGATAAGGAAGCACATGAACCTGTGGAGGAGTCACAAGTCGCGGGCTGTCCCATGCTGATCTACTCGAACTACAACTTCTTGGATGTTAAACTAGAGCTTCAAGTGCGTTTACCGGATGGCCGCCTGATCGAGAAGCCGATGCAGAATCAAGCATCACCTCCTGGTTTGAGGTTCCCGAACGGAGGCGTCATCAATGGACACTTTGTGGTGAGCGGCACCTATCTTACCTCCTCAAAGCAGGAATATGCCCTGTGGGCCCTCGACCTGAAGACACTCACTTGGGGCCGTATCGATGCTGGCGGAACCGTGTTCGGTCAGGGCAGCTGGAACCGCGGAGTGCTGTGGGCGAGAAGGAATACCTTTGTGATTCTCGGCCATCGGAAACGTAGTCTTGTGGAGGATTACAACCACCGGCGGCTCAACTTCTCGCATGTTTGCATGGTCGAGTTGGAAGCGTTTGGGCTCTACAACAATCCGTGCAGGACATCTCCGACGTCCGGATACATCTCTCATAGCTCGCCTGCAGTTCCTGCATCTCTTCACCCCAAACTGACACAACTAACATCTGGTGGAAGGCCGTTCTCATCCGCCTCTGACGAACTGGGAAGATTAGCCCAAACCCTTCCCGAGATGGCCGACATGGAACTTCAAGCAGCGGGAGGCGAACGTATCCCCGTGAATTCACGAATCTTGACTAGAAGATGGGGGCCATACTTTATCCAGCTTCTACGAGAGTCGTCTGACAATGGGGTCTCCGACTCCGCCACATTACGTGGAGCAATGCAGATGTATCCAAACCGTAACTCCAGCATCACAATCACCCCGTCGATAGGACCAAACAGCACTTATTCCAACGCCACTACTCTCGTCAGCAATCATTCGAACCCATCTAAGTCATTGTTAGCGAATCTTGAGATACCCTCTGCGCATAGTTTACCTCCTACATCTAGGCCTCGTGTGCTGTACTTGCCTCATACCTACCTCACCTTACAGGTCCTCGTCTACTACTTCTACACATCTTCCCTCCCGCAAGCTGGATCCTCCCTCTGCACACCCCAAATACTCTGTTCCCTTCTCCAACTTGCGCGACCGTACCAAGTCGACGGCCTTCTGGAGGCCACCGTCGAAAGACTTCATCAGGTCCTCGACGGGCGAAACGCCGCTGCCGTCTTTAACGCTGCTGCCATGGCTGCAGGTGGTGGCAGAGGCACCGGCTTCACCAGTGGGCCCGGAGGCACTTTGGAAGCTCTGAACGGCGTCCACGGCGCCACAGATTCCGCTTCCGGTACAGGAACGGACACATCACACAGCCATCTCACCTCGGACTCCTCCGACACCGAACACGGCGCATCTGGCGTCTCCATCGCGAGCAGCACGAGCGGCGCCGCTAGTGGCTCCCGAGGCATTCCCCTCCGCATCAACACCAACATTTTCAGCCGCCGACAACGCAACAACACCGCCAACGCCGACCGCGACCGTGAGCGTGAGCGTGAGCGCGACCGCGACGACTCAATTAGCAACGCAAGCACCGCCACCTCCGCCTCCACCAGCACCAGCTTCGACCACTCCGACACCGACGATGCCCACTCCCACCGCCGCCGCAACACAGACGCCGAGCTCCACCCTAACCGCGAAATTTGGACCGGAGACCTCAGCAGCGTCATTGGCCTGCAAAAACGCGGTCTTCGCGGCCTCATGGAAGGTCGTAGACTGCGCGAGCGCAACGTTAAACCGGCGAGTACAAGCGGACCCGTATCGGTTCCCCAGGAACTTTCCGCGTCCGCAGGTGGTGTTTGACGGATAGATGGATATAATCCTATTCCATTTTTTCCTGCCTTTTCTGTTTTTCCCCTATGCCTTGTATCCTTGCCCATAGCAATGGTTTCATTTTTCCTTTTCCATGATCCTCCCGTATGTCATGATCTTGATGAGGATTTAGAGGTTTTTGAGTGAAATGTATAGAATTTTACCTCGGTTTCTTCCGTAAAGGTCTTTTCATGGGTATTCATATATGTAATGCGGATAACTCTTCTACAATTGGGTAGGGGGCACCTGGAATTGGATATTCGGGACCATAAATCTGGGCCGCCCCCAAGGCTGCAGAAACAATGAGCTATGGTGGCTACTACATGACGCTTCTATCAATCTCAACAACCATGTGCTTTCATCGTCCGACTTGTCTGAAAATGCTCTGCACTTTTTTGAACTATCTGAAAAATTGCGAAATGCATACACCAAAAAAAAAGACTAAAACATTACCACTCCATCATCCAAACATGCGCCCATTGAAAACCAATGCTCAAGCTAGAGTCGTCGTCGTAACATATTCCGGGGACTTGAGAGCACCCATGCCTCCCAGAGCAACCGCTGCTCGCGTCTTACACTCACCCCGTTATCACCTAGGTCATTCGCTGTCAGTGCTCTCAGCCGTTCTAGGGTGGCCGCGGAAAATGAACGCCGAGTGCTTCCGCAGGGCGCGAAGGATGGGTAATCGCCATTCAAAATGGTGTGCTGGAGGGGTATGGAGAGGGTGGGTTCTGGTACGATAGAGAGGACGGATGGGCTGGCCGTGCTGGTGTGACCGTTGGTATTTGGAGAATCCGAGTCAAGGTGATCTGCGTAATCGATATCCCGGAGATATATATGTTCTACTTGGTCCATTTCGTCGTGCAAAACGGACAGGATATCCCGCCATCGCCCACCACCACGAAGGTAGATGCTAGCCAACCCTATGTCGCGGAGTTGTCTCCTATGTCGGCGGATGAGGGCGATGATCTCTTCTGAATGTAGACGCCAGCCCTGGATGCTGAGTGTATGGAGTCTTTTCCACTGCAGGCGATGGAATATGAGCTCCAGCGAGAGATCGAGGGGTGCATTGGCCCGAAAGCCTAAACGTATAGACGCTAGGTTCTTTGCGGATAGGAAAAAGTCATGGAAGGCGTTAGAGACAGACTTTATGCTGTTCGTCATGTCTTGGGATGAATGGAAGGTGATGTCTAAACTTGTTAATCGAGTGCCCAAGGTCGACAGCGTCATGGAGGGCGCCTGTAGCAGTCGAACTGCCGACTCTGGGCTAATCTGAGGCCCGACAAAACGAACGGAAGTGCAGTTGGACTCTAACAGAGAAATTGCTAGGCTTGTGACCGCCCGCGTGCATGCTGGTTCCCAGTCCAAACCAGCCGTCTCTTCCAGAGACTGCTCACGTATATAGTCGAGCAACTGTTCATCTGCTCCGTCCTGCAGACGAAGCAATTTAATTTGCCGGAGAGACGAAAATGCCAATATTGCGCGGCGCAACAGTAACATGTCATGGTCACCGGCGATTATATATTCCTGGTCTTCGCGCCGGCCCTTGTGTACTTGTGAGATTGCGGGGTTTTGTGTTTCCACTGTATTCAAAGCCTGGGACCAGCCTGGGTACTTGTCAGCGTGGCTTCCGTGCAAGGTAACTGGGTCAACAGAGACAGTACCGTTTCCTTGGTAAAAGGGTCGCACCATGTACGTGAAAGATCTCACATGGCAGGCCAGCTGCATGTCTAGAAGATCCTCCAGCCTCCGAAACCCATCCCGCGAAAAGCGAAGGACAAAGCGAGGGAATTTCCACGGTGTAGCGATTCGCATGAACCTTTTACAGACCAGTCTGAATCGGTCCAGGTCGGATTTTTCACCATGCTCAGTGATGGGACTGCCATTGGGCATGTAGGATGAGCCGTGGCTGTTTGTGGGAGAAGTATCGTTGGAGGAAGGTTCTGATCCAAGAAGAAATGAGAGAATGTCACTGATTAATTCGTCCGCGAGGTCGTCAATGCGCCGTGGTCTGTCCATGACTTTGTCTCAACAGGGCAGCCGCGTCTCCGGCTGCTTTGACAACCCGCAACAACATGGAAACCAGGCCTGGTCAAAGGGGGATTCAAAGGAGAAAGGCGCACCTCATGGAATGGTGCATGGACAAAGGTCAATTGAGGACGAACACTCCACGTAAGGAAGAGGAAGGAATGGGAGGTAGAATAAGCAAAAAAAAAAAAGGAAAGAAAGAAAGAGAGAAAGAGAGAACGCGAGAAAAGGAAAAGAATGGAAGGTAGCAAGGGCCTCCGAGGATTAGAAAGCAATATGAGTATATATATATATATCTCTCTCTCTGTTATGAGACAGAGCGAAGAAAAAGGAAGAAGGGGAAAAAGAAAGAAAAGAGAATAAATTAATAAGAATAAGAGCAAGAATAAAAAAATAAAAATAAAAAACAAGGTAAAGTGATACATCCCCTCTCGAGTCCCTAGACAGGACACACTCTCTATCAACTGCAGAGTGTCCAGCGCTTGGAGCACGGAGACATGTCTGACAAGATTTAGAGCGTCCCACATGGGCCATCACCTAACCCGGTCGACTGGGATCATCGTCATTATCGAACACAAGACAAATTCCCCAGGCCAACACCGCAGCGATATTGGACGAGAACTGACACACACCATGGTCACATGATCGAAAGGGTATGCGGTCACCCAGAGTGAACCTGCAGAAGAAAGAGAAGGATTGGTGACTAGAGGGATCGTTGGCTGGGCTCCAAGATAATGGAGGGGGAGATGATGCGACATGAGAGTCAGATACCTGCAGACGAACCCCGCCTGGGAAGCGAATCGTGGCGCGGTATAGCTGCAAGCCTAGACGACTGGCTCCAAAGCACAAATAGAACGCCCTGGAGCTAGGGGTCGTTGTCAACATGCAGAAAATCGACCGAAGTCACAACATTGGACTGCATGGCATGGCGTCACAGGCCACAATTACCGCGTGGGTGGGAGAATCTGTTGTGACAGGGAAAGGATCAACACCCACTTAATATGCATCGTCGTCCAGTAGTCGCCGACGGGCGTGCACAACCCCAAACATCAAGGGTTGATAAGATCCCTCTTTTCCAATGACTTCACCAAAGGCCGATGGAACAACTCATCAACAGTGATATAGCAAGGAAATAATAATAAATCATTGAGGAAAGAGGGGGGAAGGGGGAAAATGGAAACACTCGGAATTATTACCACCGTTCTCTATACATGAACAAGGATTGGATAAGAAAAGACGCTTTTACATGAATCCGGATAGCCTCATTGGCGCCCCGTTATTTTCCCCAATCCTAGCGGGATATATGGACACCCCAGGGAAGAACTAATCATTGTTGACGTGGTGTAGGGTAGTAGGTAGGGAAGGTAGGTATGTACAAGTAATGAGTTCTCCAAATCCGTGGGGAGGAAAAAAAAGTCTCCATAAAAAAAAAAGAAAATGTCCGTGACGAATAACTGATGGCTGCATAGGTCAAGCTATTAAAAGGCAATTTCCCGCGTCTAGCCAATCGATCACACTGGCTTATTTCTTGGCTTGTTCCAGCCGCTGCCGTCTGATATCCGTGCTGCTGATTTTGGACGCAAAATTTCCGCAATCAGTCAATGGTACGTCTTTAGTATGTAGCACATCAATCTCAAACACATCGAGGCTCTTCCAACCCTTCTTTGCACGTTCATCATTGACCGCGGCACCTCCCGAGCGAGTCTCTTGAGAGACCACGATGGCGCTAATGTTCTCCTCGGTGATCGTAGGTCCAAAAGGGTCGGAAATCTGTACAAGTTTCAGTGTTAATCCAGGTCGGATGATCATCAGAATATATTTTCCATTGGGTCCTGGCTGTGTGACCCGCTCGGTATGTGTGGCGCTCTTGTCGGGAGGGTAGAAGTCCATGATGGCCGTCAAAAAGGACGCAGCACTTTCACACCGCTCATCCCAGCTTTCCAGGCACTCGGCATATTTCTTGTTCACTAGTAGTTCATCGCCAGTGACGCCAATCGTCAGAAGCGCCTCTTTCCTCGGGTTAGTGTATTGAACGGGATCCAAGACCAACGCCATAGCCGTGAGTAGAAGCTTGTGTCCAATATGGAAGTGGTCGAAGGTGCCCCCTACAATGACTGAGTGATGCGTTGAGCTCCCCCGTGAATCCTCAGGCACCACAATTGATTCCGCTGAGGCCCAATTGGAGACACCGGGAATCGATTGCAGAGGTCCGGAATTGGGGTCTTTGGTCTGAGAATAGATACTACTGAAGGCCGTTGCTAAATTCTGACCTACTTGATTATCGGGATAATAGATTCGATCCCATAGACGAGCTGATGTCGCAAGGGTTTGCAGATCTAGGATGGGTCCCATTTGTGAAGCCTGGAGGGAACTCTTCCCGGAAGGGTGGATGGAATCCATGTCAAGCAGAATGACTCGCACATCGATGCCACCAGGACCATCCAGCTGAATATCGCTTTCCACGGAGACTATGCCAATGAGCCTGTAGATGTTTGCTAGCAAACATTGAAGACTTTGGAATACCTTCGCGCGAGGCTGACATGTGGGTGCTTGAAGTCCGGGAAGAAAGAGCGCAATGTCCAAAATGGCTATGTGGTTGGTACCATTGAGTCCGGCAAGTTTGGAGAAAGACGTCGACAAGATCGATTCGTACACACTCCTGCACTGCTCGAACGAAGCTGATGGTGGGGGTGGAAGCAGAAGTAATGCCGAGGCCGAGCTGATGCCATCTAGAGCCATACTGAATTGCGGGGAGCTGTTTTCTATGACGAAGGAACACTGACTCGTAAATTATTCATAAAAAGATTAGAGTAAGAATTCAGACACCGAGAATAGAGAACAATCATCGAGATCCGCCGGTTTCAACCGACATGGACAGTATACTTTTTTATGTATTGGGAGAGTAGTCTGGGGAATCTGTAGATTACTGTAATTAGTTCAATATTCAATGGCAAAATCCCCCCGCGGTTCAGCTGAGTCAGCGGGCACGAGACGTCCATCATTTGAATCAATCAATCAACCACCCCTTCTTTTTGTCTCATGTCCTTTCCATCCTACTTCCCCGACTCTTTCCTCCCTCCCCCTAAGCTCTAGGATGTTCTGCTGAGCTACTTCCAAGGTCATTTGTATGGAGTGATTTAGATAAGATCACGTATGTCCTTGGTGTAGCCGGAGCTCCTAGCTTACGCATCCCTCTCCCCGCCTCTAGTTCAGTTAAATACTACACCCCCGATACCCTTCAGCCGCAACCCTAGCGGTGGACGAAAATCAGAATTGTGATCGCAATTCGAAGTCTCGATTCTGGTAATATACCTCTTCAAAGAAGACACCCATTGCTGCCCAAAGTGGGCCGTGTACCATGTCGAACCCTGCGCAACCCTTCGACAATCGACGAGCGACAACCTATGGCCGGCCAGAGGAGCTACATATTCCGCCTGGGGGTATGGGAGCCTCGAACCTACAGCGGCAGTCCATGTCCCATGAATTCTCGGGAATCGCTGACAACCACGTTCCTTCCATAAATGTCCATCCCACGAGCTCTCAGCCCAATCAGTATGGCAGCGGCAATACGAACACCGTCCTGCCAGGAGCACTCCAGCCAGGAAACGTCAACCGTCCTCCAGCAGTGTCCATCAATACCGCCCCATCGGCCGTTCCTACCCTTACTCAGATATCTGCGCAATTACAGCAACAGCAACAGCCGCAGTCGCAGTCACAGCCGCCGCTCCCGCAGCAACAAGCACCTCCATCACAACAACCGCCGCCGACAACGCCCCGTTCCAACATGGGCAACTCGCATGGGCACTCGAGATCCAGTCCGGCAAATGCCAGGTACGGTTCGTCGCCTGGTGTAGGGTTCCAGCCTCTTACTCCACAAGGCAAATACTCCCCTCTTGGACTGGCCGATATCCGGCCAACAGGCGATCTTCTAGGCGATCCTCTCACCAGTCCCGGTTCACTGCCCATGAACGGAGATAATCAAGTGCCAACAAATAGCAATTATCTTGCGCCTTGGCCGATATATGCCGTTGATTGGTGTAAATGGCCCATTCCTGGAAATTCGGGCTCGTTCGGAGGCAAGATTGCACTTGGGAGCTACTTAGAAGATAATCATAACTATGTTCGCAACTCTCTCCTCCATTCTACTGTAGATGATACTAACTTCGCTCAGATACAAATCATTGATACACACTGGACTAAACCAGATCAGGATACACCAGATGCAGCAGCTGGCGAGATTAAGTTGGAATATGTTAAAACGGCGGAGGCCACACATTCATATCCCGTCACGCGAATACTATGGGAACCTCCCTCATCGCAGAAGCAGTCGACGGATCTCCTGGCGACTTCAGGAGATCATCTGCGGTTATGGTCTCTGCCTACAAATCAGCCATTGCAAACCTCAAATTCTATCACGCGATCGGCGAGTCAGAGGGAGGGCCCCTGTGCTAAGCTCTCGCCGCTCGCTTTACTTTCAAACTCAAAATCTCCCGAGCATACAGCTCCTATCACATCACTCGACTGGAACACGATATCTCCGAGCTTGATCATCACGTCTAGCATCGACACTACTTGTACGATCTGGGATATCCCCACCCTCACAGCCAAGACGCAGCTCATTGCCCACGATAAAGAAGTGTATGACGTTCGATTCTGCGCAAATAGCGTCGACGTTTTTGTCAGTTGCGGTGCCGACGGTAGTGTGCGCATGTTCGATCTCCGTAGTTTAGAGCACAGTACCATTATTTACGAGCCGACGGAGAAAAGTGATAAGCGTGAGTCTCCTATCCCTTGTCTGGTTCCGTTCAACATTGACAGGGGGTTCGTGCGCAGTAATCAGTCCCGGGAATGGCAGCCCCTCCGCTCCTATGTCCATATGGCCTCCGCCGCTTCTACGAATCGCAGGTACGTGAGCTCACTGACCCTGCCTGTTGTCAAACAACCTCATCAGATACTAATTAAAATAGCATCTCCTCATGACGCTCACCTTCTAGCCACTTTTTCCCAGGACTCCAACATTGTCCGTGTTCTAGACGTCCGTCAACCCGGCCAGGCCCTCTTAGAACTCAAGGGCCATGGCGCCTCCATCAATAGCGTAGAGTGGTCGCCGAATCGCCGTGGCGTGCTCGCCTCTGGCGCAGACGATTGCTTAGTTCTTCTCTGGGACCTAATCAACCAGCACAACGCCGCATCAGTTCCACCGGCGGCCCACACCCCCGGCGCTCCCTCGACCACCTCAGAGCGTGGTCCCGCCGCCGCTTGGCAGTGTGACTACGAGGTCTCGAATATCAGCTGGTCCCCGCAAGGTGGGACAACCGGCGCAGGACATCCGCGGGATTGGTTAGGAGTGTGCGGTGGGCGGGGATTGTGGGGTGTTGCGCTATAAAAGAACCGATTCATCTACTAGACGCTATATCCTCTACCTGTCTCACCTACTAGTCAGCCGGTTACCCTGCTATTTGCCCCGTGTCTTATCCACACCACGGCTGACTTGCATCATTCTACCATGGACGCGACATGGTACGGTCTGATACGAGTGAATGAATGAACGAACGCTTGGATAGTAAGAGTATGAATCTGTAAACATTTGAGTATTTTGTTAGAATGGCAGCCCTGCAGACAAGTAAATCAAAGGGGGGGGAAGTATATGTAATTACCGTGTCTAGTCTATTACAGGCAGATAACATGATATATAACAGGGGATCGAAGAATCAAACATATAATAAGTCATCAGAGACAGATAAAAATATACAACATCGTCATACGCCCGCTAAAATCGAGATCTAATGAAATAAAACATGCCTAGGGCACACCATCAACCGGGCAAGGCATCACTCACGACGGGAGTTTGCATTCCGATTTTCCTGTCCTGTCGCCTTTACAATGACCTTATCCTCCACCCACCGGGCAAACTTGACACTCGGAATATCCACCGCGCGCCAGTACACATCGCCCGCCCACAAGCATAGAGGAAGACAGATCAGCCACCCGATCAAGAAACCCAGACAATACTGGAAGTCGGAGTCCTTACCGGTCACGGCCCAGATATTCGGCATGAGCGAGTAACCGAGCGAGTGAAGGATAGGTCCATGGACAATGTAGAAAGCGAAGGAGATCTTGCCCAAGTACTGGGAAACGGGATTCGTGAAGAGTTTCTGAATATCCTTGGAATGGTTGATACTGAAGACAATGAGGACGGCTCCGATGGTTTGCGGGAATCGGTGCGGTTCCGGGTACGTTTTCGGCGTGATGCTCCAGGTCCACATGTAGAACGGGGTCCATCTGTAGCCGGTGTTAGGGGCGGAGCCGAAGTAGAGGCCGATGATGAAGAGCGCGATCCATAGCTTGCGATTGGATAGTCGGAAGGGGTGGTATTTCGTGGGGAACCGGGCGCTCCATGGCTTTTCATCCTCGGCTGGTCGCTCCCAGATGCCGTTGATTAGGTCCGCTTCGGCCATTAGCATGCCGCTTAGGAAGAGCACTACGTCCCACCGACCCCAGCGCATACAGAACCAGACTAGCGTGCTCACTAGGGTCATCCGCATCACGGTGGTTAGGCGTGAAGTGGCGAGGATGGTAAGGAAGAGGACGATTGAGCAGCGGAATTCCACGGGGATGGTCCAGAGGTGCGGGTTGTAGTAGTTGTAGTAGAGCGCCCAGTTCCACGGGTCTATCAGGTGCACTACAGTTAGGTACCAGTCCCAGAACTGTTTGTGGAAGCTTTTCATGATCGGTGGGTGCTGCTCATTGGTGCCCTGGATCGTGTGGCCTTCGAACAGGACCCGCTGCGAGTAGTCGTATATACCTAATCGCACGGCCAGCATGACGATTAGGATGCCGATGATCGAGGGGATGTAGAGTCGGAGGCCACGGCGGAATGTTGAGGAGGCTAGCACGGTGAAGGTCTGTTCCCATGCTCTACTACGGATCATTTTCAACGGCTTGTAGGAGAGTACATATCCCGAGATCACGAAGAAGATGGATACCATGATATGGCCGGACACGAGCATGTGGAGAATGGGCAGCTGGAAGAGGCTGTAGTTTTCATGATTGAAGCCCCATCCGACCGCAACTTTCCAGGTGTAAGTGAAGAGGAAATGAAAGTTGAAGACAAGCAGGCAGGCCCAGCCGCGCAAACCGTCCAGCGCTGCGATGGCATGGAGCTTGGTGGGCTTGGGCGGTTGGCCGCTGACCCAATGCTGCAAGTAACTCGGCGTAATGGCGATCGCGAATTTATCCAAAGACCATTCCAGACACGCCCGCCAATTGATGGCGCTTGCGGGGTCGGGGAGGATGTGCGACGAGGTGAAATCGGTGATGTTCGTCCATTTTGTTGATTCTTGGGAGTCGCGATTAGCACCGGACTCTAGATCATTCAGAGGAATAGTGTCGATCGCCGGCGAGGATCGAGGATCCTTGTCGTTGAACGACATGATGGGGACTGAAGAATGTGGTCGATGCGCAATTGTGTCTTGAATGTCAGGATTTATTTCAATGATGCGGAAAGGGGAGATTGCGTAACATCAGTGGACCGCAAACGGCATTTCAAACGTGGCCTTGGAAAGGATCGACAGGGTTATCTAGATAGACAGATGGGACATATATTATATACACGGAGAATATATATACTAGGGTCAATAAAGGAAGGAATGGAGAGGCAAAAGAAGAGAGGAAAGAGAGAGAGAAAAGAGAAGGTTAAATTAAAAGGACATATTGCGGAGTATACTTATTCTTTATATAAATTGTATTTAAATTGGCATTAAATCAGATCTAGAAAAATATTGAGGTTGGATAGTTTCATGATCCTTTTGGCAACAACAACAACCACCACTCCCAATTCCACCATAAATCTTGGGTTTCAAGTAATCAAATCTAGTAGATTAATTACTCTTGATCGGAGAAATCTAAATTCCAGAGAAGATCTCAATGAACCATTTCTCTACAGCTGTTCCGCGCAAGCTGTTCATAGTCGAGAGAAACTGTCCAATCACGAAATCCCGTTTCCGCTGTTCTTTTTCTGTTCTTTCGATCTCTCGCTTTCTCTCTTTCTTCTTCTCTTCTCTTCTTTTCCCTCACTTTCCTACCCGGCGCTCTCTACAGCAACCCCATTTTCTTCGAGCCGTATACATGTGGTGACCCTATTTCCTCCCCCTTCGTCCATTTCTTTTTCGTCAAAGCACCACTTCGCCCCCGATCAGGCCGGGGTGTTGTGGAAGGGGGTCGCAGCTCCCGAAGCTACATCAAGCTACGTAAGTTACACACACAACAAGAGCTCGCGACCGACTCGACAAAAACAAGAAAAATATCGCCATCATGGATTTGCGCACGATTATGAATAACGATGCCGCTGGCACCGCCGAAGTCCCATCCTCTCAGTCGCCGTCGCAAGTGTCGCGTAAGCCTTCCGATCCGATCTATGCTCCCCGCGACCAACGGACACCCTCCTATCCATCTGCCTATCCGAGTCACCCACCGCAGCCTCCGCCCTTACAACGTTCTCATGTCTCTCCGGAACGCTCTTCCTCCTATGGTTCTCTACAGTCGCCGTACCAATATCATCCAACCGCCGCGCAGAGTGCAGGCGCACAGTCTCAGCGCGGCCCCAGTCCTCCCCCTTATGGTTCGCGTGACTCGTTCTCTACCTACGGTCATCCCCAGCAGGTACAACAGCAGCAGCAGCAGTCGCCCTTCGCACCGCAGTATTCGCAATCTATCCAGTCTGTCCTGACCCCCTCATCCACCTTCACCTACTCATTCTATCCCAGGGAAAACCCGCCAGCGGCTGCTCCACAGTCTTACCCATCGCAGCAATTCTCCCCTCCAGCGCAAGGATCATTACCAGGTACACCGCGAGCTTCTGTTGCTGCATCATACTCTCGCCAGACGCCCCCATCCGCACGTCCCCAGTCCTCCGGCCATGAATCCTTGTCAAATCGTGCCTCCAGCCCGTGGGTTGGTCCGGATGCCCAAGTTCACATGTCCCCAACCGCGATGACCCGAGTCTCGCGACAGGATTCGAGATCGCTCGAACAGACCCCGCGACAGGATTCCTCGGTGACCGAGAGAAGGGACTCGGACGAGAGTGTGAGCCCGAAAACCGCCTTTCCTCCCGGTTCTCGGCAAGGAAGCACGGCCGGATATCCCGACCTGCCGTCCCCTGTTCAAGCGAGGCCTACTGAAAATGGTGTCTCGTTGAAAGAGAGCCCGCCTAATACCCACAATTCTCATCCGGTTTCGGTAGCGTCAAATTTCACCAGCTCACCGCCCGCTCGAGCGTCGCTGACAAACGATACACCGACCGTGGATCAAACCCGTTCGTTGTCAACAAAGATGGACTTGACTCCCGATTCAAGGGTCAATTCAAGTCCACAAGTACCCAGAGCGAAAAGGAGGCGTTATGAAGAACCACCGATTTATGCTCGAAGATCGGTGCGCACCAAAGGGAGGATTCCGATGATCCCGACCCGTTGTTCACCGATCCCGAAGCATGCAAGAAATTCAGAACAGAACCCGTTCGTGATGCGCCAAAGAGCCCTCACAACAACTCAGGCTCCCGCTGCAGAACCCCCAGCCAAAATCAAAAGTGAGACTCCGCCAGCCAATGGTCCGCCGGCCCCCCGGCGCCCTCCAGAGCCGGCTCCAGCAGGAAGTTTAGGCCCGTGGGAACCCTCGATTTCTGGATTCATCCCGCATGAGGAAGTCACAAAAACGGTCTGCGATTTCCTATTCCAGCACGTGGTTCTGAGAAACGACGCAACTGCGGCTCCAGCGGGCACCTCAGCAGCCGGCCAGGGAGCAATAATCGAGGTGGAGGCCAAGCTTGGACAGCTGGTCGATATGGACAGGAGTGAGAGGCTTAACTTACCCATATTGACCGAAAGTATTGTGAATAAGGAAAGCCCCCGTTTTCGGACTGCATTCGAGAGCACGATGACAATTGTAAGTCGATGAGATTTTTATTTTTCCCTTTATTTTTTTTTTCCTCCCGGTTTTCGCCCCCCCGCCCGAAATCGCCCCCTTTGGTCGAGAACTGACACTGACCATGGCGTAGGCACAACATCGGGCAATGAATAATTTTCTGAACGAAGCCGTAAAGGCGTCCATGCCACAAGCTAATCCAGGGCGCATTCCGTTGTCTTACGCGCACAAAAAGGAGCGAGATACCTTTTACGAAATATCGCCATCTGAGCTTCCACCTGTCATCAGACACAATCTGAATCCTCGCCACAAACCCAAGGTCCGAGTGACTGTTGATCAACGCACGGGTGAAGTCCTTGCGAAGATTGTGAAATGCCGAATTGCCGACCTTGACGTTTACAGCCCTCGCACATGTGTTGATTGGCGGATTAGCGTTAACCTAGAAATGAGCTACGAAGGTGACGTTAGCCACCTTCCTGTGGTCGATACCGGTCGAGGACGCGGCAGAGAGCGAAACAAGGACCGTATGAGCTACCGACACCTGGCTTACCAGATCGACTTAACGCAAGTGGCCAAATCAGAAGTAAGTCATTCATTGTCACAAGCCCACTGGATGACTAGCCATGTACCAATTTATTGGTTTCAAAGTACCCATTGCTAACTTGATACTGCTTCATAGCCCTCGGCCAAAGGTGAATTTGAGCATGAACTCGAAGTTGAAATCTCTGCTGCTGAGATCCGCCGCCAGGGTCAGCTCGCAATGGCTGGAGACCCTAACCACCAGTACGAAGAGCTTATCAAGGGATTTGTGGATAATATCCGCGTTCTAGCGCGCGCAGTACCCCCATGAACTGAATTGCTGCCCCTTTCGGGAGCTAGCAATTCTAATTTATATTCACCATTTTACCGTGGAATGATTTCTTCCACACGTGTTATAGAACGGACGATGGCCCTGAAGCAGATCCCCAGAAGAATAAATGGATCTACGAGAGCTATATATCAAAAGTCAAGCTGCTAAGTTGCATTTCTCTGCCCGATTGATATACTTACCCATATGTTTCAATAACTGTCAACTGTCAACTACATATCCTTTGCGTGGAAAGAGATGATGAATGATGCCTCACGCCCCTTCTTGCTTCCCCCTCCCTCTTTTCCGCCCCCTCCTGGTCTATCCACCTGTTCGAAGTTCAGAGGAATTTCTCATGGTTAGAGATGTGTTTTTGTCTTCTCTTCCTCATTCACCTACCCTTCTTGTCACATTATTTTACGACTTGTATAATTTTATATGAACACAGTTACCCTTGTATCAAATAGTGAAAGTGTTAACATGTTCACAGCTACTTTTAAGAGCCTGGATGAATAGAACGCTTGATATGCTGTTCTTGATGATACAAATAATACACTCCACAGATCAAAGCTGTCCAACTAACCATGCCTGTAGTCTTAAAGGAAAAAAAAAGTAGATAAGATGTAAGATTGCATGAATACATGAATGCGCCGGGTCGCCCCCCTTCCCCACTTCACCTTGATCTTCCCGCAATAAATGGCATTAAGGGCTGGGTGTTCCTTCCTCGTACCGTGGTCCTGCATCTTCGTCTCCCATCGCTGGTGTGGGCGCGTCATACGGACGACTATCCCAGGCGGCGGGGGTGGGCGCGTCGTATGGTTTCTTGGACGGGCCGCCAGGCGTAGGTGCGTTGAATGCACCCGGGGTCGGGGCACTGTCGGCCCAAGCTCCAGGCGTGGGCGCCGAAGCACCTGGTGTTGGGGCGCCGCCGTATGCGCCTGGGGTAGGTGCTGAGTAGTTTCCACCTGGGGTGGGGGCGTCGTAGCCACGGGCGTCTTTGCTGCCGTTGCTGGCGGTGGCTCCGGACCATGCTGGGGTGCGACTGCCAGAGTTCGCGTTCCATGCTGGGGTCCTGGAGCCGGATGCGAAAGCGTCAAAATCGCTTTGTCCTGAGGAGCCGCCGTAAGGAGTCCTAGCGCCTGCGTTCCAGGCTGGGGTGCGTGAGCCGAGGCCTCCTCCATATGCAGTGCGGCTTCCATCGTAGGGGTTCGAAGTACGCGAGCCATCGTTCTTCCATGCCGGTGTGCGAGAACCGCCCATACCAGCCCAAGCAGGCGCTAAATCGCTTTGTTAGTGGCATAAACTAAAGAGATAAGAAACATGAAAGACTTACTCCTCGCTGAAGATGCGCCACCCCAGGCGGGGGTCCTAGATGAATCGGCAGCCGCCATCGGTGTCCTGCCGCCGTTCCAACCTGATGGGGGAGCTGCTGAAGGAACGCGTGATCCTCCCTTGCCGCGGCCCATCTCGATTGTTTGGCCCGTTACGGGGTCCTTAACGACGAGGATATCTTTGGGAATCGACACTAGCTTGTTCTTGGAATGGAGCTCCACACGGGCTTGCACATCTGTCGAATCTTTGACGATACCCACAAGTCCTTTGAAGGGTCCTTTCCGGACCATAACCGTCTTTCCGACCATCCTATCGCGTCCAAAGCTCTTGGGGGGTCCCATACCACCGCCCGGTGCGCCACGGCTCATCAGAGCTGGGTTCATCTTGGAAAGGTCGGGGCCCGTAGACCTGCCTCCCTTGGCGGAAACAGTTACAACGTTCGTCGTACGCACAACTGTGATACCAGAGTTCTCAGCTTGAGCCTTGTTATGCAGGAACAAGAATGAACGGTGAATGTGAATGATCACGCCATTCCTCTGCTCTCCGTATACTTCGCGAACAGTATCCCCATGCCGAATCTCCGCACCATTCCGATCAGTGGCTACTGCATCTCGTCGTGGTGTGATCTTGTCGGTGACCTGCGTAGGTAGGATGGTGCGGATTGAACCATGTTGATCCAGAACCCTCAAGGACTCCCGATCAACCTTAACAATACAAGCAACAGTAGCGGCACTAAAATACGTTAGCGGCAGAAACAGATAATGTTTAAAGTTGAACAACTCACTCTAGCTGCACGAGATCGTGCACATCGAACATTCCAAGTTTTCCGTCAACACCTGTCTCGGCAGACAGCCGAAGATCCTTGCTGAACACAGTGATCTCTTGCATGCTCATATCACTGAGTAATGTCACGGTATCGTCCTTAACTTGGACCACCATACCCAGTTCGTCTTGGTATCTGCTACCACCAATGACCTTGACATGGTCACCCTCCCTGAAACGCTTACGAAGAGATTTAACAGGGGCATCAATAAGTTGCCCTGCCAGTTCACCTTCGGTCACTTGTAGAGTAACGATATCACCACGAGTAGATGTAGTCCGGCCAATCAAGCCCTGCTGCTCACCACGGAAGACTTCGACTGGGTCTCCTGGAAGATAAGAGTCTTCGGCCGCTGAGTTCTTGAGTGTCTCCGCGAGAGATGCGAGATCCAGATTAGCAGTACCATCCTCTGCACCTCGAGCAAACATGGTAACCTCCTCGAGCCGGGGGTTCACGCTCTTAGTAATCAGATGTTGCACTTTCATATCCTTAATCAAGAAACCGTCAATATAGGTCTCTCCGAGGTAGCTCCATGACTTTCCACCCAAGCCAGATGTAGCAGAAAGGTATTTTCCATGTTTCTTTTTAGCTTCGGCTTCACTGAACAAACGCTGAGGTGGCCGGGCCACCGCAGGATTAACGCCAGGACGCTTCCTCTTGGGATCCACAAAAGGCGCACCGGTATCCTCATTCAAGCCATAGTCTAGTCGAGGGACCAAACGGACTGTTACAGCGAGGCCATTTGTCTCAACCTCTTCGATCTGGGCCAGATCATTTTGGTATTTGCCGCGTTTAATACGAACCCACCCACCGGGCAACAGTTCTTCGGATTTTTGGACACGGAGAAGATCCGGCATTTCTCGTACAGGAACTAGAATCACCTTCGTCCGCGGGTAGACGTTAGACATATCTTGTAGAGCATCCATGACATCGGCCTGTCTGCGTGCTTCCACATAGATATACCCACTCATAGCCCCTCCACGCTCGAAGGCAGATATGATTTTCATAGGGTTTCGAGAGCCCATAGGCCGCTCTTCCATGCGTTTCTGGATAGCAAATATGACTTCGCGTTCTTTGCCGGGCTTGCAGCGGACACCCCAAATGCTAGGGTCCTCGACACTAGGAAGTAGTAGCCGCTTTGGTACGACAACTGCATCGGAGGCCGCAGCACGGTTCCGACCGTAACGTTCTTTGAGTAATTGCGCCTGTTTCTCAGCATCCATGCTGGCCTCGAGCTCGCGCTGGCGATCGAGCTGCCTGTGGCGACGATCGTCGGTTTCAGCGCCGACAGGGAGCGCATCCATGTCATCTGGATGCATTTCCCCACCAAGCTCAGCCATTTCATCTTCCTCATCCTCGGCTTCATCTTCATCTTCATCAACACCAGCCTCTTCCTCGAAGAAGTTATGTACGCCTCCTCTCCTTCTGCGCTTTCGGGGTCGCTACAAGAAGCGGTGGTCAGTATTGACCTCCGTGGAATCAGGAGCGGTCTAACTATTTGATGTCACTCACAGATACAGCGTCTTCCTCATCATCGTCATCCTCTTCCTCATCGTCATCGTCGTTCTCGTCTTCTTCCTCTCCCCCATGGCCGTCAGCATCTTCGTTGTCATCCGCGTCCTCGCTGGGGGCTCGACGTTCCGCCCGTCGTGTAGGCTTTACGTCTTCCTCATCGTCGTCATCCTGTTCCTGATGTGCTGGCTGTCATCCCGGTTTATGTTAGCACCTCCGGCCATTATCGCCTAACAGATCCGTGATACTGACTCTAGCATCTTCGTTATCTGAATCGTATGCAGGAGCGGGGTTAAAGTCATCGTCTTCCTCTTCAGACCCGAAATCCTGATCCAGCACGTTTCGTGACATATTGCGTGACGGTGTGGTGGTATGGGGGGAATTTCAAACTGAAACGTAAGCTCGGGGTATCGTCGGACTCGGTGACAGAGATTTGAGACGCAAAAGAGCCGTGTATCAGAAATCGGTAACCTAATATCGAGAGGGAATCCACAGTTAGATCACTTTGACCTTTCGAGCATGTAGTTTGGGAGGCGCGAGACCGCAGATATGGTAGGCGGAGAAAATCAGGGTGAACACAGTCGAGTCCAGGTTGAGACGAGAGAGCGCAATACCTATTATGTAATCGAGATAGGGGATCGCTGAAGTCTTACAACGACACAAACAAAGAGGTTCGGCACGAAAAATGGGTATCGGACAGCCTTTGCTGCTATGTCGGCCAAGCCAGGCGGGCGGCGTTTTCCTTCCGAGTCCGCGATCGCGGCACGAAAGTTCAATCGGAGGTAAAAAGGACGAGAAAAAGGGATGGATCTGCCCACACTGGACCACGATGAGATGAGTCCACCAGCGTAGCAAGCTGTAGAGAGGAAAGTTGGAGGTGGCGCAAGTCAGCGTTCTTTATAAGGCTCGTCGGAGGAGTTGTTGGGAGAAACAAATCCATGGCTTGCGCACTTGGTTCTAATGCCACGACGGAGTCCCCCGTTCCAACCAATGAACGCCATTCACCCATCCGGTGTACTGCTTACTTAGTAGTACCAAATAGTACGTAGTACTACTCATACGCCAGTTTAAGACCACAGTAGCCCAGTCTATTCTGAGATTCCCTATGAGAGCCGAAGGTGAATGTCCTTGGAGGGCCAGATTTTTGTATAGGTTTATCAGTATATATAGCCAGTGTCTGTAGATGTCAATCAGAACATCTACAGCTGGATTAAAACAATGATCTCCTCGGAGCTAGGATAATCGAGCATGCGAAAATATTATAAATTTAAGTTAGTATTTCTATGCTAGGCATTTACATTTACTAGTCATAGGGCGTTGAATATGCTAAATAGCGAATGTCGTTTTCTTTAGAGCTATTTCCCGAAAATTATATAGTACACTGCATTGAATTTGAGATTCACAAATCGGTCAACATGTCAAAACTGCCAGGTGAACCCAATGATAACAGGCTCTATGTACCCAAAAAACCCCCCCCCAGAATCATATCTAAAGAGCTTTGAAGAAGAAAAATAAAAGAGGGGGAATCAAAATACGTAAAAAACCGAAGGTCCGTTCGTTTACAATTTCATGCCAAACATCTTGTGCACACGCAGACTCTGGCGCATACTCAGGTCCAGCATGATTTCCTCGCTTCCACCAGGGATAGCGTAGGCACGAACGTCACGGTATAAGCGCTCAACCTTACCACCTTGGCCGCCACGGCTGTAGCTCAGACCGCCAAAGATCTGACTGGCCTCACGAGCACAGAACTCAAAAGTAGTTGTAGACTGAGCCTTAAGACTTGCAATCGCGCCACCCAGCTTGAGCATTGCTTCGGTCTCGTCCATGGACTGGCACTGGAAGATAATATTTTCCAGCCAGTTGTACGTCGATTCAATCTGGCGGGCCATGTGTGCGAGCTTCATACGGATAACAGGGTGGTCAATGAGTCTCTTGCCAAAGGTCTTGCGCTTGTGGGCATATTTCACGGATTCTTCGTAGCACACACGAGCAAAGCGGACACACTGGATGACAATTCCAATCCGCTCGTGGTTGAAGTTGGTCATAATAACTACAGCATATGGTCAGTTGCCGTAGGCAGAAATATGAGAGTTAGGGGATGCTTACCCTTGAAGCCCTGGTTCTCCTTTCCGATGAGGTTCTCCACGGGCACCTTCACGTCCTCAAAAGTGACATAGGTTGTGCCGCTGCTCCAGACACCCTGGCAGTCCATCCGTCTCGTGCTCACACCACCGTGTTCACGCTCGATAAGGAGGACACTGATGCCGTTCATTCCGGGCCCGCCCGTACGAACGGCAGTAGTGAAGTAGTCAGAGTAGATGCCGTTGGTAATCCATTTCTTCTCACCATTGACAATGTAGTGCTTGCCGTCTGGGGTGAGTTTAGCCTCGCACGTCAGGTTGGCAACGTCACTTCCTGCATCTGGCTCGGTAATAGCAAGACAGATGCGCTTGTCACCAGACAAAATTCCGGGAAGGATTCTGTCAACAAGAGGCTTCTTGCCGTACTTGACCAGTGGAGGGCAGCCAATTCCGTAGCCACCGATTAAATTCCAGACTAGACCACCACTGCCGGCACGAGACAGCTCATCGGTGAGAAGCATTTCATGGAACAGATCCCAGTTTTCTGGCGCGACCGACTGTACACGATGCTGCGTGTGGTTGACAGGGTATTTGACACCCAAAAGACCTGCGAGGTATCCCCGCTCACCCATCTGTTTGTAAATATGATCGGGGACGCTCTTGGCCTCATCCCACTCGGTCGCATAGGGCTCAATTTCAGTCTCAACCCACTTACGAACTTCGTCGCGGAGAGCCGCGTGAGTCTGGTTAAAGTATGGAGAAGCGTACTATTAGAACATCTGATTAGCTTTTCCGTTTCGGCGCAGTTCCAGATGGAATTGTGGTCCCCAGGTAAACTTACACCCTGATACCATGAGGGATCGGCAAAGGGAATCAATTCGCCATAAGGGTCCTGGGGCTCGGATGACTTGGCCGATGCGACGTCTACTGGCGCTGCAGGCTGGGGCTTTGGGGTCTCCTTGGCTGCTGCCGGTTCCGCTGCCGGCGCCGGCGCAGCTTTCTTCGAGTCCAGGGATCCAACTTGCAGCTTGCCCTTGTACTTCTTTAGAATCCCTTCGTTATGGTACTTCCAGAACTGCTTCGAAGCATCCTTTCCGGCAACTCGAGTAAGGACTAGAGGCGCATGGTTAGTATCGGCATCCCAGCCGAGAATAGTAAACACGGTGACGTACTCTTCTTTCCACCTATATTGAGAAAGTGACGTTAGTATCGCTTAGACATCACGGAGACGGAAGATACCGGCACAACGTACCTGGATGTTCATCCTGAAATTTAGTCAAATCATACACATCTTCGTCAATAACCACCCAGAGGTTATCTGGCTTGTTATGCGACGCGACGTCGGCCTTGGAGAAAGTCTTGGACATAGTTGTATACAGAGATGCCGGTGATCAATATGGCGGGGGAAGTACGGGAGAGATATGCTAGAGGCTCCCAAGAGTGAGAAGCGTGTATAGCGATAACACGATGTTTGGGGAAACCGGCACTAAAACACAAGAGGGGTATGGAGAAGAGAATCTGGGGTAAGGAGGAGGGTAGTGGGTGGATAGATATATGGGTGACAACGGCAGTCTCCGTCACGGGGTATGCTCTCAAGGACCAGTTGGGGCGAACGGAAGTAAGCAGAGGAGATGATGAACTCGGAGAAAAGCCTAAGGAGGTCAGCGATCAACGCACAAGCGTCCTCGGTTGACCAGCAGAATGATGGACAGCAGCATCACTCGACCTTTTTTTCGAGTCCTTTCACATGCCCCGATACCTGAAGCCAAGCGCCCATCCAATCACTATTCACCTCGGCGGGAGGCCTGGATGAGGTAAGACCTGCGGGGTGGTCTGTGATTGGTTCCCCAACGTCATCAACTGGCTGTTCCGGATCGGGCAATTGCCGAGGCTGTCGAGCCATTGGGCCACGTGACGTCCATCAGGAAGTATCGAATCTTAAAGTCTTCAACAATCCTGGAGAAACTAATCAGAAAACATGTGAAACCATGGATCCGATCCACTGGCCCCTGCCTACCGTGGTATTTGTTAATGGTTCATATATTAACATCGGCCCATCTGTGATTTGTTGCCGGCACTAAATCTTTGTAGGTACTCCGGTCCGGGCCAGAGCAGAGAGTATGAGGTGTCATGCCTTTACTTGTCTCCATTATGCTGACTTGAGGCATCAGTGATAGTATTAATTGGGAACTGCTTTTTACGAATCTTCCCCGATGGCAGACACAGTAAATCCGATTGATCGGCGAGTTTTGTTGTGTTTGATGTTTTACACATAGATATATCGTCTCTCAACGGCGGTTACTCTATTATATTAGGATATTTCCGAACCTCTTATACAATAGTGCCCTTAGTATAGTATTACTGATATTTATATGCTCTCATATATAGATAATATTGCTTCATATGTTGGACAGTCCCAGCTGTTTTTTGCGGATGTTGAAGTACACCGCAGAATTTGCCTTAGTATACCCCGGGCTCTAGTTCTAGCAGTCTGTATAGCATTTCAACGTATAGCTGATGTTTAACAGAGCATCTTGGCTTTAGGAGACGTCGTATGCCTCGCTTGGCGGGACGAGCATCCGGCGGCATCACAAAAAGTATTTACTCTAGGGACACGAATCTGTCATAGGATAATAGTCCCCTGACTAGGAATCGACCGCAGCCATTCCCTGCTTCCCTTGGCGAGCCTACTCCTCGACCACTAGGCGAGTAAATCTGAGTGAACCGATAGAAGCAATAGAAATAGCAGAAACAGCGGAAAAGGTAGACCTTCGCCTAATTGACAGGAACAGGAGATCCAATTGAACGAATGGAAGTAGTAAAAAAGATGGTAATTGCACAACTGATAGAACTAGTAGACTAATCTTATAAAAGATATATCATTGGTTTAGTATATTTAAATCTAGAAACCCAGTGGCAGGATTACTATATAACCTTTCTTTATTATTATACATATAGATTGTATTGAATATGTCCATAAAATCACCTAGTATATGCCTAGTGAATAGGGGCCTTGTTGAATCAAGCAGAGTGTTGAATACCTTTGACGTAAGGCCACATATAAAAGTGCCAATGATTCCCACCTAGATAGGCCTTCTTGATAGTCAGGCAATTTGATCCTTGTCTCTCCTAGATAACGACCTCCAGAGGACTCTTCCCCAAACACAAAGCGGAAAATTACTCCATCACCCGAATCTCCGACTTCCAGTAACTTTCTTGTCATATCAACGCTTAGCACGGTTCAACCCCAGCCGCTCTCTCTGCCACTAGAATGCTTCGCTAATCTCCCTACAGATTTCTTCTTAGGTGGTACACCCATTGTAGGTAAGTGATATCTAATCGGTAAAAACATTGAACATCTACAAACAGTAATCTAGCGCTAAGGCATCCTCTTCCAAGTACGCAACGTGGCCATCCAACTCGTGGGCCCCAGCTTCAGTCGAAATCTATGGTCATGCCGCCAACTACTCGTCGCATTATTATGCCATTTGACCTACGTCAAACCCCCGAAAAGTTCTTTGAACAGAAAAGCACTAAGCTCCTCTTTGATGTTTTCTCTGAAACTAGGAGACTTGTCTTTAATGACCGAGTTCTGGTATATCGTTCTGATCAACTGCCAGCGAAGTCATGGCCAAAGATGATAGCTGGTGTGCAGCCGACAGATGATCTGAGAGATGAAGGCCCCATAATTCCACATACTCTATAAGCCTTTTTCAGGGGTTAATGTTGCTGAAAATCTGGATCCGAGGGATAATGAAGCAGCTGTCGACCTGATTTGCGATTTGGTTCGGGATTTTTTCGGGAGCACTGATATCCCCATCGCCGAAATTCAGTTTTTGGGGCATCCTATTATCATCGGACTAGAAGACGAAGGTAAGAAGAGTGAAATCCTAGGAGCGGTCCCCCAGTCTGTTGCCCATTGTAAATTGTTTTTATCTGTTCGAGTCTATGACGGATACGCCTAGCAAGCTCTCCGCACCACGGTATAAACCAGCGTCTTTAACTCAAATACATGATCCCCAATACGAGATACTGAGACCAGGAGACATGCTCAGTTCGGGTATCTATCACGAACAGGATTCGGAAGTACTTAAGCTGCGCTGGCGTTCTTGTAAGGGATTATCTTAGCTTTGGGTATATGACGGTGGCCGCACACGGGCTCCAGGGACTGGGATTTGATAATAAAGTCTACCATCCCAGTCATTCGGGCAGAGTGCTTGGAGAAGTCATCCAAGAACTTTCTAATGCAGATATTGCGTTAGTGAGCCTATCTGAAGGGATGCACTTCACAAATGAACCAACACGCTTTCGCTAGCACCGCCCTTTAAATTGACTGGTTTTGCACGAGCCGCCGAGACAAGGACTCTACCTTGATAGACCGTTCTCTGGCCTCCTTGAAGGAGTCCGAAAAGCCCACTCTCGGCTTCGAATCCAAGGCTCGAGACTGCATATGGTTGATGGCATTTGTGGGCCCGCCATCTGGAACGACGATGACAAAGTCCTAGGCTTTTTCTAGTATGCGCTGGCGTCAGGACTCATGCTAGATTATTATATGAGTAATGCTGCCGATCGTCTTATGTATAGGAGGTACACGATAGTCTAGCCGTAATCTACTATCTTGCTTCTTCAACATCGATGCTACCTCTCGACTGATTGCATCCTTTGGACAACAGCATCAGATTAATAACAGAGTAGAAAGCGGCGCTGAGGTAGTTCTATGTACCCTATAGATATACCCTTCCCGAGGAATCTGCCAGAACTACGCTAACTTTAGCGCTGACATCCAAATATATTCAGGAGTAGAAAAAATGTAGTCAAAAAGCAGTAATCGTATGCTTCAGATATATTTGGTGCGGTGTACTTGGGTACTTATGGACTATCCTGCAGCTGTAATTTGGAAGATAAAATACATACGATAGAATCGTTCGATGCCATCTATATGTTGCACGACTCTCACATATCATATGCATTTATTTGCAAGTAAACCTTTCAAGAACGTTAGGCAGCAGCACTGCTGTCATTTCAAATAACATGTAGATCCATAATTAATCTAGTAATACAACCAGCGCTAGAAATGGACGGGATTTTCTACCCACTTTACTCGTCAGCGTCGGTTTCATATTCGAACTCCTCGGGAACGGGAGCCTCCTCGTCATCCTCGTCATCTTCGTCCACCGCTGTCAGGACACCCGCTGCAGCCGCAGCTCCTGCAGCTGCTTCTGCCAGACGACCCGAACCCCGTTGAGGGGTCTGGAGGGCGGCCGCACCAATGGCAGCTTGCAACCGGTCTTGAAGTGTCTCTGCCGCTGCTGCAGGCTGTCTAACCTCCTTGCTGGCCTTCATTTCAATTGTCTCCCGCTCCTCTTCTGGCTTGTTATCTAGCACGACAACTACTCCACCAGTAGGCTATTGTTGCATAGTTAGCATATCTGCTCCATACAGACACCGGGGCTAGGGGTAGGGGGCACATACTCGTTTGACCGGCTCATACCGCGGATCGGGGAATGTGAGGTACTTTAGTTGAGCGGGGAGGACCCTTGACATGTTCTCGAGCTCATATCCAACCCGTTCCCGTTCCACCTTCTTTCTTTGACCATCGCTGGTCTCCTTCTCCCCTTCCTTAGTGTCGTCTTCAACTTTGGTGGCGGCATCGTCCGTTTCCATCCTATCTTGCATTTGATCCGACACCTTCGGAGTGGTAGGTGTCTGATCGATGTCCATACTCTCCCGTCGCTGCTGTTTTTCTCGGCGCTGGGCGCGGCGCTTGGCTTGGGCTGTGGTGGATAGAACCGCAGTTTTTATTTTCTCCGGTGCCTCCTCGGTTTTAACCTGCTGCTCTGGGGGATAGTCAAACAGGCTCGGCCTGGTGTTGCTGTGGAACTTGAAGAAGGGGACTTCGAGTTTCTGATCCACACCGATCACGGATGTGGGTGCGAAGCTGAGTGACAGGAAATGGGTGAGAGGGAACCAGTACCAGTATTGAATAAACACAGCAGCACCGACAATTCCCGGCATGTTAAGGTTGCCAGTCTGCGTCTGCAAGCTGATAGTGCAATTCCGGCCACCAGCATCGATGATACCAAGAGCCACTGCACAACCAAACTTAGCCATGGCATCCTCGTGTCTATCTCCAATCATCTTCATCATGGCCTTGCGCAGGCTGCTGACTCGGGGGTTCATAGCCTCGTTTTGCTGAACCAACACCATAGCTAGGGAGATCAGAGCTCCCTGCCTTACAAAGTCCGTAGAATCCTTGAGCATCGGCTCGAGCAGGTCGATGGCCTCATCCAAGCCAGTTCCAGCGCATGAGATACCGAGGGCCATTGCGGCACCATACCGGACGTGGGGGTTATAGGACTCCGAGAGGAGTTCTACCATACGGGGTACGCTCTGGTACTTTCTGAAAAGGATGAAGCCCAAGCTAAGCACCGCGATACGTCGCACATCATCGTTGACATCGCTGACAGCAACATGGAGGAGCTTACGGACAGCCTTGTTGCTACCGCTCCCGCAATAGGCGAGAGCAATGGTCATGATACCACCGTAACGGAGAGTGGGATCGGGGTCACCCAAGAGGCCATTGATCAGTTCATCGGCGGCCTCCTGGCGGGCGTACATGATCAGGGCCATTCCCATAGCAAGGCCGCGAACAATCTTCTCGTGTTGCGTCTCATGGGCATACTGAATCATGTCCTCTAGAGCCCTCATGTTACCAGTTCCCAGCATGACCAAGCCCATAGCCAGACCGACAGCCTCTCCATTGATGGCAGAATCAGTGTACAAGACGTTTCGCAAGTCTTCGTAGATACCTTCATCCCCCGTCGCCATGCCGGCAACACCTAGACCCAAAGCTCCACCATGCTGAACAACTTCCTCAGTCGCCTTCTTGAAGTGATCGCGGATAAGGTCAACTGCCATGCCGCCATGGTTGGCATATATCAAACCGAAGGCATACAACGATCCACCTTGGCTATAGACCGAGCCCGATCCCCCGACACCAGCGATATGTTCCCTTGGAAGGTATGGCTGTAGGAGCTTTTGGCCTTGACTCAGGTTACCACGATGGATGACACCGAGAGCAGCCGTGGCTGTGAACTTGGACCAGTTGACAGCCTTTCCTAACCATTCCAAGTTGTCTCGGAAAAACTTGTCGTGCGTGGTGCCGGCATGCATGAACGCATTGGAGAGTGTGACAGCAGTGTGGAAGATGGAGTTCCGGGCTTCCAGGCTATCCCGGATCTTATTCAAGATAGCGATATCAGCCTTATTGTTTCTGTACAGGAATTCCAAGTTTAGTTGAATACTCTTAATGCCGTCAAGGATATCGAGAATATTCCTAAATGCCGACTGTGATTCAGTTGAGAGCTTAGATTTATCGTCGTTAGCTCCGATAGACTTAGGCTGTGTAGAGCTGGACTGGTCTTCTAATAAAGGATCGGACTCCTTCGGTTCCTGATCATTTTCCGCCGCATCCTCCTTTTCCTCAGCCTCTGCCTCTGGCACAAGTTCGGCAATTTCTTGGCGGACCTTCTGGAGGAATTCTTGCGTGCTGTTATCATAAAGATCAAAGGAGATTTGGTAGGCTACAGCGAGGGATCGTGCGTCGCCCTTCTCGACTAACTGGCGGAGAATGACAGATGCCATAGAGTGTTCGTTGAGGTACACGACACATTTGGCAATCGAGAAGTAATCGGGATTGGGGATCTCATTCAAGAGCTCCAAAATGAGTTTGAGAATCTTGGCAAGCGGATTAGTCCCGAAGTCACTAAGAAGGTTGGAAAAGAACCTACCTCATTACGGAAAGCACGCTCCTGCACAATGCCCATGCAAATGTCCAGTACATATTCCATCAGCTCTTCACTCCTTCGAGATTCGCCGTTCAATTTCTTTTCATCTTCACTTGCTTGAATGATGGCTCGCCGAAGTACATCCAAGCTCTTCGCTTCAATGGCAATACCGATCACTTGGCGATACCGCTTTTGAACAAAGCATTGCTCAAACAGACGTTCGACAACGGCCTGCAACTGGCCTTGAACACCTCTCTTGAGGACGAGTGGCGTTTCAACCTGGTTGACGCTGGCATCATCTCCACCAGAATAAGACGCATCGACGCCTGGTACTTCTTGTCGGGAAAGCAGTGACTTTGAAGGCAAAGCCGACTGCGAAAACGGCGTGATCGGGGACGTTAAGCTGGCAGAAGTGCTTGTAGCACCTTCGCTGGAAGTTGGGAAGGCAGTGTTAAGGTTGGCCGGCTGGTCACCAGTGGCAGGGCGCTGGGCAGCGGAGAGTGAGATGAAGGTGTCGACGCATTTAGCTGAGTATCATATTGTGTTAGACAAACAGGCTGGCCACCATGCTCTGAGAAGCACACAAACATACCAATAATAGTTTCCTCAAACTCTCCCCCATTGTCTAACTTGAACAGCTTTCCCGCCCCAAGCGCAAATACCATACTCTCATTATATTCCTGAAGGTGATAGTAAACTTTAGCGGCGACTAAAGCCGCGAGCTCGCGTTCTGGGAACGTCTCATCTTCGTAAAGAGCCTCTCTAAACGATATACATTAGCACAAGTTTCCTAAAAGGGAGTTGATCGATGGTATGGATGGAAAGATCCGCAAACGAAGGTCTGATCTGATGGAGGGATCCCATAAGCTCGAAGGAAAGACGTACATTTGCGGAACAGCATCCACCACTTCTGTCCAGAGCAAGTCGATCTGAGAATCTAAAGTCTTTAAAGCGAAAACTCTCAACTCGGCGTCTGGCTCAGAAAGAAAGCCAACGAGGCCAGCGGCCGAAGCAAGTCCAACCATCTCTGACGGATTATGTTGTCGCTAGAGGGATGAGGCGACAGCTTCAACGGAGCTTTAGGATAGCTGAATCGGCCCACGAGGGTGATGGAAGGGCACAGGTCTATACCTAGGACCGCAAAATGAAAAGCCTACCAAAAAATGATGGGAGAGAAGATAGAAGAGAAGAGGGAAAATAGATGGGGAGTGGGAGTAAGCTGGAAGCTTTGCAGGTGAGGCACACGTCAACGGCCTTCCAGGCTGAGCGAAGCCGACGAAAGGTTCCCGTGGTTCCTGCAGAAACCCCTAGAGCTGTCACGTGATATATGATGGCATGGGTTCTGCCGAGAGGGATCACGAGTTCACTCGGAAGACTGAAGAACAAGCAATTTTGGAGCTATCATCAATAACAACAAAGGTCACACATATAAGTCAGGCTCAATGCTGTGACTGGCCTTTTGATACCTTATATTATAGCTCCCTGTGGCCCCAAGGAAAAAAAAATCTTGTCTTCCAGTTTCAATGTCCGAGTAGCTACTATTTAGTGCATAAAACAGGTGAATCGTCTATCGTTGAATCATGTCGACAACCCTCCCGAAAATTGGGGGTTCCCATCTTTTGTCTTTGCCCATTAGAACATCTGCCTACCATCAAGACCCTCTGATTTATATTGACCGTGAAGCGAAACACATCCAACACAACCTACAGGTTCTTATTGATGCCCAAAGTGAAGGTCTCCTAGCAGGTTTGAAAGGACCACAGCCAGACGAAACACCCTCGACCGGAAGTGGTACCCCTTCCACCGAACGAAGTGGCTTTCAAAGGCTTCCGATCGTCCCAGTTAGACAGCCCATTGTGGAGAAGATTAGCTTGCGTGCCGCACGCGAAGGGATCTTCAAATCCATCTTTGACTTGCTGAAACTTAGGGAGGAGGAACGAGAAATACTCAAAGCCCGTGTTGCCGAACGAACGGGTGCGCTGGATGAAATAAACGGCTTTGCTACCAAGAAGGCCGGGCTGGAGGAGGCTATCTCGACCATCTACACCAACAGGGAAAGTCAGCGCACTAGGGAACTTCGAGCGGAAGGCCACAAACTCGAGGCGGACATTCATGAGTTGGAGACAAGACTGTCTCAGATGAAAGCCAGACATCGTCATGTTTTGGGAGAGTTAGCAAATGTGGAAAACTCGGTGGACTCCAAGTTGTCTTCTTACAAGGCCTCCTTAGCCCTTCTAGAATCGGATATCCGAAAGTTCCTTCAGAACCCCCCTGTTCCACCCCAGCCGAGTCTCACTAACAGCACAACATTCTATGCATTGAACTCTAAACGCCGGACCCTTGATATGGCTCAAGAGCATTGGACAACAGAGCAGTTAGAGTTGCGGAAAAGACAGCAAGAAGTAGATCTTGAGATACAGGCACTTGAGGCAGGAGGTGGAGTATGGAAACAAGTTGTTGTGGAAGTTTATCGGTTCGAGATGCGGTTGAAGATAGCAATGCGACGCTCACTACAGGGTCAGTCACAGGTTTTAGAGCCTGGCGGAGTTACTGGGAACAATTCTGAACTTGATCATGCTCATGAAATCTTGGAAGATCTCAGAAATACAACAGAACACTTGGAACACTATCTGGGTTTGGCGGAGGAAAAAGACTGGAAACTGCTCGTCTGTTGCATTGCTACAGAACTCGAAGCCCTGCGGGAAGCACGGGGAATGCTTCTCGACTTCTTCGATATGCCGGATGACAGTCCTTCGCAGTATTCAGCACGAAGGATATCTGTCAAGTCTGAAGAGGATACCATACATGATGCACAGCTCGATCCTCTCGGGGTTGATAACCCCGAACCTCCAGCTGATCTATTGAAGGATGCAGAGGAACATCACTCTGGTAGCATTGCTACGTCGGAAGACGAGGATGATGAGCCGGACCCTGCTTGGCTGCTTCCTGAGACTTCGATATGACCAATGGTCCGAGATATAGAATTTTCGCGGGACTTCACTATATGTAATTATGAGGAAAGACCGCAATGATATCAATGTATATCTAGTAGTAGTGCCTTGAGCTGAACTCTTATTGGTCAGTCGTCAAGTTGGGGAAAGCAATAAACAAATGCCTGCAAAAGAACGGTTTCCACTGGGGCAGGCGCTTTGACCAACTTTGCATAAATCTTCGGGTTCTTACATTAAACTCCCTCTGGTAGTGTAACCTTTGGAACCGATCAGATCGCCTCGCTTCTGGCTCATTCGTCGGGTATCTGTCTATTTATACTCTGTCACAGATTAAAGATAAATCTGGAGACAAACCGTGTAAAATATGACGCTACCCATCCCCACATACGCCTTTACCGTCCCTTCACTTCACGATGGGACTCCACTCGACTGTCGCCTTTATCTCCCCCGCGTTTCGTTGGAGCCAGGAACTATACGAGGGGCTATAGTCGCACATCCATATGCTACTCTCGGTGGGTGTTACGATGATCCAGTCGTAAGCTTTGTTGGCGGAGAGCTTTTAAAGAGTGGATATATCGTGGGTACATTCAATTTCCGGTAACACCACCGCGACTGGCTTTTTCTTTACTTCAACTTGTCAAATATTTTGACCTTTTGCAAACTCGTGGCGGGGAAAGTATGCTGATTAGCTTTATAGAGGTGCTGGTAATTCCGAGGGACGGACTAGTTGGACTGCGAAGCCCGAGTTAGCAGATTATGTTTCTTTCTACGGATTCATGTTGTGCTACTTGCATTGCCTGGAGTTGCGAGTAGCTTCCCTGCAAGGAGACAATAGCAGCCCAGAGGAGGGCGCTGATAATCGGGTCTCCCGTGCTCAGCCTACACCTAGACGGGCAAATATTCATCTCATTCTCGGTGGTTATTCTTACGGATCATTGATTGCTTCGCACCTACCCACACTTGATGTCGTTGCGAATCTCTTCAAAAACATGAAGGCCGCCCCACCGTCATATGAGATAGTTCAAACCGCCGGAAAGGTTTCAGGTTTTTTTGAGGCCAGTGGCTCAACTCCAGAACGGCCATTGGTAGCAAGGGACTATCGAGCCATGGTAGAAAGGCTGGATATAACAAGAGCATCTATTTCATACCTTCTCGTGTCGCCTCTCTTGCCACCACTCAATCTCTTCCTGACATTTTTTTCCACAATGTCATTGGATATAAGTATCCATATCCCCAGTCAACGGGAACAGATTCCATGCCCCAAGCCCACCCATCAGCTATGCACCCATCCGAGTCTAGCTATCTACGGGAACCAGGACACCTTCACATCTGCAAGTAAATTAAACAAATGGTCAGACGAACTGTCGCATGCCCCCCGGAGCCAATTTCGGTCGGCCGAGATTGATGGAGCTGGGCATTTCTGGAGAGAAGATGGAGTCGAGTCTCAGGCGCGAGATGCCCTGAGAAACTGGTTACGTTTGATACCTTGAAGAGCGAATTAAAAGCCTTCTCTGACGTGTTCTAAGAGGTCTAGAATATCAATCTATAACAGGACAAAAGGGTCAAAAGGGAAACTCACCTTTTTCCCCTTACCAGCCGGGTTCACATGTCGCGCTGAATCCTGTGCCCTCAAAGCATGTGATCGGACTGACTTTTTTCGCATGACCATCCCGAACCCTTTACAGCGGGGGAGATCCTTGATAATGATTTGAGGCAATGTCACTGACTCTGTACTAGTAGTAGAACATGTTTTATTATGAGCCCCCTCATGTTACAAAACTGGATACATCTATGACACTGAGATTTTAGGCTCAAAATGCTGATAAGGATTATCCTTTGGTGAGATCCATGGGTATATTGGATGTATATTATTATTACTACTATTATTACTAGATAACTATCCGCACTAAGCGGTAGATAACCTCCAACCATAACAGTGGTGCTGGATTAATCTTTACTACTTGTAGTGGGTACGCACTTACTACTATCTAGGATACTACTAGTATGTGTTGGGTTGCATTGATACCTAGTAGGCATCTCGTAGCGCATCAGCGCTTGAAACTTGCGGTGTAATGTATCAGGCCCAAAAATAAGGCCGTCGCATACAACTACCCCGTACGGTACAGTCCGGAAGAAGTTGACCTCTATTGACCATGATAAGTAGCCATCATCCCTCCAGCTTGTGGGGCAGGATGAGATCATCAGGCAGATGAGCTGAAGGATTTAGGATTACCATCCTACAACATCCAGGTTGGAAGGTATAGAGTTTCTGACAGACTTGAGAAAAGAACCAGAGATGCGACTAACTATGAACGGTGTCCATTTACGGGGTTTCCGAATGAAGAATCCCCGCGAAAAGGAAGTTGATGCGCATGATGCTGATTAGCCTTGTGGCGATTTAATTCCGCCCTGGAACCAATCAGGTGCCCCCCCGTGACGTCTGGGATCTACCGCCGGGGTTGTGCTGCTGCTGCTGACACACTCCCCAGATTCAATATCCATCATCTGCGCAGTTACCCCAATACTCCCCCATTCTTGTTTCATGGTTTGTGACCCATTTAAATTCCTTACCCCAAGCTTATCTCCGAACCGCGACTGGCTTTAGTCTCTTATTTCCTTTTCTTGGTGTGAATCTTTATCCTACTCTTTCAACATTGTGGATTCTTCTCTCTCTCTCTCTCTCTCTCTCTATCGCTTTCTCGATATACCACTCATTTGAAGCGTGATCGGCCGGATGTCTTGATGTCAGTGTGAGAAAAAGAAAAAAACCTGGCATGGCAATCCTTCATGATCCCCCGATAATACACCCTCACTGCCATACCAAGAGCAAGCATGCCCGAAAGCCGTCTTCTATTAAAGATGTTTCCACTACCCAGTGCCGTTTCCTTCCAAGATCGGTCTCTCTGCCTTCACTGTCATCAGTTATCAAGACCTCCCTGGCTTGGGCCGGTGACGCCTGGTATAGTGTGAACCAGGATGGCTCTCCAAAGGCGGAAAAGGGAGGACATACTGCTGTCGAAGACCGAAAGCAGGTGCTATATCTCAAGATGCGCAATGTATGCGAACCCGTCCTCACCCAAAAATCATCTCCTAGCTTTCTCTGGATAGTGGGCAGGGTATACTAACGATATGGTCTAGGCAGTATCATACAAAGAATGGAGGGACTGCGCCTACGAGTTGGATGTGTTGGAAGACAACAATTCTTGGAAAGAGACCTTCGAGAGTTCGGAATACGATCCGCATCTAGTACAGGAACGCCTGAAGCAATTGGAAGAAGCTCGCGTGAGCTGTGATGTTGGCCGGATGATATTCCTCATCCGCACTTCCCTGAGCCGCGATTTGGGGAACATGCGTAACGGTTCTCTCTACAGACATTCGCATGTCGGGACGAAGAACCTGATCGATCAATACATCACTACGGCGCTTGACACAATATCATCGCTGGCAGAGCTGTCAGTGAAAGGTCGGTGTGACGGGCTGGAATTGAAGTATATTCTCGACCAGCTCCTAGCAGCAAGGCAGGCTTTTGGTCGGAGCGCTCTGCTGTTCTCTGGTGGAGCGACTTTTGGTATGAACCACATTGGCGTGCTTAAAGCACTTTGGCAGGCAAAGCTCCTCCCGCGCATTATCTCAGGTGCCTCGGCAGGAAGTATTGTCTGCGCTGTCTTCTGTACCCGAACAGACGATGAGTTGCCATTGCTTTTGGATACGTTTGCCTACGGAGATTTTGCCGTTTTCAATGAACCTGGCCAAGAGGAGAATATTCTACAGAAGATGGCCAGATTTCTAAAGTACGGCTCATTTATGGACATCTCGAACCTGGCCAAGGTCATGAGAAATTGGCTTGGGGACATCACGTTCCAGGAAGCCTACAATAGGACACGCAGGATACTTAACATCTGTGTTTCTAGCGCCGGGATCTACGAACTCCCAAGGCTGTTGAACTACATCACGGCGCCTAATGTGATGATTTGGTCTGCAGTGTACGCTTTACCTTTCTCCCCCAGGCCCCACCTAAATTCTTATTCATTATCAGACTAACTTTCGCAGAGCTGTCTCGTGCTCGGTTCCACTAGTATTCTCGCCTTTTGTCCTCATGGCGAAAGATCCAGTGACGGGAGACGCAGTTCCTTGGAGCGATTTGCATCGACAGTACATTGATGGCTCAGTAGATGGCGATTTGCCCATGAATCGTCTGTCGGAGATGTTCAATGTCAATCACTTCATTGTGTCGCAGGTTAATCCTCATGTGATTCCGTTTCTTCCAAAACAGGACGGCCCGACCCCTGGCACAGCGCAGACCTCGTCATTGACGTCTCGTTTGTTCCACACCATGACACACCTTGCGAAGGATGAGGTTTTACATCGGATGACAGTTTTATCTGAACTCGGAATATTTCCAACTTCTTTGAACAAAACTGTCTCAATCGTGAACCAGAAATACTCCGGGGATATAAACATCTACCCCGAAATACTCTACACCCATTTCCCTGTCATTTTAAAGAATCCGACCACAGATTTCATGCTCAAAGCATGTCTTTCAGGGGAACGCGCTACGTGGCCCAAACTTAGGCGGATTCGAAACCACTGTGCTATTGAGTTAGCCTTGGATGCAGCTATCCAAAAAATGCGGGCGAGAGTGGCTTTCAGTTCTAGCCAGATAGTCCTGAAAACGAGCGGCCTGCCCGGCCCCGCGGAGGCCATAGACAGCAGTCGGGGCCGAGGGCGCTTGCTTAACCGAAGGAGCTCCTATAGTCATGAAGTCGAAAAGGCACAGCGTATCAGGGCCAATTCGGGTCGTCGATCAAGACCTCTTTTAAGAAGATCTTGCAGCGTACAGTCACCCGAACAGTCGTCGGACACCGACCGGCAAGATGAAGCAGATGGTTATCAAGTTGGAACTCAGGAGTGTTATTCCTCTGATCTTGGTGATGACCTATCTTCCACGGAGTCCAGCGCTGACGAAGAGACGCGAACCTTGGCTTTGGAAAGGCCTGGACTCGTAAGTCGTCGAACTGATTACCATCAGCAATCTCATTGGTCTGCTCCACACGGCGCTCTTCCATCGCCGCGGTCACTGCCAACTGCGTCTACTCACTCTAGGCGATCATCTGTCGGTACCTCCCATCAGTTGTCAGTCCATGTCACGGATTCATTTTCCCCTTTGGGACGCCAAAGGTCATCCAAGTCGATACCATATGCTGAAAGCCACACACTCCGCATGACACCTACAAGCCATCCCGAACATTCAGACCAGTCGTATCCCATCTATAACTGAATAAATTCAGAAGCATGAGGCGGCTTTATTATATAACCCGAGCAGACGGCCGGATACCAAGATCCAAATAAACTTCTTCTATAGTCCGCTAGCTTCCCCTCGACCAGACGGCTCGACCCCCTTATTTGCTTGTCAGTATCGATCAAGGTGCCTTGCATTTTCAAGCACACTACAGAAGGTTGCTATTTTGGGTCTCAGCGTCTAAACCGCTACCCCTAATACTTTATGTGTGTGGGGTGTTAAAAGGGTTGGGTCGACCTCTGTGACGCATCCCAGAAGACCGTCTCCTGGGATGTAGAGCCTAGGCCTTTTTTTTTTTTTTTTTTACTTTGTGTTCTCATCCTTTTCCTTTTCACTTGATATCTAGAATTGGGAATTCATCTAGACGTATTGCAGGTTTGCTCCTGCTGCAGTACTGGCGTCGTTCAGATCTTGGCGTTATCGGAGAAGGTATTGGATCTGGCTCACAAGAACTGGGTATAATAGATGGTTTCTTCAATATGATGGTGGGCACGGTGGTATATTATATACATACATGCACATATACCTAGATAGGCCGCGCTTATTATATACCGCGGCTCACTTATATAAATACATCATGGTAGCCTTCGATTTCTGTCTTGGATAGCTCGGATCAATTTATCAATTGGTCTAATACTAGTCTATAGCTTTGAACTTCTCTTTCCCAATTGAGTGGCCTGTGTGCAGGATGATGTCGGAACCCTAAATACGGGGAAGGAGAGCAACCATATGACGGATTCATGAGCACCAAGAGCGCCAATTTCCCAGGAATCGATACGATCGGGTGCAACGATGAGGCCAATGTATAAAAAACTCTAGCAATCCTGCTGAGTTCTTGTCGACTGCATCGAAGCCAGCAAAGACTGCACGAGATGAAGATAGATGTTACAGGAAAAGAGTCGGAGGACCACACTCGTTCCTTGAGGAGGCCGGCCAGATTGCTTTAGTGGATTATTGCAAGAGTGCATATTTGTCTCGACGGCCACCATGGCTATAGGACAGACCTCCTTCTTTACTGGAGTCGTCCTCCTTCTCAACGCGACCATCGGACGCAAGCTGAATACGAGCTCGGCTGAGGTGACATGGATCACCCCGGGGATGTCGTGAGTCGTCACTGTCTCAACGAATGAACGATTATTCAATTCCTAAAATTGGGCTGATATAAATTTCCCCAGCCTGACAAGTGGTGCTTTCCTGCTCCCATTTGAGAAGCTGAGTGACCTATTCGGGCGCAAGGTCCTATACATCAGTGCGATGACCGGCTTCACTCTCACCCTGGTCACCATTGGGTTCACTCCATCCGCCATTTACATGGAAGTTTTCTTAGGGATCCTTGGCCTCTTCTCCGCCGCCGTTGTGCCTCCAGCTACTGGTGGACTCGGAGCAGTATACAAGGAGCCGTCCAAACGCAAGAACCGAGCCTTTGCCTGCCTCAGTGCCGGGAACCCCCCTAGGATTCGTGTGTGGGATGATAATCTCCGGGATCGCTGCTCAGGTCGCCAGCTGGCGTGCCTCCTTTTGGGCTCTAGTGGTGGTGTACGCAGGGTTCACTGCGCTGGCATTGTGGAGTGCCCCCTCAGAGCGGCCAAATAGTACCGCACGATGGTCCTGGTCATCCCTTCAACGATGCGATCCGCTGGGTATGCTGCTGGTCGTAGTCGGAGTTGGCGTATCTTCCGCCTCCCTAACGTGAGTTCTCTGCCATTGCCGGCGAAACAAAGTAGACTCGAATGATATTGATTCGATATTTTTCCAATCAGACTCGCAGACGATGCACCACAAGGTTGGAGAACGCCGTATGCGTTAACGGCGCTTCTCTTGATCGGACTCGTTGCCTTTGGCCATCAATGGGGTCTTGGTTAATATTGTGCGCGCCTTGATCTTATATAAAGTGAGCAACTAGCTCCCTAGTCTTGATCGGGGCAGTGGCCTGTATTTATGGTCGCTAGCTTTACAACAGAGGATAGTTCCTACTAGGCGTTTTACTTCCCGCCCATGATGCTGATGGTTGTCGATGCGGACATCAGTTCAATGTGGTTAATGTAAGTTTTTTCTCTCGATCTAAGTCTGAGTTAGAAGTCTTACTGAACGAGGAACCCACCCCCCCAGTTGTATGTGATGTCGTCCTTTCAGGTTGCTGACCAGTCTCTTGCGGGAGGTATCTTTAACATCATCACGAAACTCAGCTCTGTCATTGCTCTTGATGTTTCTACCGCTATTCACGGTTTCATTCGTGGTGAAAGGGAGATCAAGCCGCCTCTGGCTACGTATTGGTACTCGGCGGGATTGGCAGCGTTGCCTATATTTCTGGTGCTGTTTCTTCGTCCGGGCGTACAAGGAAAGATGGAGACTGGTAGCTCAGGGTGAAGTTGGGAGATTGAGGTATGTAGTTCTGTGTAGGGTTTGCTGATAGAGTATGGAGGGGTATATGTGTACTTTGTCCTAGATATGATGTAGCTCTATCTGCGCATAGTCTCTGTATTTTCACAATTCCCTAAGCACGGGGTTTAAATCAATTACACAAAAGACTTTGCTATCCACATCAAGCTCATTTTTTACATATTTCGTATAAACGCAGCTAGTTATAGGCTAGATACTCCCCGTAGCGGTATGTACAAACGGATCTATGTCCATATTATACAAACTTGGGCATATCTACTAGAAATGGATATCTGCTCTCTACACTAGACACTCTTTCCTTTTCTTTGTGAGGGATTATTTTGATTATTTTGTGTAATTCAGTAGACATTGAATTGCGAGTTTTCGATTAGCATCGAACATCAATCCTCTTTGACACTATATCTCTCATATAGAAAGGAAGCATGTAGCACACCTGTACAGACTACAGAAGATTACGGTTACAAAAACCGTAGCTTTCTATAGTAGAGACATCCAACTGATAGCAGCCCATTAAGGGCGAAAAACAATAGGTGCGGTTCGACTATACAACGAAAAGAAAATAGACCAAATTTCGCAGGAGCTCTGCTGTATAATCAAGAAAGCTCTAGGCATATATTATGCAATCTTCGATTGCTTCCAGGTCATAAGACACACATGCGGAAAATATAGGGGTCCATCATTCTTTTGTGTGTTTGGGGCGGCGGAGTGTTCGATGAGGCATTTACCGGTACAGCGAGCTCATCCAGGACTGCTTGCTGGCCTCAAGCGATCCGGGAGAAATCAATTTGTTCGCTGAAGGACTGTTAATACTTGTACTTGATATGGGCATGGGAGTGAACCAACCAGTCCTATCTGGCACAGGCGGGGGGTACATGAACCCAATCATGAGGCAGATGATCATAAGAACAATCTCCTCGAGTACTGACATGCAGAGGTACGCCGTTGGACTGCCATCGAATAGTGCGAAACGTGGGTCCGAGCCATAGTCGCTGAGGGCCGCATACACCATTCGAACAACCAACAATGGGCTGCAAAGGTACAACGAGTAGATGACCCTCTGCTCACTGACAGGCAGACTCTTTATATCCCAGCTCAGATAGAACAGGATAAGAAACATCAGGCCTAGGCATACAATGAACAAAGCCAATGCGGCCTTGAGCAAGCTAGTGACTTTGTAGTTGGCGCCATTGACAGCTTGGACCGCCCCGACAATACCGATAATCAGACCAACCATACTGACGATGCTCACAAACATGAAGGTATACCGGGAGACTTGCTTGGCCGTTTCGTTTCTACGTCATATTAGTTCCATTGCAGACCTTGGCTACCGAGCTCCGCTCTATATGTTGGAGAAAGGTGTGAAGTATATAGTCGTGTTATAGGATAGTTACTTACACTCTCTGTAAGAGGCCAACTGCAGCCAATGTTAGTGGCGCAATTCCTAGTAGATCGCATACGATCTTGGTCACGACGACGTCTTCCGAAGCATGACTGATAAGAAGCAACTGACAGACGGCACCAGCAATTCGTAGACAGGATAGGATGAGCAAGAATCGCCAACATGATGCCACCGCTTTCAATCCTTGTTTGTAGCACAAGTACAACGCGAGGTTTAAGGCGGGGATGAAGGCGATCAGCTGGAGCACAGCGATGCCGTCGCGGTATGTAAATGTCATCGGGCCGGTGTGGGTGGGGTGAGGAAGTGAGGGGGAAGGTAGGAGGTATGAGGTGTTTAAAGATAATGTATAAGAGGGTCTGAAGTGGAGAGACAATCTGATATAACTGTATGGAGAATAAGATACTTTTCATTAAGTCTCAGGTGAGTGCAGCTGTTTTAGTAACTGACTTGTCTGGTGTCTGCCTAGAAGAAATCCTTGGTGAATGCCTGCCCTCCTTCCTCTTTCATTACTGAAACTAGAAGCCACTTGACCGACCAAAGATAGAGAAGAAGGCAATGCACATGTGGAGTGTGGTTATCTCGGTCTTTAATACAGTATAGGGCTGCATCGTGCATACCCAAATAGAGCTAGCTCAGCCTATCCGGGGCGCCTATCCGGGGCGCCTATCCTAACCGGGTAAGCATCTCCAAGCTTCCAATCATCCCTGTTTCGGTAACCACTTGTTACTATCCTGCTCCAAAGGCAAACACTACATACCAAGGCTCAATGTCGCACGGCCATTATTCCTAAAACCATTAGAAGTAAATCGCGATAAAGGATTAGCTCTCGTCTGATATTGCTCAGTCCCTAGGAAGAGGTAGATTCAAATCATTACTAGAAACCATGATGCTCCCGTGGTATAATAATGAGATGACGCCCGAGACTAAGAGCCAGGATAGAAGTGCGACACCAATTGTTTAGAAATTACAGAAGTCTGATGATCACCGGAATTTTCAGTCTTTAGTAAAACAGCCCTTGATACTCAGCCTCTGATCTCTGGCTTCGCCCAGAGATCCCCAGATCGGCCTCGTTCGAACAACAGCTTGAAATACAAAGCAATTCATGGCGATGGGTTTCACTGAATTTCAAGCCAGCGAAATCACTGTGACTAGGCTTCCCTTTTATGATACAGAGGCTCGAAGCGATGATGCTCCATCAGCCCCGGGTATATCATAAAGCGAACCTTCCCTCATCGCCTATCTTATTCTCGACACTGGAATTTCTCAAAGCATTTGCGTCTTTCATTAGTACTCTCGTGGAGGCTGAAGAGGTAGCAGTCGTGACCGGGACCCTCTCTGTCTGGCGTGCGGACCCTCGTAGAGGAGCACTTGCTCACCGGGACCGCCACCCATAGCCTGGTTACCGCGATGGCGGTGGTACAAGCTGCTTGGGCTATGACACTGGCCTGAACTTTGGTCAAGCCGAACGTGCGGACACTCTTGACCAAGTATTGATCATGTCTAAATCAAGCGAGCCTCTATACGGCTCCGGCACTGGTTATCCATCCTGTGTGTGCACTTTTATGTGTGTAGTTTACTTTTTTTTTTTTTTCGGATGTTTGCAATAACCTCGACATGTCAGTGTCAACGTTGTTCATTTTGTACGTCAGTCAGATACATTTGGTAGTTTAGCCTTACGTAAATATCCAAAGTCACATAATTACACGCCAGCCAGTTCACAGGGAGTTCATTCATCTTAGGTGCTCAGCGGTGGGCGGAGTTGATTTGACTCGACGTAACCGGCAAAGAGGTCGGCTTGCGTGAGGCCTGACTGCAAGCTGATGTGCCGTAGCTGGTTTACAATCCACTGCCGCGTTTCGTCTGAGTTACTGTGCATTGAGCCGACGAGTAGGAGTATCCAGCTCGCGAAATACGCACCGACTGCGGAGCCCATGTACGTGGCTTGGTGGAAGCCAGGGGAAGAGCTGTTCGTGGAGGAAGTCAGGGGATCCATCAGCTTCGTTGCCTCCTCGACCGGCTGCCCCAGGCCTAGTGGCTGTAGTTGCTTCTGGGCAGGGAAAGGGAAATAGCTCGTTAGCTGGGGCACGGAGGCGAGGATGTCATCACGGACGTTTGTCATCGTGCGGCTGAACTGCTGCAGCTGATCCGCGTAGTGTCCGGAGAAGAACCAGCTGGGTTTTGACTTGGCGCCTCGCAGGAGGAGATGGCAAATGGCGTGGATAGCTAGGATACGACCGGCGCGCATATTGTTCCACACGCCGGCCACCGAGGCGTCATTATAGCTATGGTAGACGTCACCGTGCACACGAGTGGGGTCCCGAGTGGTGTCCTGCACGACGGTGAACTGCCACTCCGGAGAGCACTCTGAGAATCGGCTCTCGAGTCGGTGGTCAATATCCAAGGCTTGGGAGAGGTATCGTTCTAGATCATCAATAGGCAACTCCGTTTCCGTAGCACCGTTCCCGGAGGGGTCGGTTGAGCTATCGGTTATAAAGGTGAAGCCCCCCGGAGAGATCTGACGGTAGAGATCCATGATTTCGATGAGGCCGCTACTGGCGACCCAGTAGGGGTCTGAGGCACTGATTTCTTTGGCCGCTTCGGCACGGATCATGCGGAGGCTTGAAGAGATCGGCCTCCCCATACGCAGGCAGTTGGTCAATAGAAGGCCAAAGACGTCCTTGAATATCTGGAGGCCGATGGGGGTGGTGAACTGTGCCTTCCCCCGCAGTGTCAGCAGCGAGGTGGCACCCTCGATATGCCGCTCCCAGCCGTCAAGTGAGGACTCGCTGAATTCATACAGGGAGAGAACCAGCACGGTGACAATCGTGCTATGTCGGCGTGCCGCCTGCGGATCTGCCAAAGCTCGGTTCATTCGCTCGATTGTCCTGGTATACATGGCCCTCGACCGATTCATCAGGCCTACCTGGCGGGCATTGTGGGCCAATCCGGTAAAGCCTACGGCTAGGATGGCCCCCTCCAGGATGTCATGACCGTCCTCCGTTGACAGAATGCCGAGTATGTAATCTAGAAAGCCCGAGGATGGAAGGGACTGCCGCACAACGTAGTGCGTCAGGAAGTAGTTCAACGCGATCATGTCGAGTGGGAGGGCAAACGGCGCGGGGACTGCCCTCTGACCATTAGGGTCTCCCTCGCCCGCCTCATCTCCGTCCCCTGAGTTCTCGCTCCCTATTCTGGGCCAGGTCGACAATGTACTGCCGCTGCCCAGCACCGTCTGGCCTGCGCTGTCACTATCGGGCGAAGTGCTGTCTACCTGTAGGATATTGCGCCCCAGAATATCCTGATTATAATTAAAAAATAGAGGATCCTCATTCAGCATGCCCTCCGCCAGTTGCACCGGCAGCTCGGCACTCTGAGAGCGAGCCTGCTCGCTTGGGGTATGCTCGCGGGAGGCGACCCGTTTCGTGATTCTCGCGCGCGCTTTGTCGATGACCTGGCTACTTTGGTCTCGAAAAATGAGACTTGTGGGGTCTCGATAGCCGGGGCATTGCTGTCCCATACGGTGACACTGTCCACATCCCGGGAGAGCCTTGTCGCACTGCAGTCATCCGACCTGTGTCAGTGAGATTGGAGGAGGGGACACAGAGAAGGAGCACCCAATAAAGAAAGAAAAAAGAAAAGAATATATGCCGGTCAAAGGTGGGGTACAACTTACTCGTCGTTTCTTGGCCCTACAGTTATTGCAACTGGTGGAAGGGCGGCCACAGTACACCATTGTTGCTTTGGGGCTGAAGAGGCGGGGAAAAGAATGGGCCCGGGAAAGGAAGACTTAATGGGAGAGCAGTTCGCCGGGTGGACCAAAGCGCTGCACTTGCTCTATCATTGGACTTGCTGTTACCAAACCTTTTTCTTTTATTTTTTTTAAAAGAAAAGCCAAGGCTCAAGTCGAAGCTTGGCCATCCCCATGGGGGCGATTTTCTCTCTTTCTTTTCTTTTTATTGTCGATATATATTTGTAGGTTTTTTTATATTATACTTTTTTTCCTTCCTTCGTTTTCTGCCCTATAGCCCTATAAATCTTCCTAAGCTGCAGGAAACGGGAAATAGGGTCGAGTGAGAAATTCCCAACTCCCATAACAAGGTGGATAGACTGGCCACAGGATTATCGCAAATCTAACAACCTGCTGAGTCACAGCATTGGTATCGCGATGCTCGGTCTGCAAGTGCATGACTTCCTCCGCGCCCCCTTCCCAGCCCGAACGTAGGCAATCAGCGTCCACAGCCTTTGAGTTCTATACAGACGTCGAAGTGGGTTCTCTCTTCAGCCCAAAAAGATCGACGATAGGGCTGGTTACCCGATTAGGAATGGGATGCTGCACACCGACGCTATACCGCATCCAGTTAGGCTTTCGTGAATCGATTACCCAAAATGGTATGCACGATGCTGATGCCCTAAAAGCGATACCAGCTCGAATGCTAAGCTTCGCCACGAAACTCCATAAAAGAAGGCACAAAGCGTGTCTTTCCTTTGCAAATGTAGATAATCTGGCTAGGCAGCTAGACATATAAGATGATAGACATCTCAATCGTTTCAACTTCCCATCTGTATTCTATCTAACTATTTCAACCCTTTTATTCTCTAGCACGTCAAGTTCACCATGCCCCAAAGTTCGTATAAAGATTACTACGAGAGAGACTATCGCTACCGGGATGAGTCGCGGTTTCAAGATGACTACCTCTACCAAGAAGGCAGAAGATACCGCAACAGCTACGCGGAAGAATACTACCCCCAACCACGACTCCCGCCCAGCGCCGGCCCTCTCCCATTACCAATCGTAATCCCACAACAACGCCCCGGCTCTAGAGAACGCGGCTTCATCGCCGCCTACGCACCCTCCCTGGAGACATGCGGTATTGACCGCATGACCTTCCTTCGCTTCCTCGACGAATGCAACACAGCAGTCCAGGGCAACAAGTTCCTAGCCGGCGTCCAAGTCGTCTCCTTCGGCGTCGGCTTCACCCCCGAAATGATCGTAATGGGCGTTGCAACCGCTGTCCAAGCCGGCACCTACATCGCGAATAAAGGCTATGTCCGCCACAAGTAAGAGCACTGTCCCCAATCCCCTCAACCGTCCAACAACAACTAACAAACCCCCTAGAACCAACACCGTCCTGGACAAATACAACCAAGAAGTCTTCGGGCCCCACGGCCTGTTCTGCATGATCATGAGCTACGAGCCCGAAACCTACGACGACACCCAATCGGGTTCGCAATCGCAGTCCCTCTCCAGCCAGTTGGGTCGTCTTAGTTCCCTGGCCTCGGCCAATTGGGTTAAAAACCCTGTCTCGGGAAAATCCCAAGGCACGCATAATCTGCCCACCACCGTCGCACCACTGATGTACATCGATGATCGACGGCAGCATAAAGAGCTCCTATCTGATCGGAGTCCGTCCGAACCTACGGGAAAGGTCAAGAAGTCCGAGAAAGCGAGGAGAGCCTTCGAGGCGGTAAATGATTACTTTGATAGGAGAGCGCGGGCACAATATGTACGCCCAATTATTTTTCTTTATTGCCCCCTACCCTCTAGCTCTCTGAGCGTAAATGCTCAGAGATAAAAGCAAAACAACTATTAACAGTATACACATCAGGCCGCCGAAAACACTGGCGACATCCTCAACGTCCCCCTATCCCGCTCTTTCAAAAGCCGATATCTCGACCCCAACCACCCTGCCACAAACGGGGGTCTAATCGGCCTTCTGTCCGGCGGTGTACTAACACCCGATCCGGAGTCGCGGAGACTCAAGGCCTTGAAACGGATCGAGGAGGAGGAGCACCAAGTCATGGATCAGTATTATCAGCAGATGCACAGTATCCGGAACCAGAACCAGACGCAGATAGAGATTGATCGGCAGCTGCAAAGGTGTGAGGAGGATTATGCGTCAAGGTTAGAGGTGTTTAGGGAGCGGAGGAGGGAGGCGCAGGGGAGCAAGCGGCAGATTAAAAAGGTGAGTTCTTCTTTGAGGACTCTCTGAGTAGGAGACGGTTGAAGAGCTAATGAGATGCTGGGGTAGAATATTTTGTATTTAACGATTGTTAATAAGCCATCTGAGGAAGAGTTGGCGACTGCCAGTGACAAGTTGAATCGTGGATTTGGAAAGGGGAGGGTGGGACTTACGCAGGTTTGATTCTGGTGTAGGGCTTTGATATGTTACGGTGTTTGGATTTATTAGGTGATATGGCATGATGGGAGTTGAGGCTGTTTTCCTTTCTTTTTTTATTTATATTCTATATATATATATCTTGCTGTTACATGATACTCTTCAAAACTGTCATATCATGTGTTCACTTTGAAGTTAGGAAACCCCTTTACAGACATATGTTAATCAAAAGTTATACTATAATATCTTTTTATAGAATTCAAGTCTTCGTGGCCTAGCGCTAATATTCTGGTCCACAACATATATATTCACCACCTCTCTGACAGAATTCAGAATCCACTAGCCAAGCAAAGAGTTAACCAGAGCGTGTAGATTGACAACCACAAGGATAATCGAATGTTCCAATATGTTTGCCAAAAAAAAGGTCTCAGGCGGTATTGTCTCCCCAAACCCAAACAGAAATCCTTAAATTGGGTCGCTAGGATGCCTTGGATATTCTTATTATCAAAGGCCAGGACATCCTCACCGAAGCCAACGCACATATTGTAGATGGAGACGTAGCGACCTAGATATTCGCCATCTGTTGGACCCGTCGCTCAATCAGCTCGGGAACCAACTTCTGCCGATCTGTTTCCATGGCTTCCATGAGATTGGCGATCCTAAGAGGGTCCCGAGAAGGACTGAGATACATTGGTCCGTATCCTAGAGCACACGGGATCGTGAATCCGATATACATGAAAGGCAATGGTCAGGAAGGTGAGGAGAGATCCAGTGAGGTCCATGGTGGTCGATTGGTAGTCAGGAGAATGGGCATGCGATAAGGAACTACATTGCCGCATGATATTGAGCTTGAATAGAGCCTGGGAAATCCAGTATATTGTATTTATTTAGCGGCTTGGGTAGGAATAGGGGGATCTCCTTTGGTTAAGTGGAAGTTATGGATATTCCTGCGAAGTCACTCAAACATGCTCGATTGCATTCTATAAGGGAATAGAAGCTGTATATGAGAACCTCTATACTGCAAGTGGAAGACTAATGTATTGAATACGTACCTCTTAAGGCCATGGGGTCTGGATCGTCCAGCAACTCTTTACCTGGGCCAAGCGCTTTGGCGGTTCCCAAATTAAGTCCCTTATATTATGGCAATTAGTCCGCGCATATAATTAACACCAACTTGGAATCCATGCACCTATCCAACATCCTTTATTTTTGTTCATTGACCGTGTGTTAGAATAGAATAATCAACAACGGTTTCTGTTCTCCATAGTGCAACGTAACTGCGCAACCCCGGTAGCCCTAGCTTTATATAATTTATGGCCATTGGCATAGGTCTTATGATTTAAGATACGGGTATACTGCTCTCAACCAGCTTCCTAAATTAAACACTTCCATCATTTCCTCGTAAATTTTCCCTCTCCCAATGGTTCGTCCTCAGATGTAGAGCAACACATCGGTATCCAATAGGTTGCAAGCGCCTATACCACCTTGGACATGAAAGTTGCTGCTAATATTACCCACCATACAGATTATGGCTTGCGACTAATAATAGTCGTCTTGATCAGGCTGAGAAGGAGGTGTGTTTTACCACCCTGGTCGAGGGGTACTTGGGCGCCTCGCTTGGGAGGATTCTAAATTTGGCCGAATTATGCAGAGTTAGCTCGGGACTAATTCCTGAGCTCAAGGTAATTAATTCTAGACAATCATCGACAATTTGCTAAGAATGGAACAGGATTTAAGACCTCTTCAATCAATCAGCGATCAATGCGTCGTTCCAGACGCGGAGGCTAATGCACCTGCCCGCTTTTCTCCCACCTATCTCGGCGGCTACCTGGTGTTGATCAGAGGACTGCTTCTAATGTTGGCAACACCCACCATTTTGCGTCGCACAGATTATCTTTGCATTGCATGCATGACGCTGGCACTCTCGATGACATGAGACCAAAAAAAGAACCATCATTGAAACCCTTGGATCGCGGACAAGCTTTTATACTCACTGCTCCGCCACGATGCTGCTCGAGCATCAGCCTGGGCAAATCCCTCTGGGTTTACACATTTGGCCTGTGCTTGCAAGGCATATCATCAGTCGATGAACCTTTTCTTGAGTTGAAGCTGTTTTTGTTTCATACTTCAAAAAGTTTTTGTTCTTCGGCGTGCCTTTTATCATTGTTGCGCGTTTCAACCAACTTGTTAGCGTTCACTGTCGTCAGACATCCTCTTCGTCATCCTCTTGTTTCTGCGCGGTGACCTTCTCCAATCGGGTTGTCCGTGTGATCCCTAGTACCCTGGGCAGTTCCATATCGGCCTCTCTTATTATTATACCCCATATCACCCACAGCCATTGGGTTGACGTACCTCCGAGCCTTAGCTTGCCATTGTTTTCCCCCTCCCATCTACCACGTTCACTTTACATCATGGCAAGCATCGTCCAGCGGCCTCTGAGCCGATTCCGCAAGACGGAGTCATATAAACCCCTCCATGAACGGTGGGGCGATGCAACGATCTCAGCCCCGACAGAGGGGGCATGGAATCAACTCGAGAACCCTCGTCCATATTCTCACAAAAGTTACGAACACAGTCACCGGTCCACCCGAGACTCACGAGAAAGCTACGATGGAGCCTCATCTCCAGAAGTTAGTCTTTCGCGCAAGCAAAACTCCTCCTTCTCCATGCGCACGCTGAACCCGCGTCGGCTTTCCATCCGCTTGGCTCCTCGATCAAAGCAAGTCACCTATGACCAAACCGAAATGGAGCCTCTGCACCACGCTGAACGGAGAACTGAGTTTGCCTACAAACCTATCAGCCAGGACTACCCGACCCAAGTAGCAGAGACAGCGGCCTCCCGGGTCCATGATTCGCCCCGTTTCCGGTACATCCCTGCCGACATGCGCGCTGCGACTGCCTCACCCGGCAGCGAAAGATATTCAACCGGGTCACAACACAGCGTACAGTCAAACTACGATGATCGAGACGGTCGGACCAGGCGGCAACACATTCGCCGGGACTCTCGGTATGAGGACACGCACGATTACTACCTAGAACCACTCGACCGATCGCGCCAGTCATCTCGAACGGGATATAGGAGCAGCGGTGAATTCAGTGAGTGGGCGATTGCATCGCATATAAACACGAGTACGTCGTTGGAGAAAAAGAGACTTCGCGCTGCGAAGCGCATGACCATGGCCATGGTGCCTGATGCGGAGGATATCTACGGATGAAATGAACGGGTTTAATCGTGAACTATATATATTAATGATCATATCACGATGGTGTATATATGTACGGCCGTTGGAGCGTTAGAATTTTCTGCGATTAGGGCTTTGAACGGCGTTGGTGGTTGACAGCATTACTTGTACGAATCTACGGATCATGAAGCGTTGATCTTTCTGTTGCTGTGTACGTTTGCAGGATAAATGCTTCATAAGCATTCCTGGGACTGACGTCAGACTGACGATTAAGGAACATGGATTCCGAATTTATACCGTCAATGATATCTTGTCTGGACCTTAGAGAAAAAGGGGTAGAAGTTGTTCCAGTTCGTTCTTGGATATCAAATCATACGGTCTAGGGTTCAGGGCTATGAAGTCATGACCTGAAATTGCCCAAAAGGGAAGTTTGCCCTCATGACGACATCTCCACGCAGGACCGCCATTTAATGCCAATAAATAAGGGCTCTGTTCTTGTATTCATGACTGAATGATTAAATTAATTCCCCAGATCTGTCTTAGAATTTGATTCTGAACCCAAGTCCACAATTCCCGACAATGGCAGAGCCGGTTGTGCAACTCCAATGCGGAGTCAAGGTACAGCACACCCGGACCAATATCCGACTCAATAAAGCTAATTAATGACTTATCCAGAATGACCCATGGGGCAAGAAAGGAAAGAATTCAGCAGCCGGTCAGCTCTGGTCCAAGACGCCCAATAACGGAGATATACAAGACGACCAAACCTACTCGGAGGTATCTCAACTCTCTTTACCGGTATACAGCAACAACAAAATTATCTAACATCCCCAGATGTGGATGGGGACGTATCCAACCGTCCCCTCTCGGCTTCTCTCAACAGGCGAGCTCCTCTCCGACTATCTAAAGAAGAACCCCCACCTCGTCGGCCAACAAGTCCTAGACAAATACGGGCCTGAGATCCCTTTCCTCCCTAAAGTACATACACCCCTTCCCAACCCCCTACTCTCTACAAAACACATCTAACAAATCAAAAAAAAAAAATAGATCCTCTCCTTCTCCAAAGCCCTCCCCCTCCAACTTCATCCCAACAAATCCCTCGCCGAAAAACTCCACAAAGAAAACCCTTCCCAGTTCGCCGACGCTAACCACAAACCCGAGATCGCCGTCGCCCTCTCCAACTTCGAGCTCTTCGTTGGCTTCAAACCCCTCCCCGAGCTCGAATCCATCATGAAGCTCAAACCTCTCGAGCAGCTCCTCCCCGGAAACCAACCCTTTACGAACGACCTCCTCCGCGATCTATGCAAAACCCTCCTCACAATACCCCCCATCGTAGTCTCCGAAATAATAACCTCCCTCCTAGACCTCCCAGAAGCCCAATTCGGCAAACACCGCTACATCCCAGGCCTCCTCGACCGCCTCCGCAAACAATACACTGAATTCGACAACGGGAACTTAGTCGCCGCTCTCCTAATGAACTACATGGCCCTGGGACCAGGCGAAGCCGTCTGCGTCCCGGCGGATAGCATGCACGCATACCTGTGCGGGGATATCATAGAGTGCATGGCGCGGTCTGATAATGTACTTAATACGGGATTCTGTCCGCGGGCGGAGCGGGATAATGTGGAGTTGTTTACGCGCGCGTTAAGCTTTCAGCCGCATGGGGTCGATGAGGCGGTTTTGCCGCGGAGGAGGAGTGAGATTGGGACGCTTGGTAGGTCGGACGTTTATGCGCCGCCGTTTGGGGAGTTTAATGTTCTTGTTACGGTTCTTGGGGCTGGGGAGAGGGAGTCGCAGAGGGGGGTTTCCGGGCCGAGTCTGTTGTTTGTTACGAGGGGGTGTGGGCGATTGGAGGTTAAGGGGTCTGAGACTGTGAAATTGTTTGATTTGAGGGAGGGGTATGTGTTTTTTGTTGGAGAAGGAGTCGGTTTGGATTTTGATACAGATAGGGGAATTGCGGTTTATAGGGCTTATGCTGAGTAGATTAGTTTAGTGTTTGGATGTCGAGTTAGGGTTAGAGTAGGATAGAAATTGAACCGTGGAATCGACCGATGAACAACCACCCATTTGAAACACGTAGGATTCTAGAATCTAGAAACAAACCAGCATATACACGTTGGCTAGGCATTCTTCTTCTCCTCATTTGAATGCTCTTTTTAAAATAGATCAACTAATGCGGGCGCGATCCTTCCATTGCCGCTGATACGACAACCCGAGCGCTTGCAGCTCCGAAACCGAGCGTCGACAACCAATGATTCCGAATCCCTTCTATTTTTGGGGGGAGTTCTTGCTTTTGTCACCGACTCTTGCTGCATACTAGCCGCGACTTAGGGCTCTGACCGGAACTTAAAAGTCTCAAACAGTTCAATCTGAAACGAGGCTGGGGATGTGAGCTTGGGTTCTTTAATGGAGAGGTCTCCGCTCTTTCGATCTGCGGAGGGGAAGTTCAGTGTTGATTTTCCACGAGAGCCCTCACTCCCCAGCCTTTTACCCTGCTCGTTTGTTGGCAATATGATGTTTCTCCCTCTTCATAATAGGTCGTTGGTGCCTAGATCGAGTGACTCGTCCACCACCCCGATCATCGTCGGTGTTGTTTTAGGATGTGTTGTAGCTATTGCTAGTAAGCTTAAATGATCCTTTAAGATAATACCCACCATCATTCATGTGACTAATACCTTTATCAGTCACGGCGGGGACCCTGTTTATTCTCCTTCGAAAACGAAGATGGTATCGCGTCCGCCGATACGAGGAGGAAATGCTTTCAATGCGCGGGCCAACGGGATACAAACGTCAGGGATTCGGATTCCCGTCCGACAATCACCAGCCACGACCGCACTCGTCAATGCATTCTTATAGTCAACCGCAGGAGCAAAGCCATACTCACCCTCGCGGCAGACTATCCGGTGACACCCCACCACCGGCATACACCACCATCCCGGCCTACGACCCATCAAAGTACCATACCATCAGTCAGCTACCACCTACCATGCAAATAAACCGCCCAATGCAGGGTAATCCCATCGGTGTGTTCGAGGAACGACCATTTTCGTTCATCCGAGGCGTCGAGCAACAGTACACCAGCCCGGCTGAAACGCAGCGGAGCTCATCTCATGCACAGCATCGGGGACCGTCGCCGGAAGGCGCCTGGTCGATGGAGTCGGAAAGTTCCACGACCAACTTTTCTAGGCCATTGGAGGGTGTTCAATCACCTCGACGACCCAAGCCTGTGCTTACGAAGTTGGTCACGAATTTTGTGTGAAGTCTGGGAGGCATTGGCCTGTGCCCATGGGAGGGATCTATTTGTTTGGTTAGCGTGGGAGTGGGAATTGGGAATGGGATGGATAAATGGGTTATTACGGCGTAAGGGATGGTGTGTTCTACTTCTTCTTTTCATTTATTTTGCGTCGGGTTGTCTTGCTTTCACTTGGGAGGGACGATGTGACGGGCTTATGACGGTAACGACCTCTGTGTTTCTGTCCCACGGCGTTAGGGATAATGAAATTGATGATCATTAATCCATCTCTGTGACGTACCAATGTAGTTTCCCATGTTGTTGGGGTGTGCATGCAAGTAGCAACTTGCGTGGTGATAGCGTGAGAGTCACTATGTCGTGAGCTGTTATCCACGGACTTCGTGATGTTTCGATGTAATTAGTGGGTTGCAAGCACGAATATATTTGAATGCCGAATTCCAACAAGACTTGAGCTGAAGTTCGATTAGCCAGTGATAAGGTCATCATACTGGCACTGTTTACTCACCTGTTTTGTCGGATGAGCTGTTACAAGCCAGCTTACAAGAGATATCGATACTGAAGTGAAAGTAAGACGAGGGTTAGGACGCATCCTATACTGGCTCAACCAGTTGCCCTATCCAGAACAACACAAGATGATCCAAAGTAGTAGGTAAAGAGACACAAAGGATGTTCACAAGGCCGTAGAGATAGATGGCTTGTCTAAGGAAGAATGTCATGACCATCGAGATGCTGTATGCCTCAAGTGTGAAGTTCCAGGTCTCGAAGAACAGCCAGATGAACCGGGGTTGACCCCCCAACCCCTCTCCCTTCTCAACTCGGTGAAAGAGCAATAGCTGGATTGGGTTATTGCGAATACAAAAGATAACTATGTCATATGGTCACTCCCAGAAAGGCTGATTGAAGAGGTTTGAAAAGTACTGGTGGATACGTAGGGACTGGCCTGACTAGTCTAGATGGCTTCGTACTTCTGAGGGGCATTCCCTAAGAGGGTAAAATGACTCTAGAATCCCGACATATTACAGGGAGCGTTGATTGAAGCTGGTGTTGGCGCTTGGATTTGTTGGCTACAATAATATACTTCGTACTACACCCTGGTAGTATGCAGGGTGCAGGGTTGTCTTGGGTTGGGCGAATAGGACTGAATGGACCAGTCATATGGTGAGAGAGGGAGGTATAAAGGGATAAATGATTTTATTTATTTTATTTTTATTTTTATTTTATTTTATTTTTTTTCTTAAGTAATAAAAAGGTATAGTAAAAATGATCCTGAAAGACCTAGTCACGGGTTATCGTCATTGCGAAAGTCTACTGGGATTCTCCATATCGACAGTTGACGATAACGGTTCTCTTTGGGAAAGATAATCTCTGGATGGATCAGATAGTTAACAGCAAAAAAAGAATTTTTTTAACATTAAATAACCATAACTTCCACGTACATCCACCACCGTCGTACAGAGATTGAGGCTACCTGCCTCTTACCGTATGCGCCCAATCGGGAGAATTAGGGCAAGGATTGAGAAACCGTCACTTGATTTAATGAGAATCACCCTCTCTCCCGAACCGTCCGGATGCAGTGCATTAACACAATCCTTTTAACCTCGAAGGGAGTTTAATAGATTAACGCCATCCCACATCGACTCCATCACGGCGCGTAGATAAGCTCGGTGGGTGGTCCGGGTTCAACCGCGACGATCAACCGGGTGCTTGATCTGCCACCAGCCAACGACTCCCCCTCTTTTTCGTCCCTCCGCAGCGGAAGGAATCATGATTCCGCTTGCAAATCATTGCCTGTGGACAGGTAAACAAACTTTGGTCCCTTGAAGCCATCCTACACAATTCATTAACTCATCTGACACCCCTCCAGTCATAGTCCACCTTCCCTGTGCGGTGATGTTGCATCGCTTGCACTTGCGGGGGTCAACATACCTATTAAACGACAAGAAGTTGGACAAGATCCCTGTTCCCAAGCCATAGCTCCATTTTCTCTATTATTTCATTTAATTGTTTCCTTTTCCCAGCGTGCTGTCAGCCATGAAAGCGCCATGCCAAGAATGACCCACGCTTGTTTGCATCAACATCCATGCCTTTGGGGGTGACTGTCGAAGCAAGATGACTGCGCCGTAATATTCACCCCCTCGTCGGCTCCGGTCCTCGTTGGCTATGCCAGTTGGGCGTGGGACCCTCATTTAGTCTTCCCTTGTCGCAATCATGCCCGGCTCAGCTTCCCAGGACCAGTGATCATTACCGGTTGTTCAAAAACACCGCGGTGACCAGGCTATTCTCTCGGCCTCCATCGTGTCAACCTCTCCACCAGAAGGGTGTAAAGGAGGGGCGAACCAGACTACCGGGCCCATAACGCGTCTCCTACTCGCACCAAATTCACCTTGTCTCTCCCGTCCTCGAAGGTCCAGCTTTTCAGGGAAGGACCTCCCCTCTGTCAGCCAATTCGGGGAGATATGCAGCTATCATTCAACGGGCGGTATGTCGTCGTCGGACGTATACTGATACTATATCACTATCCCATGCAGGCACAGCGGCTCGTCTAATCCTTCTCCATCCTCCATCTAAATCGCCTTCTGACCCTCTTCTTGGCAGCTTGGTAGATAGCGTCCCCAGTCCTGAGGTATGCGTCACGCACAGCTTTGACGAATACTTTTGAACTACTGCTGCTCACCCACACGCTTACCCAAACGCCCCGTGTGGCTGGCTTCATTTTATGAAAAGCCCTTTGGCAATCATGACGCCAATTATCCAGAAATTAAGGAGAAAGCGCAAGCTTTCCTCCGAGTTGCACTCCCGCTGGGGTGATGTGGCTATCACCTACCCCAACGCAGGCTCCTGGAGTCAGTATGAGCAATCGACCGTGGGAACACCTAATTCCATGCCCGGCAAAAGTTTGGATCAATGTCGACGACATGGGTCATTTGATTCCCTCCATCCCCAGGGCCGCTCGTCCCGAAATTCATCTACGCTCCCTTCGGGGGATTTTAAAGAGCGCAAGTCATCTACTGATTCCGCCATGACGATGCCGATGGGCCACTACGACGCAAAACGGACGCTCTAAGAAAAAACTACCCGCCCCAACTTCTCGAGTGGGACAGAGACCTCATCCCCAAGTCCAGGATAGCTCTGACGAATGCTCGACGGATGAGGACGAGGGTTCCGTATCCAATCCCAGTGGGCCCAAGGGGCGACACCTAAAAGATGTATCTCGTACGAAAGCCCATGAAGGCGATGCCTATTCGCGGGCCTCCAAATCCCCCCCGTTATCTGTTACTTCTCGAATGCGCCGCTGTAGTCTACAGAGCGCGACGACCGAGCCGTCCCCCTCTATACCCGCCACTTCCAGCTCGAAACATACGAGTTACACGTCGTCTGTCCCGTCGGTGCCGTCCGAGGAACCTCGGCCCGTTACCCGGCCAATTTCCCACGACGTGAAGCATTTGCATCGCTCGAAACCCGCACCCGTTGCAGAGCATGAGTTGGTCCCATCGTACGATGAGCTATACGGATAAATCGTACTTTTCGTTTTAAGCACAAGAATGACTGGACTGATTTTGCCGATCCATCGGGGATAATTCAGACCGACTCGGTCTATGATTTTCTTCGGATTTTTTGGGTCTTTCTTTTCTTTTCTTGTCTTTCTTTCTTTCTTTTCTTTCCCCCCAACGCTTAGTGCCACCAGCGAGAAAGCACACTCACTTGCATAGTGGCGTTTTCCTAGTTCCTGACTCATCGGAGAGGCTTCTTTTCTTTTCTTTTCTTTTTTATTTTTTCTCTTATTTAATATTTTCTCCCCATCACCCTTTCTTTTCGGACTATATGAGCGATTTGATTTCCTCGATCGACGTATATGAAAGGCCAATGATGATCGATTGCGCCGGATCTGTGGTGGATCCTGTCTAGTATATCCTAGGATCTGTATGATGATGATTATTATGAAGGATATATTATTATTATTGATGAATGAATATCTTTTTTTTATTTATTTATTTTTTTTTTTTAAAAAAAAAAAAATAAATTAAAAGATCCATGCAATGCAGGGTCAGTGTGACTTGAGATACCTCTAAGCGCCCAAGTCAAGGAAACCATGATCGGAGGGGACTTCCGAAAGGTCAAGAAAGAGTTGGTATTGAACCTCACTGCCTCCGCCAATAAAAACAAAGATCGATGGTAGGAAGATGAGGGGTTCATGGGAGATCCAACGAATGGAAAAGAAATAAGGTGCTGCAGCATCCGTCACAATCACAATCACCGCTTGCCAATCACTCGTCACGCTTCATCACACGAACCGACTTGTCACTGGGCAACGATCGCCCTTCTCTCCAACACTGCTTAGCGCCCGGCTGCACACTGCATGCTTGATCGGTCTTGACTAGTTTGGGGATGCTTCGATGTGTACCATCATGGTGCCACGGATGCGACTCTGTGCCTTATCAATCCCACCAAGGTACAGAACAAAGCCTCCTTCTCGGCGTGCAGATATTGTAATTCAAACCCTCAACTCCTCCTTTCCCCTTTTTTCTATCTTCGTCTTCTGGTCATCGAGGCGGCTTCCCCTCTCTTCATATACTGTGCTGTCCCGCTGTTGACCCGAGCTTTAAATGCCAGAACGGCGGGTGGGCTTATCCTCTTGGCTGTCGTAGTGCTGGCAGTTTCTGGAGATCGATTCCGATACACCAAGATGCTCGGCCCTCTACATCCGAGATCTACGTCTATTTGGGCGGCTCTGTTTCTGCTGAGTCCATTAGTGGTGGCGTTACGGACCGCACCAGGATCGCCATGTGCAGGCGTTTGCAATAGACAGTCGACCAATACTACGGGGTCTGAGATTGCTTGTCTCGATACCGATTTCTCCATGACCAGCAAAGGGTCGCATTTCCAGCAGTGTGTCGACTGTCAATTGCGCAGCACTTATAATGATGACTCTTCTGGGGAAACGGACGTGGACTGGGGACTCTGTAAGTATATCAGGGATTATCCTGCTAGTACTCTCTCTCTCTCTCTCTCTCTCTCTCTGACACCAGCGGACCGTTCCAGACAATCTTCGTTATGCGTTCACCTCGTGTGTCTATGGCTATCCAGCGCAGGTGAACAATATTTCCACGCAGTGCACGGTAAATTGTCAACCGCTGGATACAGCGCTCGAGTTTGACCTGAAAGACCCGAATGCCAACAATTTCTACACCTGGTGTGGTACTAATGCGTTCGCCGACAATCTCATCACCAAGTGCGAGCATTGCTACAATTTCACGATCTCACAAACCCAAGATCCGACCAATGGCCAATCCCAGGTCTTTATGGCAAACTGTGAGTTAATCCCGGGTCCTCTAAATATTGGATGGCAAAGCAGATCTGACTTAGCCTTTGGAATCGCAGTCCTTGAAGCCCTCCGCTATAACTGCCACTTCCGGACACCCACTGGTCTTGCATTCCCCATCACTCCAACGAGGATTTTCAGCGAGTCACTTTTACCATCCTCCACGGTAGATCTCATCAACCCACCCTCCACTGGCTCCGGGGTCAACTTGGCGCTGGTAATAGCCCTCCCAATCCTAGGGTTTGTGATTCTGCTCTGTGCACTTGCCATATGCTGCTTCTTCTTTATTCGGTGGCGCCGTAGAAAGGCCCGCAGGCAGCGCCAATCTAGCCACCTCCACGCTCGGTGGAACGACACTGGCATCAGTACACCCGGACACACAAACTGGGCTAATTACCATGAAATGTACAGTCCAGCTATGTACCAGCAAGCTTTTGCGCAGCAGCAGCAAGGCTTCAACTTCGTCGACAACGACGGACGATACCATGATGTTGGATACTCAAAGAAGCTGTCCGAGGTAACCGAGTCCGCAGTCGCAACCCCCCTAAACCTGACCCCGGAGGGAGAAAAACAGAAGGCGCGGGAGTATTTTGGTGGTGACTCTAAGCAGAAGCAGTAACGTCGGCCACGGTGATAGACTACTTCTCATAAAGTGTCCCCTGGTTGATGTGTTGAATGAAGTATGGTTCCATGCATGTCAGTAGTCCCACGCCAAGTGCACTACCGACACTGTCTGCGTTGGCGTTTTGAATGTCGTTAATGCTGTTTTCATGACCCGATGATGTGTCGCGATATACCCTTCCATTCCTTGATCGTTTCGCATCCTCTAGAAGTCCAAGTCGACTTCCACCTCATGTCATTAATCATAGTCCTTCGAAATATATATCAATTTTTGCATACAAACCACACACAAGTAATCGGAGAAAACAGAGCGTCGCTCTGAGAGCAAATAACCGCTATATATACCATTGCACCCCCCCAAACACAGACCAGTCGAGAGCAACTTTCCCTCCCACAAAGGATGTGAAGGGATCTAAAAATAAACACGGCAAGGCACGACTAGATTGGACCGACAAGCGTCTAAGAGTTTCACATCACACAGCCAAGCTCCAATCACCCCCGTGCAAAGATGAAGATGATAATAATAGAAGTCTGCAGGATTTTAGGCAGACACAATGGAAAAGATTAACTGATTAAGGCCGTTGTTGTTGTTGTTGTTCAGGGAGAGTGAGTCGGTATCTACAGAGCAAGGACCTTAAAGTCACTGTGTTGTTTATCGTTTCCATAAATTCGAGGGGAAAACGGGCAAACCCGACACTAAACCCCATCAGGCCAACTCCTCTCAGCTATCAATTGAACCACAATCAATCTTCAAAGATCTCAACACCAGACCAAACACTACCACAACCCCCAAAACAAGACCAAATGGCCGCCCCAACACAAGAACAGCTCAAAACTCTCGAACAATCCCGCCAGCGACTCATCCAGCTCACGCGCTCCATCGGGTCCCTAATGCAAAGTCTCCAGCGCGGCGATCCTCTACCACCATGGTATGTCCATTCATACATCTCTCTAAACCCAATCGCAATCCCAATCAAAGATCCAATTCTACCAATACCCAATCAGCCTGAATTCCAAGAAAGGAGAAGAAGCAGAAGAAGAAGAAGAAGCAGCAGCAGCTAACAAGATATCAAAAGGTCCTCCCTCCAATCCCAAGCAAGCATCATCTCCAACAACCTCCTCAGCGTCTCCGAACACCTCTCCGATAACCGTGACCTTCTCACCTCGCTCGTTGCCTACCCGGGCCCTGATTTCCCGGGTCGGACGCAAGCTCACACGCTTGAACAGGTTCTGCGGACGAAACTGGACCCCCGCGTTGAGGACTGGGTTGCACGCGGTCGCAAGGCGGGGACGTCGGCGCTCGAGGATAAATCCGGGTTATTGGAGGCTGAGCTCGCGGAGTTGTGGGATTGGGCACCGGTCGAGGCGAATCAGGAGGCGAGGCGGAGAAATTGGGGAGGGAATTTTACGCTCGAGGAGCGGGAGATGGGGGTGCAGAATGTTGTGACCGGGCTGGCGAGGGTGTTGGAGGATGAGGGGAGTGAGAGTGAGAGCGAGGAGGGGGAGGAGGGGGAGGAGGAGGATGAGATGGAGATTGTGGGGGTTAGGAGGCAGCCGGCTGGGGCTGGGTTTGAGTTTGATATTGCGCCTGTTTCGGCGGCGGCGCAGCAGCAGGTAGCTGTTGAGCCGGCTGTGCCGTTGGAGGATATTTTGAGGTATATGACTACTGGGGTTTCGCCGGGGAAACGGTGATAATTATTGGGTGGTTTTGTACGGGGTTACGAATGGGAATATGTGTGGGAGTTCCTTGGTAACTTCGACGAACGAAAGCGGATTAAGTAGTATCATTGAAACTGCGTATGGAAAAAAAACAAGTAAAAAATAACGAAGTTATCCACGGCGTCGTGTAGTGGGCGTCTTTCCGGACGGCCTGGGAGATGCAGGCTTGGGAGATGCGCTCGACCTCTGTGCAATAGGGGTCTTCTCCACCGTCTTCGGAGCTGCCTTCTTCTGCTTCTTGGCCTTTGTTGGAGTCTTCCAGTAGTACAGCATCTGAGCTGCCAGGATCAAATTCAGGCTGAAGCCAGCAATGAACCCGTACAGAATCAGGTTGTCGTCCACCTCCTGGAGGGTAGTGAAGATACGAGACAGGGAACCGGCAAGATAGTTGAACACCTAAATCAATGTTAGTTGCAAATATAACGTAGCGAAGGGCCAAGGCGACGGAGTAACATACAGCGAAAGCGCTCAACTGTCCAGTACCTCCCTCACGCCAAATGGTAACGATCTGAGGCAGCTTGCTCGCAACACCTAGAGCACCAGCACCAGCCTGCAAAAGCGACATGGTGTGTGCATCCACCAGGGTTTGATCGAACAGCAAAGCATACACACTCGCCGCAACGACCGCAATGAAGGCCGCAGCAGCAGTTGGTCGATCGGCAAAGGTCAACACCAGGACACCCACCACCACATCTTGTACGGCAATCAATGCGGTCTCGCCAAAGGTGCTGAAAGGAAACTGGTTGCGCACGCTGTAGGACAAGGTGATGAGCAAGCTAGCGGTTTCGAGAGCGTACGAGACGAAGGACACGCCGGCCGAGGAGCGAGATCCGATCAGCTTAAGAATCTGGGGGACTTTCACGATAGCGCTGGCGCCCACGATGGCAATCCCTAACACTTTAGAGATAGCCAGTGACGTGCAGGCAGGATCCTTTATGACATTGAGATCCAGTAAAAGGGCGTTGTGGCAGGATGATCCGATCAGCGAGACGACAGTATCGTGGACAGGTTGCGGTAGGGATGAGACGATCGGACGGAGGTAAGGCTGAAGGGGGTTGATGATAGTTTGCTGGAGGGGCTCCATAATAGAAGCGGCCATCTTTAGGGTTGTCTGATGGAGATATATATGAGAGTTAAAGGTTAAGCCCAGCTCGCCGAGGTGAGAGTCTGAGGAAGGAACTTTATTTTCTAAAATGGAAAGTTGATAGCTGTCAGACAAACATTCCGAACTGCGGCTCTGGTCTCTCCCGCCAGGCGAAGGAATTCTTCTCCGTCGCAATCGAATTCATACTTCGCTTTCCCAGGTCTATGACCAGTTAACAACCCTGCTTAATGTCCCATTCGCCATGATCCTCCTCCGTTCCTCTTTTAGGAGGCTAGGATCGGCCCGGGATCCTTCACTTGTCTGTTCGCAATGTCTCATACGCCATAGTCGTCCACTTCCGCCCTCCGCACTCCGCAGTTTCCTCTCGTCCGCGCGATTGCAGTCAAGCGTTGCAAATAATCAATCCCCTTCCTCCGTTCTCCAGAAGACTTATTTCTCTGCCAATCGAGGGATTGATGGTACCTTGAACAAAGATGGCGCTCTCCCCTCGTTATCCCCCGCCGGTTCCGCTCGAGCGAATTCGACCAATGCGTCAACAAACGACGTCGAGGCGGGGTCGGCCTCCACGGGATCAATTCAATCGGAATTGCCTCATCGTAGGAGGAAACGTTTGAAGGAAGAGGCCTCTGGAAACGGTGAAACAGAACATGCTATCCCGTTAGATGCCTCCGCGCAGTTATCGCACCTTTCATCGACACTTCCCAAAACTTCTATCCGCCGCAAATTAGCCGCCTACTTTGCTCTTACTAAACCTCGTCTTTCATTTTTGATCGTCCTTTCTACGACATCTGCCTATGGAATGTATCCTATCTCATCTCTCCTTGCGCTCGACCCATCGATGACGCCGCTTCCTACCTTATCAACCTCAACACTTACCTTCCTTTACCTCACAGCGGGGACATTCCTTTCATGTTGTAGCGCCAACACGTTGAACATGATGTTCGAGCCCAAGTATGATGCACTTATGTCGCGAACACGAAATCGGCCCATTGTCCGTGGTCTAGTTTCCAACCGTGCTGCCTTTGTGTTCGCCGTAGCAACCGCCGCCTCGGGTCTTGCTCTGCTCTACTTCGGCACCAACCCCACTGTGACTGCTCTCTCGGCCAGTAATATCGCTTTATATGCTTTTGTATATACACCACTAAAGCGTATACACGTAATTAATACCTGGGTTGGTGCAGTCGTGGGACTTATCCCTCCCTTGATGGGCTGGGTCGCAGCGGCAGGCCAGACCGCGACCACGGGCCACGATACGTGGCGCGACATGCTCTTCAGCAAAGATAGCATTGGCGGATGGTTGCTTGGAGGTGTTCTCTTCGCATGGCAATTTCCCCATTTCAATGCCCTATCTCACCTTATTCGGGATGAATACAAGAGAGCCGGATACAAGATGCTTTGCTGGGTCAACCCAGCTCACAATGCCCGCGTCGCATTGCGTTATTCCATTATCATGTTCCCCCTCTCCATCGGCCTTTGGTGGGTGGGTGTCGTTAACCCAGCCTTCTTGGTCAGTAGCACTGTTGCAAATGGTTGGCTGGTGAAAGAGGCATACCGTTTCTGGAAACACACGGGCGCTAATGGCACAGCCCGGGGTTTGTTCTGGGCTAGTATCTGGCAACTTCCGATCCTCCTGGTTGGCGGCCTGGTGACAAAAAAAGGTTTGTGGGATGGTGTTTGGAGGAACATTTTCGGCCAGCCCGAGGAAGACGAGGATGACTATATTTACTACGACGAAGTCGAAGATGGAGAGACGACAAAACAGATCGCGTCCCAGTCCGAATCCGTGGCTGGTTCCCATTCTGCCAGTACGGCATAGTTACTCAAGTGATATCTTTCAATGTAGCTTTGCCTTGGTTTCCTGTGTATTAGATTGATTCCCTTTTGGTACGGTGATGGCGTTTTGTATAACAGACATGATTGTCCTCTTTGACATCTCCGAACTATAGGTATATAGAGCTATGAACCCCGTCCTGTGCCTTGCATTATTTCATCAATATTCATTAGCCAGAAGGCCCCAAAATTCCGCTACACTAGCATTTCAGAAACTTGAGAAGAGATCGGGTATCATATCACATCTATCTACAGTACAGACCCACCATATATATACAGCTTCTAGCTAAACGCGGCCCTAGGATAAAGATCACTCCTTGAGTCGAAGATGATACGTTTCCAGTGCCTCCTCAGTCATAACGCTCGGCGCCTTCACCATCGGGTCCTCTCCGACTTTTCCTATTTTCGGGAATGCAATAACGTCTCGCACAGATTCCTTGCCTAGCATCACGGCAACAAGACGGTCGAATCCCAGTGCCAAACCAGCGTGTGGGGGGCATCCGGCTCGCAGAGCTTCCAACAGGTGCGAGAAGTCCGCTAACCGCTCAGCAGGCATTTGGAGAATGTCTCGGAGGATGAACTCCTGGACTGCAGCGTCGTGTATACGGCGACTGCCGCCGCCAAGTTCGACGCCGTTGACGACAAGGTCGTAGTGGTCTGCAACAACCTTTGTGGGGTCAGTAAGAAGGAGGTCGACATCCGCAGCGGTCTTGGGGGCCGTGAAAGGGTGGTGGGTGGAAGATATTCCGGCGGCGCCGCCTTGGCCTGGCTCGGAGTCACTCGAAGGAGAGAAAAGGGGGAATTCGACTATCCAGCGGAAATCGAAGCCTGCAGGGGCGGGTTTGAATCCGGAAGAGACTGCTGTGGACTGGAGTGCTCGGCGGAGGTCACCGATTGGGGTCGAGCCGCCCGCGAAGGGGGCATTTTCACGGGCTTGAATTACGATGAGGTCGCCATGGTCGAGATCGAGAGTCTCTTCTAAGAACTCGGCAGCCTCGAAGCCAAACGGCTGCAAGCCGCATAAGGGCTTCTTTGCATCGTATACGAAGATGCCTGGGCCGCCTTCTGGGTTGTTGTTGAAGGGTGCACCAGCCGGGGAGTCGAGGAACTGAGTGATAAATTCTGACATAGCAGCAGGATCGTTGTCATTGTTTTCGAGTTTGAAAACCTCAACTATAGGGAGGGGTATGGGAGTAATCTTGCTGACAAGGTCTACTGGAAGAAGATGCTCAATTCGCGAAATCTCCATTCCGAACCGGGTATCGGGTTTATCGGAGCCATATCGACTCATGGCATCCTGATAGGACATACGTTCGAATGGGCCCGACGGTGCGGGATCCTTCATTAAAGTTGACCACAGTCTGCGGATAATTCCTTCCACCGTGCGCATAACGTCCTCTCCAGTCGCAAAGGACATTTCCATATCGAGCTAGTGTTATAGTTAGTGTTATTTATTGAATGTAGTGAGTTACGGTGAGGAGCGTCATTACCTGAGTAAACTCTGGCTGCCTGTCTGCACGAAGGTCTTCGTCGCGGAAACAGCGCGCGAATTGGAAATATCTTGGTATCCCACTTGCCATCAGGATCTGTTTATACTGTTGCGGGCTTTGGGGTAAAGCATATGCTAGGCCGCGCTTTCTGGTTGGCACAAGGAATTCACGAGCACCTTCAGGTGTCGACTTGAACAGAAGAGGCGTCTCGATCTCCACAAACGGTGGCCGGCACTGTTCCAACTCTTCCTTGCAGACATTGTGCACTTGAGCCCGGAAGCGTAGCGCATTACGCAATTCGCTATCGGATCGGAGTTGTAGAAACCGCTGCTTTGGGGCAAAGACAGTGTCGGACTTCATTATGATATCACTGGGGAAGTCGTTAAGAGGCCGAATATCATCAACCTGGATTTCCCAGGGATCGGTCTGCTCTATCTCAGATCCTTTCGCCTGCTTAGCCTTGACCTTCCCTCGAACAGCAACTGGACTGTTTGCTCTGACAGCCTTGAGCTTCTCCAATGCGCCATTCTTAGCGAGTGATACTAGCTGGATACTGTGCTGCATCGTTGGGTCTGTTAAGCGCACAAAGGCAAGCTTTTTGGAAAGGTCTTTGCGGGCTCCAAGATAGCCGTGAAGCACCACTTCTTGGTCTGGAGTAGCCCGGGAAAGGAACGTCTCAAAGTCATATGTGGCGGCAGGGAATTCAACTATTTCAAATAAGGTATTAGTATTCCAGATTGCTCGAAGGTCAAGATATCAGGATTGAATATCATAGGTACCTGCTTGTTTGTATTGCTCTAGAAAGGCCGGGCGCTCTCCCTGAGTATCAAGTTGGTTATGAAGGATTGTTCTAGTGTAAAATAATCTTGGGGAAGAGATACGACCACGAAGCCCTCCTCTGAATCCAGTTCTTCCGCTGCGGAGATAGTTCGAGATCTCGATATAGCTTGAGCAAAGGCGCGGGGAAAGACGCCCCGCTCTGCTCAATATCATTCTGGGGTGAGAGACTAAGATTTGAAGGGGGATAATTGATCGAAGATGACACAAAAGAACAATTAGAGACTCAATGGCTAAGAGTAAGAGTATTTTAGAACAATCTTGCCCGCGAAAGATGATCCATTAATTCCGAATAATCGCAATATGCGGCAGTATCTTTCCGCCCAACCAAGGAGGACTAGCGTTGGACGGCCCACTACAAAAGAAATCTCCGAAATTCCGCGTCTCATTTTCTTTCTCCATCCTTCCAAGTTTTGAATAGGTGAGACATGCGTTTGTCTTCCTTGGGACCGTTGTGCGTCAAATACTAACATGTAGCAGATGATGAAAGTCTAGCGTGTTCTAATTGATCGATCTCTTCTCCTGGAACCTTGCGGCTCTCCTTTCGGGGTTTAAGGGCTGTTTGGATCCGGATGGAGGGAGTGTGATAAAGGCGTTCGGCACACCAACCTTGTTACTTGACGGACGCGATGAAGACATCTCTGATACAATACATTACTTGGTGGTGTTCTGCTCCCTGGAGCATGTCGTGTGTCAATGACCCCTGAATGGTTTCGGTCTCTAGATAGGCTGTGCCTTGATGACGGGGTTCTGCATAACGACAGATTGCTTTCAATTAATTATATACCTACGTACCGTTCGAGTACTTTCAAAATAAATGATTTGACGAATTTTTTTGTCCTCTGGCGTACCTTTTTAGATCGCCTTCGACGACTGTAGTCCGAGCCCTGTGGTTTCGTGTTCAAAGCCTAGAAGACGTACGCAGTGCTGTATTTAAATAATAGATTCCTTTATATGGCCACTTCTAAGCACGAGGTCCAGTAACATGAATTCTTCCCAAGGGTTCAATTCTAGGTGATGTTGACCGATTAGGAAATCAGTTCCGCATCAAAGATTCTCCGTCGGGGAGCGTTTCTTATCGTCGGAGATCCGATCAAAAGTTACTGCATATCAACCAGTCGTTCTAAAAACATCCCATTTTGATTTCACATCCAATTGCATGACCGATTGCGATTGTTGTTCAATATCCCGGTCTGATGAGGCCACACTTAGGAACCCTGCCTCGCGCGGCGCGCCTCCGCGTCGTCTCCTCCCCGATTCAACGGACAGTATACGGTACTCGTAACTATATACGGACGGCTGCGGCCCTACGGAAGACTGCTTTTCAATCTGGTCTCAGTCAGCCTGCCGTAAGTATTGCGGTCAGTGTTACCAGCGCCGGGCAAACGAGATGGATCACACAACAGCACATACAGCGGACGAACGAGGCGAAGAAGGAGTGGGCAAGGTTCGCAGAAGAAATCGAAGCTGGGAAGAGGAAGAGCTTTGTGCAACACCTTGAGGATAGAGGTCTGCTCCATGATGTTGTTGGGTGAGCTTTTCCAGGTTCTATTGCTACCATCAATATCTGCTGGGCATTTTTGACTAAATTGGTTTCGTCTGGGCCTGCAGTGAACGGGAGCTTTTACATCGAGTATTTACACAAAAGAGGGCTGGAATGTATGCTGGAGTTGATCCGACAGCTCCTTCTTTGCATGTTGGCCATATGTTACCGTTCATGGTGTTGGCTTGGGGTTATGTATGGGGTTTACCGGTGACATTTGTGGTAAGTATACACGCCCCGAGATCAACCCTCGTACCTTGTTTAATTCAAAATAGCTTGGTGGCGCCACATCACGCGTTGGTGACCCAACAGGAAGACTGAAAGGGAGAGAGCAAGTTCATAGCTCGGTGCGAAAAGCGAACATGGCCAGCATGCACATGCAGCTCAAGAAGCTAGGCGCAAGCATTGAACAATACGGCAGGAGGCATGGATATGAGAAGAAGTGGGCATGGAGACGTTCCTTGGTGAATAATAACACATGGTGGAACAAAGTGCCATTCATCGAAGTGCTTCGGGACCTTGGGGCTCACATGCGTCTCGGCCCTATGCTGGGTAGAGAGACGTATGTTCCTAGTTTTCATTTCCTTCTTGGCCATGTTTACTGACGTATTGTTTAGTGTCAAAAACAGGTTGTCCAAAGGCGATGGGATGTCGTTCTCAGAGTTCAGCTATCCACTGATGCAGGCATGGGACTGGTGGGTCCTTTTCAAGAAAGGAGTTCAGGTCCAAGTTGGAGGTACTGATCAGTACGGAAACATTCTCTTTGGCATGGATGCCGTGAAGTCCATCAGCAAGAATACAGTCATGCAGGAGGAACAGGATTCTCTAGATAATGATCTAGACAAACCTATTGGGCTTACAACGCCACTACTGACGGCACCAAATGGTGAAAAGTTCGGCAAGTCCGCCGGCAACGCTGTTTGGCTTGACAAGGATATGACCTCTACTTTTGAGCTATACCAGGTGCGTATCATTAATGTCCCCATAATAGAATAGTTCGTTGACAGATGGAAGTTCTTTGTTCGGACTCCGGATGATGTTGTTGAACGCTATCTTAAGATGTTCACCTTCCTACCCCTGCCTGAAATTGCTACGATTATGGAAGAGCAAAATAAGGACCCATCCAAGCGTATTGCGCAGCATGCGCTTGCTGCGGAATTTGTAGAACTCGTCCACGGCAAGCAAGAGGCGGATGCGGTTGCTCTCCAACATCGCCAATTGTTCCGCTCACGCTCGTCGACGGGTGAACCGACTCCCTTGCAGAAAAACTCTAGTCCACCTGCCCAGACACTGACATCAGGCTTCGTGAATCCTCAGTCTGGTAACAAGTTTGCGCCTCAAACTAATTTCACAAACATGCCGAGCATCCAGGTCACTCTTCCCGAGTCTCTAGTCTACAACCAGAATTTCCACAAGATCCTGTGGCACGCAGGCTTGGTCTCTTCTAAGAGTGAAGGCCATCGAATCGTTTCAAACAAAGGAGCCTATGTTGGGAGTCGTCCGGGCGATAGTGGCGCAATGTCGGACGAACTCTCCTTTACACCAATTATGACATGGCCGTCGGAGAAGACGAAAGATTTCATTGTCGATGGCAATATCCTATTCCTCAAATTGGGCAAGTGGAAGTTCAAGACGGTGACAATTGTCAGCGACGAGGAATTCAAACGGCGCGGACTCAGCGCCCCTGGTTGGGAATCAGGTGAGAGTGCTCCTCAACCCGCTACGGATAATTGAAAAGAGACTCCTGTCCCTTGACTATATGATCAAGGAAAGGAAATAAAACTCGGAGCAAGCCTGATATTTATTTGCTTGTTTTGTACCTCCCACTCATGTATTATATAGACTTGTATATACGCTGTACGATGTATAGTACCTTGATGGCAATGCTATTTTAAGAACCCTACTCTGTCGAATTTGCAGTCTCCCTGCAACCAGGCCTCGTAGCAGCGACATTTCTATGATTAAATTCCTGAAAAAATATATAGATGCAATGAAATAATAGTATGAACTTATGTCGCCAGAAACAACTCGCTGCTTTGTTTATTCTTACCCTCCAAATCGTGAGAGGTAGGCTAGTTTTGTGAGCTATGTATTGATCGGCTTCCATTAGTGAGTTCGGAATTCGTCCCACCCAAACATGTACAGTAATGTTATCTATCAGGCCTTCCTACATCCTATTTCTGGCTCAGTAGCATATTCACCCTTTATGTTAATAGAATTTCCCAGCAGATGACAAGAAAATTAGGCTTGTACTTCGGATGGGGCTATTGTAGTAATGTCGCCACTAGTGCTCTGGTGTATAGGAATCCTCCCCGGAGCCTTTTGTATGGGACGGAAGATCTTTGCATAACCTCACCCATATAAAGGACACTTGTACCCCTACCAGGGTATTGTGCAAGAAAGCAAATATCATAGTGATATGATAATTTGGATCGATCTCAGAAGCGTCTATTTTCTCCCTTGATTATCCTACAACTACCATCATAAAACTTCAGCAAAAGAACCTGACCATATCTTCTCTAAGGAGTATCATCGATAACAGTCCGATATAGCTGATACACCTGTTTCTGTTCCCGGCTCTGACAATGCTAAGGCTCCTGAACTCCTCATCCGGTTTGCTGATAGGGCGTTTGGTACTGGAGCCTGGCGAGCTTCATTTCATCGGAAGCCACATAAGGAGTCTTATGTTATGGCCACCGTAAGAACAGTATGTCATTAGCAGGAAAAGCATAGTAACAGTTCAGGTTGAGGGGCTTTCAAGTATCTCTACATATGCAACTGGGTGCTACAACAGTCCAGATCTTTGGGAAGTGAGGCAGGGTGCGACGATGGCCGTGGACGAGTGGGGACTAAGAGAACGTTTTGAAAGCTTTGGACCTTTATTTCCATCCCTGGAGAATGTTCTTTCCGACTTAGTCTTGCTATCTAGTCTGTCTGCCCCGGTAGAGTCCGATCAACCTATACTTTGGATTTTGCTTAATAGACTATCCTTTGTGTAGGTAGCAGAAGCTGCATATGTGGCCATACTTGTTTGATAGTTTCATCTTTTATAAGTTAGGAATAGTAGATAGTCTCAACCTCTATTGAGATTGGGGCAAATAAAGCTCCTACCAGACACCGTTGGCGAACCTGAACTCCAACATACAATTTCAGCATCAACAAACGTACATGATTTTGAATTTCTTACCACCTGTTACCCTGAAAATTATCCAGATGCGGCTACTAACTATGATAGACAAGATCTACTATGCCCTAATACTTCTTTTTTGTCCCTTTCTCATGCTCACTGCAAAAGATGGCAGTTCTGATGGCGTGCACATGGACCTAGACAGCGACATCTCCCACATGAAGACGTATAAGCCTTCCTTGCAGATTTGAAGCAGAACAGCATCAAGAAGGACATAAAACTGGCTATATGGGATTATGCCATAGGTGTGAGTCTGACCTATACACATCTAGTCTTCCCTGTGGGTCCTCTACTGACAATCTTCCATGAGGAAGAAGTGTTATGTCAATACCCAGCGATGGATGGCGAAAGAGGTAATTTGCTTGCATTCTTTGGCCTGATGATGAGAGTGGTATCTGCTCTGGTCTTAGAGGACAATGGGAACTTTCAGTACCTGGACAAGTACCACGGTGGTGAACTTTAGACCTTCAAGTTGTTTACGCTATATATTGTAAAGGTTCTACCTACAGCTTAGACCATTTTGAGTACAGATGAAAGTATATATGATGAATCACTAGGTTTAAGGGAAGTACTATACGCATATATACACTCGTGACATTGCACTATAGCAAATGCATTATCTTTGAAGATGTATAGCGAGAGATGGCTGTACATACTTTTAATGAATTGATACGCAGATTTCACGTTTACCTAGTACACCCAAGGCACAACTCTCCACTTCACAGTTCTCCTGTATTTCTCCCAGTCTTCACCATACTTCTTTGCACACATAGCATCATCTCTCCGCTCGCGGTGCATTAGGAGAACCGCAAAGTAAAGCACATAGAAGTAGGTAAAAATGGCGCCCCAACCCTTGGCATCACCTTGGATAACCTCTCGCCCATCAAGCATCCTGAAATCCGCTGATAAGGCCGCCGCGCTACTGGCAGACAGGATAGTATAACCTGCAAGACCCGTCGGCAAGCTGAAGGGCGAGGCTTGCAGCCAGTCACCAAAGTAATTGATATGCCGAGACATACCCCACCACCCTGCAGTAAGCAGCCTTGTTCCTCGTTTCGTTTGGATGTAAGACAGGTTCACTACACTTGGGTCATTTGGCTGTGTGCGGAAGACGTTCTTTTGCGTGTTGGCAGCGCGGAAGATGTAGAGCCCTAGTGCGAACACTGCACTTACAGCGGCGATACCTGTCCACCCAAGGTGTAATGGGTAGACAGACAGGTATCGGCACTGGGTTGAGTACAGGAAGGGCACCCATGCGAGATCACCGAAAGACAGCATGAATCCAAAGCCATCCGTGGTGATGTCAATCATCGTGAGGATGCCGGGCTCGTTACGCTGACCGTCGAAAACGTAAAACGCTTGCACAAATGTAGTGAAGATGATGCTATCAGAGATGAAGCCATACGTACGGTATTGCTTGGCAATGAAAGCGAGATCGAGCAATATCCACCCGGTCAGACCGGGACGCATTTCGCACCACGTTTTAATGTCCACCTCGCCGAAGAAGGGTAGAGTCACACGAGGGTTCAGCTCGCGACCGATATAGAAATCATAAACAAAGTTGCCCGTATTGCCACCTGCGGCTAGCTCGCGGAGTTCAGTATTTGGGTAATTCGTGTTCACGCTGAAGCTGCGGACGTATACGATGACAGACAACGCATAGGAGATTAGAATATTGGCAGTCAATATTTGCACATAGTTGTCTGCAATGTACGTCCAGACAAAAAATTCGGCACCATTGAGATATGTGCCAACGCCACAGAATACAAGTTGGATAATGGTGGACGGGAACGCTTGAATGCGATATCAGCAAAGGCTAGCATTAAGTGACATTTTGTTTGGCTCTGCTTACAGTTAAAGCGGTACGTCAATGGGCGACCATGTTGGACCAGCTTTGTGCCATTAGTTTCATGGGCAGGAAGTATCCTCCAGAGGATCATGCTTAGCAGATAATACGCGAGGACCAAGCCCGTCACCTGCCAGCTGCCTAGCTCCCAAATGCCCCCATTGGGCCATCCAATCTCCAACCTTAGCACCTCCCAGCTCAAGGTACGAGGGTTTAAGAGAGATGGCGCCGGGCAGCCAGTTATATCATTGCAAGCAAAGACAAAAAAGTAGAGCAGAATGGGGAGGCCCAGTGTGATGGCCCCGGCACCTAAATTAGGAGTAAGTTATCAGTGACAGAGCACATCGTCCTGGGGTAGTGGTAAAACTCACGGACCACCGAACTCATACTTCGAATCCGTATGGGAGGCCATGTCTTTAATCAGTAACCTGGTGGGTTGGAAAACACATCGTTTGTTTAAGGGATTGATGGGTTTTAGGGCTGGCCAACACACATCACTCCGGATGTGCATCATCCGCTATCAACCTCAGGCAAACAGGACCGTCTCCCTTCTGCCTGAGGCACAACGCGGTAACCACTAAACGCGTCGACGCGCGACGCCCTTCCGAGGAGTTGATTGATCAACTCAGCTGTCGCAACATTCTTTAAGCATCTGTTCAAGTCGTATAGATCCCTCAATACTTCCGATATGTCCCAATAATCTTTCAAAGGAGTCTTATTATCACTACCGTCAAAACAGAATGGCCAAAGGACCGCCCGCGTCTTCCTCTCCGGCCGCAACGCCCCCCTCCGGAGTTCTCAAACGAACCACTTCTAGCACTCAGAATATGAAGAATCAGAAGTCAATTCTTGGCTTCTTTCAAAAATCTTCACCGTCAACACCTTCCACCGCTCGTAATGCCGAACCAGCCTCGTCACCCGCCCAGAGGGTATCGGAGCAGCGCGGGGCGACCGCTACTCGACGCTCCGTGAAAAGCGAAAAGAAGAAGAATATCCCACAGTTCTCGGACCTGAGCCCAGTGCCCAGTAGTGACCTGGTTGAACCAGAGGAGGAGGAAGGCAATGCCGAGGTATGATATATGTAATGGCGCGATTGCTGTTATACGCTCAATATCCTTGAGCTGACTGGGTTCGTAGGCGAGCTCCAATGACCCAAAGGCGACTTCGCCATCCCGTCGGGTAAGACTTTCAATACTTTATTCTGAGGATGCTTTATTTATCTAAGCGTACGCTAATTGTTACCAGTCCAAAAAGCAGGTTAATTATTTCGAGTCCAATTCCGAAGGCGAAGATGACGACGAAAAGATATTCCGCCCTAGCCGCAAGAACAAGGCGCCCAAGCGGAGAAAGGTATCACCCGAGAGTGATGATGAATTTGAACAAGATGGAGATGATGTTGGGTACTCGAATGAAGGTGAGTTATAGTCTCAAAGAGCCCTAGCTGCAGTTTGGCAGGCGTTGACATTTCCAGAAATGGATGATTTCATTGTTGAGGATGACTCAGACGAAGAAGTGAAGGCTTCGAAGAAGCGCAAGAGGTCAACTCAACCAAAGGCTAAGTCTTCATCTGTACCTCCAGTCCCATCACTGGAGGAAGACCTAGACCTGGACATTCCAGATGCTTCTTCTGGTACCGCGTTGAAATGGACGTATGACCCGGAAAACTCAGAGCCTCGTCAAAACCGTACAGCCCCAGTTTTATCGAAAAGCTCATCTGGCACAACAAAACAGAAGGCGCATATTACAGAACCTGAACAGCGCTATGCTTGGCTGGCAAACATTCGAGATATAGACGGCCATCCAGCCGGCCATCCTGACTACGACCCTCGTACCCTTTATATACCTCCCTTAGCCTGGGCCAAGTTTTCGCCCTTTGAAAAACAGTACTGGGAGATCAAACAAAAGTTCTGGGATACCGTCGTATTCTTCAAGAAGGGAAAGTTTTACGAACTTTATGAAAATGATGCCACTATTGGTCACCAATTATTTGACCTCAAGCTTACCGATCGAGTCAACATGCGCATGGTCGGTGTCCCCGAAATGAGCTTGGATCACTGGGCAAATCAGTTTGTAGCCAAGGGATACAAGATTGCCCGCGTGGACCAAGCAGAGTCTGCCCTTGGCAAGGAAATGCGCGAGAGAGACGGCAAGAAAGGAGGCAAAGAAGACAAAGTCATCAGGAGAGAGCTGGCTTGTGTCCTCACTGCCGGTACATTGGTCGAAGGATCAATGCTCCAGGATGATATGTCTACTTACTGCGTTGCTATCAAAGAAGCCGTCATAGAAGATCTTCCCGCCTTTGGGCTTGCTTTCGTAGACACGGCGACGGGCCAATTCTTCTTGTCAGAGTTTGTCGACGATGCCGATATGACAAAGTTTGAAACATTTGTTGCTCAAATTCGCCCGCAAGAACTACTGCTTGAGAAATCTACGATTTCACAAAAGGCACTTCGCATCTTGAAGAACAATACAGGCCCCACCACACTATGGAATCATTTGAAGCCAGGGAAGGAGTTCTGGGAAGCGGACATCACGGTGAGAGAACTGGATGCCAGTGAGTATTTCGTCTCTGAGGATGACGAAAACCTGAATGCATGGCCAGAAGTTCTTCGAGCGGCTCGCGATAAGGAACTAGCTATGTCGGCCTTTGGCGCGTTGGTGCAATATCTCAGGCTTCTGAAGCTTGACCGTGACTTGATCACAATCGGTAACTTCTCTTCCTACGACCCAATTAAGAAGGCTTCTAGCCTGGTGCTAGACGGGCAGACGCTTATCAATATGGAAATCTTTGCCAACTCATTTGATGGAGGCTCAGATGGGACATTGTTTCAGCTGTTGAATCGCTGCATCACACCGTTTGGCAAGCGTATGTTCAAACAATGGGTTTGCCATCCACTAATAGATGCGAAGAAGATCAATGCCAGGTTGGATGCTGTTGATGCGCTCAACGCGGATCCTAGCATTCGGGATCAGTTTTCTTCACAATTGACGAAGATGCCTGATTTAGAACGATTAATCTCACGTATTCATGCTGCTAATTGCAAAGCCCAAGACTTCTTGCGCGTGCTAGAGGGCTTCGAACAGATCGAATACACCGTGAGCCTTCTCAAGGACAGTGGCTCTGGAGAAGGCGTCATTGGTCAGTTGATCAGTGCAATGCCGGATCTGAACGAATTGCTTGAATACTGGAGAACAGCTTTCGACCGCGCCAAAGCAAGGGAGAACGGCATCCTAGTACCCAAAGCTGGCGTCGAAGAAGACTTCGACAACTCCCAAGAAAATATTGAAGAACTCCATCGGGAGCTTGATAATATTTTAAAGCGAACTCGTCGCGAATTAGGCTCTACTGCCATTTGTTACCGTGACAATGGCAAAGAGATATATCAGCTGGAGGTTCCGATTAAAGTGAAAAATATACCTAAGAACTGGGATCAGATGTCAGCAACTAAACAGGTGAAGCGGTATTATTTCCCCGAACTGCGGTCCGTCATTCGCAAGCTCCAGGAAGCCCAGGAGACGCACAGTCAAATCGTCAAAGAGGTCGCTGGCCGATTCTATGCACGGTTTGATGAACACTATGCAACATGGCTAGCAGCAGTCAGGATTATTTCTCAATTAGACTGCTTGATCAGTCTGGCTAAAGCATCATCATCTCTGGGACAACCAAGTTGCCGTCCTACTTTCGTTGACAATGAGCGAAGTGTTCTCGAGTTTGAGGAGCTGCGTCACCCGTGCCTCCTCTCCTCGGTGGAAGATTTTATCCCGAACGATGTCAGGTTAGGAGGTGAACGTCCCAACATTGACCTTCTTACTGGTGCTAATGCTGCCGGAAAATCCACCGTTCTGCGTATGGTATGTTGCCTACTCTGGATCTCGTCTTGATGCACTAACTCATTATGTTTAGACTTGCGTCGCTGTTATCATGGCCCAAATCGGTTGCTACTTGCCTTGTCAATCTGCGCGATTAACCCCAGTCGATCGTATCATGTCCCGTCTAGGTGCAAACGACAACATCTTCGCTGCTCAGTCGACGTTCTTTGTAGAACTTTCCGAAACCAAGAAGATTCTCTCGGAGGCTACTCCCAGGTCTTTAGTCATCTTGGATGAATTGGGTCGAGGAACCAGCTCTTATGACGGAGTAGCCGTGGCTCAAGCTGTACTGCACCATGTTGCTACCCACATCGGAGCCCTGGGATTCTTCGCAACCCACTACCACTCTCTGGCGGCTGAATTCGAAGGACACCCTGAGATCGCACCAAAACGCATGAAGATCCACGTGGACGATGAGGAGCGGCGTATCACGTTCCTGTATAAACTGGAAGAGGGCGTTGCCGAAGGTAGTTTCGGTATGCACTGTGCCGCCATGTGCGGTATTTCCAGTAAGGTCATTGAGAGGGCAGAGGTGGCCGCGAAGCAATGGGAGCACACGAGTCGCCTCAAGGAAAGTCTTGAACGGCGCAAGGGTGGTGGCTTTGTTGGACTGGGATGGTGGAGCGATGTCGCTTGGGCTCTGCGCGAGTCATCCGATGCCAATGGTGGTGAAATTTCCGATAGAAGTCTGGAGGTACTCCTGAAAGCCATTGAAGCTCTGTAATTGCGTTGGATGCTTCATCCTATCGGGGTTCGTTCACTAATTCGGTGTTTGTGATTCGGGGTACCAAGTCATGATCTTTATAAAATGGCACTCTGTCTGGAGTTCAGGGATATCTGTAATCGTGATCTAAAGTTAGAAATCTGCGTCTGGCTCAGTTGTATAGGAAATTATCCAATTCAAGGCAATTTGTTTGTTATTTACAGCTGTTTTTGAGCACTCCTTCTAACGGGGTGACTGTCTCTTGTTGCTTTGTTAAAGACCTTAGGCTTATTCTCGCCCACTTTCATCTACAGATGTCGGATTCTTCATAATATTTGGCAATATTTGATCTTCTTCTAGAGCATCCACAACGCGGAGAATGATGAGAGAAATCCTTTTTTTTTTTTTTTTTTTTTTTCCCTAATTTATACAACGCAGTTAGATAGACCACCAGGTACCAGATCCGTCAGATTCTCCTATGTCCAGCAACATTCCAAATCCCACTATCCATTTCCCTGAACAGTAGCCAACCTCCGATTAAAAAAAAAAAAGAGAAATAGATACCCCTAATAATCATCCACCAGGAACCATTAGAACGAGGGGGGGGGGCGAAGATAACGACCTAAGCATCATCCTCAACCTTGGCCTTGATATCTTCCTGGCTGGCCTTGTCCATAGCGTCAAGCTCAGCATCGAGTTCCTCACAGGTCATGGGAGTCTCGTCCTCAGACTTGCACTCGTACTTACCCCCCTCTTCCTGCTTGATAACAACAATTTCCCCCGTCTTGATAGGGGACTCCTCCTTGATCGAGACATCCTCTTCCTTCCTGATGACGGTCTCGGGGGAACTGGGCTCAGTCCTAACGGAGTCTTCGTCGCTACAATTGTGTTTGGCTTTTGATTAGCGGTGTTCACTACGTCCTTGCGGAAACCTCAACGACAACGACAGGGGCTTACTCATACGAGTTTTTGTTGACCTTTCGCGCGATGCCCTTCTTGGTGCCACGCTGGCGCTTGGCCCTAGGTGCTGGCGTCGCTTCCTCTGCCTCCGCGGATTCAGGCTCAGTAGAGGCGGGTGGGTCGGCGGCAATGGCCTTCTTGCTGGGGCGCCCTCTCTTGGGGGTATTGGCTGTAGACGCTTCCGCAGAGGTGGGTTGATCGGGCTTGTAGTCGCTGAGCTTGCGCTTGGCGTTGCGGTAAGTAGTGCTGGCTGAGGCGGAGTTCTTGTATCCGCCATACTGGGCGAGTTTTTCGAGGTCCAGCTGGGTTCATGTTAGCTTAGGGGCCCTTTGTTTGGAGACGATGTAGGTGTATGTACTTTGTTCGTCTCATCGGTGCAGAGGATGCTCAAGAGGAGGATTTTTTGCTCGGTGTTAGAAAGACCCAGAAGGCCCTCGGGCTTGGCTTTGGCGGACATGATGGTTGTTCTAAGGCTGATAGTTGATGCTTGGGGGTAGTTGGAAGATATAAGTAGTGAATAGAAAAGTCTGAGAAAAGAAGTGTAGAGCTGATGGAGCCGGATGGAGGAAAAGTGAGAGGTATAGAAGATCGACAGAGAGAGATGAGAGATTGTAAAGTGAGCAGAGAAAGGACTACCAAAAGAGAAACACAGGAACAGGAGAAACACCACCACCATCAAAGGGAGGGGAGGGGGGTCACGGCAAAGGTGAGCGTAATATTCCGTGGGGGACTCCAGCGATGATGAATGATTAAAGGTGAAAGCAGAGACTTGGGGTTTAGAGGGAGCAGTAGCAGTGAATATCCAGTCACTGCTAGTGCCTTAGCTATTCACAAACTTATGTTACAGCCACATTGACAGACGATAATCTATTTATTCTCATTTTTTCGGTGCACGATTATTTTGTATATGCTTGTATACATGGTCCCACACTTCGGGATAGAATGTCGTCGATTGTCTGCCAGGCTGACTCTTCTCCGCCGTGTAGAACTGCCGTAGAGTCTTCCCTGCCCACCAGGGCAGAGGGGCAGGGTTCTTGTTGCGAAAGCTCACGGGACGGAGGAAAGCCTTGTCAGCAACTAAATCGCCCAGCCGCACCTCGGTCTGTCGAGGAATAGTCGTGAACTTCATCGTGTTAATGTATAGTGTGGCAGTAGGGGGCAGGTTCTTCGCGTATTGGAGGGTTTGGTCCTTGGATCGCCGAGCAAAAGCTGGGAGGGCAAGATGCACGAAGTTAACGAACGGGGCAGATGTATAGGCAATGAATAGCATCGGGAGCGCTCCGCCAACGACAACTATGCACACGCGTTAGATCAGAAACATTTGCAGTTCGAACGGTGAGTCAATCCTACCAGCAGGAGCTAGATACCACGGAAACTCATCGGCTGCGAAAGCAGGTGCAACTACCAATATAGATACACCGAACAGGAAGATAGTTGTGATTCGCAACATTCCCAGAAAGATAGTCTTGCCGGTTCCGCCATGGTAGATCAATATGCGCTCTGGTGGACCTGCATCATTCTATCAGGACCATTTCTTCAATCATAGATGAGCACAGGAAGAGATACCTCGCCGGATAGCTGTCTTTGCGTGTGCCGCGGACGATTGAGGTGGGCTCCGGGGAGCTGTCGCATTGTTTTCCTTCGGTTTTAGAGATGAAGTCTCATTTTTTGGGAGTCGAAACGGAGGTTGGGTAGTCTTCAGCCGAGCAAAAAGCGTGCTATTCAGGTCCCTCCGCAGACCACGAGAAAGCGATGAGCGCAATTGGGGATGCAGCAAGATCTGGGGTCTCATCTTGTAGACATGGAGAGTTATCGCATTGAAAAAAGATGACGGAATTAATTGCGGAACTAGATGATCGCCGGAACGTGACCCGCGGCAGGCTTGGCGCCGATTGGTCATTTCAACCCGACTTTGACCACTTGAACATCCCCAGGGTCTCTCTCTCATCAATGCTCCTTCCTTGTCTAGGGTTGTCGCTTGGATTGCGGTTTGGACTATGAAAGCGTGCTTGTTGGCACTCCCACTCCAACATGTCTCCTGTTAGCTGTGGCCTTTTCCGCCCCTTCCTTTCTACATGCATTGCATTACTATGCTTTCTGCTTGCTGGTCAAGCCTACGAGGAAGTCTCCGATAACACCTTAAATGCCCTTCCACGACCGAATAACGACTTTGATATTCATAATGGAGCGCTATTATCGCCCATCCTGCGACCCCGGGTCTCCGGAACCCCGGGTTCCGCAGCGGTCTTGCAACACTTTGTGGACTTCTTTCGCGACTCACTACCTAGTTGGAGTATCGAATTTCAGAATTCTACATCAACAACGCCCGTCTCGAATGGGAAGGAGGTTCCCTTCATAAATCTCATTGCGTCTCGTGATCCTCCGTGGGCATCCCCCGGAGATGTGGGAAGACTGACACTCGTCGCGCACTACGATAGTAAATACTCGCCGGAGGGTTTTATCGGGGCCATTGACAGCGCAGCCCCTTGCGCAATGATTATGCACACAATGAGGAGCATCGATGCGGCATTGACAAAGAAGTGGGAGATGATGCAGGCAGAGGGTAACACAGACTCGTCGTTGGAAGAACAAAGGGGCATACAGGTCATCTTCTTGGATGGAGAGGAGGCATTCAAAGTATGGACGGCGACGGATTCGTTGTACGGGGCGCGTTCGCTTGCGGAGCAATGGGATTCACAGGTGAATCCCGCTATGTCGGCTTATAAAACCCCCTTGTCCTCTATATCTCTCTTTGTACTTTTGGATCTCTTAGGCTCGAGACGTCCAACTATCCAGTCGTTTTTCTCAACGACACACTGGGCCTATAAGAAGCTTGCCCGCCTTGAGAAGCGTCTCCGAGATCTCAAGCAGTTCAAGTCCTCTGCCGATCCTTCTCACCCAGCATGGTTCATTGATGCTGGGAAGACGGAGCATCAAATAACCACTTTTCTCGGAATACAGGATGACCATTTGCCATTCCTGGAGCGCGGCGTCGAAATTCTCCATGTCATCGACGCTAACCCCGCCACTGGCTTTCCAGTGGTGTGGCATAATGAAAAGGGTGTGCCAGATGATGGCGAACATTTGGATTTAGCCACAGTGGAAGACTGGAGTTTGCTATTCACTGCGTTTGCTGCCGAGTGGATGGAGTTGGAGGGCTTCATGCCGCAGTCCAGCGGCGAGGCGTCTCCCGCAGAGAAGGATGCAGCACATATAATGGACAAGCGCTCTGCAAGCGACGACAATCGCGTCAACAAAAAGACTGAGTTGTAAGCTTGACCTAAAGTCAATTATATTGGATTATATACTGCCTGTCGAGGCTTTAATATGTACAATATGTTACACGGTTAGCTCTATTTCTTGATGAGTCGCGCTGATGTTCGTGTTGCATAGCTCTTGTTAACGGTTTTCCCACGGCAACTTCCCTGCCCGATATCCAATGCATCCAGTATGTGGGTAAACGCCACCAGCGAAATCCGTAGAGATCCGCATCGAGTGGGATAGCTGCCCGAACGTCTATACCAGGTTTCCTAGCATGTATCCGGCCAACTCGACCAGACCCCTTTCAGGCTGCAGGACCGCGCGGAGCACCGCAGGACCAGGACACACTCCTCGTAATCCCCAGGCAACCCCAAAGGCCGCTGCACCGGTGACAAACCGCCAGTCAATATCCGCCACCGTTGCCGTCGGAAGCTTCCAGTTCTCGGCCAACGTTGGCTTTTCTAGCCTTCCGGTCGTTTCACTAATATTCTGCCCCGGCTTCGTGGTCAGAAAGGCGACAAGCGATGGTCCAATCCCGAAGAGGATGATGAGGGCCAGCGACGGATCAAAGCGGGCTAGATCCGACGGGAAGGCGAAAAAGCGTAATACTTTGGCTGGGTTTGCCATTCCGGAGAAGAAGAGGCCCATGCCGAACTGCAACCCTGCAATATAAGCGAACATGGTTTTTGACTCCTTCGATCTGTCCAGTGTCCGGGGTACGACGAAGAAGTTGGTGACGAATGTGAGGGCGGTGGTCGTGACCATGAACATGAGCTCGGCCGATGAAGGGTATACGGGAGTGTAGCAAGGCACCCCAGATGGACAAGGAGGGATATTCTGGCCTCCGGAGACCATATTCGCGGTGATTAAGGCGGCTGTGAAGAAGATGGCCGTTGCGATGAAGGAACGTGGTGACAGACGGGAGATACCACAGAGCATGTGGCCGGACGTACAACCTCGACCGTTCTGGTTTGTACTTTCTGTTAGATGATTCTTTCTCCGAATAAGCAGTCAGATTCCATTACCCTTGTCCCCCAGCCTAACAAAAAACCTGTCGCAAGCGTAGTGGCCACCGAGGTCCACGAGCTCGGGGCCGGCGGATACAGCGGTATCAAGGACGGCACGAAGAGAGAGACCGGGATCACACTAGACAATAACCCAGCAACGATGGGAATGTTATCCCAGCTGGGACGGAACACCGATCCAGACAGAAGTGAAGAGATCCCAAACACCGCGCCATTATGAAGCAGCAGACCCGAGGAACTCTGAAAGAGCAATAGAGCGCCCAGGGAGGTATGTACGGGTGTAAACATCGGCAGCAATGGAATTGTAACAGTTCACCTGATGTTTCTCACGGCACGATTTCAGTCATAGAGATAGAGATAGCGATATTTAAGGTTCAGAGTCGATCTGCAAGAAAAGTGAATTCATAAGCCCTTCTTTCAAAACTCCGGGCCTCATTATGAAACTTCCAACCAACACTCGGGAAACAAAAGGTTTCTCATATCTTCTCCTCCCTCGGGGACTATCGTCCGGTCCATCCATTTAAGTTAGTTTTATTATTTATTATTTTTTTTCCCTCTCCCTTAACCACCATTGCGTCAACTAGGTGGTCCCCGAGGCGAGAAGCAAAGTTAAATTTTATCCCTCAGCTCTGAGAACCTTTCTCAGGTCAATCCGAACAATGTTGTGTTGTTGATCTGTACCGCACATCCAATAGTAGTATGGTATTTGGTAGTGGTTGCAGCAATCCTGTACATAAAATCTAAGCACACTAGTAAGTAATCCCTGTCCAGAAAGAAGTACATTTGTTCATTCCTGCAGGGATTGTTCCCCGTCATCGGCCTCAAACGGGTAAGTCTCCCGTCCGCTTTCGGTATTGGTTGGTCCCCGAACGGGTCGCCATCTTTCCTCATTTGGGAGGGGCCTGTAACGGTCTATACGTACAGTTACGCTAATGTACGGTGTGAGCCAATAACAGACGCAGACTTGGGAATGGTATGGTATGGCCATGCGGAAACGGAATCCGGGGTCGGCGATCGAAAATGACAGTAGGTTCTAATCTGGTATTAATGAAGGTCAAGAAGTGGAAGCTATCGGCCGTGGGTTGAGGTCGCCGATCTTTGTTTCTGATGCGTGCTGGACTTAGGGGATGTACTAGAATAAGGGATCGGCATTTGGATGCTTAGTCGGCGATGTTTGAGATACTAAGTTAATGTTGTTTAATAACGGATTATGCATGTTTGGAGTGTAGACATAGTTTGATTGGTGAAGGACCATTATATTCCGACATGAATAGGGGCTAGATATATGTTCGGGGTGCAATATTATCTACGAGGAGCGGGTATAAGCGATTGCGAGAGCTACGCGTTCACCTGTGATGTGCTGGTGAGTCTCGACGGGTGATATATAGACATGCTGAAATATAGTTGCTAATCACATATATTTTGTTATTTGAAAGTCACATTCAATCTGGAATATAATTTAACAAGCTGGCTGGAGAGCTGTAGATGAGGAATGAGATCTATGTGCTTTGATTTGAGAGCGTACTCATCCATTTTGGCACTCGAGAGTGCTACAAAAGGATGGAGAGTAAGATCAAAGCGTAGAAGCAAAGAGAGAAAAGGAAAAGTAGAAGGCAATACAGACAGACTCGGAGAGAAAGGAACAAAAAACCAAGTGAAAGAAACATTTTTCTGTACAAACAACTAACCAATTTTTGACTCGACGTCACGGACGCAGTTCATCCTGTTGACCTCTGTGCAATTTGTTAACTTCTATACAAGCACCGCATTTTCCCTCATAGGTGTAGCTTGATTGTAGCTGGAGAGAGGGGCGGAGCATACTGTTCCGCCCATTCCATGATCGACTTCACCAATGCTTCGATCTGTTCCTCGGTATTGTCAACATGCATCATGACACGAACCCGCTCCTTTGCCATAGGAACAACTGGATATCGCACGCCATGGGTGTGGAGTCCACGATCTCGCAGCCATTTCTCAAGTTTATGGCTGTGGCCGGGCCGTGTGATGACGGGGATGATAGGAACGAGGAACGAAGCGCCTTTGGCAACTTGCTCAGTGGTGGGGATGCTCAGTACGCCGGATCTTCGGACATGTTCCCACTGGGGATGGTGGAAAAGAAGATCGTAAAAGTGGTAAACTCGAGATTGGAGTTGCTTTCGACGCTAACCACGGAGGAACTTGGTTAGTCTAGGGGACGCTCTAGATTGTCTTCCAATCTCAATACTTACCCAGTTACCCTCTTCGCCGCTCATGACAGTAGCTGCAGCCTTGATGGTGGCAAAGAAAGTGAAGGCCGGAGCCGTGGTGAACATGAAATTGCGCGCATAGCTGACCAGATAATTCTTGATAAGGCGATCGCAGAGGACAATAGCTATGATTGGTCACTGGGAGTTTGGTACATGATTGAGGATTCAGGAACCTACCACCACCCGCTCCTACAGCCTTGCCATAGGTATGCAACCTGACCGCAAACTCCTTCTCTAGGCCCAGGTGGCACGCCAGTCCGGACCCATTGGGCCCAATGATACCATGGGAGTGAGCCTCGTCCAGAATCATGATAAGGTTACCTTTCGGCAAGGCCCGCTTCGCTTCCTTGACAATCTCAGCCACAGGCGCCACGTCCCCGTCCATGCTGTAGATCGATTCAATCGTAACGAAGACAGTGTTGAGCCCATCCGCAATTGCTGGCTCCAGAAGTTTGACTTCTTCAAGAACATCATACAAGGATTGCGGGTCATTGTGCGCGAACGGTCTGATCATGTGTGCTTTCGAGGACCGCATGCCATCCCGTGTGCTGGCGTGGATCTTTGCATCGTGGATAATGGCATCTCCGGTCTGCGGAAGAGTGGCATGGATCGCAACGTTGCCCTCATAACCCGAGGGAAAGATCAAGCCATCCTCTGCATTATAGTAATGGGCCAGATCCCGTTCAAGTTCATCGATATACTGTGTGGTTCCGCCGAGAAGACGGCTGCCACCCGTTCCGATGGCAAAGTTGGGATTTCTTGCCAACTCCCTGAGGAACTCTTCCCTGGTTGCGGAACTCCCGCCGAGAGAGAGGGTGTTATTCGAGCCGAAGTCAATGCAACCAACCTCGTCCGCTGGAGCTGTCAGCTTGAAGATTTGCCCTTTCTGACGGTGGGGGTCTAGAGCCGCTTCGAGGTTCTGACGGTATGTAGTTGGAAGGACCATTGCGGATTCTCTGATATGATATGTCTCTAATTGGCAAGAGATCGTCTTGAGATGGAAAGAATGGCTATAAACAGAACTGGAATGAGAAATAGAATCAGAGTCAAACAGGCAATAGACATGCACACGGCCACACTTTATACCTACGCTCGCAGAACGCCACAGCTGAGACCGGCTTTTGGCCCCCGGAGGCCTTTTGTTGTACAAGATTCAGTCGCAGTTGGATACACTTTCCAGTGACCAATCTGAAAACAAAGAACCATGTCCCTCAGATAACGGCTCAGAGGAACTATGGCTCAGAGGGTCAATCCCTGCCTTGCTAGGGGCACAACGTCCAACGCCATTGCCACACGGTTTGGGTCAATCGAACAGTCCAGGTGAATGAGGTCAAACTTTAGTCCGGACTTGTACCCCAATGGAAATGGACTTAAATCCCGGTACAAAGGGTCCACCGGTGTCGGTACATACCTCCCAAACGCATTAGCCAAACCTTTTCCACTAATTCCATGACGCATTCGTCCAAGCCAGGCCATGACAAACTTGGTCGGACCGAATTCGAAGTGAGGAACATTGGCAAGTCGAACCTTTTTGTGGAAGTTGCACCGTCTTTGTCCCCACCAAGCAAGGAGCCTGTAACTCTATCACATTGGCCAACTTGAAAAGCAAGCACAGTTCGTCTCAACTTCCTCGTATGGAAGTTACTCAATCATTATGTGAAGCCAAATGTCCACCGTGAACAATGTGCACAGAGCACAGCATGGACCTCAGGACTAAACCGGATGGTGTTGAAGCAACATGACAGTCATTATTGGTTTGCCGTAAATTGCATACTGGTAGCGTATGACGGTGAGAGAACATTGTGCTCCATAAACTATGGAATTTGGTACTCGGTGCTGCATGTCGACAGTCCTGTACTGACCTTCGGATACGGCGTTAACCGACATGCAGATTGCCATAGCTATGGCTGAACCATTGTCCTAAAGCCCAGTCCCGTCCTGTCCGGGGTGCGTTGGAAAAGGCGTCTCCACCTGGTCCCCTGGTACGGTGACATATACAACTTCAGGGAGTGGCTCTCTCGGCCATCGTTAATGTGGCCACCGAGGAAAATGGAAGACAGACAGGAGACAGGTTCCCCCCTCGTTGGCGTCGGCCTCTCTGAGGCCCAGACACTGTCTCCTGGAATAATTTGTCCACTAGAAAGGCTTCCCCTCGTCCTGTCCTAGTATCGCCTCTACTCCATTTAGTCAGTCAAAGTAAGTAGCGTGAGGTCCGACCAACTCCGGTGTCACTCACTGGCTCGCTCGGCCGAAGTGACGGACGTATCTCGATTCAAATCCAAGTAGCACCAAACGGCGCTTTCCCGACGGGTTTTTTTAGGCTTAGACGTAAAAATCACCAACCGGAAAAAGTATATAAAGAAGGAAGCATAATTCAAACTAGATAGTACCAATGGGTGGTTCAGCTGAGTGACCATAGCAACAGTAAGAAGGGATCGAGTCCGTCGTATGAGAAGGATCCATAATCCAGCATTATGATTGCTTGGTAACCCGTGAAGCAATCGCCAATAAAATCAATGAACTGCGTTCCATATAAGACTTATGTCTGCTGATCCTAGATAACTCCCCCCTCTAATCTAGTTGGACGAACTTGGGTCTGGATAACTGCGATGTACTAGCTACTACTGCGTAAAAGTCATCAGGGCTGGAGCTTGTCGGCCTCTAGAAGCTCCTGATACAGGATTTTCCAGAATACGTAAGGGTTAGTAATTTGCTATGTAGTCCATTGAACCTGGCGAAGTCGGTTGACCGATTCTTACGAGGCAATTTCTCCAAGACACGCACAGAGAGGAAGAGAGAGACAGAAGAAACCCTTCTTAAATGACCTCTCCGGGACTTCTGAGGAAAACGAATACTATGAACATAAAGTCTATAATTTATCAAGCTGATTATATTCCAAAGTTTATTCCGACCAGAGTTCATGCCATGCTGGATGCCAGGGCTTCTCCATGTGTGAAAAGGGTTCGCTGTGAAATCTCAAGAGGCTCGACCGTCACCACTGGCTCACTGCTCGTCGTAACTGCGCCTCAAGGATACTTTGTCAAAGCTTCCCTGGAAGTAGTAACCATGTATACTGAAAGAGAGCCCCTGGTTATCACCAAGTGATTTGGAAAACGCCTTAGTTTGTGACCCGTCGGGAAGAAAGCGCCCCAAGGTTGCGACCGCATCTAGTTGATCAAGCAAGTTTCTCGCACCACAACGTATATCCCGGCCCTTATGGGCTTAACTTAAGGGGCTTTAGTTCAGAACTAAGAATGAGAGGATGGTATCTCTCTGGAATACTCATCCAGTTGTTAAGCTTCCCACCGTCCAGGTTTAAGACTGGGTGGTAACACACCCGAACCGTTACCACTTATACCAGCCGTTGAGACTTTGGAAAGCAAGACAATAGGAAGCAAGCAATCCAGTCTCTGACGAGCATCCTACTCATTGAGAATCTTTCCAAGTGATAAAAAAAACCACCGTCATGGGCTCCCTAGGATCTGGGTTTTGGAGAACAGGCGCACGAACAGACTTCTTGCCCTAACCTATAAGGAATGAGAAGAGTAGTAGTACTGACTCGCTACAATACCTGTGAACCTAATTTCAGCTTAATACCTGCATTATCACAAATGATTCAATACATTCGTTTGACTACTAGAGCCGTCTACCTAGCATCCTGTGGAAATGTGATCGCACAGACTCCTTGACAATACACGGCTGACCTTGAACAGAAAAGGCAGTCAGTGGAACCACGCCATCATACATGACATGCATGAAAGACCAATGCAGCTTACTGGCCTAAAAATATGTTGCTTCACTTGATACCTAGCTTCCCGCCAGAAATGTCACTCGGTCACATTTCCAACCTCACTAGACTATGGCGTAATGTAGGTCAGACCGCCGGTTAGCCTTTGCATGCACAGAAGCAAATCATGGCGCCTCGTTTTATATATACATGACGTGTACTACAATTTGAAATGCTAAAAGTGGAAGGACATAATATGAATGACACATGGTCCTTTTCTTAAGTAACCATATAAATTACATAACATTAGAACGGAATTGGATGTCAGCGGCGATATCAGACATGCCACACCCAGGAAGGCAAGCTCTCACATTGATAGAAATCTGTCTTGCCTTGGAAGATGGTAACCTATATCAAACACGTCTCGACCAGTACTTACCGGGTATGCTCAAATGGTTTTTGGTGGCATTGATGGAGGGCGCCTTTGGCCAACATTACCAAACCCAATATGTACTGTACAAATCTTGTACTTTGAATTCTTAGTCTTCCTCTGCACCTCCTTTATGGATGGCTTATATGGGATCCGGGGCTGATGAAACCTACTTACGTCAAGTGTGCACACTATATGACGAAAAAGGCTTTCTGTTGATGTTAATTCTCGGCATTGCATCATAATATCCTTGACGCTAAATCTCGACGCTGAGCAAGGTACCAAGAATTTACACGCGCTCTACACTCACTTGGTGAAGCTTTATATATATACTTCTATCTCGTTAACATGTAAAGGAAAGTCAAGGATTAAGGAAAACAGAAATATGACATTTGGGGAGGGGGGAGCTGCAAGCTAGAGGGTAATGAACTATACATCGAGCTGTCTCCTAAATCCTTTAGTCTGACTGAGATATCAAATTACAATGGTGAAGGCTAAATATACGTTCACGTCAAATGTTTATTGTGTCGTTGTTTCTATGCTATACCGTAGACTGGACTCATACGAAAGAGACATGTATCTCCTTACCTAGAGACTCGAGGTACACATAAGGCCGAATGATTCAGAAAAACGACTCCTAAACGTTAGACACCCATCACTGGAGATTCTACATAACCTATAAAGCGCCTGGGATGGCCACTCTTCGTTCATCATACGAAAAGCAGACTCGTTCCCAGACGCGGTCAGCATGCTCTTCATGAAGTCTGAGTAGTTGGCATATACAATATCCTCGAATATTGTCTCGTTGATAGCTGTGCTATATGTACCGATATAACTTCGCAAGCCCACACACACACTTCCTGCCAGTGGTTGCGGAGACGCATGTCATTATTGTAAAAGAACACCAAACACAACTTTTATGTGCTTACACTCCGCCCAATAGGCATCGCTAAAAACTTCTCATTCAGGCACGATCTTCGTTGGGGCTTTTTTTGGAAATATTACTTAGTTCCCCCGTGTAGAAGCGGAATGCCTTCATAGCTGTAGCGGAGCACTCATCAAGTACTTAGTATCGGCTCCACAACAAAACACAGGGCACTCTGCACAGGCAAGACTGATGTAATTAAATAAATAACCCCTCGGCATTTATCTCCTGGAAAAGATTGAGATTCACAATAGTCTCTTGCACGTATCTCCGAAGTATAGTTGTTAAAACGGGTATTGCATTGTGGACCAGCACCCACCACCACAGTGCTCGACTTCTAGTAGTTGTTATAATTAATAAGAGACGGACCTGCTTTCACCATCATTGAGATCGTCAAAGTATGATTTCATGTACAGCCCTATATGGCTACCATCTGCCCTCTTCTTTCGATAGGCAGTGTGGGACTCCGAAGCCGTATTATATTAAGACCACGGAAACGATATATGATAGAGTTACGCACTCAAACGTCAAACGATAGATGGGTGAAAATGCCACGTGGAAGATGCTCCAAGATCGCTGGTATTATGCACGTGGTTCTGGAACGTGAACCGGTGGAGGACTCGGGTTTTATCGGCTGTGAGTGCCCACTGGGTTTGGCTCCATAGTCTATATTAGACTCACCCGTAGGTTAGAAGCCAATGTGGCGGCTTCTCAAGGTGGCGATTGATTCCCTGAAGCCTCTCACGCCACATTGATATACAATAGTAATGTCTTGATTCTATAGTTGGACATATTATGCTATCATAGAAAGGTGTAGTGTCGACTGGATCGAAATATTGGTTGGTCTCTTGCATCATGAAGTCGCAGAGTACCACTGAACTCGACGAGACACTGAAAATTTCTGCGCCAGAATGAGAAACGGCCGGGGGATCCAAGAGGAATGTCGACTCCCCACTATCGGCTTTGTTTATTTGGCTCCTCGGACACATTCCGTCCTCTCAATCTTATCAATCAGCGAATTCTGTCTTAAGTCTTAGGGTCTCCGCCAATCAATATCTCCACTTTCCACACTAAATAAACCCAGAAATTGCTCTGAATTGTTGCGGCTAACTACTATTTGCTGTTGTGTTGAGTTGACTCAATTATCACACCGAGAGAATTTCCACCTGGTTGTAGCTACTTGGTAGACCCGCTGAAATCTAATCAGATAAACGGACTTTAGCCGTTCGCTGCCACGTCGCATTCCTGGTTGCTAAATAAATATACTCGTCATGCCCTCTCTCCCTCCTACATTCCTTTTGAGCGCAATAGAATCTAACGGGGACACCCAAACTAGCGGGAGCTAGTCTTGTTTAACAGCATGGAGGCTCCAGACAAGCCTATCGCTGTAGCGACGGTCGGCGAGCCTGTTAAGCCTTCGTCACCTGTTTCAGACCAGCAAACCGATAGCAACGAAGATGGGAAACGGCCACCACCCTTGATGGCCAAGTTGATTGCCGTCTTGCTTATTTCCTGTATCAGTTTTGGTTCCTCATGGAGCTCCGGCGTTACGGGTGCGATGAAAAGTACTATTAAAAAGGTATATAACACCCAACAACATGAATATGACCTGTACTAATTCCAATACAGAAAATGCACATCTCCAACACCCAATTCTCCCTTCTTGAAGCCAGCGAAGACTTCATGGTCACTCTACTCATGCTGGGCAGCGGAATCGTGACGGACCGAGTGGGAGGCGCCGGTTAGTAGGGCTGCGTTTGACGCGTGATATGAGCACAAACTAATTTTTTTTTTTTTGCTTTGCCGCTTAGAGATGATCATTTACGGGAATGTCGTCTATACAGTTGGATCTATACTAGTCGCTGCCGCGACCACGGTCCGATCATTCAATTTTATGATCGGAGGGAGAGTCATTCTGGCTCTGGGCGATATCGCGACACAGGTTGCGCAATATAAAATGTTCTCTTCGTGGTTCCCTCCTAGCAATGGATTTGCATCTACGCTTGGGCTTGAACTCGCCATGCGGAAGGTATGGGCTCTCATTGCAAATTTTTCCCCCGGACGAGATGGACTTGAACTGATTCACGCAGATTGGTGGTTTTGTCGGTAAATCGACAGCCAATCCGATTGCTAAAGTAAGCTCCCTCCTTCAAAATCATTGAAAGCTCTACTAACGGATTAAGAACACCGGCAATTTCGCTTGGGTATATTGGACGTCAGTCTTTATGAACCTATTCACCAACGCTGCAACGGTTGTTTTCTGGCTCTACAGTCGCTATTGCAATCGTCACTATCAGGGCCGACAAGACAAGGCGACCCGCGAAGTCCTGACTGAGAAGAACAACAAGTTCGAGCTCAAGAAAGTCTTCCAATTGCCATGGATGTTCTGGTGTATTTTGGCGTTTTCGCTGTTTCAAACGAGCGCTGCACTGGTCTTCAGTCAGAATGCGACGGAACTCGCCGAGAAACGATTCAACGTTGACTCGATTAAAGCTGGCTGGTACAGTGCCTTGTCTCAGTACTCAGGTGAGTAATATCTTCCTAACATTAGATACCCTGGTGCTGATTGTATGCAGGATTTTTCCTAGTGCCTTGCTTGGGTGCCTTCATCGACATCCTCGGAAATCGAGCTACTATTCGTAAGTATAGATATGGACCCTATGCTGTAGTTCAAGAGGCTTATTGCGATCTAGTGTGCATTTGCGGAACTGGCATGCTCCTATGTATGGTATTAGTGAACTTCGCCTCATCTACAGCAGGTACTGGCGCCGCGTTTGGTATCTATGCCATTGCATCTGCTTTGGGACCAACCACGATTATCGACGGAATCCGTACCTCACTATGGCACCAGTCCGTATTTGGATCTGCGTACGCAATTAAAGTGACCATGAACAACGCGTATGTTTGATATATTCCCTATCAACAATTCAGGAGACTGACCAGGCTGGTAGGATGAATATTATCATTCGGATCATTACAGGAGCCCTCCAAGACGCAGATAATGATTCGTATCGTCGGGCGGTGCGAGTATACCTATTCCTAGCAGCGTGCAGCGTGGTGGTGGGGTTGGCTATATTCATTGGGGCTATGTTGACTGATGAGCTGGGTCTGTTACAGTGGACTCGGAAGAAGAGGCTCACTTATGGCCCTGAGGTTATCGACAGCATGCGGGAACGCAGCTTAGTGACAAACAAACGGCGCAGCTGGTGGATCTCTCTATGCTGTTTCGGTGCTCTCATACTTCTTGTATTGGGAAGTTGGACGGCGTATATTTGGGGAGCTGTTACGGGACATAACTCGTAGTTTAGATTTTGGATACCCAGCTAATAAAAGTATGTGTTTTGTGTCAAACTGCTCAAATCAAGACTGTAGGTGAAGGAAGGAAAATCAGTACTACTACTACACCTGAGAGATAGTACGGTATGATGAATGCCTCAGGCCGGTCCCCAACCCCCAAATGGCAAGTTCGTATCGAGCGTCCAATCACAGAAGGGGAATCCTGGATAGAGTTTCGGATGGGGAGGAACTCCGCCGGTGCATGCGCGAAGATCTTCCGATCTCGACTATCATTCCCATACTTCTTACTATGATCTACTAATCTCAAAATCACTTCCATCTTCTTTGCCATATCTCGCCTACCTCGGTTGTCCTTAATTTGACTAACTCCCAACGACTCCACGGAATTAATTGTCATCTTAATTTCTTCCCAACTCCTAGGGTTTCGCGCTTTTAGTTGCGGGGTCCCCCTCATGAAGTATCCTTCCTGCGCAAATATATCTCAAAACAGTGTCATCTCACAACTCGCCTATTGAGTTCCTTGTAACGCGATTTCGGTTACAACTGGAGAATATCTACCAATTAAGAATCTGAAGCAAACCCGCTAGGATGCAGGAGTCGGCAAATGTGGAGCACAGAAACCTAAAAGGAGTATGGTCCTGTCATTTTTGCTTCTCGGATTTCCAGCGATACGACCATCTTAAACGTCATATAGCTACGCGTAGGTGAAGTCAATTTTGCCTGTTGCTAGAGGGCGGGGGCGAAGAAAAGGGAAAGATAAGCTAATTGAACTAGACACATCAGAAAGGCCCTATCAGTGCGAATTTTGTGGCTCTCCGTATAAACGAGGGTATGTTCTTGGCTCTCGCTGCATTTAGGGCTTTTAGGTAAACTCTAGCGACGCTGACAGAAAGCACCGCACAGGGATGCCTTGCGGCGCCATTGGAAGTCGTGCTCGACTCGCATACAGTCCGGACAAGGTATACCAGAACCGCGCCAGGGTGGCAAGGAAAAGCATGCGTGTGATGGCTGTGCGAAAGCCAAAAAATCCTGCAGTGGAAAGTTACCATGCTCCGAATGTTGCACCCGCGGCCGAATATGCACGTACCAGCGTCTCAACCAGAACGAGGACATGGCCCTCCAGAATGGACCCGGTGAATCAGCCCAGGGACAAAGTCGACCTAGTGAGAATCATGCTTCAAATCACTCAACCTGGGATCTTGGGATTCAAACGTTCTATCCAGGTAGAGCCGCTTGGTTTGAAGCCTACGGCCGCATATCTAGCGCAGAAAGACTGCCGCCTATGCCTAACACCGGCAGATAATGATAACATACACCCTATGCTAAGCCATGCTCGAGTGGCCCAAGGGGATAAAGCCGCTTAGATCCGACGCAGACGTGGCAAAAAGACAAAGGCTGACTCGCCGAGGTACATCGGTTAGATATGCATACAAAGAAGTTTCGTACATCCTTTGTAATTCTTTTAAAATTGTCTGCCTACTCTGATTGTCATCATGCGGATGGATCCCCCTTGTTCGGGGGAATTTTTTATGTTTAATCATCATGATGCCATGTGCACGCTCGACGAATGATGTCTTTGCCAATGTAATACTGCTTATCGTGGATGTCTGTGCTCCCAAATCATCCACGGGAGCATCAAGTGTGGGTGTGATCATCATGCCTCCGCACCCAAGGCCGGACGGAGTACCTCCACCGCTGCCCTATGGGCCAACAACACTTTCCCACTGCATCTATCGGTTGGAATACCTTCTCTAGCTTGACCTTATTGTATAAATAAGGGTCTCGGTTTACCTATAACTTACCCATCAGATTTCTTCGTTATACCTAGTTCACTACTATCATTCTTTTATACTGATCATATCGAAACAAAGGTCCTACTTGGAACGAAAGATGACTATCGCAACTAGTGTGACAGACTCCCAGGTTCATTTTAACAACTGGCCTAATGATCGAGGCGTAAGTAGCAGTCAAGATGTTTCATTTTACGTATACTTATACTGGCCATCGGCAGTTTAATGCAAACTATGAAGAAAGGTCTCCGGTCGAGCTCACAGTTACCGGTCACATTCCCGCCTACGCTGCTGGAGTGCTCTACCGCACGGGGCCAGGCAAATTTCAGGTAGACAGGGAGAATGGGGCCACATTCCAAGTGTCGCACTGGTTCGATGGGTTCAGCGAAACCCATCGATTCCGCCTTGTGGCTCCTGATAGCGCTCACTCGTTTATGCGAGTCTTCTATAACTCCCGCTTCTCAACTGACCACTTGATTGAACAAGCGAGAAAAACCGGCTGTCTGGGGCAACTTAGCTTCGGCCAAAAGTGCGATCCTTGCAAGACAGTGTTCCAGAAAGCTCAAAGCGAGTTTAGTCCTGATCCTTCCTCAGCCAATATCGGCGTGACCCTCTCTATCAATATGCCGGGGTTGGATGAAGTCAATCCTCAAGATCAAGGAAACAACAGGCGCTGGACCGGCTCATCTGGGATTAAGTCTTTGTATGCAAAGACAGACTCAGCGTTTTACAAGGAGCTCGACCCTGAGACTCTTGAACCTATCGGCCTGGCCTCGCAGAAGGGACTACATCCGGACTTGGACGGGCATCTCTCAGCATCCCATGCACGCTCCGATCCCACAACAGGGGACGTCTATAATTTCAATCTCGCTTTTGGCCCACCTTCAACATATCGTGTCTTCCATGTGTCTGCGTCGACCGGAAGAACGACTGTGCTGGCCACGTTTGAGGGAACGCCAGCATATCTTCATTCTCTCTTTCTGTCGAAGGATTATGTTGTCCTGTGCGTCTGGAACGCTCATATTAATCCCGCGGAATTCAAGCACGGCAGCTTTCTGGAGGCTATCCAGCCATTCGATGCATCTAAATCTACCAAGTGGTATGTGGTGGATCGTACTAATGGACAAGGACTCATAGCAACATACGAGAGCCCCCCGTTTTTCTGCTTTCATACAACCAATGCTTGGCAGGAGTCCTCGCTCAGTGACTCTGATGGAGTAGATATTGTAGCAGAGTTTGTCAAATATGATAACATCGACACGCTACACTCCCTGTACTACGAGAATCTTCTCTCGTCATCATCTAAAGTGAAAGCACTCGGCCAGACAAAGAGAGATACCTGCCGCTCGGAGTTTGCTCGTTTCCGCCTCCCAGCTATCCCAGCAAGCCCGACTACCGAAATCAAGACTGTGATAACTGAGCAGACGTCATGCAAAACCTTTTCGCCCGAATTGCCAACTATTAACCCAAAGTTCGTTACACAAAAGCATCGGTACACGTACGGCGTAACTGACCATGGCGAATCAGTCTTCGACGGAATAATGAAATTCGACAGTGAGACAAAGGAGACTATTCTTTGGAGCCATCACGCCCAGTCTCCTGGAGAAGCGATCTTTATTCCTCGTCCAGGGGCCTCCGAAGAAGACGATGGGGTCCTCCTGAGTGTAGTACTGGATGGATACACTGGAAAGAGCTACCTGCTTTGCCTTTATGCTCATACTTTGGAGGAACTGGGCAGAGCACACGTGAGCGGACCGGTTGGATTTGGGTTTCATGGTCAGCATGTTCCCTCTCATGGAGTGCCGACTGGCGACTATTAATCTACGTTCCCTTTGTCTTTATCTCGGGGAAGGGATTATATCTCTCCTTCCTTTTTTCTTAAATATGATTATCCGTGTCTATGTAATGAATTTCGAGTAGTGAAATTGTTATTTGTGCAGTCAGTCACATTGGTAAACGCAATACCATGCCCTATATACAAATATCCTATATTCGATCAGTTATGCGATAGATATTGACACTAATGGTCCTAATGGCCCCAAAAGCAGAGGCCATAGGCCTGAAAATCAATGAGCAAAGCCTCCGATGGCCCAACGACGAAAGTCGCAACGCCATCGTGAACTCTTTTTTCTCCGACCCCCTCTCCCTTCAATTCACAAGTAGTATCCTCAAACAACTGGCCGGCAATTGTGATATTCCTTTACCAATAGTGGTCATAGCCATATCAGCAGTCAATTGATTGGCAGTGACCGAAGGCGCCGGAATACCGCTCAACTAAACTCAATCTTCCGTCGGACTCCAACTGTGAAGAAGTTGGAATTATAGAGCAGGGCGCGTAGTGGCTTCTCATTGCTATCGAAAATCACACATGCAGCATATGTATCATCGCCGGTATCTAGTTGGGAGATACGCGAGGCGCCAGTGAGGGCAAGTGCGGCTGTGTAGGCGCCGCAAAAGGGTGCCTTTAGAGAGCCATTCAACCACCAGCACTATTGGCCTACAAGGGAAAGGCCAGTAGCTGCTCTCTCCGCGAAATAGGGGATTATAGTGGGTGGGTGGGCTTGCAGATGGATGTAAGTGTAATGCCTTGGCGGAACATGACATGCTTTTGTGCTTGTTAGCCTTCTCTTTCTTCTTCTTTCTGGATATTGGATAACCGCTCTGCTCGCGCTTATCTTGGCGCCCTGGAGAACACCTTGCATCATGCAGTCGAGAATCCAGAGCCCGGCTCCATAAGTAGGGCAACTTCCAGCTCCGCCACCGGCAACTGGGATCTATATTAGCACTTGGGAACAGAAATTGAAGGGCTATTGATTTGTTAGGGCTTGTTGGACTTACGGGAGTTAGTCTCTCCGAAGACAAAGTCCTTGCTGACCTCCTGGGTACCAGTACTCTAGGTTTTGTATTTATGGACACCGGCCACGATAGTAGAAGGTTCATTAACTGGATTAGGTCTGCAGTTTTTGCAGGCTGAGAATAGTAGTGGTGGCAAAGCGTCTTGACATAGCCAGTCGTGTTGGCGTCTTCCTGCTTTGTCCGCGAGTTTATTGAGGGTGAACGATCCAGCGTTTCCGGAGCAGGCACACGCTTGGGCAAAGGCCCTTATATTCAGGGCCTCACCCACGAATACCCCTGCCAGTAGACTTCTGCTTTGGCGTCGGCTGCTGCGTTCTATGGCTCTCCGTTAGCAATAGGGTCATCATCGCTAAACACTTTTGATTAGGTGGCATTGTTAGCTTATTGATAATTCGAATATAGGGGGAGGGGTAGGAAGCAGGGTGCTAACAATTGGGTTCATTGTCCAGCTCCATGGCGTAGAGGTTTGACATTCTCGATCGAACTGTCTTGGCTGCCGCGATGGTGTTGTTATATCATCGAGGCGTCGTTTGAGGCCTGGAGAAACACAGAACAGCGAGTGGTCAGTCAAATTCAGGATAAGGGCGACAATGAACGTACCAAATGTGACAGGTCCCTTATAAGAGGCCGCCCGCTCGATAAAGAGACCCCCAAACTTGAAGGACTCCGGCAATCCGGTGTCAGTATACGACGTGGTCGATTGCATCGACTCGTCGTATATAGCATGGCCCCTTGAGGAACCCTGTAGGACTTCCAACAGGGGCTTTCTCATACTGTGTTACTCCCACAATGCGAATCGGAGGGTTCTCGCTAAGGCCCTCTTCCAACCAACCCATACATGCTGAAGTCAACGGCAACTTTTAGAAGGCCGGGAAAGCGTAGAATTCAATGTTACCACGTTGATAGTTAGCCGCAGCTCATAATTCTTTTGATTGAGCCATAAGATACGAGATACCCAGGGGCGGGCTCTTAATCAGAGCACTGGAATTGGAGGCGAGGATGGAATAGCAAATTGGAAGCCATTCGCCATGCTTCCCGCGACAAAAAGAAGAGCTTTGAGAGACAACCTTTTCAACTGAGTATAGATGGATGCTGAAGACAACTATTTTATACACCAAGCTTCTGACTGATAACGGTTGAAGCAACAGTGTGATGCCCCGACGGCGCACTGTAACGGATTCATCACGACTCTGCAGCACTCGATGTAACGATTTCCTTCGACATTCCCCCGTGACAGATGAAAAATGTGACTAATGCTAAGGATGAGATTTGCGGGGCCACATATGGCCTAGAAATCAGAGGAAAGCCAAGAGTACATTTCAATATGGCAATGATGGTTCGTATATCGCTGGGTGTTTCGCCAGTTGTGGGGTGAATTTAGAAGGATGTTTACTGTTAGTCATGTATGTAACCCTAGAATCCGTCCAAACCGAAAATCCACCTTCTCCGCCTTTCAAAACAGAAAATGTATCGTATATCAAATCATATCATTATTGAATTATCTCTATATAACTATAGTTAACCTGATATTATTAAGTAATCCATAGGAAAGCAAAAAGAGATCAATGACCCAATCAGCTGAGCTCCCATTTGCAATCCGAAGCCTTGACATCTTGGCCATCATCGGCAGGGAACCCCCTATACAGACAATAGCCATCTTCCTTGTGGAAGTTGACGATAACTTCCTGACCCTCGGCACCAAGAACCCATTGCACGAAGTCCTGTGCCACATCCTTATTCTCGGAGTTCGCAGAGATAATAATGTCCGCCGGGTTCAGCAGCTCGTCGTAATCCTCACCCCGCTTGTAGACCTTAATCTTATCAGTGAGGCCCTTCTCCTGGTTTCCGAGCGTCAGGAACGTTCCGCGATCGGTCACGGTGTATTCCTGAAGATTGATGGCCGCCTTCAACGCCTGGATCGGGTAGTCCATGTACTGGTGATACCACTTGGAGTAGGCAATTGCCCAAGGAACCTGTACACAAATAATCAGCCGCTGACCCCTTTACCACATCTATTTTCTTTAACCAGGGGGGAAAAGGAGAAGATGATGATGATGATGAAAAAAGAGAGGAACAAACCTGTCCAATCCCAATCCACAGCTCCGAATCCTTAATATTCGTCGCCGACTTGTCAAACCGACTCAGGAACCGCGCTGTCCCATTCTCCGCCGCATTGTACAGCTTTGAGAACGTCTCGACGATATCATCCTCATCCTTAATATTCGCGGTATCATTCTTCGGGCCAGCGAGGTAGAAGTGGTCGCGGAATGTGTAGCACGGCCGTTCCTCGTGGTCCTTGCAGTCGCCGAAGCAGGGTGTCGTGCTGTTCGTATCCTTGTATTTGCAGCCGGAGGCGAACCCAGTCTTGATGGCTATTTGTTCCGCGGTTTGGTGGTAGGTGATTCCGATGTCTACGGTCTTGGCTCTGAGGTTGTTGATTGTTTCCGTCGTGTCGCCTTTGACCCATTCAACTTTAAAGGCGCCGGAGGCGCAGTTATCTGTTTGGTTTTTGATGAAGTGATCGGCGAGTTCTGGGGTTTAGGGTTAGGACAGGGGGGTGAGTAGGGTTGGACGAACGCACCCTTAACGAGACCGCTTTGACCGGCGCCGCCGTTGCCGATGCGGAGCTTTACCGGGTTGTCACCCTTGCAGCCGCCATTGTAGGTGTCTGCGACCGCAAGTCCATTATAGAGGGAGATAGCCAGAGTGGCGCTGAGGCCGAGGGAGGAGAGGGTGTCTGAGAGGCGCATGGTGGGTGGTAGGGGATGTTTTCTTTCTTTTCTTTTTTTAACTACTGCGGGCTACATGGGAAGAAAACAGTCCGGGAATAGATCAGGGTTTATATACACCAGCCAAATAAGATTATAGATGAAACGTCAAAACCCAAATGGGCAACGACGTGGCACGACCGAGAAGAAATTTACTCAATCCCTGGAAGATACAACCAATCAGCATACCATTCATGTGGAATGGTTACAAATAGCCTATCGTTAAGGTGCCTTTCTAGAGATGATCAGCAATCGGCTAGATCATTTTGCGAGACCTTGCGAGATCTGGAGCTGGCGATACGTGGATCGCGCTGAACTGAGACTTATCTAGGGAAACTGGGAAACTATAAAGCTCCCTAAGATCGTCCGGCTCATGCGTGATCGGAAAGGAATCCACAGACTATTTGAATATGACTTCGGTTATCGGGAGATCTTGCCCGAGTACAGTGGTCACCTAGACTGTTAGCTAGAGTTATCCGGGATCATCCCTTTCCGATCCTTATGTAGGGTTGGGTTTACTTTACCCACTTCGCTTGGTGGAGCTCCGCGATACTCCGTTTGGACAGGCAAGAAAGAGAAAAAGAAAGAAAAAAATGGAGGAACAGGCGAAGGGGACTGGGATTTCAATTCCTTGATTCCAATTCTTACTATGTCTGAATTTGAATCTCCCACCAATATCCTGAGAACCCCTTCATGGGCGGTGACCAGTTCCATGGGCGGTATTTGGAATATGGAACCAGATCTCTCGACTGTTCTTGATCAACTTGATCTAGGCTTCGTATTCGGTACCTTAGGGCCCCACCAATTTCCTTGCTGTGTCTTAAGTTGTGAATTGGTTCAAGGCTTGGCAAGCTGGCAGGTTTCATTCTTGCCCATTGATGTTTTCCTAGATTGTGGTCATTCGGAACCTGAAGGTTGTAACTTGATAGCATATGCATGATGGCTCCCCTTAAACTACTTCATACCCGGGTGCTTGCTGCAATTCACATGAATAAACAGATATGATGATACCCATGGAGGGCTAGACTTGTGCAAGCCGAGACTATAGTTAGGGACTTCGAACAACGAGACGACAACGAGGGCGTTATTCCTCATCCGTGCATTTACCCATACTCCATCGGGGCCTCTCTCCAACGAAGTTCGGTCTGGCCCGATTTTCCCAAGCGCCTCTTCAATCGCATTCTCCGACGTAGGATCCGGTGTAATGCTGCAGTGCCATAGTTCATCTGGCGATAGCTTGAAGGTAATAATGCATCGAGCACCCTCAAAAAGCAGTTCCAACGCTATAAAAGCCTCCGAGCCGATGAGAAGGGTATCTTCAACATCCACATGTTCCCAACGCGAGGGGTTGGGTTTGAAGCGTAGGAAATATCGCACTGAACTCCACGGGCGTATCATGAACCGCACCAAGTTTACACTATCACTAGTCATCAGCGATCGGTGAAGTGCCGGTGGTGGATAGTCGCAAGAAATCAGGATCTCCGCTTCCTTCGGCTGGGGAATATCATTCACATCAATATATAAGAAATGGGAACAGGCAACACGCCGAAATCTCTCTCCCGAATGCATTTGTTGTAAAAGGACTCCAGCCACAACAGGGTTCTCTTCCCGACCGTATATCGTCACACAGTCTAAAACGGCAACCACTAATTGTTCTGTCTCTGGATGATCGGAAGTCTTAAAATCGCAAGTCTTCCTGTTCAGAAGCTTACACAAAAGGGGTTGTCTGATTCCTGATGGGAAAAGAGGTATCAACGGCAATGTGATCCGCAGCCCGGCATTCGTCATCACGTAAGGCAATTGTCTATATTCTCTTACTTTCCGTGAGAAATTGGGAACGAATGGGAAGTCAACAAAGCAGCCGGGTGAGGTAGCAAGGACTCCCCAGTTACCTTGGGCCACCAGGCGTGTATCGCCATCCTTCCAAATAAAGATGCTCATATCAGTGGAACATTTGATTATTTCTTCCTGGAGGCGACGGAAGGCATTCCTTCCCTCACCGTAGAGGAGCGGAAGATGCACACCAAAAAGACCAAGAAGACAATATGCCATGTCCTCGGGCCTAGTTGTCGTTCGATTTGCAGCCCACGACATCTTTTGCCCTACACTGGTGGGCCGTATCCCGAATTCAATCAAATTCATCTCGTCGATCTTGGTTATATCAGAAATCTCTCGAAGCAGTTGCCGTTTTGTCCCGATCCGATCCCATCTGGTGTTGTAAAACACGACGTTCGATGGGGCCAAAAGCTCTTGGAGAGTCCAGCCTCTTGTGTACCATCGGCTAGGGGAGCCGTCTGGTGTGTACGTCCAATAGTTGGGTCCCTCGTTTCTGCTGTACGGGAATTCAACATCAACATCTTCAAGGTACACGTAGCACACGTGCGCATTCTTATACCACTCAAACATGGAATTGATAGCTTCGGACAGCTCAGCAGGGCTTGATTTGTCGATACAACAAGTGTCGACCCACACGTACTCCAAGTTATCCTCCAGTGCTTTCTCACAGCATCCGTGTATTTTCCAAAATCCTCGCATATAGTATGCTCCCCCAGAAAGGATCGCTTGGAAGGATACTTCTTGTGTCGACCATGTGTGCGATAAGATCGCATACGGAGGAGGATTACCGACAAATTCAACTAGTTGAAATGTACGTGCGTTCAAAAGCCTCATTTTCTTTCTCTATTTATGTTTTCTTTTCGCACGATGTGATTTCGTGGAAGATTTGCCAGACGTAAATATTGAAGTGGGCTGTTGGGCTGTAAAAAAAGAAATATATTTATGTATGAATGAGGGGTCAAGGCTCCAACTTGCAGCCTTACCTCTTTAGACATTAAGCCCATCCTGCCTGATCATTTTCTAAACTCCTTCCAATCCTCGTGGACTTGGGATACCTATTAACATATATGTATATTATGGGACTGACTTACAGGCAGCCCTATATCATGGGATACTCTGCCTGAGGCACCGCCAAGCCTTTACCCCACAAATATTTCGTACGACACGTTAATCAATTATTAGTGGCGGTTCCGACCACCCACCGCCTTTCGCCGGTGGGTGGTCGGCAGCGTAAAGGAATTTTCAGCGTAAAGGAAGAAAATGAAGCAATTCGCATTATCACCACTAAATGCCTGTAGAATCAATAAAATAGAGTTGATTGCCTGATTCCTCTGCCAATCCTGTATCTGAGGCTGCAGAATTATTTTCTGTATAGGGTGCTGGCGGAGGTTGACCGTACGCCTTTAAATATGCCTTATTCGCCGCTTTCTTATTTTTTTCATTATCTTTGGCCTTCCTGTCCGCAATAGACTGATTCATATCCTTTACACGTAGTATACCACTATCCCCGAGGCGTTGAATCTCTTGCTTAGATTTTGTATACCTTCGGGATGCCTGCGCGGTCTCAATTCGCTCAAGAGTTGAATTCATGATAGCAAGCTGTTCAGATTAAAGTTTTTGCTAATAAAATAAGCGCTCAAGATAGCGCTCAATACAAGAATTAATTGATATATCACTATTTAGAAGTTTAAATAGCTTCTTCTGATTCTTTTCAACTTGCTGAGCGCTTTTTGGAGGTGTATTTTCAACACTTGAAGATAGAGGATTCGGAGGAGGTGTATTCTTGCCATACACACGAAGATCAGGTGCAGAGATCTCTGGTAGCGGTGGTAAAGCATTTTGAATAGCTTCAATAATTAAAGATCCATCTGTAGGAAAGATACCGCGTTCTTTAAAGGAGTTGCGAATAAGACGTGGATTAAAGGTCTTCTCACGTACGGCAACAATATCACGTAGAAAATTAGCTTTATCTCCTGGAACTCCACACCACTGCGCGATGAGGTTATTTGCACTGTGAAAATGCGTTTTATATGTGAGAAAAGGCTTTCCATCAAGTGGTTGGCAGAGATGAGTTGTATAAGGCCGGAAGCAAAAGGGGAGAATCTCATAGGTCTCACAGAGTTGAAGAAATTTAACTGTTTTATGAGCTGTATAGCCATCAAAGATAAGTACTTGTTTTTCCCCTTTTTTTGTACGATCTTTAGTCTCCTCATGAAATTTTTGAAGCCATTCAAGCATAATTTCATCATTTATATAGCCTTTATCGGTGACTGCAGTATAGTAATTGGGAATTGCTTTATCATACCAGGCCTCCATAAATTTCTTTCCTTTGAAGATAAAGAGCGGCGTCATAATCCAGCCATCTACAGCAATACATTCAAGCGCAGTAATATTCTCTGCATGCTCAGCTTGAGAAAGATCAGGAACTCTTCCCTTTATACCAAGCACTTTTTGAGGCTTTCCACTGCCTGATTAAAAGCCACATTCATCAAAATTATACACAAGGCGAGCGGGGACATTTTTAAGCAGATTGGCAAGCTGATTATACCAGAACTGAAGCTGTCCAATATCCTCTGCATCCAAGCGCTTCTTCTCCTTCGTCCTTTGAATTACTGGGCCCAAATTAAGGTCAGGAGGAAGCCTTTTAGCAAAGCAATATGCCCATGATCGGCTGACACTTTGTGTAGGATCAACGCGCTGTACAGTAAGGTTTGCCCATTCTAAAAGCAATGAGATAGTCACCGGGAGGTGGATATCACACATTTTAGCAATCCATTGTTTTAAGGCAGCTTCTTGATACTGATTCAGTGCTTTATTTGATGCATTTCGAGCCGTACAAGGCTTTCTTCCATCATGGATGCGGCCGTGGAGTGTGCGATAAGAAACCCCAAATTCTCGCGCGATCTTTGCAATATTTGGCTTTTTTTGGAGACGGGCAGCTTCAGCGGCTTCATTTACACGTGTATCTGAAATTTGAGATGATTTAGGCATTTTTTATGGTTTGTATGGCTTCAAAAAGATAGGAAATTGATTATCTTCCTTTACGCTGAAAATTCCTTTACGCTGCCGACCACCCACCGGCGAAAGGCGGTGGGTGGTCGGAACCGCCACTAATAGCTATTTCTTCTTGTTCAATAGGCACGCTTAAGTTGGAACAGCTTATTCGTCCCGTAACAATGTACATGTTATATTGATCGCCAGACCAAGTTCTGAGCGTGATGCCCTAATATGTCATTGCTATTTCAATACCTTCAAGACATCGGAGAGTCTGGGTCGGTACTACTGCACATAGCCCATCGTAAATTATCAATAGCTGCTACCAGCAAGGGCACAGTTTGCCAACTGGCGAGTTCAAGGGGCATGACTAAGCCAGATGAGAACATCATCTGCCGCTTGATATACAACATTCCATAGAGCTTACCAGTTATTAGTGTAGTTGCCCTCGATTGCTCTCTTCCATATAGAAGGATTTTCTGAATCATGAAGCGTCATCGTGCTGTGCATGGGTCTTCACCACCATCCACCCCCATAGAAGAGAGAGACCCCCCCAAACTTTCCAGCCTTAATGCGCCTGTATCTCCTCCTAGGAAAAGGTCCACAGCAATGACTACACAACCTAGCACTGTGTCATCTGATAAAAGTACTCCAAAGGAGCAAAAAGAGACGCCATCCAATCCAGAAAACCACAATCTAGCCGCCATCGAAGCAGGCCAGGTCAAAGTCACAGATCACCTATCCATCTTCTCTTCACGACTCAGTCAATCTACTCGCACTAAGATACATCAGACACCTCGACTACAGATCGCAGACTGGGCTTCTCTGTATCAACGCAACCAGCATCCAGAAGGAAGACACTTCGTCATCCACCAGCATGATCACCCCATCGCCGGACCGCACTATGACCTCCGGCTCCAGTTCTCAGACTCCAGCTCTGTCAGCTGGTCCATCATGTACGGATTACCGGGTAATCCTAACAGCCGACGGCTGAACCGGAATGCGACAGAAACTAGAGTACATTGTTTGTGGGTATGCACTCTCTTCTCTACTCTGCTCAGAAACTCTGTGCCCACAGACACTAACACAGCCTTGCAGAACCACCTCATCGAAACAGCTTCCGCCAAAACAGGAAGCATGATCATCTGGGATACAGGCCAATATGAAATCCTCCCCTACCAGGGCCCCCAACCTCAGCCAGAAACAGATGACTCCCGGTCCGACGTCTCATCAGACACCTCAATCTCCACCGTAGGCTCCAAAACAGACAGCGAGAAGCTCCGTCACGCATTCCAGAACGTATGTCTAACCTATGACTTTCTGAAAAATTCTACCCTTCATAACCTAGATCCTTAACAACAACAGCGCAAGATCCGTCTCCGTCTCCACGGGACAAAACTGCCCCGAAACTATACTATCGTTCTCCGTCTCGACAAAACCTCGGGTTTCAAGAGGACCTCCGCCACGCCCCGGAGCCAGCGTCGTCGAACCATCCCAGCAGCCCAAAGAGGCCTTAGCACCTCATCGGATGATTCTACGTCTCCCGCTAAAGATCGTCCGATGGGGGCGTTGGTTCATGACACTTTGGATCAATCGCAAGCATCTGAAGATCCTACGGGGAAGCACTCGGGTTCTGGGGATGATGTCGATGAGCAGATCCGTATTAATAATGCCTATCCGGGTGCTACTAATTCGATTAGGTCGGTCCACCAGCGGCGGTGGTTTGTTACGCTTGACCGGGTTAATTCGGGGTTTGTGGCGGAGACTGGGTCGGGGCCGGCAGGGAAAAGGTGGGTGAGGCAATTGGATCCAGAGACTGGACGATTGTTGGGTTTTGAGCCATTCTATGTTTGGGGTCCTGATGTTGAGAGAAGTGTTGTTACTGGGAGGTTGGGGAGAGATGTTTTGGAGGATGAGGGCGTGGAAGGGTTTGTACCTAGAAAGGGTTGGAGGGCTGTTTTGGAGTGATGCTTGGAGTTTGGTTGCGGACAAGAAGCTGCCTCTCATGTAGGGTGATTATTTGACGATTCAATCTGTCTATATGTGTCCTGTCTATACTTGTGGCAATACGGTGCTTTAAATCATGTCTAAGTGCGCCTGCTATACATTGGTTATACATATTATGAGCCTAAAAACATCTGCACGATAACCTCATTGCTCCACCCGGGTCTCAGCTTCATCTCCTCCCATGCTGCCAATACATCCACAGACAAGACCTTGGTCGTTTTCTCATCTCCTTCCTTCCAAACGTTCTTCTGAGGCACGGGTTGACCGAGGATGGTAACCATAAAATTATCCTCAATGCTCCAATCGGGCAAGTCAGAGACATAAACACCTAACGTACCGAGCGCTTTAAGACTAATATCGAACCGGAGACGTCCATTCGCTTCTATGTAGATGTCGGAGCTAACTATGGCAGCTGCACCGGTCATCTTTCCGATCAACCCTAATACCGCGGCATTTGTAGGCTTCCTCTCACGGGCATCATTGGAATCTTTGCGCCTCAATGTAAAGGCTTGCGTTGGGTATGCAGTAAGAATCTCCCAGCCTTTATCTTCTAGGTCAACTCCAACGAGCGTGTCACGGTCGGATGGACGTATGAGGTTGGTTATCCTGCCCGTCGTGTAGGCTCGGATTATGTATTCCACATTATAATCGTCATGGATGCCTGGGAATTCTCTCAGGGATGTCAAACTTGAGGAGCGACGACCAGAGACGTTGAATAAACCCAGGATTCCACTTCCGGTGCGGGCCCTGCCAGTATAGGTGCTCACCCGCAATACTTGGCCATCGTTGTAATCATGGTACATGTCGATGGTGCGACCGGCTACACCAGGTCGAAGTATCACAGTATATCCCTGGGTACTTGGCGCTGTTATCTCATTAATGAGAGCAACGTTATGGTTTCCAGGCTCGTCGGTGATGTAGATTGGGCCGCCAGAAACACATCGTGCTGCCGCGTGGAACGAGGCATATGGATGACTTGTTTGGAACATATCCCAGTCTGGTAGGACGTTTAAGTAGCGTGTTAGCAGTGCGTTGTGAGCATTGCAAAACACGTGCCATGTATGGGATGCTGGCACCTCTGGGAAGAAGTCATCGGAATTCCGCAGCGGAATGGTAGGTTTATTGTTTGGCAACTGTGAATGGAAAATGGCCTGAGGAAACATTGACATGCACGAGATAGCCCTTGTGCCAAAGTATCTCAGTGATGATATAGACCAAGCATCCTGATATGCTCGAGTGAATATTCGCCGATCTTCTGGGCATTCCAGAAGATCCAGAAAGAATTGAGCATCTGTTTTCACGGAATCAACACCAGTAGATGAAAGGTAACGGTAGAAGTCATCATAGAATCGGTCAACATCATCTGGATCAATGGCAAGTAATGACTGACTCTCAAGTGCTTTAGCAATTGGGCCTCCGGCAGCTAGATCTTTAATCTTGACTTCCTTCGTCTTGAAATTCTTGGCTATCTCACCATCTGGTGATATACCGCCCCAATATCCGAGTAAGGCATGCCAGACAGCTATGTGCGAGATGTTCGGATGGTTGCGACGGATGGCCTCCACAGCCTTCTTCAACCCTTGTGGAAACGTGTCTGGATTCGCTTCAAACTGCATCCATCTCCGTTTGAACTGGGAATCACCTTCGTTGTCTAACGCTTGCCAGTTATCATCGATTATCAGGTTGGAGATGCTGATCCCATGAGTCTTCAGTATATCAAGAGCGTGTAAGATCTTCCCTTCCGTCAAGTCTTGGCCTAGACCATTCCATGTGCAGTATGTGAGACCATCGTACCATTCAGACAGCCATTGTGCCTCGGGATCCTTTTCGACCAGTACAACATCATCTCCAGGAGGCGAGACTGGTGTTGGGATCCGGTCAGTAGTCTCTGCGCCAAATGGCCGAACCAGCTTTCGCGCCTCATAGATCAGTGCACTTATTGCTACTTCAAAGTCGGCTGCTGTGGATGCTAGCACCTGGAATCCTGAAGCAGAGGCGTTGTCATTTTGCGACTTGATAACTACCTCACCGTTTTCTCCCGACCTCAATACGGTTAAAACGTCGTTAGTTCCTGAAACAGCCAGAAGCACTACATGCTCTCCATCCTCCCGAAGGAATGAGCACAAGATGACATCTTCTGTTATTCTAAACTTGTCTCGTCCATGTCTGGGTCCAAGCCATGGAGTCCATACCCTGACCAAAGCAAAGTACCGGACTGTCCGGGAAGGTATTCCAAGGACCATATTAGTAAATCCAGACTGGCCATCTTGAGCCGGGTCAGCGCTCCCAGACAGATGCCACAGGGACGACCCGGGGGCTTCACTTTTGCGGAACTCAACTTCGAGATTGGGCGAAAGGTGATCAAAATATTTGCCAAACTCTTCCTTCGCAGATGCTAGAGACAGTTGTGCTAGATTAATCTTTTCCTGTTCGGGTTCTCTTGCAGCGAACACCAATTCCCCGTCCTTGGCATTTTGCTGTTGGTTCACCCATTGCCAATCCGTGTCTGGGCTGACCCTGTACCGGACGGTAAACTGGGCGGATCCACCGTGTGATGGTAGCGCTATTTCGCCGGAGAAAACATGACGATAGAACTTATGCTCTGATTCAGGCTTGTTCATAAGAGGAACTGCTGTGTTTGAGCACTTTTGGAGAGAGAGAGCAGTCCATTCTGCGCTAGTGACGTTATGCCAGATCTGAGCTTCCCATGATTGCTCGGGAAATGAATGACTCGACTCTATCACTACAGTAAACCGAACCTGATATGGTATGAGCAGTCAGGTTTGTTCCACAATGGAATCAATTCATACAGTATCATCTTCCTTTGAACCTAGAGCTTTCTGGATCCTCTGGGGGCACGTCACTTGCCCCAGGGGAGGGTAAGAGGTAACCCGAGAAAATAAGCCCATCTGTGCTGGACGAATAAATTGGTCTTTACTAGAACCTAGCATTCCGGATGATTTTAAATATGTTCTCCGTGTTGATCTGTAGTGGAGGGTGATATCTTAGTGAGTCGGCCTTGCAAGGGTTCGGGGATTGGCAAGAGGTTAGGAGAGTAAGGGTTTTCAATGGAGTTAGTTATATTATATTTCAATTGATGGGAGAAAAAAGGGGAAAGTCGGTGATGCATATGATGCACGATGAGTTGGACAATTAAATCCGTGTGGAGTGAGGGGGAACTTTAGCTTTGCTCTGCTGCTCCATCATTGGCTTGTCGTTCTTCCAATCATATGAAGTTATTCTGAAGATCATCAATAGAAGTAACTAAGTAGTAGCATAAGGTAAGAGCAAGTCTAGTCCAATTGTCAACGCTTGGCCACCTAACATGCTGTGTAAGACCAACCGATACCAATTGCAATTGTAATCACCTGCCATGCCCCGTGACAACTCTTATTCACGACCGACTACAGCTGGCTTTTGTTCCAATTGATAACTCATCCAGTAGCTTGTCTTACCTTGATTACAACTCTAAAACTAGGTCTGCATGAAAGGTTTGGTTTGATTCTACATCGTCAACATATACCCCGCCATCAGGTTCATTCTCCTCGTCCTGTTCCCAATCGTCCTTGGATCCCAGATCCCTCCCACCGTGGATGTTGCAATAGTGGGTGCTGGACTATCTGGGAAAGTCGTTTGTCATATTCGAAGCTCGAAACTGAGTCGGTGGTCGTGTACTCAATACCCAACTACATAATAGGGGAATCGCAGAACTCGGCGCCCAGTTCATGGGACCAACCCAGGATCGAGTACTCGATTTGGCACAATCTCTGGGTCTATCGACCTTCAAAACCTTCAATGAAGGAAATACCTCCCGTTTCACCTGAAGGACTCGTGCAGGCTGGGTAGGCGGTCATGCTGCTAGATGGAATGGTGGCCGAAATAGATTTCAATGCTCCCTGGAACCATTCGCGGTCGACCGAGTGGGATATCGAGACGGTTCAAAGCTGGCTGAATCGTGTAGCGCCGCATCCTGAGGCTCAGTTTCTGCTTCCCGATGGGCTACAGTCGGTGTTCTCGACTGAGCCTCGGGAACAGTCATGCCTACGTTGTTGCTGCAGGTAATGCCACCATACGTGGAAACTTTGGGCGTCTTATAGATGTAGCCGGCGGAGCACAGAAGCAACGAATTGTAGGAGAGACACAGCTGCTAGCCACCAATCTTGCTGAAAGACTCGGGCTGAACAGTATCATCTTCAGTGCCTATGTTCAAACAATCGAGCTAAAGGGGGAGACATACCTTGTCTCATCGAGCAATCAATCTATCTTGGCAAAGCATGTGGTCGTCGCTATATCTCCTCTCTTCGCGCCCCGCATTGCTTATCAGCCATCATTGCCTGCAGCACGCGATCATCTTACCCAATGTATACCGGCGGGGTCCGTGGGGAAGGTGTTCGCTACATATGCTGGCGGGAGGCCGGGTTCAACGGACAAGTGGCCAGCTACATTCGTGCCGTACGAATAACCCTCGATAGCTCGCATAATGATGGCTCGTTCGGCGCTATGATGGGCTCTATTGAAGCGGACGGGATGAGAAGACTAGACCGTCTGTCTGAGACTGAGATAATTAAGGAGATTACAGACGACTCCATTCTCTATTTCGGACCCAAAGTGGCTGACGTTCTAAATAGGGCCATTCAGCGATGGGGTCTTGAACATTTCTCTAGGGGAGGTCCCGGTTGCATATACGCCTCCCGGCGTGCTCACGGCGGACGGTACCTCATTAAAGGCACAACACGGTAGGCTCCATTTTGCGGGAACAGAGACCGCTTCATGTTGGACCGGCTTTATGGACGGTGCGATTCGATTTGGAGAACGCGCTGCTGCAGAGTTTTTGAAGAACTTTTAATTGTTTGTCAGCGACTCTCGTGTCAGTAACTACTGAGTGATCTCAAGAGATGTCAAGTTTTTCTTCGACGAAGAGTAAAGGCGGAATTAGGTCGGTCAATTGAAGTTCTAGCCTGAGAACCACGTGCATTATGCTTAACCAGTTTGTAATTTTTATACATATTATGTTGACCAGTCACAATTATTACAGGAGATATTCTTACTTCGTAAACATTTAATCGATCTTGATCGCCAGCTTTCCGAAATGCTTCTGGCCCCACTATACAAACAATTAGCATTGGGTTTAGTCACCTGGAATAGTACAAATAGGCTTACCATATATTCATAAGCGTCCTTAGCCTTGTCGAGGCTAAAGACCTTAGGGTCCACAACAGGATGGATATCGTTGGCTTCAATAGCCCTAACCATGTTGTTAAGTAATTCCTTGCTTCCGACATAGACACCCCGAACGGTACAGATGTTACTCAGGGTATCAAGAATGCTGGGCTGAGTCTTAGGGTCAACGCCTCCGAGGAACCCAATAACGCTAATGATTCCCTCGAACTTGATGCACTTAAAGCTCTGGTTAAGAGTCCCGCTGCCGCCAACCTCAATGATGTAGTCTACACCAACATTGTTGGGAGTGAGCTTGCGAGCGGTCTCGCCCCAGTTTGGATCAGACTTATAGTTGATGACATGGTCTGCGCCAAGCTCCTTGAGCTTTTCAGATTTCTCGGCAGAGGAGGTAGTAGCGATGACAGTCGCTCCGGCAGCTTTAGCGAACTACAGCGGGATGCGTTGTTAGGTTTTCATCCAAAAACATTACCTAGGAAAGAGAAATAGGGCACTCTACCTGCAATGCGAACAAGCTAACGCCACCAGTACCTTGTACAAGAACGGTCTGTCCAGGCTGGAGAGGTCTCGAGCCATACAAAGCGTTCCAGCTAGTAAGAGCTGCGCACGAAAGAGTGCTGGACTCAAGATGGGTGAGGTTCTTCGGGCTCTTCACCAAACCGTCTTCATTGAAGACACCGTATTGACGCAGGGTGCCATCAATAACACCACCCAGCCCAGATCCAGCAGCCCTAGGATCGATAGGACCATACTGATGTAGCTGGTTGAACAAGGTGATCACCTTGTCTCCTTTGCTAAATTGAGTAACCTTGGGACCCACTTCAACAACCTCACCGGCTCCATCCGAACCAGGCACAACTGGGAAGTTGATGGCGAAAGGGTACATGCCCTATGACAATGTATTAGCGAAAAGTACAGTTACGAGATTATGAAGCCATTGACTGACTCGTGGGATAATAAGATCACGGTAATTCAACGATGCGGCGTGGAACTTCACCAGAACATCGTTATCTCCAACTTTAGGAACCGGTGCATCATTGTAGGCAAGCTCGTCAAAGCCGTTGGCCTTGCCCTGCACGGACCACTGCTTCATGGTTTCGGGTGCCATTGTTATTGATTGTATCGATTTTAGGGTCAAGTGATGATTAGCAGGTGTGTAGCGATTTCGACAGTCAGCTTCTGGGCGGAGGGGCTTTATGTAGCTTATAAAAGCTTCTGGCAAGCCTGTATTCTTGACGTCAGTGGGCAGAATCCCCACATTTATGGCGCTCCTCGAATAAGGGTCGAGCAAATGGGTACTGGGAGCCCATTAGGTCTCCGAAATGATTCAACATCCGAGTTGCGAGAGTGTTCTTCACCAAATCACAGCTCGTAAGGCAACGGATGGCTCCTCCTTGCTGATAAATCCGACTCATGCTGATTTCCTCTTCGGGGACAGTATAAGAAAACACGGTGTCGATGTGTGGATCCTTGTAATTTTTTCCACGATTTGACCCCCCGAGGTCCCCAATTGTCATTCACATTTGCAATGGGTTAAAGACATATCTGCAGCCTTGCCAATTGGACATGCTGAGGAATATCCTTTTTAGACAGACTATTTCGCAGTAAACAAATAAATGCAGGCGCAGGTGGGGTACATAATGGGTAGACTCGTTTCTACCGCCCACTAGCCTACATTGCGGCAGGAATTTTGTAACACTTTTCCCGTTACATCATTGAATGTTGAATCTTTAGCAGGGCCAGTATCTCTCAGTCTCAGCATCAACATACAAGTGATACAAAACCTATTTTGTCATGATGATCTATAGGTATCTAGCCAGTAATTTATTCTATGCAACTTTAGAAGTTCGTAGGCCTTCTTTGGTGAGATATTAGTGATATAATTTAAAAGCAAAAAGTGCCCTTTCCACTGTCCCAGCCTCATGAGGTTTCACTAGCGTAGATTTACTTAAGGACCGCCTTCTATAATTGGTTTAGTCTCAATATCTAAAAAGAAAGTATAGTTTACGGTTCTCAGGCAGGATCCCTCTTTCATCAGGCACATACGTGTTATTCCTTGCATACAGCCAGCGAATGTTTTTCTAAGGGTTCTCTCTGTCGCATTCTTGTTTTGCCCTTTTTAGCTTGGTATTCAACCTGGAAGTCTATTCCTTTCATCGACATATTCAGTAAGCCAATCGCACCTTGGATCAGACCAATACATCATTCAAGGTAGAATCCTTATGCTAGGGTTTGACATAGTCTCAGAAACCAGTGTTTCTGGCATTGCTAGGAAGGTAAAACAACTATGCGGTTATTTTGCTGTGCTAGCAAATAATGCCGCATACTTGGAGACTAGAAACCCATAACCGAGTCGGATCCCGCCGACTGGGCAACTTTGGGGGTTTAAATCGTAAGACATATTGCTACTAAATATTCGTGCATTTTATTCCCCTCCTCCTCGTATACCTTCAAGGGTTTTCCAGGTTGGCATGTTTGCTCAAAGCATTCGCTAAATCCATAATCCGACATCTATATCACCCGGTTTCTCAGGTCGAGGGAGGTTCTGTATGATCTGGTGGGAGATAATCTGTGAAATTAAAGGCATACCCTTCCCAGAAGAGGCGCAGCATTAGGTCGTCATTGCCCGGCGGTGGTGACCAGTCAGGCATTTGTCGTAGACTTAGAAAGCCTGACAGTGATTCCATGAAAGACTCATCTTCATTCTCTTCCGCTATTGGACCGTTATTCGTTGTGACGATCGATGATGTGGGCTCTTGAGGGCTTTGCTGGTCGCCATTCGTGCCACCGCTCGGATCCAGGGTTAATATTCGTTCAACAAACGGCGTTCGAGACTCATACCGTTCACTCCGTAGCCTCTCGCGATAGACATCAATGGCCTCGGAAAAGCTCGTAAGGATACGGTGATACTGTGCAGCCTGGGGGCTCAAGTGACCTAGTGAACCAAGCAGCCGGCATGCGCCATAGAAGGCGTCGCGAATTTCCGAAGTCGTCTGTGCTTCCGCGAGAAGAGAAAATCCCAAGACTAGCCCAGCTGCAAAGAGCCATGCCCTATAAATCGTGTCAGTCTCTCGTAGGCTAAGGTTATCTCTGCTAGGACGGTTTTTCGTACTTTAAAATACACATATTCCCCCACAGAATCCCAGCTTCAGCTGCATCACAACACATCTGTGCCATGTAGGTTGCAGCATCCGTGCAGACACTGGACAACTCAGCGGCCTTCTCGGTACCTTCTTCGCCATTATCCTGGCGAGAAGGCCTTTTCTTTAGTTGCTTGCCACGGATTTGTGGCATAATATGTTGTATCAACGATTGACGTGTTACAAGGATGACACCAAAGTAGTACATGCAGGCGACATGGATATTCCCAATCATATCTTCCCGATGTTTTGAATTGAATCCTGGTTCAGACTCTTTCCGCGGCCGTAGACGGAGCTTGTCGGGGAGTGCCTGACTCCATTCGTGCCAGATCTGCAAAAAGTGATCCGCAGAATTAGTATCAAACTTCTCTCCCTCTGCAAGCCTCTGGACAATAGCCTCCAATACCGAAGAGGCCTCGTACGCAGCATTGATAGCTAAAGTTCGGTGATTGGCGTCTTGGTCGAGATCATTCGCATAAACGTCGTTGGTGCGGAGTGATGAAGTGCTTCCCGGCCTACCCAAGATAGAGCTAGATACGAGATCGAGTACCCGTATGCTTTTGCCAATTCGTAGCCTTCCAATGATATTAGCTTCCTCCAACAACCAGTAGATAAGAACAAACCTTCGAGCCCTCTCCTCCGCGGGCATCTGCCTGTACTGCCCCGACACATGTAACCCAAGAACTATAGAGGCTTTGGCCGCCACTCCGATATACATGAAAGCCGAGTTTCGACGGCAGGCTCCAAACATATAAAAGGCCATCAATAAAAAGTCACGGGCCAAATAAACAGTCGGATCTTCCAGGAATCCCTCGAATGCCATCTTCCTGGCTTGAGAGAAGTATCTTGCTGCACACAGGAGGTCATCCTGTGTGCTGCCTTTGCATTGCGCCCCTATAGCAACCATCATGTACAGAGCGGTAAGGTCTTCCTTTACACTGTTGTCCAGCCGACCGGAGTTCGGCATACGGTTACTATTGGACACCTTTACTATTCGATTTACCTCCTCCCAAGTGAAGAGATCCAAGAGACCGTTAGACTTACCAACACGTAAGTTGCAATCTCAAAAAGTAGTTTGGCCCAATGAAGTAATAATAAGGGTTACTTACCACATGTAAGAAGCACTGAACAAGGGCCCATTTTTCTGTCTCCATGAGCTCATCAGCAAAGAAGTCTGTCCCAGTGTCAGGAACGTCGGCTTCAAACATCTTGCGACTATTCTGGCTCTCAGTGAATCCGACAGGCCCAACATAGCGCTTCACTATCGCTTGCAGAAACTGTAGGAACGACACAGCAGCCGCGCCACCCATATAAACTAGTTCATCCTCAAAATTAACGTCACAGTCTCGCGGAGCGGAAGGTCTGTCATTGACCAGGTCAGGAGCAGCGTACCTCTTTCACCGCTGGAGCTATACAGCATGGTTGACCGTTGCCCGGCGGAAGGCGTTGTATCTCGTGTACTACGCACATCGTCGCTTTCCCGTGGACGCGGTCTTCTTTCGGTGGGTGTTGCTATGTTATATCTGGCCGTGCCCACTTGGGGATCAACTTCCACCGGCGGCAACGGCTGTAGTGATGCAGGACCAGAAGTTTGGACAGACTGTACTCCACGCCGTTGGGGTGAAAATGTACAGGAATCCGCAATGCCCTTTTTTAGACATGTTCGACATGGTTGAGTGCCATCGCAACGTTTCTTCGATGTTTTGCACGCAAGACATGCCCTAACGGAACGCTTCCGGTCTTGCGGCTTGACTCGTGGCCGCGGCATCGGATAGAGGATTGGAGAAAGGAGGTGGAGAACGGCACAAGTTCCCACACTTTGTGGGCGGAGAAGGGGAAACTAGAAGTATCAGTACGGGGTAGCTAATGAAGATACGAATGATAAGGATAACAGAAGTGGGGCAATCAGGGGTATCCATCTAAGAGATATGACATCTTGATTTGATTCTGTAGTCTTGGACAGCAGGGGAGGTAAAAAGAGTAAGATAGGGTGCGGGCCGTACCCCTCTGCGGGTATTGTACCGCACATAGAGTTCTTTGCGGCAGTGTACACGATCCGCCACCCGATTAAGATGAAGTCACAACCGAAGATACCAACAAGAATAAGAGAAAAGTGAATTCATGATAAGCGGTGCTTACTATGACATGTAACTTTATCATACCTCCCCTCCATTCCTCGCAAGAGTTAAAAGGCCACCACGCCTACTCTCTCACGACAAATGCCAGCGACAAACGAACACACTACAACCCTCAAGCACAATACAATAACTATGGGATCTCATCAAGAAGCGTGGAGGCGACTCAATATAGGTGTCGTCGGTGGTGGCATTGGTGGTATGTCGGTCGGCATTGCCCTCCGCCGTGCTGGTCATGAAGTGACCATCTACGAACGCAATGATTTTGCTGGTGAGGTAGGCGCCTCAGTCTCATGTGCCGCCAACGGTACGAGATGGCTCCATGAGTGGGGTGTCGATGTGGAAAAGGGCGATCCAGTTGTCCTGCGCAAGCTCATCAACCGCGACTGGAAGACTGGGGAGCCAGTCAGCGTCTACGACCTCGCCGATTACGAGGAAAGATGGGGTTATGTCTACAATATGTTCCACCGCCAGTACATGCATACCATGTTGAAAGATTGTGCATTACAAGAGGAGGGGGTGGGCACTCCTGTTAAGCTTCAGGTGAACCATGGGGTAAAACTCTCGGCCTTAACTACCCTAATAATAACAGAGGCAATACAGGCTAACATTGCCACCAGTGCAAAGATATCAACCTAGCCACGGGTGTCATTACATTCTCAAACGGAGCGAAAGCCCAGCACGACCTGATCATCGGTGCAGATGGTATTGGTTCAGTTGTTCGTAGCATCATAGGACTTCGTCCGGAGAAGAAGCCATCTGACCAAAGTTGTCTGCATGCCAATGTCCGCACAGAAGACGCCGTCCGACTAGGCTTAGTTGACTACTCTAAGGACAGTGCGCTGGAATACTGGGGTGGTCAAGAAGGCAAGTGGGACAAGATCGTGCTCTCGCCATGCAATGGTGGCCGCTTGTTATCGTACTATTGCTTCTTCCCCCGAGAAAAGGGTGATTTTAGCAATCACACCTGGGGGAGTGCAGACCGGCCAGTTGAAGAGCTGCTAGAGCCGTACCCAGGGCTTGATCGCCAAGTGTTTTCCCACTTATCTATTGGTACAGAAATCCGGCCATGGCGTTTATGGGTTCAGTAAGTCGTCATCCTTCCTAACCCATCCCCATGTCCTCTGTTAAATTTTGTGCTAATGCAATTCCTATAGTCAACCATACCCATATATCACCCGCAGTATGGTCTGTCTTCTTGGGGATGCAGGTCATCCGGTACGATCATCATAGAGTATTAAACGATCAAAAAGGCTAATATGATGTAGATGATGCCTCACCAAAGCCAGGGTGCCTGTATGGCGATTGAAGATGCTGCGGCACTTGGTATTCTTTTCAACAAAGACAACTTCACTGGAGATATTGCCGAAGCCCTCGCCGTCTATGACGAAATCCGACTGCCCAGAGCGACGAAAGTTCAATCCGCAGCAGCAAAGGCAGCTTATAATATCAACGAACGGATAGGTAGGTCTTACCTTTTACCAAAACCAGCAAGCAGAACACTGACAGGCTTTGGAAGGGTTTTCAAGCAACACCAGTAGCTCCGTATATAAAGTCGAAGATGAGAAGAAAAAGCTCACGATTGAAGAAATGAATGCGTGAGTTGATTATCTTGGACGACTTTTTTTTCCGGCAGCAAGATCTAACTGTTTGTTTAGTTATGACATGTACAAAGATATTGAAGAAGCGATCGCCAGGCGCAGAGGGATACCTTTCACGGCACCATTCACCCAGGGCCTACCGCTCGGCCTGAAGCTATCTAATGGAGTAACTGTTGGAGAATAAACTGTGGTATCAAAATCTGGGATGACCCTTGTTATAACACACCCCCTTAAGCATTGTTTCTATTACTTTTCATAAAATTGATACGTAGCCCTCACTGTATATATATATCAAATATTTTGCAAATTCTGAAGCCTCTAATTTTGCCAAAATGATATCTTAGTTTTCCTCAGACAGCCCTTAATTTGCAAGGGCCTTTCGCGTAGAACTACACCCTCACAACTAGCCCATTGTCTCTTTGAAGCGATCTTCCTACGTGTAGACGGGAGACTAAAAACTGAGTCCTAAAGCTATCGCGCAATCCGTTAGTTCAACTGTATTGGCAGTTCAATCGCTGATCATGGATAATTATCCGCCATAGACTACAAATTTATTACTAGCAAGCAAAGAGGGGTAAATCCATAAATCACTTCAGTTTTCCGACTCGGTCCCATTTTCTACATATTGTATTTATTTACGTATTTATTTATTTTAACTTGTCCCTCATTACTACATTCAAACCGATACCAAGCTGCTACGCATTTAATCACCGTACATTGTCTCTCGCATAATCGCAACATATAAATCTCCGTCACGAACACTATGTCTCTAGGAAGAACCTATAAGCTCAACTCGGGATACGACATCCCTGCTATCGGACTAGGAACCTGGGTACGTGAGAAAGCACACAAGAGAATAAAAATAGACCGCATTGGAGTCTTGCTAACAAACCTAGCTATCCAAACCCCACGAGGTCGAAAATGCCGTGGAAGCAGCTCTGCGTACCGGCTATCGCCATATCGATGCAGCAGCATGTTACCTAAACGAGAACGAAGTAGGGAACGGTTGGAAGAAATCGGGTGTTCCCCGAGAACAGCTTTTTGTCCGTAACCCTTTAAACAATCTGTACATCATCTGTTCGAAATCTATAATAATATAGAGCTGACTATGGAACAGATCACGAGCAAGTTATGGAATACTCACCATCACCCCGAACATGTCGAGGAGGCAGTCGACAAGACGCTGAAAGATCTTCAGACGGACTATCTCGATCTATACCTGGTTGGTGCTGCCTTATATGTCGACCGATCTCAGTAACTCGCGCTAACTATATCAGATTCACTGGCCCGTCGCATTCGAACATACAAATGAAACTCTCATGCCTATCGACCCAGTCACGAAGCGATTTCGTCTAGCGGACGTTCCGATCGCCGATACATGGGCGGCGCTGGAGAAGCTCGTGGAAGCAGGCAAGCTCCGAAGTATCGGCGTTAGCAATTTTACACAGGAGAAGATCGACGATCTTCTCAAGACGGCTCAGATTCCCCCGGCTGTAAATCAAATCGAGGCCCATCCTTATCTCCAACAGCCTGGCTTACACAAGTACCTCAAGGGGAAGGTCAGAACATCCCCGTTCTCAGGCATCTCTCCCAGGAAAAATGCTAACTTACTTCCAGAATATCCTTTCCGTCGCTTATAGCCCTCTGGGCAATAACATCTACAATGCCCCACGGTATAAGCCTCGACCCTCTATGAATAATTTCTAGGCACAATTCACTGATAACTAGCCATTTAACAGCGTCGTCGACGACCCCGCCGTCAAAGAAATTGCCACGAAGCTGGGCAAAGACCCCGCAGCTCTCTTGATCTCCTGGGCCGTCCAGCGCGGTACTGCGGTGCTCCCGAAGAGTGTCACTCCCTCGCGAATTGAAAGCAATTTCCAGGGTAGCAGCCCTCTATCTTTCTCTTTCTTCTTTCTACTGACAAAAGCCAACTGCTCTAGACTTCATCATTCCCGACGCTGAATTCGAGGCCCTGGATAAGCTTGACCGCAACCAGAGATATAATTTCCCGTTCCGTTGGGGTATTGATGTGTTCGGGGAAGTGGGCGCCGAGGAAGCTGAGAGGCGCGCGGAGGAACATGCTGCGAAGCAGAGGGAGGGTGCTTAGATTTTGACAGAGTTTCAGAGCTCAGATATATGGAGAGAAAGCATTGATTCAGTTATCTGAGAGACAAAGGGAAGCCTTCGTATAGCTGGGCGTCAGGTAATGTACTACTAGTAAAGCCGATCAGCTCGGACAGACTTCACTTGTTGTTTTGAGGCTTATGTTATAGATTTCTGTATATATGTCGTGCTCGATGATGTCTGTACATCTATTTGATTATCGAGCAGTGTCTGACTTATATGGTGATCGAACCAGTACCTACCACAAGCAAATATTTCAATTCCAAGTGGGGTCTTTTGTTTAAAGAAGTATATGAATACTATTATATCACTAACCGCAAAGGATGAAAAGAAAAAGAGGAAAAGGTAAACGTATAAAAATAGTTGACTCGTATATCAAAAGCGCCGCCAACTCATGCATGCATGCATCGCAAGATATATAGTGTTTTATTGGAGGTTGAAAAAGTCGCGGAACCGAAAGATTTAATCAATCGATTAAATCAAAACTTCTCTCGCACCACAATCAAATCAAACCCATCCGCCCACATCCACGCTATCCTCCAACATACCTAGATAATATCAGAATTAACTTACACTAATTAATCAATTGATAACTCGAGATCCATACAATTGCACGGGACAGCTACTCGACGATGTCATCGACCATTAAAGACAGAGTCACAAAGAACAAATCGGCGCGCCGAAGTGTGGCGAGACGCCAAATTGAGCAAATAAATAGAAAGCTGGGGAAAGGTATGTAATAATAACGTACATCGCATTGCGTTGTCGACTGAATCGGACGCGTCCTAACGCGTACTTTAGAAAACAAGAAGCCTAGGTTGCTGTTGGTAGAGCGCACTAACAAATTATCGCTGGCGGAATTTGTTAATTCATATGTGCCGCCGGAGGACCTCCAATATCGTAAAAGTCCTGCTAAGAATACGGCGCACGGAAATGAAAACGAGTTGCATTACACGCTCGATATCTACACAGCTGATTCTCTCCCGACTGCGGATTTTGAAGCTTGTTTCAAATTGATTGAACAAACGTCCTCAGACGCTTACAAGGAATCTGGTTGGGGATGGTCCCCGAAGAAAAAGGCAAAGGAGATGCGACTGCCGGATATGAGATACTTGATTTTGCGACAGGGTCCGAGATCAACCGCTAAGGACTTAGAGCATTCGGCAAGAGATACGCCATCCCCCATCGGACAATTCCTAGGGTTTACCTCGTTTATGATCACGTACGAGGATGGGAAAGAGGTGGTTTACTGTTACGAGATCCACCTGTCACCAGCAGCCCAGGGCCAAGGGCTTGGTTCGCAGCTGATGAAACGGTTGACGAACATCGGGCGACGCATTGGCCTAGAGAAAGTGATGTTGACGGTCTTCAGATCGAATGAGGCGGCAGTCAGGTTTTATTATAAGATTGGGTTCACAGAGGACGAGTTTTCCCCACCAGCACGCATCTTGCGGAATGGAATGGTGAAGGAGCCAGATTATATGATTCTGTCCAGGTCGTTGCGACCCGCTCAACGATGATTGTACCAGAAATATTGATACGCGTCCCAGTGATGCGATCGCGGCCGTTGCATTTATGTCTAATAACGATATCATATCTTATATTTGTCTAGCCTCTTTGCCTCGCATTTCGGGGTTTTCTTGTTCCCACTCATCCCTTAGCACGGCAAATATAGTGTCCGCCAGTAGTATCGACAGTCCTAAGCTCCACACCAGAGTGATGGCATAGAAGAAGTTGGCATTTCCGGAGCCGGCATAGATCCATAGGTGGTAGAACGCTGGGCCCAAAAGCGTAGCATACAGGATAGCTGACACTGCGAAGAAAGTATAGCGCATCACTATGCACAGTTAGTCAATATCACAGTTGGTTGGAAATTTATATCCTTACAAGGGAACAGATGCCTGTAAAGCGGCAGGAGGGCGAAGTATAGGGAGGCGTCCGAGATGCTAGGGTAAGGTTTGAAGACTGCGAAGATTCCCAATAGGGAGGTGATGACGAATAGAGGTTGCCTCCGCAGCCGCACAGTTAATCCACCCATGTATGCCGCGAGATGAAGCCAGAAAACGCCAAGGAAGAATTCCCGGAACGAATCGAACATTTCGATGAAGAAGTACCACCAAAGCCCGACGTTAGGTGTTAAATCGGGAACGAGCAATTGAAACCCATATGTCGCGGATATGAACTGAGAAAAGTCACCCACAATAAGGCAAGAAACTCCAAGTAGACCAGCCACGGTGAGCAAAAAGATTGCGAGATGTTGTACGGCAAAGATGGCGACTCCGGATGGCGGCTTTGATCCTTGAGCACGTCGGTCATAACAGAGAAGGATGAGGGGTATGAACAAGAGCGCTGGGTAAATTGACAAGTACGATGCGAATCCTAAAGAAAGCATGGCGTTGAGGCTATTTCCACTAACGGCATTGGACAGCGCGTATAGGATTCCGGTGGTGGTAAAGACACCAGTTGAACGGCCAAGGCATGTTGCGATGGTGAACGGGTTAAAGAGAAACCTGAAAAGTCAGACATTATACCCATTATAAGGGAACACCACATATTACCATGCTGCAACTGAAACTCCGTCCCATCTAATATGTTTGCGCAATGCTGAGAACAACCTCCCCGAGACTGCCTGTCCTGAGTCGGATATCGTGATCAAGGCGTTCGCGTTTATGAGATCGATCAGCGAGTAAAAGAGCGCGGTTGGTAAGGGAAATTCTCTGGAATTCGGAAGCAAGGCGAAGGTAGGGAGAAGAAGCGGCGCCTTCGTAGATTATTAGAATCGCATCATCAAGATATTAAGGTCAGACTCCCTACCTGATGGAAGACGCCTCCGTCATAAGGGGATACATTCCGCATGTACAGAAAGAGACCTTCTTGGACTGAGACAATTACGTTAATAGCTTGGAATTTAGCCCTTGAGTGTCTTGGTCACTCACGTCGTTTGAAGCTGCTGACCGGTGTTGATACCTCAACTCTTCCCGTCAATAAGTCGGGGAGCGACGGGAAGAGGACCAAGAGAAGAAGCCGTAGGGCGAGGGCACTCGCGAACACCGCCGCTTGCCTGCGATCAACCGGCATGACAATATCAATAAATAATCTGAGCACAGTACATAGCCGATTGGAAGGATCTGCAGGCCCGGTGGGATCAACTTGGGGAAATTGTTCGGGCTAATTCCTTAATAATTTGCTCCAGCTGTCCCTTTCCTAGATCAATCGCGCGCCAAGACTCCGCCTTTTCCACAATGCACGGACCATCGGATATACATGTTGTAGAAGCGATCAGGTTCTATTCCATTTATTTACAAATTACAACTCCATCAACTAATATTATGATATGTTTCGTAACACATTGACACCACAACCTAGTGCTGACTGTTCGGGCGAAGAATATCAAAGGGAAAACCACGGTGATTAGAACCCCATATTTATATTGGTTTGCCCATCCCATACTAGGTCGTCAACCCAACTGAGGAATTCTTCGCTAGTAACTGGTTCAGACAACGGTGGGAACTTATCCAAAGAGTCTAAAGATCCTTCAATGTTCAAAACCCCTGCAGTGTGCTGCTCCCGCTGTACCGTATCCACCTGGGTGGCAGTGTCTTGGGAGGAGGCTAGTCCGTGGTTCAGGGTGTCATCTAACAGTCTACTAATTACCTTGCTGATTTGAAGGCATAGTTGGTAATCTGCACAACTGGTAAATTTCTGGTTCTCGATCCACGATATTGCGACGCTTAGATCACGAATGATACGGGAACAAGAGACAGAGGACGGTAAAGGAATCCCTTTGAGTATATGTTGATGAAGTTCCGTTGCAAGAGTACCGGCACCAGGAAGACCATAAAAAAGAAACTAGGAAGAAGAGTGTCAGTCGGAGTGGTTCAAGATCTGCGCTGTTTCAAAACAAACGGACATACAATCCATGCAAATCTCTCCCGGAGTTCCACAAACCGCTCCTGCTGTTTCATTAAGTCGAGCATGCCCGAAAGCAGTTTCATCGAAGTATCAAGGGCCATAGAGATGGTATTTTGGCCTTCCTGCTGGAGCATTCGTTCGATCTGGAAGCCACAGTGGAGATGATCTAAATGGATGCTCAGCAGTACAACACATGATTGTGGGCTCATGTAGTTCCATAAGTTACTCTCATAGCGGTATTGCAATGGAACCTTGGTACAGATGTCTTCGTACTCTTGGTATAATTCTCTGGATGGGTCAATTGATGCCGGTTCAAAAAATAGCAGGGAGTGACATACAAGTACTTCTGGGTCATACATTCTGTTCGATTTCCTAGCGATAACCGCAACACCTTCGCTCGAAAATTTGACAATAGATAGCGCAGTCGTAACCCTGTTGCTGGTCGCAGCAACTTTTCCCTCTCAGTAGAGATTTTCCATCCATTCTCATCCAGTTTCCGTAAGGCTGCATCGAGTTCACTTCCAACCAGCACTATTTCTTCTTCATCCAGATCTACTGGAAACGCCATATCACAGAAGTCACAGTCAATGAACGGTGGCCTTTCCAGGAGCGTTGATAGGTTCATGTCCCGACAGACAGCAGCAGCAAAGATTCTTTTGCGTGTTTCTGACATAAAAAAGGGCACTCCAGCCTGTGACGATATCTGGCGATGATAACCCAAAGAAAATAACTCCGTGGTTAATGAGCTGAAGCAACGATATAAAACATTACCTGTCGCAGAACTGTAAGGGATTGGCTAATGGATTAAGAGTGTGGGTAATACCTACTTGTATCCCCGAACAAGTTCGATGCTAGCGCGACATTCGTATGCCGTAGCCAAATGGTCATATCGTTCATTTGGTTGTTTTCTTCGCAAATTTCAATGCACGCTCTGCTGGCTGCGTACATATCCGCAGCAAATGATTCCTTGCTGAACGGCTTCTCTGTCTCGGTATGAATTGAGGCGAGACCTGCAAGGGCAAAGACAACCCCAATAAACTCCCATCGAAGGTTGGTACCTTTAAACCACTCACAAAATTCCTCTACACTCAGATTTACGGTGATAATGGGAATTGGCCTGCACGCGTTTTGAGTTAGGCGAGCATAAAGATTAGTTTCTTCTTCTTTCATAACATCAGGCAGAGTCAACAATAGGTCAAGAATTAATGGCCGGGGGATGACGAAAGACCGGCTGCGATCAAGATAGTTTAATATGAGCTTCTGATACTGTGAGTACGATGTGTGCAGACTCCTAAAGTGGCATTTCACTAATGTGAGCCTAGACGAACCAGGCTCCGGTGGAGCGGTTGAACCAGAGTCTGTACCAGGGGAAGTTTTCGGAGAGATTGGCCCAAAGTTGGGACTTTCCGCGCCTTCGGGTTGCTCCCTGTTTGGGTCTTCAAGTACAGTCTCTAAAGACTGTGGCTGGCTAGGCAGAGATGCCGTACTTTGGCTCTCGGGCGATGCATTCCTACAGCGGTCCGGTGCAGACTGTTTTCTTATGCGGTAGTGACGATATTTTGTCCCCGGACGAGTCATGGGAGCAGGGTGATAATAACACTGTGTGCATTTAGATTCATCTTTCTAGAGAAAGGACCGAGCACAAGGGTCTTCACCTTCTCCGATATACGTCGGGAACAACATCTACCACAGATTGGCGTAGCATGATCACACCGCACCTTAGACAATCTGCAGGGTTCACAAGAGGTGGGCTTGCCGTTCCGCCGATACATATCCTGAGGTATCCTCGGCCAGGAATAATAGACTGAGAGTGGAATAATTAATCTGATCTTTGAAGGGCTGAGAAGTTGTGACTCTTTATTCCGGCAAATCCATTCCGACTACTAGCTAGTTTAGGAAGCTCTGAGTCCGAACTCAGTTATTGAACTCCGAATTCTTGCCAACAACACAGTATAACAAGTATTTGTGATTCAGCACTTTATCAATGTCTCATATAGATCGTTACTTCGTCTTCCAGTAATCTATAGCACGTCTATTAGGTGACATGGTCACGAGCAACTATCAGCCCTATAAGCTATGGAAAATTCAAGGCTCTCTCTCGCGTCTTACAGCTACAGAGGTAGAATAAAATTTGTTTTCGCGGGCCCTCGTTGTAGGTAGAGACGCAAGGTCAAGTCGTTTTACAAAGAACTAGTAGCGAGTTTGAGGTAGGTATAAAGAATATGATTTGTGCTCCAAGGCAAACAAAAGATATCAGCCAGGCATCAATCAAGGCACAATATATTAATTCTGATACAGCGGAGAGAAATATCAGTGTTATTGAAATTTAATCGAACCTCAAAATAATCTCACTGTCGTTCACCTTATTCTTAAAGGGGGACAAACACTAAACATAGCCCTTCCAAAAAATATTTATCAACTGTTCAATTGATGCGTATCTTCAGCCAACTGTTGAACGGACAAAAGGATATATGCGACTATTCCTGATATAGTAAATCAGTCTAACCATATATGGCAACTTCAAGTTGCCGCCCGGCCTTCTCCAAAAAAAAAAAAAAAACTAATCGACCATAATTTTTCGGTATCAGAAGAACCTTCTTTAATCCTCCATATAACTCTCTCAGCGCAATCCATCCAAAATGGGGAAAATCAAGAAGAAGGGTATGATTTTGTTAGATTGATTTGTCTCAATAACGTACTGATAATAATTCTAATACAGGAACCACTGGCCAGGCCAAAAACTATATTACTAGGACACAAGCCGTTCGCAAGCTTCAGATTTCCTTGCCTGACTTCCGTCGGCTATGCATCTTTAAAGGTATGTCCATTGTAACTCCGTGATTGCTTGATTATCGATACTGACGAGTGACTTGTTGTCTTATTTAGGCATCTACCCCCGTGAGCCTCGCAATAAGAAGAAGGCTGCCAAAAGTTCGACTGCCAGTACTACTTTCTACTACACGAAAGACATTCAATATCTGCTGCATGAGCCTCTCCTTCGCAAATTCCGTGACCAGAAAGCCCTCGCGAAAAAGATTGCTCGGTCCCTGGGACGTGGAGAAGTGAGCGACGCAGCTCGCTTGGAGAAGAACCATGCGCCAAAGCTCTCTCTGGACCATATTATCAAGGAGCGCTACCCGACTTTCATCGACGCTCTGAGGGATTTGGACGATGCTCTGTCGCTTCTGTTCCTCTTCGCCAACCTTCCCTCTACTGCACATGTACCTCCCAAGACTATCGCCCTCTGCCAACGAGTTTGCCATGAGTTCCAGCACTATCTGATCGTCACTAACTCCCTGCGCAAATCGTTCCTTTCAATCAAGGGTATTTACTACCAAGCGACCATTCAAGGACAGGATATTATGTGGCTAGTACCTTATCGATTCGTTCAGCGGGTCAACGGAGATGTCGATTATCGTATTATGGCTACCTTTGTCGACTTCTACACCACTCTGCTAGGATTTGTGAACTTTCGCCTGTATTCCTCCATTGGCATCAGATACCCACCTAAATTCGATACCAGAAGTGATGAGAATGGCGCCGAGTTAGCGGCATTCACTCTGGAAGGACGCTCAGTGGGCGAGCCACCCAAGGCCATCGAAGGTACCAAGCAAAAGAACAATTCAGCCAATATGGAAGTGTCTCGGGATGTTCAGGCCAAGGTTGACGAGGTAATCAAGTCTGCCGGTCTGGACCAAACGAAGGATGATCAAGCCGTTGAGGCGACTGAGGAATCCACTGAAGCAATTGATAAGTTCGAGCCCGCTGCTCCCGAGGCTGACACACTCCTCCAACCCGATATCAGCGGAGAAACTGCTGGTTCTCTGTTTGCCCCGTTTACGTTCTATATCTCTCGAGAGGCTCCTAAGGCTCCGCTAGAGTTTATTCTGCGTGCCTTTGGTAGCAAGCGGATCGGCTGGGACGCTGTTCTTGGTGATGGAGCTTTCACACATGATGAAACGGATACTCGCATCACTCACCAAATTGTCGATCGTCCTGCGTTGCCCGAGTCCTCGCTTCCCACCGTCCCAGCCGCCTCTGAGAATGGTGCTGGCGCTGTTCAAAAGGTCAAGCCCGGTACTCGTATTCCCGGCAGAACATACATTCAGCCCCAGTGGATCTGGGACTGCATCAATGAAGGAAAGCTTCTTCGCCCTGACCTGTATGCCCCAGGTGCCACCCTTCCTCCTCATTTGAGCCCGTGGGTCAAGCCTACGAGGGGTGCATATGACCCTCGCGCTAGCTTGGCTGAACAAGAAGAGGAAGGTGAGGCTGAAATTGCAGCTGAGGAAGAGGAAGAAGAGGAAGAGGAAGAAGAGGAAGAGGAAGAAGAGGTAGACTCTGATGAAGAAATGGATGAAGCCACCGACGAGAAGAAGGCGGGCGCCAAGGGCAAGGGCAAAAATTCGGTTGATGACGAAAGTGAGGGTGACGATGATTCTGTTGATGGAGGTATGGATGTTGCTGGTACCGACGACGACGAGGATGAAAGCGAAGATGAGGAGGATGACTTCGGTGGATTCGAGGATGAAGCTGCTTCCGAATCGGAGGACGAAGAGGAAGTCGCCCGCACCCAGCATCAAAAGGAACTTGAGGCTGAGGCTGCTGGTGTTCCTTTCTCGTCGACTGCGGCCAGCAAGGATTCGTCAAAGAAGAAGTCTTCCCAGGCTAAGAAGATGGCTTCTAAGAAGCGTCAGGAAGAGGAAGAATTGGAGAGGCAGAAGATGATGATGAGCCGCAAGAAGCGGAAGTTGCTGGAGAAGATGATGTACTCGAACAAGAAGCAGTCGGAAGAGGCGGCGAAGCTGCGCTCCAAGCGGAGAAAGCTTGAAAAGGGTGCATAGAAATAATGTAACATAAAAAGTTGACCGTTTCTGAGAATGATATCCTTGTTTGGATTTTTTGGTGATAGCCAACAATATGGCGTTCTGATTCAATATTTGTTCATAGCAGTCAATTTACGTAGATAGATAGATATGCTATAATTCTTTGTAAGACTATCTCCTGTTTCATATATTTGTCTTCATCTCTTCACCTACTCGTTAGATACCCAAAATAAGAGGAAATTTTACAGCTGCTGTATAATCACGTGACAGAAACATCTTGTCCGATTCATATTTCTAGTGGTGCCTCTATCACTACAATAGCCCCAGGAATCCAGCCTTTTCAATTTAAATAGTGTGCTTGGACCATCTATACCTTGTGGAGCTACGTGAGCTCGGAAACCTACCGTTTGATCACTGTTTGGAATGGTACCATTGAAACTGAAGAAATTTACCAGTATTGTCATCTTGGAGATTGATGGGGCCAGACTGCTTTGAACCCTAGCACTACATATCTAGCGACGCTTTCAGCAGTATATCCAAGCTTGTGGGCAATTCACAACATCAGATCGGCCAGTCCGCCGAGGCATGTCCTCAATCTCCGGCAGCCTCTCTCCACGGCTCAGGCCCCCTCAATCTGCTCAGCCATACAGGTCTATATTTGGTGGCTCTAGCAGTCAGGATATCGCAGATCTTCAGCCGTATACGGCATGGCAAGGGGATGCCACTTTTGGTCTTGATGATCACGATGTCCAGATGGATGATTTACCGGTAGTTGAGAATGATCATTCCGATGACTCTACCTATAGAGGAAGCGATGAAGATGAGTCTAGGTCAGAGGATAATCCTACCACCGAAGATATCCAGCAGAGGGTACCGGAAAGCATAACAGCACCCGTCATTCCACAAGGTGATATTGAAAGCCCGCCATCCTCACCTGGATATCGACCTAATAGGTTCCGCGGCACTGAATCTCAATGGAGAAAGTTGACTGCCGAAGATAGACGAAATGCTGAAGCTCTAGAAGATATTCGGGCTCGAGACCTTGCAGCCCATCTGTACAATGCGTATGCTCTACGAGTACGAGCTCGAGAGCTAGCAAGGCGAGCAGCTGAAACTGGTGAACAAGTAGATGAAATTAAAGCATTCGCTCCCCCAAAACGATGGGCAGCATGGCCCATGTCAGCTACAGAGGTGCCTCGCGGAAACGAGTATATCCGCAGAGGGGAAGATGAGGCCTGGACATTGAGAATGCAGCCGGATCCTCGACCAAGTGCAGAGCTAGAAGAATCGCTCATAGCTATTATGCTAAAGAACGCAAAAGAAAAATTCCAAGCTAGGTGTTGGGACGCAAAAGTTTCATCTGTCCAGCAGTGGGCAATGTCTCGACCCACAACACAAAATGATACCGCCACTGACGGAGAACTGAAAAACGAATCCGATCTTTTTAATGATCTTTACCTACGTCCTGTCATCCAAGCAGATGATGAGAGATCACGTCACCAGTTGCGACCGCTGACCCGAAACGTACTCACCCGGTTCGATGACCTTCTCATGGCTCTTCACAATGCCCGAAATGGTGGAGTCGGGGCGGACGATAGCTCCGCGAGTGAATGGCAGACAGACACAGAGAGTATTGCTTCTAGCGTCTCATCCCGCAAAAGAAGAACTTTGAGGACTACCGCAGAGCGAAGTCAATCGAGGGGTAGAAAGCGCACACGCAGATCATCCGCCCAAGCTGGATCAAGCCGTCCAAGTTCTTATAGCGGACATGCATCAAGTGGGCCGGTATCGTCTCGACCTAGTTCGCGTCGACCATCCGGGTCGCAGTATTCCTCAAAGTCACGGGGCCGATCGACTGGCAGCGACCGCAAAAGATCTGCGAGTCGTTTCCGTCTTGGTCTCCGAGACTGGAGTGAAGTATTAGGAGTTGCCTCTATGATCGGCTTTCCGCCAGCTGTGGTAATGCGCTCTTCACAAAGATGTGCCGCTCTATTCCATGAGGACATGGAATTTAGAACGTTCAAGGAAGGCGCCTTACAGCAACTTCAGGACGGAGATTCTCGCGCCTGGGCCTACTCAGAAACTGAGCCTGGGGATCCTGAAGCTTCGCCGCCTCCTCCTTCGACACCTCATACTAATGGACCATCATCTCGCACGGCTTCTGTGAAGAGGGCCTCTAGATCCCGAGCCGCTAGCCCTGTTACTGAGAACCCTAATGAGATGATCATGCCCAAAGGCAAAGGTCCACATCGCAAGACAGATCTAATATGCCCTATTCCGACATGTCCCCGGCGCATTAATGGATTCGCTCGACGGTGGAATCTCAATTTACATATGAAACGCATGCATCCAGGATACCGTCTTAAGAGAAGTGACTCAAAATCCATGTCTCCCATTGCCGGCCGTGGTGCAGACGATAGTGATGGTTAATACATGCCTAAGGTGTAGCCTTGCCAATCAGCGCCCTTCAGAGGAAGTAGCAACTAGTGTCTAAGATGCTAATTCAACTATATACAATGCTGAGTTATGGTCAGAAACATCGTTCACGTTCTTTATTTTACACTAATTACCTGTTATTTTGGCTTCATGATAAGATGATAAGGTAAAATTCATAGTATGGCTCTGTATCGCTGCAAAACCATTCAGGTTACTATTGGATAATAGTGCCGGAGCTGCTCTGAGGGTAATATATAATTGGCTGAAGTTGCCGAAGTCTAGATCGACATACCGATATGGGTTTACTGATATGTATTGGTAATTTGAGAGTCTATCGAGCATCTATATGATGGCCAGGACATTTCCGCCTTCTTAGGAGCGTTCAAGTAGAGAAAATAGAACGATATTTTGAATAAACACACAGAATCATCCGTATAATCTCTAGAGCAATCAAGCATATCCTATTGACGGGAACTCTGGTCGCAAAAGCAGGGAAATGACGTTGGCCCACGTGATGCGGAGCTTCCCCGCTGGACGGCATTACAGGGAGCAGCTCGGAGGCATTATCAACAATCATTAGTCTCCACGCTATGGATCGTCCTTACGTTTCCAGGATATAAATCCGAAGCAAAGGCCCTTTTCTCTCTTACCATACTTTCTATCTACCCAACTCAGTACACAAAATCCGAGGAGTTCCGTGCTTGATCACATCCCAAAAGCTTCGCTGCACTAGAAGGTGAGCCGAAACTGGAATACGGAAGTCGGCTTTCTCTTCAATCCCCACATATTGGATTAATAATTAGATACGAGCGTATTCAGTTCAGATCATGGAAAGGTTGCTTCGTCCAGTATCACGGCAATTGCTCAGATCAAGAACCCGGTATCCTTTTACAATCCCACCTCAAGTTTATGCTAAGAGACTATACAGTATGGGCCATACTGTACCACCGGTAAGAGATTCTTCGGTAATTGGTTGGGAGTATTTGCGCAATTGACTAACAATGGTGGCTGAGTAGCTGAAAGACCAGTCTCTCTTTATCGAGAAGGCCTATGTCAATGGAAAGTGGGTAGGAGCCCAATCGGGCCAAACATTTGAAGTCCACGGTAAGATTCTTGGGGAAGAGGGGTGTCAGTCCTACCGGGGATTGGGCTCTAATCATTACGTTTCTTTCAGACCCTGCCTCAGGAAAGCTCATCGGAACATGCCCGGAGTTCAACGCTGCCGACACCGAGAAGGCCATTCAGGCCGCCACAGAGGCTTTCCCTAAATTCCGCACAACATTAGCCCGCGAGCGTGCTCGGATGTTACGCCGATGGTACCAACTGATGATGGATAACGCCGATGACTTGGCGACATTGATCACCTGGGAAAATGGAAAGCCGCTCGCAGATGCGAAGGGCGAGGTTAACTATGCCGCAAGCTTCTTTGAGTGGTTCAGTGAGGAGGCTCCCCGAATCTATGGAGATACCATTCCTTCCTCAGTTTCCGGTAATAGGGTCATGACTGTCAAACAGCCTGTGGGTGTCTGTAGCTTAATTACCCCGTGGAACTTTCCTGCAGCAATGATTACTAGGAAGGTTGGACCAGCTTTGGCAGCAGGGTGCACTGTGGTGGTTAAGACCCCAGGAGAGACACCGTTCACTGCCAATGCAGTGGCAGAATTGGCACACCGTGCCGGTATCCCCAAGGGTGTTGTGAACATTGTGACTTCCTTGAAGAATACACCAGAGGTGGGCGAAACCTTGACGACCCACCCGGAAGTTCGCAAGGTGTCCTTCACTGGTTCGACCAACGTGGGTAAGCTATTGATGAAGCAGTCTTCTTCCACCATTAAGAAGGTATCTTGGGAGCTGGGTGGAAACGCTCCTTTCATAGTCTTTGATGATGTGGAAGATCTCGATGCTGCTGTTGCTGGAGCTGTCGCCTCTAAGTTTCGCAGCTCAGGCCAGACCTGTGTCTGTGCCAACCGAATCTATGTGCAGAGAGGTATCTATGATGAATTTTCGAAGCGCTTCGTTGAAAAGGTGAAGGGCTTCAAGGTCGGGGCAGGTTTTGAGGAAGGTGTTACTCATGGCCCTGTTATCCATGGTCGCGCCATTGAGAAGATTGACGAGCATGTTCGCGATGCTGCATCGAAAGGTGCCAAGGTAGCAGCTGGGGGCCGTAAATTGTCGGAATTGGGCCCTAATTTCTACGACATGACTGTTTTGACCGAAATGAGCAAAGACATGCTGGTTGCCTCCGAGGAGACCTTCGGCCCTGTGGCCGGACTGTTTCCATTCGAGACTGAGAAGGAAGTTGTCGATTTGGCAAACCGCGCAGAAGTTGGATTGGCAGGTTACTTCTTCAGCGGCAATGTCAAGCGCATCTTTCGGGTTGCGGAAGCCTTGGAGGTTGGTATGGTCGGTGTGAACACGGGCATCATCAGCGATGTCGCTTCTCCGTATGTATTTTTAAGCTCTTTTGGAAGATACCCATGGCTAATCTCTTTTAGGTTCGGTGGTGTTAAGCAAAGCGGATTCGGCCGTGAGGGCAGCAAGTACGGCATTGATGAGTTCCTCACCATCAAGAGTGTCACCTTTGGCGGCATGGGCGAGCCTCTGCAATCATAAAAAGAATGCATGACGAATGATATATTTTGCTTTTAATGTTATCTCTTACGCATATAATGCTACCACCGGCTGAAGGGCCCTAGCAAGTGCATGAGAATTGGACAATACGCCCCCGGTGGTTTTAAGTAATATGAAAGCTTCAGCCTGTCGAGGCTTTTTAGGATGAAACTGGAAGGAAAATGAGAAAATAATTTCTTAGCCCTAATATACAAACAAACAATATAAGCGCCCATATCCCATTCAAAATTGCAATGCGCAAAGTCCTTGTCTCAAAGAGAACCCGTATATCCAGTATATGCACAAAAGGTATGTCTGCCTCCGGTATCAAGCAAGGGCCGTCACATCATGTAGTTGGGTAGTTAAAAGCCTCGCTTTCCGCTTCCGATATCCATCAAACATGAATGCAGTGGGTTGAAATAGTTGTTTTTCTCCTCGCCGGGTCTGCGTTTATTTCCCTTGACGCTGCTTGTGCTTAGGGTTTTTCGAGCTAGATCCTTGTTAGCATATGCAATACCATCCAACTCAGCCAAGGGAAGAAGCTCACCAAATAATGTAAACCCTGTTCTTTCTCCGAACGGGCTATTAATCCAACATTAGCACCTTCATCATATAAAATCGTACCTCCACCCCAATCCTTCAAATATAGCACCAAAAGCTAGGATCCCAAATATTTCATACCTTGCAACCATCACACAACCGCTTCACCGACGAGCGGGTCTTCATCCCCCGCACCTGATCCAGCTGTCTAACTGTTGACGCGACACTAACACTGCCAGCCTGTTCCTTCGCGGACCGCAAACTCTGAAGACCATTGGTAAGAGACAGGCTCGTTAACTGCGAGAAGGACCGCGAAAGGAATCCGCCGGCTAGGGGCTTGCGGAGGAATTGGCGGAAGAGACCGGTCGAGGGACCGATGATCGAGCGGAAGGGCATCATCGCTGCTGGGTGTTGGCGGGCTGATTTGGAGGAAGTCTGGCGCCACAGGGGTATTTTGGCTAGACCGAGCTGCGTTGAGAGCGTATTTATTGGGGGACGAGGCTTGGGGATTGCGCTGATACTAATGGGCGTGATGGGTTGATTCTATTCCGAAATGTTTCGTCGGCGGCTTGGTTGCGCCGGTTTTCCGGTATGGGTGTATTCTAATTGGGGGGTTTGATTGGTTGGTGGGGTTGGCCAATCATGGGGGGTTGGAGTATATAACTTCTGCCCGGGCAAGTAAGTACTACTAGTTCTACTCGTAGTAATTTGATGAATTCCTATGAAGAGCATGATATGAAGAAAGAATAAGGTTTCATTCCAATTTTACTCTCATCCCTCTTTCAGGGAATCCGAGATCTTCTGTTTCACATCACTTGGTAAAGGTGGTGAAGGCATGATATGATGAATCGAAGGCCGCAACAACTTCACATTTTGTGAAACAACCTCGTAAACCATTGGAGGAGTTGCAATCTATAAATTTGTTTTTGCTTATACTGCTTTGGTTTAGAAAAGTGAAATGATAATGGCATACATCCTATAGGAGAATAATATCCCATAACTATCGCGAATGGAGAAAATACTAACCATATACTTCCACAAAATTAAGTTTTATACATACATGCAAGCAAATGGATATCAGTACTTTAGACCTTGAACCAATGAATAAATAAGCATACATGGGATTTAGCTGTCTCAATGCACTATCCTCGTCTGTATAAACCCCTTCCAACCAAAAAGGGGTGTATTGGCATCAAAAGAGAAACCAACAATCAGAACGCCAATACTGCAAAAGCCAGGCCAGATTACTTTCTACATACCACAACTTTATGGACATCCCGCTTTGTCGTAAGTAGACTGCTCCAAGCAGTGAGTATCTCTTGTGGGTGTCTGTTTGCGCGAGAACATTGGTCTGTTTCTGTGATTGTCCTTGCTCAACAGCATCGGATGGATCATATTCTTCCAGAGAGCTTTAGGGTTTCTGGGGCGGACTGAAGTCTCGTCGCATTTGTGTTTAGCTTTGGGGGATGTTCATCTTGAAAAAGAGTGTAAGATAGGAATTTATGGAGTCGTTTGTTGCTCGGATTTGTTCTTCGAGCTGAAAGCTGAGAATTGCAATTTTTATTACCCAATGTCTAGAGGGGATTCGATTTCCTCGTACGAATGGCAGGTAATTTGAAGGGCCGTTCTACCATGGGTGACAAGGATGTCATTATCTTATATCAGTTCAAATATCAGTAGTGATGGGAGTGTGATTTTAGTTTGTCATCGAAAGGGACGGTTCATCGGAACCCAAGCTCGGATGGTATTAAGTACTTTGAGACTGATGTCCTTCCATTATGATCGCAAGTAATATAATAATACTAGAGCATACAATTAAATCAAAAGGTAAAAGGGAAGAAATCTTGCATTAACTTATGTACAGCCGATCTATATCAGCCTAAGGTCTATCGACTTTTACTCCATCCGAACGCCATACTAAAATCTCGATTGAAATTGGCTTTGCAACACACAACCCGTACAGATATCTTCTTAGGAACGGAGGAATGTTTGGTAAGTGGACGAGTCGGTGTGCTCGCTGAAAGGATAGCCTAGATCCTTCAAAAAGGCCTCTAGGTCGTCCTTCTCGGACGGTGGGCATTGGATACCAGCAAGCACCTTTCCAACGTCACCACCGTAGTTGCGGTAGTGGAACAATGAGATGTTCTGGTTGGGACGTAGAGTGGTCAGGAACTTGGCTAGAGCACCAGGACGCTCCGGGAACTCGAACATGAACAGGCGCTCATCCTGAACGTCACAGCGTCCGCCAACCAGGAAACGAACGTGCCTCTTAGCTAGCTCGTCGTCGCTCAAATCCTTCGCCCTCATGCCACCCCTGTCCAGTTCGGTCATGATCTTGGCTAGATCTTCGCGACCAGTAGAGGCAGACAAGGAAATACCCATAAAGACATCAGCCGATTCATCCCGGGCGTATCGGTAGCTAAATGCGGTGACAGCATGAGGAAGAATGACCTCAACAAGTTTAGCAAAGGCGCCGGGCTTTTCAGGAATGTTCACACTCAAGAGAGCCTCCTTCCGTTCTCCAAGTGCAGCGCGCTCAGCCACAAATCGCAGTCTATCGAAGTCCATGTTCGCACCAGAGGTGACCGCTACCAGTTCCCGGTTAGGGTTAGGGTCGGGATACAACGAGACATATTTCTTCAGCCCTGCCAAAGCCAAGGCACCTGCGGGTTCAACGATAGATCGGGTGTCCTCAAATGCATCCTTGATCGCAGCGCACGTTTCGTCAGTAGAAACCTGAATGACATCATCAATCACTTCACAAGCCAGTCGGTAGTTTTCTTCTCCGACAGTCTTGACAGCTGCACCGTCGGCGAATAGTCCAACGTCCTGTAGCAGTACACGGGAGCCAGTACCCAAGGACTGAGCCATAGCATTCGCGTCATAAGCCTCCACTCCAACGATCTTCACATGGGGCGCAATGCGCTTAAGGTATACTCCAATACCAGCAATCAACCCCCCACCTCCGACAGCACAGAAGACCGCTTCCAGCTTCTGTAGGTTTGCCTGGCGAAGGATTTCCATTCCGATGGTTCCCTGACCCGCGATGACGTAAGGGTCATCGAAGGGAGGGATGCTCGTTAATCCGTGCTGCTTCTCTAAGCGGTGCGCTTCAGCCTTGGCGGAATCGAAGTCGTCTCCATGGAGGATCACGCTGCCGCCGAGGCGAGCGACGTTCAAGTGCTTGATGGCTGGGGTTCCTGAAGGCATGACAATCGTTGCTGGGATCTTCAAGTGGCGCGCAGAAAACGCAACACCCTGCGCATGGTTCCCTTTACAGTATATAAGCCCATTGCTTTTCGCGTATTACCGACTTCGGACATGTCTCACCTGCAGAGCATGCAATAACGCCTTTCCACGCTTGCTCATGACTCAGATGTGCCATCTTGTTGTACGCGCCGCGGAGCTTGAAGCTGAAGACGGGAAGTAAATCTTCCCTTTTCAGAAGTACACGACATTCCAAGCGGTTGCTAAGGTTGACAGCGTGAGTAAGGGGAGTCTCGTTAATGACTTCGTAAACGCGGGATGTCAGAATCAACCGGAGGTACTGTGTTCGTGGCGAGTGAGTCAGCGATGAATAAAACTGCCTTTGCGAAATGTTTGATTTAATATCTCACATCGGGATAGCCATTGGGAAGTAAATAAGCCTCGGGGATCCCCCAATTCGGTGTTCCCAATTGCTTCTGAGTTTTTTTGTCTGAGTCAGGAGTGGGCACCGCGGAGTACTCGGTCAGAGCCAGATTGGGCGTCGCAGTGCCATCTGTGAGAGGTTGTGCGGACATGATGCTGCCCACGTGAAAGGAATGTCAGAAATTGACACTGAGCCACGACAAAAGCCGACTATCACAGTGCCGACGAGAGATTTGCAAGGGAAATGGCAGATGGCGGGCAAGATGAATACTTATCTTCACCGCGCGGAGATAAAACTCCGCGATCGGAGCAGATGCGGTTATGTCAGCAACCCTACTCCCCAGCCCTAAAATCTTGGGACTCCGCGGCGGACTATATCTCCATCCATACTTCAACACTGGATGATGACGAGCGAAGAGACGCCGTGTTGCCATGCTTCTGTCATGTAGAGAGTATCCGGAGGCACAAAAGGCTCTGGCTCCCTACATTCAAGCTAAGCAGGGCCGGGGCACTCCATGTATGTATATAACAGTACTCTAAGGAGATCTTGGCATCATACGGTCTCTGACCCGCCGGTGAACGAATTGATGTCTATTAAAGATCTTATGATGAATTTATTGGAAACATACTGATAAACTGCACATGTATATATCCATTGAGCTCTGTATAAGATCTTTCTCCACGGACTCGAACAAATCTTCATTCTTTGCAGTATGCTATAGCTGCAACTTCAAAGTTTGTTGTCCATTGGACCATGTAGGGACAATAACGAGTACTGGCGTAAGTAAATAACTAGCATTAGGAGCTTAGAAATATAATTTCAGCGGTCTTCAGGGTTCCTCTTTTCTTCATATATAGTCTCGGTTTTGCTCCATCCTTGACATGCCACTATCAAATCTTTCAAGGTGTACCGTATGATCGGTGTATTGTACAGTACGAAAATTACCCTAGGTCCCACGGTTTGCGACGTCATGTTTTCATTCCAGGAAAAACAACCTCTTTAATAACGTTCGCCTCCTGCCACTTAAGCAGGAAATACAAGGAGAATCTACATTAGGTTGGCACAGAAAGAGAGTGATTTGAGTTTCATTGAACTGACCATTTCAAGGAGAGACATTTTTGAAGCTCACTCGGAGCACCGGACTTCCGAGATATCCCCATCACAGCTACGATTCTCTGCTTCACTTCCTGTTCAAGTTGACATCCTTTTCCCGTGATACCCTTTTTCGAAAATGAGTAGCGACTCCCTTCCATCCTCTTTCGAGGAGAATCCGTACGTGACCCGACAGGACTCTGCAATTGTCCGAGGAACGTTGGGAATAAGCTCTAACCGGCGGGTATCCATATAGTCAGTTCAAGGAGGAAACTTCTCTCCAGAAGTTCCGCAGACGTCTCAAGGAGGAGCCCTTGATTCCGCTCGGTATGGAATTGCCGATTCATAACCATTTGAACTATTAGCTAATTCAACTTCGAATTGCAGGATGCGCAGCTACCAGTTATGCTCTCTACCGCGCTTACCGATCGATGAAGGCCGGTGATTCGGTCGAAATGAACCGGATGTTCCGTGCCCGTATCTACGCCCAGTTCTTTACCCTTATCGCCGTCGTTGCCGGAGGCATGTACTTCAAGACGGAGCGACAGCAACGCAAGGAATTCGAGCAGATGGTCGAGGAACGCAAGAGCCAGGAAAAGCGGGATGCCTGGCTGCGCGAGTTGGAAATCCGTGATAAGGAGGACAAGGATTGGCGGGAGCGTCATGCGGCTATGGAGGCAGCAGCCCAAGAGGTAGGAAAGAGGCCTGGTCCTCCTAAGGCGGCTTCTGGGCATGATGCTGCTCGGTCCGCTATTGAACGTTCCGAGGAGAAGTCCATTGGTGTATTAGACGCCGTAATGGGGTTAATGTCAAGGAGAAACTAGGGTTGATAAGGACGGCTGTGATCGGAGAACATTGTACGATTTCTTAGGTTGGTGTTTCTTCTAAATGAATTTGGGTATCATATTGTACATATATACATTCAGAGACTGTTATGCATAGGATATTCTCGCCTCCATGCTTTCCTTCTGGCTTATTGATTATGTTATGTGGTGCAACCCAAGACAGACAAAGCGCTCTGCATATTGGGCATATGACCGATACATCATTTTGAAATCCACTGGTTCTCAATTGAATCACCGGAGCTAAAGCTGTCGCAAACAGGCTAACCCGAAGCCTGTTCATCGATATACCGTCTCATAGTATCAAACTCGGCCTTTCCTGTCTAGGTCACGTTAGAAATAAGCCAGACCATTAAACAGTGCCAAACAATACCGAAAGCAAATATCGTATATGTTGCTAGTAAAGGCCGGTTAGTCAAAGACAGACCAGGAGACAAGGAGGCATCTTGCACATACCAAGTCTGTTACATTGCGATGCCGCTCAAACTCATGGCGAGCATAGCTACGCAACTCTTCCCGCGTCGGCGAATTAGGGATTTCTTCATACAATCCAATCAGCACTCGATGCAAGCTCCTCGATAGTTGGGATAATTTACTATGTAATGCTCGGACGATTTCTCGCCAAAGTCCGAGGACTCGCTGTCTTTGAATAAACTATTAGAGATGTTAATAATGTATATAGTGAATATCCAAAGAAAAGCTACTCACATGATCTAAGCCAATCGCTGGCTTCCTGAGCTTCGATGATGAGCTGCGGGATACGCTAGCAAGTAATGACAAAGATGATCGCATATCCGCGCTTTTTGAGAATGATCAGTGGTAGTTCAGGAAATAGTTAGCACTTTCAAGTTGTTAATATCAAGATGATACTTTGGATGATTGTGGCAAAACCGAAGGCGGTCAGTGGTATTGTCATGAAGTGTTACCATACGGATGTATTATGTTTCAGTGAAGATTGAATGGCCAATCATCTGATTATCACGTGAGGTGTTCCTGGCTTCCCCGAACTTTTTTTCGGCGCCGGCGTAAAGGTCGCGACTTTTGGGATTCCAAGCATCAGCATTCCCGGTGTGGGTGAACGATAATTATGAGGTGCCCTTCTCTCGCACGGTTGCCGTACCGTGCCGTTTCCGGCTTGCCTAGATCTGCCGTTCGTCTCCAGTCTCAGCACTTCCTTACCAGAAAATGCGCGTCGACGGCGGTTCTCCGTTCACCCACTGTTGCCCCGGCTTATCAGTCTGTTCTGAACGGACGCCTCCAACAACGGAGGAATGCCTCCACCACTGCGGCTGCCGTGTAAGTGATGGCCCCCCAGTGGGTAACTACCGTTTATTTATCTTCAATTGCTAATTGCTGTTCCATACTGTATAGACTTGAGGCTGCAGCTTCCACCCCCGACACCTTGTCCCAGGAGGCAATAATTGAAAACCTTGACCCTGTCGAAGCGCAACGGTTATCGAGAGTCCGGAACATTGGTATTGCTGTAAGATATCTCTGCCAATATTCGTCAACCTTGGCACATTCTAACATGCCTTTATGATAGGCGCACATCGACAGCGGCAAGACTACATGTACCGAACGTGTCCTTTTCTACACAGGCCGTATAAAGGCGATTCACGAGGTCCGTGGTGGCGACAAGGTTGGAGCTAAAATGGACTCCATGGACTTGGAGCGTGAAAAGGGTATCACCATTCAGTCCGCTGCCACATTCTGTGATTGGGTGAAGAAGGATGAAGATGGCCAAGAGAACAAGTATCATTTCAATTTGATTGACACACCTGGACATATTGACTTCACCATCGAAGTAGAAAGAGCGCTGCGCGTTCTTGATGGAGCTGTCATGATCTTGTGTGCTGTCTCAGGTGTCCAGTCCCAGACCATTACCGTTGACCGACAGATGAGGCGCTACAACGTCCCCAGGATTTCCTTTGTCAACAAGATGGACCGTATGGGAGCCAATCCGTTCAAGGCTGTCGACCAGATCAACAATAAGCTCAAGATCCCCGCCGCTGCAGTGCAGGTGCCCATCGGTGCTGAGGACGAATTCGAGGGTGTGGTGGACCTCATCCGCATGAAGGCAGTTTACAACAAGGGACCTAGCGGTGAAGAGCTCTTCGAGACGGATGAGATTCCTGAGAAAGTCAAAAGCGTTGCGGAGGAAAGACGGAGAAAACTCATTGAGACTCTTGCCGATGTGGACGATGAGATCGCCGAACTCTTTATTCTCGAAGAAGAGCCTACACAGCAACAGTTGAAGGCAGCCATTCGCCGTGCAACTATTGGTCTGAAGTTTACCCCAGTCTTCATGGGCTCTGCATTGGCGAATAAGTCTGTGCAACCTATGCTAGATGGTGTTGTTGACTACCTCCCCAATCCAGCCGAAGTGCAAAATCTTGCCCTTGACAAGAAGCGTGATGAGGCCTCAGTGAAGCTTGTCCCATACCAGTCGCTCCCCATGGTTGGTCTTGCTTTCAAGCTGGAAGAAAGCAACTTCGGCCAGCTGACATACATTCGTGTGTACCAAGGAACCCTCCGCAAGGGTGCCAATGTGTTTAATGCACGTAACGACAAGAAAGTTAAGATTCCCCGCATTGTTCGTATGCATTCCAATGAGATGGAGGAAGTTACAGAGGTCGGTGCTGGTGAAATCTGTGCCGTCTTCGGCGTTGATTGCGCCTCTGGTGATACTTTCACCGATGGACAGCTTGGCTATACTATGTCTTCTATGTTCGTTCCTGAGCCTGTTATCTCTCTTTCGATCAAGCCCAAGAACAACAAGGATTCTGCCAAGTTCTCAAAGGCCATGGCCCGTTTCCAGAGAGAAGATCCCACTTTCCGGGTAACCTACGATGTCGAGAGTGAACAGACTCTTATCTCTGGAATGGGTGAACTGCACCTTGACATTTACATAGAGCGCATGCGTCGTGAATATAGTGTCGATTGTGAGACTGGCCCTCCGCAGGTCGCATATCGCGAGACCATCGGCAACCGGGTCGAGTTTGACCATCTCCTGAAGAAGCAATCGGGAGGTCCTGGAGACTACGCCCGTGTGGTTGGCTGGATGGAGCCAACTGGCAAGCTCGATGACAACGTCTTTGAAGAACAGATCGTCGGTGGCAGTATCTCCGAGAAGTTCCTTTTCGCTTGTGAAAAGGGTTTCCACCTTGCTTGCGACAAGGGGCCTCTTATCGGCCACAAGGTTTTGGGTACTAAGATGGTTATCAACGATGGTGCCACCCACATGACTGATTCCTCGGAAATGTCCTTCAAGAATGCCACTCAACAGGCCTTCCGTAAGGCATTTAACGAGAGCAACCCATCTGTTCTTGAGCCTATGATGAAGACTGTTGTCACTGCTCCTGCTGAGTTCCAGGGTGATGTTATTGCGCTCCTGAACAAGCGCAATGCCACTATCAACGACTCCGAAGTCGGTGTTGATGAGTTCACTGTGTATGCTGACTGCAGTCTGAACGGCATGTTTGGTTTCAGCAGCAACCTGCGTGCGGCCACCCAGGGTAAAGGTGAATACACCATGGAATTCAGCCACTACGAGAAGTGTCCTCCTCAGGTTCAGAAGGAACTCGTTCAGAAGTACCTCAAGGCGCAGGCCGACCGTCACAAGAAATAAACTCTAATGACTAGATTTTAGAGTTTTTGACATGTTTTACTACTGGAGTTGTTTTTGAGCGTCTCCTTGTGCCATATCCCTCAACCGGTTTACGTTCATCAATGAGTGCTTGATAGAGGAACGGTTTTTTTTCCACCTTTTCGACAATTTGAGTCATGTATTATATACATTTTAGACCCTGTGGGCTTTACGAAGATATTATATTTAAAAATCAATTTGGAGCGGGATTAAACCAACGTGTTCGTTATCTATTGTGCTTTGGATGGGTTTTCGGATTGTACATATATCTATTTAGGTCTTTTCATCTCCTCTCATATACATCCTGAACGTAAGAAATGAATCATGTATTCTCATCTGTAGCCTTACAACTTTTTATATAGGGTCTGGATCTAACGGAGGAAGTTCATCGACGGAGAAGTGACCACGTGAAAGTCCTCATAATCACTGCTCAAACGCCCTAAGCACGGCAAGGGCAGCCACGGAGAATGTTGCAACACGATTATGGCCTATATCAAGTTAGCCTCTACTGCCATCTTTGAAGGGGCAACCAGGTCTTGCTGTTCAAGGGCGTTCACATACCACCGTACGGCACCCGCTCCCACCTAACACTCTTAACCACACCGGCATTCTTGCTAGATCTGTTCTCCCAAATAAGCACTTCATTCGGGCTCTTTGGATCCTTCTTCTCGTGGATCAGATACCCAGGGGCATCTTTATCGTTCTCTCCCGTAGCAGCCACCCAAACGAGACGTCCTTCATACCAAGGGATCTCCCCATCATTATACGCATGCACAATGGTAAGATCCAACCCCGTATCCGCATAATCGATAGCTGAATCATTTTGTGCCGTCGGGCCAACCCCAGTCAACCGTGCAACTCGCGCTGCGGTATCCCAACGATCAATGACACGGCTCTTCGTCCAGTTCCTTGCACGAGGGTAGCTCTTGAGAGGGGACAGGATTGGGGGTGTAAGACCCTTTAGACTGTAAGTATCCAGGAGGCTGGGTACATTGCTAAAGGATGCAATGAGGATTATTCCAGCAAAGGGTTCCGGGTTCTTGATGGCGGGCTGGATGGCAGTTGGGTCAGGAGAACCGAATACGAAGCGCTCGGTCACCGCCGCGCTCACGGCTGTTCCGAGGCTCTGGCCTGTGATGACGATTCGAGACGGTGGGATGTTGAACGGGCTGGAGGTGAGGAAATTGAGCAGGGAGACTCCATCGGTGATTAGACCTTCTTCCGTGGGGGTCCCGGTGGATAGGCCGAAGCCGCGGTAGTCGATGGCGAACACATGGATTGGGTTGGACGGTGTTGATAGGCCCAGAAGCATACGATAGATTTCCGGGCGTTGAGAGGAGCCGATGTGAGCGGCATTGCCGTGAACTGGCCCGAGTGTGTTAAATTATAGGTCTTGAAATTTGAATTGGACCGACCTACACACGATCACGACCCTGGCATTCGGGTCATTTGCTAGTAGCTCATAGGCGGGAGTTTTAGTATAGTCATCCGCCGGGCCGGAGGGTTCATTCGCATTTAACTTCTCCTCGTGCTCCCAACACAGATGTGGGGGGAGGAGGTGCCACGCATATAGAGTTTCGTTATCGGGGGTAACCAGGTTGAATGGCTGAACCTGTGTCTCTGCTAATGTTAATGGCCTCCTTGCCGGACCTGGCATCTAGATGGAAGTCGGAACATACTCAGGAACCCGAACGATTCGACCAAGTTGACATCTTCCCAGAGAGCTGGATTCACCTTGTGTGCATAGAGGGCACTATGACCAGACCGTAAGCAATCAAAAACATTATCGCATGGGGTAGAGGTTTGGGAGATCCTACAATCTTTGAACAAGGGGGAATGTCAAGGCAAATATGAAGCTCACATATATGAAACCACCGGCGGCCAGCGACCAGTAGGCTTTTTTGAAGATGGACTGAAGTTCAACCATCATTCTAGAAAGACTAAGCAAGCAGGTCTTGCATTAGACAATGATGAGTATGTTGTTTGTTGCTACTTCAGTAGAAAATGTCGGAATTTATAGGAAGATAAGCTTCTTATCGCACACCGCTTCCTTGACCGCCCTTCGCATAACGTGATAAATATAAATATATGAATAATAGTCCGTTCAACATACAGATGTGGGAAACGAACAGCTAATAGTACATGGTTGAATGCCAAATCGTGGTCAATGGCAGAAGGGTGGGGGAGGAAGCCAGTCTGCTACCTGACCCTATAGAGCTCATAGCCCCATAGGTACAAGTCCAGTTGGTGGCCCATAATAATCCTTCAGCACCTCCTCTTCTTCGATAAGTTCTTCTCTATTTTCAATATCTGATTCATCATCCACCGTTCTGCCCCTAGAGAGCCGGCTGCGACTTGCGGGGACCGGGGTCCCGCCTTTCTTCTTATCCTCTGCATCCTGTTCTTCACCTGCGTCTTCGCGTGGGAGACGAAATGCAAGAAACCCATCAGGAGCACGTTCTGCCCGATCCATGATCTCATTCATATACTTGCGCACCTCATCAGGAGGCTTCACGACCCGAGATAGAGGTTCAAGGACCTTAGGGTTGGGGCTATGGATACGGAATGTGACGGGTTGGTAATACTCTTTCAAGTTAGAGGCCTTGGTCGTGTCTTCGGCTTTATCCTTGGATTGAGGCTTGTCCGAGTCGGGTTGAGCTTGCGCCGTGGTTGATGGAGCTTTTTGATCAGCTTGGTCGCCAGCCGGTTTCTCCCCTTCGATTGGAGTGGGTTTATCGGATATAGTAGCGGGAGCCGTCTGGCTACTAGTAGGCTGTGCACTGCTCTCCGCTTTCTCCTTCTCCTTCTCCAGCTTCTCACCTTCCTTGTTTTTATCTTTGTCCTTACTTTTGTCCCCCTTCTTCGATCTTGATGCTGATTTGCCTTTACTTCGTGAATTCGTCACTTCTGACGCCGTCTCTATAGGGAATGATGTATTTGGATCAACCTTTCGAACGAGTAAGAAAGACGCAAGAACCGTGTTCCCATCTGGCAGCCACTCCAATATAGTATGCTCTGGAAACATGTAGCGGTCTCCAGAGCCAGCATGACCTGATGTGCTACTTCCATAAGGAGTCAGAGGCGAGGTGAATTCAAAAACGACTGACTTATAGTTAAGTCTTTGGGATGGCGGCGGTGGAGCCGGGCGATAGTAGGGGGCGGGAGACCCGTATTGCGGAGGCCGAGATTGGATCGCAGGTGGATGGCCCTGATACGGTGGTTGCTGGTAAGGTGGGTATGGAGGCCCTGGGCGCGCTCCAGTCGGTTGGTTCTGTGGAGGCGCCATCGGCCGCACTGTAGAACTCGGCTGCTTAACGTTGGCGGTCGGTTCTGCAGCAGGTGTCGGCTGGCCGGCTGCAGCTCCAGGTTCTTGTTTGACCTGTGACGTTATATTGGACTTTTGTAACGGAGTTTGAGGCTGATTTGGTGCATCTGCTGTAGGGTTCTGAGGTGTAGAAGCTAGCGACGGTGTTGGTTTAGGGACGTGGACTTCAACTCGCGGGTAAGGCTGTTCTTGCGGCCCGGGTGGCGCTGGTTGTTGGGATGACATGTTAGGCTTCTTCTGCTGTTGCTGATTCTGTTGTTGACTTGGCTGCTGCGGGGGCTGCGGAGGTCTTTGGGACGACGGTGAGGGTTGAGGTGTTTGAGGTGTTTGAGGTGTCTGTTGCGGTGTCCGAGGGGGTGCCTGTGGTTGATTAGGAGTTGGAGGGTGAGACTGTTGCTGTTGCTGCCTTTGTTGTTGCTGTTGCTCTCTTGCTCGAATGATCGCATTAAGCTCATCTATATGAGCCTGGAAAGCTCGAAGCTGCTCTTGGGATGCCTTGCTTGAGGCAACCACTCTCATCAACGCCTTAAGATCGGGATCTGAGGCAGCTCGAGTAGCAAGCATCTGGATTACTGGGTCTGGACTTGGCTTTGAAGGCTGCGCTTGTGAATTTTGCGGTGACGGCCGCGGGGCCGATTGAGAAGGACGTTGAGGAGGAGGAGGTTGGTTCGGAGTTCTGGCATGGGGCGGAGGTAGCGGGTGGCTGCCCTGCTGGTACGCTGGCTGGGGAGAAGCCGAGTGGACAGGGGGGTTTTGAGGAGTGTGCTGCCGTGCATGTTGAGGGGGTGTAGGATAAGGCTGATACTGCTGGAAATTATTAGGGTGACCGTAGTGAACCATCGGCCGCTGAGGAGGCGTGTACTGAATCGGCGGCGGCGCATTGGGATCTTTGACGGTGTACAGCATAGCGTCGAAGAGATGGGGACCGACGGAAATATTACAAGGGCCGACCTTCGACATGGTTTCCTTGGGAGGATTTTTGCCCTCAATTTGCTCCCTCTTGGTCTTCTTCGGTTTAGTCCAGTACCGAACCAGAATGCCATCGCTAAGCCATTTCTTTTTCGATCGTTCCAACGAAGCTAATAGAACCGCACTGGGACTACGTCAGACATCATCCCTTGACCATTCACATACATGGATTCCAAACCAATTCTAGGAACCTACCTTTCTGCGATGGACTGATACTCCTTTGCGGAGAGCGTCTCCGGCTGGGGAGACGGCAGAGTGGGGAGACCCTCTCCATCCTTGATCTTTTTTGGTAAAAGGTTTTCAACAACCTCAGGAGGGGGTGGAGGAGGGGTCGGAGTTGGAGCCACAGTAGCAGCTGAGGCCTTTCTCTTCGAAGAAGGTTGTGTGGCTTGCGACTGGGATTGAGAAGGAGCTTCGGAGGCTCGTCTCTTCGCCGCTGGTTCGCGGCGTTCGCGAGCCGAAAGTCTGCGTTTTTCAGCCATGAAGGCAAGGAATACTGATTAAGGATGAAAAATGCAGGTATATAGACCAAAGTTCAAGATGGAAACCATCTCGAAGCAAACTGTACTGCCAAAATCGTAAGTGAAGGGATGAGGGGGTGAGAAGGCGCGATAGTTGCGGAGAGGAAAGAGACGCGGGAGGGAAATTTAGGTCGATAAATCGCTGTATTGACGCAAGTCCCACCCACTAACTTTAAATGTCACCACCTCACGTGGATCAACATTCACAATCAATCCAAGTTGTAAAGACGCGCCCTTTCTCTCTTTCCTCGCACACAATATCACTGTATTCGTTTCTTGATTTCTTCTCTCTTCGCAAATCTAATATCCTATCTAGTATCTCATTAGGTAGACATATCACGGTGAATCCACCAGAACATTGCTTGAGTATTGTTATCGCTGTACTCCGTACGAGGCACATAAAAGCCTGGTTTCATTAATAGCAATGGAATTAACTAGTATAAAGCCGCGATTATGATATCAATTTGCCCTTTGTCCAACGTCTCGCATGTCATATTCACCAGGACTGTCATCACAAGACATGTATTATTTCAGAACTCTGTATATTACCAACGACCAAGTTATTGCCTGCAGTTGCTTAGCCGTATATGTGTATGTCCCTCCAGAACACCAAAAGAAATAGGCTCAAAGACTCCCTCCGCCCCGATGGTTATCACCAATTATACCTGCCGTCTCTAATAACCATCGAGCTCCCTCCATTGCCGAATCTCCTGCCCCAGCTTTGATATTTAGATTCCGCCTTCTCTCCGCTTCCCTCGATTCGAAATCCCACTTCGCCTTTTGCAATTCAATGGCGCTCTTCTCTGAGGAAGAAACATCAGGATTAGGGACGAACCCCCATAGCTCAAGGGTGTAAATATCAATGTGCGTTTTGGTTGCAGGTTCTGAAGTCGAACTGGTACCGGAAGGGAGGAAAACACCATTATGACCGAATGGAGCGACATGGAACTCTGCTGTTTCGAGGCTGGTATCAATTGTTAGGCTGCCCGCGCCGAGTGGCGAGGGGGGCAAGCGCTGGCTTCGAGATGCAGGAGGGATTCGACAGCCAAGCGAGATACCTGAGTGGGTAGAGAAATAAGCTGCCGGCGTGTCGGGCTGTTGGATAGAAGTTGACGGGTTGCCAGGTAATAGTAAGTGATTTGGGGATAATTGGAAAAGACAAGGGAGCGCAGGGGACACCGAGGGTCGAGAACTTTGACTGGAGGAACCGGATCTCCAAGGTTGTGGTAGATATGCTCCTAGAGTGACCATCTTCTCATTGTGCGACCCGATAACGGCACCCTCGAGGAGTAACAATGTGCCTGACTGCCACGTAAGGACGTTGTGAGAAAATGAAGTTAGAGATGAGCCATGCGCTGCGGTTGAGAAGATGGGATGTAGACGCAAGTTATCACGGAGAAAGTTCTGGCTGCCGTTGGTCGACGGTAGGAAAAATGACAGGTGTGATACAATGCTTGGATTCAATATTGTAGATCTAAAGCTACCGGGGAGCATAATCGATTCAGGGGATGGCGGGGGAGTCTCTGACGTCTCGTCTATAGTCCCTGTTGTTGAGTCGCTTCGGTCACGCTTCTGGGACAAGTTCAAATTTTTGCTGAAAAGAAGGTGCTCAAATAAAGGGGTTAAAGGATCGAACAGATATGGCAACGAAGTGTCAATGGTCTTAGCAAACGCCTTGTAGCTAATTCCTCCCGACTCTTCCCGAGGAAATGCTGCTAAGATGTTATCGGCCTGCTTCCTTACAGCTTGCATCCGCTCTTCACGCAAGTCGGACGTATATGCTCTTACGGATTCTAACGGCTTTAGAGGTGATGTGACAAGGAGCAGCATCAAAAGGCGACGAAATGTGGCAATGGATATCCGGGATTCATAGGCTGCCTTATCAATACGAGAGTCATGTTTGAACACTTCGATAGCGTCCAGAGACTCCAAAGCCGCAAGCGCGAGATCGTCGTCTTCGTCGTCTTCATAGTTATCATTTGTAGGTTCGTCAACGGAAAATCCAGGAGCATGAGACTTAACAGCAGAATGATCTTCGTCGTTTTCCTTGTCACACTTATAATTCGCCGGCTGATCAACATCTTTCCTCCCTACATCGGCAAGGCTCCCAAATAGTAGCCTAATTCTGTCTTTGCGCGCTCGTCTTAGAACTCTCCCATATCTCTCAGTTAGCAAGACAACCACTTTAACCATAGCCTCGAATGTTAGTACGCTCGGAGCCAATGTGTTTTGGAAAGGAAAGGCCCCTAGATACGACACCATCCGGAAGATGACAGGGCCAGCATCTAGGGGACATTCGGCTTCACTGCAATCTGGGATCGCTAAAAAGTCGGAAAGAATCTTCTCGTTCCAATACTTCAAGTCTCCTTGCCCCGTTGCACGAGTAAAGAAGTTGTCTTTGAAATGGGTTAATTCTAAGGGACTGAAGCATTTGGTTTCGAAGCGTTCAGCAAGCACGTGGCTCAGCTCTTCTGCTTGGTGTTAGAACTATCTAGGCTAGATCAATGAAGCAGAGGCAACTATTCAGTCGATGATAGCACCTGACGGACTACTAACCCGGTGAGGATGGCTGGCCATATTCGGTCGATTGGTTTAGCCCCATTTTGCAAGACTGACAAGTGGTAGTATATCCAGTCACTTCTCAACTCGGACTAAGAGAGAGATTTAGAGAAGTGGAATAGCCTGTTGCTTATGTATCATTTGTCGATCACAATACAATGCGTTTTCGGGTTTATCGGCCCAGTACTAGTGGCCTTTATGTACGTCGGTTAGAACAAATGTTGCACCAAGCAGGTCAATGTTGTCCCACTGAATGAGGCTTGAGATACGTAACAGATATATCGACCACCAGTAGCATCCATCTAAGCTGGAAGATCAAGAAGGCTGCTTTGTTGATTCGGGAGGAGTAAGCTGCGAGTCTAGCCCTTCCATCGGATGACGACGTCACGGGCCTGGTCTTGGCGCCTGAGGCATTAGGCTATTTTAGGCAACTGACATTGCGATAGTTCGGAAACAAACCAATTGACGGTCCTCTATTACCTAAATTCCGTTGCCCAATTGCTCGGCGGCTCAAGTATTTCCAAGTTGCTATGATCATACGAGAGTGAGAATTGTCAAACGTAGATTGTGTTTTGATTCATAACTTCTTCGTTGACCTCTTGTTGAGGGTCAATACATTTGAGGCGGAGAACACGAAAACGATTCATTGAGATATTACAACATAACAACCCCAACACCTCCCATCTTCTTCTCGTCCGGCAGGTTCTTCTCATTAACACCTCCAGGAATAGGGGCTGTTCTATAGTTGTAAAGGTAATAGTGAAGCTGGCCATCACCCGCGCCGAACTTCAGCTGCTCCAAGAAGAGAGGGTTGTCGTGCAGGGTAAGGGCATTGAATACATCGAAGTGAGCCTAGAATGTGTTGTCAGAATCAAGGGACATACTATAATGCACAAAAAGCACTAGGCTTTTACCTTCTTTGCCTGAATCAGGGCATCGTTCATCAAAACTAGAAGACGCTCCTTCAAGGCCTTCAGATCTTCCGTGAACGCGGTCTCGGTTGCATAATAATAAAGGTAAGCAGCACGCACTTCGTTATGTTTCGGGTGTTGGATAACTGTCGAAGGGAGGTTGTAAAACGAGAAAAAGTCGGTGATTTTGTGTGTCTCGGGGTTTTCGACTACGTAAGACCAGACAACTTGCTCCTTCCCCGTATTGTCCTTGTGCACCAACCAATGCTCAATCTCCTCTCGCGTGAAGGCCTGGTTCATATCGAAGCGCTTCAGATACCGTTCGAGCAAATCATGTACAGCGTCTATATCCTTGGATTCCATGGGACGAAGTCCGGGAATAGACGTAGTGCTGGGAAGATGATTTTTGGTGATCTGGCGAGCTTTGGTAGAGCCATGAGGAAGGTGCGAAAAGCCGACTTCGTAAAGCTTCAACCAGTCCAATGGACGATGGTAGTAGCGACAGGAGCTGACTGGAGTAGGCAGAACCACACCAGCAGTATAGATCGCTTGGTAGATTCCATTCAGATAGCAGCGACGTGTGACTTCTTTAATGAGGACAGGTGTCAAACGCTTAGACCGCAGTTTCTTATGGATACAGAGGAAGTTGATCTCCGTCACCTTGAGCTTCTGATCACGAACACGGATCTCTGTAGGTACACCACAAATAGATGCGACCAGCTTCTTCGACTTGGTAGCGCGAACACCCACGTGCCATTCCTTTCTCCAGCCAGGAGACATCAGAGCCCTATGAAAGTTTGCACAAGTTAGTTTACAGTGATCTACATCGATTTACAACGAGGAATCTACGGCAGACAGTGCCAACATGACGTACCAATGCAAAAATGACTGGGAGTATCTAAACCGGAACATGGCGTTGTCGTCCTCCACGTAATGGTATGTCAACAAGTCCCACAACTCCTGCAGCTCAGTCTCGTTGGTCAAATCGAGAGTTGTCCACTCAAAACCTTCAATAAGCTGATCAGGCTCCTTTGACACCTTTTCGGGGTCGATGATCTTGATGGGACCTCCGGTAGCACCGCTTGCCTCATCGAAACGGGGTACAGGCTGCGTTTGCCAAAACTTGTACGAAGCCATATCCTTCTGATTTTTCCCACCGACCGATAAACCAGTCAGTAGGTCGGCGAGGGTCATCTTGCGCAACGCTTCCGCAGCTTCTTTCTTGTCCATCCCAGCCAACTCGTTCTTCAGCGCTGGATTGTTCTCCAGTAGCTTCTCCGCCATCTTGGGAGTGATTGCACCCACATCCTGGGACTTTTGATCAGAGGAGCTTTCTGTGTCCTCCGTCTGGGGCGCTTTGCCCTTGGTGTCTTTGGGGTCCGACATTGCGGCGGGCGAGTTGATGAGGAGAAGGGAAGATTTAAGCGGCTTTTGAGTGCGGAAGGTTTTCAGGTCCGCAGCCCCACGTCACGCCAAATTCGCGGGGTCAATTTTAACCAAAGTGTAATCAAAATGTAATCAAATTGAATACTAATCAGATTTCATTCACTGATAACACAACAACCCTTTTCCTCTCAATTCATCCAATGTCACATATTTTGGTACAGATGTAGTCAATTCGCTAGCCTACTGCGTTCTTCCTATACGGTTGACATCTGATGTATACTACTACTATTCCTATTCCTATTGCTATATGAACTCACTAGAGATTGAACCACCTTGCCTGATCTCACTTACCTCGGCCAAAGACAATGAACCAATACTACAGTACTATACGCCGGGACTAGGAGGGACTTTTCTTCATTCGCCTCCTGTCTACTAGGGAATAGGCATAATCTATAAATCAATTCATTGTTTCCCGTTCCTATGAATTTGAGGTTTGTTGAATCCCGAGATAAACGCCTCTTCAAATCTATACCATCCCACATGCTAATAGAAAAAGGGACTACCAGCCCTTCTGGGTATCGTTGAGTATGTTGTTGAGAACACTGTATGAAAGACTGTCGAGAACTAGGCTGCCAACTCTACGTTGTATACAGCCTGTCGTAAAAAGATAGGGAAGTAATAGGATGTATCTGTTTATTGCGGACCCAGTTTGGTCTCGATGACATCCAAGAATCCGCCGACAAGATGTAAGCTGCCCGTAACGAACGTCATAATGGGCACTTCATCATTATTAACACGTTCCCTCTCCTTCGCTGCCAACTCTCGGGTAAAGTCGACGGCTTCTTCGATGGTACTATACACCTTGACCTCAGCACATGGGTCAATCGAACGCCATTTCTCAGCAAGGCTATTCTGGACATGCAATTTTTCCACTTCAGATGAGTCCGTGTTCATGCTTACGAGATCCGGCCGGTAGCCTGCCGCTTTGTAGGTCACGTTGGTACAGAAGATCGCGTGAGTAAAAGGCTGCTCGGACCCAAGAGCTGCAGAGAGCGTGTCATAGAGGGCTTGCGCGAGGGCATTGCTATCGCGAGTTTGCTGATTGAAAATCAAGACACGGAGCTTCTTGTTTGCCGTAGTGTTAGATGAGGAATTTGCGTGGATCTGTGACGTGAACCATTGGCCGGCCAGCTTGATACTCTCCAGAGTATGACCGCCGTCAATGAACCACGTAACATCCTTTTCATGTCTCGTTTCACAGCGTCCACCCAGCCGAGCCAATTCCAGCCCCTTGCGGAATTTAGCGGGCAAAGGCTTGCTCATGAAATCAGCGGTGATGTCTTCCAGTCCGACTTTTTTGACGAACTCTGCAGCCGTCGCAACCGCTAGAGCTGCGTTGGTGCGCTGGAAATCGCCAGCCAATCCAAGTTTGACATCGCTACCGCTAGCTAGATCAGGATGACCGGCAACAATTTCCAATTGAGTTCCCTTTTCCGCCGCCCTATCGTGCAGAACTTTCTCGGCACTGGCAGCTTGAGGAGCACTGAAGCCTTTGACTCCAGACTTTATGATGCCACCTTTATGCCATGCAATTTCTTCAATCGTTGTTCCCAGCATAGCGGTATGGTCAATACCCAAGCTGGTAATCGCTGTCGCGACGGGCCGCTCAAGTACGTTCGTGCAGTCGTACTCCCCGCCGATTCCACACTCTATCACCGCCGCATCTACACCTTCGCTCAAATAAGCATGGAATGCCATAAGGGTTAGGTATCGGAAATACTGCGGCTTCGTTCGTAGTTCTGTCGGGTTCTCGCCGGCAACTCGAGCGGCGTCCTCAAGTCGGTCCCATACCTCAAAGAAATACTGAGCAAACTTCTCTTCAGAGAGCGGCGCACTATCGATCCGAATGCGCTCTCGAGCAAACCTTAAGTGTGGTGATGTATAGAGGCCGACCTTCTTGAGCCGTGGTGCAGAGTCATTTGATTCTGAAGATTTTGGAGATGCGTACTGCGATAGAATGGAGGAGACAAAAGCGGAGGTCGAGCCCTTGCCCTTGGTACCTGCAACATGGACGGGATTAAGACGGTTCAGGTCTGAAGGCTATAGAGATAAAGTTAAACAGCAGTCAGCAATTGACTGCACAGCTCCGAACTAACCACTGCTGTAGTGGAAGCGGGATATTCACGTTATCCGCGGGAAAGGTTGCGAACCTGATATCCAATGCGGCGGAGCCACTCAACAGTTTCTGGGAGAGACCGTAAATTCATTTGCCTTCTGTCTCCCGACTCCCTCAGTTGTTGGACAACCGCGAAGTTTGTCTGCAGCGAATTGAGAGCTGCAATTGCAGCCTGTAATCTTATTAGAGGCCGTCTGAAGATCAAGAATCTAGGAGCCTCGGCATACCTCATAGTTGCGGGACATTCTGGTCGGATGGGATGAAAACCGACGGATGAGACTATAGTTATAGAAGGAATGGATGTGAAACCCCCTCATGAAGTTCGAAAAGAAAATATATGACGTGACAAATCCATGAGCCCAAAGGTCACGAGGGGCAGAGTTTAGGTCTGACTTTAATACATTAAATTAAATCGACTCATTCCATGCTTACGTGAGCGACCGACCTCATAACTATCTTAGTCGACAGTGTACAGTCAACATTCCCAACATGAAAAAAAAAAAGAAAGAAAAGCCTTAAGTATCTGTATTTATGTATATTTGTCTGGTTTGTAATGCCACAGTTTCTATCCCAATCACTTTCTGCGATATGATCGGCCTAACGGTACATGGACAAAGCAGCTTCTGCGCAAAAGAACAAGGGGATGGAGGCGAGGAAAGAAGCAAATAACTCATGATAAGTACGGGAAAGAAAACAGAAAATCTATGTGGTGAATAAAAATAGCATGCTATTAAAGCCGGGGGAGCTATTTGGAAAAATGAACCCTAAGATCAAAGGGAGGCGAAAAGAAAAGACAGGAGAGACAACTGGAAGAAAACAGCGCGACACAAAGGTGGCACTTTTCCACAACCTAGAGCATTGAAGAGGGTAGAAGATGAATTTGTGTGTACCGGACACGTACCATTTAGTATGTAAACGAACTTGATAAGCAGCAGCCTGGAAAGCGAACTACTCAATCCTAGTTTTCCCTTCTTCCAGGAAACCAAGGCGAGCATTGCTATAGCCCCTCTGGTGCTTTCTGGAAGGGAGGAATTGCCCAACAATCGGATCCGATCGGGCCTTGATAAGTGCATCTTGATATCCTTCAGACCCGGCAGTTGGTGTATTCAATTTAGGCCAGTTCACCTACAATCCACAGTATTAGCAAGGAGTATGTGTACAACCGATTAGTTAAGAACTTACGTAGAGCATCCCGTGCGCAAGTACGAAGCGCGCGCACCAGGCAGAAACCACCAGCCAAAATATGATGAACAGGCGCAAAGGCCATACCGCAGCGTCAGGCAAACGCCTTGTAAATGTGGAAACCAGAATCATAAAGACACCTGCAGCAAGAATATAGGGGATTGACTGAATGATGAGGGGTCGGCGGTCCAGGAAGAGTTGAATGTTGCCAAGGGTGGAATTTGGGGGAAGGTAAGTGCCTAAGAAAACATCGAACCCATCTTGCCTGGGGCCGTCCAAAAGATTGTTTTTCACATATCGTGTGACGGAATTATTCAAGTCCTGCAGCATGCCAGCGCGAGTACGCTGGCCAGTACGAGTGAAGTCAGTCTTCAATGCTCCCGTACCAGAATATGACTTAGAGACGACGTCTGCATTATCGGCCCAGATGTTACGGAACAGGTCCTCAAAGTCCCGGTCATCGTTTGCAGCCTCACCCGGACGGAGGATCCCTGCGTCGGTAAGTTGGCGTGTTACAGCCCAGCGGCCAAGCATACTCTGCACTACATTCGTCCGATCCAAGCAATCCATGCAATTTGTTCGAACAATGCTGGACTGTGAAGATCGTATATCCAATTGCCCACCGGGAACACCAGGATCCTCCACACCACGGAAATAACCGCCACGCGTTAGCCCGTCAAGCAATCGGTCCATCAGCAATTCTGCACGGTGCCATTGCAGCCCTTTTGTCTCGTTGTGGAAGTCGAAGTATATGTAGTGCAGGCGGTCCAATTCCTTCTGCCTTTGACCTGGCTCTAGGACATGTACTTTCTCGGAAGACACCACGTCAGCCTCGGTATTTTCAGTTGAAGGAGCGACCAAGATGCGGATGAGTTGCTCATAGGCGTTTTTAACTCGCTCCTCCCTCCCTTTCTGATTCACAAGATTGACCAAGTAGTTTTCTCCGTACAGCCGGATCTGCTCAGCGAAATGTTTGCGGGCAGCATCGACGGCTGTTTCCACTCCTCGAACCTGGAGTTTGGGGGTATACTTGAGGTTGTTGACCTCGGCCCAATACACGGGGACACTCCCTCGGGTCTGCACAAAAGCCATGACCTGGAGTTCCTGACCCGAAACGCTGGGCTTTTCTTTCATGGACTGACCTCCAGCAAATCCAGATAATCCTCCAGTCGCATCATTCAATATCACAATTTGCTCAGTCTCGTTGTAATTTGAAACATGGCCTTGCTCGTCTATACCACGCGAGAAGTACCTCGTTCCAGCGCGGTGTCTAGATCTTCTAGTAATAAGAGCAAACGTGAACGTGGTCGACTTAACCTTTGCCGGGGTGATACGTAACATTCCATACATTACAGGAAGGATATATGGGTCAACATCGGGCTGTGGTCCGTAGCGCACGCTCGTCGTATCGTGTCCTCCGAGGCTAAAGTCTATCAGATCGGATTGGATGAAACGATTCCAAAAGAACCGATCATCGGCTCGTTTCCACATCGGGAGGCTGGCATCGCTTTGCGACTGACGCTGGAAGCTGTTGGTGAGGTCCAAGGCATAAGAGAAATACATCGGCCCTGTGCGAAGAAGCTCTTTGAGCAGCGCCAAATACGTGTCCTCATCATTGTCATGTAATGGGCGCTCGCGGAGGGGTAAGAACTCAGTCGCTGCAACTTTGTAAACCATATGACCTCGCAGTCGTCCCATAGGCAGGGCTTTAGTGATCACTATGATATATTTGTCTATAACAAACAAGGTTAGAGGCCGAACACCAGCCGAGGTTGACTGGTAGACATACCCAACTTGAGCTTTATGATTCCAAGTATACCAGCGATACTGGATATGCGCTTAGCACCTGGAAGAGTGCCATTGTGGAGTCGTAAATCACCCGTGGGGCGATCAACGACAAGTGTGGGAGCATTCGGGGAAGATGGTGATGTAAAAGCGTAGTGAGAGGAGGAGGCGTGCAAGTTAATATCGCGGTACGGAAGGAGAGAAGTAGCCATTGTTAGTGACAACTCACTATCTAGTAAAGGGGAAAAGAAAGATGGTAGATAAAGAAGTAGGCAGAAATAGGAAAGTATTTAAAAGATAACTAAAGAACGTGGGGTTTTGTGGATATGAGGGAACAGAATCACCGCATAGTTGAAGGAAAGTAAGTTCGGGCTGATGGTCAGGAGCAGGAATGACGATCCGCCAGGAAGCCTTGTGTATTGTAACTCTGAACGCAGCATGTGGTGATAATAATACCTAACCTAGGCCGCCAGCAATACTCCGTGTAAAGCCAAGCCGCCACACCGCCCCGCAGAGCGGCCAGTCGGCTTGGGCCAGGTGTGGCTGGAATCCCTTCGTCATCTACCTTACTTACCGGCAGGCCGCCATCAAACCTCCTCCCAGCATCCGATCCCGTCTTCAGTCCACCTCCCGTGTCTGAAGTAATCTTCCACGTTTAGCGCTCCTTAATCTCACAGAGTCAACCTGTGTGCGACTTTTTCTTATTCAAATTCTACATACAAAGTTGCTCTTCCGACTATAAAAATCATGGCCTCCAGAGCCGCAGCAGGCGCCCGTCCTGGTGCCAGATTCGCTCAGTTCAAACTTGTCTTGCTTGGTTAGCTTATCCTTTGAACATCCACCACTGTGTTATCAGTCTAAGAGTTACTGACATATTGTTCCCCCTTTTAGGAGAATCTGCTGTTGGAAAGGTTGGGAATATCTTTACTTCCAGTATTCCGACGGTCGCTAATGTCTTTCTTTCAATATAGAGTTCGCTGGTGCTGAGATTTGTCAAGGTACGTTCGGCTCATGAATATTTTTCCGATACCCAAGATTTCCGGTGATGGTTAAGGGGTTGCGATGTCGCTTACTTGCGATAGGATCAATTCGATGACTACCGGGAGTCAACAATTGGCGCTGCCTTCTTAACACAAACCATTTCTCTGGACGAAAGTACAACGGTCAAGTTCGAAATATGGGACACTGCTGGTCAGGAGAGATACAAGTCGTTAGCTCCGATGTATTACAGAAACGCCAACTGCGCAGTAGTTGTTTACGATATCACACAAGCGGTACGACCCCGGTCATCGTTCTTAGCCCTGTCCATGTTACTTGAAATAGCGGAGTGCTAATACAGCGAGCTTGCAATAGTCGTCGCTGGATAAGGCCAAGTCATGGGTGAAAGAGTTGCAGCGCCAAGCGAACGAAAACATTGTCATCGCCCTCGCGGGTAATAAGCTCGACCTTGTCACAGAAAACCCGGACAAGAGGGCTATCCCAACTGCTGATGCCGAGGCCTATGCACGTGAAGCTGGGCTGCTTTTCTTCGAGACATCTGCGAAGACATCCTCGAATGTGCGGGAGCTATTCACAGCGATTGCGAAGAAGCTTCCTCTTGATCAAGCCGGTCCCCGGAACTTGCGCACAAACCCCCGTCCAGGTGTGGACTTGCGCCCAGAGGCCCCTGGCACCCAGGGAGCCAATTCTTGCCAATGCTAAATACTAACCTCTGGCCATTACCCTTATCTTGTTCTATCTCCCACTTTGCATTCTTTTTCATCCTTCTTTTTATTTATTTTTAGATACGGAAGCTGCACGTCTTCAGGGTTAACTATGAGTCGCTACGCCGGGCGACTTTGCGGGTCACCATCAATAACTTAAACCACAATGCCTAATTCTCTAACGGTGCCGTGATGATCACGGATATGATCCACTGGAGTATCGCGAGGGCTCAATTATCATCGTGGGCTCCAATGCGATCGCTTTCCTGATCCCGGTCACCAAATCTCTTTCATTTTCTCGGCCATGATATTCGATTGTAGCTACTAAGTGAGGAGGGAATCGGATATCGTGCAATGGTCTAGTTGGATCTGGCTTTCTAGACATTATGCAGCAGGACTGTACCTGCGCGTGTTGTGTTTTGTTTCTTACCGTCCAGTTACTCCTATCTGCTTCAGCTTTCTTGTTCCCGGCGTCTGTATTCATGTTTTCTGTTGGGCTAAATTCATGTTACATTTTCCTCCTTACTTCCGGTCGTCGTGAAATCGTCCGTATGCTATGCCTATATAATAATTTTCTCTTGAAATGCTTGATGGGAAACTCTCAAACACGTGCTGTCCATTCTCTTTACATCAATATTGCATATCGTGAAGCAACGAAGTAGGCCGTGGATTATTTACATAGGTGTAGATATATTCTGCCCCAACTCCTGTAGGCGGTGCGAATATTCCCGATCTCACCAGCCACAGCAGTTCTTGCGGCGGTGCACGATCGGAGCGGTTCGTAAAAGCATCATCCCAATTCCGGGTCCGCGTTTTCTCTCGCCAACATCACCCCTTCAACTAAACCCGCCTTCAGCGCCCATTCCACAGCAGTGCGCTCGTCATGCTGCGCTCTTCTGTTGCACCGGGTCGGCAGCTGCTGTTGTCTTCCGCTCGCCAGCGGACGGCCTCGCAATGGCTGTCTAGAGCTGGGGCAAGTAGCCGGCTCTCTGGTCAGGTATGATGGTCTTATGTTCGTTCTCCCCCCTCAAACGCCAACTAATTTCCATTGTTCTCATCCAGAGATTTTTTGCCGATGCCAAATCTCCTACCGGTGCTCCTACTCCTGCCTCACCTTCTTCCGAAACACCTATCCTACCCGAGACTGTTCCTAAACCATCGCCTAGTGAGCAAGGTTCGATCCCCCTCGTCAATCGATCATATCGATTCCTCCTATACTAAACCAATCACAGGTTCTCAGGTCCCTCCTCCTCCACCTCCCACTCCGGTCCGTAAAACAGGGCGTTTCCGAAGGTTCCTTCTCTACCTGATTCTCACATCTGGATTCGCGTACGGTGGAGGTGTCTTCCTAGCCCTGAAGTCCGACAACTTCCATGACTTCTTCACCGAATATATCCCATATGGTGAGGAAGCTGTTCTTTATTTCGAAGAAAGGGACTTCTATCGTCGTTTCCCGAACACCCTGAAGGGCCAGGCCCGCATCTCTGGTCCCAGAGATGAAGGCAAGAAGATCACAATCCCCAGAGAAAGCGGCCTTACCTCGAAGGCCGCAGAGGATCAGACCTCCAGTAGCGATGTCTCTCAAAAAGGTCCCCACATGAGTGCTGTCAAGGGTGACGAGGCTCAAATCAAGACCGAGGCTGCTAAGCCAGAGCACAAGTCCGCCGCCGTCGAAAAGGCTAAGACCGACAAGGTTGTTAAGGAGCAGGCGCCAAAGAGCAGTGATAAGATCACTGAGGAGCCTAGACAACCAGCCCTGCCTTCCGTGACACCCTTGGAATTCGCTCAGGTCAATGAGGGAGACGAAGCTATTGTGCAAGAATTGGTGAAGACTTTCAACGACATCATTACCGTTATTGGTGCCGATGAGAACTCTGGCAAATATTCTGCACCCGTCGCTAAAGCCAAGGAGGAACTTCAGAACGTTGGACAGAAGATCATCGCGGTCAGGGAAGAAGCCCGTCGCGCAGCCCAGGAAGAGATCACTAAAGCCCACGCCACTTTCGACGAGTCTGCTCGTGAGCTTATTCGCCGGTTTGAAGAGACTCGTGCGGCTGATGCTGCTCAGTTCAGGGAGGAGTTTGAATCGGAGCGTGAGAAACTGGCCTTTGCCTACCAAGAGAAGATTCAGACGGAGCTCCAGCGGGCTCAAGAAATTGCCGAACAGCGTCTTAAGAATGAATTAGTCGAGCAAGCCATTGAACTTAACCGCAAGTACCTTCACGAGGTGAAGGATCTCGTCGAACGGGAGCGCGAGGGCCGTCTTAGCAAGCTCAACGAACTGACTGCTAACGTTAGCGAGCTAGAAAAACTTACTAGCAGTTGGAAGGATGTCATTGACACAAATCTTAAGACCCAGCAACTTCAAGTCGCCGTGGATGCTGTCCGCTCCGTTCTTGAGCGCTCAGGCTCTCGCCCATTTGTCCGAGAGCTCGTTGCTGTGAAAGAATTGGCTGCTGATGATCCTGTGGTTGAGGCTGCAATTGCCTCCATCAACCCTACAGCTTATCAACGTGGCATCCCGTCAAAGCCCCAGATCATTGAGCGTTTCCGTCGCGTCGCGGATGAGGTTCGCAAGGCAAGCCTTTTGCCTGAGGATGCAGGTATCGCCAGCCACGCAGCCAGCCTTGTCTTGAGCAAGGTCATGTTCAAGAAGGATCCTGTTGCCGACAGTGACGATGTTGAGAGTATCCTCATTCGGACTGAGAGCTTCCTGGAAAAAGGTGACATTGATGCCGCTGCCCGTGAGATGAACAGCCTGAAGGGATGGGCCAAGATTTTGAGCAAGGATTGGCTCGGAGATGTGCGCAGAGTTCTGGAAGTGAAGCAAGCTCTAGAGGTAACGTCCCAAAGCATGATACCATTTTCAAGATGTCAGGCTAATTCGCTGGTTTTCACAGGTGATTGAAACTGAGGCGCGTCTCCAGTGCCTGAGGGTTGAATAGATCAATAAATAACACCAATTCTTTTGTTTCCTGTAATTTTTTGCGTTCCACCCACCGAATCTGTACCTCTAGTTGTTCTCCTGCATCGTTAGACCTCAATACTAGATCCTTTCCTTTGCCCCTTTTGATGTATACGGACAAGTCATGTACAAGCCAATGTTTATTCCGGCTTACATCCTACGAAGTACAAGGGAGAAAGAACATTTCTGAACAGGTAAAGATAGTACGCATGGGTTAGTCCGGTCTCGTAGCTCTCGAAGTTAGCTAACAGGGCTCAGTTGTTTTTAATTCCTTTAATAAAATAGCTTACATAGTTCACTATTGTTACCATCATAGAGTAATACTTGGTTTTCTGGAGCCGAGGGAATTATGAACTATCCAGTTAAGCTACCCCCCACTTTACCCTTTACAGTATCCGTCGTCCACGAAAGGTATGGGGTAAATTAAGTAGTACGGGACAGTACATGTACAACCTAAAAAAGGCGATCGTCACTATTTACTCCACGAAAGGGGCATTGCTAACTTTTTAACTGCACCGTGTCGTCAAAAGCATTGCTTCTATGAAAACGACAGAGCGTTAATCTCAGTATCGACCCTGATGATCCCCTCTATTACTGTGACAGACCCCTTTTCTATCGGCTGGGACCGACCACAACTCCGCTTTGGCTCTGATGTCGCAGGGGCCTGATGCATCGCCTACGCCACCAAATCCTTTTCCCGGGGTCGACGAGAAACTGCTAAGATCTTCTTTGTGGCGATCTTCTCCTCAGCGCGAACCTAACAACAAGCCCGGCCGCCACAAGAGCTTGCGAATGAGCGAAGGGCGAGAGAGCGGAGAGCTGGAAGGCAGCACGCTGGGTAGCAGCTCTCGCGATGGGGATAAAGGAGGTCGGGGATCTCGACGGACACACAGCTCAGGTGGCTTCTTGCTAGACTCTTCGGTCTTAGCCAGATCAAGTAGTCTCAGGCATAGTTATCATCGCGCCCGTCAGTCGGAATCGGAGCGAAGGGAGAAGCGTGGAACACCCCCCGACTCGGAGATCGGGGTACCCAAGAAGCGATCGCGATTTCCTTGGAGCCGCCAAAAAGAATCGTCGAAGGAATCGCCGTCTGCACCTACAGAGAGAGACTCTTTCTCAGAGACCCCCAGTCCATCACATGTACGACAGGATGCAGTACCCCATCCGCCACAAACCACGGGAGCTGGAAGCGAAGTTCCTGTGGGCCTTGATAGGGACTCTTTACAGATTGTCAACCTCGCATTGAATTTGAGCGAATCTAGGAGAGTAAATGCTCATGGTCGAGCGGCTTCCGGTCGTGTTGCGGGAGGAGGGTGGATGGCGTCGGCAGCCCAGCCTTCTACTTCACAGGGTGAAAGTCGTGTCCCTGTTGCGCTAAGCAATCAAAATGACGGTCCATATCCACGCCACAACTTTACCGAAATGGCCGTCGGCGATCATGTAAAGCTTTCGGGCACGTCACACATGGACCAAGCTGTACATGCGCCATCTTCTGTTCTAAGCCTGCTGCCTGATTCCGTCAATTCCCACTCCTTGCCACACGCATTCTCAGACGGCACCCTCGCTCGAGCTGAAAAGACTCGGCGCCATTTCGAGCTCTTCTCAGAATACCTACGTCTGCTTCCTTCACTCCCTCCCCTCAGGCCGTACGAGACGTATACCGACCCGGATTCTACTCCCTCGGCGGCTAGCGGCAACCCTCCAGGTCGCTCATATAACCCTCTCCAATCCATTCGAAACCGTAAAGTAAGATTCCGTGAGCGATGCGCCATTGATACTGAAGCGCAAGGATGGAATGATGTCGATAAAGTTCATGAATGGGTCGACTCGATCGAGGACCAGTACAGCCAGCAAGACCATAGCTCTTTTGTATGCTTGAAGCTTCCACCTTTCCACCAAAGCTCGAAGAGCGTCTCGCAAAAGGAACCAGACAACGATGAGTTTACAGCGGCTTCGCCTTCCTCTAGTTTGAGGCGAGCTAGTCGTGCAAGTAGCGTCAAGGCTCGCAGACCGAAATCTGACTGGATGATCTCCCCGCCAGAACTTCTTTCTGATATTGCGTGGGTCGAGGATATTCAAAATAAGAGTAAACTTATTGACAGGGACGGAAATAATCTATATCCCGATCCTGCAATGTTGATCCCATCCGATGTTATTAAGGTCCCTGCTCTTCAAGAAGAGCTACCATCCAGGCGTGAGTCAGTAGACACAGACCAACCTACCTCCCGCACATCTTTATCAGACGCTCACCCTGGATTGGCGACTGAATTCAAACGGATTGGACGGGGAAGACGGCGAAACAGATTCCAAGGGCCTTCCCATATGGTTCGGAGCAGCGGTGGAAGACACAAATTACGAATGCGATCAAGATCAAGTAGCTCCTCGAGTATGTCAAGCCAAGATGACAGTCGGTATTGGAATTACGAGAGAGAATGCGCAATATCCCCGAGAAGGTCTACTTCCCCAAAGTCCGGGCCATCAAGAACAAAAGCATCTGCAGTGGGACCAGATGAAGAGAGTTCTGTAGATATGAAGATTAGGCCAACACGGAGCTCCGGATTACCTCAACGTTGGAGGGCTTCCACCCGTGCTAAGTCCAAAGAGAGAAGGACAAATATGTCCTCAGCCCCAGGTGCGGATGACCGCTTTGACCGTTTGACATCTTCAGTGACGGCCGATGGCAGAGCGCCATTTACTCCTGTTCAGCCTACTTTCTTTCCAAGTATTGCATCTAATCTATCTCCCCCATCAAGCCGTTCCCCATCCCCCTCGAAAGGACGGCCTCCACGAGCTATTCAACCTCGGCGAGAGAGAAGCAAAAGCAACTCGCGATCTAAATACGCCGTCGACAATAACTCCTTGGAATCAGATGTGTTGCGACACAACAGTCTATCGGAATATCCTGAAGGCATATCTCGTTCTAGTAGACTCGAACCAAGTCCACTTCCAGATCAAGTTCCTTCTGCTTATCAGGAGGGCCGGATGAAATCAAGCCAGCCATCACGAAAGGGACTGGCGCAGCATGAGTCCAAGCTCCGTGAGATCTTCAAAGGGCCGGGGAAGATTGCAGAAAAGGTGGGTAATGAGGTGTCAAAGATGGGCGGCCTCATCTTAAAGAAAGACTCTTTGGCGCATTCACGGCAGTCGTCTTTTGAGTCACATGTCACATCTGATGATGAGAATGTTTCGATTGCTGCCGAAGAAACCAAAGGAGATAAGATCCCCCATATCAAGACATCAATGCGCCGCCTTCCCACGTTCTCTGAGGACCACATTCTAGCGGCCCGGGAAAAAACAGCTGCGAAAGACTATGGATCGTCATCGTCGCCCTTTACGTCTCCCTCGCGACAGGAAGATCAAAGCGACGGGCGTATCAACCCTAAACTAGGTAGCCCTTATAAGACCCTTGCAGAGACAGAGACGAAAAACGCAAGAGAATCTGGAATCAATGATGAGGTCGCGTCGATCTCCCAGCAGAAGAGGCTCGACGCCCGTATGGCGATGAAGAAACCCGAGAAGATCCCTACTTTCGGTCCTGAATTGCATACCATCCGAGAACAGATTAAGAAAGGCCGAATCAAGGATCCGTCTGTGCCGTATAGTCTCACCCGCCCTCCGATCACAGGTCTTGCACAGGCAAAGGTATCGCATCTCCCGTCCTCTCAGGATAGACATTCCACGTCCTCCAGCCAGTCAAGAAGCTGGAGTATCTCTGATCGCAGTGTTACTACGTCCGTTGAACACGGAGTGCCGGGAAAGCGAGAAGTCGAACGTACTCGCGCTCTTCTTCTTTCGTCAGGTATCAAAGCGCGAGAGATCACTCGTAGAGCCCATACTGTACGGAGTCCTCCGCCTGAGTTTCTTCGACGAGCATTTGGCTCCGACACGCCAATTCCACAAGTACCTCGGTCACATGAGTTCGATCTTGCGGTTCAGGTTTTGGTTAAGAGGTTTGAGGACTCACAGGATCTCTTCCAGCAGTCCATGGATAGCTATCCCGGCGCGAAAACATCGGCCCTACGATCTCAACTAGGCGAACTCGAAGACCTGGTCGACAACTCTCTAAATCCACGGGTTCGGGCTGCGGCACAGGATGCTGAGGTTTTGAGCATTCAGCTCAATACGACCAGCACCCTAGCGGTAAAACAGCTGAGCGATACTCTCGACCGAGGCATTCGGAGGCGTCATCGCCGGCTACGCTGGATCCGACGTACCGGTTTTGTGATGCTCGAATGGGCCCTTGTTGGAATACTGTGGTGGGTGTGGTTGATTGTTATGGCCTTCAAGTTGTTACGAGGTGTTTTCCAAGGAATAATATCTGGAGTAAGATGGGTACTCTGGCTGTGATTCGTCTTGGTTCCTTACTCCCTGCGATATTAATGTTTCTTTTTCACCCCTTTTCCTTGTTCTTCTTTCCAACCATCTCTATATACCCCTTCTCTGGAGACTATTCTGCTCATTGTTTTACTGCAACTGATAACCTGATACGCACTATCTTTTTTTTCTCGCGCCATGTTTCAGTACAGATACTTTGTTTAATCCAGCCGCCTTGTATATACCCTTGTCTACGAGTATTGATTTACCGTGCTACCATAGTGCGCTCGATTACAGCCTTGTCAACTAATCCGTGTCAATAAAGTAAACCTCCTTCCTCTACCAACTACCTGATCAACAAAATTAGAGATATCGAACAACCGTACATTTCTAATCCAGCAGCTATCCCACAGCTTCATTTCAGCCATGAGCCTCCCTGAAACCAGTCATCTCTCGATATTCTAGTAACCATTGTTATTACTCTCTATGTTGATAATGACCACAATAAAGGAAGCAAAACATGATACTAGAAGACAATGCTCCTAACCTCGCATTCATCTCCACAAGGCACTTTCACATCAACAACAAAGCCGCTCCAAGACTTTGCTGAGGCGGCCAATGGATCGCCGGGTTAATACCGTCAAAGAACCATTCATATAGTCTAGGGCCTTTCAGGGTCTTGAGACGAAAGCCGGACTGTTGACCCTGGGATTAGATTGATTATTTGATGCTAGCGGGAGTGTCTTCATGTCTAGAGGTATAAGATACAACCGTGAGCCATCTTGCTTGTGTCTTCTTTACAGACAAGCAGTATAATCTTAGTCTATCGGTCTTATTACTATCATTTATATCTTCTTGGTATCATAGCTGATGTTGCGATGGGTCGTAGCTTGTGTCTTCGACGATTATTTGGCACAAAGGCTCGTGATCCTAAATCGGAAAGCCGGCAGAATCTCGTGCCTCGGTCCACGACAGATAATGAACAATATCCCCAAAGTGAGCAAAGCCTGCGGTCAGACGAGTCGGTGAAATCGTGGAAACCCATTGAGCAGTTGGGAAATCCAAGAATGACATTCAATAACGAAAGAACGACGGCGAGTTACCAAACACGTGCACAACCCGTAAATGTTCACCCTGTCCCAGGAAAGAGTAGATTTGGGGAGGATTTCTCTTGTTCTCTCACTCAACCAAAACCCAACATTGGGTGAAGGTCTAACCTTGCATCTCAACATATTCAACATCTGTCGAGGCGCTACGGAGTATGATCCCCCAAGAGCAAACCACTCAAACTTGCACCGCCAATGACGAAGACAACAATCACTTTCTAAGTGGCGGGTCGGGCTAGGGGCTGAGCTCAGTGTATTTGCTACGTTACGTATTCTCTGGGGCTGTATCGGCGAGTGGAATCATAGAGGGGGAAGTCCTGTGGTGCAGAGATTGTTTGTTATTTAGTAGGCCTTGTCGTGTTGCATATCTTCTGGTCAGCCGATTGCATGCCAATTGTGAAATGACTTGACGGTCTACATATTTCTTGTAATGACCTATTTAGAAGGCCATCTAGCCGAGTCTGGAAAATGTCCAATTTTTATTCCATTGTCTCTTGATATCAAATCCAATGGCAGAAACAAAAGTGTTGTAGTTACTGTACACTTGTTAGTAACGTACCACGTGATACCGGGGTGTTCCCTCTCTGCCTTTCTGGGTGGGCTTCAGTAGTACTAAGAACCCAAGAGTGCTCCGTGGGTTCCAGCTTTCAATGGAGCTCCCAGTCCCCGGTACGCCGTACCTCTAACGGTCCGTAATTATTGAATCGACCAATGGCCGACCGCGGAATATAATATACAGCTTTGGAGAACGGTTTCTATACCCGCGGCGCAAAGTTGATATCAACTCGGCTCATGGCTTGACAATAGAGATGCAGGAAAGGATGGATGGGGTTACTCTGTCTGTGTGATAGAGTTCACTTGCGTTACTGATGATATGCATAGACTCCTGACCCGACAATTCCACGAACTCAAATGAAGGGAGAAAAGAGAAAAAATGAGAAGGAGAATCATATCATGGTCTGCCTAAAATCCGAGCTCGGAACTTGATCTTCAGAGGATCTGTGATTGGCAATGAGGGATATATCTACAACCTGTTACCTGGTCGAAGGTTTAAATTAAATGCTTGGGAAGTTCTATTTATTTTCCTGGTGGCAAGGTTGGGTTACCGATGGATAAGCAGAATCCCACCAACCGGGGAGGATTAGAGGGAAGTCCTGCAGGGGCGAAGCTGGAGCAAGCAGGAACGGGCAGCAGGTTACGGGACGTGACAGCATGTCAATCGGTGGGATCGCCACCACGGTCAATGTTACGGGACAGTATGAATACGAAAGAAAAGGAGGGGGATGGCCCGTTCGGGAGATGCCGTAAGCACCCCCACGAGAACCCAACTTTGATTCTCACAGTCATCATCGAGAAAAAAAGTCTCTGTGTATCTCTCATCCTTCCTCTTTCTCATTCCTACCCCATTGTCCCTTCAGGTGAGTCCTTTTCCCCTTGATGATCCTCTCCCAATCCCTGCCAGTTTCCAAGACTCTTCCTGATCTGGAACTATTGCCCCCCTTCTCCCCCTAGGCAATTTCTGCCTGACCGTGTGCCCTTTGCCCTAAGTGCGCTTCCACCGAACGCCCCCGGTCGTCAAGGGAAGAGCGAAAAATAGAAAAAGGCAAAAATAAAAAAAAACTCTGCACCTCACGGCTTCTTCTTCCCCTTTCCTCTCCCCGCGTCATTAAATCTCTCACTCCAGAATTGAGGGTCAGAGCTTCATTTCCAAACTTGCTGACCGCTGGTTCTTGACCTCTTGCGTCAGGTCCCCATTTTCCAGGCAGACTTTTGTTCCGCCTATTACCAGACTTTCCGTCGCACCACCGGCCTTTGGAATCGTCTCAATTCCAAAGGCTCTAGATCACCACGGCTCTCGGAGCCTCGCACCTACCTTTCCGTCAAATTGTCTATCCTCGACGTCCCCGCAGCACTCTTAACAACATTCCACCTCCTGCTGACTTCCCCCCGTACGTACTCGTCCGGCGCGCCATTTATTAGTCCGTTGACGCCCTCCGAATTTATTCCTTCGCCCCCTGAGCTGCCGCATAGGACTACTCTGAAGGTTCTTCCTCTTGAGGAGGAAGGGTCTAGGAGGCTTGGTCCAGTCAACTACGGTTGCGAAAGTTTTCGCCCTCCTTAACACGCAGTCGCGTAAATCAACTCTTCTTTTCAACCCTTATTTCACTTTCACCCTTTGTTAAGTCCTTATCCCGTGTGCATCGTCGCAGCGCACATGGTTATGGCACCGACTGCGTGTATACCTGCTGAAGTATGCATGACAAAACATTGTCAAGACAAAAGCGACTTCAATTATAATCATAAGTTTAGTCAAGTCAGCAATTATGGAGGGGATGATCTCTCGCAATCCAGGTTGGCGGCCAAAGATCTCGTTTTGAACGTGCTGAAGAAGCGCGCGGGCGAAGTTGATGTTGACCGCTGCGCTCCTGGAGATGAGGATGCGTTCTATGTGGCGGACATGGGCGAGGTCTACCGACAGCATTTACGCTGGAAAATGAACTTAGGCCGGGTCAAACCTTTTTATGGTAAAGGCTCATTGCGCTTGTGGATTTTTATAGAAACACAGCTAACTGGAGTATCAGCGGTCAAGTGCAACCCGGACCCGGAGATTCTTCGCCTTATGGCCAAGCTTGGCAACGGCTTCGACTGCGCGTCGAAGGCCGAGATCGACCTAGCTCTCGACACGGGCATTGATCCCAGTCGTATCATCTACGCGCAGCCCTGCAAGACCAAGTCTTACCTACGCTACGCGGCTCAAGTGGGCGTCAAGCAGATGACCTTTGACAACGCCGACGAACTGTACAAGATCAAGGCCTGCTTCCCGGATGCAGAACTCTACCTGCGCATCCTGACGGATGACTCCACCAGCTTATGCCGCCTGAGCATGAAGTTTGGTGCTTCTTTGGATATTGCCCGTCACCTGCTTGAGTTGGCCCTCCAACTCGAGCTGAAGGTTGTTGGTGTCAGCTTCCACGTTGGCTCGGGTGCCGAAGACCCTGCCGCCTTCGTCAAGGCCGTCCAGGATGCCCGCATGGTCTTTGACCAGGCTGCCGAAATTGGCCACGAACTGCACACCTTGGATGTCGGCGGTGGCTTTACTCAGGAGACTTTTGAAAAGTTTGCTGGGGTCCTGAGCGATGCATTGGATGTGTATTTCCCGCCACATGTCCGTGTCATCGCTGAGCCTGGTCGCTATTACGTGGCGAGCGCCTTCACCCTGGCAGCCAATGTGATTGCTCGTCGGGATGTGCGAGATCCCGAGGATCCGGCCAATGATGCTTATATGGTCTATCTCAACGATGGAGTCTATGGGAACTTCTCCAATATCATCTTTGACCACCAGCATCCGATTGCCCAAATTCTGACCTGTGCGAATGCCTCGAATGCTGCGACTTCAGAAGGCATCGCCTATTCCATTTGGGGACCCACCTGCGATGGCATCGACGTCATTACCCAACGGATCACTTTGCCCGGTCTGCTGGACGTCGGTGACTGGCTGTTCTTCGAGGACATGGGGGCTTACACAAAGTGTAGCGCCACCCGTTTCAATGGCTTCTCTGACAATCACGAGGTGATCTACATCTCGAGCGAAGCCGGCGCTTCTGCTCTTCTCGAGTATTAGCACTCTTTAGCTCTTATTATTTCTATTTTTGCACCACTTCCTATAGGTTTAATGCGGAGAGTGCAGAGTCATTGATTGGAAACTTGCTTGTATTGTTTGAATTATTAGTTTTGTTTATATTGTGGTTTTATATTATGTTCCAAGTAGATCTCGGGGTTAGAATTGAGTTGTTTATAGGTTATAGCCTCACCGTCATTCCTACTTTTTTTTTGGATTTGCATAGATGAGCTGTCCGTCAGTGCCTTGGATATCAATGAAGCCTGCATCGTTTCACAAATCTATCCGGATATCTATATTGTTTCTATCCAATATACCCACTTCATGATAACCGCCACACGGATACATTTACATCCTGTTTTTATAACATTTATGTCCAATGACAGTCGTCAACATGGCGGAAGCCAGCTCCACTCCAAAAAAAAATACCCTCTATGAAAGAGAGAGGAAGGTAATAAAGTCGCCTAGACAAGTCGCTCAACAACCAACTCCGTTCCTTCATTCCCCTCTCCAACTTGGACCAAGCCACCGGCTTCTAGCTTCTTCTTCCACTTTGCAGACTCATACCGGGCAAGGATAAACGTGATGCGAGCAGCCACGCTCGGGTCAGCTGTTTCCGCAACGACCTCGGAGGGGGTGAAGGTCCAACGACCAAATGCCCAGTTTAGAATGTAATGTTTGGCCGCTCCGTCCTCAGCAGATCTAGGCTCGCCCAGGGTATCCGACGACTCAGCCGGAGGCGATTGCGTCGAGCAACGCAATATACCTTTAATTCGATAGACCTCGTCCTTTGGCGCAGACTGCAGCAACTGCTCCAGCATAGATACATTAACCGTGGGCTCAGGCTGAGTGGATTTCAGTGTGACAGAAAGCACCTCCACCTCAGATTGATGATCATGCTTGTGCCCATGGTCATGGTCATGACCATTTGTAAGTTTAGCCCCATCCGCCTTCACAAACAAAGCCCCATCAATGCCCAACAGCACATTCTTGTCCACCCTCCCCTTATCTGACTTCACATACGGCGTCTGCACCTCCAGATCCCCCACACGATCCAAACAAAGGTCAAACCGTCTCTCCGATACCTTCTCCCATTTGTTGAAAATAATCAAATCAGTGTACTTCGCCTGCAACTTCGCCGTATAGGATGTATCCTCGTACCCTTCCCAATTCTCCACGTCGATCACACTGATCACACCGTCCAAGACAAAGCTGCCCGGCTGTTCACGTCCCACCCGATTCACCTCCATCGCCAACGTCGCGGGGAATGCACTCCCACTGGTCTCGATCACAATGCGATCCGGCTTGACTTCGTCGCGGAGTTGGTTCAGCGCATCGCTGAGTTGACCGACGAGGTTGCAGCAGATGCACCCGTTCAGGAGTTCGCGGACACCGGAGATGGATTGTGCCGAGGCTAGCTGGGAGTCGATGGCAACATCGCCAAATTCGTTCTTGAGAAGAGCGAGACGGTAGTTTTGTGGGAGCTGAGGGATCAGGTTGAGTAGGAGGGTGGTTTTTCCTGAGCCTAGAAAGCCGGTCACGATTGTGATGGGGATTGGGGGCATTTTTGCGGTTTATTTTTGTATTGCTTATGATCTGTTTTGCCGTCTAACCGGTCTATTTTCCTAATGAGCATGTACAAGCGATGCAAAAGACAAGTCTATATCTATAAAAAACTGAGGAAAAGAATGTGGACAACAGGCAACGAATTTATGAGATGATCGGGAAGAATGGTTTGATTCCGATAAAAAGCGGCGGAGGGGCAATGGAGCGGGCACCACTATTCCCGATCGGTAAAAGCCCTAAGATGTTCCAGTGTAAAATGATATAATGTCATGTATGAACATAAAACCAGGACTGTATTCATGTCTAAACCGACACAAAAAAAAAAAAAAATCCTAAGACCAATTAACAGACTATGTGGGACCCATAAACTTCGTCAGATCCTCAAACATAGACCGCCGCTTATTAAGAATCTCATAGAACGTCTTCTCATCCGCCACATGCCCGATAACAGCCTGGTCCTTGCCCGCCTGGAGCTGTGCAAACGCCTCGTTGATAAACTGGTCCAGTGGCATGCCGATATTGCGCCCGACCTCGGGGGTCAAGTAGTCATGAAGTTCGGCTGTTGATCAATATCAGTCTAGAACGACAAAATACATATACCACGACGGAATCGCAAGGGAAAGGAAGGGACTCACTCTGCACCGCCGGAGGAGACAAATCAATAACCTTAACATTGGTCGACTTGAGCTGCTCCCTGAAGCAGTAAACAAAGGCATTTAGCGCCGCCTTCGCGGCCGAATAAGCCGGCATCGGACAAGCAGGGACAATAGCGAGATTCGTCCCGGTACTAACATCAACACCATCATCAGTCTCACTATTCCCCTCTTCAGTCCTGGATATGGAATCAAGACAGAACTCACAAGATGAAGCTAACCGGCTCAGTCTTCGCCGTCAGATAGGGCAGGAACGCATGCGCCAGAGCCACGATGCTGGTGAAGTTGACGTGGACCTCGTTCTGGAAGCTGGCTAGGTCAAATGTCTCCTGGCTGGTTAGGTTGTAGCGGCGCTGCACGCCTGCGTTGAGAAACACACAGTCGATGTCTGGGTATGTGGTGAAGACGTCCTTTGCGAACTGCGGCGCTTGCTCGGTTTTGCTCACGTCAAAGGTTATGGAATGGGCGTTGGATCCGCCGTGTGTGCTGACGAAGTCGTTGAGGCGGTCTTGACGTCTTCCTACGGCTGTAACTTTGATGCCGGTTTTGATGAAGCGGTCGGCCATTGCGCGGCCGATGCCTGAGGTGGCGCCGATGAGAAGGACGTGTTTGTATGGGAATGACATTATAAGATTTAGACGGCTGTTGAGTTGGCAGTGGTAGTTGTTTGAACTCTTTAGTAGTATTGTTGTTATTGGTGTTTGTGGTTAATGAGGTCTATGGAGGGGTACTACTCTATGATATTTATATCACATCGTAGCGATGGCGTTGGGCGTACATCCTACGGTCTACGCGGAGATAAACTGGAAGCTTTGATAGAAAGTCCGGATATAGTCCAGGACACCCTCTATCTCCGCCTCGGACACCAGAAACGGGCCTAACCCAAAACGAACAACAATGTCTGTCCAAATAATGCCGCTTCCCACCGCTTGCCTCGGATTAACAGCTCATGCCCGATCAGGTCTCATGCTGCTTGCGCGTCTCATTACTTCAAGGTAGAACAAATCGACGGCAGAGAAGATCAAAAAAGTAGAATATAGTTGCCTAAGCACCTAGGCATAGTTGATTGTTTCCCAAACCAGTAACCCATGTGGCCCCCTTCCATGGGGTCCAGCCTTGTAAGGCTCAATGATATCATCTGCCCCAATTGATGTCATCGGCTGGACTTCCATTGAACATAGTAGATAATAATACCCTCTCGCTTACTTTGCACAAGCTCCCTATGGGAAACTACACACCTTATCGATACTCTTCCCGGTGGATACGGCGCCAATGATGGAGCCAACTGTGAATCCGACAAGCCCAAACGATGCAGCTTCTTCTACCACTACGACTCAAGAACCAACCTATGATGCGCCGCGTAATAATTCAACGGTATCGGAAAGTTCCCTGACGGGGGTCACGAATGGCATCGCCAATGTGGCGGGAAGTTCGATCCGTGAGGCTAAGAACAGGCTCACGACTGTGACGTCTAATGAATCGGTTCTGAGCGTTTGGGAGCAGGTTCGCTGGATGGCTACGGGTAGGAACGGCGAAGAAGGGAAGCAAGGTTGGTTTAGTGGTACTTTTTCCTTCAATGTGCTTTTGTTGGGCTGACATTGTTCCCGAAGTAGTCGATACTTCTCCTACTCAGGACGAAGTTGACCTGATCGATAGCATGGATAATGAGAAGATTGCCGAGTTTCTCCGAGAAAAGAATAGAAGCGATGGTCGTCGGCCAAGAAAAAGATAATAGTCTCATTTATGTCGCGTATCATCCGCATAGGGGGGTCCCAGGTTTTACGAAAAGGACTTCATTACAGGAGAGCAAACAACTGTAAAAGAAAAATGTACGCCCAGATGGATAATATGTGCTCTTATACTCCGGATCTGCGGACTCTTTACAACACTGCTTTGAATCCCTTCTCCGAACCGCGGTCCAGACCCAGGAAGTCTGCTACTTGACCTAGGTGATCGATCCCCCAGAACCCTTCAGTCTCGCCCTTGGTATTGGTGCATTCGAACCAAGGGATCCCAAAAGCACCAGACTTAAACGCCTGGTCCGTGTTAGCCTTCAAAAGCTCCTTGGCCTCTGATTGGCCCATCTGTTAATATGTTGATTAGCACGAATAATATACGTCCAGCATAATAGAACCTATAATCAACTCACAGCTCCAAGGATTTCCTGAGCCCCGTCCTTCCCAAAGACCTTTTCTAGCACAGGAGTAAACCCTTCGACTTGTCCGATCTTAGCATTCCCCTGCACCCAGAACGAGTCATAGAAGGCTTCGATGGTTGAGACAAGCTTTCCCGGTGATTTTAGGGATACAGCGCAGAGGGCCCGTCCTGTTGCCAACGTCAACGGCGGGAAGCCTTCCGGGGTGTGTTCAATAATGGGAACGGAGAAGTAACGCGCCCAGCGGATCCGCTCCTTTCCGATCCAGACATCCTTATCTGGATTCAAGATTTTAGTCAAGCCATGACAGGTACAAGTCGAATCATATCCGAGGGTTCTCTCTCACTCTTGATGTTGACGGGAGGAGTGTTCCCACAGGCATTCATCAATCCGCCCAGGAAGATCGGAACATAAGTGACATTGCATTTGGCAAAGACGGGGGAATTCTTAGGACGTTTGTCAGCTCCGGGTAAATAGACGAGGCTGCAGGTATTTAATATGTAATCAAACGTACTCTCAGCACATGGAATGCGATATACCCAAACGGGCTAACGACATCCAGGTACAAGGTGATCCGGGGCACAGTCATGGGGTCTAAAATTAAATTAAATTATATCAATGGCGTTCAAGCACGCCTTACGCCCTGGATATGTTATAACTGAAGGGAGAATTACTAGTAGTAGGTTCACCCCGCCTTTTTATAGCCTGAGTCAGCTTATTCGACCGTCATTGGTCAACTGCATGGACTCATAATACAAATGCCGAGGTTCAGATTTCCCCGCCAGTTCAGCAGTGACTTTCAAGCTTTATAGACTACGTTTATTTGAATGCGATGGGCTTGATGTGAATAGTGTCAGGAGTAGAGTTTCAACATGACAAGGCCCAGTCTGGAAGTTTTCTTGGTACGTGCTTTGACTTCAGAGACCCAAGGTACGCTATGGAAGGTGCCTTGATATCATCACCAGCCACTGCGCCTTCCGCACAGTTCACCAATTCAAGTTTTATATTTAAGTACAGGAGGAAGCTGCGAAGAAGTCATGACTCGCTCAACTTCCAGACGTAAATTGCGCGCTTTAATATTTCTGAGCTTCAATGTTCCATCGCAAGCGTTATATTTCCTGCATATCTTGTCCCCCCCCGTGTGATTTATTCTAGTATATGATAACGCTGCATCTGCAAGCATGCTTAGCTCTGACACAGATTCATGGACGGGAGAGAAGCAGGTCCCCGCTGGAGCATGCCACGCGTATTCATCGAGTTCGGTGTCCTCTAAAGACTCAATTCCGGAATGTAGCGACTGGTCAGACTCGGAATGCCTTCAGGACCCTGTAACTCAGAAGCGTCGGCATGGTGTATATTTCCATCGGCCTCCGGTATGGGTCTCCGGTTCCTCTCGGACAATGAGCCAATCTACGGCGTTTGCAGACTGGAAGATGCGTCATGGATCTGATGAGGGTTGTATGTCCGATAGAGATAGTCTTTGCGAGGCACTGGATGCCTTGTACAAGGAACGAGGGTCTAGCAACCTTTGGCCGGCGAACCATGATCAGCAGCTTTTCAGTAAAGTGACAGCGGCCACGGCGGATGTCCTTGCTAGTATCGATGCTACTATGTCGGAATCGGCAGAGGTTCCTCTTCTGGTGAGTAGTGTGTTTTCCTCGCGAGATATGTGCCATTCTGACAGCGTCCACAGGTAAACTGGGAGAACCGCAAACAAAAGTGGCGTAACTCGACTTCGGCAGAGGCATGTAGCTGTCCGGGCTGTCGTATATCGTCAGATGAGCCTCTACCGAATTCGCGGCCATCAGTACGTTCATATCGCCAAGTCAAGCCAGGTTTCTGCACCCGCTTGAAATTTCAGAAAGATATACGGCTGGAGACTGAGGAGAGATGGGCTATACAAGAGGGATCGCTGGTGATTTGTCTTGACCCGTCCTATACCTTGCTTGGCCACGAACGACAATCGGACGAATTCGAGATTGTGGGTGGCGACGTTTATGTTGTTTGCCGTATATATGCCGATCTGTGGGCTCTCTGTGCCAAGGCGTTGTTTATACCTCAGCCCAAACCATACTCTTATGAGGCGACGACGAGGGACTCTATGGGTCTGGGCTTCCTTCCTCTGTGTGCGGCGACATTGGCCGCAAACTTCAGCGCTTTTACCGGGAGATGTTTACGGTATGCGTGTTGTAACTCAAGCGAGCCTAGACATCCTGGCAATGGGTTGCCTGTCATGCCTCCGCCTCGTTCCCACAGCCTCACTGCTAGCAAACAAGTTTTCAAAGGGCACAAACATCACCTTGAGTTACCCGATACTGCCTATGATACTTTCCGCAATACTTCCTTGAGTAGCGATTCGGACTATATCCCCCTTGACTCTACTCTCGAACAGGTCCTTACCAGAGTAGGAAGCCGGAGACGTCGGCCTATTCGCCTTGGAGATCGCTTTTCGCTTCAGAAAATCTGGAACGACGTCAAGGCGTCAGGTGTCTGGAAATATGATCTACTACCACTTCCACATCGCAATCGAAGCTCGAGTATCTGGGTGACTGAAGGCGGAACTCGACATCATCTACGCAAAAAGCGAGGAGATAGAAGCCCAGCAAGCGAAAAGTTGAAGTTTCTCATTGGGTTGTCTTAAAGGAGGTCATCGAAGGACCACAGTTTTCATAAAACCTGAGAACTTGCTCGAGGATTTTGGTAACCAATTCCATTGGAAAGGTCTTAATTTTGTAGTCTCGGGTGGCGGATTCCTTATAGTTGCAGAAAGACACGCTGTGTTGATAAGATAGTGACTAAAAACAAGACTCAAATCCATATTGAGGGTATCTTGTAACTTTCATGAATTATGCCGCTTATCCGTGCCAAAGTCTATGCCCAAGAGCCCAAATCATTAAAAGCCGTTGTGGAAGTGCAAGTACGCATATCTCTAGCGCAGGAAAATGCGGTTACAAAGCTGCCGTGAGCCGTTGGGTTGCGATCACTACTTCGCGATTAGCCATTCTGTAAGTAATATACATACTGGCACGCAGTATCCCGGTGGCCAGCTGCATCTAAGCGGGAAAGGTCCAAAAAAAAAAAAAGAAAGAAAGCATAATCAGGAAGGAAAATACACTGTCATCCCCCGACATACAGACGACCACGAAGGGAGACTGATGTATATATCCTCTTGAGTCAATCGAACGGCCAAATAGTTGATGTAATAAGAATATTTCCTTCTGCCGAGATGGGCTTATGGGTGTCTTGTCTTGTTCCCATAGCAATACAATTCAATTTGATCGAACTCGTCATGTTGCGAGGGCAGTTGCATACTGTCATGATGCAGATTTGAAAGCCCTGATGACTGTACCAAATCGAAGAAAATGGTTTCACTGTCATGCCGCCTCTTCAGGGCTACAAGGATAATCGCATTCGATGAAGTCTGAACGAGACGGTCCAGCACTGAAACAAGGGCGGGTAAGCTGTCTGCATTATAGGTACAGTCTGATACTAGAATCAAGTCGACAGAACCGTTACAGAGGTCATCTGGGAGTGGCTCGTCCCAGTCCAGAGTCCGATATTCAAGGCTAGAGAAAGGTGTCGGTTTGGCAACTGCTATGTTTTGCGTTACTATTTCCTCGACCTCTGGGAGGTCTGTGAGCAGGACGGAACATTGAGGAAGTATTTCTGCCAGTGCAATTCCTACAATCCCGCATCCTGACCCCAGTTCGATGACGCGAAGAGGAGTGCTGCGTTCAGATTGTAGTAGATTTTGCAGGAATGGTGCCGTTGTTGCTGAGTCTCCGGTAGCAATTTGCTGGAGGTATATCACCGATGCAATGGCTGCATCCCTGGAGTTATAAGTGTTTAGTTTTGGATCCATGGGGTTCAATCCTAGGTTGAAGAAGCCTTACCAGATATGGCGGGCAATGCTGTTCCCAGTTTCTTCCCATATCCTAAGATCTTGGCCATCTTTGAACCCAAAGCGTCTCTCGAGGAGGTTCTCGGCAACCAAAGACTCCGACCCGCCGAAAGGTGCACTCCATCCAGAGATGACTAAAGGAACGCCGGCTTTTCCCAGTAGAATGTCTGGTGTAGGGGAATTATGCTTCAGACGATCAGCCGTAGTGACACTTAGGACAGTGGTATGTTGGGAGAGCTGCGGATGGAAAGGTCCTAGTGATATAGGGAGTTCCCGTTTGCCTGCTTTCCAACTCAATGGTTCCTGATGCAGAACTTTTTCTGAACCTTTGAGAGTCAATGTTACAACTAGATCCACATCCTGAGCCAAAAATGTATCTCCTAAATCCGTGGTGATGCAGATGAGGGCGGATATGGACAAGGATCCAGATTTCTGCTTCTGACTCCTGGGAGTCTTGAGAAAACGAATGTAATAAACCATGATGAGCCAGGATATATATAATATATAGATATATATTTTTCTTAATAATTGCATTTCGCTGGTACTGTATTTATCGGACGGGCACGTGCCAGCTGACTAACGCGAGGGCAATGACATCGTGAGACGGTGTTGCATTCCTCAGGCCGCAGTAGACCCCGAACTCGCTCCCAACTCCATGTGCTTTGAATGGGATCCTTCAAAAATCCCACGTACTAGCGTCAACAACAGCTGGACATCCCATTTGATTTCTTAAAAACTCAATGGGGCCTCTTGGGTGATGTTGGAGTGACTTGCGCAGACCGCTCGCTCTTAAGTCATTGCGTGACCATTATCAACGTCCTTATCCCCCATACAACTCTACCCAAGATGATGCGACCCAGAGACCCCCGTGTTCGCCAGACTATCAACCAAATCTCTCATAATCTTGAAACTGCAAATGAGACAGCCCAAGAAGGGCTGTATACCGTCTCCCATAACTATATCTTGCCATGCTTTGCGACGATTGGGAACTGTGTCTACGCATGTGCCTCACCTTGCCTCCCCAGCCGTAAAGATCAACTTCGACGTCGCCGAAGGGGGCGCGCAGAGGCAGTATTTGACTTTTACGATGATTGGGACAATGATGAATCCGACGACGGTTTATTGGGGTGGGGTACGGACGAGCTGGATCGCTTATTAGCAGGGAGTGGGTTGACGCGTGGAAGTGCTGAACAGCCCCGCAGACATCGGAAGATGAGTTATGGCACGCGGCGGGCAAGGAGGAAAAGTAGTGTGTTGGTTCCCGACGATCGGAATGATCCAACCGTTATCCCAAGTTCGTCGTTCCTGGGTTTTCTGGAACGCTTCCCTTGGAGATTTGGGGCCCGGGGTCTGAAATATCGACCCTCCGCGTCAGATCTTCAAGAACATCCCACCGGGCTGCGGAGGCATCCACATGAAGATGAGCCTCTGATGGAAGCAGAGGAGGAAAATGAAGGACCGAGTTCCAATGTCAAGGGTGGAAGGTATCGCAGCTCAACGCAGTCATCGCGAGAAACAGCAAATTCTCTGAGCTCCCGCGGTGATCTAATCCCTAGCGATGAGGAAGAAGATGCAGTACCACTGGATGATGAGTTTGCTATGGCGCTAGGCAGTCGCCGGGGCACTGGACTGGAGTCGGAAGATCAATTCAGCGATAAGCCCGCAAGTATGAGGTCTGTATCAGGCTCATTCAGCCTGGCATCAAAAGAATCGAGAAAGAAGAGATCGAAGCGAAACAGCCGCTTACGATCACCACAGAACTCTTATATTGATGTCATACAGGATATTACCACCCCTTCGATAGTGGATCTCCAGAAGGAGGAGGAGCAAATAGAACGCCAAGAGGAATTGGAGGTAATAAGGAGACGACTTGCTGCGCGACAGTTGGCTTCTAGCCGCGGCTTGGATCAAGCGAGAGACTCGGTAAGCGATTAACCAGTCAACCTTCAGGCAATAGCAGCGGAAGCTAACATGGCAAACATCTAGTCCACTCCGCAGTCCCTTGTACTTCGTTCTCCTTCTATCTCTACAGATACTCATCGTCCTGAACATGTTAACACTCCTCTCGAATCAACAGGGGAAAGTGAACTCTCCACCGAGCGATTATCTGGAGATTATTCCCAGACAGAACCATTTCCACCTCTACCGCTGACACCCCCGGCAGCAAGCGAAGGCTCCGAACCTGAAGTACAGCCGGACTTGGCAGGAACAGACACAGAACATCTACCCAACCGCAACTAATAGTCAGAGCAAGATCTAAAGGCTGAGTCAAGCCATGTGGATCTTTGGCACCAGAGCTTTTGTACAGGTAAAGCAAGGCGCTGCGACACCTCACCTTGTTCTATGTGGCAGCCATATAACTTTGTACAGCATAATGACTGATGATATGATATTTCTATACCCGATATGATTAAGAAAGAATGCAGTACATTAGGCCCTTACGCTTCCACATTGTAGTCAGTAAACCGAGGCTTCTATAAGCAGGCACCATGTACGGTCTGTTCTTAAAAAGCAAAATCATAAGGTGTATGGCATGTCCTCAAGAAACATGATGATACGGGAAGTAAAACCTTAGTCACAATAGATAGCGGTCGTTTCCTGCTCTACCATGGCCAAAGACTGGGTTAAACCTTGGCGGCCGGACATCAGGTAGTTGTTCTGTAGAGTCCCACTGCTTATTGGCATCGAAGCTATTGGCGCCGGTGGCGGCCATACCATCATTGTACCGTGCTGATTGTATTGCGGGATGCTGTACAAGTTCCGCCTGTGTCGAACCAGCTGAGGATCCTTCGAAAAGCCATGGCGGGTTTGCGAGCGACATGATCTCTTGATCGAAGATGGTCCATGAATAGTCTAAGTTGGGTGGTGGGAAAGACAGCTCGTGACTCATATCAGGGGGAGTATGCATGCTCTGCATGCCGGATTGGATTCGGTCCGCGAGCACCCCGTGGATACTTTGTATAGAAGGATCACTTTGCTTCAGGATGCTGAGATGTGTTTGAATTAGACTTAGATCTAAAAAGGCGGATGAGTATGTCAGATATCTTGCTTAGGGAAAACCGTACTTCCATACCATCTTGGTGAGTGATACCGTCCTCGACGCCTCGCAAGAGGAGCATTGCAGCCCATGTTATCATCTATACCGGTTAGCTTTCGTTTAGGCGCAATGCTGGGTGATAGTACACACTATGAGGTCCCAATTAGACCATATACTGGCATCATCTTGGCGAAGTCGCAGTACGGCCCGTGCTGAAACCAATAGTTCATGCCTTTCAGACGGAGTTATGTTCGCAGAGCCCAAGTCAAATCCTCGAGCTGGGTGATAAATTGACAGAACATAAAGTTTATGGAGGTGGTACTGTAGAAGAATGAGTATTCCTCGGCGATCTGACGGAGACGGTTCTTCATGTACAGTGTTAGCACAGTTCCATAAAGATGAAGCCAGTCTATACCTACGGGATGTTCCGTTATATCGGACAAGCCAGTCATCGAGTTTCCTTGCCCAGAGTCGGATAACCCTAAAGTCTTCGTCCGTAAAAGGTGTACGAACGCGAGTCATGGTCTCCTTTACACTCGAGCGAACGAAAGACCATATGGTTGGTAGCCCTCGCCCCACGAAATGACTGACTCCCTGATGCATCATCTGTGATAGACCTCGATATGCATCCCCCTCGTGACTACTTACTTGTTGGAGAGCTGGAGTCGGTGGTTGTCTAGGGAGGAGAGGGTAGCACATATTCATAGAGGCATGTTCGATGTCAATCACCTAAACTAGTAAGCACTGCTCCTAAGCACTGCAGGCCAAGACTACTTACCTGAATTCCAGAAAATAAATCGCGCCAATCTTGAGTCAGGCCACTTAAGTCAGCTGGGCAATGGTCCAGCAAGAGTCGATAGGCAATTGCTATCCATTTGTTAGTAGTCTCAATATAGGCCTCCGAAACAAGAGTAGCCATTATAAGGCCTAGGATATTTTGGAACGCCTTGTCTTCCTCTTTGTAGCAGGGATGACCGTTGTCTCCAGCATTTGGCCCAACGGCACTCGGCAGGGGAGTCGGGGTAACCAGCTCAGCAATGGCATTGCAGGTAGCCATAAAATACCCACCCGCTAATGATGCAAGTTCCTTTACCGGGCTATGGAGCGCGGATATATAGAGCACGGAGGCAAGCAATAGGGGTGAGGGGGAAGAGAAGGCCCTCCGATCCTTTAAGAAGTGTAGTAACGGCAGGTTATTGAGAAATCTATGTATCCATGAGCTTCCGCCATCTAAATTGATGAGGTCTATGAAGCAACATACGTTTCCCATAGTCCCTTGACTGTGGAATAAGACCAAAGATCTTTATTTTGCGGTGGGCGGGTAATAAGCCTCAAATGCTTGACAGCTTTCAAGAGGTCGGAAATGGGCATGCCAGCTTCTTCGTCTTGATCTGAGTCAACGTTGGCCATGCCCATGGCATCTCTCTCTCTATTAATCCCTAGAATAGCCTCAATACGGTCCAGCCGGCTGAGAACGGACTCCGCGTTTGGATCAGACTGTGTCGAGTGAGAAAGGAATGTTGTATATTGTACACCCTGCGGGAATGACACTATCTCTTGGGCAGCGGCCGCCTAACTTTGGTAAGCATAATCTATCCCAAGTAATTGATACTCTCAGGATTAGCACCAACATTAGATCTGGGCTTGAACACGCAAGCAGAATTGGCGTGGCGACACCGACGACATGGAGGAGTGCCATCGACCTCACATTTCATCTCGAAGCCTATCAGTACATCCTTTCCATGAGAGAGATGTCACCGGCGTCTAACCTTCAACCTGCGGCAGTTGACTAGAAATTGGTAGGAACTCAGCAACTGTAGGTTACATGCAGCATAAGAGACTACATACCACATGCTTTAGTAGGCTTAGGGCCCATTACAATGGCATCACTTTTCTTCATGATGAAAGACAGGTAAACAGAATGACATGGCGTCCTTCAGTATTAGATCAAGGGGTCATCATGTCTATTAGAATTCTCTTGAAACCTAATCGTGCGATAAAATGTAAGATAAAGAAAGAACAGTCGACACGAGATAAATCCAGTGGTTGACCACGTGAGACACACCCCCAACAACTGACAAGTTTTAATACAAATTTATATTTACCTTGAATACTTGTTTGAGTTTTTTTTTTAGCATTTTTATTCACGGCAAGTAACTGAAAGAGATAACTGACATTAATCTTTCTCTTATGTGACACAAGAAAGATGATCTTTCCTGTTACCTCGGCTATACAATCAATTAATCAAATTCCTTTTCTTTTCCTTTGCCTTTTCTTTTCTCTATCGGGACTTTATGATTTTTATTGAGGTTTCAACACCATAACATACAGCTCATCTTCAAAGAGATCACCGACAAATACTAGTTGCTTTGAGCTGTTCACTACGCATATGTTCTCGCGTTTTTAGTCCGCCCTGCGGAGGCTGAATATTTCAGGGAGGGTCTGAAAAACGGAGATCAGAAGTGTACCAGTAAAAGGTTCACATTCTGGTTGTTCTTGCGCTTGGTGTTTCCTTCTCCTGCCCTCCCGGGGACAGGAAAACCAGCCATCTACCGATCATGGGAATGAAGAACGGCAATGGAGAGGGGTGTTTCTGCTCTGGAGACGCGCGTGCATGGTGATGTATCAGTTGTGCATTGTAGTACATACATATGCACTGACCAACATGAAACATGAAGAGAGAGGGGGGGAAAAGTGGCGAGTGAGGATGAGGTATAATACAAGGCAATAGTCTATATACAGCACTTCCTGCACATAAACACACAAACGTCGTAAAAATACAGGGATATATGATACATGCGCCCATGCAAATAAAAAGGTCATAAATACTTTGATACTTCCCTACGCTCGGGCGGAAGCAGAGGTATCCTCAGGATACGCCTCAGCTTCACCAGCGTTCATGGAAAGCTTCCGTACATCCCAACCTTCGACCCAGTCTTTCTTCTCGCCTAATAGGCACACAGAGCGTTGAGGGCTGTCAACCAAGAAACTCTGTGCAACCTCATTCACATCCTTCGCGGTTACATCAAGAAGCTGCTCTCTCCAGCGCTGGTCCATTTCATGTGTGACGCCACTCATGAAATATCTGGATCCTTCCTCATCAACGCTCACCGGGGCGTCAAGGCCTTGGAAGATACCGAGCTTGGCCTCATTCAATTCCCGATCAGACCAGGATCGATCACGGGCGAAAATGCCACTGTTCTGGAACACCTTCAGGGTATTGAGGGGATTCGGATCCCGGTAGCTAGTCAATGCAAAAATGCCCCTGATCGGACCATTGCTGGCTGCGGCACCATATGCACCACCCTTCTCCCGAATTTCCGGGTGAAGGTAGTTATGTGTAAGAAGTTGAGAAAGTACGCTGAGAGGTGCACTGGATTTATGAACGAACGGAACTGTCTGCATAGCCAGCCCCGAGTAGTAAACCTTATATGGCATATCATAAAAGGCTTTATGAGAAACTTGTTGCACTGACCCTGTAACCCCAGATGTAGGCGAGCGGACTTGAGGTAAGCCAGCTAGCCATTTCTGTAGAACTGTTTCATTCCAATGTGCGCTACTCGGCTCACAAACCATGCGGACACGGAAGCTGCATGATTTAGAGATAGCAAAAGATTGGATCAAACGAAGCTTCTCGATCAACTCTGCCAGGCGTTCAGGTGAAGTCTCGGCATCGCGCAAAAGATTAGCGGTAGCCTGTAGCTGTGCGAGACCAGACTGCTGCTCCTGTACCCAAAAGCTCCGAGAAAGGTTTGCAGCCGCAGCATTTAGGGCATAACGATGTCCCGACCCAGCAACAGTATCCAGGGCCCCATTCGTGGTTAGTCGCAGTAGCTCCTGAATCATACCTGGTGCATAGGGACTGGTAAAGTCCGTCTCTGTAATAAGAGTGGTCAGGATTTCTAACATTTCTGGGACGTTTTTATCTAGAGCAAAACCAGAAAAATGGAGACCCTCCTTGAATTTGCCTAGTTCAGTGGAAGACGAAGTGTGAAATGTGGATGAAGAAACTCCACCCGTCCTCAATTTGATCAAATCCTCCCACTGCTCCATTGACTTACTGGCGGTGCCCAGTCGCATGACACAATCGTTGAACAGGGGCATGAGCAAGCGGAGGTCATCCGGAAGGTCATCAAAAGCATTCAGAGCTTGGAAATACGTCAATCCATTGGTAGGGGCCTCGCGCCAGACGACGTCGATGTCATCGACCTTCGAATCCCTCACCGGTTTGCGCTCTTTCTCCCGGGAAATGTCCTCAACACGTAGAGAAGGCAAGCATCCAAGGTCAGCATGTTGTGCTTCCTCTTGTGTCTTGAGCAACTGCAGCTCCTCCTTCCTAAGAGTAGAGATGGCCTTCTCCATAGACCCATGTTGCTCAACAAGTTGACTAAGCTTATTCTCCTTCCGAACCATTTCCTGCTTGTCTAGTTCTTGGTGGAATGTAGGCGTACCGACCATAGTGAATGTTAGGCATTGATCGTTCATCAGATACTTCTGCATCAATGACTCAAGGTAACCTCCCTGCTGATATCTCTTCTTGAATTCACCGATGACCTCATTCCATGCGAGCTCCTTCATTGGATTTACACCGTTAAACCATGAGGAGATAGTCTTCTCCATGACCCCAATGCCGAAGTTTGCGGTTTTGTGCCTCAGTGCGAGTTCTAATTGGTGGAGAAAGCCCTGGACCTTCTCGTCACTGAAACCAGCGGAAAGACTGTCCTGATAGACCTTTCGAATGGCTTCTTTGACCTTTGGTGCTTGCTCCTCGCTAACACCAGTAACACCAGCAGAGAAGATGGGCACTCTTCCGGAAGTATCAAGTCCAGTGTTGGGAGTGAATGACGAGCCCAAGCCACTTTCGATCAATGCCCGATACATCGGTGATCCGTAGCCATCTAGGAGCAATGAGGACAGAATACCGGCCGAGAACGTCTCGACAACATCGCTTGTATCTCCTAGATACCAGGACGTGGAAGTCTTACATTGTTTGTCTGCGTCAGCGAAGGTATCAATGGGTCCAGGCACAGTCACATTCGAAGGCCCGCGGCTGAGATCGATGGGGAGTTTGACTGAAGTGTCGGCTTCTCCTTTGCTAAAGCCGTCCAATACACCACCAATTTGCTTCAAGTGAGCACTGAGAGGCATATCGCCGTAGGTCAAGAATTTGGCGTTACTAGGGTGGTAGTTCCGCTTCGAAAATTCGACCAGCTGCTTGTGTGTCAAGTCGGTGATATACTGAGGATCTCCCCCAGAGTTGTTGAGCGCTGGGAGAATGCTTTCTCGATACTTGATATAATAAAGGTAGTTCGCGTCTGAGATCTGGCCCTTCATTTCGTTGTATACAACGCCTTTGAACAAGACATCTTCTGGTTTTCCACTCTCGGCGTCACCGGCGCGCGGGTCTTCCGGCCCTAATCGCCATCCTTCCTGCCTGAAATCTTCTTCCTTGAGCAGCGGATGCAATGTAGCATCAAGATAGACCGATAGAAGGTTTTGAAAATCTTGTTGATTCGTTGTTGCAAATGGGTATGTGGTATGGTCGGCGGAGGTAAAAGCATTCATAAAGTTCGACAGGGATCGTGGAAGCATTTTGAAGAAAGGGTCACGGACGGGATATCTGAAGAGGCATTTCACATCAGCATATGATCCATTTGACAAGGGAAGAAGCCCCATTCTTCAACAGGCTTGGCCGGGAAAATCTTACTTTTCGCTACCGCATAGCGTTGTGTGTTCTAATATATGAGGAACGCCGGTCGCATCTGGAGGATTTGTTTTGAAACCCACTCCAAAGACATTGTTTTTGTCTTCCCTCGCCACGTGGAGGTAATCTGCATCTGTTTTGTCATGCTTTAACCGGATTGCAGTGAGATGTAGTTCTGGAACGTGTTTCTTTTCCTGGACGGTAAACCCATGAAGCTTTTCTCCCGCATCGGGATAGCTCTCGAGGTTAGTCACTGTCGATGCAGCTCTCCGAAACTGGTTCCACTGAGGTAAAGGACTGGATCTGAACCAGCGTCCATAGGTAGTAGGTTGCCGCAACACAGGCACTCGGCTTTTGCCTGACCCTAGAGATAATCGCAACATGGCGTTGCACAATGCCAAGTAAGGCACAGAGAAACGGGAGTTGGTTGAGGTACGCTGTCTGTAAGAAAGTCCGTTGGCGTCTCTAGGGTACCGAAGGTAAAGAATGGATCGGAAGAACCACGAGCACGTCGGCCGGACGGACCGGCAGGGATCGTAAAACCCTAAGGCACGCAATGAAATGGGATCTTGCGTGGATCAGGAAATGTTCCCAATGGCCGTCCGGTGAGGTACAATTGGCTTTTTCTAAATGATCGACGAAAAGAGAAAAGCGTGGCAGTTGGAGAGGTTGGAGAGTTGAAAGGATAATAAATCATTGGTTGCCAAGAGAAGTTTTCGAATCGGGGTTAGTCCTGGTCAAGTGCGCAACATCCCCCTCTTACCACTCACTGGCTTCCATTCGATCCTCTCTTCCCCGGCAAGATTCTCCAAAGGCCTGCCGTTCCCTCGTTGACCCCCGCAAGTCTCCATACTGTATTTTCAAGCACCAACTGCTGCTTGCCCTCGCTCCTGTGTCTTTTACTGACTCTGCAGAACTTGGGCTACGTAGGATCTCAGTGATCCATTACCTCCGAGTTCTGCAAGTCTGCCAAAAGGCTACCCGGGTTCTCTCCGCTAGTGTTCAACGTGGATTTAAGCCTTCCTTACTTCAGCCCGTCGATATCCTTCCTGTCGGGGTTGAAATTGGAAAGTATCAACGGACGTTGCGGGTTTGCCCCAGTACCACCGATTGGGTTACTCACACCTCTCTCACCGTCCCGTCTGCGCATTTTTCAATTCCGTGAATTGGCCACGCGACCGCCGCCGACGAAGCCGCGATCCGCTCAACTTGCTCTTGTCCTACCACTTGGTAACGATCGATCATGTCATCTGCAGCCATGTCGAAAAAGAACAAAGGGAAGAAAGTGGCCGATCCCAATGAGACATCCAAACTCCTCGCCGCGAAGATTTCGCAGCTGGAGCAGGATGCTGCTGGTGAGAAGGACCAAGAAGCGGAAATCGGTGCGTCATCTGCCTCTCGAGCTTGGTTTTCGCAAATGAGATATTTGTCGACTAGTATTTTTTTCGGGGTGGAGGATAGATACTAACTGACTACAGAGCGTGAAGTTAAGAAAGCTACACGAGACTTGAACCAGCTCCTAAGCAACATCGAATCTCCTATGACTCGGCTTGAAACTGTGCATAAGAAATACACTGAACTCCTGGCCGACATGAAAAAGCTGGATCGCGACTATTCTAAAAGCAAGAAGCGGGCTGATCAACTGCAAAAGGATCAAGATAAAGGGAAATCGGAGTTGAACAAGACCGTGACCATGAAGGACAAACTGGAGAAATTGTGCAGGGAGCTTACGAAAGAAAATAAGAAGGTCAAGGTGGGTTGCACTTACCCGCAATAATGCCGAGACGGAGTTCTGACAGCTTGTGCTCCGTAGGATGAGAATAAAAAGCTGGAGGATACCGAGAAGAAAGCGCGATTGATTGTAAACGAACGCCTCGATTCCCTCTTGTACGACATTCAGGATGTCATGGCTGCCAAGGGTAATCCCCGGAGTGAAAAAGTTGACATCGACCTAGATGAAGCGTGAGTACTGTTATCCGGCAAGGCACTTTCTGTTGCTGAGGGTTCATCCTTTAGGCTACGGGCCAAGATCAAGACCATCGGTGAGAAATTCGAAACGCGCGAAGTACATTACAAGTCACTCTTGCGCAGCAAGGATGCGGAGATACAGAGCCTCACTGCCAAGTACGAAGAGCAGCGCCGTACTGCCGAGAACGAGGCCGCTCGTTGCCGTGCTTTGAGTTCGCAAGTTTCTACGTTTTCACATACCGAGGCCGAGTTACGCAGCCAGCTCAACATATACGTGGAGAAGTTCAAGCAGGTATGGATCGAAGCTCGATGACCCGATTCGACTTTCGTTTTGATCGACTGGTAATAATAATATTGCAGGTGGAGGATACGTTGAACAACAGCAACGAACTGTTTCTCACTTTCCGCAAAGAAATGGAGGAAATGTCGAAAAAGACCAAGCGCTTGGAAAAGGAGAATCTCACGCTCACCCGCAAACACGATCAGACAAACCGTAATATACTCGAGATGGCCGAGGAACGTACTCGAAATCACGAGGAACTAGAGAAGTGGCGAAAGAAGAGCCATCACCTTGAAGCGCTTTGCCGTCGAATGCAAGCTCAAGGTCGTGGCCAAGGACTTGCTGCCGATCTAGACGGTGATGACGAGGGAACCGAGAGCGAATACGACGAAGACTACGAGGACGAGGACGAGGACGATGATGAGGGAATCAGTGATGATGAGTATGAAGATAGCACGGACCGGGACATGAACGGAGACCGCAGCGTACCACACCAGCAGCCTGAGAAGCCTGTATTCGGGCCACCGCCACCACCCAACCTCTTGGAGGCTCGAGCCAACGGGAACAAGGCCGTGCTCAACGGATGCCACTGACAATTGCCGTTATGGTTTATCTGTTGTCCCGCTTTTGTCTGCTTTTTGTGGAGTATGGTTTTCTTGGACCTATTGCCTACCTTGGTTGGTCATGGCTCTTTCTTCTGTCTGTGCTGGCAATGTCCCAACCAGGCTGGGTACTATCCACAATTTGTATTCGACAATCGGCCCTGTTGAACTGAACTAGCATCTAAAGGAGACGTGCACTGGTAGACTGTCTTGTGTGGTACTGGGCTATCTTCTGGAAAGCATATGTTAGAATGATAGGGCTTTTTGCATGAGGATCGTTGCTTGCCATTGCTCTCTGGTGCTACTAGTTAGCTATAGAAAGGCAGTAAAGCATGGTCTTTCAAGATTTTGTTCCCTTCGTTCTGTACTTGTATGTACATGTGAAAGCATGAAGTGTCTAAACGTTATTATTATGTTACTATGAAATCCAGTTCAACGTTACCCAACATGACAGCACCATATCCGAGATATTATAACACTCAAAGCTTGCTGGCAGATCCTGCCTTGATATATGACCCTCCTGTTCTCAGCCTCTCCACAGCTTGCTGGACCATTTCCCGTACAATCACACCAGCGGGCTTAATCTCCTTGATAATGGCCGAAACATCACCCATAATGTAAGGAAGCTCAACATCTTCCCTATCGCTCTCAAAGTCATGTTCCATGGGAACAACGCCCTTGGCTGTTAACCGAGCAATTTCCTCCGGCCGTTTCTCCCAGTCCTTGATGTAATCATTGGGTAGCATACGCAGTGGTCGCCCGGAGATGACAAGAGTTCGCGTCGTCTCCCCATACTGGGCTCCAACAACCGCCTCCTTGTGCAATCGACTTGCGCCGCTTTCCTCCGATGCAACAAACCGCGTTCCGACCCAGACACCGGCGGCGCCCAGCATCAGCGACGCGGCCAAACTGCGTCCATCGTTGATTCCTCCAGCGGCCACGACCAGGGCAGGTTGACCGGTCAGTGGGCTCTTGTATTTCTTCGCCACGTCGACGATCGCCGGGACGAGCACGGAGAAGGGGATGTCGCCTGTATGGCCACCTCCTTCACCACCCTGGGCGCATACAATGTCCACACCTAGCTTGAGCGCCTTTTCGGCGTGCTTAGGTGCTCCGACCATGTTCATGATCAAGATGCCGGCGTCGTGTAGTCTCTTAATGACATGATCTGGAGGTACGCCCACTGCGGAGACGAAGAGTTTTGCGCCGTGGGAGATCACGACATCGATGAGCTGGTCCAGCTGACCATGAGTGTAGTCGTGGTTTGTAGCACGGGCGCCTCCGCCGACTTGTGGTAGGGCTAGATCGACCCCGAAGGGAAGAGAAGGGTCCCGTAGGAGAGACTTGAGCTCCGTCAACATCTCCGATAGTTGCTCGGGCGTGTAGCCCAGGCCGCCGACTGTTCCCAGGCCGCCCGCATTGGAAACAGCGGCTGCCAGAGGGGCGCCAGATGCACGCGCCATTCCTGCCAGCAGGATGGGGTGCTGGATCTTGAGCAGCGAGCAGAGGGGGGTTTGTAGAGACATAATAGTAGTGGAAGAAGTAGTAGTTGGAGTAATTGACACTTTGTCAAAGATATATTATATGGTACGATGGGATTCAAGTACTCGGCAGTAAGTCCTCAAGGTTCTATATGAATGCAGTCAGCCTACGGGTTTAAGAATAAATGCACGGGGTGTTGATTTCACGCCTTCCGGCTCTTTTTAGCCGCGGCTGTTAGGGCAACCAAGTTTGACAGATGGTCTGTGAGCCAGCAATGGCCAGCGGGGTTTTAGGGACATTAATTCAGGAGAAATATAGTCAACTTGCTGTGACGATGCGGGGAAGCGGAGCCCTTCAAAGCTGATGATCGCCGCCCGGACCGAGGTTTCGGCTCTCTTTTCCATCTGCCTTTCAATACTATCTCAACTTCACCTGAATATCTTAGTTGTGTTCATAAGACGGCTGTATAAAATTTTCATAAACATGAGGAGGTATATGGAAACTTTTCTTCTCGCAAACTTTATACACTCTTTATTGTGATTATAATAACAATGAATCATAATAATTGGTCATACCCTTTCTAAACTTGAATTCTTCATAGAAGAGCTCCAAGTCATAGACGGGAGGACAAAGAACATACTATGATATGCCGATGGACGACAAGGAAAAAAAAGAGCAAAGAATCCCCAGACAGAGCATTGGATTCATCAAAGTTGCAGCACGGTCACCAAAACCAAGAATAACAGACGGGTGGAAGTTAAAGCAACATCTCGGCCAGCTGTTGCTGTCTGTGTCGTTGCCATGACCCCGTGAGTCCCCGTTACAGTTCCAGTTAGGATAGCAACATTGTCTTGTGGTCTCCTGCAGATCCAGAGATGAGTCCTACGCAACTTGAGAAGTCCAGGCCCCTGCAGTAAACTTACGCTGTACCATCAATCCCAACAGATTCTTGTCTTGATTCGTGCGACAGATCTTGAGAGGCCGTCGCGCCTGTCGCTGCCGTGTCGGTCTCCGTTGGCCAAGCATTATTAGCAACAGGCCCTGGTGCTGGCTGATAACCCACTGCCCCCTGAGGAGCGGTTATGAGAGACCCGGGGAGGCTTCGATGGAACAACCGATACGATAGGTTGTTTGCGAAGAAATCCAAACGGGACGCTTCAGCGAGAATAAATGGCACTAGGTTGATCACCATGAAGATGCCAATGAGGTCGTTGAATTTACGTGACACCCTCATATTCAATTGGACCAGTGTATGATGTTATTAGTCGCGTTTTAAACACTTTCCGATGCTATTCTGCGGAACTTTATAAACGGCATAGATTCAACGGCTATGATAAAAGAGGAATTTGAGGTGTAGAAGCGAGAGAGGCGCGTTCCATCTTAAGGAAGATGTCCATCCCCATATTCTGCCATGTGCCTCATACTCCTGTGTTCCTGCCTCGATTCCAGAACAGCAGAAAAAGGGAAGGAAAGAACATGACCAATCAAGCGACTACTGAAAGGATCGATATGTGACTCAAAATTGGTTAAAGAATGTGTGAACTTAAAGGACAGCAGCGCGCCCCTTGTGACATTGCGTTCGAATTATCCCTTTCAACTCACCTGCGAGGGTCTTACACTTCATGGACCTAAGGTTTATGGGGAAATAATCTTAATTTCCACCATCTCCCTTGGTTGTATCATCTACCAGCTGGCCGCTTACTGAAGGCCTTAGGTCTTTCAAGCGATCCCTCGCCAAGGTTCGCCTCGATTCCCAGGAATTCATACGATTCTTTGTCCTTGTAGCCAAGTATTGATAGGAACCTATTCCATATACAGTACCTGCTCTATGATGTTTGGTCGTGAATCGATATAGATGAATAAAATGGTGCATTGATTTGTCATTTGCTTTCACTAGTCTATCTAGTGTAGAGTGGTCTACCTGATTAAATTTGATGTATACCAGCTCTCATGATAAATAGCTTAGAAGTGATGTGCCCGAAGCGGTATTGTAATTACGCCGCCCGCGGAACGCCAAAAGACGCGTGATTCGCGCTCAACTCCAGTTGCCAGAGGATCAACATTTTCAGCAACACATCTAGCCACCTTTTATATAAACTCTTCTGTTCATGCGGCTCTCCCCCTACTGCTAAGTAGATATAGCTCCACAATATGGCAACCGGCAGTACAGAATATCAATTCCTGCGCCCACCAAGGTGTGTCCTCTCTTCCTAAATGTTCCTGAAGGAGCTCGGCCGGTTTTTCCTTGCGCGCGCAGCTATGTAAACAGTCTATGACTAATTTTCATTGTCCCCTCAATGACAGCGACGAAGATTATGCGCCAATCTATCGCGGTCCCTCTACCTACAACCCTTTGCACACCTTCCAATTGCCCTCCGGCCAAGAAAGGCACTACCAACAACAATATGGTGATATGTACTTCTTGCGACTGGCCAAGTTAAAACCGGCAGTGGAGGAGATCGCGGTAGAGACATGGGAAGGATTCAGCGTAAGCATTGACTGTTGGGCCTGCGACGATATTGGGCGAACTTTTATGTGGAATCGCAACAAACGAATCGGACGGGTTGGAATATTCCAGGCGAGCGCATGCTAACACTTTGGTAACCAGATCGCCGGAGAGCATGCTCGTCGCGTGGAAAGAGTGCTTGATGTGAGACAAGGAGAGCTTTGCTGGGTTGCAGGAACGATCTACATGGATATGCCGTTAAAGCCCAATATTCTGGAGGATCTGACGAAAGAGGCACGTCTGCCCTGCTCATTCTGATACACTTAGGTTCTCTAACACTCCAGGCAGAATTATACATTAGCACCCCCCCCTCGCCCGACTTACCTTGATCCCGCCCACCCTGAATTGACGCAGATCATGCTGGAAGACGAGTCCGGTCGTCTGCGATTAACCGGAAGCATGCTCAGATCTACCCAATTAGTGACAGGGGCTATAGTTGCTGTGTTGGGAACTGAGAATGCGAATGGTGACTTTGAGGTGATTGATATAAAGGTCCCTGACCTGCCTCGCCAACCTCTTCGGTGGGAAAGGGATGAGTCGAAGAAAGGTACAAGCAAAGGCAAAATTGCTTTTGTAAGCGGCCTTGGTATCACGGGGACTTCAAGCGATACGCTTTCGTTGGAGCTCTTGACAGACTATCTCCTTGGCTATACAGGTTCACCGTCGTCAAATGATGATGGAAATGCACTTCCGGATGCCTCTGCCATCACGAGATTGGTTATTGCGGGAAACTCTCTCGGTGCAAGCATGACTGTTGACCCTAACGAGAACGCAGCTGCTTCAAAAAAGAAGAGCGGGCCAAAGAAATATGGATATGATGCCTCGGCATACAATGCTTCTCCAATCACCCAGTTCGATAACTTCCTGGCCGAGATTCTACCCAGTATACCTGTTACGCTCATGGCAGGTGCAAGCGACCCAGCAAACTTCGCACTTCCTCAGCAGGGAATTCATCGGGCTATGTTCCCACGATCCCGGGCATATTGTTCCGGACCACCATCTGCAGGAGAAACTCCAGAGGCAGGATGGTTTGATAGCGTCACAAACCCATGGGAAGGTGACGTAGACGGATGGCGTTTGTGGGGTTCGAGCGGCCAGAATGTCGATGACGTTCTTCGCTATGTAGACTTCGCAAATACCAAAGGAAATATTGACGCTGATGGGGATGCTGAGGCCAGATTGAAAATCATGGAGGCCATGTTGCGTTGGAGGTGTGGTGTCCCTACCGCACCTGATACAATCTGTAAGTTCACATTTCCTACCTCGACTATTAGAATTGAAGTAGTAACTAAATAACCACAGGGTCCTATCCATTCCAAACACACGATCCTTTCGTGATGCAGGCTTGTCCGCATATCTTCTTCGCTGGAAATCAGCCGCAATTCAAGACCACAGTAATTGAAGGCGACGCCCCTTTGAAACTAAACGGCGCAGACACCGAAATGACAGGCACGGACGACAGCACATCCGGGCCACGGGTCCGTCTCTTATCCATCCCCACATTTAAGGAAACCGGCGAACTTGTGCTAGTCGACTCAGAGACTTTAGAAGCCGAAGTGGTCAAATTCGACACCTACGCCGGACAGCAGGACAAGCAATGATTATTGAATATGCATCCCGAGGCCGAGGGTTTATGAGATACCCAGAGGAAAACTTAACCCTAGATAGATAATACTTATACTTGGACAATATCAAAAACGGACGGGCAACCCGCAAATGCCAAGACTCGCGCATCAAAAGTTCATTTATGAAGCGTCCCACTTTGCTTGAATCTTGCCAAAATGAACAAAACACCCCACTGCTGCAGAACATACAATTTAAATCTAGATCGACTCTGCATACCTAAGTCTGGTAATATATGTCGTGTACGTAAATAGAAATTTTACCCAGACTAACCATGCTCCTAAACGCCAAAACTGGTACGTCCAATTCCCCCCCCCCCCCCCCCCCCCCCCCCCCCCCCCCCCCCCCCCCCAAATCCCAACAATCATCAAAAACACTACTTACAAACCCCAACCAGCCATTTCCACATCTGCGGTCCTCCTAGTCCCTTACTCTAAATGGCACGTCCCCCGCTACCACGAATGGATGAAGGATGAGGTACGTATCTCTCCTCTACAATACGTACTAGAAAAAACTAAGACTAGGCTAGGAAATCCAAGAAGCAACGGCCTCAGAACCCCTCTCCCTAGAAGAGGAATATGGCATGCAACAAAGCTGGCGCCAGGACCCGGACAAACTCACCTTCATCGTCTGCCAGGGACCGGGGAGCTCCCCGCTCCGCGACGAAGATGACAGCCCCGAGCGGATGGTCGGGGACGTAAATCTGTTCCTGCGCGTCGAAGACGGCGAGGAAGAGGGTGCGGCGCCGCAGGTTGTCGGCGAGATTGAGCTGATGATTGCTGAGAAGAGGAATCAGCAAAGGGGGTTTGGGAAGGCGACGCTGTTGGCGTTTTTACGGTACATTGTCGAGCATGAGGAGGAGATTGTGGAGGAGTTTGTGAGGGGGCAGGGGGGGAACTTGGAGGGGGTTGGTGGTCGGTTGTCGTGTCTGAGTGTTAAGATTGGGCAGGGGAATGAGCGTAGTTTGAGATTGTTTGCGGGGGCATTGTTTCGGAAGGTGTCGGAGGAGGCGAATTATTTTGGGGAGTTTGAGCTGCGGAGGACGGAATTGAGTCGGGAGAGTGTTGTCAATGGGCAGGATTATGTTGAGTTGGGGTATGGTAGAGTTGTGTAATGTATTGTCTGATATCTAGCCTACTTAACTATATCTATATGAAAAAGACTCGCACCGGTCCTTTTACTAGTATAGTGTCAACGGGCCAGAGTGGATTTCCCGGACCAATGAAATGCAGATTGTGCCTGAATCATGTCCCATGCGTTTTCCTGCAACCGCAAGAGATAGATGGACTTCCTGAAGTTATTTGACAACTTAACACACAATACCTCAGTTTTTCTCTCTGAACGCCACCCCCGGCTAAACGACACGTATTAACTTTCCCTTCCATGCCACTCACGGGATTATAAGTCTCCCAACTAATGATCCGCAGATAGCTCAGCCCACTAGGCTCATCAACCCCCTCATAAAGGATTCGAATCCCTCACTCTCACCCTCGCTCCCCGCCTCCCCCCTTTTCCCCAATCTCCGACTTCTATCTAACCTACTACCTCTTGATAGATATCATATCGTTATCGGGCCCAACCATGAAATACCTCACACGGTGGCGCTCCAAACGCAAAGCACCCGGCATCCCAGACAAATATCAAGCCCCCGAGCCCGAAGAAATCCAAATCCAACAGCCAGCACAACCAAATGATGCCGCCGCCGTCCCCGGCCCACCCTCCATCCACGCAACGTGGTTCAATGTCCACGATCATTCGGATTTCCGGAGCATCAGCATCAACTTACCCGCCACCATGGACGAGATCACCATTGCTATCGGAAACCATGTGAAAGACGGTGCCTACCACATCGTCAGCATGAGCGCCAGCGCATACTCGATAACGGTAGTCTGTTCGACGGAGAGATCGCGAGTGGAGTTCGGTGAGTTAGTACAGAAGATGAAGGGGGAAGTGGGCAAGAATGGGATCATTTCGCCGGAAGAATTGATGCTGCTTCGGGAATGGGAGGCGAAATGGGGCGTAGTGGAGCAGATGCCTACGGTGGAGGGTGTACTGGACTGGGATTCGGAACCAAATCATCGAGGTTAGTAGATTCCTTCCTTCTCCGGCGGTTCTTTTTCCCATGTACTCTGTTTATTGATTGATGTTGCGTTTTGCCCGGTTAGTGTTGAGCGCTCGACAGAGCACCACGGACGTGTCTGGGAGGCGGGATTGGAATTGAAGAGTTGCAGTATCTACTTTGATGAATCTATACCCATATATATATATGTGTGTGTTTCTTGATGGGAGGCGCTGCTAGTGTTTTGTTCGTACTTGGTCTGTGTGTGTTGGAAGTAGGCTACCCTCCATAGTTTACCGAAGGAAAAGTTGCGATATTCACATCTGAAGGATAATAAAGCTAAGCTATGCACAGAATATGAACATTGCCGATAGATTGCAAGGTAGTATAGAGAGACAGACCACCCTCCCTTCCCTCAGTCCCTATGAGACTATACCATTCGATATAAGACTCCCACAGACCTCAAGCTTAGTTCCCGGCTTTAACCGCTGAAAAGCTTGGGTCCGGGAATGGGGTATCCGTCACCCAGGCCACTATAGATATCGAACTTAATGCCTGCATCCGTGTCCTTGTAAAGGGCCTCGCCGGCGGTGCCGGCAGGCGTAGCATCTCCGCCACCAGTGACCTTGATATTGATGCACTGGGGGTAATTCTGAGCGCCGTCCTTCTGGCCAGCAGAATGAAGACCAATGATCTCGTGGCGGAGAACGTAGTTGCCATCCTGTATGCTTTTCGGGACGGTGAGACTCCAAGTGTTGTTGTTGCTGATCAAGTCATCAGTCGCCCAGTGGCCTGGGGGGCTGCTACCGTCAATAAGGCCCTTGGCGTCGAACTTAAAGAACTCCAGGCTAGTCTTGTCCACTGTGGAGCAGTCGCCACCACAGGGGGCGAGGTAGCTGATGACAGGGCCGTGGTGGCTCTCAGGCCAGTCAGTCCACTGGAATTCAATTTTGGAGCCAGCGGCAACCTCAGCAGTCAGAGCACCTGGCTTTCCACTCTTGTGACAGATGATATCGGGAGACTGGTATCCCGTGCCGTCCACAAATCCGAGGTCTGTGGCAGAGGTGGACCAGCCAATGGTCTCTGGGGGGTTGTCGCTGTAGGCGTACTTATCGACGAGGTATCCGCCGTAGCTAGTGAGGGTGTTAGCTTTTGCACGACTAATTCTACGCATCTGACGACATACTATTTGCCATCAACGACTATTCCGGACACATAACCGTGGGCAGCGACGAGAGAGGCAGAGGCCAGGAGACCAGTGATAGAAGCGATCTTGGACACGGCCATTATGGTGGTTGAATTGGAAAGTACCAAAGGATATCAAATCCGTAGCCAGTGATTGAAAGACCTGCTCGATCAGAGGCGTAAAGAAGGAATGTGAGACAGAATGTGCTTGAAGACAAGACGAACAGGTTGTCGACGGCACCTCGAGAGCCTTTTTATATTGTTCTTCGTGCACATTAGGTCTTGCCAAATTCATTTTACCCTGTTCATAGCAGGAAGAGGGTAATGCTCCACTCTTGTGACCATGGGCAACCTGCGACACTCGGGTCTGTGGATGATATTATCCGGGATTATTTCGGTGGCAGGTTGATGCGCTTCGTTCTTCACACTTATTATGCACGAAGACCAATAGAACCTAGTGGCGTTGGTTTTAATTAAATGAGCGTTGGTTGTTCTGCAGCTTGCACCTTTGCATATCCCGAGCTCAAGCATCTTCTTGTAGACTATGCTGGATAAATGGATGCACCCCTCGGCCACAGTATGTCCTCCAATTCTGCCAAATTTGAACAAGGTGGTCCACTCATGACATTTCCTTTTATACGGAAGAGGTCGAACGCCCCGTCATGTGTTAAGCGATCGGCGGTGTTTCCACCAAGGAGCGTACTCCAAGGGGAGTGCCCGCTGGGCAGCTAATGCCGAAGCTGATGATCTGTCGGATTGACGGACCGGTGGAAGATATGCCATCGACTCAGGTACAACAACCCTAGGCCCTCTATATCTTTAGACTGGTATCATGTTGCTGCATTGGCTCTTCAGCCCAGTAAGACGAGAGGGGTCTCCGTGGTCCATCTAGCATAGAGATCATCTACAAGAAACTTGCCGTGACCTGGGAGGTAATGATTAGCGCTCCGGTTCTAGCTCTACTTCCTGATTCGAGGATACCTCTGCACTATAACGCTGCCTCCAAATTGCCGGCATGGCAATCAATCTTGGCATATAACCAACTTTAGTACATCATAGACCGTAATAGAATATTATCCGTCATTCGAAATTGACATAGACAGGATTATAGAGGATGTCAATACGAAGAAGGGCGACGATCATTGGGTTCTGCGACAGTAGAAGATGGAGGAAAGTTGACAAGTGTTTCACTAGAGGCCCGCCAAGGACCCTAAACCACAATATAGCCGGTCTGTCCCATGCATAGATCATACTATTCCAACGTCCTTTTATCCACTCTTGATTATTTGGCGATTCCCAGAAGGGATCGTCGCCTGTAGTCCATGCCGTCTCTTCCACATATAAATACCAACAAAAACTAGTCATCGGCGTGCCTCATGTCTCCAAACTAGCGAGTGGTCTAGACAACCACCAGTTTCAGAAGGCCTTACAAATACCAAACCCACAGCACGTCTACTTTCTACCCATAGGATCTCCATGGCGGCAAACAGGATCTCAATCAACGTAGCAAAAGACCTTAGTAACATTGGAAGTTGGACAAGATGCACGGCATTTCAACTGTTTTTCTCTTCATTAGGTAATTGAACCCAGGGAGCTCCGACCAAGCATCCTCTGGAAGTTGATTTAGATATGTAGGTCGTCTGGCCGGTGAAAAGCGCCGTTCCTGACTTATAATCACAGCATCCGACAGACGCAGGAATACCAATCCTCCTGGACATCAAACAAGTTGGATTGATACTTATTCCAGTGTCAGCCCACAAGCATCCATGCCTATGCCAAATCCCATTCGACAGTCGACTTATGCTTCGGCAACCGTCCTCCGAGCCCACTTCTCCCTACTTCCAATCATTGAAGGTATTTACAGAGCCTTCTTCTTCTCGCCCTTGGAGACATCAACGACCTTGAGAGCTGTTGTAGTAACAACGTCAGCATGAAGTTCCAGGCATCTATGGTCGCATGATCATGTCTCATTTCATTTCCCAAAAGTTCCATCTAAGGTATGCAAACCGGCGGAGCGAGGCAGACATTCAAGTCCGAGAAACAACCGAGGGTTATCGGGAAAGCAACGCACCTGGGGGCAAGCTCTGCTTGAGCTTGTCGGCCTTGTCGGAGTCCTTCAGGGCAAGGGTGTAGACGAAGCGCTGGCAGCGGACCTTGAACTTGATCTGCTGGGACTTGCGGTTGCGCTTGATGCGGGCAGCTAATCACAAACATCATCCGTTAGCACCATTGATCCAACCATAACCCTTCCATCACCGGGCAGAGCTCAGCGGAGAGCTCCAAACCCCCAACCCAAAACAACCCGACTGTCTAGAGGCGTGCAAAACGTACAGGAGGCATCCTTGCGGCGGCAGATCTCAATGAACTGCTTGATGTCGGAGATTTCACGAGGCATGGTGGGCGGTGATTGGGGACGTAAGTCGGGATGGTCGAGCAAAAAGTCGGGACAAGTGAAGGACAAACGCGATCTCGAAGTCTCGACGGACTTGCGGGCGTCCGGACGGTGAGGCGCTAACGTTGTGTGGGAATTGTTAGGGTTGTCGGACGGGAAGCCCTGAGTTCCCATGCGCCAAAGGAAGGTGGCGTACCACGTATGTGGCATCCACTGGAAGTGGCGGTGCAATACTAGGCGGCAACTATACTCGATGTAGACAGGTAGTATAAGGTACTTTCGGCGACTCTCAAGCCTAGAACATCAACGTCACAAGCTTTCTCAAATTGAAATCTGTCATCTTTCCTATCTATATAAATTCACTTTCATATTATATTCGTTCAAGAGATCATATCTAATCCAAAATGCCAACCGCGCTGGATCGAGCAATGCACTCAAAGGTTCGTACAGTACATAATCCCAGGTGATGTTCTCCAATCAGCTGACAGACGTTTAGAATCTTTTTCTAGGTATATATCAGCAGTGGTAAGCAATAGAAAAGAAATCATCTGACATCGACTCATTCAGGGTTTGCTGGCATGGTCACTGCGGCAGCGGCGTGGGCCATATGGGGTAGCGATATGTTCCCGACAGAATCAGACCCAAGCGGAGGCAAGGATCGAATGTCCCATCATCATTCAGCTTTAAAAAGCTAACTTCTTCAAAAGACCCTGAAACCTGGACTGCTGAAGAGATGAAAAGATGGCTTCGTCTTGTATGTAGCTCCATTTTTTAACAAAGCCCAAAGCATCACAGAACAGCTTCACGTATAAATTATTTTTTCGACTCTAACGGTGAGCCAGAGAGGACTCATGCCGAATGAATCTGCCACACGTGAAGAGCTGCTGGAACGAGTCAAAGCAAACTTGCGCATACCGCCGAGGTCCTCGACATGATCGCAGTATTTTGTTATGTTGTAAAATGTGCATTCCAGAGTTCATGTTGGATCCGTGCACATTGTTGGGTACTTGCAGCGTTTCCTCAGTTTTTGTTTGTAATGTGGATCAAATCATTTTGTCGTTCCGTACTTATTACCCCCTCTTCCCCCCGCCCCAGAAAAATATTATCCCACTGGCATCATTAAGACACTTGGTGAATCTGTGGACAGTCTCCAAAAAGATGCTTTCCTTTCTTTGAATGCACTATGTATATATTTGTCAAACAACGAGTCGGAATGTCTGAGATTCAATAAGCCACTCTCGCTTGCGTTTGCCCTTTGGGCCATCGGCGGAAGGATTTGGCACCAGCACAAAGGTCTCGCTAAAACCACGCTGCGGAAGATCGCGGGACTCTCCAAATCGTACGTATCCACTGACCAGCACTAGAACTGACTTGTCCTTGAGGGTGGCTTGGTTTGGAGCTTTGAATCCAGTTGCAGTAGGTGTGGGATATGCTTGGTTGATGATTTGGCAATCAAACGACTGCACTTCGTAATGCGCTGGCGGCATCTGGTTGACGAAAATTTCTTGGACCGCTTTACCATCGGCGACAACATTTCCGTTAAATAGGATCATTGAAATAGTTTGGTTGTAGAAGGAGGATATCGTTGCGCGGTTGGATTGAAGGGCGGGGTAGAATGACTGGACAAATTCCGTGGCCGCTAGAAGATTTCAGATTAGCAAATAGACCATAAGGGAGAGATTATGACGCAGTTTGAGTGTACCATCCGTAGAGACTTTAGTGAGAACATCTTCACTTGTGGGAGCCATCACAAATGAAAGGATCGGTTGATGCTAATCCTGGCGCGCGATCGGAGAATGCAGTCTCCAAAGACCTAGCAGCCCAAAACTCGGGAGTAGGTGAATATATAACAATAACACAACAATAACAACAGTAATAGAGTGGTCACTTTCGTTGAGGCTATTAGGTGGTGGTGAAGAGAAAGAGTAGGAAGGAGAAAAAAAGGTACCGGACGGAAGCTTAGGCCACCCGGAGATTAGCCTCTCCAACTCCGATAAATCAACCCATCAAAAGTAGTCTGGCCATTGGAGTCACCCTCCGATATTCTTCTCCGCATCAATTTACCAATGGCTCTTCCTAGAGCACGATTTCGCACCCTTTCATGGGCTAGCCAATTTCTGGCGTACAAACGTCCGTCTTGGCAATGTACAGCCTGCAGAACTCTTCTCCAGACTCCAATTATTGCTCTGCGCAGATTCGCGACAACGGCTTCCGAAGAGCCTAAGAAACCATACTATGTGACAACACCTATTTTCTATGTGAATGCCGGTAGGTATATCCTGTCATGGACCAGTGGGGTCTTTTCTTACTACCGTAGCTAACTTCATATCGCTTTAGCCCCTCATGTCGGCCATCTATACACAATGATAATAGCCGACATCCTAAAAAGATGGCGAACACTCCGCGGTGACAAAGATGCCCAACTATTAACCGGTACCGATGAGCATGGCATGAAGGTGGGAGACGAGTTTCCTACTGTAAGGAATTTATGGTGTTAATGGTATCGTATAGATCCAGCAAGCTGCCCTGGCCGCGGAAATGGATACTCAAGCTTTCTGCGATATGAATTTCAAGACCTTCGAGGTGGGTCCTACTCTCACAGCCTACCACACCATATGTTTTCCATCGCACGGATTGTTGACAGTCTAGATAGGCTTTAGCCAAGGTGGCAAACATGGATTACAATTATTTCATCCGGACGACAGAGCCAGCGCACAAGGAGTCTGTACAGTACTTCTGGGTAGGTGATCAAATAACCCTTTGAGCGCTGCGTAGCAAGACTAAACGGGCACAGGAGATGTTGAGTCACAGAGGCTATATCTATACTTCTAAGCATGAGGGTTGGTACTCAGTTAGCGATGAAACGTTCTATCCCCCGTCGCAAGTACACAACTCACTAGATCCTACTACTGGGAGGAAAAGAATGGTATTAGCTCACAAATAACTACGCCCGTCTTAAGACAGCGAGCTAATTTCATAATGTAGGTCTCCGCCGAAACTGGGAAAGAAGTGGAATGGTCCTCGGAAACGAATTATCACTTCCGCCTGTCTGCCTTTCAGGAGCGTCTGTTGGACCTGTACAAGACAGGGTTCATTACGCCTTCAAATTATACGACAGAAATAGTTAAGTCGGTCTCTTCTGGGCTCTCAGATCTGTCGATCTCCAGGCCCGCAGAGCGGCTAACCTGGGGAATTCCCGTTCCTGGCGATGAAACCCAGACCATCTATGTATGGCTGGACGCACTTGTCAATTATTTGACCAAGGCGGGATACCCTTTCCCACCTGGCCAAGAAGGCCGTCATGGGTGGCCGGCAGATGTGCATGTGGTCGGCAAGGATATTGTTCGGTAGGTGTCGTTCTTCGTAGGGAACTGCAGGCGCAAGACTGACGATCGCGCAGTTTTCACTGTGTATACTGGCCAGCGTTCCTCATGGCACTGGATCTCCCCCTCCCCCGTAATGTTCTCGTCCACGGGCACTGGACGATTAATCACGAGAAGATGTCAAAATCTACAGGAAATGTTGTGAACCCCTTCTTCTCCCTAGATCGTTTTGGTGTTGACACGATGCGCTTCTTCCTTGCCTATCAAGGAGGCTTGGCGGGGGATGCGGACTACGATAACTCCTACATCATCCGTGATTACAAGAAATTGCTCCAATCGGGCATCGGAAACTTGGTGCTCAGAACGATTGGCTCTTCTAAAGGGAAATTGCATTCTTACATTGCCAGCGGAACGTCTGGCGAGCTTCCGACAGCAAATGAGCAAGATTCGCAGTTCGAACAATTGCTGAGGGAAATCCCTGTCAAGGTGGCGGAACATATGGAGGGCCTTAACCCTCGTGCCGCATTGCAAGACATTATGGTGCTAATCGAGCAGGTAAGACTACCCACTATATTTAGTATTGGCAAGGTCACGCTAACACCCCTCCTCAGGGTAACAAGTATATCCATCTATCGGAGCCATGGAAGGATGCTGTCAAGGCTCAGCGTGTGTTGTTCAATGTCGCCGAATCCCTCCGGATTACCGGCATTCTCCTACAACCCTTTATGCCCACCAAGTCTAAGGAGCTTCTAGATGTTCTCCGCGTGGATGGTGCCGATCCCTCCAAGCGGGCATTCTCGGCGGCAGTCTTTGGATCGGATTCAAGTTATGGGGAAGACATGAAGAAGACGGTCTTGTTTCCCCCTCTTATCGTGGAGCAATAAGCGTCAGAAATCTTTTCGGTTTGATAACAAAAAAGCTCCGGAAGCCAATCATAAAAATAAATTACAACCCCAGGTTGCGATCTAATTGGCATTTTTCTCCACTGACGCAAGGATCAGGGAAGCGTCGCGAAGCTTTTCCCGATTTTGCTCGATGAAATTGGCTTGCAAGGTTTCTTTTCCCTCCACGCTCGCCCCCATAGAGGCGGTTTGCGTTATGTCATGGCCAATCCAGAGTTTTGCTCGATCCCACAAGGTTATCAGCGGGAAAAGCCCAGATCCACGACGTTAGGAGCGTGATTGATATCGGGGCGGAAAACTCAGGAGTTTCCCGCGGCAAACCTTCTATGTGGTATCGGGAAGACATCCACTTGTATATCAGTGATATTATGGTGTTCAATACGGTGTATAATAATATAATGGAAGGGTGTGTTTTTTGTTGTGCTTAGATATCTTCCATTTCCTGTTTGATTCCCCCTTTGCTACCAGATATTCTTCCACCCAAGTTGTTCACCTTGCATACTATTTTGATCCTCTACTGCGTGCCAACTATATACAATCTCCTATCTCTCCTATCTTTCTATTCTCCGCCAACAACTAGCCCAGAACCATAGGCAAACTAACCTACCATCATGGGTAGTGTCGCCTTGCAGGAAGTACAGCCATCCTTCAAAACACCATGGGTACAGACGCCCCTCGTGGAGTCTGCCTCTCTTTCCCGCGCTGCAGGATGTAGGGTGTTTCTAAAGCTGGAGAATGTCCAGCCCAGTGGTTCATTCAAGTCCCGTGCAATGGGCAACCAGATCCTGTCACACCTCATCAAGCCTGAAAACGCCAACCGCCCAGTCCATTTCTATGCCTCCTCTGGCGGGAACGCAGGCCTAGCTGCTGTCTGCGCAGCCCGCAGTCTAGGATACCCCTGCACAGTGGTCGTACCAGTATCGACGAAGCCCTTGATGGTACAGAAGCTCCGTACCGCAGGCGCAGCGGATGTCATCCAGCATGGAGAGACGTTCTCCGAGGCCGGCGAGTACATGCGAGAAGTGATCATGAAGAACAAGGACGATAACGAGTGCGATAACGTTGCGAAGATTGCCCTACACCCGTTCGATAATGAACCTATCTGGGAAGGAAATAGTACCATCGTGGACGAGCTCGCTGCCCAACTGCCTCCCCCTGCTGGTGAAGAAGAAGAAGCCACACACCGTGGCCGGCCATTACCCGTGGACGCTATCATCTGCAGCGTTGGAGGCGGCGGCCTTCTCAACGGCTTGGTCATGGGCATTGAAAGACACCGTCAGCTTCAGAAGATGAGCATTAATTATGCCTCCACCCCTGTATCCCACTCTCCGTCAAACCCTATCAACCTCCTCGCCATCGAAACACTAGGCACCGATTCCCTTGCTACGGCCGTCGCTAAAAAGTCCCTCGTCTCCCTCTCCAAGATCACATCCCAGGCTACATCCCTGGGTGCTATCCGTGTTTCAGAAAGAACGTTCCAATATGCCACCGCCCCCCCGCAGGGTATTGCCGTGCACACTGCTGTCCTCTCAGATGCTGATGCAGCAAGGGGTGTACTGCGTCTTGCGGACGATGAACGGTTGCTTGTTGAGCTTGCATGTGGTGTTTGTGTCGAGGCTGCGATTGGTGATGCGGCGAAAGCCCGGTCATCATCATCAGATTCCGTAACATCTGGAACTAAGAAGCGGAAGAGAGATGTTGCAGATTATCCTGCCCACAGAGATGAGGGCTACGGTGATGACCGGTCCTCGGCGACCGAGAACGAAACCGAGTCGGAAGAAGGCAGTGACTTCTCATCCAAGCTCAAGCAGCTTGTTCCAAATCTGAACTCGGATAGTCGTGTGGTTATTGTCGTGTGTGGTGGAAGTAATATTACGATTGATATGGCGGCGGAGTGGAGGAAGCTGCTTGATGAGGGTTGGGGCAACTAGTAATTGGTTCTTTATTTATAAATGATTCTGGCGGACTCTTGCATTTTCCTTGTCTTTTCGGTTATGTTTTATGTCACCTGTCATGATTGGCGTTTAGATCTACCAAAATTTAATGATGAAATATTAAAATGATATCTACAATTCTCTTGAGCATACATTAACCCCCGTAGTTTGCAATTGATCCCCAGAAAAAAGAAAAGAAAAAAGGAAGAGGCAAGAGATCAAATTAAACCCTATTTACATGACGCTTCATGCCGAAGCGGAAATCTGCGTTGGAGCAATCATACGAATTCGATAATCCCAGTAATTCTTCCGGATGGGATCATACTTGTCCTTCAGTAGGGTAAACATTCGCACGGCCTCGGCTGTGGTTGATTCGCCCTCTTCCGCGTACACATCCGCCAGCCATTCTACAGCATGGCTACTCTTGACCTCAACATCTACCACCTTGTCGTTCTCAGACTCCTCCAGGACGAACTTCTTAACAAACTCCTTCCACTCGGAGAGGGGCCGGCCAGCCGCCCGCAATACACCACGGGCATATGCCCACGGGCTGCGATTTTCAGGAGCACGAATAAGTTTGGCCTTGGCATACTCCAGCTCAGCGTCGACAAGGTCCTCGTCGACCACGGCCAACCTGCCCTTCTCGGGTGGAGGCGCGGTACTATTCGGCATACCACCATCTGGCTCGTCGCTGCGTGGGCCGAAGCGGAGCATGAAACGATGGTTCCAGGCGGAATTATTCCTCAAGTCTTGTGCTAGGAGGAAATCGACATCCTGGATCTCTCGGGGCTCGTCCCAGAGTCTAAAATGTCGAACTAACCAATGGCGGTAGGTCCAGACGTGGTAGTTTTTGGCATCTTGCTTGAACATCTCCATGAGGAAGTCGAGCTCCCCGGATGGGAGTGTTGGGAAGTTTTCCCTAGAGGACATGAGGACCTGGCGGTGGTGCCTGCAATTTAGAGGTTAGACTATACCTGTGCTCGGATACTCCTGTATGTTGATACATACCATATTTGGTAGTTCTTAAGATACTTCAGAGACATTTTGTTCAGCCATTCGAATTCTTCGGTGAGATTCTTCTTTAGGGCAAAAAGAATTTTAACACGGTAGATCCTGAATATTCATTGTAAGTGATTTGTGTATGAAAACATGCCACGGAATATATTATGTGCTTACCAGACAGTGTAATGGGCCGGGTTCATGGCGATTACATCGTCAGTCAGTTTCAGTGCCCTGTCGGACATTTCATTGGCAGCCATTACTGCTCGTAAATATGAAGTAGCCTCAAGGTATTCAGCTGCATAGGCAATAGTTGCTAAGGGAATAGCCCCAGTTTCCGAGCCATCATTGAGCGGGATCGGTTCGACGGAGGCCCATACCGGGTCTGTTGAATATTTTCCAGACATTTCGAGGGAATGCACTTTCTCCGGTATATTTAGGGGTACAATAGATGGTAATATCAACCGATGCTGTTGGTGTTGCGATCGGCTTAAGAAAGTTCAACGAAGATATACCAAGACAACCCGATCACACCGCGCACATCAACTGCTTTAATTATTCAAGTAGAATACCATGCAGTCGACTGTAATGTAATTAGTTTTTGAGCAGTTTTAGTGCGTGCGACATGAGGATTGTAGTGAGCCTCTTTAATGGATTTAGAATGAGAAATGAATGAATGAATTGAGAGCTATGGTGGGGCCGTGACCGTCCAGGCCTGAGGCATCCTACCAGAACAATAGGGAAATCAATGGTGACAATGGATGGTTAGGAAACAATACTCTCTTTCCTGATTTATTCAATCTCCCAAATACCAATGTTCTGCCTCCTCAATGATTTTACGAGCCATTGCCAATAGATAGTCTTCAGGTCCACGATGCGCGCACATGACCAACGGTCACATGAGGGGCCATCGAGATCTCCAAATTCCCCGAAATGGGCAAAGATCCCGGGCGCACTCCTATTGGCCACCCAGCATCCAAACTGATAACAAGAAGATTTTCCCCGCATAAGATATTGTTTCTCTCCGGAAAACAGACATTCTCTCTGCCCCGGCATCATGATGTTGCTATTCTCATCCGCGTTATCCGGAGTCCACAGTGAATGAACCGATCGATTATGCGGCGTGTCAAGAAATCCCGCAACGGCTGTGCCAGGTGTAAGAGCAAACGGGTATGGTCTTAACCTTCCTCCGCATCCGCTTATCTCTATATGTGATTATGCCCAAGGAACAGTTAAGGTTAAAGAAGAGAGTCAAAGAATTCAAGCTAACTGAACCATCTCAATAGGTCAAATGCGGGGAAGAGAAGCCTCATTGTAGTCGATGCACTCGTTTGGGGGTGAGGTGCCCCGGCTACGTCCAGTCTTTGCGCTGGGTGACCAAGTATCCATCCACTACAGAGGGTAACGATGGCAATGATCACCCGGATGAATCACCGCTAGGGTCCGGCCATTCCACAGCTCCGGGTCCGTCTACTGCCTCCCCCGGTCCATCGCAGTTCCCCGATACATTAATACAATCTCCGTTGATTGAGGGTGATGCGAAGCAGACAACCACTCACAATACCCCGGCGCCAAGGGGATTGGGGCTAGATGGCAACAGTACTCTGGATGATGGCTTGTGGGATCTCCCAGAGCCAGGCTCTCTCCCTGAACTAGCAGACCTGGGTCCGTCGCCAGCTTCAAGATCACCCTCTGCAGTTGGACCCGAGCGAGGAAGCTCGATATTCGACTTTAGTACCCGAATTGATCCGGAAAGTCCCTGGAACTTGTTTCTCTCGAGAACGCCTGATTCCCAGCATGAGTTACCTAACTTTTTCGGCTTCTCACCTGCGGCCATTGTACGGAAATATCCTCCACCAAACTCCCGACCACCCCAGCGCGACCTCACGTCCATTCCTCAGCCACTAAATAACCCGTCCTGGACACTCATTGAATACTATTTTAAAGAGGTAGCAGCTCTATTCTCGAGCTATGACAGTCAAATGAACCCTTTTAGGTCGACTGTGTCCCGCCTTTGGGGCTCCTCATTGGCCATGTGTAAGACCATGCAAAGTATGGCAGCAGCCACACTAGTGAATGACTTCCCGCAATTTGGCCCATTGGGACGTAAGCTACGTAACGAGGCTGTCGACGTCATTTCAAAAGAGACTAACTTAGATGACAAGTCATTGTTAGCGTTACTCATGCTCGGCCAAACGGCCAGCTGGCACGACTCCAAGGATCTAGGCATATCGTTCTTCAATCTGCTTCGGAATCACCTTGATACCAAGCCCTTAGAGATTGCCAATACAGAACGCGGTAATAATTACCAATTCTTCCAGGAGGCCTTGGTATACTGGGAAATGCTCCTAGCATTCGTCGCGGACGATACAACAGTCCTATCCGGAAGTGCAGCTGCAGAGGCAGACGGGCCACTAGTCTTACAGAAAATTCCACATCCATGGACTGGGATCGCCTGTGATACCCAGTTCACCGTCCAGGAAGTAGGCAGACTTGTGCGTCGCGAGAGAAAGCGCATCCGCTCGAGGTCATTCACCTCCCGTGCCGATAATGCTCAGGCTCAAAAGGCCATAGAGCACGCGCGGGAGTTGGAAGAGCGACTCCTTGAATTAGCACATCCTGCTGAGGCCGAAATAGTCAGCCCAGGCGACGACGAGACCCCCGTATGGCACCTGTTAACTATGGCGGAGGTGTATCGCTGTACTGGCCTCATGCAACTATATCGTGTCTTCCCGGACCTCCTTCACCGTCGACTATCCGGACAGCAACCTTCCTCCCAACCTTATAATCAACAGCCAAGTGCAACCCCTCCAGACCCATTCCCATCCGTAGATACAGCCTCCGACCTAATCAACTCGGTTTGGCTCGATCCGTTATATTTCCAACCAGAAAACAACGGACCATCCGACCCAGGAACTTTTCCAGACCCCTACTACGATAGCTGGCTAACAGAGTTCGCCTTGACAACTCTCTCCCGTTTAAAAACGATCCCCATCGAATCTCGCACCCGATGTCTCCAGCCCCTTTTGCTCGTCGCGTCTAGTAGCGAACTTCGTCTACCCCGATCAGTGGTTTCGCTGGATAACAATGGCCCCAATATCTCCTCGCATGCCATCGAAGTCTCTCGGACGCGCCAGTTCGTCCTCGGACGACTCACATCGTTTTTGCATGTTTTGCCCCCGAAGCCGATCGATGTCTGCTTGCAGCTTGTGAAGGAAGTTTGGAGACGCATGGATGCAGAGGAGCCAAACGTGTACTGGATGGACGTGATGATCGAGAAAGGCTGGGAGACGACGATGGGCTAGTGGATGGATGGGTTCGGCGTCGGATTTTGTTCAATGTACATGGATTGGATACGTGATACCCTCTGTGATTAGAGACAGATACTACAATTTAGTGTATAGTGACAACCCAAATTGGAGAAGATTTTACGTTCTCGTGAGGTTTCATCATTGAACTGATGCTTTATTATTCATTCACCACAACTCTCACAGAATGGATCAATGTTCACATCAGTCGTTACATGAGCTCTCACCCCATGATCGATCCCACAGAACAAGGCCGAAATGAAGAAAAGAGATGAAAACGAGATATATATAAAAGACTCGATACGGAATGAAGAGACAAGCAATGCAGAGGTATCGAGGAGTGGCAGTCAAAAAACAAAAAGAACATGAGTAAAGATTATACAGAGAATCGAATAGTCAAGAATGGTAGAGATACCTGAGACAAATGCGAAATGGTCGATTAAATGCATATTACGTCAAGCCCAGACACCCCTTCAATGACGAAATGCTCAATAATTAAGAAAAGAGATAAGGAAGGAGAGAAAGGCGGGCACATTTGGGCGTCATTTGAATATAAGAAACGAAATCCTTCGGCAGATGTGGAATGGAGGCGTCACGTTAGTGCATTGCTCGTTTCCAAAACTTCCAGCCCTCTCTCTTTTCCTGCGTGCCCACACCGACGAGACGCTCAATGCCCTCTGGGCCATCCGCCTTTTCGAACTTCTGCTGGTCAATCTCTTCGCCACCTTCTTCGTCAGATCCATTGCGGAGGACGGCGGGCCAAAGGACACCCACACCGTTGCCTCCGAGTGTGGTTTCGTACTTTGCAAATCCTTCGTCGGAGAGCTTTTTCTCCAACTCACGGATGACATTTGGGTCGGCGTCCGGGCGTAAAAGGGTGATGGCACATCCACCGCCACCAGCACCGGTGAGTTTCGTCCAGCCGATGTCAGCAAAATCCACGAGCTCACGGATCCGTTCCAACCGAGGGTGAGAGACCCCCAGGGAGACCAACAAGCCATGATTGATGCGGATAAGCGTCCCAAGGCGCTCAAGCGCATCCTTAGAAATACCAGTGGTATCCGTTTCCCGAATGAGCTCCTGGGCAGAACTATTCACCTTCTCTATGGTGTCAAGGATCGACTCCGCCACCAACGGCTGCTCTTCTTTTAGTTGGCCGACCTTTGCAACTTCAACTGCTGTGGAACGGGATTGTCGCGTGTCGACAAGCAATAGAGGCAATTCGGGGAAATTGGGGAGCGAGCTGACGGCTGGTGGCTTGGAGTAATCACCTCTCCTGTAGATTACGGCCTTGCCGCCTGCGGCGACCGTGTTATCCACCCCACTGGGGTTGCCGTGTATGCACATCTCGCCAACAAACGCCCATCGGTTGATACGTTCGATTTGCACCTCCGCCTCGTCAGGGGGCTGGTCGGGGTGCGGTCCGGCCAGGGTCCGAATCTGGAGGAGGAGTGCTGCACTGATACAGACGCATATACTAGCACTGCTACCCAATCCTGCGCCGGTTGGGATCGTTGACCGAAGGGTGTAGATCGCTCCAGGGTGCTGCGGGGACCCCAACGCGCAGAAGAGATAGAGGAAAGCGGTTGCCGCACCAAGCTGGTGTTTCCGTTTGGCTTCTGGTTGGTCTGGGGAGATGCACTCAACGAGAGGCAGGATCGCGTCGAGAAGCTCGTGATCAATTGAGGTCACCAAGTCATAGTAGTACTTCTTCTTGGATGGTTGCCGAAACAAATCCCATGGGAGCTCATCAATATCCCAGGTGTGGTTCAAACCAATGTCTCTGAAATTTAACGTGATGGTGCGTTGCGATTTGGTCAAGGTTGTGACCAGGAGGTAGGATCGCAGGGAGATGGCCGCAGCCATGGCGGCCTTTCCGTACACTACGGCATGCTCACCGAAAACAATAACCTTCCCGGGCGCGGACACCATGAAGGCGGGCGCCATTGGCGAAGATATCTTTCGAGCCATAGCTTCAGTCGGCCTCTGGACGCCGTTGAGGACAGACTTTGTGCTGGGTGGGCTGCTGCTGACGGTGGAGGTAGAGGGAGCGGTTGAAGAGGCGTCGGAGACGTCGATGCTATCGTCGCTGGCGACCGATGTTTTCGAGCGAGTAGGAAGCGACTGGTTCGAGATTATGTGTGTCATAGTAGGGGGCTGACGACTCTTGGAGGCTTTGACACTGCCGTACTTTCGACGTCCACGGCCGTTGTGCATTACGGCCCCGATTCGTAGGGGGGGGGAGGGTGAGAAAACAAGCGAGTAAGCGGGCTTAACAGGGACGATTGGACAATTTAAATGAAGACTGAAGGGCTAATCATGCAAGAGGGATCATGCGCATGATTGTGAAAGGCAGAAACGAGAAGGGAACCTTGAAAATGGAGAGTCCATTCCAATTGCCAATTCAGGTCGGAGGAAGCTAGCAATCTTACCCGGGGCCGTAGTACGAGGAATGCAGATTAAAACTGCGGGTCTACCCAATCATCCACTCTTTTCTCTTTGCCCCCTTCCCTTAAGACCTTTTCCCCAATCATAATCTAGGCAATTGTCAGTTATTACCAAATCGAGATCCATCCCATCTCCCCTAAGCTTTCTACTCGTCGATACGGAGTAGACAGGGAAGCAAAAAAGGGATTCATTGCCTAGAAATATCAACAAAAAAAATAAATAAAAGGGACCAGTCACATGACAAGAGTATTTGTATTACACCATGACAACAACCACGTTCATCCATGCCATGCAATGCGATTAAAATGATCACTATCTATGATCTAAATCCATCGAATATGAATCCTACAGGTACTTCGAATCTAGATTGGTCTCAGGGTCGAACGTTGCTATTTTTAGCGGGGAATGAGCGGACGGGCTAAACCAAGATATATCTCCCCTTCGGGTACATACTATCTCTTCTTATAACAAGGATGATCCAGATATTCCAGCACCAACATCTCTGATAACTCTAGGCCTTCTTTTCAAGCAAAAGACAAGGACCTTATCTTCCCAATGACCCTCTCTCGATTTACAAGTGACCCGGCGTACGAGCAAAGACTGGCGTAGGACAAACCGCCCTTCCATTTCGGCCTAATTTCCCCGAGGGGCTGCAATGGAACCTTTCAAAGTCTCATGGCTATCGATTATGTGATCGAAATCCTGTTTGGGAAATATCCGCCTACAGGACGAAAGAAAATGTGTTTCCCTTGGCATTGCTGCAGAAGGTCCCTGGGCACCGCCAGGCCAAATTGCAAGATGCTCGGGTAGTAAGGAAATCATTCCGAACTCACACTTGATGGAGCTAAGGCCCTTCGGATACATAGTCATCGAATGACAGTTATCTTCCGTGGAGATCGTGCAATATATGAGAGAGTCACATGAGGTTGACGGTCAAGAGGGACGCGTCCTTTCGAACCTACATACATACATCTGCGGTGCTTACGGCCTCACAAATGAACCGATTTCAGTCACGCAGGTAAGCAAGATATGACGGATTATAACGGCCACCTCAACCATATTGCACACGTAGCTTGCGCGTCCCAAGCCTCTGGTAAAATGTCTATAATGTAAAATGATGCGGAAATGACCGAAAGATCCTCAACCCCAACAAAGCATGCTGTCTGTACCTTCATACGTTGTTAAGCAATATTGGACCTACAATAGACTACGATCTCACAGCCCAATCGGAAGCTGCGCTACTGGCCCCAAAACCCTAAAAGAATTAGGTTCAAATAGACTTTGCGACTCGCATATCTAGTATGGTCAAGTCTCAGACAAAGAAACATACACCGGTCGATGCCAGTGTGGCCCAGAGAGGACAAATATCTGCTTAGGTGGCCTCGTGCCATCGTTCCTCATGTTGCCTGAGGCAATTTGTAAAATGATATTCGGCTTATGCTAGAACGAGATGTGGCTCTGACGGAACCTTTCGCAAGCAATAGTGTAAGGTATGGTATGTTTGGGTACCTTCTAGGTAAACAGGCTCAGCTAACATTCTTGCAATACCTAGAAGTTCGAGGTTGATGAGCCATGGTTATTGTATGGGGAAACCGTCAGCTCCCTCCATTGCCGAATTTACAAAGAGTGTTTGAGACTGGGAGCAATGGCTGGTCTCATAGTAACTACGGGTGCCGCAGTCAGTTCGTTTTTTGAGTCTTGACAATGTCTCCACCACTATGGATTGCTCGTTGTCAAGATCCGTAAAATGCGACGACTTCTCACTCAGCGTGAAACGGTGAGTGCCTTTTTCCAAGAAGACTATTCCTGCTTCTCTTGCATCATCAATAAGTTTCCGGGCTTCTCCGTAGTCACCGTATACTTTCTTGGCCAGTTCTGAGTCGAGTGGTGACTGGACCTCTGCGACCTTTTTCTGGAAGACAATCTAGGGTGATGTCATGGTTGCTGGCAATAACGAGTTCTAGAGGAGCGTTTATGTTTGCCAGGAGCCGGATCGCAGCTCTATTTTCCTCGAATTTGGATTCGGTGGTCAGGTCTCCGAAGTGGATGGCTACCCTCTGCATTTGGAAGGGGTGTGAGGTACACTCCCATGCCGTGTGTGCCTGAGAGGATGAGGAATTTAGTTTTGATGTCAATAGAGGAAGAATTATTAATTGGCGCCGTGGGTCTTTAGCTTGTGGGTGCTCTACTTAGGGCTTGAAGATGGAAGTAGATCACGAGGTCTACTTTATTGTGGGGCAAAACAAAGGTTATGAAGAGGCTGATATATAAGAATTAATTACGCATGAAAGTCGCAAGGGGACGAACTTCTGACTCTATTCAACCTATTTCTGAATAATCCTTTAACATATTACATGAAATTGTTCTTTTAAAGGGATATCGGACATTGAAAGAAAACTTCTATTTGATTCACTAGCTATATATAACTTCCATTCCTGTAAATATATACTCGTGTGTCATGCATCATCTGTACATGATGCAGCGTTAAGACACTGCCATCTATTGTAATCGTAGACTCATTAGAGGTTCATTGTCACCGTCATACTGTTACTATGAACCAGTAAACACGGCGGCAACCCTTGCCATAAAACGTCCAGGTCATTCAGGTAAGATTCACTTGTCGCTTCATTCTGTGCAGTACCCTCCATGGGAGACGGTAGCGTCGTAAAAATGACGGCAGTTTCACTGCTATGCTCAGCCATCAATTCATTCAGGATTAGGTGTTGCGCTCGGCTAGGAAGGTCATTGAAGGATAGAGGGACGGACGCTTGCCGGGGGTACCCGGACGCAGTCCCAGAGGCATCCGAAGACGATCGACGCGTATAAATGGATTCAAGTCTGTTTGAAGGCCGCGGGGGTGACGAGCTTGGTGCGAACATGATCGACGGCCCCGCGCCTTCATCTGTGTTGACCCTAGCTTCAGGAATCGGCGACGCATTGAACCGATTGCTGGACGGCGAACGGCTGATAGGCGGTCGACCTCCGCTTCCCCCGGTTTTGGGAGAGTCATCAGGGGCAATGATAGATGGGACGTCCGGTTTGGTAGTATTGTCCGGGGATACTGGGTCCTTGCCGTTCGGGCCATCCTCCCCATCGCTGACATAGGGCTCAAACTCGCTGTCGCTGCTGCTATCACTCGGACTAGCGTCACTTGAGTCGTAGTCAACAAAAGTATCTAGTAAGCGATGCGTTTGCATGCCTAGATTCACACCACCAAACCCTTTGAAGCTGGAGATAGAACGCCGCCGCCTAGAAGATTCCATAAACTTCTTTAGCCCACCAGCCAGTCGCCCAGAGGGCTTTTGCACGGTATCGTGGCTAGAAGCGCCATGCCAAGTGGGCACCCTTCCTAACTCGGCCCCAAGGTTGTCCGGCCTGGACTCACTGTGAGATTTCCTGCGAAGTCTTTCAATGTCCTGCCACCAGCCTTCGTCCTTTAAAGCAATGCGCACCTTTCGCTGTATCTCGCTGGTCTCTGGTGATTTGTCGCCATTTACAATAACGCGGTAACTTTGCACATCGCCACACGCAAGCCAGAAAACCAAAACTTCTGCCTCAATTCTCAACTTCTCAAGAAGCGCTTGGACTCTTCCTCGTTCATCATCAACGTCCGTTTCATACTCAACAAATACCGCGACCCGTAATTTGTACGTCTTTTTCCAGGAAGGCACGGTATTTAGAATACATCCCAACTGAAGAATCAGGGTGTAGGTATCAAAGTTGGTAGTGAGGACATTCTTCTTGCTTTCCGTGTCAGCTCCAATTTCTGCAGACATCTGAATAGGCCAGAGATCGATGTATTTTTTCTTATGTTGTCCAAACGTAGGCAGCTCAAGGTTCTCAAAGCCCTTTGCCACAGCCACATTGATGCGAAGCTTGAAGAGAAGATCTTCCAGAATAGTCACGTAGTTTGCGCAGCTCATTGGTGGCGACGTTATATTCTCGGCGCATTCAGGAGCCAGATCACGCGAGTTACGTCTGTCATTTGAATCCTTCCTGGGCTGTAATGTCTCAACTAATGACTGACCATTGCGAAACTGGTCAATGACAACGATGTTTGGCCGCATGCCTCCAAGTCCAGAGTTTAATGCGACGTTACGGATACCCCATTCCGCTGAGGGGGAAACTGTGATGTTCACGAAAGCTTTCACTTTTGAATTTTCGACAAACTTGGTCCACATAGTTTGCTGGCGACGAGCTTCTGGAACCGCCGAAGAGAAATCGTCGGTCACAATGACGTGTCCGAGTACAAACAATCCACCCTTTTTCAATGAGTTGCAAAATGAGACCATCTTGAATTGGTCATCGAGATTGGTCACAAACAGTAAAATCTGGGGTCTCCAGAATTTAACGTGCTCTTGTCGAAGGCGGAGTAGATACTTGCGCACTTGGTGGTATATAAGACTTTGGCTCACATCGCCCCACGGTTTGGGGGGGGATGTATAGTGAATCAGCAAAAACAATAGGATCAGGATGCCGACGCAGCCCGTGGCATAGACGCCATCCACGAAAAACATACTAGCTCCACAAACCAAGGTTCCTGCTGCGGCGGTCTGCCACTTGAAGTAGTGAAAGGACGGCCGGAAATTAGGCGCGGATCCAATTTTCAAAAGGAAACATGCAAGGTTCATTACCAAGAATGTCATGAGATAAGTCATAGTGACAAAGGACGCAATCTGGTTAATGTCAAACAGCATCGTTAGTTGAGCAACAGCGAACGTCATCATAATTGCGTGGACCGGCTCGTCATTTTTCTTAGTTCCTTTGCTGAAAAGGGTCAGGCCAGGGACCAAATTGTCTCGTGCAATTGCCTGTAGAAGCTTCGCAGAACCGATCACTCCCATCAGCGCTGAAAAGAATGTTGTTGCAAACTCTCCTAGGAGGATGACAATCCCTGATGCATTGGTCTGGTACGTTTTAGTCGAAATTACCAGTCGAGTTTACATCTTCATACTTACAACTTGGATGATATCGGCATTTTTGTAGAGCGATTCCCTTGTTACAGAGGCAGCCATCGAAACTATTACAATCGAATAGGTGATAAATGTCAGAGCCAGCCCAGATAGTGTACCCTTTGGGATAGACTGGCTCGGGTTCTTCAAATCCCCAGACATGCTGGCACCACTATCACTTCATGAGCCTACGTTCGTGAGGAACTGACGATACACTTACGCGAATATACCACCGGTAGCAGGGAACAATATTCCAAAGAGGTCCTGGAAATTTTCCTTTCCGCGGATCTGGCTGCCGGCAGCGCCCTTGGTGAGCCTAGGCTTGAGGTTCTCCAATAGCGTCTGAAGGCGCATCCCAGTGAATGTCACATGAAGCTTAGGTATGCTGAACGGCTTCATGGAGATCGCAGATACCGGTATGCTGAAAGTAGCAACTAATAGAATGATAAGTAGACCATTGCTTGCTCTGGAAAAAATGGAACTCCCAGCCAGGCAAATCCCGGTGCAAATAAGCAGAATGATAGTACCCCAGAGATACTGCCACCAGAAGCCTTCTTCAAGAAAGTTGGACAACGTGCCAGACTCCGTTCCAAAATTTTGTGTAAAACAGTCAACGAGACCAACCGCATTCATCCCGGTATTCAACACGTAACCCAGGTAGAATACAATGCCAATAGAACCACCAAACTCTGGACCCAGTGATCGGGAGATCAGATAGTAGGCACCCCCTCCTTTAACAGTTCCATTGGTAGCAATGGCAGAAAGAGACATAGTGGTCACTAGATTGATGGTATATGATACGACGAGCAAGCCTTCAAGCCACGTTCAGTTAAAATTCGGGGCAACAAAGAGAGGGCTGGGCAGCTTACCTAGCATCCCCAGCAAGCCAGCTTGCCCAAGGATAAATCCGAAGCGAAGGAACATCAGAATGCTTAGGACGTTCAAGGTGGTCGGCACAAATACCCCCGAAAAAGTTCCGAGCTTTTCAGCATTGTCAGATGTGCGATTCTTTTGGCCATCTCGTTCCTTTTGATCCACGCTAGAGTCTCGCAGTGGACCTGTAGGAAGATGAACGGGCAGGTGTGTTCTTTCATTAGAGGTACTTTCTGTTCCATCATGATCAGATTTATCCCACCAACGGGAGATATTACCAAAGAAATTCGAGGGTAGTGAGTGGCGTTGACGTTCAAGCGTGTGAGAGGACGAGTTCAATGGCTCGTACGGGCGGAATGATAGTGCATTTCTCCAATTCAGGGATTTGCTATTCCCCTTGGGAGATGCGTTGGGCGACTCGCTTGGAGCCAATCGAGAGACATCTTCTTGAGCAGTTCGCGTTGAGAAGTTGGGTCTTCTCCGAGACATCGAGTCCGAGGAGCCCTCGTCTCGACCGTGCGTCATCGGATACGTCCAACTTCTTTACTTTTAGAGGATCTTGCGTGCCTTCATACAATCAAGCAAATGGGGACAGGGAATGTCAGTATAGTAATTAGATAGTGAACAATAAAGGTGGCACGCAATAAGAACTGAGCGTGGGTAGGCAAATCTAACAGAACAAACTGTTGGGAAGAAAGAATTAAAGTAAGTAGGCGCTTCAGGGAAAGAAGCGAGCAAACAATATACCTCTTTCGAGGAGCTACTATATCGAGGAAGGGATTCTGGTAGTGCCATGCAATAACAGCAATAAAACGCATGGGTCCATGGCTGACGATGATCTCATCTGCTGAGTTCTAGACAAACAGTGCAAACCCCACCGCCAGTCCAGTGACTCTGAACGGTCATCGACCGAGAGCTTTATCTCATAACTGTTTATGTTGCTGGGTGGCTAGGCGAATTGTGATTGATTGCCGATTTTTCTTTCTTTCTTTCTTTTTCGCTTGTTTACAAGAAAAGTACTACTTATTGGTCGGTTGTCTCTGCTCTATCTCCTGGTCTTCCGCAAACCAGGCTCTTCTGGAAACTATCCTGCAAGTACATACTGCTCGCTATAACCCCCGTCTTCGTCTCAACGCTAGGTGGAGGACTTCAATTCCTGCAAAGCCTTATTTTCTAGTTAAGGAAACTATAAGCCCTTCTGTGTTGTTTCATAGTCCAATTTCCAATTATGGCCTCACCCCCAAATCCAGAGAATGGGGAAGGTTCCTCATCTCAAGCTCATCGGTCAGCGACGATATCAACGAGCGCGTTGCGTTCCGGTTCTCCCTCAGCGGACGCCTCAACAAGACAAATCTCGATCGCTCGGCTAGCATCTCCAGTACCTTCTCCGGCGAGCTCATATCCTCATTCAACCAGACAATTGCCGGTGCCGATTCAGCCAGCGACAGATACAGACGAGGATATTCGAAAAGTCGACAATCTAGCCTCCCTACCAGGTCCCGGGCAGTCCATGATCGCATCTGGTCTCCAAGAAAGCCTTGGTCGCTCGCCTCCGAGACTTGGAACCCCACCCAGACGCACTGCTTCCCCTGCCTTGCAGCAGGCTCAGGCAATCAGGTCAAATTATGGTTCATTCACCAATAAGCCCGAGTGGGAAGGCTCAGAATATTCCGCAGGACCATATGAAGATCCCGAAGTTGTTAAAAGACACTTGGTGCTACCGCAAAACGCGGTTGAGAGCCGAGACATCACTTCTTCTGGAGATCCTGCAAATGACGAGGAATTCTCTAGCTTGCAGCTTCAAGGAGGTGACATAACGAGGCAGGTTTACAGGTGGGCTGAAGGGGCAGAGGCAGGAAGTCCCTCGAGATTCAATCGAAGCAAGAGTTTCAGCTTAAATCGGCCCACACCACATGATGAAACGATGAACATCAACAGTATCCGTGTGCCGGGAGGATTCCGTAGGGACTATATCCGGAGGACAGTAGCCTCAAACCTTCCTGGAAGTTCTGATGGCCCAGAACCCCAATCGCCTCAGCCTCAACCTCAGCTTCCAACTACCAGTTTCCTAGAGTTTTTGACTCTTTACGGCCACTTTGCAGGTGAAGAGCTTGAAGAGGACGACGAAGTATTGGGGCCCGATGAGTACTTCTCAGATGCCTGGGAAGAGGATGGCAGAGAACCGGGAGAACAATCGGCGCTCCTTCGTTCGGATACAGCTGGAAGGAGGAAGCGGAAGCCACGCGGAGGAACTGGAACCAACACAAGGACGGGGGCGGCTCTACTTCTTCTCAAGTCTTTCGTTGGAACAGGGGTCTTGTTCCTACCAAGAGCATTCCTCAATGGCGGTATGCTTTTTAGCAGTCTGGTATTGCTTGGTGTGTCGATCCTCAGTTTCTACGCTTTTATACTTCTTGTCAACACCCGACTGAAAATTGATGGCTCATTTGGTGATATTGGTGGCGCGCTTTATGGAAAACACATGCGGCGCATTATCCTTGGATCTATAGTCTTGAGTCAACTGGGATTTGTGTCTGCATATATTGTGTTCACAGCTGAGAATCTGCAGGCATTCGTCCTCGCCGTCAGCAAATGCAAGTCCTTCATTGACATCAAGTTCATGGTGCTGATACAGCTTGTCCTTTTCCTGCCTCTTTCGCTGATCCGCGATATTAGCAAACTTGGTTTTACGGCTCTAATCGCAGATGTTTTCATCCTGCTAGGCTTGATTTACCTGTTTTACTATGATATTCTTACTATCTATTCACAAGGCGGCGTTTCAGATATCATCTCCTTCAATCCATCCACATGGACACTTTTCATTGGAACTGCTATCTTCACCTACGAGGGCATTGGCCTCATTATTCCGATTCAAGAGTCCATGAAGCGTCCTCAGCAATTCCCAGGCGTCCTTGCCGGGGTTATGGTTATTATCACAATTGTGTTCCTCTCTGCCGGCGCGCTCAGCTACGCCGCGTATGGATCTGCAACGAAAACAGTGGTCATTCTCAACCTTCCTCAGGATGACAAGTTTGTGAATGGTGTCCAGTTCCTCTACTCTCTAGCAATCTTGCTCAGCACTCCCCTGCAGCTCTTTCCCGCTATTCGAATCATGGAAAATGAGCTTTTCACACGCAGCGGCAAGTACAATCCCAGAATCAAATGGCAGAAGAACTTTTTCCGCTTCTTCCTCGTCATGATCTGTGCATTCGTTGCGTGGGGTGGAGCGGACGACCTTGACAAATTTGTCTCACTTGTCGGTAGCTTTGCCTGTGTACCCCTGATTTATGTGTATCCGGTAATACCTCTCCGACTCCATATTCTTCGTGATGACAGATATCGCTAATATAGTCTACTCTAGCCTCTGTTGCATCTGAAAGCCTGCGCGCAGTCCAGAAAACAGCAGATCGCTGACATCGCCCTGGCCGTATTTGGAGTAATTAGTTGCCTCTATACAACCTCACTGACACTAGCAAACTGGGTCGGAGGAGGCGCCCCTGCACCCCCTGGATATTGCGATTCGAAATCTGGTTAATAACCTCCCCCGTTATTTGAAACATTCCTACGTTGATCATCTCAGAAGAGGTGTCTTTTGAATATGAATGACTGACGCTACGCTGTAAGGCTTGAATTTTGTTTAAATAGCAGAATCGTGCATTTCGGGGCAATTTGTGATATCGTCCCTAGCCTTTTACTTTTCATGTTAATGTCCCTAGATGGAATTCTCTGTGATCAAATTGCTGTACACTGTGAATAACCATCCATGTATGTGCCAAATTGTGATAAATATACCGCGCCGACAAGAGTGATACGAAAGAAACAGAATGATCCATTTTCTAAATCATTTTGCAGAGTAGATTTTAACCGAAATAGTTATATACAAAACAGTAAAGACAGCAGAGGCCAAAAGTCACCCTTAACCCTCGCCATGCAAATACCACAGCTCAATGCCACGAAAACTAAAGAACAAGACCAGAAGCCTGGAGGCCCCTGTGCCAATGCCAGACCACAAAAAATCAGATGAAGGCCAACTATAACCTGTGAGTGTCATGACCTAAGCCGCGTACAGTCCGCCCTTCTAACCTAAGGTTGAATGAGGCCAGCCCTCTTGTACCTGATCTGATCTGTGCTTTCCCAGATCGCCTTCCATTGGCCACTTGTCTCTTGTCATGTCTAAATATACTACTGATAGAAACCGGGCATCCTGTCTTCCTAGCCACACGGCAATGTCGAATGGGGTTTATGCGCCGGCCTCGGTGGCTTGCTTGCCCTGCTGAGCGGCCTCAGCAGCGAGCTTGGCCTCGCGGCCTCCCCAGCTGTTACAATAGACGTTAGCTTCTTGACCCCCTTCCGTCATGGGTTCACGGTATCAAAAGCAACGTACTTCCAATAGTTGAGGTAGCGGTATCCTTGAGTACATTGTGCGGAAAAGTTGATGGCGTGGCAGGCGAAGAGGAGGTAGTTCTTGGGTGAGACGGCAAGGGCGTAGCGCATGAAGGTTGCCGAGTAGATGACAAGGGCACCGGTCATCTGGCCGGAGATGCTGTTTGTTGTGTTAGTTACCTTTTTCTTTACATAATCCCGAGTAATGATGTTTTGCCGAGATAAACAAGGGGGTGAAGAGGTGGTCGCGCATACATTTCAGGGTCCTTCTGGGTGTCCATCACAGCAGCAACGGGGATACCGAAGTTGGAGACGGGGCCCCAGAAATCTGATAAAAAGGGTTAGCTTAGCCATTGCCATCTATCCACGGGTTTATCTCATGATGCCATAACAACGACCCAGGGCATTGATAGTGAGACACCATGGTTCGTATTCCCTCGCTATATGACGGATGCAAGAGCTTTATACAGGCCGATCTCGGTAGACTAAGAAGGGAAGGGTCTGGGATTGGACTTACGTGTAGAGCAGACATAGTCCAGAACCTTGTTGGAACGGATCTTCGCGTTGATCGCCTTTATTGCAGCGGCCATTTTGACTCGACGATTGGGCAATGAAGGGAGTGGAGAGTAAGCAGGAATAGAATAGGAAGACCGTTGAATGATTGAGGTTCCCCGACTGCGGAATCAGTGGCCCGGAGTGAGTCACGTGAGCCAAATTGCCGGGGTCACCGATATCAACTCGGATTTACTGTATTACAGAGCATAGGCGTACGATTGGACCAGCAAAAATATCTTGGAAATGACAAAGTATAATTCACAGGGGGAATAAGTACTAAGCGTTGAAACCTATTTAGGATTACGTCTTGTTGGTCCTCGACTTTTTTTTTCGGATCGACCTTTTGCTTTTTACTCGGGCAGTCCCTGTATCCGCACACGCCGCAACGCCTTTGCCTGATAAAACTCGGTGTGCTGCACCTAATCATCGAACAAGTATATGAATAGGATGCGTATCTCTTATCCCAACACTAGTAGGCCATCATGTTTCGCTCCGGGTCGGAATATTGTAAGCAATTGTGCCGCTCCGCTCACGAGCTTCACCGTCCTCCAAATCCTGGTGGAGGGAATCCACGTCCTTGGCCCGGGGGCTGAAATCCTGGTGGGGGCTGGAACCCGGCCGCTGCGTAGTATAAGTCAGACTATGAAGTATAACAGATGAGCAAAGATCGGTCGTTTACTTACGAGGTCCACCCTGGGGCGCAAATCCTGGGGGAGGAGCGAAGCCAGCTATTGAGAGTTAGTGATCTATCTACTTCCAAGTACATTAGCGCCAATGGAACTTACGAGGTCCTCCCGGAGGAGCTCCACGCCCAGCGAATCCTGGTGGCGGCGCTCCTGGGAAACCACCCGGGGGGAATCCAGGGAAACCGCCAGGAGGAGGTGGGGGGGCTCCAACACCGGCAGCAGGGCCTCCAAGTCCGACAGGTAGACCACGTCCAGCGGGTTTGCTGATTCCAGGACCGGCAGCGAGAGTGGCGGCGGCGGCGGCAGCGCTTGGGACGGTTGTTCCAAGTCGTGTAGAGGGGTCTGCTGGAGGGGGTCCATCAACAGAACAAGAGACGACATGCGTACCGCGCACAATCGTAAGGCCAAGGGTTCGCTTTTCTTCCGATTCCACGAGGGGGGCGTTGCCCGGTCCAGCAGCGGGCTTGGACTTCCGCTTGACACGACGGAATTCTTCTGTATCGGCGAGGACGAGGTTCATGTGCTAAAGATTCCTTATCAATGGGTGATTCGATCAGGGCAAGCGATGTTCGAAGGTTTATGTACCTTATCAAATGCGAGCATTTGTCCAGTCATCTGTCGGCCATCGTTCAGGGTAACTCTCATCCGATAGTTGATCTGCGATTCGTTAGACTTCGGTGGCGGATGACGAGACAAGCGCACCGTGACTTACGAGGTTTTGCTATTAAATGAAGGAGGTCAGTCAATACTATTCTGGGAGTGCTTCAATACATGAGAGTAAGTCTGGACCGCAAGAAAGGTCAATCAAAACGTACCATCTTTCCCTGCTTGTTGGAGGCCATCTTGACTAGGAAGTACGCACTAATGCGGCTTCAGGGAAGAACCAAAGAATATGCGTGAAGTAGTAGAAGAGAAAACTTCTACGAAACGTTCACTTTGAGCTTGCGGGCCCGTCAGAAGGTGGAGGACTTGGCTGGCACGAGCTCCGCTCAAACTTGAAGCTCTGCGGGTGTCGTGACTTAGACGCGGCTCTGCGATTTAGCGCCAGCCGATGGCGCCAAGACGCTAAGGGCTTCTCGCTTCCCACTCTCCCGCACATTTCCCTTTTACTCACTTTTCGATCTTTCCTTCGAATCTTCTAACTACACGAGTCGACCACACACGCCAAAGTAGTCGCCATGGTATGTGATATCTCACCAGATTAACACCTCTTATCGCCTAAGAATTTTTTTTCTAACGATTTTCTCGCCATGCAGTCGGACGGAAAGGACAAGAGCGCGAACCCCATGCGCGAGCTGCGCATCCAGAAGCTCGTGCTCAACATCAGTGTCGGAGAGTCTGGTGACAGACTCACCCGTGCTGCTAAGGTGCTCGAGCAGCTGAGCGGTCAGACTCCTGTCTACAGTAAGAACGCCTCGATCTAAAGTTTTTTGTGTGGAGATTTTTGGAGGACGACGCAAGATTGCAGAATGGAGTGGCTGATTGGAGAAATTTTCTGTGATTCATAGGCAAGGCCCGCTACACTGTCCGTACCTTCGGTATCCGTCGTAACGAAAAGATTGCCGTCCACGTCACCGTCCGTGGCCCCAAGGCTGAGGAGATCCTCGAGCGTGGCCTCAAGGTCAAGGAGTACGAGTTGCGCAAGAAGAACTTCTCCGAGACCGGCAACTTCGGCTTCGGTATCAGCGAGCACATCGATCTTGGTATCAAGTACGACCCTGGTATTGGTATCTACGGCATGGACTTCTACTGCTGCATGTGAGTATATACTGGACCGGTCGAGTAACATGCAAGTCTGACTCAAAGGAATCAGGACTCGCCCTGGTGAGCGTGTCGCCAAGCGTCGCCGCTGCAAGGCTCGTGTTGGTGCTCCCCACCGTATCAACCAGGCCGAGACTATCAAGTGGTTCAAGAACCGCTTCGATGGAATTGTCCGGTAAATGTCCCACTTCTGGTCTTGGGGTAGACATGGGGTTTGCGTTTTATGATGATTCAATAAAAAAGGCAGAAAAAATTGCCCTTCTGCTTTGAAATCCTTGTTTCTACCACGGCATGAGCATAGGCGTGATAGGAATCCAAATTCTCAAGTTCAAAAATGCATCCACTTTTCACAATGAAGGCTTCACAAAGGGTGATGTATCCGCATAACCATTGATGAAAAGAACTACATGATGCTTGCCATATCACACTCTCTGGTGTTGATGGCGCCCTGGCCGTTAGACCTGTTTTTGTGTTCAGAGACATGGTCTTTGTACCTCTCTTGCCTTCCGTCAGTGTGTTTGCATACTGCTTTGCCTCAGGCAACATAAGATGGCACGGATGTCACTCCGGCGTCATGCTCTACTGCAGTACCTTCTGCGGTCTTGTAAAATTGCGTGTCAGCGTCGTATCGTAGTCGAGAAAGGGTAATAGACTATGTGGGTCACCATGAGCGAGTGTATCGTAGATCGTGGACCCATCTCGAAGCGCCGTTAGGCGTTATGCGAACTCCAGATGTTCAGAGCCAGTGGAAGTTTAAAACTACTATTAGTGCTGATACTGGGTCATCTCATATCATCCACTCAGTGAGATCTATTCTATTCCCAAGCCACCTTTTTCGGCACACTGGCTATTTGTCTATTTGTTGAAACCGGGGCGTAGTTTGCACCAAACTAGTAGTCCTTGCTGCGACAGAAGAATTCAACGAATAGCTTCTGGAAGACGAATCCCAGGTCCCCAGCTAAATATACAGATACGGTTATCGCTGCGAAAGCTATTTATAGTCGGCTAGGATGCCAACATCTACAATAATCACTACGATTATGATGCTGTGGCCTACCTCCCAATAGTATCTGCCTCAATTCAAACGATATGCTTGCAAACGGACGAATAATACAATACCAAGCGCAAGACACTGCAACATAGAGTAATGCAAACCAATCGGTGCAACGAATAAATTTCTCGTCCTGCAACCGCATTCTCTCAATGCTAGTTTATTTACCACCACGAGTATATCCATCCCACCACTTCGAGAAGAAGCCACCCTGCTGCGCCTGGTCATTATAACTCGCCCGACGCGCAGCCGAAACAGGATCCGTGGAGTTCCGCTTCTGGTTCGTCAGACTTTCAAAAAGGGACGCTCCCTGACTAGACCGTCTCCTGTTGGGGGCTGTTGGGGGGCTGCTTGAGCCGGAAGACATGTTGGATGATGTTGATTCCTGTGTTTCATCCGTAGCAGTCAGCTATATGCGAGTATTTGGCAGAAGGTTAAGCAGACATACACGTCTGTCGTCAGTGGCATTTGCTGTTTCGCTTGCAGAGGGTCGTCGAGCTATGTATGGCTGGGGAGGGCCGCCTCTCACCCAGACGTTGTGGTGCTCATAGCGATCGCCCATGCTGCCATGCCAGTGGCGAGGAGGGGACTGGGAGTTGTTCTGTTGATTACTCATGTTTGTTGGTTTTTTCAGGCCCGGAGTGTCTTTAAGGTAACTAGTATATGTTTGTTAGTGGCTATTGTTCTGATCTATAGCCAAGTGATGCGCGATAAGGAACAAAAATGATACGGAGGAATATGTAAAGGAAAGTAATAAGCGAGGGGCGACAAAGGGCTGGGTTACATGTCATTCCAGGAGTCCCAGACGTCATCCTCCTGGGGATGATGCCGAGAAGGGAAAGTCACAATGTGCCAACATATCAAAGTGTGAGTTGGAACATGTTTAAATCTGATAAACTTACCAATTCAATAAGTTCGATGGGTGAATGGGATAAAGTATGTATCTAGCACTCGGACAGGCGAGCGTAATATATGGCTCACGTTTGGGAAAAACCAGAGAGAGAGAGAGAAGAGAGGGGTAAAGGGAGAACAAGCCACTCAAGAATGAAACACAGCCTGGATGAAGGATACATCATCCTAGCTTTGTTCCCTATAGTCCCGGCAGGGGGCAAATAACCCAGTGATCCAATCATTGTTCATGATGCCTCGTAACTGTCTTGGGGAGCTCTGCGTGAACCAAAGACGTTAACGATTCATCATGAGTAGCCGGGGAAGAGAAGCGTCCAGATCCGCTTCGGCCAAACAATCAATGAGTCGTAAGTAAGCTGTTGTGATCAATCAGCGTCAAGTTGATGTCCAATTCAATCGACGATCCTCTGGTGTTGACGTCAGGTGAGTTGCCAAATGCGGGGATCGCTTCGAATGAAACTTCGGTCTTCCCAAGGGTTGGATGGCGCATCCTGCTGGCTATAAGCCAATAAGTAGTCGGTTTATTTCATTGGATACGTTATTAGTATCACAGTTCGACTGCTCTCACCGTGGAAATTAAAGCAAACATCCAATATAAACCTGGTGGCGAGTGCTTTTGCATCGTCCGAGCTTATATATACGTGATTAGGGCTCGGGGTAAGGTACCCGATAAGAAAGATAGGTACATTCTGTATAGTATATGGTATATAGTACTTTTGCATGTACGATATCACTAAAATGCCGCCCTTCCCAGACGGACTGGCTAGATTGATTTTAATACATTCCCTACGTGGAATGATTTCGGAATTGCTTAACTTAATTGGTTAGAAATGGCACAGAGCTGCCTCGGGCATCCATCGGGGGCCAGATGTAGCGCCGAAGCGGAACGAAATAGTCGTCGTACTTCTCCTTCTCCTCTTTCTCCAATCCTTCATTGTTCCTTTCTTTCTCCTCATCTGTCATATCTCCTCCACAGGGAGCCTTTGCCGACCCGTTCGGCTCTGAGTTGCCTTGGCCCCTCTCTACAGATGCCCCACACGTTCTATTTTATATACTCGGCTATCAGAGCCTGTTATCGGCGCCATGTTGGGGTCATTGCGCTGAGAGCCTTTCGGCAGCTGCACCACTTTGGGAGCTATATAACAAGGCGAAGCTACTTAACCGCGATAAATATTCCTAGGATTTGTGCTATCAATGGGTTCTCTAAAGGCCGTTACCCGACTCAGAGCCCGCAAGTGTCATCTGAAAACCGCGCATTCCAACTGAGCAATCAAGCAAAGCTCAGCCTACCTACTCCAACTCAGCACAACCCCCAACATGGGACCCTTGCGGCCTCCTTATGTGATGTCCCTCGCGCACCGGGGCTTTGTAGAAGGTATAACACTCACCGATAAAACTACCGATGCCCCTTGGTGCCACTACTTCGGAGGCCTCCGCTACGCCTTGCCCCCGTCTGCACGATGGCGGAAAGCCCAGAGGTTACCACCATCGTATTCCTATGGGACCAAAGACCATCCCAGACAATGTTCTGGAACGGCTGGTGTCTGTCCCCAGCCTAGCTTTCCATCCATTTCTCTCGAAGATGGCTGGACCGAGGACTGCTTTCAATGCAATGTTTGGGTTCCCGTTGGTGAACCACCCAAAGATGGTATGTCGATTGCCGTTCTTAAAGAGCGAAAAGAGAAGGCCGAAGTTAACCGTAGTTGATTCACTAGGATGGCCAGTGCTTGTCTTCATCCGTAAGATTCCTCCTTGGAACGATTCGTTGCAAAGGCTGATCACATATTCTATACTAGATGGGGGCTTCCTGCAATTCGGGACCCCGAATAGCTTCTCCGCCGGGGCCCTGCTAGGGGAGACGGGATTCAACGCTATTGTTGTTATGCCGGCATACCGTCTCGGCGTCTTTGGCTTCCTTCATTCCTCAGAGCTCGAGCACGATGCCGCAACAGTCAGTGAACCAGTGGGAAACCAGGGCTTCTGGGATCAGCGACTAGCCCTAGAATGGACAAGAGACAATATTTCACTTTTCAGAGGCAATGCCTCCCAAATCACCATATCTGGATACTCCGCCGGTAAGCACCTTTCTCCCTCTAATCCTCTTAGCCTCCGAGGAAAGAATGTCTATCTCCTAACTCGCAACTCCAAATAAAGGCGCTTATTCCGTCTTCTACCAATTATCCTACGACATCCACCTCCCAGAAGACCAATCGATCATCAAACAAGCCTGCATTTGGTCCAATAGCCCTGTAGCGCAACCGAAGGCCCCATCCTCCGCCCAGACCCAATTCAACGAGCTCCTCTCCGCCCTGAACATCCCCCACACCCTCCCCTGGCCTGCCAAACTCTCCCAACTCCGCTCCATTCCGAGCGCCAAACTTCTCTCCGCAGCAACAAGTATCGAAACCAACCAGTTCCGCCCCACAACTGACTCCCTCTTCATCCACCCCACCCTCTTCCAATCCCTCGACAACGGCAACGTCGGCCGCCGAATCGCCGCCCGCAACATCCGCATCATGCTCGGCGAATGCCGCGACGAAGGAGCCTTATACGCGACTTGGTTCCCGCCCCAGAATAGCCTTCCCGCACTGCACAAGCGGCTCCTAGCCGATTACCCGGCTCCCTTGGTAGACACGTTGATGAACTTGTATTGTGCGGAGGGCAAGTTGCCGGGCGAGTGTCGGGATTGGAATCGTGATGCCTTTGGGCGGATCTATGCTGACATGCAGGTTTATAAGATGCAGCGGGGTCTGGTGCATTCTCTTGTCCTGGGCGGGGCTTCGCATCTTCTCTTTCGCTATCGGATTGAGTATCGGCTCAAGTGTGCGGACGAGACTATCCCTCCTGAATGGGGTGTTACGCATGCTACGGATCAGTATATCTGGTTTTGGGGGAATGGCTCGGTGGTTCGGGGTGATGAAAGGCGTATCATCAAGGAGGCGTTGATTGATCCACTGACCAAGTTTGTTCATGGGGAGCCGGATATTCAGTGGGGGACGAAGAGCTATCGCGAGATGAGGAAGCTGAGGCCTGACGGATCAGTAGAGATTTGGCAGGATGGTCTCTGGGATGAGGCAATGCGAGTATGGAAAGCTCTCAGGGCACTTGGTGAACATGACCAAGGCCCTGCTGCTAGACTGTGAGCACTGAAAGTAATACTCCGTAGTGGAGAGATGCATACTCACAGGAGTCTTTTACCCAGTTTGAGTCAGCATCGATCTACAATTGAGATCCAAACAGGATGAAGTCAGGATGAAATCGTGAAATCATTAAGTCACTCAATTCAGAAATAGTGGAAGACCATCGTTATTTCGATCCCCATCAGTAGATAAATAAAACCCAATCCCGACCCAGATAAACAGGAAACAAGGGACAAACAACGCTCTAATATGAACATGAGACATCCAAGAATTCATTTCACCATGCACTTTGCCGGCATGTTTTTGATAATCCTTTTTTTCTTTTTTTTTTGCTTATGCTTTGACGATCTTGCAGACGAGGTCCTGGCCATCCACAGAATCGCCCTCCTTGACTAGCAAGCCGGAGACCTTGCCACTGTGAGGAGCAGATATAACCATTTCCTGGATAGAGAATTAGCACCTGTATGTAAACCGTAATAACCAGAGTGATTAGAAGCAAGCTCACCATCTTCATGGCACTCAGGACGGCAAGGGGGTCACCCTTCTTCACCTCCAGACCATCGTGGACGCGAATTTCGACAACCACACCGCTCATCGGAGCACCAACTTGACTGCTGTCACCCACGTCGGCCTTCGGACGAGAGGTGTTGTCCACGGAGGCCTTGTTGTCGTCGACAGCAACCTGGCGCACCTCACCGTTGACTTCATAGAAGACTTCACGCTGACCAGTCTGCTCGGAGAGAGGACCGATAGCCAGCAACTTCAAGATGAGGACCTTACCCTTTTCCAGCTCGACGTGGAACTCCTCACCGATCTCGGGCTTAGCCAAGAAGAACCGTGTGGGCAGGACCGACAAATCACCATACTTCTGGACAAACTTCTTGTAGTCCTCGAAGACCTTGGGGTACATGGCGTAGCTGGCCACGTCGTATTCAGTGGCACCACCGAACTTCTCCCGAATCTGGCTCTTGATCTTGCCAAGATCTAAGGGCTCGAGGTAGAGACCGGGGCGCTTTTCAAGCTTGCGGCGGTCGCGCAGGGCACGGGAACGCAGTGGCTCAGGGAATCCACCGAAGGGTTGGCCCATGAGACCCTCGAGAAACTCGAGTACGGAGCCAGGGAAGTCCAACTCTCCAGCGCGCTCGATCACATCCTCGGGGGACAACTTGTTGGAGACCATGAATTGAGCCAAATCACCCACCACCTTAGAGGTGGGAGTGACCTTGACAATGTCGCCGAGCAGGTCATTGGCAGCCTCGTAGGCCTTCTTGGTTTCAGCCCACTGCTGGCCTAAGCCGAGCTGGCTAGCCTGGAAGAGGAGATTGGTCAACTGGCCACCAGGAATCTCGTGCTCGTAGACCTCAGGGTCGGGGCCCGTGAGACCCGCCTCGAAAGGAGAGTACAGTAAGCGCAGCTGTGCCCAGTAGCTATCAATAGCGCGCACATGGGCCAGGTTGAGACCGGGATCCTGCTCAGTGCCCTCTAGGGACGCCAGGATGGCACCGATGCTAGGCTGGGAGGTCATACCGGACATGCTGTCTGTCGCCGCATCCACGGCGTCAGCTCCCGCCTGGGCGCAGGCGATCATAGAGGCCACACCGGTTCCAGCGGAGTCGTGGGTGTGAACGTGGATGGGGAGGTCGGGGTAGCGCTGGCGGATGGAGCCCACCAGCAGGCGTGCGGCCTGGGGCTTCAGCACACCGGCCATATCCTTGATACCCAGGATATGAGGCTTCATGGCGACAATCCTATCCACCAAAGCCAGGTAGTATTCCAGGTTGTATTTCTTGTTGGGGTTCAGCATGTCACCGCTGTAGCACATAGTGGCCTCAACAACACCTTCGGCGGCGTGAACGGCCTTGACACCGACTTCGAGCTGATCGACGTCATTAAGAGCGTCGAAGACACGGAAAATGTCGACACCGCACTTCTTAGCCTGCTTACAGAAGTGGTAAATGGCGTTGTCGGGAAGGGAAGAGTAGGCGACGCCGTTGGCACCACGAAGCAGCATCTGGAAGGGGATGTTGGGCACAGCCTTACGCATCTTGCGCAGGCGGTCCCAGGGGTCCTCGTAGAGAAAACGCATGGCGACATCGAAGGTGGCACCACCCCAGCATTCCAAACTGTACGCGTTGGAGTAGGCATAGCTCGTCTCGTGGGCGATGTTCAACAAGTCGATGGTACGCACACGGGTGGCCAGCAAGGACTGGTGGGCATCACGCCAGGTGGTGTCCATGATCAGACATCCCTTGTTGGCACGCACGGCCTTGGCAAAGGCGACAGGGCCCTCCCGGTCCAAGATTTGCTTCCAACCCTGGGTACAGGGGGCGGAGACATCGAGTGGTTTGCCTTGGGCGTCGAGCAGTTTCGGCTTAATGATGTCGCCCTTGAGCTTGGGCTCACCCATCTGGCCCTTGATACTGCTACCGTTGACGGCCACGTCACCCAGGTACGCGAGCAGCTTCTGAGCACGGTTCTGGCTGCCAACGAGAGCGAACAGCTCGGGTGTGTCGTCGATGAAAGTGGTCCAGCAGTTTCCGTCGACGAAAGTCGGGTGGCTCAGGAGGGAGGTTAAGAAGGGAATGTTGGTCTTCACACCACGAATACGGAACTCGACCAGGGCACGCACAACCTTGCGACGAGCGATTTCGTACGTCGAACCACGGCAAGTGCACTTGACCAGCATCGAATCGTAGTGAGGAGTGATAATGGCACCGGCAAAGCCGTTACCACCGTCCAGACGGACACCGTTACCACCGGCGGAACGATACACCTCAATTTTACCGGTGTCTGGGGAGAATCCCTTGGCGGGATCTTCAGTGGTAATACGGCACTGAATGGCAAATCCACGAGCGGAGATACGGTCCTGAGTGAGGCCCAATTGCTCGAGGGTGGCACCAGCAGCGATCTGGATCTGTGCAGCCACAATATCAATACCAGTGATCTCTTCGGTGATGGTGTGCTCGACCTGGATACGAGGGTTGATCTCAATGAAGTAGTGGCGGTTCTGCTGGTCCACCAGGAACTCAGCGGTACCGGCGTTGCGATAGTTGACCGACTTGGCCAGCTTCACCGCATCAGCCAGGATGCGGTCCCGGACGTCGGTGGGCAGGTCCTTGGCCGGAGCGACCTCGACGACCTTCTGGTGACGGCGCTGCACGGAGCAGTCACGCTCAAACAGATGGACGACGTTGCCGTGGCTGTCACCCAGGAGCTGGACTTCAATGTGCTTTGGCTTGTCGAGGAAGCGCTCAACGAAGACGGTGCCATTGCCAAAGGCGGAGCGGGCCTCGGAGGTGGCCCGCTCAAACGAGTCACGCAACTCGTCCTGGCCGCGGACTACACGCATACCACGGCCACCACCACCGAAGGCGGCCTTGATGATAATTGGGAAACCATAGGTGTCGGTGAAGGCCTTGACTTCCTCATAGCGCTCGACCGGGCCCTCGGTACCGGGAACAACGGGGACGTTGCAGCTAATGGCCAGCCGACGGGCGGACACCTTGTCACCCAAGCTGTCAATGGTCTCGGGGGTGGGACCCACGAAGACCATGCCGGAAGCCTCAACCTTGCGGGCAAAGTCGGCATTCTCGGACAAGAAACCGTAACCCGGGTGGATCAGCTGAACGCCATGCTCCAGGGCGATCTTGACAATCTCATCGCCCGCCAGGTACGCACCAACGGGGGTGTATTGACCGCGGTGGCCAATCATGTAGGCCTCATCGGCCTTTTGACGGTGCATTGACAACCGATCCTCATGAGAGTAGATGGCAACCGTCTGCAGAGACAGCTCGTGGGCCGTTCGGAAGATACGAATGGGGATCTCACCACGGTTGGCAACGAGGATCTTCTGGAAGTGCATAATGGACGAATTGGCGCGCAACCGATGGTGAACGGTATCACGGAGGTGTTCATGGTGGTCATCGACGAACTCGGTGTCATCGACCGCCTCCTCGGGCTGACGAAACGGAGCCGCCATGATTGGGAGGTGAAGTGATAGGTTGGGGGGAGAGGAAGGTTGTAGGAGGAGGGGACAAAGAGGGAGAAGAACAAGGAAGTTCTAGAAGGACAGCCGAGGGATATAAGAGTTCGAAGAGAAACCAATGGAGTGAGTCACGTCCAGCTGGCGGAGAAAGAGGAATAGCTTTCCGCCGGACAGCTCGCGGAGGGGAAGAAAATCTCCCGGTTTCGGAACGGGAATCTGAGGAAGAACGCGGGGGGAAGAAGAAGATACTATGAGGGGTAAGATCGTGGTTGGACCCGAAAAGATTTCGAGCCGATCTATTGCGATTTTGGGGAGGATAAGGAGAGGAGAGGATAATCCGATTGAGAGGAGAGTCGTAGAAGAAGAGAAATAAGGAAGAAATGAGAAGAGGAAGAGAAGAGGAGGAAGTCAATGGCTAAGTATGTCGCCGGAGGGCTGATAGATAAAGGAAGGAAAAGGAAGGAGGGGGAGGGGCGGGTCAGTGCCTCAGGCTAAGAAGAGGGAGCTTGCTTCACATGACATGGAAAAGTTTACTTTATCATGTACAATAAGGTACACTCTACGGAGGTACTCTGTCCGTGTCCATGAACCATCAATGATCCTACCCTCTTGATCTCACCGGCACACCGGTCACGCCTCCCCGTGCCAAGGAGAAGTCCATGGATGACGTTCCACGGTCCCCACCCTTATAGTCTGCAAACTAGTTCCCCATAGTTATTTTATTAGTGATGGAATGAGATCAAACCCTCCTTGTCACTTTTCTGGGTCCTCCTTTTTTTTTTTTTTTTGTTTTTGAAATTCGGTATGATAATACTACTGCGGAGTACAGTCAACCACTCCTACTGCTCCTATAGACGCCCTCGATCCTCCTACATGCCTCTCGTCAGAAATCTCAAACTTCCGTTGGTCCAGACCAATTGACCAATAGAGGATCATTGAATTACACCATGTAGTAGTTTACTATATTACTTGTTTTTTTCTTATCCGCATGATCCCAATCATATGGGCGATCAATTCTCGGCCAAGACAAGAGATACCATTGTACTCCGTAGTACTATCCAATTAACCGGAGGGAAAGAAAAAGAAGAGAAACGGGGGAGGAAAAACAAGACAGATCTCAAACAATCCTTTATCCTCCGTCAATCAAGCTTCCCCCAATTAACTTCTTGATGAATCCTAAGATAACCGAATTGAATCGGGAGGTTCAGGACCTACCATTTTCTTGCTACCTCGGGTGTTCGGGTTATTTCTCTCCAAGGAAGAGAATAGGAAAAAAAAAAGAATAAAACTAAAAATATATCGCGCAGGAGACAAAAAAGAGAGTAAGAGAAATGGTAATCGATTTCCTCAAGAGGTTTCGTGTTATTCGAAACGATCGCGTATCAGCGAAAGAGAATGCCCCGAAGATAGGCGAGGGGCCAGAACAATGCCGAAATTTGCAGGTGGAATTAGGCAAAGGGATCTACAAATGGAAACCCACCCCCGGAGAACGCTTTCCGGACCTCGTTTTGGCCTGGGCCGAGGTTAACGTAATCGGTAAGCGAGCGGCCCATCTGCCATATTCCATACGAAATGGCACTTTTTATAATCCTACTACGTCAACAACCTTGAATAGTAGAGATCTAAAATTTAATATACAGACTGCTCTACTAGTTTACATGTATAGCAATCGAAGAGATGACTAGAATTGATATTAAATTAGAGGGTGAAAACTATAGCTATAATTTTTAAATCTAGAGTTCGAAGCATTAAAATAATATTTGAAAAAAAAAATTTGGACAATATAATTATATAGTATATAGCTATACTAAGACTAAGTTGTATAACTCTATCAGCGCTTGTTGAGGTATACCATTTTGTATGGCAGATGATGATGGCCGCTCGCTTATCGATTACGCTACTAACCCTTTTCACCCTTTTCTCGTGACCTGGATAAAACTCGGGGAGAATTCGCTTTTCGTCCCCTAGCGACGGGACAAGACCCTTGGCGACCAAAACCCTCACACCGGGGCATTCTTTCCTGCAATGTCATCGTCTGGGCGTCTGGAAGATACATGCATCTCTTGCATCTTGGGGTTGCATTCAGATCCTATCAATCCATCCATAACCCCCCTTCCCTTTTATCTTCACTTACATTGCATCCTGATTGAAACTGATCCACTTCTCTGAAGGTTAAGGTCACTCCCCATCTAGTCATTCTTTTAACTGGCTTACATTGGACGGTACTTCCCTTCCACCGATGTGGTGCGATATTACTACTTACTGACCGCCCCCACAAAGCGCCGTCTATTAATGACTAGGATGTGTGTTAAACCCCCCCCCATGGGGCGTCATTGTCTAGTCAAAGCGAACAATGCATTGAATAACAAAAGAGGGGCAAAAATTGTTTCCCGTGAGCGTACTACACGGCTCATAATCAACAAAGAATTTTCGATTATCAAATACAGGGGATGGATATGGAAAGAAAAAGTGAATTATGGAAAAAGAAAATGAGGCCGTCAATGACGATACATCAAGTCTTCAAAGAACCATCCCCGATGAACTATCCTCTCTACAACCCTCTCCGCTTTTAGTCTCACCAAGATTAACGGCAGATCATCCATGGTTTATGCTATACATACACGAAACCCCATTGAAAACGGGGCGGGGAAAAAGACAGGGGAAAAAGGAAATTCTTTAGCTGATAAGAGAGGCGTAAGAAGCGTACGTGTCTAGAACGGGCGGAAGCCGGTGGCCTGCGGCGTGATCCCGTTGGTCTGTTGGTAAGGCATAGGGCTTGGCACAGGCGCCGATGGGCCCTGGGTCAACATCAGCCGCGAACCACCCAGAATCGGTGTGTTGTCCTCTTCAGTCCGCTGTGTCACTTCCCTCTTCTTGCGCTCCTCGTTGTCCTTCTTGAGCATCTCGATCGTGCGCGTCTGCTCGCACAGGAAGTTAATCATGTAGGGCATGGTGAAATCGCCAAGGCCGTGGCGCCACGAGATCTCCATGATTACATCGGGACGGATGAGATCGTAGCAGGCATACAGCATACCAACGTAGCATTCCCGGCTGCCAATATCCACAAACTAGGATACCGGGTTAGTAAACACTTTCAACAATAGGGTATAACTGCACTTACGTAGCGAAGGAGTTCTTCCACCACATCGGCCTTGCCTGAGAGCGCCGCCGTCTCAATAGCATCCTTGTAGAGCTTGTCCTGTTTGGAGAGGGTGATCGACTTTTCCCAGCGTTTGTTGTTGCGGTAAATGTTCGCAGCGATTTGGCGGAAGAAGATCAGTTCGTGCTTCTCCAGGCGCTGAGCCAGATCCACGGCGTCGAAGTTGTCGTAGTTATCCACCGAGTCACGCAGGGTCTTGTAGTCCTCCTCCTCGATCAACAGGTCGTTGATGGCATCGTTCACGGCTCTCTTGTTTTGGGTCTGGACATTCAGCAGGAACGGCTTGATCAAGGGGATGTTATCCGACGACTGGAAGATGCGCACAACACGATTGACGTCAATTCTGGGGGTCAAGACCTGGAGCAGATCGGTGAGGAGCAGTGGCTGCTCTTGAAGGTAGAAATTGAGTGCACGGTAATAGATCTCAAGGTTGGCAACCTTGACGACAATATCCTTGAATGAGTGATGCTCCCATGCGTCGGCAGCACGCTCCATCATCGCCAACGCGGCATTGTCCCACTCATCATAATGGCAGTAGAGGAACACCAACTCCGGCCAGAGACTGGCATCCTCGCAAGCCCGAATCATCTTGGGGATGTTGATACGGGACCAGAAGAGCTTAAGGTGCTCCATGACCCGATCAGGATGGTACTTAGAGAGCGCAATACCCAACTCGGTGAACATACCCATGTGAGCCCTCTCCAAACCCAATCCGGCCTCGAGAACAGCGATAAGTTCGTCAAAGTAGCCATTACGTTCGTATTGACGGACGAGGTCTTGCAGCTCCTCCGCATGGACGATGAGGTTAAGACCGCATATCTGAGCAAGACGGAATTCCTTCTTGTTGACGCATGCTTCGTTGACCTGCTTCCATACCTTGACGCTGTTGGCCTTGCGAGCACACTCTACCGCAGCTTGGTAATCTTCCAAGTGCACCAGGGTTGTAGCCAATTTGGCCCAGTTCGAGATGCTGGTGTAGAAGATCTTAGCGGCTTCGTGGTAGCCTTCTTCGTAAGCCTTGTCACCAGATGACTCAATATCCGCGACGTTGGTCGACCGCAGGAAGTCCTCGAGTTCCGAGAGCTGATCAAGACGGGCGTAGGCGAATGCGAGACCTGTGTCAATTGGAGGCTCCCGGAGGGTCTTGCGTGCCATCTTGAGGTACTTAACAAGGTCCTCATCCTTTCCAGCGTGGGTAGCTGTTTCAATGACTTCAAGGTAGTTTGAGGGGTCGCCAGCACGAATATACGACTCGATGGAGTCGGACACACGAAGACCATCTAGCTGGGCCTTGGCGACCTTGCTCCATACGTCGGGTAATTCAATACGCTCAGCGAACTCTTGGGCCCGGTCAATGCTGACAATGTTCTCAACAAGGACATTGACAGCGGCAATGTAGTTGTTGACTTTCTTGTAGATCTCGAATGCTTCCTCGTACAAGCCAACCGAGATACACATTTCAGCAATCTCATCAGGGCTGAATTCGTTGAGCTGGTGGATATAGTCCATCAGACGGCCCTTGTCAGCCTTGGCAGCGGTGAGCATCAGCAGGTTTTGTAGGCTGCCATTGTCGCTGAAAGGAGATGGCTCCAGAATGATCTTCTCCAGTAGCTCGATAAGCTCGCCAGGAAGGTCTGCTTCGAGGAAGGCTTTAACAGCAACGGACACCTTGTCCGGCTCCGTTGATTCAGGCACGGCGGTTGCAATGACTTGGTCAACAAGAGGTCGGCGGTGAATGTTGTTTTCGCTCAAAACGAAAGACCAGATTTCTGGATCAGCCCGTTCAACGAGATAGCGTCCCTGGGCGCGATACATAGAGTTCTCGTTGGTGATGCTGATGAGTTCCAAGTCGTTCTGGCCCTTCCTATACGCGATATAGGCCAGGTTTGGATCCCGCTTCTCACAGTACTTACCGACAATCAGAGTGTCGTACATATCGTTCTCCTTGAGGAACTTCTCGGGGTCGTTATTGCTGTCGATGTAGATCTTTGCAAGAGCGTTGTACACAGCCTGTTGCTGGTTGCCGGTTGCGAGTGTAGCCTCCAGGAAGGGCAGGAGCAGCTTCAGCCTATTCCGAGTCTCCACCTCATTGACAAGTTCGTCAATCGGGATGACGGCAGGATCGACGGTAGAGAGAAGATTCTTGATGATGGCCTCATCACAATCAACGTCCAGCAACCCTCCAACCACTGCCGGAGCACGAGATGGATTGACACGCTGTACATAGACCTCAATGGACTTGAACTGTTGATTCTGATAGAGATAAAGAACGAGATCATGGATGAAGTTGAAGCGGTCGCACACAATGATCAATGGGAGCTGTTCCGTCAACTTGGCCTCCTTCAGGAAATTCTTCACCTTCTCGGGGTTGTAGTAGTTGCTTTCACGGCAGATGCGCTCCACCTCAGTGATCTGGCTCATAGCAGTAGCAGCTTCAATATATTTGAAGTGAACCTCAGAGTCTTCACTAAGGTTGACGATACTTCCAAGGTAATAGTAGAGACCTTCGGCAGTGCGGTACTTTTCAAGAAGACTGATGAGTTGATTGGGACCCAAGAGGTCGGAAAACTTGGTGGCGATCTGAACGACGGCTTGCAGGTTCTGACGAATGTTCACCTGCAACATCGTATCTAGGCAATCGAGAGTCTGTCCCACGGAAAGTCGGCCAAAGTAGGTCATCAGCCATTCAGGGCTCAACTTGTCAGTACGGACGATGTTACGCTTGATGGCCGCAGGATCGTCTGTGTTCTCCAAGGCTCGTTGAATGAGGCCGGCATTCTCACACAACTGGGAAATTCTGGGGCGATCGTAGTGAGTAAAAATTTCATTTCCAAGGATAGCATCGGCAACTTGTGGGGCGTTGACCAGGTTCATCTCAAGTAAACGTGTCTGCAGATGGCCATGCTCGGGCTTGTTATCCTTAAGAGCATCCAGAAGGAAAGAAGTCGCCTGCTGAATCATGTTCTGAGACAGGAACACATCCACAACCCTGTCCAAATCGATAAGTGCGCCAGACTCCTCGTTGGCAAGCTGAGCAGCAAACTCGGCACCCTTCTCGGGGTTCACACGAACAATATGCTGCAAAAGCTGCGTGTAATCAGGCTGGTATCCAACCTGTTTGGAGTATGCGAGGATCTTATCGAATTGCCCGGTTTCAGCAAAGCCAGCAATAACCTTGTGAGGAACATTAGCTTGCAAGTAGACTTGCAGAGCGAGAGTCATGTCATAGGGACGAATAATATCTCCCAGCTCCTCGGAGCCCTCCAGCTTTTCCTCGCGCATCCACTTCTCAAGGAGGTGCTTCCGGTTTTGCTGCAGGACGGGACGAACGAGCTCAACACTCTCGTACTTGTTCAGAGATCCCTTGTCCAACAGCATCCCAAAATATTGGAGGATAACAGACATTTGCTGCCCAGTTTGAGGAGCATTCTTAAAACGATTGATGGTTTCTGGAGTGCGGAGGAACCCACGGGGGGAGTTCGCAGCAATCTTAGCAGCCTCGGAGTAATTGCCCTGGGTAATAAGGTTGTCAAACTGTTGCTGATACAGGTGATCCGCACCGGGAAGTCCAGCCTTAGATGCAAGCCTCACTGCAAGCGCAGACATAGCAGGGTTCTCCATCAAGTACTGGACGACACTATTCTCATCAACGCTGACGGAGAGGACTTGACCCTTACGGTTCACGCCAACCAAGCCAGCAGAATCTGAGTCGGGTGCAGTAGTGAAGATAGTCTCGCTGGAGATTCGGTTCATGAAGATGCAGGTACCAGTTTCGAGGTCGTAGAGATGAATGAAGCCATACTTCGTGACGAGATACACGATGTCGTACTTCCGAGATACTTGCATCGCCACCGGGAAGTCATTTACGGCCTCCTGGGGGAAGTACACCTCAACGGCCTTCTTCTGGAATCGGGGGTTTGGCTCTTGATGGTCGATTTCAGCGATCTGTAACTTGGCGCCAGTCTGGGTCCGAACGGCAAAGGTAAAGAGTTTATGTTCCAGAGGAGAACCCTCAACTCGAATCGAAGCGAAGGCAGCAGCATGTCCTTCGATGAATTGCGAAATCCCGCGCTCCTTGGAGTACAGCTGCATTGAGCCCACAACGCGGCCTTGTTGTTGGCTGATTCCAACTACTACCATCCATTTCTCCTCATCATTAACGCGATAGTTGATAATTTGGCAACCCTATGAAATACCAAGATATCAGTTTTCCAGGTCTATTCACTTATACATGCAAAACATCAGTGCATAAACGTACGCTCAGGTTGGGAAGTCGGTCGAAGACCTTAAGCGGTTGAGACTGGGTAGGGTCGAAGACATCCCAGTGGTAAACGGACGTTTCCGTTACCAGACCTAGGCTCTTTTCGCTGAACCACTTCCAGTAAACAACATCCTCATTCATCACCGCGGACTTAAGCTTCTGTTTCGCCCCCAGATCGAAGATTTGGATTGTACGACCTTGAGCCTTCAGAGCGATGATGTTTCGGCTCCAGTGCATGATAGCACTATCCGCGTTGATTGGCCGCTTGAGGACTTCATTGTTATTCTTTAAGTCGATGATGATAACTTGAGGTTTATCCTCTTCACTTAGTTTTTGCCGGACGCAAACGTAGTGATCCGATTCTAGAGTCTATTGCGGGGAGCGGGTTATTAGCCAACTGAACAGGAATTGAGAGGCATCCGTATGATGTTTTGGTGAGAACTTACACATGAGTTGAATCCAATCGAGGCCGGCTGATGAACATAGAATGTAAGTAGATGTTGACAACAGTTGGGCGTGGGTACGATTGGGCGCGACTAGCACCGCAGCCTTAAAAAGACCACGAGTTGGTAGTGCGGCAAGACATACCGCAATTTCAGCATTTGTCAACTGCAGGCACGAAGATACATGTCAGCTTCTCATCTATAAAGCTATTGAATTGAAGGGTCGGAGAATACATTAATAAGCTCCGTGAACTTGATGGGAAGAGGAGCCATATTTACGTAGGTCGCAGGACGACCTCATCCAACCAACGAAACGCCACGCAAATAATTCCACCGGGTTATAAGGGAAAGAGAAGGAAAGGAACAGTAAATTGAAGCTAAAGACGAAGAAAAGAAAGGAAGTAAGAAGGGGAGGAAAAGAAGGCTTTGAAATAGGGAGAGGGTAGGTTGATGATAGACTGGGGAAGCGGAAGTGACCTCAGGAGACCGGCGCGGCTGTCGTTGCTGAGGTGTCGCTTATGGGGGCATCACGTGCACCCAAGGGGGTGCCTAAGGTGGTCTGGGCCTGTTTTTCGTTTTGTATGTATGTACTTTAAGAGAAAGTACAACCAATAAACAAATCCTCTATAGTATATCTGGAAACAGAAGATTATTCTTTATTTCAACTTCATTTCAGACTCCTAAGGATAGTACTGATGTGAGAGAAATATTCAAGTCATTATCTTCACTTTTGAATCGTCTGACGGGCTAACAATGAATATGTGGTACTTGCTTATCTTCCACGCCTTCTTTCCTATCAGTCACATGGCTTGTTCCACTGTGATATTCCTTGACAATTACATTCAATGGATATGTATACTGTAGCCTACCTAATACGCTAGCAATGCCCTAAAATTATCTTGGACAAAACAGGAGCAACTCCGTTGCAAATAGGCAGCATTTCCCAAGTTTTAATATGTCATTATTGATTCCTGTGGCAGTTCCCATAATTTTATTCACTCGTCTGGCCCATATGCATATGGTACACATCAGCCCCTAACCCTGTCCCAAAAGGCTGCAAGGGCAAGCTCATCCATTTCATACATATCCACATTCTTGAGTTCCCATGCTGAAAGACAACCTATTGCTTTCTCCCACCTGTTGGCCCAATCTAAACTGGGAACTGCTTGATTTCCTGGTCTAGAATACGAAATATAAGTTAGCCAAGTCACAGATGTTCTACCTCTCTACTCACTTAAGCTTCAATTCCACCCGAATAACCAACCCATTCCCTCTGTTCAGGTTCGTTAGTACAGTGCGATTCGCTCAGTTGACAGGTTGAAAGATATATTTCGAAAGCCAAGTGCAGCCATGACGAGTAGTCTCATCTTTTGGAATCCCCAACTTGTCCTTCACGTTGATCTTGGGGCTATCGGTGACTGTATTGGGTGAAGAGGGTGGTTTGGTTTCTTGAGGGTGCCTCCCGATTGAAATGATTCACATTTGTTGGCTCAGAGAAGTGCACCTGCTACTTTGGCAGCCCTATGGCGGCACTGGTAGGTATGTCAGTACATACATTGCTCTCGGTACCTAGTTGCTGGACCGTAGTATCGCCTCGAGCATAACTTATACACTCTGGTTTACCTCTTGTAACACCAACGTGCCCATGCATGTCCTCCTTGGGTTCTGCGGGGATCTTACCTAGTGGCCGGTCCCTGCCCCGGACCGGAATGTCCCCTGACACATATACTCGAAGCCATGCAGCTGGCGCCTAACATGAGAGTCAACCATATCAAGGCACTGACCATTTTATTCCCGAGGCTCAGAACTCAATTTCAAGAAATTATTTCCCATGGACGGACAAATCCTTCTCTGGGGCTGTTCTTGGCCGTATCTCCACGGTTTCTTGCTGTAGTATATTGTTTGAGCCTCGACTTCCCGGACTTTCCAAGTTTACATCGTAATGTTAAAGAGTATAGAGCTTTAATATGGATGACACCACCCCAAACGGATTACACTCCTACTCTATCTAACCAATGGAAACTAACCCAAATTTAATTACATCAATCTTGGTCCCTGGGATTACTCCCTTTTGGAGATTCAATGCCTGCTACATCCCTTTTCCAAATATGTGTTGTTGTATGAAGTATTTCGAAATATCTTGGAAGTTGAGAACTGCGTAATGTCTATGGTAACGTAAGGGAGTAGCACGGTGGAGCGAAGTTTCTCAGGCACCTACATAATGTTGATCTTGTACCTACACAGTAATCATTAGGTTTTCAATGATGACGCGCTCCATTGAGTTTATGTCGTCGAGTATGTGCATTCCATGGATGTTGCCGTGGAAGAAGACCCCCGGGAACGAAACTCAATTGATTTTCTTCCCCTGCTCCCTGGTACAAAAAAATATAAAAAGAATAAAAAAGGAAAAAATATTAAACGAGCCAAAAGAATTCCTTGACAGATGGCACTTCCCTTGTCGAGTACTAGTTAGATGTAAGACTAGCATATTCTTGGTGATCACGCTAACCCAACTCTCTTTATGTGCCTAGTATAAAGTTATAATAGTCTTAGCATGTTGCAATTCCACAAACTGTGGTAAGATAACAACAACTGCATGCCATAATGAAATATATGGTGAGTAATAATAGAATGCTTCTAAACCCTCGCTTTTCAGTCAAATATGCTTAAGCTCAATGCAAAACTCAAAAACATTACAATACAGTACACCTGCCGAGGAATGGCCAGCATCCTCTACAATACAATAAATATGGACATTTTGGATTCGCATTTTCACACTTTCCGGTCCTATAACAATTTGTTGTGACATTAATGATGTGGATACATTCCCATTCGCCGTTAGTCTTTGGGAAGGACTTCCCTACTATGATCTTTTGGGTCTTAATTGTTATACCCTCATTGCTAATCCCCACATAGCTTTTTATGGGCCTTACCAGGGGTGCTGAAACGAATTGGACGTGCAGGAAAGTACAATGACTATTGCCGAAAGGAGAATTCTTCGGGCAATTTTTCTTACACTAACCGATCGATTACTACGCCCGTTCCCTCGTGGACCCTATGCCGTTTTTGCTTCTATTGAATGAGACCGATATCAATATGCTCGACAACCTCTTCATTTCCTCCACTATGCTCTTCTAAGAGGGGCCTGAACCGATCAATATGAAGATTCTCTGTCTCCATCCATGGTACGTCCTTTGTCTCTTTTAGTTACAAGTGGTGTTCATTTGAACAAGACATATATACCTATATCTATCTATCTATCTATATTATGCGCGTAATACCTTTCAACTCAAGCACGCCAACTCATAATATTGTATAGGGGAACGTCCGCAGAAATCTTCGAGAAGCAGATTTCCGTCGTTTGTAATCTACTCGGAGAGACTCACAATTATGTTTTCCTCGATGCTCCTATTCCATGTGGTCCTGCAAAAGGTATGGGCAACACGATGGGACTTATCCACCATGCTAGATCATCTTCTTATATTTCGTCATGAATAGAACTTCCAGCCATCGTGAAGGGTCCCTTCTACTGTTGGTATGAAGGTTTATCTTCGGCCCAGGTCAAGTCAGCACACGACTTTATACTGGATACCATCGAAGAAGAAGGGCCCTTTGATGGCGTCATCGGATTCAGCCAAGGGGCGTCGCTTGCTCTGTCTATACTATATCATCACGAGGTCTATCAGCCTCACCAACCTCCGCCTTTCCGTTTTGCCGTCTTCTTCTGCTCCATCCTTTCTATATCACCTGATGCCCAGTTCAATGCAGACATCATCAAGAAGTACAGCCGATACTTCAAGGGACTTGACAGGCTTGGAAGACACGATAACGACATCAGTAGTGAGGAGGAAGGAGAGAATGTCAAGGCTGAGGTCGAAATTAGTGCATTGGATAAGACTAGCAAGATTAAATCTGCACCAAAGCGCCGGGCCAAGTTGCTACTACCAGGCCAAAAAAAAGCCGTGGTAAACGATATGGTTGGATTTGTTCGTCAACTGACGGAAAATGCAGCGGAGCACCATACCGCTGCCCACAAGCAATGGGAAAAGAGAGACAGTCACGAAGACTTTCCGCGGGTCTACCACCCTTTAGCGAACAAGCAGCGCATCTCTATCCCCACGGTGCACGCTATCGGCCGGGCTGACCCATTTCGAAGGCAGAGTGAATTGCAGGCTAGGCTTTGCAACAAGAATCTGTCCCGTGTCGTTGAATTCCACGGTGGGCACCAAGTTCCACGGAACTCGAGCGACCTGCAGGCAGTCACCTTTGCGATCGATTGGGCAATTCGAATGGCACACCTGCAGTAGTAACAGAATATATTTGTCGATTGATATTCACTTTTTTAATGTCCACATACGTGTGATTTTACAAACAGACTCCTCATGAATTTGTCACTTCCGATTCACATCCTATTATTATATGGTATGACTACTATTGCCTGACCGCCCCTCCTCCGTTTATAGGTAAGTCGTCACGTCTTCACCAATTGATAGCATACTCCTGAGTTTAGCTTGAGCCCATAGAGAGCTTACGCCCCGTATGCCCTCCGGGATTGATTTGGACATGAGGCGTAAAAAGAAGTCCACGACTAATTATTCAATTTCTGCTCACTAGGTTTGATGTCTGAAGGGTGCGAGGTGAATATGAACATAGGCAACTGTGTTTCAGAAAGCTTGATCATGGGAAGAAATTCCGCTTTCTAGCTCTTTCTGTTCTACATATATCCTCCATGAATCAATTGATCAAGGACTGGCATGGTACCGTCGCTTACGCACAGGCACCAATGGCAGTTTTGTACGCTGCATCTAGCCGCACAGCTTCGTTAGCAATGGTGGACTTGCCACCTGAAGCAGCCTTCGACTCAAACTCTGTTGAGAGCAGTCCAGTAGGATCGTAGAGGGGGTTGAGATCTAAAGCGACAATGCTGGTAACACCAGCAGAGGCGAACACGGATTTCCACAGCCCTTTGTCAACGACTGTTTCTCTTCAAATTATGCGGCGAATAATGACAAACTAACCTTAGAGACGATATTGTTGAGGATTCCTATGATGCTAGGCCCAGCCTGGTAACCCATTGGTCCGCTTGTGCTTCGGCGCCACTGAATCCAGAGGAAGCTTTCACATCACTGATAGTTTGCTTCAACGCATTCTCCACCACGATTTCCTTGAGTCACTGCGGTATTGTGCGTCCCATGGAAGCCCCAAGGGCGAAAGTGAGGACTGACAGATCGGTTTTGAGAGTGTTAAACTAGGATATGTTCTATTGTTCTCAGTCCTTCAAGCAAAAGCAGAGAAGGAGCAGTCGAGGGCCAGAAACGAGACATGTTAGTACAGCTCCTTGTCTCCTGTGATGCGGTGATCCATGTCATCGTTCGCAGGCAGAAAGCATCACATGGCATCACTACGCCTCGGCTAGCCACTAATTGCTGGGGGAAGGCACAAAACCTATAAAAGAGAGAGAAGGGACAGCAAACACTGGCTGTCAGCGTCATCCGGACCGGTGCGTCCAGATCATTAAACCATCCCATATTGGTTGAGACTAGTCCGGGGTGTTGTTGAGAAAGTGGCCGAAAGAATTGGCCTGTTGGCTGGTGATCTGGCTAGTGGGCTAGTGGCTGTCACTAGTTGCAGGGCCTGAACCTTCAACAAACGTCCCATGATTTCTCCCCTCGCTTCCTTGGGCCGTACTAGGCACCAGCCCTTAGACGATCCTAATATCTTGCTACGATGGTCCCCGTGAGACAATGCAAGAGAAATTATGATTGACGGAAGACAGTATGAGTTACTATACTCAGAACTTCGCCATCTCAAACCCTAAACCCTAATTAAAGCAAAACTTTCTTCTCTCCTCTGACTCGAAAGACAATGTCGGGAATAGAGAACCAGTCCGCGGAGGTGATTGCTCCTGTGGAGAAGTCCAGTGAAGATGCTGCAAAGGCGAAACGGAGCAAAGATGGCCTTCCGGGGGAACTCGAAGTTAAAAGGCCTGTAATAGCGACCTGGCCGCTGGTCATTATTCTTCTTTGGTATGGCGATGAGCTGAGATGTAATGCATGAATCTGCACCCTAATAGCAGCTGACGAGATGGCCCTTTAGCATTGCCCTCGGTCTGTTCTTATCGTTAATGGATACGACCATTGTATCGACGATGCTCTACACGATCTCGGATGAGTTTGGGGGGTTTCGATTATCATCTTGGATTGTTTTATCCTACACCCTGGCGTATGTTGGTAAGGATCTACAGCCTTCATTCCCCGTGTGAAGAACTAAGGTGGGAAATGCGCTCTCCTAACACATTTACAGGCTGTGCTGTCTTTGTCGCTCGGCTGTCCGACGTGGTTGGCCGGAAATTTGCCCTTTTAGCATGTTTTGTCATATTCCTTGCTGCATCTATGGCGTGCGCCGCGTCAAAAGATCTCAATCAGCTCATCGGTTTCCGAGCCTGGCAGGGCGTTGGGGGAGCCGGACTCTACGCCATGGCGATGATCATCTACCCTGAGATAAGTCCACCGAGTCTCCTGCCCGTGGTATCTTCTATCATTGGGATTATCGTGGCTCTAGCAGGCATCAGCGGGCCAATTATAGGTGGTCTATTCACCACATATACCTCTTGGCGATGGGCATTTTGGATCAAGTAAGCTGTCTCTATCTGTACCTCACAAGGAGCTAATCCATGAATCTCAAAGCGGTCCTTGTGCCTTCGTGCCGGCAGTAGCCCTGTTCTTCACATGGCCGAATGATTTCCATGCCACGAGTGTTATCAGTTTCAAGCATCTCGACTACCTAGGGACACTCTTGATTATGCTCGGCTGCGTTCTTTTCGTTTTCATCCTCAATGAAGCGGCTGTCAGGGCCTATGCTTGGAAAAGTGCACCCGTCATCTTGATCTTTATTATCTCGGGCCTCGCCTGGATCGCGCTGGTCTTCTGGCAGTGGGTAGTGTCGTGGCACCCCAAACTTCAGCTCCTTCGGCCCCAGTTACCATTCCGCCTACTAACGAACCGAGTCATGTTAGCTGGCTTTGTGTAAGCTCTAACCCAGAACCTCAACGATCCAGGAATAAAAACTAACAAAGTCCGCAACAGGAGCACAATACTAACTGGTTTCGTCATGCTCCTAACCATCGTCAACATCCCTATCAGAGCGCAAATAGTCAACCTCAAAGACGCGATCGGATCCGGAATCCTCCTTCTACCCTTGATGGGAAGCACTGCAGTCGGGTCAGCTTTGGGCGGCGCCGTCTCCGCCAAAAAGAACAACACATTCTGGACCCTGAACCTAGCCAGTATATTTATGCTGATCGGCAGCGCCCTTCTCTCCACGCTCCCCGAGTCTGTGGAACCGGTCGCAAAGCAGTATGGATTTGAGGTGATCCTCGGTTTGGGACTAGGGCTGAGCTTGTCTACGATAACCTTCCTCACCTCCATGCAGGTGGACTTTGAAGATCACGGTGCGTGCCCCTCCTTGAACCTGGAGAGAACAAAACAAATATCAGCAATAACTGACTAGAATCTTGGATATGGTAAAATAGCCGTGGCGCAAGGGATCGTCGCCCAGGCTCGTGTCTTCGGCGGTAGTATTGGCATCGCTATCAGCTTCATAGTCTTTAACCAGAAGGTTCAAGACGCGCTGACGGGCGTACTGACGCCGGAGAAGTTGGATGATTTTTACAGATCGCCTACGGCTATACTTGGATTCTCCATCAGGGAGCAATTGTATGTGAGGGATACTTATATCGATGTTTTTACGGTTGATATGCGTATCTGTGCTGGTATCTCGGCTGCGTGCCTGATCGTCACTCTGTTCACCTACCAGCGAAATCCCCAGTCAATAAAGGAACGGCTCGCGGACCTTGAAGAAGTATATTTGCGTACTGAGGCGGCGGCTGCGGCGCGTGAAGGTGAGAGGCAGGACGCATGCTATATCAAGGGTATGGGCTCAAAATAACTCGAGCTTGTAACTTGGGAGCTTTTCAGCTGAGTTGTTTTGACTAGTCTATGTTTTGCCATGCTTCTAGTTCTTCTCTTCTCTTTTCACCAGTTTTTTGACACTTCATTCGGAATCAGATTAGGCACAAGTGTAAACTTTCTTATAGAGAACATGAACATACTATATCATCTTTTCTCTTGAATGTATGTACAGATCATCGGGAAAGAGAACACGTTCCAGAACGCAACGCATCATGCTAGTACTGCTATAGTGGGTCTCTTCTATGGTCTTCTATCGAACCAAGATAGAGTGAAAAGCCCACAAGGACTACACTATATTCCCATCCACATTGAAGTCAATCCCACTTCATGGCTCAGCTGTGTCTTACATTGTCCCTTCCTGGAATTCACACAGAAAAAATACACACCGAGTCTCTACTCGATATGAAAGACTAGCTCATAGCATGTCCTAGTCCTACTCACTAAGTTCGGCGTCTTTTCAGGCCTTAATATCTAAACAAGTTGCCGCGGCGCGCCCATACCTTCAAGGCCGAGACCCGACCACTGAAATAGGACAAGAAGGTCTTCGTACTTTGAAAAGGCCCCCAAAAAGAATTGGCCGGACCAATACGGCGCTTTGGCTCGACTCAAGAAGTGTTCGTGTTACGGAATCTCCGACGGTCTCGCTATCATCTGGCAACTTCGACCTTTCCCACTCAAGAAAACAATATATCTGCCAAGGATGAAACCCTTGTCCGTCTCCAGTCGGCGATATCGTGTTTCGTGCGGGGATTGGATCCCCCAGGGAACAGTGCGACACCACGCGTGATTAACGGTTTGCGGGACCATTCTTGGATGGGAGAAATTCTGATGGACTTCTGATTATATAACAGACGAGGGTCTGAGTATCTGGGAAAGATGTGCATGGCTAGACAAGTCGTTGTCCTGTGATATCAATCTGCTCATACATTAGGGAATCTTCCTCATTTGTGCTCGGAGAAACCTTGAAGACTTGCTGAGATGCCCAATCCGGAGTCCGGAATACACACGATGGATGACAAGTTAGAGCCTCTTGCTATTGTTGGCATGAGCTGGCGCTTCCCTGGTGAGGCCCACTCTGCCAATGGCTTCTGGGATGTACTCAGCAATGGTAAATCTACAAGAACACGTATTCCAGCGGATCGTTTCAAAGCCGACGCGTACTATCATCCCTCAGCCGATCGCCAAGGATCTGTAAGTGTTCCAAACTGTTCGTTTGTGGGGTCTCTCTAATTCTGGAATTCCATGCCAGATCATCACCAAGGAAGGTCACTTTCTGACAGGAGATATTGGCGCTTTCGATGCGCCTTTCTTCTCAATGTCCGCTGCAGAAGCGGAGGGGATGGACCCGCAACATCGTATCCTTCTAGAAGTCACATACGAGGCGTTTGAGAATGGTGCGCAAACTACGAACTCGGTTGAACTCGACATGCTAACAAACAACCAGCCGGTATGTCTATCAGATCTGTGGCTGGAAGCCAAACAGCTGTGTAAGTCGGCTCGATATCACCACTGATCAAAATCTTACCGGAGATAGCGTGGTTGGGGGCTTTACCAAAGACTATGAGGCGACATCTGGCCGAGAGATGAACAACATATCTCCGTACGCGTCAACTGGCTGTGGAGCCTCGATGTTGGCGAATCGGCTTTCATGGTTCTATGACCTGCGAGGCGCGTCACTCATGGTCGATACTGCATGTTCGGCAAGTCTAGTAGCACTCCATCTGGCTTGCCAAGAACTGCGAGCAGGGCAAAGCAGAATGGTACCTAGCGTTCTGCCCACTCTTGTTGCAGCTTGTCGCTTTATCGGGCCTCATCCCTCTTCATACGTGATCAAACTTGATACTAATAATTCTGGCTACAGGCAGTTGTTGCTGGTACGAATATAATAATTCAGCCGGAAGTCTGGAGAGGACTATCAGCTCTGCGGTTTCTCAGCCCTGACGGAACATGCCACAGTTTTGACAGCCGGGCCAATGGCTACAGCCGCGGTGAAGGCGTGGGTACCATCTTAATAAAGCCGTTGGCGGATGCTCTTCGTGATAACGATGTCATCCGCGCTGTCATCAGAGTACGTTTATGCACCCTTACTTCTCCATCTTAGAACCCCACCCGGCTTAGGTCTTTCTCATTTAGGGTACTGGTATCAACCAAGATGGCAAAACCCCAGGAATCACCGTGCCGAGCTCTGACGCTCAGGTAAATCTGATTCGGTCAACATATGAGGCGGCCGGTCTTGACTTTTCGCGAACAACTTACTTCGAGGCACACGGGACTGGTACTGCCGTAGGTGATCCCTTGGAGATATCAGCCATTGGACAGACTATCGGCTCTGCTAAGACGAAAAACGACTATCCCCTTCTTGTTGGATCTGTAAAGAGCAATATTGGACACCTTGAAGGTGCATCGGGCATTGCTGGAGTCATCAAAACTGTTCTTGCTTTGGAGAATGGCATGATACCTGCTGTCCACGGGTTTCAGACTCCCAACCCTCGTCTACGCTTAGAGGAATGGAACATACTAATTCCTTCGGAGCTCACACCATGGCCAACTTCAGGGCTTCGTCGTGCTAGTGTGAACTCGTTCGGATATGGTGGAACCAACGCTCATCTTATTCTCGACGATGCGTTTCATTATCTGAAGGGTAGGTTAAAATGATCCCTCCACTGTCAAGCTGCTGCGGAACATGAATCACTCATGACGTGTGAACAGAAAGAAATCTGGCCGGTAATCACAACACACGGATAGAATCCAGCACACCACTCTCCCAAAGTACTGATTCAGGAATTTCACTTGACGAGGGAGACTCCCTATTGAAGAAAGATGGAACAGCCAAGAAAAAGCTGTTCGTCTTTTCATCACCTGAACAAGATGGTCTTGCTCGCATGGCCCAGACATATGTAGAGTTTATCAGAAGCAATTCGAGCTTGAACGACAGCGAACTGCCTCTTGAGAAAAGCACAGAGATGGCTGCTCTAGCCTACACCCTTTCCGAGCGGAGAACCATCTTTGATTGGAGAAGCTTTGCTATCGCAGGGTCGATGGAGAGTCTCGCAGAATCATTGGAGAGGACTCTGCCTAAAATTTCCCGTGCTGTCAAGTCCCCATCCTGTGCTTTTGTCTTTACTGGACAAGGAGCACAATGGTTCGCCATGGGAAGAGAACTGCAGGATTACGAGGTCTTTAAGGACAGCATCACCGCGGCGAACGAATACATCTCCTCACTTGGATGTACCTGGTCTGTTCTGGAGGAGCTCAACCGTGATGAAGATGAGAGCCACGTCAATGAACCCCAAATCTCCCAACCATTGTGCACTGTTCTTCAGATTGCACTGGTAGACCTTCTAAATCACTGGGGTTTGCGCCCAAAAGCCGTCGTGGGCCACTCGAGCGGTGAAATAGGTACATAACCCTTCTCGCGGATAGTGTGAGCCACTACTATGCATGAGTCTAAGCTAACAAAAGCATAGCTGCAGCGTATGCTGCCGGTATTTTGAACAAGGAGGGAGCCTGGAAAGTCTCTTACCATCGGGGAGTTCACTCAGCTGAAATACCGACCCTTTTACCGGACCGTAAAGGTTCAATGATGGCAGCAGGTATCTCCGAAGCCGCAGCGCAAAAGTACCTTGACAAAGCCACAGCAGGTGAAGCAATAGTGGCTTGCATCAACAGTCCCCAGAGCGTAACAATATCCGGCGATTCCACCGCTGTGTCAGAGATCGAGGATATGTTCAAGGCTGATAACATCTGGTGTAGAAAGCTCAAAGTTCAGACAGCATATCATTCGCCTCACATGAAGGTGATAGCTGAAAAATATCTGGAATCTGTCCGTGATGTTCTGCCAAGCGAACAGTCAAATGTCTCCTTTTTTTCATCCGTCACGGGATCCGAGATCTCCCACGTCGACATGGGAGCAGAATATTGGGTGAAGAACCTTCTTAGTCCAGTTAGGTTCTCTGAGGCCGTCACGGCCCTTATCAGCCAGCGTACCACAAGAAGTCGCCGTAAGGGAATGGCCAGCGTCGGGGGTCTAATTGAGATTGGGCCTCATTCAGCTTTGCAAGGACCACTAAGGGATATTGTGGCCGATATCTCGGAGTCGTACCTCAAGACTGTAAACTATACATCCGTGCTACAACGAGGAGTTGATGCCACAGAGAGCGCATTGCATGCGGCCGGGCGACTATGGAGTTTGGGGTTCAGTCTGGACCTAGCACTTGTCAACTCCACGTCGAAAACCCCGGTCAGTTCCAGAGCGTTGGTCAATTTGCCCAGGTATCCGTTCAACCACAAGCGACGATACTGGAACGAATCACGTTCCAATTTGAGAAGACGGACCAGGGATCGACCTAGATCCGACTTGCTCGGTCAACAGGTGGAAGACTACAACTTAGTCTCCCCTCGCTGGACTAATTTCCTAAAGCCGATCGAGATCCCTTGGCTTATGGATCACCGAATTCAAGGAATGATCGTTCTCCCGGCTGCAGCTATGCTTGCTATGGTGTTGGAGGCTTGCCAGGAAACTGCAAATCAATCAGAGGTTCTCCAGGGTTACCAATTCCGAGACGTCTCTTTCCACAAAGCCATGCTCTTCACCTCCCCCGTTGTGGCTATAGAGACAGTGGTGGAACTCAAACCCCACAATTTTGGAACGAAAGTGAATACATCTCACTGGACTCACTATTCAATTTTGTCCATTGGACCTGATATTACCTCTCTTGAGCACTGCTCGGGTCTTGTGAAAACCATCTATGCGACTAAGCCCAACGAAATTGGTAACTGTATGGAAGCTACCCGGGAGTGGAACTCCTACAAACAAGAGTATTTGTCTATTCAGGAAAAGCCGACTAAGGAGCGTCACGTTGGTCGTGTATATGATAAGCTCAACGGCCTAGGCCTTCAATTTGGGCCTCTGTTCCGGAATATTACACGCGTTCATTCTGGCGACGGCTTCGGCTATTGCGAGCTTCAGATTCCGGACACGGCCGCAAGGATGCCTGAGAACTTCGAGTATCCCAGTCCAATTCACCCCACTGTGCTTGACGGCATATTTCAGATGATGGCATGTTGTGGAACGGTGGAGAGTGACTCTCCTCCCATGGTTCCAAGCTTCATTGAGTCTTTGTATGTTGCGGCTTCTCTCCCATCCGCCACCGGATCCATTCTGAAAGGATTCAGTACCTTGAAGCCTAAACAACGCCTCCAGCAGCTTGGTTCTGTCATTGTATCTGACGATTCATGGAATGAGCCCAAGATACTGTTAAAAGGCTTTGTTTGCACCGAGCTCTCTTCTCGTTCCACCAAAGCTCCTTCCAGGAATATCTGTTCCCACTTTGAGTGGAAGATGGACATTGGAACCTCACATATAACAACAAGCAAGCTTTTGAACCAGCATCGTTTCTCCCTTGATCCGGTTCTTGTGAGAAGTGCTTCACTTTGTGACCAGGCCGTGTCCGAATTCATTCAGGACTCTCTAGTTCCTGTATCCACTGAGCCTGAGAAAGAGGCCGATCTAACATTGCAAAGCTACATCCGTTGGATGCGCAGTGTTGCAAATATGTCATACAGTAGCCTCTCGAGCACAGGCTCTGTCGCTTTCGAAAGCTCTCCGACAATGGAGGCAATTGAGACAGTTAGAAACAAGCTAGACAACATCATCAACAAACCGGGCGCTAGAATCGAGGTGTTAAACGAGGAGTTCATCTCAAAGTTCATTGATAGTTCCATAGGCTGGCCCTTTGTCAACTCGATAATGGCAGAATTCATGAATACTATCGGATACGTGAGGCCCAACATGGAAGTTTTGGAAGTTGGAGATAGCGGATCAATATCCTGTGCAACTTCCGTGTTGGAGCGACTGAGCGGTAAAACGTCGGGGTCTGCACGTTTAACGAATTACACCTTCACTGACAGCAAACAAGAGACTCTAGCTTCTGCTCAAGATCTGTTGGAGAAATGGGCATCTATAGTCGAGCTCAAAGTCTTGGATATTGAGAAGGACCCTGAAGCTCAAGGCTTCGTGTTGGAAAAGTTTGACTACATTATATTCAACGAGCTCCTATTGACCACTACCGACCTCGGGTTAGGCCTGCGTAACTTGAAGAAACTATTGAAGCCTGGCGGTAAATTACTGCTGGGTGCAATCACAAAAGCTCAGCTGAGGACGACATTTGTACTTGGCTCTGATCCGAGATGGTGGCGCAACTTCAATAGAAGTTCGGCTTTATTCGGCCCACTAGATGAAGATGGTTGGGATAAAGTATTGAAAGAGAGTGGCTTTGTCGGGGTTGAGCATTTGATCCAGGATTCCGGGGATGCACACGTTCATCAGTTGTCTGTGATGGTATCCTCTGTCGAACACGATCCATCCTTTGATTTCTCTGAAGTAATTATCGTCAACCCAACTACTTCTATTGATGGTTGCTCTGCGCTTTCTGTTAACATTGCGAACCTCTTGATCAAACTTGGGTTATCCGTCAACCACAGAACCTTGGATACCATCGGAGATGTGTCGGGCAAAGTCCTGATTTCCCTCCTTGAGGTTGAAGTTCCAGTCCTTGAAGATATCTCAGAGCAAGTCTTTGAGGCAGTAAAAAGCATGTTACTAAATAGCGTGGGTACTTTATGGATAACTCGAGGAGGTCAGGTCGTCGGTCCTTCTAAGCCTTATTCTGGAGTCTCAACTGGACTTTTCCGTGCCCTTCGATCTGAAGATCCAGATATACGTGTGGGAACACTAGACTTATCGTCAGGCCTCAATTTAAAGTCCCAGCTCGCTGCCAACCTGGTTTCCGAAGTCTTTCAGTCTCTTTTCGAGTCTTCCGAACGAGAAGTTAGAGACCATGAATTCGCCGAGGACAACGGCTGTCTCTACGTGCCACGACTCCTTGAAGAATCTGGTATAAATTCAGCAATTGCAGAGATAAGCAAGCGGCCACAGCCGGTTATGGAAAGGCTCTTCCAACAGGATCGGCCGCTGAAGATGGTCCTTGGTGAGCCCGGCTTGCTCAACACGCTTCAATTTGTCGACGACGAGCAATTCCAAGAACCGTTGAAGTCTGACTATGTTGAAATGAAGGTCTTGTGTACTGGTAAGCTCTTGATACTAGTTGATGGAAACGATTCTTATGGCTCACCTTTACGTAGGTCTCAACTTTGTGGACGTTATGGCGGCCTTGGGGCAAGTCCCTACGCCTACCCTTGGTTGTGAGGCCGGAGGCATCATCACCAAGGTTGGGTCGGATGTGACAAAGTTCAAACCGGGCGACAAAGGTATGCGCATTAACAAAGTTGTACCGAGTTGCTGTGATGAGGCTAATCTTGTATAGTTGCGGCGGGCCTTGTTCCAGGTGGTTTCAATACCCATATTCGCATCAGGCAGACGTTCATCCAACATGTCCCTCCACATATGACTATCGAAGGTGCAACCACTATCATGATTGCATTTTTGACTGCTTGGATTGGATTGATCAACAAGGCCAGGATAGGTCGAGGAGAGACAGCTCTTATCCATTCTGGAGCTGGTGGAGTTGGCCAAGCCGCAATCCAGATTTGCCAGCACTTCGGTGTTGAGGTCTATACGACCATCGGCTCTAAATCTAAGAAGGAACTGTTGATGGAGCGATACGGCATTCCAGAAGACCACATATTTAACTCCAGGGACAGTTCCTTCGCCCAAGGTCTCATGAGAATGACAAAGCGTCGTGGTGTGGATGTAGTGCTTAATTCAGTATCTGGGGAGCTTTTACGTCAGTCATGGCACTGTCTTGCTGACTTTGGACGCTTTATCGAGATTGGAAAACGAGATCTGCTGGGGAACACCGGCCTCGACATGGAGCCCTTCCTTCGTGGTGTCAGTTATATCGGTGTCAACCTGGAACAGTTCCACCCCACCAGTGCAGTCCATATGGAAAGTTCCGAGGCCATCCAAGATATCTTCGACCTACTACACGCCAAACAGCTCAAGGAGCTATTTCCAATCACGATCTACGACTACTCTCAAGTAGAGCAGGCTTTTCGAGCCCTTCAGTCAGGAAAGTTTGCTGGCAAGATTGTTGTCCGAGCCAATCCAGATGATATAGTTCCTGTTGTGCCGCGAGCCAAGCCTCCCTTTGTGCTTGATCCCAACGCTACATACCTGTTAGCTGGTGGTCTCGGGGGAATCGGTAGAAGTATTGCGGACATGCTGCAGTCCCACGGGGCAAGGCACTTGGCTTTTTTCTCCAGGTCTGGAAACTCTAAAGAGGAGGCAAAGGCTTTTTTGAGGCAATTAAGACGACATGGATGTACTGCAAATGCTTATGCTTGTGACATCTTGGATCGAGAGAAGGTCTTTGAGACGATATCACAATGCAACTCGGAGATGCCGCCAATCAAGGGCCTTGTTCAATGTTCCATGGTACTGAGGGTAAGATGAGATGAGAATTCCTATTTCCGGTTGCTCAACTGACTATGGCACGTAAATAGGACGGAATCTTTGAAAACACATCGTATGATGACTGGATCACTTGCACCAGACCCAAGATCCAAGGGTCTTGGAATCTCCACGAGGCGCTCCCGAAGGACCTTGACTTCTTTGTCATGCTTTCGTCCATTTCAGGAGTTATTGGAAATCCCGGGCAAGCCAACTATTCCGCTGGTAACGTCTACAAAGATGCACTCGCGTACTTCCGGCGCCGGCAAGGAGCTAAGGCCGTTGCCTTGGATCTCGGCGCAGTTCGAGACATCGGCTATCTCGCTGAGTCTGAGGACACCGTTAATAGGAGCCATCTGAAATTCCTATAGATTAGCGAAACAGATATCCATCACCTTGTCAAGTTCGCTATCATGGGGCACTTTTCTAGCAATGACAAGGTGCCTCCTCAAGTGGTCACTGGCTTGGCTTCCGGGGAGGAGATGATGGAGGCCGTAAAACGAACTCGCTGGGCCCGTGACGCTAAATTCTCAATGTTTTGGAAAACAAGCGGATTGAACGACCCCGATGACGGGATTCAGGCTGGGTTGGAAGCCTTTAAGGCTGAATCACCAGGGGTGGTGGCCGCAATTATCGAAGATATCATCATCGCGCGTATCGCAAAAGTTCTGATGATGTCTGTGGAGGACATCAGTAGCACACAGCCCCTCCACTCTTACGGAGGTAAGTTTGCTTCTTCTTTTATGTGTAAAAGCTCAACACTAACTGTTAAAAAGTGGATTCTTTGATAGCGGTTGAGATCCGAGCATGGATAACAAAAGAATTCCAGTCTGAGATATCCGTCTTCGACCTACTTAGTCCAATCCCTCTCTCCTCCCTAGCCATGAAGATTGTATTAGGAAGTACCCTGTTGCCGGGAAAATGGAAGCAAGAGACGCAGGAGGATGACGCGCCCGCAACCGAGAACTAGGGTGGGTTGATTGCGCTTTTCTGCAACGATGGTGTCTGGATTTATATGTATATATAAGTAAGCACTGTATGTAAACGTATACCTATAAACAGGAGTGCATGATGCTTTGCTCCGTGACTGAGATCTTATTTGCCTTTTTGTTGCGGTTGCAATCAAGTTAACCGTGGCAGTGACTTCATCTACCGCATATATTTTCAACTTCGTGGGGAAAGACTAGTCAGTATTGGGGATATGAAAGGCTTGATAGATTGAATTTGATTACAGTGATATGGAGGATAGAGCTCGTAGATCCGCAATATCGATTGTACGGAAAGCCACGCGGCAACAACGGAAAATCACTGATATTTTACTATACAAAGCTTTATTAGTAAAGATAGTAGATTTACTAACTATTGATCTTTGATTAGTTAATTAAAAAGCAGAAAAAGAAAATAAAAATATTATTTCTACTATATCTACTATATTACATTCTTTCACAGATTATCTGTTAGACAGAGCCCCTCTGGGGCGCGCAATTCCACACCACCTATACTTGGTTGATTTCAACCAATCAGCTCTAGGGTCCCCTAATCCAAGCCTTAACATAAGTTATCAACATTTCTTGCGCGTCGCTACCGGGAGCGCTTATTCTCATAATTCTCATAATTCTCATAACTATTGGGTCATAAATAAGAAGAATTAGTGAAGCAGACATACGGTGCCAAGAGAAGGATAATTAAACTACTCAGCAAGAGTGCTAAACTAATGGTAAAGTCAGTGACCTTCGATTGTTGCGGAGTGGCGGTAATGGCTTGCCGTAGACTAGCCATACTTTTTAGCATAGTAGTCTGAGTATATTATAGAGGGCTGGACTTCTTTCTAGTCCCACAAGCTTCGCACTCTCTCCACCAACCCAGAAACCTGGGAGCGGATTGTGTCAATCTCCGGCACTGATGTAGACCAGCATTTGCACATTTGCTGAGGCTTTGGCCCTTGCATCGAGCGATCCCCACCATGCAAACAATCCAGCTTGGAGATGAAGAACCGGAATCGGACTAGTGAGTAGTCCAGGTGGATGAGTAGCATAAGACCCTTAAGCTGGATACCCAGTCGTTGGTCATCCTGGGAAGCGAGACAGTTGCATCCCGCGACATTCGCGGAGCCGGTCGAGCAGGACTCCTCCAGAGGGCACCTCACGGGTCTGGGGGAATTGTGAAGTCGAAGATTAAACTGAACTACCCCGATACACATCTCGATTGCCTCCGTCACCGCTACGCGAATGATCCTCCATTTGGATTCGTCTGTTCGCTGCTGCTGCGTTGACAAATCATTTTGCAGCATGGACGTATTGTGGTTGAGCTCGTCGAAGACTCGGAAGATGGAACAGAGCTCCTCTTGGTCATTCTTATCGAGTATATTGAGAGATCCGGTCTTACAGTGGCTGTGAAGTTCGCCGTACAGCTTCAGTGCATCCCTGAAGCCCTGCTCGACGTCAATTTCGGAATTGTCTACGGTATTGTCCCCGATGAACCAACTCTCCATCATGAGTGCATCTGTCTGTATTGAGTCGGCTGTCTGCGCCAGGTCCGACATGAAGAGTCCCACTTGTGCACCAATGGAGTTTTGATTAATTAACTGCCCAAAGGGCTCCCCTCCGGCACCGGACCTCGTCGTGTTGTCTTCGGAGACGTATCCTGTGCGTAGTGCGTTAACCGAGCTGCCTGTAGGGATTTTCGGATTTGAGTGCCATGTGGGTTTCTCCCACAGCGCTGAGTCCTCTGCAACCGGGCGACGGGAATCATTTGCCCGGCTCTGTGGTGACATATCTAGATGCCGTGCAGTATTCGGGTTGGGATGGGTGTCATCTAATGATGGAAACACCTGGATGGCAGCGTTCTGCTGAGCATACCCGCCGGCAGTGGACAAGATGGGGCTCTTATGCTCAAATTCCTTTTGGTTGGCCGATGAGGATGTCTGTTTGCGTGGTCGCCCAATTTTGCTTCGAAGGGAAAAGAGGCAGCGCCGCTGATTGAGCCTGCACGCTTCACAGCTGCCTCCAGGGCCTGCGAGCGACGGCTCACAACGAATCTTGCGGAGGTGGCACTCTTCGCAAGCTAAACGGAACCGGGGTTCAACTAGGTGCGAGGCGCCGGACGAAACAGAGTTGATGGATGATGACGAAGGGGTAGAAATGCAGTTCAGGTCGGACATTTTTGGTCTTTTGGATTTCTCGCGAATCCTTCCTGACTCGGGGAACGGTTATACCAAGGCCATTCCAAGTAATTAGATCCGGTGGCTTTCTATCTTTCTCTCCTTTTTACTCTTTCGTCTCACGACAATCCAACTATCAGATCTTGCCGATCTTCTTTTCCGATACTAGGCTATGGTGTGAACGGTGGAGGCACCCCAAAAATCTTCAAGCGTCCCCCGGTACAAGATATCTAAAGAAAGTTGAACCCCCGCATGTTTACTAATTAAGCGTTCATCCATGATCCTAGCGATTTAACACTTGTGCAATGCAAGATTCCTATGAAGTAAGAAAAGGAATTAGTACATCACAAGCCTGCGGGGAAGTAGGCTACATAGGCGCTAAGATTCATCATCCAATTGGTGGCTAGTCTTTAATCATAGTAGGATCAGATGATATATGAGGGGACGCAGGTAAACATTTCCGATGAAGCCAGTATCTGGATGTAACTGTTGCACGAGCCAACTATATTAGCATTAGAGATTCCCAACATGTCTGGAGGGAGAGAAGGTACCCTACTAACCCATTACCCCTCCCTCTAACGTTTGTGTGAGTATGCCAGAGATTAGCTAACCACCAACTCCAGTCTTCCAATCTGCTATAGGTCGTTCTGGCTCTGAGCTATTAAGGAACCAACGTACTAGTTTGCGCTGGTGGTGTTGGGGCATTCTGACCCCAGGCCCGTGCCCTGAAATTCATTTCTGCCGATTTATGCAGGTTCATCCGGAGATTAGTAGAGAGGAGTGAAAAGGGCTGGAGACATAGAGATGGCCTTACTATCGCCTCGTGGAGAATAGCCCTCCAGCCAAGGAAAAGGGTCTGTTCAACAAACGATGTAACCATTATCTGATTGGGGTACAATGTCCCACCTCCAGCGCAGGATTCGGTACCTGGCCCGAACCCAATCGCTGCGCAGAGTCCAAGACATATTCGGCGCAGCCAAGTCCACTTCTTGTGGTGGCCGAAAGTTAAGGCTGGGGAAGTGGAGTGCCGTGGTTCGGGAGATTCCTGTTCCACTCAGTCGCCTTATCCCTGTCAAGCGTGGTCAAGCTTCATACATTGTCAACAAAAGAGGAGGCATCATGCGACCTGCATAGACTCCTCACTACAAACAGCCCGAGCGGCCATCCATGCAGCTATATATGAAGCAAGTATTGGGGTCCAATTTGCGAGCAGCAGATCGTCAGGGGAACCCTATATCTCTACCTCGCCTGACTGACTTGATGGCTAACCCTTGCAGGATCTCATTCAGAGATCCAATAAGAGCATTTTGCAATGGGGAATTAAAAGACACTAGCCTATCGAGAGAAAGGGGAAGCCTTAGGTGATCGGAGCGCTCTCCTCACATGCGAGAGCTGCCTTGGTCATTGAGCGTGTGAGCAAGGAAAGGACTGCTGCCCACGCCCATGGTATGATCCAGCCTAAAAGTCAGTTGTTAGCTGACTCTGCTGGTTCCCTAAACTTATGGAATAAACGAACTCACCAATGACGAACGACGCTTCCATGTTAGGCACCATACCGATCAGGACTAAGAGTGCAATAGCCACCGCTAGTCCGGAGAACCCCCAGGCCCAGCCAAGACGTTGCAGTAAGATTTGGATCGGCCTATTTGAACAATAGCGAGCGTCTAAAATCTGTCGAAACTTCAGCTCCTCACCACCGTCGACCGCGACAACGTCTTCCACGATGGTATAAATCCCCGGACGGGCCAAGGCACCTTTTTCGGTCGACGAAATGCGGAATGGGTATTTACCTCGCATGTGAACCAGTATCGAGGCGAATATTAGTTGACTGCAGACTTGGAAGACCAAGGGGTAGAGGCAGACTGATAAGTCGAACGGATGTGTCTCCAATAGTGTAAGCGGTGCGAACGGCTACGATAATCAAAGTAGCAATATACGTGAATTCGAACAAGAAGTTCCATTGAAAGTAATCGAGCTGTCAGGAGTTAGATACACAAGCTGGAGAGGAGCTAATGTGATACGGGTTTACTCACTTGATATCGCATCGCGTTCGACGGGCGGCATGTTGAGTCTGGGCGGATGAGCCTCCATATCCGTCGAAGCATCGCCAACACAGTCCCTACGCCTAATATGGATGCGATAACAGCCAGTACTATAGGGGCAGTCCTGTCAGCGACTTAAAGGGAGCTAGACTTTTCTCTGTGCTGAGGAGGATGGAGACCATGTCTACTTATCCATAGCTTTAGCCACGCAACATGTCTGAGCACGAAGTATAATATTACAGGCACCACCCCACTGCTGATGAAGATGACAATCCAGGTGATTGAAATCACTATTCTACGCTCCCAGAGGTCCAGTGGAATCCTACAAATTGGCTAAAGCTCGTATCGTGGGGGCGAGTCTTTAGTTCCTCTGGGCTTAGTGACATTTTTGTATTCTTGATATGGAGCAAGTTGGAGCAGAGCATCTGTATGAACCACGTAATAACAGTGAATCCTCCGTAACATAAAGAGATATAAATAGCCAGCCCTTCTAGGGTTTAGGCAGAAAATTAAAATAAAAGGAAAAACAAGAGAAAACGGACCAGGAAAGTGGCCGATTCTAACGGGATAAGGCAAAGCCAGTGCTAGAAAGTGGCCGATGCATGGATTTAGGCATTGGGCAACCCATTAACGGGCCCTTTGAAAGGAACCGGACTGAGTCCTCTATTCAATGCACCCTTCCTTGAGCTGTAGTGTGCTAGTATATAAGTATAGACAAAAGGTGGGAATAAAATGAAATACGCTCGTTTGCTTGGATCGTAGCAATTCGGGAATCCATTGGTTTTGTTCAATTTTCTGTGTCTGTAGCAGCTCTGTCTGGGATGCCCATATGGCTCAAAACGAGACTCCCAGGGCTCCATACAATAATTGGCCCAACGATGCGGGTGTATGTATTGCCCAATGGCGGGGAGGCTTTTGCTTTTGAAATACCCTGTTTGAGAGTGAAACCTTGTCGCTGAACCTGGCATGCTTCGCAGTTTGAGGCCACTGTCGAGCAGCGTGAGCCCATCGAATTACCGGTAACCGGATCGATCCCATCACGTCTTGCAGGCACACTCTACCGAACCGGCCCAGGGACGTACAAGGTTGGGGGTAGCAATTTTCAGCGAAGCCACTGGTTTGACGGGTTCACACATCTGCATCGATTTCAGCTGGTAGCGCAGCCAACGGGAACCTGCAAGGTGCTCTATAACTCGCGACGTCAGGTAGATGCCCTAATCGAAGAAGCGCGCAAGTCGGGGACTCTAGAGGGCATCACTTTTGGTCAGAAAAGAGATCCATGTGAGAGCATCTTCAAAAAGATTAAAAGCCTCTTTCGCCCGTCCATTGATATGAAAGACCCGAACCTCGTCAATGCCGGAGTCACTGTGCATGCCAACGTGAGTTTTGTCCTATGGCAACCCTTTGTTCACGAATTCACCCCCTTCCCAGCCCTATGTTTCCACTGATGCCACAAGAAGTGAACTAGATCATGTTTCCGGGCTCTACTGATGAAATAGGCCCCTCTTCATCCCAAAGAATTCGATCCGCCTGTAGGATCCGCGCAACTGCACAGTCTGGTCTCTTTAACCGATGCCAACATACTGAAACACGTAAGGCAGTCTTTTCTCAACCATAAATCCCCACCGGTAGGAAAGGGGTAGAACTGACCAGAGGCTAACAGATCGACCCTGAGACTTTGGAGCCACTGGGAGTCACCCGTCAGGACACCCTACACCCTGACCTCAAAGGTCCACTTTCATGTTCCCACGCCGCGTTCGACGCTGCGTCACGGGATGTGTATAACTACAACCTCGATATGGGGAGGTACGCAACATACCGAGTATTTCGGACCTCTGCCACCAGCGGTAAGACCGATATACTCGCGACGGTTACGGGACCAGCTGTCAAGCCAGCGTATCTGCATTCTTTCTTCCTCAGCCACAATTATGTGATCTTGTGTATCTGGCCATGCATCTTTGCTGCCGCCGGGGCTAAGATTCTCTGGGAGCGCAACATGGTGGATGCTCTGAACTTCAATCCTGCAATTCAAACGCGATGGTATGTTATCGACCGGAGGCATGAGAGGAGCGTCGTGGCTACTTTTTTGAGTCCAGCCTTTTTCAGCTTCCATACGATCAATGCATGGGAGACAAACAACAGCGACGATGCAGCCGACATCATGTGCGATATCATCGAATATCCCACAGATGAGATCATTCGGGCGGCATATTACGAAAACATGGTTTCCACAGGCCAGGGCGCCGGCCTGTATGGCGGCTCACGACCCAGATTGGTACGCTATCGCTTAGCCAACGTCCCCAAAATAGGCCGATTCGAAACGTCGGCTGGTGACGCCGACCTCCCCAGGGCAGAGATCATGCTTAAAATTGAAGCTGACATCGGTGATCTCCCCACCATAAATCCTAAATTTTCCACCAAGAGGACACGGTATGTCTACAATGTCATCAATCAAGATAAGGTAGGCTGAGATCATTTCAACGATTGTGGGTCAAAGCTGAGCGTAGATTTCTCCAGTCCTCCTTCGCTGATGCCGTCGCGAAAGTCGACCTTGAAACGCAAGAGATTCGGCTCTGGGAGCGTGAAAGGCATACCCCCGGAGAAGCAATCTTCGTCCCCGATGGAACTGACGATGCTGAGGATGCTGGATATCTCCTGAGTGTAGTTCTCAACGGTGATACGGGCACAAGCTACCTCATTTGCCTCGATGCACGAAACATGACGGAGATTGGTCGTGCTGACTGTGCTTCAGCGGTTGGATTTGGCTTTCATGGATCCCATTATCCTTCACATACCTAAGTTAGGCAATAGTTTACCTTTTGAAGACCGTGGTCTCTCAATGACCTTTTGAGGTAAAATTATGCTGTAATCTTCAAGCCTTTTCGCCATATTCCATTGTTTGCTTAGTGAAAGGGGGCTACCTTTGTATGCTTGCCTATAATATAATGGCCCTCATCAACCCCCCAAGATCCTTCTGGTTAAGCACCCCAGGCGGTTTTCAATCTATCGTTCTATTAGTCAGATATTTCTACAGCAGCATTAGACACTGCTATCCGATGCCCGAATTCTCATCTAGATCATAAGTGTGCGCTAATAAGTATCGAGGTCTCGACTGAACCAGGACCATAACAGCCCGGCTCGGGTGAGGGGTCATCGATCCTATTTTACCACCGAGGACACGGAGCAAAGTCTCAAAAATCAAAGGTTCTTTTATTTCATTTCCCCAGAGAGTTAGGTATAAAGTCGTGAAAATATGGACTGACATCATCACATATAAATACTGGCATAACATTTGGACTATCATATATCAAGCAATGGCAACAGCTTAGTGGTGGAAGAGGCGTGTTCCCTGCTCGACAAAAACAATGCCAAGCTTCTCCGCAGTCTCGAAGACGGGGCCGTCGTTCTGGCTGCCACTAGGGGCAGCGATGTACTTAACGCCGGAGCGGGCGGCACGGAAAACGTTGTCGATGAAAGGGAACTTGTAGTTTAGCAAGTCAGTACAAACATCGCTGACAGAAATAGAGGTGGGGAATGACTTACGAAAGCATCGGATGAGACAGCAACCTCGCTCAACTTCTGGATCCAGGATTCCCGCTCCTCCTGAGTGAATGGAGTAGGGACCTCCTCAAAGACACGTTCGTATTCGGCGGTCTCTGCCTCGGTGCGAGGGGTGTTACCCGAGCAGAGCAGGTCGATGGCATTAGCTTTGTCGGCACGCTTTGTGCCCTGCTTCCACTTGATGTTGAGGACGCGGTCATGGAAGCGCATCCACCAGTTGTCGGCCTTGTCACCGGCCAAACGGGTGCAGTGGATACGGCTCTGCTGACCAGCGCCCAAACCAACGACCTGGCCATTAAGAGCGTAACAGACGGAGTTGGACTGAGTGTATTTCAAAGCAATGGTTGCCACGGTGAGATCACGCAAAGCAGAGTCGGGGAGGCTCCGTAGGTCCTTGGGAGTCACGATGGTGTTGAAGGTCTTCTGGGGAGAGATCACCACATCGTTGCGGTGCTGGGTGAGCTGAACACCGTACAAAGTACGGGTCTCCTCAGCGGCGGGGACGTATGTCTCGTCCATCTGGAGCACCAGGTACTTGCCGCCCTTCTTCTTGGAGAGGATCTCAAGAGCCTCTGGAGTGTAGCCTGCGGCGATGACACCGTCCGAAACCTCACGCGAGATGATCTTGGCGGTGGGCACATCAACAACGTCACTAAGAGCGAGAATATCTCCAAAGCTGGACATGCGGTCGGCACCACGGGCACGAGCGTAAGCCTGAGCTAGGCCGGAAGTCTCGATACCAGCGATATCATCAACCATGTAGACCTTACGCTCTTTTTCGTTCAAGGGAACACCTACGGCGGCACCAGCTGGGGAAACGTGCTTGAAGGAAGCTGCGGCAGGGTAGCCCAGCGCCTGCTTAAGCTCCTTGACCAAAGCCCAGGCATTGAGGGCGTCAAGCAAATTGACGTAACCTGGAGCACCATTCAGGGCTTTGAAAGGAAGCTTACCTTGAAGCATGTATGCCGAGGCGGGCTTCTGGTGGGGGTTGGTGCCGTAACGCAGAGGAATGTATTGCTCACCGTTACCGGCGTATTGCTTGCGGAAAAACCCGGAGATGGCACCGTCATAGTCTGCGGTGTGCTCGAAGGCCTTGAGAGCATACAATTTCCGGCGAGAGTCAGTGATCTCGCCGGCATCGAGCTCCTTGAGGAACTCAGGGTAGTCCTGAGGGTCAGAAAGGATGGTGACACGGGCATGGTTCTTGGCCGCAGCACGAAGGAGGGTCACGCCCCCGATATCGATCTCCTCAACGGCCTCTGCGATGGTGACATTGACCTTGTTGACGGTCTCCTTGAAGGGGTAAAGGTTGCAGACGACGAAGTCAACCTTGGCAATCTTCTGGTCGGCCAGATCCTTCTCATCAGACTCAATGTCACGAGCGAGGATACCACCGTGGACAGCAGGGTGGAGGGTCTTGACACGGCCACCAAGCATCTCGGGAGCATGGGTAATAGCAGAAACGTCCCTTTAGCATCGATACATTAGCCCCGCCGACTGTCATCTTCACCAACAGGGCCGCATTTGATCCAGTATATGTTATAAATCGGAAAGACTCACTCGACAGGGAATCCTGCCTCCCGGATCATCCTGGCGGTACCACCAGAGGCGAGCAGACGGACATTGTTCTGGACCAGGCCCTTGGCCAGGTCGAGCAGTCCAGTCTTGTCATAGACGGAGAGGATAGCTGGAGTAGATATCGCGTGTCAGCCGGTGAGCGCCTCAACGTTCATGAGCGTAACAGAAATGGCTACTGTGGGGAAGTATTCGGACGACACCCACACGCCCCTTGGCAAACATAGACTGTAGGAAATACAGCGAAGTATACAATTGCCTTACCTGACTTTTGTTGAGACATTTTGAGACAACGACCGTGAGAGACACTAAATCACGTCAAGGTCAGGATCCAGAAAAGAAAAGGGGAAGGGAAAAGAAAATTGAAGGAAGGGAAAAATTTATCCCCACGACCCCTCCACAAGCAACTCAATTGAGAAAACACCGCAAGCAGTCGCACCAGCGGGGAACAAGAACCACGACATCATTTCAGGGGCCATTTTATTTACCTGGGGGAAGATCCGTCTGATCGGGGAATCAAAACAGGATTATCAGCTGCCTCCTAAACCGTGAGGTTGAGATTTTGAGTCTATGTGCAACAACAATATATGGTCTTGTTAACCCATTAATTGACTCTACTAATGGATTGAGGGGAGTTTTCCGCGGGGTTCATTCGCCGCTTTCGGCCTGGGATGTGTGGCGCCTGAGGCAGAAGAGGAGCTTCCCTGGTGACTAACTGGTTACATAGCTTTTCAATCATAACTAACTACCTAGCGGATGAGTGGGTCACGTCAATGCATGATATAAATTATGTAAGCTGCGGTCTGCTTATATGATCAGGACGTGACTCCCGCGTACATCACATGATACAGAGCACGGGCCACCACAAGGGAAAGGTACAAAACTGCGCTCGACATGACCGCAATTTCCTTCCCTTTTCTTTTTTCTTCTTCATGAACAACGCAAAATAACATTCTTTCAAAAGCGTTCCTATGAGGATATCCCCTTATAGGGGTGATGCCTATGAAGTACGGAAATCGTCATAAAGAATGGAGACCAACTGCAAACCGCAGGGTGTCGATCTTGGGTGCAGTGTCTTCTAGGACTTTCTGAGTCCAGTGGAAGAGATTGCAATGATTGATTCTACACTCCTTTTTTTTACTCTCTTCTTGTTGGAACCGATCATAGAATGCTTATCATAGCCACCGGTAGTAGGCTTACTCTGTACTTGCAAATACGCTAGAGACGGCGTGCCAATATCGTAATAGTCTCATCGCCATGGCCTTCTGTCAATGACCACGCTGGTGTCTATTCAAGCAAAGTTTACTCCCGAACCCGAGTAACATGGCAATAAATCAATCCCAGAGTCATTGGAGGGAAAATATGAAGGGGAAAAAAAGAAAGTAAAAAATCTGCAATTACTCGAATGAGTGGGGTCACCGAAAAGAGTAGATGGAAAGTCTCAATGCTAGTCGTGCCTGATTCATGCTTGTATGGATTCTCTGCGTGCAAAAATGGCAAGTTGACGACCAATATTGCCAAAGCAAACGCACGCGCAAAACAAAACACTCGCAACCCAAGTCCTGACCGCAAGGCTCTCTTGTGTGATACCCGTACCCAATCCATATTCCCGCAGAGTATCGTTCAGCGCGGGAATCGCACTTGCCGATGCCCCTGTGGAAGACGGCACCAAGTCCGGCCGAAGTGCCAATATAATACCCATTCCACCTACTCCAATGATGGTAGACATGAAGAAGCCCGTCCTAGTGCGGTCGATGAGATACCATAACACGGGGTTTGCGAGGGCGAGCGTCGCCGATGCTTGAGTAGTTGATTGCCAGGGTGTTCTCCGCTATACAGAAATATCAGTCAATGGACATAGTTCCTCAAAAAATAAAAATAAATAAATAAAAAGGACTAGGCGAGCTGGGTGGCTTACCATGGCAAATGCTACTCCGACAAAGGCACCAACACTCCGAACCGCTGCAACCCATGAGAGGGTACGTTCCTCACTCTCTTCGTCGCTGTTCGACCGACTCAGTTGCTTTGCATTATCAACCGTTAAGTCTTCCGAGAAAAGGTCTAGCCCAGGAAGCACATTTCCCAAAACGACTCCGGCCACACCCCAGAATCCTAGGTATTCCAACGACCCATAGTAGTGAGTGTTCTCCAACTTCACCGGCGTAATCCAATGGTTCTCGTGCAAGTGGATTGTGATGATCCCGTAGACAATCCCAAAGCAAAATAACAACGCAACCTTCAGTGCTTGAGGCAGTATCACACCAAGGAATAGCCCGTGGCTTAGTCGAGACCGGGTTCGCTTAAGGGTGAATCGATCTGACTTTTCCGGCACTGTTAGGGGATTTGGCTTTTCGACGGCTGGCGTTTGAGCTTCCGTTCCCCATGGACTGGATTCATCCCGGGATCCCTCGAATGCTGTTGGGGCATAGATGCCGTAGAGTGTCGGGGCTGTCAAGTTCATGATCGAACCATTCCGACTGACGCTGGTGGACCCAGCATCCCGAGGGCTCAAAAGGTCTGTGTTGGCGGGTTCCGCAGGGCTCGAGGGTTCAGATGACTCAGTAGAGGCTGGAGTGAGATCGAACACCCGTCGTGGACGGGGGCGGAGAATCGAAGGGTTGTCAGACATGACAGACAGGAGGCTGTAGTGTAACGCCGAACCGTAGAAATGCTCCGCCGTAGATTAAAAACCTAGACTAAACCTAGTGTCGTTGAGAATATGGTAATGAATGACCTGTTCACGCAACTCTAAAGTCGTTTCCAACAAGGCTTCGTAGAGAGTTGGATGCACGGTCTGTCTGGATGACCACTGTTAAATAAATCAAGGGCGACACGCTGAAATCCTCGGTCTGTTCAATGTTGGGCGACGATACCTGCAAGGAATGTCCGGGGGGGGGAGGGAGGGGTCGATCAGAGTAAGGTTGGGAGGGAGACAGGCAGGCCTGTGAGTGCCACAAGCGCTCTCTCACCTAGCTGCTGCACGGACGCTCAAATAATAGGAGGTTGGAGTTGTGAATTAGTTCGTTGAGCGGAGTGGAGTACGCGGTGCAGGAAGAGGCGCGAGATTTGGGTGTGGATCGCCGATGCTCGGCAGGGGAAGTTTCTCCAAGGGAAGGAGATTATGGCTGGGAAAGGTTTCGATCAATAGCAATATGAAGCGCTAGAAATATTTTAAAAGGAAAGGAGTTGTTAGGAATATGTTTCGCTGCTAAGAATGTGGAATGTTTTCCAGTTAAGGAGGGAGTGAAAGATTGAAAAAATTGGGGGAAGGCAGCGTGTCAGGTGTCAGTAAATTTCATTCACATGCAAAACTAAGCCCTCACAAGTACAAATGCATCTCAACCTGCAGACTCAACAGATTCCTCCGCTCATGGCCAATGATTTACTCCGGAAATGTCTTACTAGGGTTCTAATAGGCCTTCCACGCCTCTCTCTCCTCTTCCCTCTCGTCTCTCCGCTTTACTTACAGTTCAATCTGCAACCACTGTATGGGGGTAGAGAATATGCACGCACACAGAGCACATACATGCATGCCGTGAATGTTGCATTCTCAAGGCTCTCCATGCTCTTTGACGTGCTCAAAGAATCATGACGTACCACTGTCTATGACTCATGGAGAACCGATAAGGGCCCCCCAAAAGAGAAAAAGGCCAATCAGTAGCCCTAGTTTAAGACTGCCACACGGGGTGGCGATATATACTAAGGATATCTGGTAAGATATCTGGATGAAACGATATCAAAACGACCAGATTTTATGATCCCTATTAAACTATCTCAAAAGGCCTATCTAGGTGGGAATCATGAGGCTTTTTATATGTGGCCTGATTACCATAGTATTCAACAATCCACATACTTCCGCACGTCGTCAATTCACCCAGGATCAGGTATCTCCAGCTGTATACCTAGTAGTATGACCATCGTCTGATATGGAAGCTTTTACGAGTCATTCTCACCGGGGGGAAAGGCGATATAGTCTAAACGTATTCCATTATCCCCTCTGACATGGCGGAAAATGTCCTGCACGTAGCTATAATAACCGTGTTGTAATACCACAATAACATAAACATTCCACAAAGGAAAGGAAATATAAAACAAGAGCACGGAAGGAAAGAACAAGTCGAAGGCGAGATAGCGATACAGAATTAAAGGGAGGAAATATAAGAAGAAAAAAAAACCCAGGCCGGAGAAGTATAGCCTGGCCACAGAAAGTCCAATTGATCCTTGTTAAGGTACCTTCACTCTCTCACTACCCCATTTTCAATGATCACCCATCGTTTCATCTTTCTCATCCGCTCGCCCTTCCTGCAGTTTTTCACTAGCATCACCCGCAACGGATGAAGCATCACTGGCGGCATATCCATTGCCGCCCTCGAACGTGGACGAGTTATCGTCACCATCGCCTTCCACGTCTACGTCAACGTCCCCTTCTCCTTCCTCCAGATCATCATCGTCGGCTTCTTCATCGTTTTCATCCGAAGACAGTGCTTCTGCATCATCGTCTCCTCCTTCGCCGATGAAACTATCCTCATAGCCCGCCTCCACAGGGCGAGAAGTTTGAGGCCCGCGAGAAGCACCTTCGTCCTCATCACCGCTTCCCTCGCCAAGAAGCTCGCGATCGATGTCATCAAGGCCTTCTTCTGCTTCGCCTTCCATGTCCCCGGGCATGGACGACAGTTCCTGGTCCTGAGACGGCGCCTCGAGACCATCCTTGGTTGCACCATCAGGAGCTGCCAGTGAACTCCCAGTAGGACGGCTTGTGCGGTTCCGGTTGCTTTTCGAACGGGATGCTGACGAGGGCTTGGCCTTAGGAGTTACCGTCGCAGAGCCCTCTGTGGTTACTCCAGCGAGCTTGCGCTTGGCATTGCGTGCAGCTCGAGCTCTGCTACGTGCAGAGGTTGGCACACGTCCTACCAAGTCCGTATCGAGACCAATTCCGCTCTGCCTCGCCTTCTGACGCTCTTCTCTCTCCTTCTTTCGGTCTCTCTTCGGGCCATTGGCATCATCATAGTCCCATCGGTCAAGTCGTCTTGCAGCCTTGCGAATGACGGACAAGTAAAAACTGGCACACTCACCATAATCTTCCTCTTCTTCGGGATTGGGAACCAAGCCTCCTTTCCCCCACGAATTGTCCTCGTCTTCCGAGTCGTAGCCGTCAGGGACATTCTGCAGCAAGCGATTATATCGATGAAACGGGATTTCGGCTTCCCGCTTGGCGTGGAGGAGCCGGTAAGCTTCATTCTTCCGCTTGGCAAGGATGTATTCAATACGCTGCCGCCTGTTTTGTTCTACAGCCAGTTGGTGCTGGGTAAGTGGGCGGGGACGGCGAGAGGAGCTCTGCTGGGGTAAAGAAGGCTCCGTGACGAATCTGTTCAGAATTGGATGACCTGAACCTGGAGGGGCCGGGGAGGAAGCGTCAGGGGTATGCTCCATTTTTGTCTTCAAGATGAGGCGCTGCTGACCAACAGAACGAGTAAGAGATGACTCCCGCTTGGGTCGCTTATATCGGGAACGGCCTGGATGTCCCGGGGTTTGATAGTCATCTTCATCATCTGGATAACGTTTGGACGAGGGGTGCAATGGAGTGGACATAGCAGATCCACGGCCTCCAAAGCTATCTCCTCGGCCCGAAATATCGCCTGAGATTTGGTCATCATCGTACCCAGGCTCTAGCAGGCCTGTTATATGGTGAACAAAAAACACATAGATTGAAAGCGGAAGGCAATTGATAAATACCTTTCTTAGAACGTTTAGTTATCCTAGGGATTGGCTCATCTTCTTCCAAGATACCTATAGTTATGTCAGCCGAGACAGGAACGAGAGGGTGATCCCATTGGAAGACAAACGTTTACGCTCCAAGCGTTTGGCTTCTCCATATTCGATCTCAGACTGCGTATCCACATTTTCTTCGTTTGCCTGTTCTTCGGTGAGGCTCTCAAAACTAGGTACTTTGATTGGCAGGCCTCCATTTCCATCTGCAGCTAGACCTGGGCCGAACGGATTGTTCAGGGCTGCCTCATGTGAGAAGTCACTCTCCAAGTACCACCACATTAACCATAAGAAAGCCTTCGCGCGGCTTTTACTACTGAGCGTAGACCTCATAACTAGATCGAAAAAGTCGCGGGGAGGGAAAAAGTGCAGCTCAGATACCTTAGGAGCGTACTGAGCTAGAACAAAGATAAGATTGACCGGGTTTGTCCGAGGGATCGACTGACGTTTGATCTTATCGAGTGTATTTGGTTGGTCGACATCCTCCGATGCCCCCTTGAGGATGGATTTCAGACGAGGGGCATCTTGTAATTGTTTGTAGGCATTAGGGTCCTGGTGCGCCTGTAAGGAAGGGATGGAGTGGTAGGTCCGTAATTGGGCACGCATTTCAGGGAAAACTAGGGCAGTCACCGATCAACAATCGTACTTTAATACAGGAGGACGTAGCAGAACGTCCACGTAAGGGATAGTGAGAAAGCGGGGGGAAAGAGGAAGAAGAAAGAAACATACAGTTGAGTGTGGTATTCATTCGTCCAAAGTTGACTAGTAGACAAACCATAGCCATGCTGATGGCTGCCTGTTTGTCATTCTGAAGTTTATCCTTCAGGATCTTACTCGTCTTGCTACTCCTTGCCATAGCATCAATGTAGACATCCGCAAAGTCCAGGCCCTTCTGTCCGTCGGGCCAACGAGTAAAGACGGGTGTCTTATCCTCGAAGACAAGTTTCAGAAACTGGTACTGGATGTCCTTGCGCCATAGCGGAATACCGTCCTCCTTCTTGAGGTGTCTGATCTTGTTCCCCGAATAAACGGAGCCGATTGTCCCATTCGCCTGGCGTCGCGTGCCAACCGTCATGTTATGGGTTTGCTGCTCATCCTGAGGTTCGGATTGTACGAACGAGTCGTCTGCGGCGGCGCTTTCAACTTCAGCCATGTTTGGTTCTTAGAATCACAATGCACTGATGGATAAAAAAGAACAGCCGTAGATTCTAGTTCACTGGGGTCTTCGACGTGGTAGTCTGTCTTGTGCGCGCCCTTGACGAGGTCACGGGCGGCCGCAGAGAAATCGGCACCGTGAAGCGCGTACTGCACCTCCGTCGTGAGTAAGCGAAGTACGATAGAAGAAGATCGTAATTGGGTCCAGTGTATTGGAAAAGGGAGACAATGCGAAAATGAGAGCTACGGAGGAGGTGGATGAGGGCAGGAGCAGAAAGGAGAGTTGTGTTGACTGAAGAAGGATGAGGTGAGGTTCTTTCGGTGCCCCAAATTGGGGGGGATCCAGTGATTGATTGCCTCTTCCACGGGGTTCCCGTCACTAAATGAACGACTAGTGGAGTACCTATATAAGTCTAGTATGATTTATCAACCAAATGTACAGAATGCAGTTTTTAAATCTAATTCACAAAACGAACATTTTCAAATCATTTCCTATTACTTTGTTATTTAAATTTTTTTCTCCCTCATTGTCCGTATCACCTATCTCTTCTTTTATCGAAGAGCTTTTGAAGAGTATGGATTGCGACGTAATTGACTAGATATTTCATACGAGAAACTACGATGAATTAGATAAGACTAGAATCAAACTTTTTTATCCTAATAAATAGCGCCCTTCTCGCGAGACAAAATTCAAGTCTCCCTGAATAGGGCCAGTCTTCGGCATATCTCGTCGAGCCTACATAGCTACTGACATGAGACAATAATGTCTAGCATAACCACAAAAAATCATAAGTGCCAGCAAAGGTAGCATCCCATCCTCCACGATCCCCAGTGTAGAGAACATAATCTTTTTGTGGACACAGCAGCTCAAGCCCAACGCCATACACAATGCAAAGAAATCCCTTCTATCACTCGCGTCACGTTATCATGCGCCAACCTTCGTTGAGGCAGCGTTAAAAAGAAACAAACACCCGCCGAAGAAGGCCCGTCGCCGCGACATGCTGTTAGGTAGCCCTGGCTTCTTTCTTTTCCGTACAATGTCGATGTGCAGCCGAGAAAAATCCAACCAAGGCTGGAGCAACGATAGGACATTGTGCGGCGAAGAGAGCGCTCCTGGGAAAGAGTAAAAAACAAAGCAGTAGCGACGCATGCAGAAGAAGCGAAACTTGAATGTAGGAGGTTCAGACGAATAAGAAATAGGAATATGAAAATAACCCGCCATGAGATACCGAAACTGTAAGAGATCTATCTAGCGAGACACGGTCGATGCGATGCCACAGCACCAAGCAGATGAAACCATAAAAAGCACTTTTCTGGAGAACGAAAAGCCGGCACTCCTGCTCGGCGCACATAGTTCAAGCGGATCTCCGTATGGCCGCCTGAGAACAAAAAGGGTATCTGACAGAAGCGGTCGCAGGAGAAAGACAACGCAATCTATGATGTTCATGCAATGCCGACCAAGATGCTCTCGATTACATGATGGGTATAACCGGGAGCAGTAACATGGTGAGATCGGACCGCATCATAAGACCATGTCTAAAATCGATAACAAACAAACAAAATCTGCGAAATGCTCAGAAATAGAAACACCGATAACTCAAAATGAGAATAATGAGAATGAAAAAGAAAATTCTAAAATGAAGTCGTGGCAGTCATGACAAAGCCGTTCCTGAGATAAAACAAACAAAGGAAAAGGGCAACTCAGGGCTCGTTCTGATCGTATCCGTCAAATGAAAGGCAAATGAAAATGAAAGGAGCCAATCAGACCTGACGGCCTCATCAAAGACCACAACCCCGTATTTACCACCAGGAGGAAGGTCCGGTAGGGCCCGAGGGGTTTCCATAGCCGCCGCCGCCGCTGCCACCGCCATAACCACCTCCATAGCCGCCGCCGCTGCCGCCACCATAAGAGGGGCCGCCACCGTAGCTACCACCGTAGCCAGCACTGGGGGCGCCATAGCTGCTGCCGCCGAAGGAAGGAGCAGCAGCACTACCCATGCCAGGACCACCGCCCATACGACGCATGTCACGGGTGGCGTTGGTACCACGGCCACGACCTCCACGGCCACCACGGCCGCCGTATCCGCTGCCCTCACGAGCAATGCTCTCCAAGAAAGACGGGACTTCCTGGTGAGCCTCCTTGAGAAGGTCAATCAGGTCGCGAACGACGCCACGGTTGCCACGGTTAAAGAAAGCGGTGGCAATACCGGTGTTACCGGCACGACCGGTACGACCAATACGATGAACATAGTCGTCAATGTCAGTAGGCAGATCGTAGTTGATAACGTGAGTAACGTTGGGGATATCAAGACCACGAGCAGCGACAGCGGTAGCAACCAAAATAGGGCAACGGCCGGAACGGAACATCTCCAGAGCACGCTCACGTTCACGCTGAGTGCGGTCACCGTGAATGGCGGTGGCAGGGAAGCGTTGGTTCAGCAGGAAGTCAGACAAGGAGTCGGCCATGCGCTTAGTCTCAACGAAAATGAGAGTAAGACCGCTAGTGCCATGAGTATGGAGGATATCCAGAAGAACGGAGCGCTTGTCGTGATCTTCGACGTATTCAACCTTCTGGGTGATGTTCTCGGAGGTCGAACCAACACGACCAACCGAAAGGAAAACATAATCCTTCAGGAAGTCGCGAGCCAACATCTGGATATCCCGAGGGAAGGTGGCAGAGAACATCAGAGTTTGGCGGTCGTTGACATGGGGCATGTCTTCACCTTCCACAATACGACGGATCTGAGGCTCGAAACCCATGTCCAACATGCGATCAGCTTCATCCAGAATCAGGTACTTGATGTTCACAAGGGAAATGCGGCCACGCTCAATGAGATCTACGAGACGACCCGGAGTGGCAACCAACAGGTCACATCCACGCTCGATCTGGCGGAGCTGAGAACCAATATCGGCACCACCGTAGACGACGCAAGGACGGACCCAGGAGCGGTAAGCGAACTTGCGAGCTTCATCAAAGATCTGAGAGACCAGTTCACGAGTCGGGGCCAAGATGAGGGATGTCGGGTAAGCCTTGCGTTGACGGCCATAGCTGAATTGGCCGGATGCCGGGGCAGGGGTCGCAGAAGGCCCGTTCTGGAAGGCCTGAGACAAGATTGGGAACAGGAAACCACCCGTCTTTCCGGAACCGGTCTGGGCACAAGCCATCAAGTCGCGACCGTTCATCACAATGGGGATAGAGTACTTCTGCACTGGGGTGGGGGTCTGATAGTAGGCGAGCTTAATATTTTCAATCAAGTGGTCATCCAAGGGAGGGTTGGTGAAAGCGTTGACGGGCTCGGGGACTTCATGGCCGGATGCTTCCACGGGAATGTCGTCGTAGTTGGCAAAGTTGATACCAGTGTTCTGCTTGGTGGGATCATTGGGCACGCCGAAAAGTTCACGCTCCAAGCGGGGATTAGCAGGACCGGGAATGTGCTTGCCATCGCGCCACTGGCCATCTCCAGAGCCTCTGGCACTGGCACCACTGCCATAAGAACCGGTATTACCTGGGTTTCCGTAAGCATCTGGATTAAACGCATGGCGAGAACCTTCAGTGGGGGTCCAGCTAGTGTTACCATTGGGACCGCGAGGGCTGAAATCAGGAGCGTTGGCGTTGGCCCAGTTACCACCGCGAGGGCCGCCTCTAGTAACAAATCGTCAGTCACCCGCACACAACAACAGAAAGTAGGTTGATCAGACATACCTTGAACCCCAAGAATTGCCAGGACCGCTAGGGGCGGGGGGAGCAGCGGCGGGTCCGTCCACATTCGCACCGGTTTGGCGTCCACGGAGATGGGGAGGGATGTAGGCAGCGCGGCCAGTGGGATTGGTAGGGGCAGGCGCATGCTGGGAGTCGTTGAGGGAAAGGCTTCCCATCTTCAGGCTGTCGGCCATCTTTGCGGTATTTCACGAACTGTCTAGAGAGATGACAGATAAGCAATGCGTTTTCAAGTCGCACAGAAGAAATGCGGGTTTCCTGTCGCGGGAACTGTGATGATGGTTTTGACGTACAGAAAGAGAGAAAAGAAAACGATAAACGAGAAGTGCTTTTTAAAAACCCGGGGAGCAGAAGCGCGATCTGCGTATCGTTAAAAAACGGGAAAAGAGCGCCCGAGATTTCGTTTTTTCTGTACAGGACAGGAGGGAAGGAGAGAAACTTGAAGGAAAAGAGAAGTATCCTTGTGTCTCTCTATTGAGTGGCGATCCGGATAGGATCAAATATGAGTAACACAACAAGAAAAAGGTAAAAAAAAAAAAAAAAAAGATTTGGGTGATTCGAAGAACGAATACGGGGATCTCCCAGATCTAACCCTTCTATTAAATTGCAGAAAGAAAGAAAGGGGAAGAAAGAGGAAAAAAAAGAGAAGTTGGTAATATGTGGAAAAGAAAAGGAAAACCAATTTGGATTAGGGGAGGAGGTTTGAAAAAGGAAGAGGAAGAGATTAGGTTTTGTGGGAGAAGGAGAGGGAATGAGGCAAAGCCTGAGTTAGTGGTGGGATTTAGTGTTTGCGGCCACGGTCAGTGACCACTCTTAGTAGTACTTACTTTACTGTCTCTGTACTGGTACCTACTCACGCTGGGTAATTTGCATAGGAAAAATGTTATGATTTTTTTTATTGGCACATCCAACGTTGGATTTCAGAGGCAAATATAATAAAACGGAAAAGAAAAGAGAGGGGAAAAAATAAAAGAGGTTCAGAAGCGATGGCAAATTAGGAAAAAAAAAAAAAAAAAAAGGGAAGTTGCGGCGCCTATAGGTAATAATTATGGACCCAGGCCGAGTCTGTCCCTTCTTTTTTGCCGTCATTGTGAAAAAGGGTTTTTCAATTTTTTTAATGGAACCAACCGACCGTATTCTGTAACTACCTCCGTAGATGATACATACTACTCACTACTTTGTATTAGGTTATTGAAATCTTGGTTGGTCTTTTCTTTTTACTTCTTCGAATGTTGTAAGAGAAATTTTCAAGTAATTAAATTAAAATCAATGCAATAAATCATTCTATCTATTTATTAAATAAGATTCATCCCGATTATGATTTCAATTATGTCAACTGTCTTAATGATCTCCCGTACCATTCTACCTCATGATTTTACTAGTAGTAGCATGGATCGCGATACTCGTTACTGGTCACTTAAATACTGTTCAGGTGACTAAAAGTGTACTAGTAACTTACTTCGGACCAATCTCAAGGAAGATCCAATGAAGACCAACTTGTCCAATCGGTACATTATATATCCAAAGAAAAAAAAATATTATTCATAATGATTTCCACTGCAGTAAACTTGAAGGTACCGTAGTATCCCCCTTTTGTGGATGGAGACCATTGCTCCGTCAGACAATGGCCATGGTACCTTTCAGGCTCTATTTCCTATCCCATTCCGAAATACAATCAAAAGAAAAGAGGAGAAACAAAACGATATCAAGAGCCCAGCCGGTACTCTGTAAGATGGAAGTATAGATACTATCTGGTACAAACCCACACCAATCTCCCACAAATATATCCTAGCACATCACAAGCATTCAAAAAGAAAAGATCAGGGTAGCCACTCCACTTCTATAACACTTACCACTTCCATGATGCACTGTCTCTAGCCACAATGGAGATAAGATACAGAATCTGACATTTGCCACTCTTGACAGTACAAGTATTGAAAAAGACCGGTCATCCGATGGGTTTGCCACTACCAAGTTGATGAACTGTTACTGACCGCTTCTATGGGGGATAATCCGACTACACACAGAAGCCCGTTCGTTGATAGGTACGCCGGGTTACTACTACTCCTACTTAGTACGGAGTACCTTCTGTAGTCAGATGCGTATCGGGGAAGCTAATTCTAATTGGATGGTTGATCTGGGGAGCAAATAGTGTCTAACTAAATATCGTCATCCTGCGTTTCTTTTCAAGCAATACTTTTCTCATCGCTCTCTTTCCCGTGGCATCGGCACCGGCCCTTGTAGCGTCTCCGAACGGAGATCACGATAAGAGCGATGGCAACAAGGAATACTACGAACCCGGACAGAGGATAAGAGGAAGCCCAGGAGCTTGCTGATGGTGGAGTTGGTGCTGGTGTCGATGGTGCCGGAATCTCTGACGGTTCTTCAGTGATAACATTGTCTTCTTTAATAGGCCAAGAACCATCAGCACGCTTCAATCTATTCCAAGAAGTAAACAATGACCCGGAAAAGGTCTACAGCTCCTCGTGGCTACCTTTGTCCTTAGACTCCAGCTCTCCACTCTTGACAATCTTGACCACCTGTTCGGGCTTGTCGCCAGGAGCCTTAGGAACGTTTTCAATGGCTTCGACCACATCATAACCCTCAAGGACCTCGCCGAAAACGACGTGGCGGCCATCGAGCCATCTATTCCGCGCCTATTAGCGTCTTTTCTCGCGAATATTCTTCACGGGGCAAATCAGTAGAGTAAAACATGGGATACATACGGAGTAGGAACAGTAGTGATGAAGAACTGGGATCCGTTGGTATCCTTGCCAGCGTTGGCCATGCTGAGAAGACCCTTCTTAGTGTGCCTAATCTTGAAGTTCTCATCCTGGAATTTCTCGCCATAGATGGACTTTCCGCCAGTGCCTTGATATAGAAGTCAGCATCTACCACACCTACAGGTTCTGAATCGGAGGGAGATAGGCTTACCGTCACCACGGGTGAAGTCACCGCCCTGAATCATGAACTGCTTGATAACACGGTGGAAGGTAGATCCCTCGTAGCCAAAGCCCTTTTCGCCGGTAGCAAGAGCCCTTGAGCGTTCAATGTCAGTGAATAACAACCAAAATACCCAGAAAGAATATGGAGATCACCGTACCGGAAGTTCTCAGCGGTCTATTTAGGAATTCCATAATTAGCATGATCCCAGACAAACTTAGGCGGTATGAATCCTTACCTTGGGAACGGTCTTGCCGTACAACCCGAGCACAACTCTGCCTAGAGGCTTATCTCCATGCTCAATATCGAAGTACACCTATACACGACGATTTGATTAGGATTTAGTGGTAAGAATGATAATCGCTTCGAGGACAGGGGCTATTACCTTATGAGTGATCTTCGGACCGCGAGGCTGTTGAGCTTCTTCGGCGTGGACCAGAGCCAGTCCAACTGCCAGAAGGAAGAAGAACGACAAGAAGAGGTTTCTGAAGTTCATTATCGTTTATATTGACTCCGTTACCAGGAGATCCCCAACAATGGCTTTGGAGAGGACAATTGTAGTGGAAGGAAGGATGGCGGGACTGAAGGCCAGCTTTCAATTGCGGAGATGCCAAGATGCCATTATCCCTATTTTAGACAAAGACTGTATTTTGAGCTGCGGTTAGTGTAATTTTCCCCTTGAATGCTGTGTAAGATCGCTCCCGAAATTGGGTACGTATTGACATTTACGGAGTCAAACCGGAGAAATATTGTTGCGACCTGATTTCTTCCGCGCTCCGGAGATCAATCATTGCGCCGGAGGGACAGTAGCGGAACGCAGTCATCCCCATTCGAAGCGGACCGGATACATTTAGCCAGGCAAGATGGTATGCTGCTTGTCAATTTGCTCCAATTGCCTATATTTTATGGCTAACATCTCACTTAGGTCTTCATCCTGGGCGTGAACTTCCCTGAGCGGAACCTCGTCAAGGCAAGCACTCCAGTAACCCAATTCACCCAGTATCCTTGCCAAATCTAACCGTTTCACTAGAAATCGCTCGAGGCCTTCTTTGGAGTTGGAAACACCGCCTCGTCACGCCTTTTGGCTCGCTTCCATATCCACCCCACATGCAAAGTTGGGGAGCTGGCGAATAAGCAGGTCCTCGATATCACGGCCGCTCTGTCCGATATGAAAATCGAGAACGACCTCCGGAGACAGTACCTAGATGATATCAAGCGCTTGAAGGAGACAGGTACCTACCGGGGTAGACGGCATGCACTGGGACTCCCGGTTCGGGGACAAAGGACGAGGACTCAGGTTGGTTATGCTCTCAACTCCTTTAATAGTGAGTGAAGTGGATATACTAATGCTTGTTCGTATAGACCAAAACGGCTGTCAAGCTCAATCGCATGGAAAGAAGGCTCTGAGTTTACTACGGCGGTTGTTTTGTTCTTGGTTAGACCTCGCGACCTTTATGTGGGGGGCATGGAATGGCGTTTATCTTTAATTTCTTGTAATTCAGAATCGGATACAGTTCAAAGACTTATAAGATGTATTATATATGGAGAACGATTACAGTCAGTCAAACGAATACTGTATTCTGTCTTTGTCTCTGGCTGGATCTATAAGCAGACGAAGGAACATTGATTTGTATGATAGCGAAATAAATCCAAAAACTCTCAACTTTTCATCCTACAGCAAAACGCCGGGCCCATATGTGCAACACATTTTACACAGAAGATAAGACGCCTTCACCCCTGTTAATTTGAATCCTCTTGTCCTCTCCAGCACTGACAATGCCGACTATCCCATCCCAGGCTACACCGAAAACTTTGACACCCTCTCCACCGACACGCTTGGCCTCGGATTTGCTTTGCTCTTCCAGACTCTTGCGGGAGATGGAATAAACGCTTTCACCAACCACGCCATCTTTATCTGTTTTCGTGGCCCGGATATCCCAAATCCGACATGTGCCATCATGACTTCCACTGATAAGACCGTAAGAGCTCTTGGGGTCACGAGCCAAGGAAACGACGGCATTTGTGTGGCCTCGCAGAGTCATAGCTGCGATTGTCGTCGCTGATGCCCGAGGGTCGACAAGAGTGATATGACGAGCGGATGTGCCTGCAGCAAGGAGGTGGTGCTCCGGAAGATGCTCAAGAGAAAGCAGCGAGTGAGCAGTTGTCCGGGTATCTACCAGAGAGGCAGTGACAAGATCCCAGGTACGCAGAGAATGGTCCCAAGAAGCAGAATAACCAACAGTAGAGTCGTTGGAATCGAAGATTGCAGCTGACACGGGTGCACTGTGGGAGGACAAAAGTGCCAGAGGCCCTCGTTGCGGGGTGCTCACGGCCGAATTCAGCTTTCTCCTCTTGGAGCTCTTCATGGCGGCAGACGGGAGCAGATTTTCGGGAGCGGCTGGCGCATCTGATTTCTTAGTCGACCAGAGGCCTACACTGTGGTCTGATGAGGCAGAAAGAACGCGACTTGAGGGTGCATACACAGCCAAAGAGTTCACAGGGCCTTTGTGCCCATACAGTTCAAGCTGAGGAGCCAGCTTGCCAGAGAAACCATCGCCATCCTCAGAATACTTCCACAGACGCACTGTCCGGTCGAGACCCGCTGACATGATCGAATTTGGGGAAATAAACTTGGCAGCTTTAATGGACGCAGTGTGACCACCACCGGCGGCAGATGGCGAGGTCGCAACTATCTGAGATGACATATCCCAAATTCGAAGCAGGCCATCATAGCTACCAGAAAGGATCCTCTCCTGGCCCTGGTCAATCGGCGCAGAGGCCCAAGAAGCCGCGGGCGAAGTTGTCGAAAGCACATCAACTGAGCTTACCCAGTCGTCGTGCTCGAATGATGCAATATGCAGAGGCGGGATCAAGGCCCTCACGTATTCAATTTCGAGAGTGGTTTCCGCAGAGATACCATTGGCAGTCAGGTATTCATCGATCGAAGTTCGGAGGAACGACCCGTTGATGAGAAATTCGAATGGGATTGGCTTGTCGTTGCCAAGAAGATTGTTCACTAACGTCGAAAGTGCATATCTTCGAAGACCTACTTAATTAGATACCCGTATGTAAAGGATACTAGGAAGATTGGCGACCGAGCGCAAGATAGCCTTACCTGTGGGAACGAGAATCGGGCCGGTGTTCTCAGGTAGGGCAATATCTTCTTGTTTGCTAGTAAGCTGCACACGAACCTGCCTCTGCGCAGAGGCCGCAGCCGAAGAAGAATTTAACTCCTCGCTCATCTTGAACTGTAAAAGGACAAATGGAACCGGGGAGACTGGAACGGTGTTGTCGAAAATTTGATCGGTTCGCAGTGAACAAAAAATGCGCAACCTGAGGAAAAATTACGGTGACCGGTGCGGCCAATTGCGCAAAGCGCGGAGATTCCCCGCAGTCAGTCTACTACTATTACTAGTATGTACAAGGTCACTCTACACTTTAGTAAGACTGAGCTATTAATCAATATTATACTCCATTTGCTATATACAGTATACTTATACAGTATTACTATCCCCTAGAAACTCGCCGAATCTCTGCAATAGCTTTCCGCCGGTAGTCAGACTCAGCAAAAAGAGCCTCGATCAGATCTACCACCTCTTCGGGCGAAAATTCCAGGCGCAGTTCTCCTTCCAGCCAGAGGAACTTGATGTCGGCTAAGGAGCTCTCTAAAATGTTGATGAGATACTGGAATTTAAGCCAGTCTCGCACGTAGACGGCGGTCATTGGTACACGTGCACCCTCGTCCGTCGTCTCTGGCACGAATAGATCCTCAAGTTCGGAAACTTTGTTGCAAAACAGCACGAGCTGTTGGGACTGAGCCTCCGATATATCACCTAAATCCTCAACCTCGATGATGATTTTGTTTATAACTGTCGAAACTAGAGAACCGACAGACTGAAGAAGTGCAGAATGTGACAAGATCGGTTCCCATTCCTTGTAGACGTCACGAATCCTGTCGACGACAGCACTAACTGCATTTTCACATTCCCCCCGGAATGGTTGCTCAGAGCATTGGTTGAAGCCTTGCGCACCATCGAGCAGATCTGTGACAATAGTGCGTTGCGTCCGCATCTCCTTACTATAAGCGAATTTGCCAAACTTCTCGAGCGCATCGATATCGGCATGAAGCCTAGAGAGCCGATGCTCCTCCGAAAGATTGCGCACTTTATCGGCAAGATATAGACTGTCGTTGTATAAGTACATTTGGCCCGAATGAAGTTTAAGACCGTAAAAGGATGACGCCGTTGCCTTGAACATGGCGAGTATCAAGGTCGGAAGCGCAAGTAGACCAGCACCAGAGGAAACAACACGGGAATGGGAATGTCTGAGACATGGTTAGTGCATGTACAGAAGATCAAGTCAATCGCGACTTACACAGGCTTTGATATAGCTTCAGAGTCTTTGATTTGCTGCTGAATAATGCACAGGATAGAATCAGGAATGTCAGTTACCGTGTACTGCTCTTTTAACGTGACCTCCCGTGGAGAGGCATGATGTGCTGAATCTTTCCCATTGACTGATTTGTCCCCATTTGTGCTCTTAGTCTGCGAATATTGGGGGTTTTCTTCCTCATCTTCATCTCCCCAGCCCCAAGCATCGGCAGCGTCATCCTCAACAGATATATCGGGTTTCGTTTCAGTTATGTTAGCTTCGCTATCGTCATCCAATCCCCATGCGCTGACATCTTCGTCCTCTTTATTTCCAGAATGCTTTCCCGTAGATTCATGTTCATTGTCGTCATCCCAGCTAGCATCCCAGTCATCGGCCGTATTATCCAGTAGAACCTCATCTTTACCGGAAACTTCCTCTTTTTCAACACGTTCTACTTGCTTTGTGACACCTTGGCTTGCAGCCAGAACCTTGCGAACCCGGTCCAAAGAATCGACTCGACGTCTGGTAAGCCACAGACGAGGGGCTTGGTTAACCCAAGACACAAGTTCTTCGTGGCCATGCCACCCAAACATTTCGATCGCATTTGCGAACTTTAGGACATAGTTCAAGGTACTCTCGAACGTATCTAGGCCCTCCAAATCTGTGGGTATGGCAGACGACAACCAACACGATATGACTTTTGATGAGAGCGTAGGAATCAGCGAGCCAGAAAAAGAGTCTGAGATTGCCGCAGGAAGGTGTTGGCGCAGGAAGCCCAAGACGGTGGCAATGCGATCCAAAAGCTCAGAGACCGAAGCTTTGGATGATTCGGATTCTACCCGAATTGAGGACTGCTCCATCTTGATACCACGACTATATCCTTCAACCGCAGGTAGTAGAATAGGCTCAAAAAGGGTGGAAATAAGGTCCTTCTCGAACCTCTCCTGACACGATGCGGCCATGCCGAGGTGGACCAAAGCTGCGATAGTTTCTTCCAATGTATGTCCTGACACGTTCAATATCTACAACCAAACATAAGATTGAGATAATTTCTTACCATTATCATTCGAGATTGTCAAGCTACCTCCCTTTCCGTCAACGTTCAGCTGCTCGCTCCACCGAGCACGGAGGTACTCGGCAATCTCTCGTCGCAGTTCGTCGACATTCTCTAACAACACATGCATGACGCTTGTGTTTGAGAAAAGATTATCTTTCTTTATGGCCTGCTCAGTGGCCTCTAATGTCTTGATTGCTTCCATTACCCGGCCTTCTCCGAGGACGGCTCGCCCGGCATCAAGTCGCTGACACAGTCTTTGTACCTCCTCAAGTGTATGCGTCACAGCCTGATTGAAGGCGATTTCAGTTTCAATTAATTGAACCTTGGCGGCGGCATCTTCGACTTTCAGTTGCAAAGGGTTCGTATTTTCATGCTGCGCGACAATCTCCCTCGCAGTCACCCTGGATCGCTCAATGTCTGCATGGAGCTGTTTTGCTTGCGAGATCCACCCATCGGCATCGAAGTCGTTGTCTTGACTTAGCGCGGTGATCTCCGTCTATTTGATATGAAGGATAAGTATGTCGCAGGCTAGTCGCAGGGATCGGGCAATCGCGACGGCTACAGCGCAGGAGTCCAAACTAGAGTTACTCACTTCTACTTGTTCTCTGGCCTTTGATAAGAGCTCTAACTCCTTCGCGAGAGCAGATGCTGGAAATTCCGCGACAATGACATTCTCAGACGTTGGATAGGTACCCTCTGTGACAAAATCGAGCACTGACTGGCATACCTCCTGCTCCGATGCCTTGTGAGCCATAGTGAACGTGTTCAATTGCGACCACCTTTCCCGTTCCGCAATGAATAATGAGGCGCATCCGCAGACAAGGCCGATATGAGCGATTGATCCAATCCGTTACCCAGGCCTGCAGATCGGACAATCCTTCGAAGTAGGATTGTCTGGAGTGGTTTGGAGTAGCAATCACAACAGAAGAGGGAAGGAGCTGTCAACCCCATGTGACTTCATCGCTTACACCGCCTTTGAGCCCAATTGACATTAGAGGAAGATTTGTGGACTATGAGTTGTTATTTCCTGGGTCTGTCTCTTCTCTTTTTTCAAATTTTATAATTTTGTCTGTGGCTTTTGATCTCCCATTCTTTATACTTCTCATTGATCTATCTAGGAGACATGCCCCGAGTTATCTACATGTGTAACTGAGAACTTGTTGGCGTGGTGATTTATCCTTCAAAACAACGGGACCCAAACTCCACTCTCACCGTCACAGTTCGAGGGTACCGAAACCCAACTGCGGCGCTGCCCACGACCTCCTTGGAGCATTAATATCAGCTGTTAAGCAGAGTCCATCGTGCTGTCTCGGCTTTTCTTACGAGGCCTGACTTGGGCAAAACCTAATCGATCCATGTAAGTTACTATCGTCCGCTTGTTATCAAATGGAGGGGTCAAAAAAGATAAAAAAACGTAAAAAAAAAAAGTGTGGCATTGGTATTCTTTTTAGCGGTCTTCTCACGGAATTCATTCCAGCATGTTTGCGTATATGCGTTTCGCCTCAATCTGTTCTTTTAATGTTCTGTTTGGGTTTTTCTTTTTAAGCCTGCTTAGATTTATATAGTAGTGGGATCCGTGCATTCTCCATTTCGTTCTCTAGCGTCGCTTTATAGTATCGCTTACTGACCATCCTACAGACGGTTACCAACAACGATCACGGGCTCTAGGTTTAAAGTACTTCATCAGAGATTCTCAGTATCGCTTAACAAGATGTCTCCCAGTCAGAAAAGCCATTTCAAGTTACTGCAGAAATTCAAACCCGACTACTCGCCAAGCGAGTTTGTTCAGTATGAATCTGAGAGGACTGGCATGCGGGTCGTGGTCATCGACCAGAAAGGCCCTAAGGTAACTGGGTATTTCGTCCTTGCCACAGAGATTCATGATGATTCAGGAGCCCCTCATACCTTGGAGCATTTGTGCTTCATGGGTTCTCGCAATTACAGATACAAGGGGTTTCTTGACAAGCTCGCCACGCGGGTTTACTCGAGTACTAATGCCTGGACAGCTACAGACCATACAGCCTACACGCTTGACACAGCGGGCTGGGAAGGATTTGCACAAATCCTCCCTGTATACCTCGAGCATGTAATTGCCCCGACTTTAACAGACGAAGGCTGCTACACCGAAGTGCATCACGTCGATGGCACTGGAAATGATGCAGGTGTTGTCTATTCGGAGATGCAGGGGGTTCAGAATAACGCCGCAGAGTTGATAGACCTGACTGCTCGTCGTCTGACTTACCCGCATGGTGTGGGCTTCCGTTATGAGACCGGAGGTATGATGGAGCAGCTCCGCATTCTCACGGCTGAGAGGATCAGAGCATTTCATCGGGAGATGTATCAACCGAAGAACTTGTGTCTGATCATCACTGGCGAGGTCGATCATGCCAACATGCTGGAAACTCTGGATAATTTCGAGAATACCATTCTAGACGTTATTCCAAGCCCAGATGCTCCATTCAAACGACCATGGGTAGACTCCAAGCAGGCTCCGCCATTGGGAAAGACTTTCGTGGAGAAGGTGGAGTTTCCGGAAGAAGATGAGTCTTTTGGAGAAATTGAGATCAGATTTCTCGGACCGGATTGCACAGATCCTATTCAAAGTAAGTTCCAGATCCCTTCCTCTGACTTCATTACTGTGCTTATTCTTAAAAAAGCTGGGGCCGTTAATGTTGCACTTTTGTACCTTGCTGGATCATCCGCTTCGCTTTTAGACAACATCCTTGTCGAGAAAGAACAACTGGCAAGCGCGGTCTACTATGCCACTGAGGACCACCCTTCTCTTGAGATTCGTTTCACTTTGACCAGTGTGGAAACGGACAAGTTGACTCAAGTGGAACAGCGCTTTTTTGACGTGTTGAAGGATGCAATGGAGAAAGAACTAGACATGAAGTATCTGAAAGAATGCATTGACCGGCAAAGACGGACCTGGAAATTCTCTACTGAAAGCTCTGCTTCGTCTCTCGCCGAGTATGTTATTTCGGATTTCCTTTTCGGAAAGAGAGATGGCTCAACTCTTCTGGATGTTGCGACTTTGAAAGAGTACGACGTACTCGAACAATGGAGCGAGAATGAATGGCGAAACTTTATCAAGAGATGGATCTCGGATGCACCCCATGTCACTATTCTAGGCGTGCCATCAACGAAGATGTCTGATACCCTGAAGAGGGAGGAAGAAGCTAGGGTGGCAGCGCAAAAGAAGCGTCTCGGGGAAGACGGCCTGAAGCAGCTGGCTCAAAAGCTCGAAAAAGCAAAGGCCGAGAATGACAAGGAGATTCCCAAGGAGCTGCTGGAGAAATTCCGCATTCCAGGGGTTGAATCGATCCATTTCGTGGAAACCACCACGGCCAGATCTGGTGCTGCCTTGAAGGCGGGACGCCCTGACCATGCTGCCCAAAAGCTTGTAGATGCCGATGGCTCGGAAATGCCGCTGTTTATTCATTTTGAGCATATTCCTAGCAACTTTGTCCAGCTTTCCCTTCTTATCTCAGCCCAGTCTGTTCCGGTTCAACTTCGTCCTCTCCTGTCTGTGTATACTGAGGCATTCTTCAATCTACCTGTTCAGCGTGATGGAAAAACTATCAACTTCGAGGAGGTTGTTGTTGAGCTAGAGAGAGACACGGTTGGATATTCTATGGAAGGAGCCAGAAGCCTGGGAAACTCAGAGATGTTGCGTATCTCCTTCCAAGTCGAGTTGGAGAAGTATAGTACGGCGATTGCATGGCTCCAGGAGCTCTCTTGGAGCTCAGTCTTCGACGTTGAGAGGCTTCGAGCAATCACCAGTCGACTTCTGTCCGATGTTCCCGATTCGAAGCGCAGCGGTGATGACATGCTTGCGGCAGTGCACGTAATGGTCCACTACGCAGCCGAGTCCATTGTCCGGGCCCGAAGCACTCTAGTGAAGGCGCGCTATCTGAAGCGTATCAAGCGACAGTTGGCCGAGGAACCAGAAATCGTTGTTGCCCGTATGGAAGAGATACGAAAGGCACTCTTCCAGTTTGAAAACATGCGAGTCTTGGTCATTGCTGATCTTGAGAAACTCAAGAGTCCAGTCTCAGCCTGGAAACCGTTTGTTGAGCGGCTGGGTGCAAATTCCACCCTACAGCCCATCACAGCCAGAAGACCATTATTGAGTGACGCTGGTCAGAAACTGGGTGAGCGGTCATATGTGGTTCCTATGCCGACTATTGACTCGTCGTTCGCGTACGCGACCGCTCGGGGTCTTGATTCATATAATGACCCCCGCCTTCCTGCCCTCTTAGTGGCAATCGCCTATATGAATGCGGTTGAGGGTCCTCTCTGGGTTGCGGTCCGTGGCACTGGTCTGGCGTATGGCACCAACTTCGCGTACAATATCGATACCGGCTTTGTTAACTTCGATGTGTACCGGTCTCCCAATGCACACAAGGCCTTTGAGTCAAGCAAGCAGATCGTCAAGAACCACCTGTCCGGTGCTGTTCCATTTGATCCTTTGATGCTCGAAGGATCGATCAGCAGCATAGTGGTCAGCTATGCCAACGAGCAGGCGACCATTGCTGGTGCAGCTCAGGGCAGTTTCACCCGCCAGGTGGTGCGAAACCTCCCCAGCGACTACAAGGAGAAGATGCTCAAGCAGGTTCGGAACATTAGTGTTGAGGATATCAAGGGCGCGCTGCGGGATATTATTCTTCCTCTGTTTGAGCCTAAGACGGCTAACATTGTTATCACCTGTGCTACTGTCCTTGAGGAGGTATGGTTTCTATAAGTTCCCTGGCTGGTCAATGCTAATCAATTGTTAGACTATCAAGGAGGGTCTCCAGTCGTCTGGGTTCACTCCCGTGGTGCAACCGCTCAAGGAATTTGAGGACGACTACGGCCTGAAGGTCGGCGACGACGAGGACGAGGAATCCGACGACGAAGATGAAGATGATGATGAATATGAAACGGGATCAGAAGATGACGAAGACGACGACGAAGATGACGAGTGAACACTCTTTCCATAATGAGACGGCTAGGGATATTTTACGATGACTGGAATGGTATTGGCACGACAAACCGCACAAAATCGATCACTAGACAAAGACAGACCGGCGACTGCAGTCATAGAAAAGCCATAGAGTCAGGAACTGTATCTATTGATGTTTGCTTTTTGTTTATCCCTGGGAAGATCTACAATCTGTTCACATCTATTATCTATAACTCACGATCGAATATCTATAAAACTTTACTCCGTACAACGGTATATGATAAGAAGTACCCAGACAAAAAAACAACCTATGTATTGCATATGGTACATCAGGACCCTCCCAGTCCCGTTATATCCAAGGCCTTAACAACCTTTCTCCGTTTAAAAGAGAGAAGAAAGCCTCAAACCCCCGAAAAGTACGTAACGAACAAAGAGAAAAAAAATAACAGCCAAACATCTCAACAAGCCAGAGGCCCTCAAATCATACAGATGCCGCATTCATCCGATGGTATGGCCCCCGACCAACATTCCCGCATTCCTCCAGATCAATCAGTCAACCATCAAATCAAACTACCAACTCAACGACTTCCTACCCCTTGCCCTCCTCCGCAGAAGCACCTGCCGCCCTCCACGCGTCCGCACCCGAGCCAAGAATCCATGACGCCGTTTCTGCACCCGTCGCGACGGATTATAGGTCGCACGTTTACCGGCCAGGGAGGCACTGGCGGAGAAAGCGCGCGTCTGCTGAGCGGAGAATGTGACCGCGGAGGGGAGTTGTGTACTGGGGGTTTGATGTTGAGGACGGGTGGTGGTGAAGTTGGTCATGGAACGGAATGGTGAGGAGAGTGTGCTGAACGGTGTTGTTGTGGTGGTTTTGGGGGTGAGGTATCTAGATTGAATCGATTAGTATTGTGGGCTTTTCATTCACGGCGTGGGAAAGGATCTATGAAGTGTGATTTGGGGACGTCTGGGAAGAAGAGTGGAATCGTAGCCCTATTGCTACCTACCGTGACATGGACATCGGGGTCGAGTAGGTCCTCAGGGCGGAGGGCACGGCCCTACACCGGAAGCAGAGCATGGTCACGAGTTGGTTGAATTATGAAGATTAACGGGGGTACTCGTACGCCGGGAGAAGGGAAGCGACGGCGTTGGGATCCGGAGAGGAAGTAGACCAGTTTGGAGTTATCGATTGAATGGGCGGAACGAAAATTGAACCTCCGGGCGGAGTGAGCACGGACCACATTTCCCTCCAACTTTTTTCTTCTCTCGGATTTCATAGTTCATTCATTTTCTGGTTCCCGTCTGTACATTTCTATGTGCTTCTTGATCACTGGAATAAGAAACGGTTCCTTTTACATTGCGCAGATTATAGTATTCCAAAGGGAACTTTTTATAATAAGTTCTATACCAGAAAAGCTTCAATCCGAACCCGACCATTATCCAACCCGTCACAATGGCTACCGGGCCCTCCCCCATCCCACCGACAGTCATTCTCAACTCGAAATCCATCTCCCAGTCTGCAGCGCATGACTTTCTGGCTGCGTACATCGACCTTGCTGCCACAGACCCTGCATACCAACCAAACGCCGGAATCAGCGAGCATGGCCCCGTTTCGCGCACCACAGCCGCTGCGCCTAATCTTACGATACACAATTTGAAGCGCGTGAAGGCCGGCCTGGCGGGTGAGGTCCTGGGACGTGATTTGGCGCTCGCAAAGCTGGAGGAAGGGGATGCGCAGCAACAGCGGCAAGTGGGGGCGAACGGTGATTGGGAGGATGCAAAGAAGTTCGCGGAGGGTGAAAGCGCGGATGCGGTTCAAGATGAGGATGATGCACAAGGTCAGATGGAGGTGGATGATGCGAGAGAGAATACCAGTGGTCTTGACAAGGAGGAGAGGAAGCGGAAGAAGAAGGAGAGAAGACTGGCAGAGAAAAGGGCTAAAGCGAAGGGCGAGATCCAAGCTGAAGAGTAAAGGGGATAGAGAAGAGGACAAGGTGTGGAAACGGGGGCTGTTATGGGTCTATGATTGGAAGGTTTTGTTGGCTTCATTCTGCTATGGGATTGATTCTTTTAGGTTGGGTATCAAAAGCCATGTATCTTGTATTGGGCGTATCAGAGGAGTTTTCTTTTCCCCTGTCTTATTACTCTTCTTTTTCAATGACGAATTCCCACGCTTCTACAACCGCCGAACCCGTCCTACAGGACCAAAATAGCCGAAACTTCCCAAAGGTTTCCACACTAACTCGGAACGTGAATGAAAATAGCAGCATCATAGTGGCTCACAGCTCGCGGTCAGCAGCTTTAACTGGCTTCTCGCTGTCCTCTGCCTTAAGGTCGGTGACCTTTCCACCCTTCCAGCCGAGTGCCTTGAGACGCTCGGACAGGATGGGGTGGGAGTAGTGATAGCTGGCATACATCCAGTCGGCATCCATGGTGCTCAAGTTTTGAATCTGGAGCTTAAGAAGGGATGAGGCGAGCTTCTCCGAATATCCAAGGTTCACAGCAAACGCATCTTGGTGGTAGTTAGCATTGAAACATGTCACGAGAAAGGGCGGAGAGACATACCGGCCTGGAATTCAAACTTGCGACTGAGGATGTTCATCAGAAGCTTGACAACGGCATCCATGGGCGCCAGAGCATCCGAGAACAAAAGGAATCCAATCATGATGGGCTGTTCGTTGATGAAACCAAAAGAGTGATACAATGATCTGTTATTCACGAAGACCGAGAAGAGAGCAAAGATATAGAACATGTGGAACTAAGACAGTCAGCTTGACATTTCCCAAGCACACAATAATCAAGCAAGCGAACATACCTGAGCAATACCGAACAGCTTGGTGGTATGGCTAAGACTCCAATGACCCAGTTCATGGCTCAGAACAGCGACCACCTCCTCCGACTCACTCTTCTCAATCAAAGTGTCATAGATAACGATATGCTTCTTCCAGGGCAGTCCATAGAAATAGGCGTTGCTGTGGGCACTGCGCTTGCTACCATCGATAACGTGAAGTTCCTGGAGAGGGAAGTTCAGCTTCTTGGCGAGATTCTCGACACCGGTCTTCAGGTCACCAGGCTCCAGGGGCGATAGTTTGTTGAACAACGGCAAGATCACAATCGGGTAGATGGTAATAGCAAAGATCTGGACAAAGACACCAAAGAGCCACAGATAGTAGAAGAACGAGTTACCAGTCTTTTGGATAATCTTGAGCACCGCACTGATGATAGGAGCACCAAGCACAACACCGAGCATTTGACCTTTCAGCATATCCGTAACCCAGAGTTTGAGCGTTTGCTTGTTGAAGCCGAACGTTTCTTCCAGAACAAAAGTGTTGTAGTACGAGATCGGAAGTGACAGAACAGTGCTAATCAGATTGAAACCGAACAGAAACACGAGTGTCTGAGTGATTTCGCCCTGAAACCGTGAAGGGAGATAATTTGTCAACAGAAGACCGCTAACTCCCCAGAGCTTGGGGAGGATATCGCCGTAGATGAACGCAAGATTCTGGATTTGACCGTAGAGACCAGCAACGAAGCCGAACTTGGCTTTCGCGCGACCGTAAGACTAGGGATGCAGTTAGGTGAAACAGTTCATCTAGACGGCTGACGGGCATGCTTACCTGACTTTGATCGAAGACCTTCTGGGACACCTCATTCTCCAAGACCTGTGGTGGCTTTGTCCGTTGCAAGACCTTATATTGGCGGAGAGATAAAAGGCCCTCTAGGACAAACTGTCCCAAAGAAAACCCCACGAGAACATTCTTCCATGGGAAGAACGGGCGGTCGAGGAGACGCGCCAGTTGCTATAACCGCCACGGTAAGCCAGATCAGCTACAGCTCTTTATTAAACTGGGGTAATTGCTCCTTGGGAAGTTTGGAATTTCTCTAAGGTCATAGGGGCGCACGAATCTCACCTCGAGTAAATACATCTTGAACCCAGCACCAGCTTTGCCTCAATGTTAAAAGTGCGGTGCTGTGTTGTTTGTCAGGTTGATCGCATTCCAAAGAAGTTGGTTGCGCTTGAAGTATTGAGAGCGAATGGAGTGCCTTAGTCACCCTCTCAGGGCTGTCTCTCCTTGTTACTAGTTCAATACACGATTTCAATACAATGGAACCAAGAATGTATGTATGTATGTGTATGCAGTATGTATGTATAGCAATTACCTATTGTGGTTGCCTGTGAATCAATAACAATAGAAGTTCAACCAATAAGTGGACCATCAATACTTCCTTACTATGACAATCTTGGTATGTAGGCTATATTTAGCATTAGGGGCCTCTCATTATCTTAGTACATCCACGAGGAAGTAGCCCCTTGGCGGAGATACTACAATATATATAACCATACGAAGTAGAGACATGAATATACACGTACTGTGACCAGAGCCTAATAGAATAGCTATTGTGATGATGACGGTCACTAGTAGATAGCAAGGACATTACATTACATTGGCTGTGTGCATATTTTGTCCCAACCTTCAATCATATCTATCCAATGCTTTACTTTTTCATTGCATTCGTCATCTCCCTAGAAGTAGCCCCTACATAGCTTCATGCAAGTCGAAAGAATAGAAAATAATAATAAAAATGGACATAGAAAAAATTTTCCACTGAACAGCGTCATAACACACGTCAAAGAAGTAGCCTCCTACTCCATCCGTAACAACTCATCTTGCAACCCATCCATCACCGGCTGGACATATTGGGCCCTTGTTCACTGAGTACCTTCGTATAGGCCGCCAACACGGGGAATGCCAACAGTTCTTCTTTCCCTTGACATTCCTACCAGAAAGCACGGACGGTGATTGGACCTCCTGCGTTCTCTATTCATGGGTAAACCAGATGCCCTCTTTCAATGCTGTAGACGGTACCCCACGAAGCTTGAGCCCTTCAAGGCCTGTTGTCCGAGAATCAGAGGAAACCACAGGGTATAGTTCCTCCATTTCTCTTCCAGCTGGCCCAATCAGGCCAAGCTACATTAACACACATGATAGCTCGCTTAGTTCAGAATGGGCTCAAGGGTGTTACCACTGCAACACGGTTAAATTTTGATCATTCAAAAAGAAGCCCAACGATGGAAACAAAAGGATTACTTACGCAACAATGTTTGCCCACCCGATCAGACGCCAATGCTTGTCGATTCTGCGACTGATGGCGATCTTCTCATGAACTTCGGTACAAGCAGGGCTGGTCAAGCTCAGTTTGGCTGCATCAGCCTTGACGCCCATGACCTTGGCACCGGTAGCCGTAGAACCGATGTTGACCATCAGAACCTCGTTCTTGCTCAGCTTAGCAACCTTGGCCTGCTTGCCGTCGGCAGTCTTGACACCCAACAACCGGCGCAACAAGAAGTAGTTGACTTCGATTTCAGTGTAAATGGCGGGCAGACGTCCACGATGGCCCAGAACGAAACCAACAAGACGATCAGCACGGCATAGAGTAGGGTCGACACGAGTACCGACACCGATCAAACCACCAGGAACAGCGAACTTTAAGTCGTTGTGCTCAGCGAAGAGGGAGACAACCCGCGAGAAGATGGGACGACACTGGATCTTGCCATTCTCGTCCTTGGTCACGAGACCGGGACGGATTTCAACCTCGTCGTTCACCTTAAGAACACCGGTCAGAATGGAGCCACCAGCAACACCACCCTTTAGCTCGTCGATCTCGGCACCAGGCTTGTTGACATCGAATGAACGGATGACCATCATGTGGGGAGAAGCAGTGAAATCACGGATAGGGACAGGGATGTGGGAAACGAGATACTCGTTGACAGCATCGATGTTGTACTTCAGCTGGGCGGAGATGGGAATGATGGGGGAGCCATCCGCAACAGTACCACGGATGAATTTCAAGATCGACTGGTAATGTTGGAGAGCTCCGTCTTCCCTCATCAAGTCAACCTTGTTTTGCAAGATGATGATATGGCTGAGCTTCATAATCTCGATAGCTGCCAAATGTTCCGAAGTTTGGGGCTGGGGGCAAGTTTCGTTTCCGGCAATCAAAAGAAGGGCTGCATCCATGACGGCGGCACCTGACAACATAGTACTCATCAGAATATCGTGACCGGGGCAGTCAACGAAGCTGAGGGAGGGGGAGAAAAGATCAGCAAACAGTACCCAACATCAAGACCGTAAAGAGGGCCACCTACGAGACATGTCTCAACAGCCGGTAACGACCTGCGCACCCATCTCTCTCACATGGCGGGTCAATTTCCTTTTCACTCTTGAAACTCTTGAAGCATGTTGGGCGAGGGCACTCCGGGTTGTCGCACTTGTAGATCTTGGCGTTGGCATAACCCAGCTTGATTGTAATGTTCCGCTCCAACTCGTTCTTAAAACGGACAGTCTGAACCTCTGAGATAGCCTTGACCACCGTTGACTTTCCGTGAGCGACGTGTCCGATGGTACCAATGTTAATAGTGGCCTGGCGCGCAATGATCTCTGGCGACAGAGGGGTCAGTGTTGACAGGTCAAGGGTAGCAGGGTCTGGCTGTTCGGGCAACTCTGGCCGCTTGGGCTGATCCAGAGGGGGCACACTCTTCATCGAAGACTTGAGGGGCTTCTCCTCTTGGTCGAGGGGCTCTTGCTCTTCAATGTTATCATGGCCGTTCGCATTAAGCATGGGGGACCCCGGCTGGGATTCATCGTCGGAAAAATCGCCGTTGGCAGCCATAATTGCTATGTTAGACCCAAGTACAGTAGCAGTTTCGGAGTAGGGTGAGGGGTATTGAGGGTGGGGTTGGAAAACCGGTAGGGTCGAGAGCGTGATGATGGTGAAAATTGCAGCTTTGGCGGGAACAGAGGCGATATGATAGCAAGTTTGGGTCGACCAGTCAGTGGGGTTTGTTCTTTTGTGCAGTGGAGTGAGTGCGTTGTAGGGCGGTGAAAAATCGATTCTGCTCGCTCTGAGTCACCGCCCTTGATTCGCCAGTTGGCCCTCGACAGCCAATTTGAGTATACTTAGGTTCAAACAGAAGAGGTAAGCTTTTGCTATTGTGGTTTTCTTTTTCTTTTTTCTTTCTTTTTACATGTCTTCTTCTCTCTAACATCATATGGTAGGGTATACAGGGACAATACGGAATCATTAAATATGATATCCAAATGATCAAGCATCACTTTCCTCACTGTCCGACTCACTGTCCAAACCTTCAAATTCCTCTTCGGAATCCAGAAGGCTGGAGGGATCTTCCGAAGGTAACATAACGAATGCCTTGAGACAGGTAATCCTGTTTCCGGTTTCATAAGCATTCAGAAGCTTTCCCACCTGACGGATTTTCGAGTCTTTTTCATCTTTATTTTTACTGGATTTCGCAGCCTTTCCTTTTCCAGCGAGATCCTTTCCATGTACATGCCACACGCGTACAACACCTTCGCTATTTCCCGTAACCACGAGGAGATCCTCCTGAGGCGCTTGATTTTCCTCTTTGAGACTTAGAATCTCAAAGGCCTTCACTCTCCCCGGGAAACCACACGCTTTCCCGCCAAGTTCAGCAACAGCCTCGGCGTAAGGAATAGGCGAATCATCCTCATCCTGCGACTTTTGTACCTTTTTGGTGGAGTAGAAGATAACCCTGCCGTCTTCTGTGGAGACCGCGAGTAGTTCGTCGCCATCTTCAGCGGAAGGATCATGGCTGATATACTTTATTTCATGAATTTTACTCCGGGGACTTGGAAAGACCCTGCAGATTGGTGTCGAATCCTGCGGAAATAGTTAGACCTGTGCATTGTAAGCTGAAGGGTAAGTACTCACAATTCCGAAGACAACAGCTCCCCATTCAAATGCAACGGCAAATTCTTCACCCTTTGAGTTCCAAGCAATCTTTCTTCCCTCACCAGTACTCCACTTGCCTTCTTTAACGCTCTGTAGAATCTCTCTACCAAAGCTCAACACACCTGCCTTTTTACCCGTCACCAGGTTCCAAAGTCTCATGCATTTCTCGCCCTTCCCAACACTAAGCATAAGCTTCATACTGGGATGCACGGCAAAGTCATTGACACCGTATGGTGACCCTCCGGGAGGGGCTGTGTCTCCGCTGGGCCTTCCCTGAATCTTCGGACGGGGGGCTTTAATAGTAGACACAACGGAAAAGTCCCTAGTCCTCGTGACGGAGATAGTATTGTCTTCCGAAGCTGCTAGAAGCTTTGAGCGGGAAGGGAAATGCAAAGCCGATATACTGGCGGAGTGATGTAGCAAAGTGCCGAGCTCTCGATTCTTAGGATTCTCGAGGATCTTGTTACCGGCGAGGGTTGGGATAGAAGGATATTGCTCGTTTACTTCCAGAGGGGCGGCAGACAATGAGTAAAGCTTAATAGTTTCATCTGTCGCACCGCTCGCCAGAATAACCTTTTTCGATTCCTCGGTCGAATCTGCCTTTGGTAATGGGGACAAGGCGAGGCTGCGGATGGCGGAAGAATGGGCCTCAAACAAGAAAGTATCGACAAATTGTACTGCGGACGAGTGAGATGGAGAATCCTTCTCATCGTTAGATGCGAAACAAGACGGGGAAACGGCGGCAGTGAAGCCATGCAGCACTCGTTCATAGGATCCAGTGATTATTTGTAAAGTGATAGCCGGGGTATCAGCGGAGGTTACATGGCTAGTTGTTGACTTGACCACTTTCGATGGTTGTTGACTGGAGACTTGAGACTCCTTGGTCGCTTCTTCTCTCTTGCGCTTGGCCATGATTGGAGATCTTATTAAAAGTGTTGGTAGATGTTTTACCAACGATAACTAATTTTTCTTTAAGATGTAGATATGAAAGCAGTACAAAAAAAAGCGGGCAACTTTTTTTCTGCCAGACATTAACGGAATAAACTGGGCGGTGAGCAAGACCCAAAGTTGCGACAATGCCTCAGGAGCCAAGGTACTAAATGCGGCAATGATGGAGGAATGCCCAGCAAGGGAAGAGGAGAATTCCAGAGACAAAAGTAGGGGATAGAAAAAAGAAGAAGAAAAAACAAATAAAATAAGTAAATAACTTGAAAAATAAAAATAACAAAAAGATAAAATGGCATATTAATATGTACATAAGAAAAGAACATCCAAGAAAAAGAAGGCAAGGGAGTTTTTGTCTGCCTCAGGCTGCCGCCGCGTATTCTCCTTGTATGTCCTGTCCTTGGAACTTTCAGACTGGGGTAGTGATAACAATACCATACCTAGCAGTGATCACTTTTGCGTGCGCTGTTCTGTTCCCGGAACCACACGTTCACTCTCCCATTACACTACACACTACACTCCCTTTCTTGCTCTCCCCCCAACCAACCAACCAAAAATTCCCTCCATACTACCCGTGGAAAAGTCTCAATCACTAACCACCCCCCAAAAATCCCTTCAAGTCTAATCTTCGCGCGCCTTGATACTTTGCATCCCATAACAACGCAACCCCATCTTTTTCATCATTTCTGAGCGATTTTTTCCATCTGGATGACTTCGCTCAACCCACTCCCTTTTATTTTAGCGCGTTAATCGGATGCTGTGTTCCCGAAATAGACTCGATGCTCCGCGAAGAGCTCCTTCGGTCTAAGAACGATGAGATCGCGTAAGTAATAAATACCTCCCAGCGATCCATTCTGTATTACCGGCTCGTGCGATATCGAATTATCGCTTACTTTTAATTTTCAGACGTTGCTTGTTGTCGCGGAAGCGCAAACTGAGCGAGCTCTACTTTGCGACCGTAGGCTTCGCGGGCGCGACCGAGAACCCTTCCGCGGACTCGCTATACCATCAGAAGGAACAGGCGTTCCTCGACGCCAATGATCTTTCGAAGTAAGCTCCCAACCCCTCTCACATTTTAACACTTTTATTCTTTGTTTTTAAGATGTTCATCTCATCCCCGATCAATGTATCCCCCTTTGGCCAATTTGAGTATTGTTAATTGCGCTCAATTACATGTGATGCTCTTTATATACTTCAATTGGTCTCAAATGCTGATCGGCTCTGAAGAGGTCGCTTTTTTAACGAGGCTACTCTTCCACCCCTACCTAATTATGCAGACATCCTATCGCGCAAGTACCAGGAAGCTGTCCATGCACGAGCCGAACCCCCGAAAGCTTCCAATGCCATCCCTATCAGCCCTCCGGCTGGCGTAGAGATCACTGCTCCTCAGACTACTCCCGATGTTGAACAGGCACAACAGCAGCTACCGCAACAGCTATTTCCGGCGACTGCACTACAGCAGCAGAAAGAAATTCAGGCTCGTGGTCAGCCTGCGCCTGGTATCACTCCCGAAGGGTCGCAAGGTCTAGATGCACCCACGCCAGCCACTGCACTTCCTGTTGAACACCCAGCTCCTGAGCAGAAGGTAATCTCTGCGGTCCCAGGAACGCCAAAGAGCAGTCAAGGTCATGAGTCTACGGAGGTTAGCGTCTCGCCAAGTCAGGCAAAACCGACGCCAACGGCCGGGATCCCTTCCGGTGTCGTTGAGATGCCGGCTACCCAGAAGAAGCATGATGAGCAGCCTGCTCTTGTGCTAAGCCGAGTGGCTCATGGCAACGAACAACCACTTTCTCCTGTTTCTTCTGGCGGTCCGTATTCTAATAATACCCCTGTTCCGGTTGCTGTATCGCCCGAGACAAACCCTGTTGAGGAGGAAATTGGGCCTACCGATAAGATTGCACCGAGCCCCAAGCCTGAGGAGTCTGTCCAAGCACCCCCGATTTTAGTCCCATCCACACCGGATGAACAGCTTCGGCTAGAGGAGGCGCAATCGCTTCGACAAAACTCGCTGGTAGCGAGTAAGGCCATAGGTGATAGTAGTGCCGGTGAACCTTCGACGAATAATGAAGTTATCCAGGAGAACGTTAGTCCAAGACTAACAGGCTCCGAGGACTTAAAAGAGACGCAAGATTCGGCAGGTACGCCCGTACCGCCGGAGCCAAAGAAGCCTGATGGGGTAGTCGAGACCGCAGAAGAAAAGGCGCCGTCGCCACATCAACCTGAACAAGTTGATACACCGGATGGGGTAGAAGCCAAGATAACAGCTACAGCAACGCCTGTATCAAGGAAAGGAACGCCAACTATTCCTGGACCAGCACAGCCCGAAAGAATGACAACCAGAGTATCTTCCGGTGCTATTCGGCACAAATCCGTTTCTGAAATCCTTGGCGAAGCGCCAAAGCCGGCCATGCCGCAACCCGATAAGACTTCTGCTACTGAAAAACCAGAGGCTGCACGAACAGTATCCAGGGCATCCAGTGATTCTACAGCGAGGTTGAGCTTCAAAGATAGGAAGGCACGGGAAAGAGAAAGGAGCAAGCTCTCTACAGTTGTCTTCCCAAAACAGCAACAGCAACAACTGCAGGACAAGGCTGACTCGATGGATCTTGTTCGCCAGCACACTGGTGAACTAGTGAAGTTAAACGAGGAGCGAGATTATCTCTTTACCTTGTTCCAGAGCAAGGCATATAGCCCACCCCGAGGTACAAGCCTCAGCACTTTACTTGCTTCCGCTCATAAAACCTTATCTACCGCAAACCACCACCTTGAATATCAGGAGCAGATGGACTGTCGCACCCTACGCCGTATCTATCAACTTCAAAACGCCAACAGATGGCCATTGCGCCAAATGAAGCGCTCACTAGAACCTCCTCGGCAAGGGGCGCATTGGGATGTTCTTCTGGATCATATGAAGTGGATGCGTACTGATTTCCGTGAAGAAAGGAAGTGGAAGATCGCAGCAGCCAAAAGTTGCGCAGATTGGTGCGCGGAGTTTGTTAACAGCCAGCCGGAGCATAGGTCTTTACTTCGGGTGCAAGTTAGGACTCCAGTCAAATTGGAGAAGGGGGTTGAGCCTGATGCTCCTATGATGTCGCCTCCAGAGGAGACAGGGGATGAAATGCTTGGGATATCTCACCCAACCCCCGATCTAGTTCCTTCAACAGAGGAGGACTCGGTCAGCGAAGGTTATAATGACGAGCCACGCCATGATTTACATGATACGGTTGCACCAGCAGCAATATTCTCCCTTAGTTCAGATGAATTCACATTTTCGCTAGATATGACGCCGGCAGCCCAAAAGCTCCTGGAAGAACTCCCGGTTTATTCACCTGTCGAAATTTCTCCAGAATCTAACGTTCTTACTTTCAAAGAGCCTCCGGATGCAGTTTGGAAGACGGAGATTCTCCCTGTTTCAAAGTTCGCTTCAGGGAAGATATCGTTCTACGATGATGAACCGCCGCGAAAACGTAGCCGTTATGATTATTTGCAGTATCAATCTGACCCTGAGCATGAGATGTTGGATCTGCCACCGGAACAGACAAATGTTGCTCTCTTCCGACCCGAGAACAAACACATACGTGATCGGATTCACCCAGGGCATAACTTTAGGCCTCCAACTGAATACCCTATGCCGTCGGTTGGCTTTTTTGAGTCACGCCAATCCTCACAGTGGACGTACGCAGAGGATGATGAATTGCGTCGACTTGTAAAGGAGTACTCCTACAACTGGTCTCTAATCTCCAGCTGTCTGACTCCTTCGTCGCAATTCACGTCTGGAGCCGAGAGGCGAACACCTTGGGAATGCTTCGAACGCTGGATCGGTCTGGAGGGATTACCTGCCGATATGTCGAAGACACAATACTTCCGTGCCTATCATCAAAGGTTGGAGACAGCGCAACGTGCTGTTTTAGCGCAACAACAGGCTGCTCAGCAGCAGCAGCAACAACAACAGCAGCAGCAACAACAGCAGCAGCAGCCAGGCAATAACAATCCACCGTCATTACCCCCTGTTCGTAGGCGAACTACACAACCTGTCCGTGTTGACCGTAGACGATCCTCTAAGCATCTTGCCTTGCTCGATGCCATGCGGAAGTTGGCCAAGAAGCGGGAGACGATGCTTCAAAAACAACAACATGGTGAGAAATGAAGAGGTTGAAAACCTTATGCACGCAATACTAACGCTCTCCCAGCCTCTCAACTGGCATCATTGAGAAAAGTCAACGAAGCAAACCAACCAAAGCCCCCTATCTCGACTCCCGCCGAGTTTAGTCGGCTCAAGTACGAGCGAGAGTTAAAGTTGCAGGAGCGACAAGAACAATACCGGCAGCAGATGATCGCCACGCAGAGAGTACGTATTTCGTGCTGTGCATGTAATTAAGATCATTGCTAACAAGGCGTTTCAAGGCGAACTTGGCAGCTCAGCGTGCTGGGCAAATGCCTAACCAGCAGCCAATGATGAATGCTCCTGGTCGAACTCCAAGCACTATGCCACAAAACCCGGGAACTCCCTCCATACCTGGTAATACTCCAAACGGGATGCCTAATGGGTTGCCGAATGGGATGCCGAACGGAATACCACCTGGTGTTAGCGCTAACCCAGGGCGTCCCCATATGCAAGCAATCCCTGGAAGTGGACCAGCGAATGGGCATATACCACCAAATCCTATGGCTATGAAAATGATGTCCCAGCCTGGGATGCAACAGAACACTGCCGCTCGACCTGGAATGCCCATCCAAACCTCTCCAGACAACAACCGGGTTATTCGGGAAGCGAACCGCCTTCAAGAGCAACAGCGGCTCTTACAATCTAGACAACAGCCGCCACAGCCTCAACCTCAGCAACCCCAGCAGCAGTTTCATAATCAGCAACAGTTTGTGGGCCAGGGAGGATCTCATTCCCCGACTATGAATGTGCCAAACGTCAATGGTGCAACGAACAACCCTGCCATGATGGCGGCTCTCCAGTCTGGGGGCGGGATGCAGAGCCCGTCCTTCCATAACGCTACTCCTCAAGGAGTCTCTACCCCTTCGCCGCGCATGGGACAGCCCAATCTTTTGTCGAGTGGAGTCGTACCGACAATTAGCAGCTTGCAGAATCAAATTCAGAGAACACATCCCGGTATGCCCTCTGACCAGGTAAATAAGTTGGCCACCGAACGACTGCATCAGTACCAGCAGCAGCGTATGTCCCAGGTTGCTATGAATGCAGCCGCCGGGAATATCGGTGCTGTCCAGGCCAATTATCAGGTATCACACGATGGCAACTTTCAATCTCCTCAGACTAGTATGAATGGTGGCCCTGGTATGCAGATGCCTCAAACGCAGGGGTACTCGCCTATGATGCGAGTTCCACAAACTGCTCAAGCGAACCGGGTAGGTGTTGGAAACTCCCCGGCCATAAATGGAGCTGTCCCTCAACCCAGCCGGAGTGCAACGCCACAAGCTCAACGCAGCGGCAGTGCTCAAGGCGGCCCCATGCCGGGTTCGAGCAAGAGTCCGAACCCTCCACAAGCTCAGGCTGCTAGCAGCTGAGCCCCTTGGCCTGCGATATCCCAGCTGGCTACTCTTACCACACACGTACATGTCCATTTTTAACCTTCGTTTGTAAATATTTCTAACCCCTAGCCCTTTATTGAATTCCACTACCCCTGCCCCATGTCCTTACCCTTCGACTTTTTTCCATAACTGCATGCAATGTTATGCTATCTTTCATACCCCTTCACCTCGCCTCCATGTATCACACCCGCCTTTTAGCCGTCTTTCACCACCTTACCCTGCGTGACGTTCCTACAGACCTCACCCACCTTTACGTTCTAGCATCCGACTTTTTGGTGTCATGTATTGGCATACGATTACACTTGGCTGGACTCGTGTCCAAGCCACTATTCAGTATCGTGGCCTGTTTTTTTCCCCTCACATTTTGTACCACATGTATTGATAGGACGGATACAAAGTACAAACAAGTACTTGGACAGTTGGCTGGAATGGGCGAAATACAAGATCTAGAAAAGATATCAATGACTATGACTGTACGATTAGCTCATCTCGTTTCCTTGTTATCGTAAAATTCGAGGAGCTCAGTAGGGCTCCTGAGTGAATTTCCAGAAAATTTGGAACGCATGTTAGTGTATGAATGTATCTTCTGCGAGCTGGTGATGGGTATCATGCCTATCTAGAGTGCATTTCGTTTTTGTGGGTACAAGACATAACTGCTCACAGAGTGAGTAACATGCTAGTACATGCCATATACTAGTCTCATTCCGGAAAGGGAAAGTTTTCGCAGAAAAACATGACATTTAGATTGGAATCTAAGCGCGCGCTTAACAGGTTGGCCTCGCCACCCCTACCGCTTTTCTCAAAGAATGCAACACTTGACGCTGAAACATACATAATAATATAGTTTCTTTTTTCTCGCTGAGAATATCAGTCACGCCCGAATCCCATTTGGGATCGGTTTATCTCACTTAACTGTTGCGACCAAAGTCAAGGTCTATCACAATGTCTTCATCACAGCCGCCAACAAAGCCATTCTCTCTGTCACTGGGCGGGGGATCCTCAGCTTCAAATGGACAGCCTAAGAAAACTACATTCAACCTTCAAGGCTTCGCTCGAACGACCGACGCCCCTAGCCGAACCCTTGCGCACCGACCTCATCATCTCCACGACGATGAATCCGACGAAGAAAGAGCGCCGGTCCACGAGGCCGTCACAGAATTCGACACAGAAACAGGAACCGCTGTATCTGCTGATAAGAAGAACGAAAAGCAAGAGCTAGTCATACCAGTCGCGAGTAACAACAATTGGCGGAATCGGCCTGGCGTCAATATCCGGAGACCGAAAGGCAAGAACCTGCTACCAAAGGAAGTCCAAGCAATACAGGAAGCCGCGAAGAGAGGCGAAACTGCCGGAGACGACACTGAGACCGATCGTCCGAGCATGTCCTATGGACTTAGTTTTGCGCAGCAACGGAGTACGGAGCAAGATGCTGAGGGCGAGACGGACGATAAGCCGATGGAGGATGCAGAGCCTATTGGGGAAGAGCAACGAAAGCCGCTTACGCAGGATGAGATCGCGCTTCGAGCGCTTATTAGTGAGAGTAAAGGGGACACGGAGGCCCGGTCGGATCTTGTTATTGAGTCTAGACCTGTGAATGGAGAAGATGTGACTGGGGTGCGCTACGACGAGACATCTTCTTTTAGGGCTGACGTTGATTCTCGACCGGAGTCAGCCACTTTGGATCAGTACAATGCGATTCCTGTTGAGGAATTTGGTGCGGCTTTACTTCGAGGAATGGGCTGGAAGGAAGGCCAGGCTGTTGGGAGAGGGAAATATGGCTCCTCTCCTGCTGTTGATAAGCCACGCATTCCTGAGCGTCGACCGGGTTTTCTGGGTATCGGAGCGAAGGATGCTTCAGGGGGTAAGGGTGCGGAGGCAGAGCTGGGTGCTTGGGGAAAAACTGCGATGCGCAAAGGAGCTAGGAAAAATGGCAAAGAAGGCGAGGCTAGCACAGAGGGTGTCTATATGCCTGTTATGATGCGGAACAAGAAGACAGGCGAGTCCATAACGGAAGAGGAGCTCTCGGCTTTACAGAAGGAGGCCAAATCTAAGAAAGGTGACGATGAATGGAAAGAACGAAGGGATCGCAACCTTGAAAGGAGTGGACGCGATAGAGACCGGGATAGAGATTACCGGCGCCGTGATTACGAACGAGACGATGATGATCGTTATGACAAGCGGAGGACAGGTTCCTCAAGAAGAGACAGAAGTCATTCAAGACGACGAAGATACGAAGATGACGATAATGACCGATACTCTCGGGATAGAGATCGTGACCGAGAACGTCGTCGCGACCATGAGCGAGAGAAGGACCGAGAAAGAAGCCGCAGATACCGGGATGATGATCGCTACAGTTCCAGTAGGCACTCGTCCAATACATCGAGCAGACATGGTCGAGATCGTGACCGGGATCGAGACAGTGATCGAGACTCTCGCCAGAGACGGAGGAATGATGACAGGTGATTTGCTTGGCCTGCGAAATTGCTGAGACCCTCATTTATAAGATTTTTCCAGAAACAAATGTATATTGTTCTCTAGATACCTCACTTGATACCACCTTGATGGCATTCCAGCATAAATTGATAGAAAATCATACTCAGTTAGACGATACAAGTATCAACAATCAAAAGGCCCTTGCAAGCTCGAAAAGCAACCTCGTTGTGAGCGATGGGAAAGAAATAAGAGGTACAAGGCAAATACGGAGGAAAAGGACGCTGTAGAAAGACCCAAGGATGGTATATAACTAAGGCTACGTGCATTCAAGAGTATTTCGAAGTATCAATTATCGGCAACAAAATGTCACCCAAGAGAAGACTTTTGACACACCTTTTCCTCCAAAAAAGTATCAGATGTAAATGCAATAGTGCTCCAAGAGAATGCGCCGACATATCACAATATTCCAAACACAAAATCGTTCTGTCTATCTGTACATATACTCGTTTAGAGGGGTTGCAATCGTCATGCTCCCAGCATGATAGTGTCCTTCTCATGATCAGGTACGTCGTCTGCATCACGGGTGCCAGAGACGCTCAATCCGCCAAGTCCTACGCCCCCGTCCATTTCTCCCAAAACCCATTCGACAAGGTAGCTTTCGTCTGTCAGCTCTTCGATTCGACGGTAATGCCTTTCGGTATAGGCGGCCATGGCTTGCAGTATGTCCTTCATACTGGTTGCAGTGCGACTGTCATTGCGTCGATTTGCCATACTTGCTGTCGCGAGCTCAATGAACGCTGATGCAGGATAGGATCTAAACAATGCATACAGAATGCGTTGTGCAACGCGAGAAGTTCGAGCATTCGTGTTCCAGTCGCGCAACCGGAGAAGAAGGATACGAAGGTTATCAGAGTCGAGAGTTTGAAGAACCTCATCAATCGAAGGGTCACCGGTCAGACTGTCAGCACGCTCGTTCTTTTGAGAATCAGTCGAGTATGGGTTGTCGGCAGCATCTACTGCAGCTGTAAATAGCGATAGTAGCCTTCCAGGATGGTTCAGCTGGAGAGCTAAAGTAATGGCTTCACGGTAAGCTCCAGCTCTGATGTAATTCTCTAATTTCTGGTCCTGTTCGATGCGAGCAGCGTTCGCGCTAACTGTAGCGGTGTAAGTGGCGGATGTAGTGTCAGTCCAGAAAGTGACGGTGGAGTCGGCCGAGCCAGAGGCAATGGCGTACGGGGATGAAATTTTATGTGTGTTAGAAGAAGAGAGAACATCGGCACGGGAGCCAGAGGGTGTTGGGCTTGCTAGTGCCCAGACTCTGTCTGTGTGATTATCGAGGGTGGTCTCGAGTTCCCCTGTGTAAGGGGACCAAATTTTGACTAGGCCATCGGCAGCCGCAGACGCCACGAGAGGGCGTGGTTGTGTAGCAGTGTTTTGCATCGGCGCTTCTTCATCATCATCATCTTCATCATCACCTCCGTCTTTCTTGGTCGACAGGTCTGAAGGTGGAAGCCAGAGCACTTTGAGAACACTATTCGTGTGGCCCTCGAAGGTAAGGAGACAGCTATAGTCCGATAAGCTCCAAAGTTTGACCGTTTTGTCGCCAGACCCAGTAACAATCAGACCCCTATTTGTACTGCTCTGGGGCCTGGTACTAATGGTAGGCGTACCATGTGGGGCGAATCGCGCGGACCAGACTCCTCTCTTGTGTCCACGAAGAATACCTACAACGGTTCCTTCTTCAGCGGACCAAATCTTAACAGTACGATCTTGTGAGGCTGATGCAAAAAGGGTCGATGTCGGATCAACATCCAAGGCATTGATGTCTTTTTCATGAGCTTTGCGGGTGAAGATCGCCTTCGGGGTATGCGGTTTGGAAGAAGTGAGCGGAGCCAATTTGCCCATATCCCATCGTTTGATGGTGCGGTCTTGAGAACCAGTGAGCAAGAATTGCGGGGGATGGTTCAAAGGATCATTGCGCGCAGGTGTGTTTGCCGGCGGTGGGACACGAGGGAAACTGATAGCACCCAGAGACTCAGCGTGGCCTGTCATAACGGCAAAACAGGTATACGAGGATGTCTTGGGGTCGAGACGCCAAAGACGAGCTGCGTTGTCTTTGGCGCCCGTTGCGAGCCAATGGCCAGACCAGTCAACATCAATGCATATGATGATGTCGTCGTGGCCATCTAGGTGAGCGATATCCGCGCCAAAATATCCCTCCTCTTTATCAGACGGCCTATCTGTGGATGGTCTCACCGAGATAAGTCTAATACTCTCAGTGTTTGTGGCCAGGGCTAGCATTGATCGATCTGGACCAACATATGCAAGGTCAATAATATCATCGTCGTTACCTGATATGCGCCTTATTACCGGCAAAGGGTCCAGCGAAGATCCGGGCTTGTAGTTCAATAAGGATTCAAGTGAGTGAAGTTTCAACGTTTGATCTGCATGCACAGTCATTGCGAACGGCATTCCTGGAGTGTATTGGATTGCCACGACCGCTTCAAACTCAGCAGCAGCTTCTTGCTCTTGGGTTACTTCCCCTCCACGGTTGCAATCCCACACACGTAACTTGCCATTCTCACCCCCAACCAGAGCAAGCCCACTATCAGCAACAAAGGCGGCCGCTTCCACGCTTTCAAGGACAGGAATAATTCTGCGGGTTTTGAATGTGCGGACATCCCATACAATGACAGTCTTGTCTCTGCTCGCTGAGAGCAATGCATTCTCGGCAGGCGAGTACGATAAGCTCCGTACAACCGAGACATGAGACTCGAGTGACGCTATAGACTTCCTCTTGTTCAAATCCCACACCCGTACTTTGCCTTCCTCACTTCCCGAGGCAAGTCGGAACCCTCCAATCGAAGTAGAGGCGACATCTTGCATGTCTTCGTCATCATCAGAATTATCCGACTTTCTCTTAGATCTCATTTTCTTTGAAGAATTCTTGCTTTCGCTATCCAGGAATGGTACCTGGAAGAAGCACAAAGCAGATACAACACCCGCATGACCATGGAAAGTGTGCGTAACATAGCCACCTCGAATATCCCAGACCTTGATCGAGCCATCAGAAGCACCGGTTGCCAGAAGCGTCCCGGTTTGGTCAGTGGCAGTTGTGACAACAGGTGCAGTATGTGGCTTGAGGCTTCGCACAAGTTTCGCGTTGATCGTCCGTGAAGAATCTTCGAGAGGGGTCAGAGAGTAAATGCGCATAGACATTGATCGCGAGCAAATGATCACATGTGAGGCGGATGGGGTGACTATGATTCAGTTAGAAAGGTTCCCTTGGAGCAAAATGAAGTGTAATAAGCAGAGCGCCAGAAGGTGAAGCGGGCAACTCACTAGCTAGGCTGGTAATGATCTCTCCATCCTAAAATCACGATCAGAAACTTGCGACAATGCGGTTAATACACATATGAAAATGCCACTTACTCCTTCCAGACTTGCAAGCTGGTCACCAGTCTCAAGATCAACGATAAGAGCATCTTCGCCCACACAAGCTGCTAGCAAACGTCCACTGGCATCTAGCGCAGTACTTCCTCCAGTATAAATGGGACGCAAAGTCCGAGACGCCTCGAAGGTCGTCTTAACGACGGCTTTAGACATTTTTTGCGCAAATCTGAAATATGGTGTCGCCGTGCAATCTAACGCGCCATTATATATTCGGGATAAACCGTACAGCAAACGTGAGTTGAATTGTCCAATTGCTGTCAAAAGTACTCGTCGCTCCGAAACTTTTGTTCTTTTTTCGAGATGTTTGCTCTGTTTGTCGCCAAAAAAAAAGCCAATTTAGATCATCGTGGGGCCCGTGCCGTTGACGCTACAGGCGCGGCAGGCGCCCACGTGAGCAACATCAATATCCATTTCCATGAACATGATCTGAAACATCACTTTTACTTCCCATCCTTGGCTTATACCGCAAAATGACCCAGAGACACTGTTAAACTGCTTACTTAGTACCAAACACCATGGGGCGACAGGCATACTTGAATAGATTGGCTTTGGTAGGCTCCCAGCTTTCTATTCGATATCACCCTCATGACTTCCTGTGTCTGTTCTAAGATACCTTGTGCTTTCATTTCGGGCTTCCGCTTAGCTTTACCTTGGATCTCTGTTTGAAGTTGAGAAGCCATGTACTGTTAGAATGCTAAAGATAAAGCCTTGTCTATCTGCATCATCACTTCCCGTTTCATAGTACTACATGATCATATCATACTCGACCAACTGATTTGCCATGAACCTCATGCTTCTGATGATTGACTATTATTGTCCAGGGTCGCTCCCCATACGAAGCCCCTGAACAACCGGAGTCCCCGGCAGTAGACCGTGGCAATTTAACTCAGCAACGAGTTCCGCCTCTGTACGCGGATGAATATGTTCAGCAATATGATGAGAGAGGACATCCCATCAATCCTGAATCAAAGTCATTCGGGAGAGAATTACGGAGAGCTAAAAATGATATCCTCTCAACAATGGGCATCGTTGTCAGTGAGGATGGAAATGCGAGTGGCCTCAGTGAGCAGCAGAAAATCGATATAATAGCTGCCGAGAATGACTATGGACTGGTCATGGCTACTCTAGATCAAGTTTCGGTATTTTTAGGCTCGTGGTGGACTTCCTCACTCATGGGCCGGATACAGGTAAGTTTGCCATGATATTGGCCTAAGACTTGAAATTCTGAGGGTCGACTGATTACTCTGCTCTCCAGACATTCAAGAGTTATACCCACGCCCCTCTAATGAGTATAATATCTCATGAGCGTGCTTCATTTGGCATACTGGGGTTCTACTTTGCTGGCATTCCTGCGTGGGCTCTGTCGACGTGCCTATCAATTTGCCGACACCATCCTCTAGAGCGCTTGATTTCTTCGTTGCAAAACCGATTTCCGGATAATGATGCGCTTTCGAAGCTTGTGCGGGCTTCATTTACAGTTCTACACTCTGCGTAAGTGGGATTCAAAGTGTGGATGTTATAGCATGAAACAGTAGCTAATATGTGCATAGAGCGCGGGGAACCCTACTTATTCTTGCTATACAATCATATGTTTATTCACTTTTACAATCGCTCCACCTTGTTCATCCCTATACCTTTCCAGGAATTCGGTTTTTAGCACCTTTGGGCGAACTAACTACCATGTTATTTCCACCTTTGCCTACAGACCTCACGATTCAATCACTGGGTGGGCTCTGTTTGAGCCTGCTGCAAACTCCTCCATTTCTCGTCTACCTTTATGTATATCTCCGTCCAGTAATCGAGATAAGGTTATACCGGTTGATTCGCCGACGGCTACCAAAACCAACCCTAGCGGATGAACTATCCATTAAAGTGGCTTTCGAGAATGACCTTATTGATTGGATGGTCCCAACCCTTGGGCGCAGATCTGAGGAAGAGAATCGTCGCAACAATCTTTCTTTGGTTAAAGACTTGATGTGTGAATTGAAATTTCTCCAAAATTGGATGCTATCATGGTTTGGTTTCAAGTCGCAGCGAACATCAACAGCTTCGGAACAAGCGGCGGTCTCCCGTCGCAGGCGAGAGTGGCTCGAATCTTTGCCTTTTAGTGTCGAGCAGGTGCAAAATGAACGACAAAACCGAACTCGTCGATTACAGCAAGCAGTACCCCCGGCTCCAGAGGAGGTGGTGCAAGCTCATGAGGCATCACGCTTTGGTCAACCTCGTACACCCATCTCTGCTCCGGTTCCCGATTCTGGGCTTGACTTCAGTGGTGAACGTGTATTATCAAACGAAGAAGATCCTATCTCCCAATCACCAGCGGAGATGAGCCCCGGCGGTCCCACAGAAATGGCTGCACTGGGCCATCCAAGTGCTATTTCTCCCGCTGTTGGTTCTCGCGCTGTAACCAATGAGGCGCATGGCAGAGAAAATGTGCTCGATGGTCAGCGGAACTCACGCTCAAACACTCTTTTCTCTCGGTCATCATCCCCAGGGACGTCCTCGCCGACTTCTCCGCGTGTGCGTGCTTCTTTAATACATCAGAATTCTGATATAATTACCATGCAGTTGGAATTATTGGGCAATCGTAATGCACAAAACCAGGACCCGCTGCATCCTAGGCCTGGTAATGAGATTGACTTGCCAACTTCCAATGGACAGCCGGCTCATCGTCGCTCCATTACGGAGTTACTAGACACAATCTTGACCAACCAGAACCAGACCCTCTCCACGATCGTCAACTCCGAGAGTGTGGACAGTGACGGCCTCTCAAACATGACACCAGGAGCGTCTCCTAGCAATAGGGAAGATATGTTAGACCTGATGTCTCAATATCAACAAGAAGCTCGAGGAGAAGATAATCCTACCCCTGATTCTCCCCTTGAGGAACCACCGTCAAGCCTTGCCAACATCTTGCCAGAAAGTGTGGAAGAGCCACCAAGCCAGGAAGATAGTCATGATCATCCTTCCGAAGCGGAGCCAGCCATAGAGAACGATTTTGATTCAGGAATATTTCCTCGCATATCTGATCCAAATGTGCGCGAAGGCCCTTCAAACACAAACTCCTCAACTGCTCACCGGATAACAATACTTTCATCGCACCCCGTCGATTCCCTTGCCTCTCACCTCGCGTCAATGATTACTACTGTACTTTTCATCCCTCTCGAATCCCTCTACCTTCGCTCTCTTGCTTCATCCTATCTGTCATCCACTACCTCCTCCGCCGCTAATGTCCGTGCCCTAGGTGTCTGGGGCGGTGGTGGTTCTCGGTCTGATAAACTTGCATACATGGGCAAGTTAACCCTCATGATAGGATTGCAAGCTGCTGTGAATGCTGGTGTGTGGGGAGTCATCTCAGGCACAGCCATTCGGATTGGTAGAAGGTTCTGCGGATGGGGAACTTTGTGAAATTGTTTGTAGGATAAATTGTCGCTATAGATACCCACTTTATTCCATTGTATTTGAACAATAGATTCAACTAACGTATTGATATAAAGAAAGAATAATTGATACATATGGCTACTGTACCCAATGCCCAAGGGGCCATAACACCTACTTAGAGATATCAAGCCCACCCTCATTCCTACATGGCCGCCTTTCCCTCTCTTTTTAAATCAACAATAGAATAAACAGACAATTATTTTCTGTCATTATCGTTACATTAATTATACAAACCCTACTTTCACTAAGTTGGCAATGGGCTACACATCACATTTAAGTCGGGTCTAGGACTGATATCCGTAACCAACCGAATTGATACATTCTCAATATATTAGATACACTTAGGTAACGCATTCCGCCATTTATTTGGCTGGGTTCTTCCCCTTCCGGTTGTTCATGCCCGGAATCTTTCGCCGCTCCCAGACCATAAGATACCCTTCCCTGGTGAATAACGTTTCTGTTTCTGCCTTCTTGACGAACAAATCCTGAATTTCTAGCCACTCGGGTCCGTGCTGTTCACCAGTAGCACGCTCAGTCTGTTGTCGGCCATTCTCCGCTGCCATAGCCTTGTCATGAAGCTGGACCATCCATGAAACCTTCTCACTGCCCGCACCAGCACCGGCGGATGATGACCCGGCTGCTGCGTTAACACCCTTATCTGCCGCCGCTTCCTCGGTGGCACCAGGGACAGCTACACTGGGATCCAAGATGATGTTGGCGACGAGATCATAGAGGATTGGTTCGCCCGGTGGCCAGATATCCGGGTTTGGTTCTACATAGGGTGACATGTCTAGAGAGCGTGGCGATGGGAAGGTGACGATCGTTGGGTTCCGTTCAGATACAAATCTGTTTTTGCTGAATCGCTTGATATGGAATAGTAGGTAAGGAGGCAGAGGATGAAGGAGGCGATGGCGGACTCGATGAGCCAGTTTCTCCGAGGCAGTGATGCCATTGTACTTGTTTAGGAGCGTTGTCAGAGGGACGTGGGGAATGATAGATTCCCGATTAGCGGATTGGAAGAGAGGAGTAGGTGGTAGGTCGAGTGTAAGGATGAGGAATGGGATGGTCTGGCTTTTTATATCGCCCGATTCCGTGAATACTAGGCGGGCGTTTTGAGTATCTGAATGAGCCGTGATTGCTTGACTCTCAATCTTCAGGTGACCTTGGAATGCGGCGTGGATCACACTGGTAGGAGTCTTGGACAGTTTCCTAGAGCCTCCAAGTGAAAGATGCAGATTGTTCAAGAACCAAGACATGAAATCCACTGGGTCGGACTGCTGGGTAAGTGTGAAGCGCTTTGATGATCGAAGAGCAATCTCCTGTAACAGCTCATGCGGCGATACATGAGATCGGAAAGCCTTTGGATTCCACAGCTTCCGTACCAACGTACTGAACCGTAAAGCTAATTGTGGTGTGCCAGGTACAGGAAACTCATGTAGCAGAAAGTAATTGCGTATCGGAAAGACGTGCGCCAAAAGCTGCACAACTACGTTCAAGTAGTCATTGGCCTTGATGTTGTTCATACCAACAAAGCCTATGAAACATGTTAGCACCGTTCTAGTAGGATTCAATTGGTTGATATGAACATACCAGGTCTATAACGATTACCTGCGAGATCGAACGCATCGTGGACCTCTTTGTCTAGTTTCGACACCTCTTCCTTGCTATAGTGCGGGTCCACCACGTATTTGATATCATCCAAGCTCTTATTATTCACTTCATATCCCTCGGGAAGGACATACACCTTCTTGGTCCCCATGTTAACGAAAACATGATGTGAAACTTCGAGCGCATGATAGTAGGCATGCGACTTTGGCCCCCTGCCTTGGAAATATTTACCGCACACGAGACAGGCATAAACGTTAATATTTGAGAGGCTAACCGAGCAGAGCTTTTCAAAGTCAAAGTCGAGGATTTCACGATTGATAGTATCCAGATAAAGGTCGCCATAGCCTTCCATGGGTGCATTCTGGCGTTTCGGAGCCGCAATAACAGGCTTGTTATCGTCGGCATCGTCATTAGACTCGGCACCGTTGGTTGCCGCTGCTTCTTCGAGCTCCTCACACTCTTGGTCCGCCGCGGCTAGAATATCATTCCCTTTGCGTTCATCTTCCTCTCTCTCTTGGCCACTCGCCCGTCGTAACGGAAGGGCTCCATGGCGCGGGTCGCCTTCTTCGAAGCCGTCCTCCACACGAGCCTTTTTCGAGGCAGGAGAACCTGTAGCGTTGTCTTCCTCCAGCGACAACTCGGCTTGTCTTTTGGACATCATGACTTTGTGTAACAGTGAATTGAAGGCCATGATTTGGCTCCGCGGGATTCAAAGCTGCGAAGAACGCGATGGGGCCCGCGGAGTGCAAACATAGCAAACACCCGGTCCATGCAGCGTCATACATCGTGACACTACGCCGAAAGAATCTTACATTCAAAAGGGTCATTTCTCTTTAGTCTCTACCTAAATAAATTGTGGGCAAGACTACATTTCAGTCAAGTCATGAAAAATACCCTGCCATGCAACCGATCATCTGAAAACCAAGTCCCGTAAACCGAAAACAAAAGACAAAAATGGTATGATATACAACATCGCATTAAGCACACTTGACGATCTTGTCATTATCAAAGTCTAGTTCTTGCACGCCATCTTTGGTTACAACCTTCACCAAGACCTGGAGAATATCAGTCAGCCAACAATGTAATAACCAAATGGGAGTATCGGCTTGCAACGTACACCCTTGTAATCAATCGGCAATCTGCGCTTGAGTTCATCTGTGCACATCACCAGGAGCTTTAAGCCTTCTTCGAGAGTGATATCAGGATGATGGTGTTTATCAAGCGTCGATAGGCAATAGTACCTGAAGTTTCTTAGTTCTTGATTCCTCACAGCGGCGGGTCTAAAGATTGGGCGTCTAAGAGTTGGCTTTTGAAACTTACTGGGCGTAACCATGAGCAGCGTATGGTACGGGAGCCAAAGAAGCCAGGTAATCTATCCAGTACAAGTGAGGCTTCTGGGTGATTCCGTCGACACCGGCGAGCAGCAGATTGACCGTGTAGGGGCTCCGAGATCGTAGGCTGCGCGCCAATTCTCCCCGGACAAAGTTGGCAACGGCATTCGGTCCGAGTTCGGTATCATTCCGCATTGTATATAATTGGATGTTCGCCTGGATATACTCCGCAAATTGCACTGCACCGGCAGCAAAGTTAGCTGCGTGATGCTTACACCCCCTCCACCTCATATGAAATCCAACGTACCGGTATCTCCTGCCTCTCCTGAGAAAGCCATCAGGCTGTGTTTGTTGAGCTGTCGTGTCTTATCGTCTTCGGCTTTGAGAATAGTTGGACCCCTCATGGCGGCTTTGGACGCTGCCACCAGGACGAAGTCCTTGCCGGTGATGCCCAGTAGAACCTCCCTAGAAGCCTCAATCAGCGAAGGGAATTCTCATCAATATACCGGGGGGGCATACATTCTGAAGCTATTAGTGTATGTGTAGAAAATATGACGAAGAGAAGAAGCACAGGGAGGGAAGGGAATGGAGGAAAGGTGAAAGATTCAGGATGATGGTCAGTAAAGCATCACACGCCGCGCGGAGCTTGATTGCCTGGAGCTGTACTTGCGAGCCTGAGGCGGAGAGCTGCCTAGCTGAATCAGCAATTAGGCGTTACGTTCTTGCGCTTTCCGCCTGCACGGACCACCGGCAGAAAAAAAGTGAAAGTAAGTTGCGCATCGAAAAAGAATTCCGATCGGCTCTATCGCTTCCACCCGCTCCAATCGATTGTGCATAGTGCAAGAAGTCCTGCTGCGCGGAGCTTCAGCTGATTTTACGGAGTTATGTCGTCCTTTTTCACTTTGCCCGCGTCCCAGCGGAAGCGCAAGAGGGAAGACCGCGCCGGAGCCCCCGCGTCGAAGAAACGAGGTGTTGATGGAGGTAGAGGTTCAGGCGCCAAGGGTTCCAGCAGGGCAAGGGAACGGGATCAATCCGTCTCGAGTAGTGATTTGGACGACGATGATAACGATGATGAGAGCATCGTATCTGGAGTCTCGGGGGAAGAGAGTGGTTCGGAATCCGATGATGGAGAGACAGCCGCAGACCGGAGGTTAAAGCTCGCGGAAAGATACCTAGACAATGTCCGAGACGAGGTAGATGACTATGGGTTTGATGCCGCAGAGATCGATCGAGATCTAATTGCAGAGAGATTGAAAGAGGATGTGGTATGTACTGACATTCGTTGCTATCCATAGGCGCCAGCAGCTGATTCCCAGTGTAGGATGAATTCAAAGGGCGTACATATCGTCAAATAGCCTCAGACCTGTCGTTTTCGGCAGCATCACATTCATTTTTCCGGGCAGACACTCAATCAACAACGTCCATTGCTGTCCATTCACCATATGTTTTCACGGTTTCGAAAGATAAAACGTTAATCAAATGGGAACTCGCCACCCCCAGTCATGCGACCACAGATTCTTCGACCAACGAACGGAATAGCTCATCGAAACGCTCCCCGAGACCGCAGCGGAAAAAGCCGAAACAGGTCAGATTTGTGCGGGGCTTGCAAAAGATTGCTGAGAGTAATGAGGAGCATGGTCACACTAAGAGTATCTTGTCTGTGGCAGTATCGCCATCCGGGAAATTTTTAGCCACTGGCGGAGCGGATTGGAAGTTAATAATCTGGGATGCCGCTACGTTGACCCCTTTGCAGACGTTTACACAGCACCGTGATTCGGTCAGCGGGCTTGCCTTTGCTCGTCATATCTCGACTATGAGTTCCGGTGAACAACTGTTCTCTGGCTCGTTCGATCGGACCATCAAAACTTGGTCTCTGAGCTCCGCAGGAAATGCTTATGTTGAGACATTGTTCGGCCACCAGGACAGCATCTCATCTCTTGCTGCGATGACAATCGACCAATGTGTCAGTGTTGGAGCTCGCGATCGCACCGCCAGATTGTGGAAGGTTGTTGATGAGTCGCAACTCATCTTCCGTGGTGGATCTGCTAAGCACTCATATCAGGAAAACAACCTTGATTGTGTGGCACCTTTGCCCCCTAATCATTTTGTTACCGGCTCAGACTCGGGTGCCATCTCGCTTTGGTCCGTCCATAAGAAAAAGCCCCTTCACACAATAACTCTTGCCCACGGTCTCGACCCTTTACCTCCACTCGATGAGCTATCTTCAGAAGTCGATCCGAATACCGCCGCGTCAAACGCCCGTCACATGCGGCGCAACCCTCGCTGGATTACCGCCTTGGCTACGGTCCCAGGTACAGACATTGTCCTTAGCGGTAGCTGGGATGGTTGGATTCGCGCGTGGAAGATCTCAGAAGATAAGAAAACGATCATCCCACTAGGACCCGTTGGCGGAGCATCACTAGGACCGGATACCCCTTCACAGCAGTTGAAACAGTCCCTAGCCTTCGACAACCCAGTCGACTCCGATCGGATGGCTGTCGACGGACCTCGGGAACAAAAGTTGGACGAGATCAAAGAAGAGGCCGAACCCCTCGTCAAGGGTGTCATCAACGGTATTGCCGTTTTCGAACGCCGTGCGGAGACCAGCACCTCCGGTCAATCTAAGCCTAAGTCGAAATCCTCCGAACCAGAGCCCCGAGGTCTTTGCATTGTTGCAGCGGTGGGCAAGGAACACCGCCTCGGCCGCTGGAAATGCTTCACGAATAATTTCCACGAGGGATCTACACCTGACGGCCGAAATGGCGCCGTGGTGTTCGAAGTCCCTTTCATCAATAATAACCCCCAGTCTAAGTGAGGCGTATTTGTGCTATGGGACGAAGTTATTGTGTCATGGCGTATGTATCCACTTTTTTTCCTCTACTTTGTATTCTATTCCTGGGGTGGTGGTCTTTGCATATCTTTCTAGAAGAAAAAAAAAGTTTTCTGCATAGAAGTCCCTTGGGTTGAAGGGCGTTGAGCCTGATACGCGCGGATGAATGTACATAGGTGCACTGCAGTAATTTTTGAATAAATCATGCTTCTATATTGAACCTAAAATTCAACGCTAAAGAGCCGACTATGTCACGATCTTCCGTCGGGATACTATGCTAGCTCTCGGCGATTCTTAAGAAGGCGTGTGCTGACGGAAGGGGTAAAAGCAAAGCAAACAATAAGGCCGGGAATACACTAGCTTCGTCGATTCAATTGTTCCGCTACAAGTACACCTGGTTCCGTGGGATTTCTCGGCAGATTAAGTCATGGTGTAGTAGAGTTTGATCCAGACCAGTGATTATGATACATCATGCTAGAGACAGCATGGGGAAAGAAGTACGCTCAGGTGAAGAGCCTATTATCCAATGAAGGCAGCCAGAAAAAAGTATTCATAGGGAAACAGGGGTATAGAATGCGAGGAAATTTTTCTGAGCCAATGCTGAACGAAGTGAACCTTCTCCCTCCCTTACCAATGCCAGTCTCATATATTTCTGGGTCCTATAGTGTTTCGAATCTCCCAAGAGCAAGTACAATGGTTAGGGCTGGTAGAACATCCGTAGCGGATGTCCTCAAGTTAAGAAAGAACAATATATCGATGGCTAACACTGAACAAAAGTCCTGAAGTAGCCGAACCCATGCAAATTGTCCTGTTCGCTCCCTACTGCCTACATTCGAGGAAGCTAGAGAAATCCGGTCATATAAGATCCGCCGTAAGGAGGTCAGAGAAGTGTCGTCATGTCGTAGATGAGCAAGGAGCAAATATTTCAACGAGCAGCATGCCGACAATTCCTTCGGAAGGGTCGAACTGGGCCCTCATCAGAATCATCGTCCAAATTAATTGCGTTCGAGACAGAGGTTCCTGCACTGGTCGTACTTTGAGTGCGTGAGACTGGTCGGCGCATTGGGTAGGGATTCACATTAGGCCGTGAAGAAAGCTGGTTCAAGAGCATAGGCGCACCTGAAGTTCCACGAAAAGCAGGGGCTTGGCGGCGCCGGCTCCCGTTCACGGGCGGCCGAATTGGCTCGTCATCATCTTCGTCTTCCTCTTCATCCCCGTCACTTTCACCATCCTCTTCACTATCGGGAACTCCGTCTACACCACTCGAGCCATCGTCTGTATAATCGTCGCCACGAGACATAGTTAACTCCGAGCTCAGCTGATGTTCATACTGATCTTGTATGTGAAAATTAGGACCCCCAACTACTGTAGATCTGTCCGATTCTGAGTCGTAATGATCCTCGACATCTATATGTTCATCATCGTCAATGAATGAATCCATGTCAGTGTCCTCCGAGTAGTCCTCTTCCTCATCTTCGCTATCATGTGTAGCTGAAGACGCTTCATCGTGGTGACCATCGCGCAGGTAAATGGGACGTGGAGGAGGTGGGGGTGGATGGAGGTGATGGTGATGATGACGATGCAAACCGTATAGATGATGAGGGAGGTCGAAAGCCAACGCCTCAAGAGGAACTCCGTCATAGAAATCATTCCAGTCAATGTCGTCTAGGTCACCAAATCCGTCTTCAAGGTCATCATCTAAGTAATCTGTCATCTCGGAATTCTCTTCTGAATCGCTCAGATAATCCGATGCATCTGTTACCGACTCATTATCCTGGCGATATCCACACTGCGCACAATTTGAATCTTCTTCTAGCTCCCATGAACAGCGCGGGCAGCGAACGACATTGTCCTCAAGGTCGACGATGGGTTGTGCAGCAGGGAGCTTTTTGTTGAATGTGCCCCGGAATAAACCTCCTTCTTTGGGATGTGCATTTTTCTTATCGTTCTCCAGTCTCTCTGCTTCCTCGCGCTGGTGGCGCGTGTGCTCAGCTGTCGTCTCTCCCTTTTCTAAAAGCTCCGCACGACTCGTGAACAGTTGGACAACCGCACGGACCTATAGCGAGTCAGAGACAATAATAATTCCAAGGAGACATATGGACTTTTTTCAATGTACTCACCAGGTAAGCAGGGGCAGGTTGTGTCTTCACTGGCGCTCGACAGTCGGGGCATGTTTTATTAGACCTCCCACCAGCAAACCATGACGTTAAACACTAGGAGCTTGAAGTGTTAGTAGTTTTGTAAGACGGTGATGCAAAGAACGGGTGACAAACACTATAGCAGAATGTGTGTCCACAGGCAAGAGTGAAAGGTTCGTAAAGCGGTCTTATGCAAATGCCACATTGTAAAAGCGTGCGGATATCATCCACATGTCCCTGTAATGTTTCGGAAAGCTGGACACGAAGCGACTTAGTGCCATTCCCTTCAGAATTATTTCCCGAGCAGCTTACCCCCGAGATATCATCACCAAGGGATGTGACCGCTTTTGTCGCGTTTGTGTTGTTGGAGCCCTTGCCCGACGCGGCTCCGGCAAGGGTAGACTTCGACATTTGCGCAAAAATTGTTCGGATGGATCCCGATACCGAGGGACAACAAAGATGCGAAAATTGTTTCGTGAAGTTCTACTGAGGGAAATTTGCCGATAGATTGAAAGGAAGAGAATGTGTCGCGGCCGATCGTGGCGAAATATATAGACTCGAATTCAAATGAGGGAGGGCATAGCCAGCATGACGGAGGGGGTAATCTGTTCTCGAGTTACGTCTGAATTGTGACTGATCGGCTGAGGCAAGAGATAAGAGCTAGATGTATGAACGGCGCTTCTGGACCGAAAGTAGTGTTTAATCACGGAAATGTCGAACGGGGGAAAAGCAACCCGAGACGAAGAAGAAAATTAAGAAGCCATCACGATTGGTCTAGAGGGAGTGTATGCCTTACTTTGAGCCTTCTTCGCGCAAACCGAACAAACAACTCGAGACGCTGGGTTTAAAGTCCGATTAAATCCCCACCGAGAAAGTTAAGTCAACTTTTAGTCCGTCACTAGTCTAACAGCTGATCAATCAGAGCATTCTTTTCTTCAGCCAACAAACATCATTCTCTCCAGCTACGTGGTACGCGCTTATACACTCGGTTATTACTACATGCAACACAAGATTGCTGTCACCATTCCATTGCGCTTCATACTACTTACTAGATACCGTCCGTCGTCCCAAGTGGATTAATTGATGAGTCGATTAATTATTTTCGTTTTTCATTCATTCTGTTTTTGCACTTTTTCTCTCGTCCTCAGGCCTGAAACTCCGCATAGTAGTCCAAAACATTCCCATATTAAACCCACCCCACACAATCTTCGAAGGGAACGGAAGAAAATCAGGAACCAACACTTTAGTCTATCTGGGCTATTGGAGTCAAAATGAGATGATGGACATTTTTCATCCCCCACCCACACAATAGCCGCTGGTACAAATCCACCGCGACAACACTGGATAATGATTACCAATGCAACTATCATGTTCCCTTTTTTTGCCCTTCTAGACTACTGCACCCCTCCGCTTCTCAGTCTAGTGGGAAATTGCTTGTCACTGACGACGTGGGATGGTTAGCGCTAGGTGAGGTAAATGCGCGTAATTTATGGTGTGATACCATGCAAGCCTGGCGCTTCGACCGTGGTTGTAATCCAAACCGGATGGCTGCCGCACTTCATTGTGCTTTTTTATGTACCTCGTACCAAGTCGTATAGAGGGTTATCACACAAAATTCGAGCACGTTGTATGACTGGATTAGGACCTTGGTCATTTGTAAGGTGTGAGCGAAGAAGAGTTATCAACCTTATCCAACCAGTACTTCACACATCCCGGAACCCTTTAACTGCACCATTCTTTAACTGACGAATACCTCCATGGCCAAGACATCCAGGATCTGAGAGTATCAGTAGAATCAGGATCATTCACTCAGCTCTCAAGAGTTGTACCCAAATAGTAACTAATGAAACCCATGACAGCATGACTAAGATTTAAACCCTGTGCCAAGACCTTTAAAAAGAAATAAATTGTGGGGCCAAAACTTCTCTAGGAACAACCAACACTTACCTTACTTGATCATCCATAGTTATACTTAACTATCCTTTCGGCACCGTCGACTACTACCTAGTAGTACCACCTATATCAACGACGGAATACAATTGACTACCTCGAGTCTCATCATGTCAACCCCATCAGGCAATCAATCACAATCCTCTGAACAAGACCATCCTAATTCTTGGTCAAATACGGAGCATCGATTCACCAAGTAGGTAACCCATCGAGTTAGCTTCTAATCGTACTCCATGACTGTGGTTTCGCTTCAAAGACCCTTCAGGACAATCCACCCATTTCTGCCAATATGTCAACATGTCCTAGCCTAGGCTTCTGATGCTTATGTCTTTCTTTTTGATTAGCTTGTACCCCTTTATTTTTACTTCCTCATACCGTCTTATCTACTAATTTGCTAATGATATACTCCCTATTTCAGTAAAAGTGCAAGCGAGTACTATGACCCATGTCAAGATTTCGCTGATCGAAGTTTGAAATGTATGAAGCGGAACAATTTTGACAGGGAAATGTGCCATGATTATTTCCAGTAAGTGTCTATATTCTGTCTTTTCTCATCAAAGTGTATACTTTCGAGGTTTTTCGTTGGGTATCGATGACCTGTTACGCGGAAGTACTTGTAGTCTCTAGATTGCCCGACTACGCGTGGGATCATTTGCACATTTTAGCCGTTGTTCTGACTGTCATTGGTCCCAGAGCTTATCGTGACTGCAAAAAACAATGGGTAAGGCATTGCCTAATCAAGACTGTGCTTGATATACCCTATTTATATCCTGCCGCCAGCGGCCTAATGGCGTTAGCTAATAATAGCAGTTGACACAGAAGAAGTCCTCTAGCTAGTCTTGCCAGAGCCTACGCTGTGGATTAGTGCACGCTTCCTCAAAGGCTATCTTCATGATATCTATATCCGGGAATCACCCAAGTATTAGACGACAATATCGCCAGTGCCTAGGGGACTTTGTTTTCCAAGTCTACACCAGCATTGTATCCATCCTCAGAAATACTGCTATATTTAACAATACCGGTAAGCAAGGGGCTATGTAATTGATCGTTTCGAACAAAATCTCCTCTCTTCGGCGCAAAAGCGTTTCTCCCCAATTGTTACTAAATCCGATCGTTGGCTCCCCTTCTACTTTCTTCTTTTCATCTACTTCTTTTCTCGGAGGAACGAGAGATGATGGTATGGTTGGCGCAACAAGGTCACTCGAAATCTGTTTAGTGGTATCTGTATTTGTATGTATCTACACATGCGATTGCTTTTGATAAGATTTTTCGTCATGATGGAATTTGATATGATCTTATCGCGGTAAAACTATATAGTGTTCCAAATATATCTCGCGAGGAATCGAATTGTGACTCCTGCAGCCAAAAAAAATTTTACTTTCTTTTTTTCTTTTTGCCCCCATTGGGTAATTTGAAGTGCAAGAGTATTTGTTGAATTATACAATATTATCTTTAGGCGGTCTGGGCGATAATAAGCTCCCCTTTAATTGACTGATCACCGCCTTCCAATTTGCACCGAACTCAGGCCAACCTTAACTATTTTCAAATTAACTTATTGTTCCTTAGAATTTCTTCCCCTCATTATTCCGCGTCCTATCTTCCCCGCACATCGTGTGCTGTGCTTGGTTGCGCAGCATACGAACGCCGAACCCCTGTTACGAGACTAGAATCCACGTCCAACCGCTGTCGGGATTGATCTAGAGCTAGATTAGATCTTCTCTCGCTCGCCATGTCTACCAATGACGCCGTTTTCTCCCGGCGGAACAAACAGATTCAAGATGCCATTGACGGGCAGAATCTGAAACAAGCTCTGCAGCTGATTGATAAGCGCATGAAGAAAGGAGAAAATACCAAATTCTTAAAAGTAGGTCTCCCTTTATATGGATTGATTCTGGATTGGTTGTCCAGATGCACCCCACACCCGGCGCTGCGCATGTTCTCTGAAGTCACCTTCAGGAATCCCGGCTACCCTGATATAGTTAGCTAATCCAATTGCGTATGCTCCCGGATAGGCATGGAAAGCACATATATTATATCGCCATGCGGACCAGTCCCACCGCCAGCGAGGTATAAAGGAGACCCTCGATTTGTGCAAAGCAGAACCCCCAGCTACCGATCTCGACACCCTCGACATTCTCTATCAGACCTTGAAGCGAATGGGTGATCAGGCGGAGACTATGAGGACTCTATGGGAAAAAGCTGCGAAGGCGAAGCCGCAGGATTTGGACCTACAGTTAAGATGGTTCACATATGCGTTTGAAGGAGATGACTGGAAGTCAGCGCAGAAGGTCTGTGGCTTGTTGAGCCAGATTGTTGCAACATAGTGGATCTAATCTTCTTGAGTTTGGGTAACAGGCCGCTATGACTCTTCAGAGCAATTTCCCTAAAACCAGGAAGTATTATCTCTGGGCCATTTTCCTCAGTCACCTTGTCGCTACCGACCAAGCTAGCTCGGAGACCGACCGTAAACTCTTTGGAACCCTGGCTTACCGCATGGTCTCGAAGGCTGCTGAAAGCGTTCCTTCCGATCCGGTATGTCCCATATGTTCTATGTTCCATTATCTCCATTGTTTTTTGTGCTGATGCTTACCTATACAACTACAGAAAGAGTTGCTGAGCCTTCCAAGAGCTATACAAGGCCCAGAGGAGCTATTGTTACTAGTCAAAATCTTCGAGTCTCAAGGACGTTATGACGAAATCGTGAAGATCCTCGACAGTGAGAACCTTGGGCTAAGCTCGCGAGTTATTCAGAATGACTGGTCCTTCGTTGGTGTGAAGCTCTCCAGCTTGGAAAAGGCGGAGATGTGGACACAAGGCCTATCCTACGCGAGAGACCTGCTTGCCATCATTCCTACTAACGAAGCGGAGAGAAAGTCACTCCAGGAGCACGATGACTGGGCAGTTTGGAAGCTACTCGTCATCTCAACCCGGAATATCAATTCCCAAGAGTAAGTTTCTCCACAGCAACAATAACAAAAAGAAAGAAACGGATGACGAGGAGCATGAAAAGAAGGAGCTGACCGTCTTTGAAGAACCATTGCCGATACATTAAAGTTCATTAGCGATTTCCTGGAGTCTGTGCCCAAGTCTCGCAATGCACAACTAGCGCGTTTAGACTTGATTCATTCGGATGTCCTCGCGGGAAATTCGAAGACGGAGGAGTTAGTCTCTGCTTGTCAAGAATATTTTGACTGTAACAAGAACAAGCTTTATTGTTTCAGTGACCTGCAGCTTTACATGGCAGCACTGGACAAGGAATCGGTGTCAAAATTTGTGGAGTATACCTTCAAGGGTCAAGAGCAGAGTGTATGCATAATTCATAGAACGTCCGCACCTGTCGTCTCCAAGCTAACTCGTCTGTTAAGGTTAGAGCTGATCCTTTCAAGGGTGTCGCGACGATCAATGCCCTGAAACTCGAGTACTGCTTCGTATTGTCGGCTAACGAAACGAACGCTTCTAAATCACGAGTCGAGGATTTCATCTCGCGCTGTCTCCAGGTCTATCGTGAGGCAGAACGCCCAGAACGGAGTTCAGCCCCATCTACGATTGAAAGTCAACCTAGTGATGATCTGTGTTTGCTCGTCGCCATGGTATTGATACGCTTCAGCGGAGATTGGAATTCTGGTAGTCAAGATCAAATCCCACACACCACCCTCATTCGCGCCGCTGCCATTTTGGAGCGTCTCTTGCTTGATTCTCCGCATAACTACCAAGCATTGTTGCTTCTTGTGCGCATCTACTTGCGCCTCGGAGCTGGATCGCTCGCGCTGAAGGCTTTCAGCAAGCTCTCTGTCAAACAAATGCAGTTCGAAACGGTTGCTCATAACCTTTTCACCCGTCTAGCAACCATCCATCCACACTCTGCGCCTCCAATTGAGGGTGCAGAATACAAGGACTTCGATCCGCGAGCTGCATTTGTTCAAGCTTTGAATTTCTATCGGTCGGCCGAGCTCACTACGGTCAGGCACCGGTCGAATGGGTTGGAGTTGGGCAGTTATGTAAACATAGAAGGCACAATAGACCTTCAGCGGCGCTTGAAGTATAGTATCTGCCGCAGAATGTGGGCGTTAGACGCCAGACGGATGCAGAGACTGGCCGGCGGAGACTCAATGAACCGGTATGAGGAAGTTGGTTAGTGCAAGAATTCCTCGTACAATAAATTATCTACTCACGGATACTATGTCACAGCAAGAGACTCATCCCCATTGTCGGATCAGCGTGTGTTTGACGCATTTATGAACTGTGAACCCGATAACCAGCCAACTTTCGAGGAACGGATGCGCTTGGGACCACTTCCTCGGGTGAGCTTGTTCCATGTTTGTGTTATGACTCCATAGACGAAGCTAACAAGAAACAGTCACAATGGGTGAAGTCTGCAAGGGTTACAGACGAGCTGTTTGGCACCCTCAAAGACATGGCAGTTCAGAAGCCAGTGTCTGTTGACGCCGATTTGCTCAGCCTGGAAGATATAGTGGGGCCAGATGCATCTTCTGAGATGACCTCAACAGAGATCGAAAGCGCCAAGATCAATCTGAATCTTCTTAAGGTGGTCTCATTCTTGAATGGCTCGACATCAGTCACTCCTGAGGAGGTCGATAGCTGCTTGACGCAGGTGGAAGAATGGCTGGGCTCTAAGCTGGAAGGTCTTGACCAGCGTGGTCCCCAGATCTCTACGCTTGTATCAAATACTGCAATTTCCCTCCGGCGGGACGAATCATCTGCTCCATCCTGGAAGTCCTTCCACGACTTATATCTTTCCCTTGAGTCGCTCAAGGCGCTCTCACTTATAACATCCATTGCATTGAAGAAAGCCTCCAAGACTCCGAAGCTCCCCAAGGATCGTGTGCAGCGGTTGGCCGAATCCACACACAAGGTACATGAAAGTATCCGGGTGAACGCTCGTGCACTCAAATCGGCTATCTCCAAACCGGGCGTTCTTGGGTCTTTGATCGACCTGGTGGTGACCGGTCATGATGAGGATGGTACGCAGCTCCGGGAAGAGCTGGATAAGACGTTTGATTTGGCCGCGCTGGAAATGTTCTGCGGTGAGTTGATGGAAAGCTGGGAAGAAGGTTTAAATGGGCTGCTATGTGTATCACTGTGACCGCGGGCTAGGGTACATACGATTCAGTTGGGATATTAGCCATGTACGCTGCACAATCGGCCTTCTTATACTTACCAATATATAGAATTTTCTACATAAATATCTGGTTTGACCGTCTTTACGGAGAGAGAAGGCTGTATCCACCCAACAAATCATTCTTACTATAAGATAGGCACATAACTAGTAGAAGGGAGGCGAGAGTCTCCTTTCACCACAGTTTACTAGTAGGCACGAGGCTGAGTTGTGGAATGTCGATCCCCACCTGTAAGGGCACCAGGTATGTGTTCTACCCCTTGGGTCCTCACCACGCTTTTGCCCAGTCATTCTCGTGCTCATGGCATTCGCTGCATGCTCCGTTCGTGGCACGCGTTTGTTGGGTTGCGCATTCCTCTTCAGCGGGTTGTCTACTTGACGAATAAGCAAACCCAAGGCGGGATCCCTTGCCAACAGCAAAGTCTTCTTGCGTTGCTTTCCTTTAGTCAGAGTTCATCAAGTCATGGGTTGCTGCAAGTAATCGGCGGGGGCCTCCTTACTTCCAGGGCAGAGAATGTCGCCCACGAGGATCACAGTTGCTTCTATTCTTACTCGATTCTCATTCAGCTACGTTTGAAAACCTATCAAAACTCGATGTAAGTAGTTGGAGTACTGATCTTGCTCAACATTTGTGCACCTGTTCATGTGTCCCTTTCTTTAATTTCTTTCTTCTTTTCTCTCTGTTTCTTTTTGGGTTTTTGGCGCTTTAGCGACAGGCCATCGATGTATACTGAGAATTAGGCTCTCGGATTTGCTTTCCATACTCGATTCAACATTCTTGACAAGGCAAACTCAGACATGAACCCTACCCATGATCTCACCCATTCGCCGCAACGATGGGACGTTATTACCGAGGCCGTATGTCTCACCATTAGTACATGTTGCGTATGTATGCGAATGTACACGAAGCTGTTGATTACCAAAGCTCCGGGGTGGGAGGACTGTATGTATACCAGGGAACAATGCCATACTGGCTGGTTTTCACTAATACTCGCTTGCAGTTACTTGTCTTTTGGCCTGGGTATGTGACCCTATATGTGATCTGCGGGACATTGCTTCCGAAGAATAACCCGCTCAAAGAGGTGCAGTTGGGTTTGATAGTCTATGCTATAATGACTTTTGAGACCGGCAAACATGGCAGCGGCCTCCATCGGTGGGAAGTAGCGCCATCCGATCTCCGAGAGTTCTTGAAGGTGAGTGATTATCTCGCGATTGTAAGGACCCGGTGCATTAACAACCATTAGCTAGCAAATGCATGCCAAATTCTATACGGACCGATAATCTTCATCACCAAGTTATCTATACTTCTTCTATTTCTCCGCGTGTTTGCCCCATCTGTCAAGGGTGTCACTTATTTCTTCATTCAACTGCTCATCTGGTTCAACTTTTTCTTCTACTTCGCCGACACGATCCTCAAGATCTTCGAATGCACGCCACGATCCAGGATTTGGGATGCGGACGTGTCGGGTCACTGCATCAATATCAATGGCCCCATCCTGGTTGCTTCGATCTTCAATGTAGTGTCGGATTTTCTGATCCTGTTTTTGCCGATCGTCTGTGTTTGGCGTTTGCAGATGACACTGAAAAAGAAGATGTGTACTTCTGCCGTCTTCGTTGCGGGGATCTTGTAAGACCTCCTTCCCGTATTAGACTCGCCCCATAACTGATCAAGAGGGTTCCTTTAAACACAGCGGCTGTATTTCCAGTATCATGCGTCTTGTATTCAGTATTCCGAATAGTGCGGCCACAGATAACATATATGTTTGGTTTCCAGAATTCTTGTGGACGTAGGTCTAGATCTATACTCAGGAATTCTTTCCCATACTTACTACTAGGGTCGACAATAGTGCCGCTGAGATAACTTCAGGGATCATCGCAGGTTGCCTACCAGCATTACCTACTTTCCTGAGACATTTCTTCCAGAAAACGAGATATCTCTTTTCAGAACCGCGCACGACCGGTTCCAACTCTACAACGAGTACTACGAAGAAAACAGTCGACACGAAGCGGTTCTCGGCTCGACCTGAACAGAATGCTAGCCTTACAGATTTACTTCCAGGGAGTAATTTAGAAATGCTAAGTTATGTCGGCCGCAGTAGGAGGAGATTTGAAGAGACTTGCTATACCACAGTCCAAGCCAGTGTTGGAACTTCAGTAGAGAGAGTCCAAGAAAACCGTCCGAATCCTGGAGACAGCCCAGGGCGGGGGATCCTAAAGACTGTCGAAGTGGATGTGGAGTCAGGACCGGGGCAGAATGAGAAAAATGATCAAAAACCAAAATGATAGATAATGATAATAGGTGGAATGACTGAATATGAGATACGAATTGTATACTTCCAAGGATCGTTGAACCCTTATCGGAACCTCGATAGTAGAGCATGAGTGATTAAGCACCTTAGGCATCAACACCTGTTCACGCTAACCCCGTCCGGGCCACCAGCCCTAGACCAAGCCCTAACACTCGCTACGCACTGCCGTCTGAGCCAACCAAAACCGTGCAAAGTCCATCGCGCTTCTATCCGCACCGAGACGTCCATCGACTTTGACACTCCCTCACCAACCACGTCGCCAAACCAGTCCAACCGTCGAGATGGCCCAGGAACGCTCCGGAATTGTGGTCGGCTTGAACAAGGGCCATGTGGGTTTCCCTATCCGTGCTATTTTTGATTTTGAACGGGTCTCAGTTATCGAGTGAATTGTTGAATCGCTGGGTACTGCTGTGGAGCGGGAAAAAGTTTGATCGTGCAAAACGGGAGGGCGAGAAAATGGGAGAGAAAGGAAGAGGGGGGAGAAGAGAATATCAGGAAGATTCAAGCGACATGGAGGATTTCTACGTGAAACCGGCATATTGCAGCATTCAACAACCACTCGACACCTGAAAACCGAACTTTGTTCCAAATACATCTTGTGGAGGAAAGAAAAAGAAATGATGAATAAAAGAGAAGGCTAACGGATGTCTCCTTCATTAGAAAACCACCCCCCTCAACACCCCCAAGACCCGTGTCAGCCGCACCAAGGGCCAGTCTTCCCGCCGCACTGCCTTCGTCCGTGACATCGCTCGTGAGGTTGTCGGTCTTGCCCCCTATGAGCGCCGCATCATCGAACTCCTGAGAAACACTCAGGACAAGCGTGCTCGCAAGCTCGCCAAGAAGAGGGTACGTTCGGTCCCGTCGTTATGGTTTCAAGTCGGCATGCATTGGCTGGGACCTCTCTGGTTTTGATCGTATAATCTCGGGACCTATGTTCCGTTGATCCTGAGGTCAATTATGGTGTACTGTCGGAATTTTTCCAGACCAGAGCGGAACACTGGATTTGGCAAGCACCAGGCCGTTAGGAAATGCAGAAAGGCTAACAGTCGACTACAGCTCGGTACCTTCGGTCGTGGCAAGAGAAAGGTTGAGGACATGCAGCGTGTCATTGCTGAGTCTCGCCGTGTCACTGGTCACTAAATTCGTTCCCATTCAATCCGATAAAGCTTTCCTCTAAAAGAATGAGATAACGAACAATGAAGTGAGTCTTGGTGGCCGATGGCATGGCGTGTGGGGGAGGTTCTGTCCATATGGGGAGGGGGGAAATGTCAACCCGACCCATTGCTTCTATCTGTCCTGGGATATAGGAATGGAGGCAAGGGATGTGATTCCATAGGCGTGGACAATTGGACAAAAACATAAATGGATCTCTGATTCTAATGCAATACCACTGGGACTTGGTTTCTTTCAGCTTTTGTTCTATCCCGACATACTTCAGACTGGCTTGTTACGTAGGGTCTCTATCTAGCCTCAGTCTACCACAGGGATATTTCTCAACATGTGCGATGCCGATGGTTGTCTTTGGTTGGATGAACTCTTGTAGTCTAGTACTTGACAATGGCATAGCTAGAACTATGTCCTTCCAAACCTCGTGACTACGGAACATCATAAGGGGCATTGTCACATTAAGTTTATAGAAATATGCAACATGAAAGTAACGGTTAAGCCACCTTCATTGATCTCTTATCTATTTCTTACCGGGTAGTTTCAACCACTTGGGTAAACTTCCTGGTTTGCGCCCATTTGGCTTCTCTCCCTGACGATTAGCTCCGGGTTTCGGCTGAGTCGTATCCTGAGAAGTGTCCATCACACCCAGTGGTTGCTCAACCTTGAGCTCCTTCGCTTGCGTTCGTAATTCCGGTTTCAGGAGATCCTTTCGGCTTTGCCGAGCAGCCTGGGAGGCAGAAGCATCCCAAGAGAAATTGACTAGGACTCTCCCTACCATACCGAGATCCTTGATCAGTAGACTCTGGTCTGAGTCCGGAACCGCGTTATGTAGTTTCTTCCCACTCTGGCCGCCACCAGGGAAAGTTGTGATGATAAATTTCTCTCCGGTGAAAGGCGCTGCCAAGCAATTTCTTGCGAAATTGTAGAGTGATTTACCTGTGTCCTGTTGCCCGAACTTGGCCACTATCTGGCTCTGATCTGGCAGTCGAACCTTCACGTCCACTTCCTTGACAGCCGCAAGCTTTTCTTCCTCCGCTGCTGCTTTGGCAGCGATCTCTGCGTCAGAAAGAAGGCGTTTATTTTGGGATGCCGCGTTAAGCCGACGTTGATGCGCCTGCGCATGATCGACCGATGGAATGTAGTCGCTTTCATTATAAGCGGTCTGTGCGGACTGTGGCGTATCGTTGGATGGTGGTGCGAAAACCATTACTGATCGAGAGGAAACTGTGGTAGTAGGTTCGGAGGAGTCGGTAGTAGGAGGGACAGTTTGATTTTCAAAGGATTGTTCAGGCATGGCAGGTACCGGCGACGATGTATCTGGCGTAGAACTGGGCGGCTCTTGTTCTTGTTGGCTAGGCTCATTAAGTATCTCTTTCTGTTCTGCTGGGGTGGACAATTCTTGAGACTGGGCAGCCGTGTCCTCGGATGACTTGAAGTATTCTTGGATCTTGCTCATAGCCACTTCCAATGGGTCCTCCGTCCTCCGGAAGCTCAGTCTCAGCAAGACATTCCCACTGTTGAAGCCTAGTTGGGCTAGCGATTTCTGCAAATCAGCGAAAGTGGACAGCTCTCGTTCCAATACTTGTAACACCGGCGTCTCGTAGAACAACCGCCCTGATCCATTGTCTCCGCTTCCAGTGACGGGAACTCCTCGCGCTGTGAGATTCCGAGTCGATGTGTTTCCAGCAACTCCAGCTTCAAATTTACGCAATACCAGCCATAATGTCGTTGTACTCGGGAACTTATCCAAAAGGCGCCCGTTGGGTGCCCCACGGGCTTCTGATTCCGGTAGCTGTAGCGCAACAGTGACGATAGATGGCGACCGTGAGAGCTGAACCAGCTCCAGTTTCGCGCCAGGAATGAGCCCGGAAAGGCGGAAAGATAGCGATAGGTCTACCTGTTTACCTTTGTACCTTATACCAAGGTTAGTTCCTCAACCAAAACTTGACATGGGGTTTATAAGAACAAGCAATTTCAAGGCTTACTTCAGTCCATGTTGATTGGCATCTACACCAAGCTTTTTACAAGCCTCTTGCAGGATATCAGTCAGATGCTTCCCCGGTGTTGTCTTAATCGTAGCTCTTCGAGCTGTCGAGTCAAGGACCACGACATGAGAGCTCATAGCTGATAGATATTTATGTTTATTTAATATTGCGGGGTTGGTATCGAAGTAGAGGACAAGGGTGGTCAGCACCGTTGCCTTCCAGATGCCTTGTCAGGTATAGAATCTGAATATAAGCTTAAACAACCGGCAACGTTGGGAGAAAGGAACCAAAGAGTACAGAAGGTGTTGATGTTCGGAGGTTTGGGGGTGTAATGTGGGAAGATCAGTTTAATTGAATGGAATAGGCAGCGGGCGCATCGTCATCGGCAGAAAGCTCGGCGGCTCCACGCGTGCTGGCAGCAGTAGTGAGCTTCTACTCATCCATCAAGCCCTCTCCTCCACCTCACTCTTTTCTCCCCAACCCTCAGTCCTCTACACATCCTCCTGCTTCTCACCTCTTCAACTCTTCTGTGCCTTTACTTTCGATTCAGTTTCTTTTTGCTTCGTTGTATTAATCATGGTATGTCCTCGGTACCCACCCTTCCTTCCATGACCGAGCAAGCTGACAATCCCACTAGAGTTCACCCTTCGATATCAGTATGTCATCTTCCTCATCTTCAAATTGATCCCAATCTGACACATTAATCTTCCGATCTACAGATGGCGGTGCCTGCGTCGCCATGGTAGGCAAGGACTGTGTCGCAATTGCCTGCGATCTCCGACTCGGCATGCAGGCCCTGACCGTCTCCAATAACTTCCCCAAGATATTTAACTACGGCCCATCGACCTTCCTTGGCCTGACTGGCCTGGCAACAGATGTCGCGACCGTCTCAGATCTCTTCCGCTACAAGGTTAACATGTACCGCCTGCGTGAGGAACGGAACATTGCGCCTCAGACCTTGGCCAACCTGGTCAGTTCGTCGCTTTACGAGAGACGGTTCGGACCTTTCTTCGTCAGCCCTGTCATTGGAGGCATCAATAGTACAACTGGCAAGCCGTTTATCTGCGGCTTCGACAGTATTGGATGTATCGACTTCGCAAAGGATTTCATCGTCAGTGGGACAGCTAGCGATCAGCTTTTTGGTACCTGTGAAAGTTTATGGGAGCCGGGCCTGGTATGTTTTGCATGTGTGAATTCCGGTCTTGGTTGGAGCTGGCACTGACAACTTAGGCTCCCGAGGATCTGTTCGAAACCATCTCCCAGGCACTTCTCAGTGCTGTTGACAGAGACGCACTCTCCGGTTGGGGTGCTCAGGTGTACATCATAGAAAAAGACAAGGTGACTAAGCGGCTACTGAAGGGAAGACAAGATTAGAACAGTTTATGTTGGCTCTTTGTTTTTTTTTTTTTTTTTGTTATGTTATTCAGATCTTTAATTTTAAGCTCCATTACCACGATTGCAATTTCCTGGTTGAAAACAGCTTCCGGCGTCTAAGGTCTCCACTTGATGTCACATATCAGCGATTAAGACGAGGCAGTGCTCAGTGAGGACATAGGTAGGATAAGAATACAGGGAATTAGAATCTAGATCTCCTCATGTCGGTCCTAGTACTAATTCGTTATCTCTGGAATTTCAAGTATCTACGACCCAACCTGAATTAGCTGAACGGGCGATCAGTACCCATCCTTTCCGGATACAGCTCCATATGCCTGCCCATTTCTTCCCAGGAAATTCTTCAGGTCGTCTGCGAGGAGGTCCGGCACTTCCCACGCTGCAAAATGGCCACCGCAGTCAAACTCCCTAGCTCTAACGACAGACCCAGCCAGTCCAGTCCATAACATTGGCACTCGAATCAACTCCGTCTTGAACTGGGCCACAGAGAGCTTGACATTGCTAGGAGTAGGTTTCGAGATAACATCGATCGTGGACATTCCTGGGGCAGTGGCCGTAGAGTCATTCCGTGCCGCTTCGTAGTAGATCCGAACTGAAGCCGCTGGTCCCGCGGTCGAGAAGCAGTAGATACTCACCCAGGTAAGAATTTCGTCGTCTGTCCACGGATAGCTATCGGACCAGGAGTGCAACTTATCATAAATCCAAGCGAGCAGCGCCACGGGGCTGTCCTGAAGGGCATAGCCCAGCGTTTGCGGACGGGTCTCCTGCTGACGCATGTAAGCATTCCCTTGCGTCAGATAGTCCCTGGTAGCTGCCAAGTGAGCCTTGTCATCTGGCGAGAAGGGAATAGTGAAGAGGGATCGAAGAAACACAAGAGGACTCCGCCATGGATACGGGAGAGCCACCGGGAGAAAATTTAGGTGAACAGCCTTGATGTGGTCGGAGTAGCGGTTTGCCATAACACGGGCGATTATGCTACCCCAATCACCACCTTGTACTACTATAAAGAAGTCAGTGCTGAATCAGCCCGAGTGGTAATGGATGCAACGGACCGTATTCTTTGTAGCCTAAAGCCACCATGACATTGTGCATTGCTTCGGCATACTGAACCAAGCCAAATCCTTTCTATTTCGGGTCAGATTTACATTGGCATCTGTGCGTTGTCAACTAGGTATATTCTCAAACCTTTTTTACCGCAGATGAGAAGCCAAAGTTTGGCAATGAGGGTGCCACCAGGTGGAACGCTGGCTGAGCTTTGTCTCGTCTAGTCAACAACGGGATGAGCTTCGTTGCTTCCAGAAAACTTCCGGGCCCTACAATGCACCGATCAGTCCCACGCTGACTCCCTCGGGAACTGGTGTCAGTGAGTCTTACAGCCGTGAATGAATAGCAAAGGGATAGCCTGTGTGTTTTGACTGGTATGATGCAGGCAATGGATATCCAGCTCTCCAAATCCCGAAACGCTGATAGGAACGATGAACTGAGTCAGATTCTCGTTCAATTCCCGTTCCTTCTGACGCCAATCGAAGCCATCGCGCCAATATGATATTAGTCTCCTCATCTCATCAAGGGGCACGCCCATATCCCAATCAGCGTCGTCCAATTCATCGGGGAATGTTGCCGTGTCTAGTTTCTGTTGAAGATGACGGAGTTGGGCATCTGGGACAGAAATCTCGAAGGTTCTGGCCATTTTTCTCCAATAGACTTTGCAATATCTTGTTATAGAGAATCGAGAATGACGTCTATGTATGTTGGGTCCTCAGGTCATCTGATGGAGTTCTTAAATGTACGACCAGGCAAGTATCACAACCTCGGTCCACGTGAAGCATCATTGGGTATGCAAAGTTAATAGTGCATGTTTTACTGAGGGATTATTCATGTTGTTTTTATTCCCGAGGTAGTTATACTGATCAGTACATATAATCAGATAATCAAGTAAACTAGGAAACTACATTCAGTGGAAGTAATATCCGTGTTTTGATGTTCTATAAATATATTTCCGTACCAGTAAACCAATACCCATGTCATTAAATATGCACCATGCGGCCACTATTTTTTCTTAAGTTGCTTGTCTGGAGAAACGGCTGTTTTTCCCCTTGTAAAAGAAGATTACTCAGTCTGACAAACTGAAAAAAATAGATTTAAAAAAAGGGTCACATGTATATAACTCTTGAAGGACCTTCTAGACTCTTTGAAAGATGAATCATGGTCACTCACCGTGTGTGGATTTCAGCCTCCCCGCGTCTAGACCGGGCGATCGGTCCCATACGAGATGGAGTTTCCTTCAATTCCCCTCCTCGCAAGCAAACTGCACCTGACCGACTTTACCCTTTTCTCTCCTCCCACCTCTTCTCTCTCATCTTAGGCCAGTGGGTGGGACTCCCAAATTATATCCATCCGATCGTTGGATGGTCTCTCACCCGGCCTTCCTCTTGAGAACTGGATTTCTCACTCAGCTTGCGTGGTCGCCTTTTCTGGTGATCTCTGCCGACCATCACTGGCCCAGCCATTGGCTCAGACCCCCGACTGGGAGGAAACGGTGCCATTCATCGACCAAGAAGATAATCTCCCAACAGATATCAGAAAGGTTACCAGAAGAGGAAGGATTTTAGGAGCCGGATTTTATTACAAGTCAACTTGTTCCGATCTAATTTGCCAACCTCTTTTGAGCGTCTAGCATTCATCTCAGCGCTTTCCTTTTTTTGTCTTTTTCTTGCCGTCATCGAAATTCTACCGATTCATATCGTTAGGATAAACTCCGTCACACGATACTTCCTACGAGCGTTACTCCTGTGCAGAGCGCCGACCCTACGTGTAGCTCGACCGGAGTCACATCTGCTCATAATTTGTCAACGTGGTGTATGTCCTTGACAAAATCCGCCCAAGATCAAGAGCGACTTGGATTTCTCTGCTAGCTACTTCCCATTTCGGAAACTCTCCATCTCTTCCATGACGAACGTTGATCACTAACCAAGCCTTCTGCGCTTCTCCAGATTGAAAGCCATGCGTTGTGTCCTACCCAGAGAATCTTCAGGTGATCGGGTAACTAATTTTAAACCCCCAACGCTACTTTGGCGCCCTCCTATACCTTAACAAAGCCTCGCTTTGCAACAATCCCGGAAACTTTGACTGAAAGTGAAAATTGTCCGACGCCATGTCCGATTCAGTCGAATCAGAATGGTCAAAATCCTTCGTGTCGTCCAGCCGCTCGAAATCGTTTCTCCCATGCAAATCCGAATGTCTCTCCGGCGATACCTCTGCTTCAACACTACTCAACGATGATCCACAAGTCGACCCATCGAATCACACATATATCGGCGGTCACCAGAGCATGGCGATCGAACAGTTGGTGAAATTAAAGCAAGAGCTCCGGGCCCTGGACTTGGAGTCATTCTGGAGCCGACTGATGGAACATATCACTTCAATATGCAATGCTCAATATGGTTTTGTAGCCCGGAGAGTTCGAGACGACGAGGCTGTCAGTGATATGGGGGATCACAAACCCCGCCTGTTTGGCACAGCCTTCTATTACAATGATGGACATCAGAACGTGGGAATGCACAGGCACCGGTACTTCGCCGGAGGCAACCCCTTATCTCATATGGACCATGAGAAGCCTTGTTTGGTCCCTGAAAAATTAGGATCCTTGATGTCATTTGACCAAGACCAGCTCCCGTTCGCGGCAGAAGGCTACTTGGCTGTTCCGCTCTTTTCAGGAACCCAGTGCCTCGCCCACTTTGGTCTGATGTGGTCAGAGTCAGGGTTACAGAAGCGGAATCTTTCGTGGTCTTTACTTGAGATGGTTTTATATTCACTGGAAGATTTGATTGTCCAGCGGATCCGAGAAGATAACAGCAATGCAAAGGCAGAGAGATCTTTCAAGGATGTTAAAACCATTTCCAAAGGCCACAAGATAATCGATGATTCATATTTAAGCGTCCTGCACGGGCATCCTGACTTCTCGTCCCAGCCTCTCAAGCCCTTTGCTCGAAGCTTATCTCACGAATTGCGGACACCGATGCAGGGCATCGTCGGAATGCTGGACGTCATGCACGCTACTGTACGGGAGGCTATCCAAGGCAAACCGTCTCCAAGAGCGGGATATGTTTTTCAGTCTCTTAAAGAAAGCATTGAGATGGTTCAAGGTTTGTCATGACTGCTTACGGCATCATTCAATACTAACTCCGTGTAGACAGCGCAAGACGGGCTGTTGAAGCTGCTGATAATGTTGTTCATGCCTACGATATGAATATGCAAGTGCCAAAAACACCTCAAGTAGAGCGGGACAACGACCTATTCGGCGGGCCTGTCCAGTCACCTATTACAAACTGCGATAACCGACCAAACATCTTTAAAGATGGTTCCAACATTGGAATTAATCCATACAAACGGCGGCGAAGCAATCCAGCTGATTTCGGAGTTGGGTCGGCACCGAAGCAGAAAATGCCGCGTGTTGCAGCAACGAAAGGACTTTCTCCTCGGAGCGAAGAGGTCAAGAACGCAGTGCATGAAAGTGACAAAATTATTCAAGCCACACCGGCACATCAGATTGAAGCCGTCATGGCCAACATGGTGGACCCGCGACCGTCGTTAGCAGTACGGCGGTCAGCGCCGCATCTTCTGCTGGAAGGCATTAATATTAATCTCAAGAGTCCTGCACTGCGAGTCACGAAAATCCGCGACCTCCTCCGTCTAGTCATCAACGAATCGCTTCATGTTGGTGGTCGTCCTGACTTTGCGGTGACAAATGTGACCCAACTTGGGGAAAAGATCGAACTTCGTTCACGGTCGTCTAACGGGGAGGTGTTCTCCAAAACGATAGACTGGTCCGTAGACACGGCGCTGCCGGATACGCTATTTGTGGATGATCGAGATCTCGCAAAGTTGATTTCGTGTGTCTTCCTGAATGCCGTCAAATTCACCAATAGCGGCGTGATTACTGTCTCTGCAAAATTGGGTCGCAAAGTCAATGATATCTTGATCAACATTCGAGATACCGGCCCGGGTATCCCAGACGCTTTTCTGCCAAACCTTTTCAAGCCATTCGCTCGGGAAGATACATCTACGACTAGGAGCAAAGATGGTTTGGGGCTGGGGCTTCTCGTAGCAAAAGGCTTGGCCAGAAAAATGGGTGGTGATCTGATATGTGTTCGCTCTTCCACTTCGGGTCCTGATCATGGCACGGAATTCGAGGTCAGAATCCCGATTACCCAACCTGAACTTTCCACTATGTCAATTGCTCCTACAGCGAGGCTTTTAACTCCTCCCCAGCTTAGCAACCCTTCGAGGATGAACCAAGCCAGTAGCTCGACCCAGGATGTATTGTTACCACCAGAGATGCGGACTCCAATCCAACAGCCGTCCCCCAGTCTCACTGATGAGTCATCCTCGCATACACCTATCCATGCTCGCTCTGTTCCTGATGTCAAGCCTTTTGGGCGCTCCATAAATGGAGATGCTTATGATAGCAAACTCGGGGAAAAGCACCCGCTTACCTTCCTGGTGGCCGAAGATAACAAGATCAACCGGCGGGTTTTGGTAAACATGCTAAAAAGGCTTGGCTACCGAGATGTCTACGAGGCGTGTAATGGGAGAGAGGCTGTGCGGATTATGCAGGACGTTATGGCGTCGCAGCGCCCGGAGGAAGCAACGAACGACTCCCACCCAATAATGAACCATAATAGCAGCTCGGACGACCGCTTGATCCTCAAGCCTCCGCCAAAGCACCGGAAGAAACTTAAATCGATAGATGTTATTCTGATGGACCTCTGGATGCCAGAAATGGATGGCTACGAGGCTACCTCCAGAATCCTGCAATTAGTGGACCAATATCACGGTCAGATCCCTCCTCATCCTGGACCTAGCCAGCGTCCTGTGGATTCTCAAACGACAAAGCATATCCGGTCTACACCCCCCACGGTTCTTGCTGTCAGTGCAGATGTTACTGACGAAGCATTGGGGCGTGCACAGAAAGTCGGCATGAAAGGTTACATGACAAAACCCTACAAGCTGACCGATCTGGAACGCTTCATCATGAGCTTCTGCTGCGGCGACGCCCCAGAACAAAACGACGACTCAATGAATGCATGAACTAGTTGGGTCAACTAATTTTGGCCGCCCATTCTATTTTCTTTTATTTCTTTTACTAATCTCATATTTTGTTTGAAATTCTCGCTATATACCACATCATTTTTAGGGTTCCTGATGCATATACAGACAAGACCTCATTGAGAGTTTTTATCAAGAATAAGAATTGTTGGTCTGATGTACCTAACGAACGATATACCGTCAACAATAATGATCATGACTTGGAGAGCCAAAGAAGCCTGGAAATTCAAAGAAAAGGGAAAAAAGGAAGAGAGAATAAGGTACAAGGAGACGTATACACATACATAGACACAACACGACAGTTCAATGAGAATAGCATTGCGTTCAAGAATGAATAGAAGCCCCATCGTTGTGCACGGTTTGAGATCACTCGATACCATAATTAAAGTAAATATAGAAGAACATATTTCAGGCAAAGGAGAAAGGGTCATTACATCCATATCTATCAATAGACTCATTTGCATCATACAGTACTAAACGGACGAGCGTAATAGGCATCCTCCATCAGACAAACAGTTCCAACAAAGGACTGACCTACGGTCAAAGGACCGAAAAAAAGGCCATCAAAGACCACAGGAACACCCGAATAGCCATGAACTTCCATTGATTTTGTTTTCAGATGAACCCAAGAGATATAGGAAAACTGGACTTGAAAAAAATAAACCCCATATACAAGATACGCCGGACAACAGCTGCAGCTTACTACCCCCTGACATCCCCCTTCCTCATGAACTCATATCTTATGTCAGTTTCTGCTTGATGAAGAACGAACGGAGGTGAGACAGTTGCCAGGCGCAAGCAGCGGATAGGACAGCCATCTGAATCAGGGTCCACCGGACGACACGAGAGTTGGTAGCTTCGGACTGATCACGGAATTCAGCCTCACGTTCCTAAATTAAAGCGTTAGAATCGAATACTGTCCCAGGTATACAGCTTGGAAGTAGTGAAAATGAGAAGGAGACGTACCCGCTGGAACACCTGCTCTCTGCGGATATCCTGTAACCGGCCGTTGAGATCCTTCACTTTCTGCACGATGTCCTGAATTTTGCCCTTATCTTCCGTCTCGATCTTGCTGGTCTCTCCGATCGCCATGTCTAAGGTAACCTTGACAGCACCCGCGGGGGCACCCGACAGCCAACCGCCGGTCGCGGCGTTCGTCTCGGCAGTAAGACAGATCTTGTGCTGGCCGGCATCAGCGGCGGAGAAGGTAAAGCGGCCGGAGTGGGCATCGCGCTTGGAGACAACCCGGTGGTCGTTGTCGAAGGTCTCGTCGACGGTAATGAGCATCTTCAGGTTGGAATCAACGGAGTACGTGTTCGATTGTTGGTTGATGACCTCTGTGGAGTAGGTCCCTATCGGTGGGTGTTAGATGATTGAAAAGATAGTCGAGGAGATTTCGTATGGGATCAATCAAGTAGCGACGTACCAACAACCAATGTGTCCTTGGGGAGCTCCTCAAAGAAGCATTTTGGCTGACGTCCATCGATATAGAAATAGAGGGCGTTCACAGGCACCGAAAGGCACAGGATGGCGCAGAAGGCCAGGAGGGAGGATAGCCATGAGGTTGAGGCTGTCGACGCCATAATAACGAGTTTCTTAATGGCAAGAAGTCGTAAAAGAATGGGGGGATAGGGAGGAGGGGAGGTGAAACAGGAAGAAGAGGTGGCCGAACTTGTTGATGCTCGATGTGGCAGCAACGGGGAGAGTCTTGGCGCGCAGTGAATTTCATTCTCCATTCAATTCAACTCCCCTTCTTTGTCCTCCTCCTCTTTAGATTCCCCCGTCCCTTTTCTTACCATCCCTTGGGTCTTTGGTTTCTTCGGATTTTTCTTACCGAATACCTTCCCCGATCTACTAAACCCGTCATCAACAAATAACAACCGCCCCAAGAGTGGTGGTAACCCGCCATGGCCGCCGCCGATGTTCGCGACATGTTGGATTTGCCCGCGGAGGGCCAGCCCCGACCGCATAAAAAGCAGAAGGTCGTCGAGAAGAGACCCGGTTGGTATCCCAGACCGCCAACCCCCACGGTTTTTATTTCTAATATCATAATTCCCAGAGGGTATCACCCGTGAACTTTACGCTCTGCTAGGCGAAAGAGCACCCCCAATCGCCATCACCGAGAACCGATACAAAGGGCGTCCGAAATGGATGAGCAAGCTGAGAGTTCGCCCGTGGTATGTTCCACTCACTCGCAGCGCGAATGTGTATGACAGGCCCTGATAACCACTCTACCAACTAGGCGTATGGCTCCCTTCACAAATGAAGCTCGATCAGATGGCCTCGTTCTACGTCATTGGCAAAGACAAGTCGACCCCACAAAACCGGCATTGGAGGGTCCCGAGACGGAAAATGAAGAACAGAATCAGGATGAAGGGGCCCCACAAACCCCGGATAAGGAATACATGTTTGCGAAATACAATGTCAAGGCCCGTGTGCCGAGGCGATACACAGAGGAAGAGTACAATCGACATCTCAAGAGCGATGACTGGTCACTCCAGGAGACAGATTATTTGATGGATCTAGTCGAGGAGTATGATTTACGATGGGTGGTTATTGCTGACCGCTACGACTATCAGCCACATCCCGTTGATGCAGAAACAAACGCCAGCGCGCTTGTACCGGCTAAACATGTTCGAACTATGGAGCACATGAAGGCGCGATACTACTTTGTTGCTGCATCTATGCTTGCCCTGGAACACCCTCCTTCGGAAATGTCCGAGGCCGAATTTGATTTGTATGAGAAGATGATGAAGTTTGAACCGGAGCGTGAGCGGGCACGGAAAGAACTCGCCGCTCTGCAGCTTAACCGCTCGGCAGATGAAGTGCGTGAGGAAGGAATCCTGCTAGAAGAATTGAAGCGTATTACCGCCAATGAGCAGAACTTTATCGCAGAGCGCAGAGAGCTGTACTCCCGCCTTGAGGTGCCTATTAGCGTCGGCAACACCACCATGTACCAGTCCAGCCAGGGTCTATCCCAGCTGCTTCAAACCCTTCTTCAAGCTGACAAGAGCAAGAAACGACGCTCTTTACTTGGTCCCGAAGGTGCCGCACCCAGCCCAGCGGCTCAGACTCCCGCCCCGAATGCAAGCGCTCGTGACAGTCGTGGCGAGACCCCAAGCAACGCATCAGCAGCACCTACAAACAAGAAAGCCGCAGCTGCAGCCGCAGCAAACAAAGACGCCCAACAAAATATTAGGACACTCTCACCGTCCGAAGAGGCGAAATATGGAGTACAGCACCACGACCGTCTGGCGCCAGGCGTACAGTTCCGTAGCGATCGTGCTCAGAAATTGACGCAAGCCAAGTCCAACGTTCAAACTCAGAAACTGGCCGCTGCGCTCGCGGAGCTAGAAGTACCTCTCCGGCTAGTCATGCCCACAGAGCGGGTATGTAAGGAGTTCGAGAAGCTGATCCACTCGGTAAACCTTTTACTTGATGCTCGCAAAGTTTCTGAGAAAGTGGAGAGCGAGATTCGGGTACTGGAAGCTTCCAAGCAGGAAAGAGAGCGTAAAACGAGAGAAGCCAAAGAGAAGGAGAAACCTGAGGTGAAGACAGAACAAGACGATAACCCTGTTCCAGCAGATGTAACTACTGAATCTACCGGTGCTGCCGCTGCTACTCAACCTTCAGAAAGCCAAGCGGAGACGACAGATGGTACGGGAGACAAAGGGACTGATGGTGATACTGGCGAAGCGACAGCCCGAGAAGGCACCTCACAAAAGCGTTCAGCCAGCGTTCTAAGCAATGCAAGTGATAAAAGTACGAAGCGGCAGAAGAAGTGAGCTCTTTGTGTGACCTGATTGGCGTTTTTTGTGTATCAATATACCTATGTACGACTACCATGAACATGCTCCGTTGATCTTTTGGGTGACTAAATGCATTTGAAGGATTCTTCTACTACTTTTTTCTAAGTTCTGATCTCATATCAATGAATTCAATTTTGTTAAGAGTCAAGCTATTGAGAGTTCCCGCGCAAATTCCTTTTCTAACCCATGTCCTTGTCTCCATAACAGGAACCGCCCATCCAGAGCTGTAGGTCGCCTAATGCTCAGTATAGCAAGGACGTGTTCGGTTTCGTTCCCTTCCCTTACCGCGAACTTGAACATACAAAACCTATGACCGACAACATTTGCTGTTCATTTCTGTTATGGAATAGAACAGACCTCTAAACAATCTTCATATGCATCAGCCAAATCAGTGTCCGAACTATTTCGCTCTGTTTCTTGCAATGTTCCGTATCTTCTGCTATAGTGGTCCAGATTAGATTTCTGACCCTCTTCTATTCGTGGCGATGCAGGGTTGTCTTGTTGGCTGGAAATGGGGAGAATAGGTTTCTCTTCGTCGAGGCTATTGATGGTTTTCTTACGATCCCGAGTCTTGAGTCTAATAACTGGTGTCTTTTTCCTCTGCTGCAAGTCAGATCTCTGCTTGATAGAAATCGGTATCTTTGTCGTGAACTTTGTTTCAAGACTGTGGGCTCTATCCGTTATAGTGCGACTTTTGGTCCATAGGCTTCGAGCACGATGCAATCCAGCCCGCCCTCTCGATAGCTGCTCCTCTGTACCGTTCGTGGGTGTAGGCGAACTTTTCAGCAAGCTTTGTGTCCCGTCCAAGGCTTGATCCAGACCAACTCCACAGAAATGACTCCAAGGAGGCTTCTGATCCACATGTGTCTCCGGTTCGTTTTGGCTCTTCCTCGTGTATCCTAACTTTCCCCATAAGACGGATGTGATTGAACTGTTGCTAGTCCCCTCACTGGCATTGTTTGCACCACCAGAGGATGTGGTTGCACCGGACCAGTGACGCAGATTCAGACGGTGCATCATGTTGGAGATCTCGAATATTGGTTCTCCTTTCCACAGTATCATCTTATTGTTCTGCCCCATACACGACTTGTCAACATGGCTTGAAGATGCTTTCGTATCACCCTCACTAGTCGTAGCCGCACTGTTCAAATGACACGGTTTTAGTGAACAGGTGTCTCCAGTGGCTAGTTTCCCCCCATCCTCGTCTGCTGGGACCAGTGTGTACCCATAGCCAAGACGACGTCCCCCCGACATCCATCCAACGCTGACTTGACGCGGCGAGGAAAGAGCCATACTTAGGTTGCTCTGAGAGTCAGCTCTAGTAGAAGCAACCAAAGGATCTACTTCACGTTGTTCTGGAGACTTGTTTTGCTGAGCGCATTCAGTAGTATCGCAGGCACCCGCGGTAGTGAGGTTATTTAGACTGACTACGGGGGTCTCTTGTGACTGGAATGATGGACTAAGGCTAGAGGCGCCGGCATAAGGATTCTTGATCGACTCCCTTACCGACTCTGGAAGATTAAATATCTTTGTTTCAAAGTGATACTTGGAAAACCCAGATGAAAAGCTAGTTCTGCGAGAATATGATGACGACACCTGTGCTTGGGATGTTACTTGATCTGACTCATGTGCGTCTCTAGCGGGCGTTTGCGCTGTTACTAGGTTAGTTGGATCATGAAATTGATGAGATACGTTCCGCGCTCCCATATTGTCGCGCCCATTTCTTCCATCGAATGAAGACTTTTCGGATAAGACATGAGGCGATATGGAGGGTGACACTAGTCTTTTCGATATATCCATTTCACCTAGATGAACTGAATGACTCTCAGATTTCGGCTCTCTCGGAGGGGGCGGTCGCCTCTTTCGGATCGAAAGCTGAGAGGAGGGCCCGTACAACGAGTCCACAGACGAGGCATGCGGTACTGGAGAGATGGGCGCGCGCCCCGGATAGCCCATGCGACGTCCACGGTTGGTAAAGGTAGAGTAACGACCGGGGTTGTCAAAGAATCCGGTGGTATAAGGACTTCCAACTCTCTTTCGAGCACGCCCATAATCTGCGCTGTGAGTGATAGGTGGTGGCACCCCCCAGCCTGGATAGTCCCGTGGATGCCATGGCAATTGGGACGTCTCCATATCGTTTCGGCCAAGGAAAGGACCATCTACCATTATGCGGCTTTCTTCTGCCACTTCCTCGCCCGGCTCATCCGGCTCTGTCTCATAGTAGGGCTGTGCAAGAGGTGACATGCTTCCCCAAATACTGGGGTTGTTATACAGATTCTCAGTAGCATTGTTGGCCTTTCTTGGGGTATCCATGAATTGCGCATCGCTATCATATCCTCTGTCGCTCATCAGACTGCTTGGAAAGTCACTGGAGGCGATTAGACCCGGGCTGGGATTTGTAGGTTTGTGCGTGAATGGAAGAAGAGACCCCCTGAACTTCCTGTCAGCATTTTTAGGCCCTGTGTTGGTTTCTTTGGAGAATCGTCTGCGTAGTCTATCAGATAGACCGGAGGAGCGTCTCTTGTGTTCATGAGTAAAATCATTGTCCGCCGACCAAGATACGCCTATCACGGTCAGTGCCTACATGCACAGCATCGGAAAAAAAAAGCATCGATTAATCACCTTCCGCTTGTTCCTCCACTGGAGATAGTGATTCGAGTGGAGTCAGCTGATAGCAAGACGTGTCATTCGGCGAGGTTGCGTGCCTCCGGCCCCATCTGAGCCAAGGACAAAAGAGGAAACCCATTTGACAGCTACGAAGCTCCGTCAAATAGAAATAGCGGTGGCCTTTGAATACACTGTTAGACAGGTCGAGGGAAAATATTGGTGCGGAAGAGTATGGGCCCCTTCCGTCCATATATGTTGAACATCCATCTTGTCAAGGAAGGTGCAGACAGTACTACTACTCCCCTGGCTCTTAGCAAGAATTGGGAAGCAGCAGAAACTCTCGAGCCCAATAGGCATTCCTCCCATTGTGTTCTTGGATGGCATTGGCATTGATAAACCCGAGTATGGAGACAATTTATTTGGTATATGCTTGCGATTCCTCCTAATAAGAATTGATGATGTTTTCCGGAGCTAGCAGTTTCCCGTCAATACCCGACATGCCCAGGACAGATAAGCCAGTGTTGCTTTCTCAGAACACCGAGGCGGACGTTTTCTACGAGGTTCGACTCGGGGGTTCCTCATCTTATACGGTGATCTATCACATGCGGTCACGAGAACATGATATCTGTCGTCGGTGTGTCTATTGATGCTTTGGTCTATGCGGTTCGGGGATACTCTGTAGTCTGTAACATCTGTTGAAAAATTAGTTCATAATCTATGCCTACCCCCACGAATTTATGTCATAAAAAGTAATAGAGGATTTAATCAACAACCAGTGAATTGCGTGAGTCCTCGGAGATCCGGTCTCACCTCGAGCCAACAAATGTTGGGGTTCTTTTGGCGGGGTTGAGAAGATCCCCCCCCATCCGGAGTAGTAGTAGAATAGAAACAACTGCACTGATAGACTTCTTGTCTAGTCTTCAGACAGATTTCAAGAGTAGGTGAAGCATCATATTTTTTTCTTTCCTCAATTTTCTAGACTGGTCGACAGTGAATATTTATGACCGAGACACATACATAGTACCTTATCTGGTCAAATAGTAATGGTGCCCTTATACAGTATCGTACGAACCAGTAAAGAGTGGCCGATCCCGGAGCAAGAAGGAGGGGCTAAACCGGAAATAGATAAGCCTCGTTACCTCCAGGCCAAGGACTATTGTGACACTAGTAATAATCTGGAGATTCTGGTTGGTACCTTATGCGGTGATCGGTCTGGACTGAGACTAAACGTACCTAAAATTACGGGTCTGGGAGTTCAGCTCTAGGGGAAATAATCACGCCATCCTGGCCTTTCCCTGACTTGGAATCTTTTTCTGCTGTCCCAGATCCTCTGCCACTAGTAAAGCGCTGTACGCAAGGATGGGCTTTGCAACCTCTCACTGGTCGGCGGACCGGCGTAAGATACGGGGGGAGGAAATGCCCCTCCATAAATACACCCCCTCCATTGGCCGATTTACTTGATCTTTTCATGTCATAATCGTTTTCCCCTCCATCGATTCCCCAACTCACATATTATTTATTTCTTCCTCTTCCCTCCCCCATTTCTCTTCCTCTTCTCTTCTCTCTCATTCCCTTTCTCCCCTCATCTGTCCCCTTCGACCTGTTCAAGAGACGGTGACTGTCTCTTGTGTCTTGATCTCTCTTCTCTTCACTTTTTTCTTTTGACAAGGACTCCTCTTGTCCTCTTCTCTACCTCCCTCATACTTTTTTCTCCCTTAGTCCGTGCTCCCATATATCTATCAAGATGGTTCAATCGTATGTCAGCCCACTCTTGACTTTATCAATCTCTTCCCGGGATCAGATCGTACTGACAAGTTTCGTCTCTAGCTCCGTCTTGGGTTTCCCTCGTATGGGAAAGCTTCGTGACCTCAAGAAGGCCACTGAGGCGTACTGGGGTGACAAGATCTCTCGTGATGAGCTCTTGAAGGAGGGAAAGAGACTCCGTCTAGAGCACTGGAAGATCCAGAAGGATGCCGGTGTCGACATCATCCCCAGCAATGACTTTGCTTTCTACGATCAGGTCCTTGATCACATCCAGATGTTCGGTGTATGTTCTCGCCTAGTCTTGATTTCTCTTGCATTGATATTGAACTGGTCTCTGACATTCTCCTCGAATATTAGGTCATCCCCGAGAGATACAGCAAGTACAACCTGCACCCCGTTGACGAGTACTTCGCCATGGGCCGTGGTCTCCAGAAGCCTGCCAAGGATGGCCAGGCCGCCATTGATGTCCCTAGTTTGGTATGTTGTGCTCGCTCTGGCCCTGTCAGTCATCATTAGTATCATGATCTAATACCAGCTCTACAGGAAATGGTCAAGTGGTTTGACTCCAACTACCACTACGTCAAACCTACCCTCCAAGACAACCAGACCTTCAAGCTAGCTGAACAGCCCAAGCCTGTTGTTCAGTTCCTTGAGGCCAAGGAGGCCGGCGTTATCACTCGTCCCGTCATCCTGGGACCTGTTTCGTTCTTGACCCTTGCCAAGGCTGACCGTGGTCAGACCGTGGACCCCATCTCCAAGATTGACGAGCTCCTCCCTGTCTACGTTGAGCTCCTCCAGAAGTTGAAGGAGGCTGGTGTTGAGGATGTTCAGATTGACGAGCCCGTCCTCGTCTTTGACCTCCCCGCCAAGTCCAAGGCTGCCTTCAAGCCCGCCTACGAGAAGCTGGGTGCTCTCGGTGGCAAGGCCCCTCGTATTGTCCTCGCCACCTACTTCGGTGACATTGTTCACAACATTGATGTTCTTCCTGCCCTTCACAACCTCTACGGTATTCACGTCGACCTTGTCCGCAATCCTGAGCAACTCGACACCGTCGTTGGCGCCCTAGGCCCCAAGCAGATCCTCTCTGCTGGTGTTGTTGACGGTCGTAATATCTGGAAGACCAACTTCAAGGCCGCCATCGAGAAGGTTGAACTGGCTATCCAGAAGCTTGGCAAGGACCGTGTTATCGTTGCCACTTCCAGCTCCCTCCTCCACGTTCCCCACACCCTCGAGAGCGAGAAGAACCTTGACGCCGAAGTGCGTGATTGGTTCAGCTTCGCTGTCGAGAAGACCAGCGAAGTCGTTGTCATTGCCAAGGCTGTCACCGAGGGCCCTGCTGCCGTCCGCGAGCAGCTCGAGGCCAACGCCAAGTCTGTCCAGAGCCGGGCCTCGTCCAGCCGCACCAATGACCCCAAGGTCAAGGAGCGCCAGGCTGCCGTCACCGAGGAGATGCACAACCGCAAGTCTGCTTTCCCCGTCCGTCTTGCTGAGCAGACCAAGACCATCAACCTTCCTCTCTTCCCCACTACCACCATCGGATCCTTCCCTCAGACCAAGGAGATCCGTATCCAGCGTAACAAGTTCACCAAGGGTGAAATCACTGCTGAGCAGTACGAGAAGTTCATCGAGAAGGAGATCGAGGATGTTGTCAAGATCCAGGAGGAGCTCGACTTGGATGTCTTCGTCCACGGTGAGCCTGAGCGTAACGACATGGTCCAGTACTTCGGTGAGCGTCTCACTGGTTACGTTTTTACCACCCACGCCTGGGTCCAGAGTTACGGATCTCGTTGCGTGCGTCCCCCGATCGTTGTCGGCGACATCTCTCGTCCTGCCGCTATGACTGTCAAGGAGTCCAAGTATGCCGTTTCGATCTCCAAGAAACCCATGAAGGGTATGCTCACTGGTCCCATCACCTGCCTCCGGTGGTCTTTCCCTCGTGACGATGTCCACCAGTCCGTCCAGGCCCAGCAACTGGCTCTTGCCCTCCGTGACGAGGTCATCGACCTCGAGGCTGCTGGCATCAAGGTCATCCAGGTCGATGAGCCTGCCCTCCGTGAGGGTCTTCCTCTCCGTTCCGGCAAGGAGCGTGAGGACTACCTCAAGTGGGCTGTCCGCTCCTTCCGCCTGGCCACTACCGGTGTCAGCGATGGCACTCAGATCCACTCTCACTTCTGCTACTCTGAGTTCCAGGACTTCTTCCACGCCATTGCTGCGCTGGATGCTGATGTTCTGAGCATTGAGAACAGCAAGTCTGATGCCAAGTTGCTCAAGGTCTTCATTGACGAGGCCTACCCCCGTCACATCGGACCCGGTGTGTACGACATCCACTCCCCTCGTGTTCCTAGCGAGCAGGAGATCAAGGACCGTGTCGAGGAGATGCTCCAGTACCTCCGTCCTGACCAGCTCTGGATCAACCCTGACTGCGGTCTGAAGACCCGTCAGTGGCCCGAGACTAAGGCTGCTCTGAGCAACATGGTCAACGCAGCCAAGTACTTCCGCGAGAAGTACGCCAAATAAATGGTTTACCATAATTAATAACAACCCATGAAGGGGCGGCATTCTCAACCTGTCGCTTCGGGAGAGACGAATACGTTTCGTTTAATGATGAGTTACGATGATGATACCAAAAGTTCAACATATGGGTTCAGGATTCTTAGAGATATCCCGGGGGTCAACGGAGTTTTCAACATTCACGATTTCAACATCGGCGCAAAGCCAAACATGGACATGATTGCAAGTTCAGCGTTCCCTGATGTCGGGGATATAGTTGTTTCTTTTTCTAATTTTCCCCGTGTTTTCTTCTCTGAGAGAGGAGGCACGGGTGAGATTGTCTTGTGGGATTTCGCCGATGATTTTTCCAAATATTTCAACAATTGTGTATAATCATACATACATGGGTGGTCACCACCTTTCAAATTTAATACAAGACGGTGTTCCAACCGAACTTGATTTCACATTAGCTACTGTCCTTGAATTATACGTAGTCGTCGGATCGAACCATTGCGTCTAGTAGGCAAGTCGAGCCTTATCCAGTGCAACAACAGTCCCAAACTAATCAACCTCCTGCGTAGTGAATGCGGCTCCATATTAGGATGCCATGACCAGCATGTATACAATATGCAACGTATAAGGGAGCAAACAAAAGTGAAAAAAAAAAATAACCCAAGTCAACCCAAATAGGATCACAACCACGACGAAAAAGGAACCACCGCCCCCCTCCCAGCAACCTTTTCCTTCCCAAAGCGTCCCAAATACCACACCTTCCCCCATCTCGCCTGAGGCACCATGGAAGCCACCACATTAACCACAAACACCACCGCCGGCAACGGCAATGGCACCCTCAACCATTCCGCCAACCCAGCAGCCGGCACCAACCACGGCGCAAGCCCCATCTCCCCCGTCGCAATCGTACTACTAGTAGACGACGGATACACCGCAGTCCCGACAAGCACAAACCCGATCCACTCGACCCATTCCCAGACATAGTGCGGGTAGAGGATGGACCGGAAGAGGCCCGTCGCGGGCGGAATAACGTAGACTTTGGCGTACTTGTTAGGTTCCGTGCTCGACTCCTTTTTCTTCTCCTGTTTATCTGCTTCCTCGCGACGGAGCCGGAAGAGCGTGCGCTCCGCGAGTATGTTCCCGGCCATTCCGGCCGCGAAGAGGGCCATCCCTATATAGGGGAGGTAGGGGGATATACTTGGTCTAGTGCTGGGATTGGGATCATACCCGTCCGTTCTGTACCCGGCGACTGGGACGTGGTAGCCGACTAGCCAGGCGGCGAGACAGGTGGAGTTGAACCAGTTGAAGAGCGCGGCGCAGAGGACGATGAGCGCGTGGATGGGGGACATGCTTGGGGCTGCGAAGAGGGGCGATATGATTGCCCTGTTTGTGTAGTGGAGGAGATAGAGCGAGGCCACGAGCTTGTTGGGGACGGGGACGTCCAGGTGCATTTTTACGGGCAGGGTGGCCATCTGGTAGAGGAGGTTTAGGGGGGCGACGAGCTCCATTACTGACCAGCCTAGGCGGCCGGGGATGTTAAATGCGGAGGACTTCAGGGAGGTTTTGCCCATGGGGAACCAAGAGGTGAGCCATTGGATGATTGTGAACTGGTTTGAGAGGTCAGTGTCAGTTACGGGGTTTGTTTATTTTTTTGAGGTCGGGGGTAGCTTACGCCGGCGAAGTATTGCCAAACAGTGAGGATTTGGGTGTATGTTTCTGGAGTTGGAATGATAAGGTCCCGGAGGGGAGGGAGAGCGTAGGGGGTTGCTGAGATGATTGATCCCATTGTTTATGGTTTTGTTGGTGGTGAATTGAAGGGCGATAGAAAGGAGGGAGATGAATGGTTGGAAGAGAAGAAGTTTATGTTCAGGGTGACGGCGGATCATATAAAATAAAGATGGAGAAGATAAGAAAAATTTTGAATTCAAAAAACAAAGAGAGAATGATATAATTCTCTATAAGGTATAGTTCCCTTCTATTAAATATGCCAGACAATGCAATGTTGGATATATAATTTATAAAATTCTATAACACGAAGATCTCCCGTCCGGGGTACATAAGCTAGTTACTTGAAACAAAGATCGACTGTACTTTATAAACATACGTCAACACGAAGATCTGTTCTAATATAAAAATGTTTTTAATCGTTCTACACTAAGCCTCTACATCTAGCGAAGCTACAAATCATGAAGGAGCAAGGAAACAAACCCCACTCCGATCCAAATCCCTTAAAAATAAAACAGTTTCATATCGTTCCAATCTCAAAATGGTTTGAAGCGGTTCCAATGACCACCAGCTCGTGAACAAAAGGATATATCAATCAGCCGGCAGATGTATCCATCGTTTCCGACGCGCTTTGTGTCGCTGTTTTCCTGCGCTGTGACATTTTTTCCGCCTTGAATGCCTCGATCTTGGCCTTGAGCTCCGTATCTGAACCACATACATTAGTAACTTAAACATTTCTAAGAGCAACAGCATGGAATGCGTACCGGGTGTGACATCTTCCATCTTGAGCGGAACGCGGTTAAATGGATCATGAGGATCACTCAGGAGATGAGACCGGATAGTGGAGCGATCGATTGACACCCTCGAACCGGGAAGGATCACAGGGTCTTCCATCAGAGTATACATGAGGGGATCTGAGAAAACTCGTTAGCCACTTAGCCATTGAAAGCAATAGCTCCCGGGACCTTACCTAAAAATTCGTCTGGGACTTCACCGAGATCTTCTTCTGCTTGCTCGTCTGCCTCCTTGGCCTCCCTCACCTTGCGCTGTAGCTGCTCCCACCGCTTGAGCTCCTCGGGAGATTTGAGTGACCACTTTCGCAAGATATCCGCGGCCTTTTCAAAGTTGGCCGGCTTGTAGGACCGTCCATCCCGAGCAACAGCCACGATAAAGTTCTCTTTGCTCATCAAGTTCAGATACACATCAACGATCTCACTCAACAAAGCCCGGGGATTGAACCCATATTCTTGCAAGTTGTCGACACGTAGACTAGAGCTCTTTGGACCCACCATGGCATCCAGGTTGTAATCAAGCATGTCTGCCAGTCTTTGCACGATTTCTGGCATGGTAAAAGAGTCTGCCAGAGCATCGGTGAAAAGCTTAAGCATGGCGACAGTTAAATTGGTCAATTGCATGTAGGACTTTGCATTGCGCTGAGCAGAGGCGAGTTGTTCCTCTTTCTCCTGCCGCACGGTGGGGTCCATGCCCGCCGCATTGCGCAGCTCCGTTTGTGTTTTATGGATGGTGATGAAGGCACCGAACGACTCATCAAGCACGAAGGTCACATCATTGAGCAGGAGATTCACGAAACGTACGAAGAAGTCTAGGTTTCGCTTGGACTGGTTGTAGAGCTTGGCGCGGTACAGGGTATTGGGCCAAATGCACTTGATGATTTGGAAGATCTCAAAACGAATGTTGAACTTGTCGAAGAATTGCGTATGGGTGCCCGTGTGCTCAGCTTCAATGTAGAACTTCATGAGAGCATGCAGCAGGTACTCGTTGGCAAAGGGCATAGAGTTCAGAAGGTCCACCAGTACACCTCGGGCGCCGCCAGGACGAGACCATGTCCCTCGGAAGAGGATCGAGACCAGGCCTGCCTTCAGATACGGGTTTTTGATATAGCTAGTGCTTTCCAGAAAGGCGATACAGAGCATGACCAGCTCGTCACCCTGAGTTGCGGTTATGATTTGAGGCATAGACCACATGATGAATTTGAAATTGCTGACAATGTCATCCACAAAGTACTCGGGGAGACACTTCCATACTTCTGGCTGTTGCTCGGGCAGAGGCAACTGGATCTGCTCCTTGGGGAAATCCTTGCCAGACACGAGTCTTAAGAGGAAAACGATCACATATCGCATGAACAACATGGAACGGGCCTGCCACTGATCATCGAACAACACACCTTGAAGACTATACTTCAAGGCAAGACCCAAGTCCAACTTATCCTTATACTTCTTCAAGGCCTGCTCAAAGACCCGTAGTTGCATTGGGTTGTTGCTCCATCTGTGCCGTTCTTGCTCGAATTTACTGATCGTGTTCTCCATATGTCGGAGGTCCTTCTCCAGTTGATCTAATTTTGAGGTCAACGATTCGCTGCCATAGTGATGAGCAGCAACCGTGAGGAAGAAGATCTCCGTTATGAAGTTCGAAGTACCGTCGACCTTCTTGGAATAGAATTCATCGGACGCATGCTGATCTGCATTGATTTTAGTTTCATCTTTCATGTCAACCCGAGGGTTCCGATGCAGATATCCCGCGTCGATCCTATCGATCTAATGTTCGAGTTAGCAGAAGACACGGATTGCGCGTTCTATCAAAATTAGGCCTACCTTGGTGAAATTAGCATCCATAAATGGCTCGCAGAGTTGGTCGAGACATGTTGTGAGATTGAACATGAAGCCATCAGACGATACGGTATTCGGATCAACCTGCATAGCGCGGCGCTTGTGGTTGATGTTCAGAGCGGCAGCAAACCAATCCAACACTCTCTCCCGCGCATCTTTCGATGCCCGAATCAGATGGTTGATTATATCAAAAAGATCCGTACTAAGCATCTGCTGCATCATCCGCTGTGATCGCTGTGCGTTCAGGATATAGCCTTGATCCCTCGTCTTGGGGCTTGAAAAGTAGGTCATAGTGACTGCGCTTTGCAAAGGCGATAGACGGAACCATGGCCCGAGTAATGTGTCCTTCTCAAACATGGAAGGGTCCTTAGATGCATTGAAGAGAGATGATTCTGTGATCGCAGCTCCCACGACCGCATGGCGGACAAGGTTCCGCAGAGCCTGTAAAGGAGGTTGACAAGACGCCCAGGTAGGAAGAGGATGGGAAGTCATGGACATACTGTTACGTAGGGCTTGTAATCATCATTGATGGTCATAGCCGCCAGATCCTTACTCATATCTTCCACAGCCGCTATGAATGCTGGCTTGATGTTCTCATCCTCTTCGAACCTTTTAACAGCCTCGGTTAAGAACTCAAAGTCCACACCTTTATCGTCCTCCGGGTCCAAAAGAAGGTAAGGCTTAAGAGGCGACTGCCCGGACGGCTCAACCCTGAAACCAGCAAGGTCTGTTAGTATCTCATCCTCCGCCTCCTAGCCGAAACAAACAAAACGTACCCAAACATCTCCGGCATTGTGATTGCGAACATGCAATAACTCAAGCATAGGCGCCGAGCCTCGCATACAACATTGAATTTCGGATCATCTTCGCGAGCACGACGGAAGCCCTTGTGCAGCCTCGATATCCTCCGCCAACACGGTAATAGATAATCCAAGGGCTTCTGCTGGGGAGCATTCGAGGCAGCTTCCAGAAGAGCCTGGTCTAGAATCGCGGTCTCAATACGAAGACCCCGACCTTGATCCTCAAGTTCACTCTTGAGGCCCGCGAGGTAAGTCAGCCTTTGTCCGTGGATATCCCGTTGCCGATCCTCCTTCAACGTTAGCTTGAACACAGCACTCAGTGTACGATCCTCAAACGCTTCAATACTCTCTTCTGCCCTTGGCGGCGGCGGGGTGCCAGAAACCGGTGTGACTGATTGTGAACGATCGGGGCCTGTGATGCTAGAGACGGCTGGAGTGATCTTGATCCGCTTCCCTTCGGACTGTGGTAGGCCTGGTCTTGGCGACGCTGCTCTGGAACTTGCTGCACTACCGGTGTTGGACTCCGATCGGGAAAGTGCCGGAGCAGACAAAGGAGATTGGGGTCGACTCGATGACTCTGTACCCTCGGGGTTTGACGATGGAGTCGGGTTTCCAAGCTTTGCTAAGCGCTTGTTGCGGATCTACAGGAGTTAGAATCATCCATAAAAAAGAACCACATGGACTTGAAAGACGGTTAAAAAGAAAAGGCCGGGGGGAAACCCAACCTTATCCGCTTCAGAGAGATTGTCTGACATCCTCTTGAGGATTAAAGATACGGTACCCCGTACCTACTGAAGGGCTTCGTCAACCAGCGGGGCAGAAAATGCGGAGCAAAATGGAAGAGGGAATGAAGGTGGAAAAAAGGTGAAAAGGGGCCCCGTAAAAGAGTGGTTACCCGATCGTGCCAGGTTCTCAGATCGATGGACTTGCGGGGGGAACGAACTGAGAACCACAGGCCAAGTGAAATGTTTTGGAGATAGATTATGGGAGAGATCAGATCTCTCCGTTCGTTCTGCATTATTAACTAAGCTTGTCGGGGTTTTGCCGCCAATCGTACATTTTCTCCACTTTGGCTCTTTCTACTCCGTACTCCTCCTACATATAGTAATTAACTCTTTAAAAAACAAAAGATCTTTTCAATTGTTTTGTTTTGCTTTGGTCTTCCTCTTTCATCATATACAGTGAATTAGTATTCATTCCAGTTTCAAACCGATCAGACATCGTTAGAAGTCATGCGATGTCATCAATCTCTGCACATATATTGACATCTAATGGAAAACTTCAGGGCCCAAAAATAATAAGACGAATGGACAACATTAAGTATAATAAAAAAAGAAAAGTGGATGCGGCTAATAAAACATCGTCACAGTGTTTGTCGGAGTAAGAAATGGCGGTTAGTATTTTCCTTTCAACGAGTCTAACTGCCGACAGCTTTTGAGCTCCATAGATCTTGCCGCCTTCATCTTCTCTACGTCGGGGAAAAACCAGCCCTGGGCATCTTGAATCATCCGGTCACGCGCATGCACTTCACTCTCACATGCATACCGAAGCTTGCTGACGTAGTCCACTTCTACCCGTTGGTCCAACTGTCGGAACTTCCGCGCGCTGTAGTCTTCTATATCATTCGGGTTAACAAAATAGTTGACGTGGAGTTTGGGCGTTGTCCGTTGCATCGTGTGAGGAGGTACTGCTGCATCGAATCTATACGAAGGGCCTGTGGGAGTGGAGGAACCGGAGAAGAGTGAAGAAAGCAGAGGGAAGACGAAGAGCAGGATGAGGGGCAAGAATTGCTGGAGAGTTGCCCAGGCAGATGGTGCTGGTTCGGGTTGGCTGTTCGGTTGTGGCCTCCTGCGAGGCCGAGCACCACCGAATTGGTGGACTCGGAAACCGGGGCCACCTCCCATGTTGAATACAAACTGAGGACCGCCTATGTGGCATCAGTCAGTAAAAAAGAAAAATAGAAAGAAAGAAAGAAAAAAAGAAAAAGCCCTGCAATAAAGAAAGTCTCAAGTAGGGATCGTACCAAACGCATTGAACCCACCGCCCATGCCGCCAAAACCACCACCGAAGAATCGATTGAACAACTCCTCCGGCGATATCTCCTCTTCATACATCGAACCACCAGGGTTTCCTGAGCGTGGGAAGCCACCGCCAAACCCGCTAAAAGGAGATGCACCCGAAGGTCCAGAACTGGGGCCGAACCTGCTGTCCGGGTCACCCCCAAACTTGTCATACCGTGACTTCTTGTCGGAGTCCGATAAGACCTGGAAAGCGCGCGACACCACTATTCCTCGTATTAGATTCCAATCCGCTATCACGCAGTAATAGAGCCTAAAAAAACTCACTCTTAAATGCTTCATCGGCCCCGTCGTACCCGTTCTTATCAGGATGTGTTAATAGACTCAACTTGCGATATGCCTTCTTAATCTCGCCATCCGTGGCCGTCCTTTCCAGCGACAAAATTTCGTAGTATGCTGTCGCGGAGCATTTCAGAATCCGTAACACGGCCGCTTTCTGATCGGGAGTGTATTTGCGTTCCTGGTTCCCTTGACTGTGCTCGCGGGATTTCGCAGAGCCTCCATTGTCTACCCCAGACGCTTTGGCGGACGGCATGGTGGACTAGGATCTGATTCTATGCACAAACGGAAAATTATCCGTTGTCTCTATCAGCCTCTACGCCGGTCCTCTCTTTTATTCCTCGTTTCCTTCCCTGGAGGATGATCGCGGATTCGAAGGCTGTCGGAGGAGAAAGGTCCCGTGAGAGAGCCGATAAGGACTAACTTTTCGCAGAGGTTCAAGAAAACCCCAGTAGCGACACTTTCAAAAACCGGGAGACTGGCCGATTGGACCCCTGCGTTGAAACAAAAAAAGGTTGGAGCAAATCCGGGGCGAAAGTGGTCTGTGATTACTGATAGATAAACGTGGTGTCTTTCCGAAGGTTCAGAATTATGTCGACTGACTGACTTGGGGGACACTAAGCCGCGGGTGACAAGACGTTAGTCAGGAAAGCGGTATCACTTCATTACAGATGACCCTCCATACTTGCTTTACGATTAACGACACTTGAATCCCACAATCCTCCAAACAATAATCCAGTTTTCTCCCTCTTTTAGTTATTTAATACAATTATTTGCTATGCATATTTGAGCCTAAAATTGTGAATCTCCGATCGCAACAATGGCCGGCTCGGACTCTGCAGTGGAGGAGACCAAGCAGTCTCTAATGCAAAAAGCTCGAGCATGGGGAGGTGAGGATTGCCCTTAGCCGTTGATCGCTTGCAGCCTGTTTGTCTGTCCGAGACGATCCCATATCTAATACCGTTATGCTACAGAGAATCCTTTCCCCCCGACACTCCTCGCAACTCTCATTACCGCACAGTACGGGCGTCCCTTCCAAGCACTGCCGATGCTCTTCCCACCCGTCCTCCTATTCACAAGCTATGCCAATCTCCAAGGGTTTAAGACCGATAGTGCAGGGATTAGTGCTGCCTGGTCGGGGCTCTATCTGCTACTCGCCGGTCGACGCCGCCAACCATTCATGAAAAAATGGGGTGCCCGCGGCATCATTCGCGGCATGACCATGGGACTTTGTCTGGCCAACATGGTCGGCGGCGGGCTTGCGTATACTTTGGGCAAGAGGGAAGAAGAGGAAGACGACGAATAAAAAAAAAAGCCTTTGCGCCGTGATGTCTGGAGGTGTACGACAATGCCGGGGTGGTTCTATGCTACTATGACTTCATTGAAATGCAGTGCGGGCGTTGTGACGGTATGGTGTTTCGGTTGAATATTAAGAAAAGTTTTCAGCCCTCCTGGACGGATATATATGCTCCTAAATCAGAGCGTCATGTATTATATAGGTCGTCGACGTATAGCGCACATCGGCGCATCTTGATCATTTACTCTACCACGTAACAAAGCTTTCATTAATGCCGTGAGAATGTTTACTCCGAGTATGGTTGTTGGGTCAGAACAAACTCTCGGACATTGTCAGGTACGAGGCCGACCAGATCTTGGGGGTTCGACTGAATTGCCTCTCGGGCCAATGTAGAGCTCACTGGCCTTTCATCAGGTCGTCTTCCTTCTACCAGCTGGATGCGCTGAGCCCATTCACGCTTGCCACCGACATTCTCCATACCCCCCTGGGCCATGTTGAGTAGGAACTGCCTCTGCTCCTCTGCATCACCCCATTCGCTACCCGGTCGCATGGTGACTCTTAAGCGATGGCGCGTGAGAAAAGGACCCAGTGGCTGGAGGGTATGTTCCGGCGGATAATACTTAGGGTTGAAAATCCGGACCAGTGTATCATAGCCCGTGAGATGAACCTGCTCAAGTGACCCCGGATAAATCCCCGCAGCTTCTATTTCCGCCGCTTTATCGAAAAAGAACGGTTTCTTAGTGAGACCGATATCGATCGCCGGAAGACTCTCATCCTCTGGCGACGAGAAGTGATTCTTGAGATATACCAGGAGGTCTCTAGCGAACAGATCCATCATCACAAGACGATCCTCGAACGACGCTGGTTTGGAAGGTTTATCCGCATTCTGGGTTGCGAGCAACAGCAGAAGCCGCGGGGTTTTGCTAGAATTCTTCAGAAGGGCGGTACTTGCTATCCTGCGATGGGCAAGGGTGGGAGGATTGAAGGATGAGTCCAATACATATAGGACGTCTGGGGCGCGAACTGGTGGGGATTGAGACTGGATCGAGCTGAGGATTTCAAAGTTCTTGCTCGACGCGATAAAACGTTTCAAGGTTGAACTATATTGAGCTCGGAGAGCCTGGACTGCGGGGGTCGACATGCTTTTTCTGTGACGCTTTGCAATAGTCAACTGTTTTATTGCGTAGTATCCGGGGACTTCTGGGGACGTCACCTACGGCCAAGAGGGATGTTCAAGTGGAGTAAGTTGGAATCCATGGAATGGAAGGTTGAGAGAAGTCTGGCGCCCGGTGGATTCTCTCCGGCGGGTGGCTGCAGAATTGCATCATACGAAAACCTACTAGTTAGTGGCTTTGCAATAGTCCATCGACCCGTTGCTTATACGAAGCTCCGTATTTTGTTAATTATGTCTTGTTTGCTGATTTCTCGCCCATCGAGCATCGTGAGGTATTTAAACGGTGGACAGTGAGCCATTTCTTCCTTCGACCACCGCTCATGGAACTATATATTAATGGCGGGACGATCCTAATCAGTCACTTCGGGACGAATTCTGTACTGTACAAGCCTCAAGGGGACCAGGCCCAGGCCCTCAGTGTATCACCAATCAAGATGAAACCGATCTACCCGTGTCTATGGGTAGTTGACTGTTGTGCACCAATACGTCGGAGGTGGTGGAGTTCGGGAAGTTATGGAGGATTAAATGCTTCTTCGCATGGACTGGGGAGAAGATTTCCACGATCCTAGGCGATTACAATCCATTATCGCACGCAGTCTACTATATATTGGCACATTAATTACCGAGCTTATGGACCAGGTCGGTTCTGGAAAGGAAGCACATCAGCCAACTGGCACTTCCCTAACCATCCATCATCTCCCTGAAACACTGGCCTCGATCGTTTCTTGAAACGAAGAACTTCGTATGGAGGGCCCAAATTCAAGGGAAAACTTTATTCTTGATATCCTCAAACTTCCCAATAATGTGCCGCACATATACTCCGTACTCTCATTTTCTATGAGTAAGAAAATATCGAAAGGGGACCCGGAGAACAAGTTACAGAAGAGCACACACACACACACACACACACACACACACACACACACAGTCCCGAGTACAAGCCGAAGGTGTCTGGAACCCTCTGCGGAGATCCACACCCGGCGTTGTCGTTCTGATCATCGCCCGGTTTACGATCAATGATGAGAGATGATCTACATACATACATACATCCGTCAGTGCAGGGTCTGTCAGTATCTACTGAGTACTTTGGAGTCGGTACCACCAGCAGCCATGATGCAATGACTGTAGGCTCAGCACGTCTTCTTTTTTTTCTTTTTTCTCTTCCTTTCTTCTTTTTTTTTTGTCTTTTCTCTTACAGGGTCCACGTCTTGGCCGAGGTTGGCTGAAGTTCAAATTGTTTCCGACTCTCGGTTAGGCGGGCTCGGGAGGCAACTCAACTCAATAGTTGGAAGTCGGTCTTGTCGGAACCACCAGGAACAAAGTTTGCACAGGAGTAAGTATGGGATTGGGAGTATATTTTCCGGAGAATTGCACCGGAAAGGATATTACTACGGTGTTATCAGTCATTGAACCCCTATTTTTTCAATTTCAGCATTAGGCAGAATAGAATGCTCTTGGAGGAGGCAATAGGGGCGTTGCAATCAGACTTTTCTACCTTTCCGTTTGCTGAATTGGGTGTAGTCAAAATACTACTGGGAGCTGTTATCGCTCTTTCACCCACGCTAAGATGAGAGTGCCAGAGTTGATGTGGTGGTTACGGTCCATTTAACAGACCAATTAGATGAAGTTGGCCACTTGGTGCCCACCGGGGTACCTGACTAGTTGGACAGTAACCTAGGATGCGATGTCCAGTAGTTGACTACTGGATGTGTGCTGCACAAGCTAACAGCATTTAGAGAAGTTTAAAGGACACACACACCAGGACTTTTCTAGGTCACTGAGTTGGCTAGACGGTGAGACAATGTAATAAAAAAGAAAGGATAAAAAAGAATACAGGGATTGGCCTATTGCATTCAGCTTATCCTCCCCAACAGTGTTACCTGAAGAATCATCCAATAGGTGAGAAATGGAGGGTAAGAGATACAAAAAAAAAAATAAAATAAAATAAAAATCGAAGTACGGGGGAGTAAAACGAAGGCAAAAAAACTAATAAGACCGTGCGACGGTTGGAACAGGCACGCGGCGAGATTAAACAAAAGGCCCAAGCCAATCAGCAAACCAGAATGGGACATGAAACTGGAACCTTCATCTCGGGCTGAACGAATCCGCCGGTGGTTCTTGCCCCACTTTAATCATACATCAAATTTAACCATTTTATGAGTTGGTTTGGAGTTTTACTTACTTGATCCCGTGCCGATGAGACGACGCAGGGAATCATTTTCCCCTGGCGTATTGCAGTAGACAAATCAGCGTGCGCCAATCATCGGGTTCATGGTAATATTTCATTGTCGAGACTTGATACGATGGTAACGCTCAGCCCAGACTCTTGTCGGGGAAATAAAATAAAAATGAAATGAAACGGAATTCTAACAACATAAGATGATTCCTTCCCCCTCCCTCCTTTTATTTTAATTCCTCTTCCCTTCCACTCGATAGACTGCTCTCTACGTTCTCTCTCGGTGTCAGGGACAATTCGTTTACGTTCCCCCCAGTCATTCTTTACAGTTTGCGAATAGATTTCGCATCCCACTCTCGTTTCTTGCAGCGCAGTCTCCCAGAGAAAGCAAAGGGCCAATCTCCAATAAAATCTCAGAAGATCGACATTGACTGTCGTCATACAACATCAATAAATATGTACCTCAACAATAAGCTCTCCGTTGCCCTGCTGGCCGCTCTGGCCGCTGGTTCTGAGGCCAGCCATGCTCGCAACCACAAGCTCTTCCATGCCAGGAACGTCAACTCGACCGTGTCTACTTCGTCGGTGTTTGTCTACCCGACCCCGGAGTTGCCCTCCAGCTCTATCCCCGCTAGCTCTTCCCCTGTTGCGTCTTCCTCGGCCGTTGGATCTTCTTCTCCCGCCGTCACCTCCGAGGGATCGTCCGCCATTACCCAGCCTCCGGTCCCTCTCAGCACCGGTGTTACTGGACCTGGATCTTCTGGCGCCGGTGATGACAACTCTGGATCCGCCACTGATATCACTATCACTTACACTCTCGGCACTGGCGCTTCTAAGAGTGTTGTCACTACCACTATCCACAAGACCGCCACTAACACCGAAACCATTTACACTGTATGTCCTTGTTGGTTGATTCACCTGGAACGTGAACTAACATTTGTCCCAGAAGACTCCCTCTGTGCCCTCTGCCGGTAGCGAGGAGCAGACCACTACTCTTCACTCCACCGCGACTTCTACCGTTACCGTTGTAGAGGTTCCCTCTTCTGGCGCTGCTGGCCCCTCGGGCAATGCTGGTAGCTCTGGCAGCGATGCTTGCACTGGACAGGCCACTGTCACCGTTACTGCCACTGTCACTGAGACCGTCAATGGAGTATGTTGTATCGAGCATCTGTCTCTGCTCAGCTGTTAATTAGATTTAATTAGGCTCCTAGCGCTACTGCCAACCCCGGTGGTGAAATCACCAAGCCCCATGACCAGGACCACCAGCAGAACCCTGGAAAAGGTGGCAACGACAACGGTGAGGGCGATGATGACAACAACGACGATGGGTCTGAGCAGACCAGCGCTCCTCTTCCCGTCCCCACCCACACTGGCCGCCCTCCCTTCGGCAATGGCACCCTTCCCATTGCCACCAGCGGCGTCGCGAAGCCCACTGGCTTCTTGACCTCCAGCAAGCACGCTTTCCCTACCAAGTACCGTCGCGCTCACTAAGCCAATGGACCCCATGGCGACCCATTCGGTCCCTCAGAGCGTTGGTATGACCGTTTGTAACTAAGATTTCATTTGGTGGCGAACCGTACGCTGGCACTGTACCTGATGAGAGAGATGCTATTTTACTTCTGGTACAAACTTGATTTTAGAGACATTCTTACCTATCTTTCTTCGCCTATCCGGCAGGGCAGCCTGACCGGTGGTTCTTCGCTTCTTGCAATCGGGATCGGTCAGATCCTCCTTTTAACCAACAAAGCTTTCTTCTTTCTACCTTCTGTCTCCTCTCGTGGTGCAAAATTCTTTTTGTGAAATCATTGTATATCGGAACGGCCAGCTTACGATCAAACGGGAGATGGGGACAGCAGTGGGAAAGGGGGAAGTCTTTTCCAGGAGTTGGACTTGTACAAAACGTCCTTGGCCGACTCCGGGAGTAAGATGTCTCCGATCTTTTACGCCAGAAATATGATGATCTCGATGATATGGATACGAGAGCGAATTGTACTTGGATTTTTATCTCATCTATCACAGGAATCCACATGCTTGGGTTATGTCCACTTGCGCTCGCACATAGGTACCGGTGTAGAGAGGTCAGTAATTCCCCCTAGTAGTTGTGTAGTATCATATTACACCCTTATTAGTTGTAGAGAAAGAATTGAGCGCTCCCTGCCTAGATAAACATCCAATAGCCTGCCAATATAGTACACTAATGATCCCCACAATATATATTATATACACGGAATATAAGAGATCCACCATTAAACCACTACTCCATCTCCAAAGCATGGACACCCTCCCGCAAGAGCCGATCCCGCATAACATGCCAATCTAACCACGTCACGCCTTGTACCAAACAGTCCGCCAAATCATCCAACTTCCCAATATCAATATCACCCCCAGCACCCTCGTCCTCCCCCTTACCCCTCCTCGCTCTCTTCTTCCCCTTCCACTTCCCCAAATAAGCATCAACCAACTCCCGTACCTCCTCCCTCTTCCCTTCCCCCCCAACAGCAACCTTCAAATGCCCCCGTCCAGCATCCCCAAGCGCACAATCCAACCACGCCCCCACCAAATCAATCTTCACCTTCTTCCCCTCCCGCGAAGAAGCCCTTCCCTTCCCCTTCTCCTTTACAACACGTCCACCCTCCAAGGCAAGTACCTCCCTCCAATACCTCGCCACACGCTGCGGCTCCACGCCCAGCACCACCGGCGCAGCACTACCAGAGCCACAATCCCATACCCTCTCCCGCCCTAACGCATACAAAACAGCATACAACATCCCCTCAAAAACCCCGACCCGCAACGTCCACTCCTGAACCGCGCTCCCACCCCCTGACCGGAATCGCTGGCGCTCGATCAGGACATGCGTGGGCTGGTACTTGGCCAGTAGTGTCGTGATGAGCGTATAAGCCTGGTGGGCGTAGAAGGGAGGGTGGAAGGTTTCTTTATCTTGATCTTCATCCTTTGATGACTGGGTTTCGAGCTTGAGGTTTGACCCAGAGCTGGGACCATCATGATCATGTAGGTCTGAGACGGCTAATCTGCGCCAGGCGTTTAGGGTTGGTGTTGGTGCTGGGGAGATCCTTGTCTCTGAGTTAATGGTTCCCTGGGGTACGAGACTGGGACTAGGACAAGGGACTAGGAGATGGGCGAATGCTAGGTTGCGGATGCCCATGTCGATGCTGAGGATGCTAAGGTGTTTGGATGGGTTGGATTGATGAGATGGGAGCTCGCATTGGGCGAGCTCGGTCTCTAGTCGCTTGATGAGGGGGGCTTTGGGACCGGCGGACCGGATACCTGTTGCTTGGGCGATTTGTTGGAGTTGGGATGCTTTTAGAGATGAGAGCCATGGAGTTGGATTGAGGAGGGTTGGGGTGTAGCGCATGATGTTTTTATGTGGAGGTTTGGGAGGTATCGATTTGGGGATTGGAGAGTCAGGTTGGTTACATGAGTTGACGGAGAGAAGTTATGTATAGTTAGTGATCGAAATCGTATATAGTTCTGAATAGAAATGGAATTGTTTGGTTGACAATTAATTGACTTTCCTTTATCTGATCTACATCTTGGCTTACATAAGGAGGATATACACTAACTAACTAACTAGTCTTCGGTTGCGTATCATCTATCAATCAATTAAACCTGCAGTTCGAATCAACTTTCTGCTAGTATTAGTACTGATTATATATATCGTACACAATTTTATCCAGTGAATCAAGGCGTACGATCGACAAAACAAGGCCCCTCACTTCTATTCAATCATCGCCCAATGTGCAATATTCCGAAAAAACAAACACCACCAGATTGAACATGTGGATATTTTCCCCAGTTGACGCCAGGACCAATCACTACCAATGCAAAACGCTAAACTGCATGTCAAGAAAAGTGGGGGAGGGTACAAGAGAGTAGAAAGGCTGTCCATGGACGAAAAAAAAGCACTACAAAACTCCACCTCATGCCGAGTCTCAGAAACAAACAAACCCCGCCCCCCCAAAAAAAAAATAAAATAAAAATAAAAAAAAGAAAAACCAAAGTGTTAGGAAGGGGTCCCAAGTAAAAGCTAAAATTGCAGCAAAATAAAGGAATCTCAATAGACTGGGTCTTGACCACGTCGTTATGCTGACACAATCATGCCAAGTGAAGTGAGTTGTTCATCGCCACGTCGGTTGGCAGTACACTTTCGCGCACATAGAGGATGGGTGCCCAGACTCTCCAGTGGAGGACACCCATGTGGGCGAGCCGCATGGATATCCGCTGAATGTCATAATGTTGCTGTGATACTGGCGAGTGGACATGGCTTCGTTGAGACTCGCAGATAGCCAATGGTGACATATTCAGGTACTTTTTGGCAGAAATCATGGTGGCCGACAGTAACCTCTCACGCCAGTAACCCTGGAATTCTTGAAAGTAGTCGCCCTGGCTCGACAATTCCGAATCCAGCTTCCTTTCGATGTTTCTAATGAGGCTGTCTGAGACCATAGCGTCATAGCAGCATACCACACACGCAAACCTCGCAATTTCTAATGCGATACACCGTACATTTGTCGACCACTGAGTCGACCCTCGAGCGCAGTCCTCGTTGTCATCCATCAAAGGCCCGATTCGAGAGCGGAAAGTCGCGTATGCCTGTGGATGAGCTAAGAGATATTGTTTCTGCGGAATAACGTCACGCCAAAGGATCTTCCAACAGATATCAAGGTTAATAAGATTCTGGAGACACGCCCGCAGTTGCCACAGGCGGTCGGAGTCGAAGATGAACGTTTCCGGGAATCCCTCGGGACTATGGAATTGGAGCAGGAGATCGGATAGACCACTAAACAAGATCGAAAGGGGCCAGAAGCTGTCTGGCTGCGCCGGATTTTCCACTTTACTTAGTTCTCGCTCACGTAGGTCTTGGTACCAGTGTCGTGACGACTCCACGCGGAAGTTATCCCTCTCAATCTTTCCTCGGAAGTACTCTTGCAGAAACGGAATAGTGTCTTCTATAAGTAGCACTCGGAATGCGCGAATCTGGTGGTTTGCAACGTCCTATCTCAAAATATTAGTCGCCGCTCCCTCCTTTTTCTGATTCTACGTGTTAAAAGGTCAGATGCCTTACCAGTTTCATCGCCTCCAGGATCGCAAAAAGTGTTTGAAGTCCGCGGACAATCTCAAAGGAATTCTGTGATCGGGAACCTAAACTGATTTGCTCGACCATACGATCTGCCCACTCATCGCGCATTGGGGCGCAATGAGTCTTGAGCAGCGCCGCAAGCCAAGTTGCCACGCCTACCATATCAAGGACCCCCTTTTGAATCTGCTGCATCAGCAAGGGCACCTCAAGATTTTGCACGACACTAGGGTGGTCTCGCTCCGGGACGAGGGTTTTGAGGACATCCTGCAAGGTATCAAACATGCCCGGTAGCCGGGGCTCGAAGGTTTGATGCTGGTCCATACACATATCATCACAGGTCGTGTCCGACTGATGAGCGGCACAGAACGCGTAGATGGTAATCTCGGTCGCCATGGCTTCCCAATAGTCGGTAGCTTCTTTCCTTTTTCGCCGGCCCTTTTCGCCGTCTAGATCCGGTTTGAAGTGGAGGTCGCGGTCGAAATTAGCATCCATGCGGAGATTGATATTGCTCATGATACAGGGTAAATCGAGCTCGCTCAGCGTGCCTTTGGTGACAGGCGGGTATCTCTTCGCTGTAAGCACTAGGTTTTGTTCCTTCGCACTAAGACCTAGCTCGTGAGGGATGCGCAAGGCTTGCGAGGACGGCGCGAGGGCATTATTGCACGCTGGCGGTCGACAAGTCGGCGGAACCTGGTTAGTTTCATGCTCGTAGGCAATCTGAGTAGTCTGGCGCGATTGGTTGACCTGCGCCGGGTCTGAGTTGTTGTTTGCATCCCGATGATCTAACGAATCGTTCTTAGGGGAATCTTTCGAGTGGCCGCTGCCTCCATATGGTTCCAGGGGACACTCGGTGCTTTCCTCCTGCTTCCCGGGAGTGCCCCGTCGGGCTTCTTTGGTTCTTTGGAGGTCCATTTCCCATCCACACCCGCTTTGAGCCGGGAGAGCCACTACACTGAGAGGATGAGGAAGCTCGGGGTGGGATCCGGGGTGGGGGAGGGAGTAGTAAATCAGAGATTGGGGTGAAAGAACTATGGGAGCGTTAGATCGTGGGGGTCACGGGCATTTCTCCTTTGATGGACGCAAGGCACCGCAACCCTCCAACACTGTCGACGGGGCAATTGGATGGAAGTAGTCCCTTTTCCCAGCCCTTCGATTAGTCCTTGCCTGAGGCCGAAGGGGGCATTACGGTGAGGGAGCAGGAAATAGTGCTCACCAGATGCGGGTAACCCGTTGTCGATCAATCCTCGTTGATACCAAACAAAAAAAAAAGGATGATCTTTGATCCTCTCTCTGTGAACGTTTCGTGTTTGTATCGCACGAAAAGAAAGAGAGAGAAAGAAGAAGAGGCAGAATGTAACGGTTGCTGCTTGCTTTCTTTCTTTCTTTCTGTCTTTCTCACTCTGGTTTCCCTTTGTTCTTTCTGTTCGTTCGCAGGATCGATTTCCTTTTCTTCCGTAGGGAAGGAAGGAAGTACAAAGTGAAGTTGGAGGCTTGAAAGGAATCTCTGGCCACTAGGTAACAAATCAAGAAAAAGAAAAAAAGGAGAATAGCCAATGACTTTCTAAGTGACCCCTACTAGAAGCTCCAAAGGATTTGAAATGAACAAACAAACGGCAATGGATTACAGCAATGCCGAAGGGGAGCACAGGATCAGCCACTCTACTAGTTGAGTGGACGGGGATGGCCGAGAGTTGATATAATATAGCCAATGGAAGTAAAACCGAATACAATCCTCAAGACGGGAACAGGAGATATGCAGAGTAGGAGTTGATGAAGGTCTCTCCACTCACGAGTCAGAAGCATCGAACTAAGAAGAAGGATCAAATCAAATCAAATCAAATCAATTAAAAAAAGAACAGAGGGGAAGCTTAAAAGAGAGGGGGGAGAGTTGTAGTAGTAAGTAAGTAGACAGGGAGAGAGAAGGGAAGACAACGGAAAGAGAAAGAGAATCGATAATCCTCACGATCGAGAGAAAAAACCAAGCCAACCTTGAAGGGAAACGGAAAAGGACACTAATGTAATCAATGCTGGGTTCGGTTTAGCATTGACAGAAAAGAAGAAGAAGAAGAAGAAAAAGGTGAATGAGAATAGACAGTCAATCAGTAGGCATGGTTTTGAAACTATAATACAGCGATAAAATGGTTCTTCGTTCTAAAGAACGCCACTTTTTTTATGTTATTTTGAAATTTTATTTTATTTTATTTTTAGTTTTTAGTTTATTTATTTATTTAGTCACTTCCGCAGCACTAGAGAAGAGTAGAGTAGAGAGAAGGTAGTATAAAGTAAAATAACAAGTAAAAGTGAGGCTGATGGATACAAACTCATATGTTGACTGACGATTGCAGCTTTGACTTTTTTCCTCCCCCCACAAGCAGGAGGGAGGAAGTAAAAATAAAAGAAAAGAAAAAGAAAAAGAACGAAAAACCACGGAAACGTCCCAGTAGAACTGAACGAGTCGCTTCATTGATATGAAGTTCAAACACTGTCCTTTTTTCTTTTCCTTTCCTTTCTTTTTCTTTTCTCTTCCTCCCCCCCCCCTCCTCCCCCCCTTCTTCTAATATTTTTATTAATATAGTTTCCAGTTTCCATTGCCTAGATCTGCTGGATAGTTGAGCGAGTAGTTAAGGGAGTGGATACACCTAAAGGGGGATTCCTAACGGTCGCGAAGGAGCTTCCCAAGCAAATCCCACGGGCGATCCCCTGTCCTTCACCTCTTCGAAGGGGAAATTTCGCCGGTCTCAGTACATTCCCCATGACAGGATAGTCATAATCATAAAGCATAAATCATAAAACCTACTACTACTAATAATAATAATAATAACAACAACAACAACAATACCACATAACGAAACCCCCCTTCCCAACACTAAAACCGGCACATGGGTGGTTGTTCCCGTACGATCTGAGGCGTGTCCCAGAAACACAATGCTGGTACCCGGCAATGTGAGAGTAACTGTACTAGTAGGGTAGCCCTCTAACATGCGCGATACTCTCTCCCTTTTTTTAGAAATTAAGGAATTCTATTCAATACCGGGAATTGCCACGGGCGCCACCACTTCTTTGTTGGATTATTGCATTAGTCGCGCACAAAGAGAGCCAAGAAGATGATATCAGAAAAAAAGAAAAGAATTCGAACTCGGAGGAAGTGAAAGAGCAATTCGTTGCCCTAGAGAGCGTTCGGTGTATTGCAGATTGTATGCGGCCATCCGCGTGTGTCCAGGCCCCCCCCCTTTAGTGCGCAGGAGCTTCACATAGTCTAGGGGTCAGGGTAGCGGAGGAACATTCCTGTCTTAAGCTTCTTAATACCTTCTTCTTTCCCATGCCCATCTATTTTCCCTTGTTTTTCGGTTTCCCCTACTCCGTAACTCACGCCCTGTGTGTGCACTCGGAACACATCCGTCTCCAACTTCAGGTATGATCCAGTGCGACAGTGTCACGCGCCGCCATACCAGAATATGGGGACGGGCGTTGACCCTGCCGTGTACGGAGTAAACACTGCATGTACGTACAGTGTTGTATGTATGTATGTATGTATGGCATATTCCCTCGATGCGAGGGTGTTGAGATGGTTGACACTGTACTTCACAACTGATGGCCACGAGGGATAATCTCAGGGGGAAATCAATCTATTTTTTTGGGGGGGGGGGTTGGCTCTGTGCCGTCATATTGTCCATCCTCTACTCCAAGCGATCGATTGAGGACGATTCGCCCACCGATATTATTTTTTTTCTTCTTTTCCTTTTGACAATTGTAATTGAGTCTTCGGGGCCCGTCGGCGGGATCTCGCGCTTGTGGCGAATTGGCAGCAGGGAATAGGAGAAGTCCCATCTGAGAAACCTTGTCTCGGGGGTGGGACGATGGGGGGATATTCCCTGATCCACACCTTCCCCCCCAGCAGATTGATAGGTAAATCTCCAAGAATTCCAGTCGAAAGTGGATCACGCGCGGTGAAATTGGTTAGTCGGCTTCTCCCGCGTCGAAACAACATCGTCTGTAGTTTCTAAACCCTGCAAGTTTCCAAGGAAGCCCGGAATAAGCTCCTTGGGTGCTCGGTACAAGAATGTGGATCGGCTTGAGAATAAACTCTTCCGGTCGTGAAAGGTTTCTTGAAGCTTCTCTGGATTTCAGCAGGCGAGACTTGCGGAAAAGGTGGGCGAAAAAGAGTTCCCGTATTGTATACAAAGAGGGATCATCAGGTGGCTGGAACTTTGGCGAGACCGCAAATAACAAGAAGGGGGTACGAAGGAATGCGTGCACTTGGCGCCTCACTTTTGGAAATGCACTGATCACAAAAAGATCGCTCTGCGCGCGTGGTCGCCTCATTCCGGAGGCCACCGGAGCCACACCCACACCGTTTGCATCGAAATTTCTATAAAAGAGCGGTGTTAATCCAATCCCACTCGTTTCCCTCGGGCAGAACGGTAAAAATTCCCTCGCTTTGGCCGGTCCACTGAGTTATCCTTTGCGTCTTCATGGCGGGGCGTCAATTGAGTACCTGCTACATGACTAGTTCCTTCACGATATGTTAGAAAAGGGTTAAGAGGGCCGGACCGACTTTTCAGTGGAAACAGAGAGCACTAAAAGCTATTCGAAAGTGGATCACGATCGCCTCATCGGAGCTTAACTAGGCGAGAGATGGCTCAATTCATACGAGCCTTGAAATCGATATGGATAATATCATTCCAGTTTGGGAATCGAAATCCCGTGATCTTGCTCGTTGGCCCTAACCCTGAGCCCTATGCGATTAGTCTCACCTGGAGCTATCCTTTAGATGCCTCAATGTTTAAAAGTTTAGTAGCATCGATTTGAATTACCCTCCACGAAAGAAGCAAGAGACCTGCGTCTTTAATAATAATACTTGAATCGTGATGTGCGGGGCTGGCCTTCACTTAAAAAACCAGGGAGAAGAACCAATACCACTTCAGGCACTGACCACATAGCAAGCAAGGACGTTCCGATCCGACAGCTGAGAAGACCTTGTGCTATTGATGTACCTGGATATTATGTCATGGTCTCAACTCTAGTGAATTGACGACTAGCCGTTTCCCCGACAAGATCGAGTGCTCTATAAGCCTATTGAGGGCAATATGCGGAAACTTCACCCACTATATGCCTCGGATGTTAATGAATGTATACCCTATGGCCAACCAATTTCACTTTGCTTTTCTGTACTTCTACTCTTACATCTTAATTTTATTGGATTTTATTGCCAAGGTATTATAGTCTTTTTTTTGGTTGGCTATCTCCAACAAATCCTCTAGTCTTAGTATAAGCGTATAAGCGCAACGCAATGAATATCGCAGCGATATATTCTTTCATACATTCTCTATGGGCCGTTACTGCCTCCTTGTTCCCACATGGAGTTCACGTATCAACCAGAATGTCTCAATTTGAAATACGTACGCTGCCTGATAGCTCACCTTTGCCGCTCAGCTGGGCTGGTCGGCTTCCTGTTCCCGAAACGCCCGCAGGCAATTCGTTATTCTTTTGGCTCTTCCAGGCTGAGGATCCTGCATATGATGAGAATTTCATAAGTTAGTCTCTTCAACAAGAAGAACACATTCTGAAGAGCAGAGTTAACTTTTGTAGTCTGGTTCAACGGCGGTCCCGGTTGCTCATCCCTTATAGGGTTAACCACAGGGAATGGACCGGTCTCGTTTGAGGGCAATTCCACTCGTCTCGTTCAGAACCCACACTCTTGGACCAAACTAGGACATGTTCTCTATGTCGACCAACCGGTAGGAACAGGCTATTCGACCGCAAGTAACCCTTATCCCGCCCCAGACAACGACCGAGTAACGTCCGACTTCTACAAATGGCTTCGAAATTTCCTCATCCTTTTCCCCAATCTCCGCTCGAAACGGATACATATGATTGGGGAGTCATGGGCAGGAAACTACATTCCGTACTTTGCCTCTGCCATCGTCGGAGGCCAGGACTCGTTTCCCGTCGATCTCCGTTCCCTATCCATCGGTGATGGGACCATCGGAAACCCCGCCGCCATGTCCACCATCAGCATCGGGCCGTTCATGCGCTCCCAAAAAGACACCCTCCAGATACCAAACAAGATCATATCCGCCTTCGCCGAAGCGGAAAGAATATGTGGCTTTGACAAGGTCTTAGAAGCAGCAAATCGGTACCCTCCCAATGGCAAGATCCTCATCCCGGGCAATCCAGAAAACCCGAACTATAAACGCCACCAGGATCTTCCAAGTCGCAGTGACCCAACATGCAACATCCAACCAACCACACCAGACCGCGTCCTGGCATCCATCCTCAACTCCACCTGCTACGGTTCCTGTGCCACCTTCGCCACCGCATTCGATTACATGAACACTGCCTCTGCCGCCGGCACAGGAAAGCAGTGCCACGACATCTACGACACCCACAATGACTGCAACACAATCGACCCCCTCGACCTTCTCGCCTCATACTTCAGTCGTGCAGATGTCCAGGTCACACTGAACCTGCTTCCCGCCGCAGGCCACGCCACCAATAAGAACAATATCTCCGCCACGAACTTCAGCCCCTGCAACAGCACCATCCTGACTACATTATTAACAAGCCTGTCCCCAGTAGCCCCAGCATACTCCCTCCTCCCCGACCTCGTCACATCTCATAACATCTCCCTCCATGTCTACTCAGGTGAGCACGACATGCTAGTCAACCATTTCGGGACCGAACTATGTCTCCAGAACATGACGTGGAATGGCGCGCAAGGGTTCTCCCGGAAACCTGGTCGGATATTCTTCGGCGATGATGCTGCGCCGACATGGTCCTCGCCACGACCCTGTGAGAAGGGGAATGCGACGGAGACATGTGACGCTGCGGCGGCGGGCGTCTGGGCTTGTGAGCGTGGAGTGACTTATCATTTGTTTTGGGGCGCGGGTCATAGTGTTTTTAGGAAGAAGCCGCGGGAGATGTTTGCTTATGTGCGGGATGTTGTTGTTGCTGGGTGATTTTCTTTTTCCGATTTTTTTTTCCCCTTTTGAAATCACTTTGTCTGGCCTGGTGTTGTGTTTCCATGGGTAGGGTTATGTGTATGAAGGGAGTACGTACAACTTGGGAGCTGGAGTAGGGTGGGCGAGATTGGATGATTGGCCATGTTATTTTTGGTATGTGCTACGATGTTAGTAGATGTTGCGATAACTGTACTAGTAGTCCGTCAATAATGGCACAGCCGCTCTGTAAATGGAAAAAGAACATTCTTTTGCAATGCTACCAAAGATTCTCACTGGAACTGACGTCTAAATCTACTAATTAAACAAACAAGGTCTCATTTCGCTATTTTCATCATGCATGATTACACAAAAGATGGCACGCTATGCAAGGCTATATTCTACACCAACACTGTACGCCATCATTTTTAAGCCCGGATTAAAAACATTTTATCCCAGTACCAGAACACAGAGGTAATGCAAAATAAAAACAAGTCATGGAACTAGGTATAAAATCATCCAAATCATACCCAGGTAACAGGGTAAGATAGGCTGCAGACACAGTCTGACAACGATACCTAGCAGCTGTCCTGGGTCAGTTTAATCTCAGCTGAGCAAAGGGGAAAGTCTTTGCGAAGCATGCGTCCCTTGAGCCAGTCAAGTAGAAGCACCCAATGGGTCAAAGAAGCCCTCCACTCGCATGAGGAGGAAAAACGAAGCTCACCACAGGGGTGAATAGGAATTGAAGTTAGAAGCTCTTATAGTTTAGCCCAAGGGTATAGATATTTAGCAAGACGCCCTCGCGGGAGAAACATGGAGTGGTGTCAACTGTACCACGTCACCGGCGACTGAAAAATGGCGCCTGATTAGGCATGGACAGCAGGGAGTCGGCCCTCTGAAACACGTCTCCCTCAAAGAATTTATCACTGTACGCGCTTGCGGGCGTAGACGGCACCGTCGCCTGAGCCGCTGGACCAAGGGCAGCACTCAGCGGAGTTGCGGGTAGGGTAACAGACTGAGGTGACAGGCTTGAACTGATTTGATGCTGTGAGTGTTGAGATTGTAGAGGGGGGCCGTATATGTTTGCTGGCGTGTTCCCAGACGCCATGTCCGCAAGATACGACCATGGTGAAGCCTCGATCATTCGACCAGCCTCCCTGCTGGCCCTCTGCACTGGACGAAGGAACACGATAATCTCAGAAGGGAGAAGATGCATGTTCCGGACTTCGCGCATATCAGTCACAAGATCAACAAATGATTGCATGAATGCTTTGCACAGTTGCCAAAACTCCCGCTGATTACGCATTCCGCCACCAGGCTCCTTTATCTTCATGTTTGAGAGACGGAGTCCAAGTGCTTCAGATACCTCCAAACAAACACGACATCGACGGATGAGGTTGTTCCACAGCATTTGGATACCTTCAGATTCTCGAGTGTGTTCTGCCACTTCAAGACATCGCACGAATTGACGACGGGCTTGAGGCAGCGCTTGTAAAGCAGCGGTATATGCAGTGGTCAGTTGGTGGAAAATCCGTTCGAATATTCGCTCTTCTTCTATTTCGTCCAAGCCAGTGAAGGGGTTGATCCGAGGTACAACTGTATTAGGCATCGGAGGGAAGGACTCGCCGGAACGGGGGGTGGCGAGGGACGAGGGTATCGATGTGTTTATATGGTTTGAGTGACTGCTTGACCGGCTCCGCGCTGCATAACTAAAGGGTGTGGAGACGAAGCCCGGTGAGCTAATCGCAGAATGGAAATTTGATGATGTTGGCAACGGTCCACTAGTGATGATCTGAGGGTGCTGGATGGTGGTATCGCTCCGGTAGCGACGTACTGAGAGAGACGGCTCTCTGCCCCTGGTCGGGGTAACTGTTGGTCCAGTGAACTTGTCTGGACCAACTATTTCTCTGTTAATTTCTGGTATGGGCGGCTTGGTGGAAGACAGGCGTTTGCGAGTGTGCAGTGGAACACCGAGGCTCACACAAGCATTGCGAAGCTCAATGATACTGCCGTATATCATTAGCATCAGAGAACGCACATAGCGAGAGTCGCCATTTGCGATAATTTTGCTAAGATTGTTGCGCAGCTGCATTCCAACGTGAGTGTAAGCCATGATGCACGTCTCGCATTCCCTTTTGACAGCCTCATTCGACAGCCGCACCAAGTCAGCATCATCCATCTGGGAACTCTCTGCATATTCGAGAGCTTCGTTGAGCCGATCAACGTGAGTAGAAGCATTATAGAAGACTATTTCAAGACTGTTTCGCCGGGTATCGTCGCGCTTTATCACGTTGATCAAAGCAGACACATGAGACTGAACCTGAAAGAGAGCAAATAGAACCCCCTTTCCACACTCGGTGATCGGTTCTACTGCCTTTCTTTCACACTTATGTTCCTGTAGGCTTGACATCCGATTTACAAAGCCATCCTTCAAGCGCCTGCGCTCCCTTGGACTGCTCGGGCTGGGTGAGTTACTGCTTATCATGCCCGGCACCCTTGGGCGAAGGATCGACCCGTGGCTAAGGCCCCGAAGGTGACTGTTCCGATACGGTTGGGTCTCATCCAGTCTCCCAAGATCGGCATTTTTCCTGATCACCCCCATCCGTTTACTTCGCGCGGCAAGGGACGCCTGGATGATACCCTCACTATTACTTCGGTTGCGCTCATTGACGCCAGGGATAAATGTACCGGGTCGCGGGAGGATGTTGTGGTGGAAAGCCGCGCCCTGCCCGGAGGCAATACGGTAATGGGATTTGAGGGGAATTGGTGGAGGGCGCGATAGCGACGGTGACTTGGGATCTGACGCGCTGTCGCCTGTGCTTGGAATCACCGGGAAACGGCTGCTCATTCCACGTTTGAGGGGCTTGGGGGTATCCAGCATAGCCTCACTGGGCCACAAAGTCAGTCAATGCCAATACGCCTGGGTGTAAATGCTCTAACCTTGCATCACTGCCTTTATCATTTTCTGGTGCCGTGGCAGGCTGTCTGGTCTTCAAAAATCGTTTAAGTTCTGCGGTTACCGCGACCTCTTTCTCGTTATCTGTCATAGCGGAAGGCGCAATTTCGGTTTCTGAAGAGTCTAAGAGTTTTCGTAAAGGATTCAGCAAAGGGTTCCCAGCGACCTTGAGGATCTGAAGTTTATTCATATCAGATATCCCAAGAGGGAGATCATTAAGGCGATTCTGCATTACGGACAAGACTCGTAGAGAGGTCAGCTTTTTTATTTCTTCGGGAAGATGGCTAATCTTGTTACGACTGAGGTCCAATATCTCGAGAAGCGGCAGCTTGTAGACCTGATGCCCCGCGTTAGTATCTGTCAAGACCGTTGTACAGCTGCTCATGTATCACTTACACCCTTAGGAAACTCCCGGAAGTTGTTCGCTCTGATGTTAAGGTAACGAAGATGAGAACACTCTGCAAAGCGGTACGGGATGTGAAACAGCTGATTGTTTGACAAGGAGAGTCTATGAATAATTAGCAGCTCCTCTTACAGATAGGATGAAACACGACGTAGTACTAGAGAACTAGCTCAACGTACCTTTCGACTTCATCTTTAATTATATCCACCACTGGTTCGGGAATGCGGACGATGTTCGAATGGCCCAGGTCGATAGTCAACTTTGGTTTCACAACATCACTAACTGCTTCACTTCCTGCCAACGAGCGCTTTGTTTCTTGGATCCCATTTTCCACGGCGCAACGGGCAAGTTCAATCGTCTCTTCTGGCGAGAGAAGTCGAGGTCCTGTGTGAGGCTTGCCAACACTACCGATCCCGTCACCTGCCGATCCATTTACCGGCGTTAATTCATCTTCGCTTTGTTCCGGCCCCTCCGTATTGGATGAGGACGATGACGAAGAAAGAATGTTGAGATCTGGGATTCGCCTACTCACATCATCCTCTTCAACATCACCACGGTATGAGCGAGGGATTCTGATCGAATCCTCGGGGCGGATCATAGTGGAAAGCATGGCGGGAGATGAAGGGGACGATAAATAAGTAGATCTAAATGTCGACTGCCGGTTCGCTTCCCAGTTCGTCGTTTTGCGAGCCGAACGGTCAATTAACGTATTAAACTATCCACGAGACGGGCGAGAGAACGGACGAGAAGCATGATCAACTAACGCTGCAACAGCGATCTTTTGAGTTCAGGGAAGGACCATCAGGTATTTCTACTTTTGGATGCTTTGTTGAAGGAAGATATAGCGTGGATGTAATTATGTTTCCAATTTCGATCGATCGAGGCGCGCGACAAAGCCCGAGGATGTCTGTCGGGTTCCCAAGCGACAAGAGTTCGGTCGATTCGTGAGGATCGAAAGGGGGTACCGATAGTCGAATTAAAGCAATGGAGCTGTCAACCTGACAGGTTGAATGTGAGCCTCAAAATTAGGTGTCGGTGGTAGATCAGAATCAACCCGGAGATACCAGGAGCGAGTGCGCTCCGTTGTAACTAGTGAAACGCGGAGAAAAAGTGCAGCTATCAGATCAGAAGCCAGTCCAAACAGATCGGTCAAGCATGTACACCAGAGGACTATCAGAAGATAAAATATGGGACAAGGCCAAGAGTGAAGGGAATAGGAATTCAATTGAAGAACGAACGGACACGGTTGAAGCGGAGGTTTCAGAGAACTTTGGGTCAGGATGAAGTTGAAACGCCAGCCGATAAATGGGGAGGCCGACAAGGCGCGATAAGTTTCCCCCAGTGATTGGTCACCTTTGCCAGCCCTTGGCTTGCTGCCCTACTCCATCAAGTACATTGTCTTTGTCCTTTGATATTAAATTTTAAATTCTTTCTTTCTATTTTTATCTTTATATCGAGATCTACCGTCTGCTGAGTCTAAATATAAGTTACCGAGTGCACTCCAGACGTACTACTATCTACTATTAGGCTAGGTATGTATTTCTACTTTCCTGATTCAGGTGCTGCCGCTTTTGTGAGGGCAGCGCGTAAATTTGTGCCACTCACGGAGCCTTCAGTATGCACGCAGTCCATCTTACTAAGTCAGCACGTGATGCTGTTTGTTACTTGATTTAAATAGACGCACTTGTTTTGAATTGTTTATCTGTTCAGTGTTTCATGTCTTAGGGAGAAGAATACGCCTGAGAAGTATTGATTCGACGAGATATTTGAATATTCCCAAAATTTTATACCATTTGTCATTGTGTTCAATAGTTTATCTCAAGTCTACTCCGTACAGGACCATCAATTCCCATTCTCAATACTGTCAGCCTTGTCTGTACGACTAGTAGGCCTCTTGCTGATGGGCCAAAAAAAAAGAAGCATCTACTCTGACTAAACATCGCCCAGCACCTCTTTTCTGCTTGTGGTTGTCAGTCCGCTCAGCCTCAGTCACGTAGGGAGCGATTGCCGGCAGTTTGTGAACCACCTCGCAAAAGTCGTCGGGGACCCGAATAATCTCGCGATGCACAGGAATAAATATTTCGCAATGGTACTGGGCCCGACAAGTAAAAGCTAGCGCTAGAGCGGTGAAGCGCTCGCGATCGTCGAGAGCTCGGAAGCTCTGGAGGGCACGATAGTCCACCCCTAAGGTATAGGCAACCGCAAGATCAGTCTGCAGACCGGGCGGTTGAGAATTGACTTCAATCAGAACCTCCGAATGGCAGCTCGCGGTTAGCCCCTTGTGGGCAAGTTCGACAACGCCGTCGGTCTCCTGATACTGCATACAGGAACCCTGCACTCGCGCTTCAAGGTGAAAGACGCTGGAGCAGAATCCAAGCTTTAGAAAACCTTAGTGCAGGGATTATTCAATGGCCTGTATCTCTGTGATTCAGTTGATTGAGTAGTATCATCACTGTCCCCGCGAAACTTTCGGAAACCGAAGCATCTGTTGCGTCGCCGTCACCACCTTAATTAGTAACTGGGACACATCACAAGCAGTAAGGAATGGCAAGCAAGAATATTTTGAAGACAAATGCTCTATCGCCCATGCTAGTTGAGCCCATGGTCACTCTTTGCCTTGCTTGCAGGCGATCTCAGGTATCACTTATATTGTCTCAACCACAGACCAACTGAGAATTGCATGTCAAGGCCCTATCGGCTGACTGAGACGTCACGATAAGACCGGGACGCAATGCACAGGGCCAGTGTCGCGGTGTCAAGATACATACTTAGAATACAATTTGAACGATAAGAAGTCCTTCCACAACGCTAACCATTCCCGGTGGAGTCTGTACACATCATGGATAAGCTTACGACGACCCCCTTATAACTCCCGTCAAGGGACGGATTCTGTGCACGTCGCGAATTGTCAGCAATAAATAACCAATATAGGATCATGTTGTATATGAAGGATTCAGACCTCTGCCGCGAATAATGTGCGGAAGACCAGATCGGGAAAGCCGGGGAGCATATCAACTCCTAGCCCTAACTTGGGAAGGTGATCGTGTGTTCCGTCTGTATGAAAAAATATCTGGGGTGTTCTCGAGTGTCCGTGGCTAAGGAATAAGTACCCGGTAGTGAATTCTAAAGAAGAGTTTGATGTTGTATACTTCGCTTTTACCATAATTGGCAAAGCCATTGGATGACTTAATATTAGCTATTAACCTAGGACAGGCTGAAGCGCCTGATAAGGACGTGCAGGCCGTATGGAATGCTGAGTTAGGGTGATACCTTAATTTTATCAATATTGTTGTTCTAAGTATGACCCCACTCTTTAGAATCCCCGGCCCTGCGGAACTCAATTAGCATCACCTCGCTTTCTTTCTTTTTATTATTTCTTTGTAGCTCTACCGCGCAATATTGCAATACAAGAGGTGATATTTTGTAGAAAAAAGCTTGAGGCTGTCGGGTTGTGGCTTAGCTGGCTTGGATGTTCTTGGCCGAAGCCCTTGGTTTCAGACCCTGGAGATATTACTATCAGCCCTTCCGGTCTGGGAATAGGATTGTGTATTCAATCAACGCATTGAACAGATGACAATATCTCATAGGTGTAATCTACCGCATTACATTTCAACCCCCCCCCAAAGCATAATGGAAACCCCTTCTTTATCTTGAAAACGCTTAATATGGGAACTGATAGGCGCCCAGGTAATACAGGCTGGGGCTAACAGTTGACTGATACTATGTCTTGACTACCCATTCCCCTCATCCCCTTTTACAAATTCTCATTGCTGTCTTGCGCCTCTGTGGAATTACAAGAACTGTAGGTTTTCGCTCAATGAAACTATCGCACTAGACTTTTGCCCTTGCTCCCATGCTAAACGATATAGAAACCTAAGTAACGGAACGTCAAAGACGGGATGCAACTGAGGACAAAGTCAAGGCCCTGCCCATGTGGTAGGCTCAGTTCTATTCATTGTTTGGATATGTCTTGTAGCTGGTGCTTCGGAAAGTTTCAAGTTCTATACCGTTTCCGCTCCATGGTGTAAGTGTAAGACATCTGACGTGGGATCAACAGGTCCTGACTGCCTGCAGAGAACCACATACAAATAACTGTGATAGTATTGTCGTCCCGGCGCCTCTAGATCTTAGTCAAGCAACCACCACCAACATCTCTAATGCTTTCTTCTTATTCTTGGTCCCTCTATCATTCACTATTGTCTCGGACGCATGACTAGGGCGATACAAAATATTATACATCAGTTATATACGGGTTTCGCGTGCCTCCCACATGCCAATTAAAGCTGATAATGGACAGTCTGAATCTATGTGGGTGTATAGTACTCTTTGTCACCTCACTTCCAGTGTTAACCCAAGACTCCATCAAGATTTTTGGGTTGGCTCTTGATATGATCCTGCTGGGTCTGGGAACCAGAGTTATCAAAGCCACCGTTTACTCATTTATAGGTAATTAATATACAATCTCGCTCCATAGTTGGTAGTTACGAAGACAGGCAAGAGAGTCATCGCAGGTCGCACGTTAACCGTCCAATATACATACAAGGTTTTCTACTGGTATGGAGTCCCGATTTAAACCTGTGTATCTAGCTGACGCGGTGAAAGGTTTACTAATTCTAGAAGTCTCTCTCTGGTTGCTTCGACTTATTTAGAGCAAGACGTTGGCTTCTAGGCCGTCTACCTCCTGCCTTTGTGTTCCGTCTGGATTTCTATTCCTTTGCTGCTGTTTTGGCAAAGGTTATATAGTAAGTTAGGAGAACTTGCTTTCCGCCAGTCTATTACTAGGGTCCTGGAAATACTAAAGTATGGAAAGTCAAACTCGCGCCACAGAAGAATATCCTACCCTAGGCAGGAAAAGTCCTTGCGTACTCCGCCCGAGAACAATTCCGACTTGATACCGTAAAACCCGTATCTCAAGCGGAGAAATACGGTAGGACCGTTCCGTGGGATAATTTGTTTATCTCGGAGATAAAAAGATGCTTTATAGCCTGCGGAGTCATGTTTATTGCCGCGTCAGTAGGTCGACTTGTTTTACTCATTAACTAACATTTGGAGCGGGGAATAGTAAAAACGATCAAATTATTAGGTCGTCAAATAACAGGATTTATATTAACCGCAGTGGACAAGTGGACACAATAGGAACGGTGCATCCATAACTACATTATACAGGGTTTATTCAGCTCTGTGGGCCCATTCCTCCATACTAATAGTACTAGTTCTATACTAGATGCTGTGGCCAAGGATTCGTAGTCAAACGGGCTCACTTCAAACTTGATCCGTCGATAAACGCCTGTACTAAGGGTTTAACAGCTCTCTAAGTCTCGAAAAATTACCGATAGATTTCGGGCTCATCCCTGTAGCGTCTGTTCAAGCCTAGCAATGCTGATATCGCCCTGCCTTGATTATTTAGATATGTGTCGCATATCCCAAAATAAGCTGCGCAACATAGAGAAAAGACATACAAGAACATTCAATTAGTCAGTTTGAGGTTTCAGCCTCCCTAGCCTTCCACATGAGAGTAATTGCAAGATGACTGTCATTGTCCCTATCGAGAAGCAGGCTCAAAGAGAGGAGATGGACGTAGCCATCGCCTGAGATCTCCATCCTGGCCGTCACCGCAGTATGCCTGCGCCTGTTGGCCCACCATATTGCCCATAAGCAATGGAGTCCCAACGACTACTTCATCATTGCTGCCTGCGTAGGCAACGAGCCCTGGAAACCTGTCAGTTATGCTAAACAACCTGCAGATACAGATCTTCGCCGTCGGTCTCCAAGCAATCAGCATTACCGGCGTGGTGCAAGCCGGCATAGGGTACAACCACGTCGAGTCGATTGCGGCCGTCTATGGGTTGGAGCCCATTACCAAGCTGTTACGGCTGATCATTCCGCTGCAATATCTCTGGGTGTTGCTGAGCTTAGAGCGCACTAAAGTCTCTACCTTGTTCCTGTATCTCCATATCTTCCCCGTCACTTGGGTCGTGGTATTGCTTGGGCAACCATAGGTGTAATCGTGGCCTGGGCCATTGCGACCATACTGGTCAGGTGTCTAATCTGTCAGCCTTACTCCTACAATTGGGACCAGACCATACAAGGAGGATCGTGCGGAAACCAGGTCACCTCCTTCACGGTGACAGAGGTTATTAATCTCGTCACCGACGTGGTCGTGCTGGTGATCTCCATGCCGCTTCTGTACAGGCTGCAGATGGCTACAAACAAAAAGGTGACCCTGATAGCCGTCTCTGGCTTGGGGAGAGCGTAAGATATATCCGGGGCTAAAGCCTCACATTTTATTTCCTTCTTTCTTTCTCTCCCTGGGCGGGGGAACGTTCTATGCTAACCGCGACAATATCCTCGATCCAGAACCTGCGTCATGAGTGCTCTCCGAATTTCTATGTTATCGACCATGGACTTTAATGATATCACCTACACGCTGTCCCGTGCAAACATCTTCAGTGGCGTCGAGCCTTGTCTCGCTGTCATCCTCGCCTCGGTCCCCATGATGCGACCCCTGCTGGGGTGTTCGGCGTACACACCTGATGCTTCAAGGGAGAAGCCGGCCAGGTCTTCATCCCCGTCTACGACACCTAAACTCACTGGAAATAAAAGATTGCAACCGTTGGAGGATGGCCAATTGTGGCTGCGGCCGATGGGGCCGAAGCATCTTGCGAATACCTCCTCGACGGAAAACATGAGCAGGGTGAGCCAGGAGTCGCTCGAAACTAGGGAGAGCAAGCTTACAGATTAGAGGGGGGATTGTGGTGGTGTGATCAGGATGAGGCATGAGTGGTCTATGCTTGAAGATGAGGAATCGCTGTATTATGGTTAGAGGGACCCGGCTCCGTCCTTAGGACAAGGATGACTTTCAGAAGTTTTCCGGGCACAGTGGATTAGTTATGACCAGAAAGCATATTCTACAGCACATATATTATATGCTTTGGACTCACAGTCAATGGCATTATTGTGGAATAACGGGTGTCTGAACATGCGTGGATTCTGTAATTTGGGTAGAGCAGAAAAACCGAGATTTCTCGAGGAACCTTTAGAGAACGACGGATGTACATATTGAGACACTTCAAGGAGGGATAGAACACGTAGCAGGGGGCTAGAGCCAAGGACACGCACATATTGCGTATTAATCCTAGGACATATTGCTCTACGAGCGCCTCTTAATGTATAAAGCTAGCCCGTCCTATCAATTAAATGCACGCACTTGAACACCCACCCCACAATCTAAAAGCGGCACCATGTCTGGCAATTCCGCAATTTCTAAAGAAAAACACTACACTGTTGGCAAAGAAGCAGACTGGAAGAGATACATTGAGTGCTATCTCTGTACAAAATGAATTAATATAATTCTTACCCCAAAACCATGGGCTGTTAAGTAGTAATTTGGAAAAATACATAACAGTATCAGAGACCCAAAAAAAAACATCCAATATTATACATAAGCCATCGACATGCCCAACTGTAGAAAAAGAGAGAAGATACAGGCCAAGTTTAATCGAATTCTATAACGACATTTACACTTTTGTGCCCTATGCCTGCTGAGGCTGCTTCTCTTCAACGCCTGCCCCCAGTCCCAGGCCTTCTTCGCTAGTTGGAATTTCCGGAGCACCGGTAAATGCTGCCGCTCTCTGTTCCTGGATTTGGGCCTCAGACTTAGCCCACACCTTCCAGCGGTCGTATTCTTGGTTTTCAAGGTTCATGCCGATTTCCAGACGGGTAGGGCCGAATGTAGCACCAGTGGCTTCGGCTTCTTCTGCAGCAACTCGCCGTTCAATATCTTCCTGTAGACGCAGACGGTAGAATTCACGACGTGCAATATCATAAGCTGCACTCTTGGTCATATCGGGGACGTTGTTAAGGAGCCAGAGCTGACGCTGGACGACGCTATTTGAAGATAACACGGGTATGTTAGCGCCATACACAGGATATGTATATAGAATCGAAAATGGCATTGATCCCAGAAAACAGGTCAAGAACATACCTCTCACCATCTAGTCGCTTGCCTGGTTGCTGGAGCCGGCTCCAGTTATAGTTTTCATGATCCTTGCCCGAGCTTTCCAGCACGACTCGGGGTCTCGCAAGTTCCCAGGGGTGGTCGCGGAAAAACTCCTTTCGTAGCTGATCTTCTTCGTACTTGACTTCGGTGGGGAGGAACATACGGCTTGCCTTCTTCGGTTTCACACGCTTCTCTTGAACATCGAAGACGACCTGCGGCTTCGAGGCTCCGGGAAGCGTCTGCACTCGCTGTCGGACGAGTTGGTGCTGCTGTGGCTGGTTTCGCACAAGAACTTGAGATGGTGGGATATCTCCCACAACGTCAACCCATTTGGGGAGTTGCTTCATCTTACCGGCGACCTGTTGTCGGATCGCCGTCTGTCGAACTCGGAGAGCTGTGAGATTGTATTTACCCATGGCGGGATCGGAGGAAGGCGGCGGCCGGAGCGCCGTAGGGTATACACTGAAGGAAGACGGTGGGAATGAACGGGGCCAATTTCCGAATATATTCTACGGGATTACCCAAGAAAATTCTCCGTTTGGTGACGAGGATGAGGGACGCAGGTGCGGTTGACCGTGGAGTTTTGGTGATGGTGGTCGCGCGGGTGAAAAAGAGGATTGGCAATGCGTGGTTCCGATTGGACCAACTGGGGCTCCGCTCCGGTGCAAAGCCAAAGAGATTATTGAGAAAGAACATAATAATTTGACGCGGAGCTTCACCTGAGAATCTACCCTTCCCTTTCCCATTCTCTTCCCCCCTCCTTCTCTCCCTCCTCTCCCAAACTCTCTGACTTGGCTTTCATTTTACGGCCATTTTACAGCCTTTTTGATTCTCTTCTCCAACTCTGCTCGAGACCTCACTCGGGATATGAACGGTTGACTCGATGCCACGATGTCTGCCGTCTCATGCCTCATCCCAATAGGTTCCAGAGCTCGCCCAACCTGCGACTACCCCCTGCGCAGGGCTTGGATACGTGCTTCTCCGTCAATTGCAGTTCCATGTCTAAACCAGAGCCATTCCCCTACAATGCTTCCATCCGAAGACTCGGTTCCAGACGTCCTCGCCCGTCCGCGGCGTCTATAGCAGACCTTTTCGTCAGCTCGCTGGTGATGGCAGGCTACTGTCGGGAGCACTCCCCTCGAGGACGAGGGCTGTCGACAATGTCTGCGAAGACTTCGAGATGTGATATGGCGAGATGGCAGAACAGGGGGGTGACGAGTACGGGGCATCTGTCGAAAAGACACCTAAATTATCCCGGTTCACCGGCGAAGTGCTTGGGGGTGGTACATCGTCCACGGACACAACGGATGTTCAATTCTGGGATTGCGCAGAAATTAGAAGATGACGAGAGCGAAGAACCCCGTATATCGAACCGATCAATAGGAAAGCCGTCGCCTGTTTTACAATACAAAGACGCGAAATCAGACCAACGTGAACACTTCGAAGGGAAGTTACCGCCACATCAATTTTTGGAAGAGTTGAATCGCGAGTCGTTACCCGGTACCTCCACTCCTCCAGAGGAGTTGGAATATATTGAATCGCATTTCGTTCCCAGTGTCGACGAAGTGTATTCGCTTGGGACACCAACCATTTCTCGTTCCCATGGGAAGACGAGTCCGGCCAAAGAATTACATGAAGCTACGTCAAAACTATATCGTTCTGTCTTTGGGGAGACCTTAGACTGGAAACAGGCTGTTGACACGGTTGTTGATGATGGGCAAGTGAAACATTCGTCATCTCGAGATGTTGTGCTTCAAAAGGATATTAAAAAAGATGCTGTGGAACTTCAGTCAGTCGCGTTGTTCCTCGAAGCCATGTGGGACGAAAAGAAGTCCAATCAATATATTTTTCGATTATACAGGGAACTCCCATATCCTGGAGTTTCGTACTTGTCAAAACGCTCACGAGGCGCCCTTTTACGTCGATTTGCTAATCCCCCAAACCGCCGATGGGTTGATGCTCGCCGCTACCTTGGGATAATAGAAGACATGGTAGCTGCAAAACTGCCCGTGTCGCGGTCATTGTGGAGTTCTGCTATTCATCTCGCCGGCCGAGCATCCGGCAAAGTATGCAAGAGAGATCTGGTGAGGTCAATTGGTCTGTGGCAGCAAATGGAGCATGTGGCCGGGGTCAAGTCAGACGCCGTTGTCTTTAACATCCTATTCGATATAGCCATCAAAGCTGGTCAATTCACAGTCGCGGACCGCCTAATGGAGGAGATGGCGAAACGCGATATTACTTTCAGTCGGCCCGGGAAAGTCTCCAAGATGTATTACTGCGGGATGTTGCAGGATGCGGATGGAATTCGCCGGACTTTTGATGCATTCGTGTCCAGTGGAGAGATTGTTGACACAGTGGTACTGAACTGCCTGATTGTATCCTTTCTTCGTGCTGGGGAACTGAAGACTGCAGAGCAGTTATATCACCGCATGATGCAGGCACAGAACACAGTTGACCTTGATCATGAACAGAAGGCCCATCATGGCCCGAGCTTAACTTCGGAGTTTGTCGTTTATCGCAAGAAGTCCAGAAAGCTCAATCGTCTTTTACAGGCATCTGCTTCTCTCAAGGATCGACTACCCGAACATCATCGAGCTTTGCAAGAGGCCCTGCCGATGACTCCTGATACGCGGACATTTCATATTCTCCTTTCTTATCATGCTTATAAATCGGGCGACTTGCACGCTTTTATGTCAGTCGTAGGTGATATGGAGAAGACCTTTGCAATCCCGCCTCGTGGAATGCTTTATCTATTGCTTTTCGAGGGTTTTGCTTATAATGGCCGAAAGAAAAAGGGATGGACTGCAGAAAAGTTGTGGAATGCATGGAGGGCATATCTTCGCGCCCTTTATGAATCAAAGAATAGATTCAATGACCGCTTTCACCTTCGGACAGCAAAGCTCGTTTGGGAGAATCCGTTAGGGAAGAGCGCTACGTCACTGGCCACACAGACTCCAGAGCTGCCAAGAATCCCGACTGGTTTGTATACCCCGTTGCCATCCGGGAACTCTGAGGCAAAGACAATAGCCGAAGAACCCCACAAAGAGCAGGTGGGCGAGCACGACAGAGCAAGCAACGAAGACCCCGACGAATTGAGTGCCAATCATGACACAAGCGACTTTGATGATGACATTGATGCAGACGATTTGTTCAGCTATCGGGGCCGTGACCAGCATGCCGAGGATAGTGAATTGGAAGGACTAGAACGCCAGATTGAGAATGGTGTATTCCTAGGCCGCCGGATGATTATCATCATTCTTCGCGCATTTGGTTCATGCTGCGGACCTAAAGAGGTCATGGAAGTCTGGCTGCACATCGAGCGACTTTGGCAACCCAAGAGGCGCAAAGCGCTGGACGTCATGGCTGTGAAGGAAGAGCTGGAGAAACAGATAAACAGAGGCAGTAGGAGATACTAGAGAAGCCTGACTGGATACGACCTTCAGTGTTGTGCATGTACATTATAGACCTGTTTTATATACCCTCCAGGTGCAAACCAGTTGATGATAGCTACTAGATTAACTGCGTTACCTTTATCTTGTACATTGAATATTTCGTGACAAATAGTTTTTAGCATTAATTTATACAGTGCAATTTAGAAAATATAGAAATATAGAACATTTGGAAGACTTTATTTGAAATTCTACATCGGGGAAAGTAATTAACCAACCACACGTGATATCGCGTTCCGCCTTCCATTGCAACGCGTTCAGTCCCCGAATTTAAGCCTTCTCTCCTACTTCGACTATAACAGCGAATCTCTGGCTCTAAAGATGCAGCGGAGATGATAAGCAACAAGTGTCGCAAAGTAGACTTGGACTTCTATCTACACCGGGTTTTCCGAAAGAAGTCGTTCCGGTAAGTTAGTCCTGGTTAGAAAGTATTCAAAACTCATTTTATGCTCTGTATTTAGCCCTCTGCAGCGAGAGGTAATCGCAGCGGCTGTGGAAGGCCATGATATCTTCTTGCAGGCATCTACATCGTTTGGCAAGAGCTTGTGCTTCCAATTGCCTGCTGTCATCAGTCATGGCGGTTGGTCCACCCATCTGTCCCATAAAAATGGAGACCTCTCACTGATCTTTGCTGTATTCTAAACTTTACTTTCTTCTGCAGTTACTGTCGTTGTATGTCCGCTTCTTGCATTGATGGTGAGTTTAAGCAGGTACGACGTAAGGAGTACAAGTCACTGAAGCGATACTCTTACAGACGGATCAAGTAAACGCACTCCAAGCCCTAGGAGTAGCAGTGGCAACGATCAATTCAACTACTTCACTTTTAGAGAGACGCGAGATCATACAAGATCTTCTCTCAGGACATCCTAGGACCCGTCTTCTCTATGTAACCCCAGAGCTGTGTCAAACGGAGATGTTCCGGCGGAACCTTCAGATAATGCATTCCCAGGGAGAGCTAAACCGTATAGCTATTGATGAGGCTCATTGTATTAGTGTATGGGGCCATGACTTTCGCCCTGCGTACAAGGAACTCTCCTGGTTCAAGCGGTCCTTGAACAACCCTCCAGTTCCGATCAGTGCCCTAACGGCAACCGCGACTCCACGTGTCCGCAAGGACATCTTAACCCTCCTCGGTTTAGATCCCTGCAAATTGAAGATTTTCAACACACCATCGGCTCGCCCAAACATCCACTACGAGATCAGATATCAAGGCTTCATCGATGACGATGAACACCTCGAAATGCCCCAGATTCTCGACTTTGTCTCCTGGCTGAAGTCCATCCACAGTCGTCGAGAAGCCAGATTGGCCGGTGATGCTACTGCTAACCTTCCGCCCATGACCGGTATAGTTTACGTTACCCTACGAACTGCATCGGAAAATCTAGCCCGCAGATTGTCGTCATGTTGGGATGGCAAGATCCGTGCAGTCGCATACCATGCTGGTCTTTCCTCACAGGACAGAATCCGAATTCAATCGCAGTGGACATCCCCACAGTCGCTCGCAAAGGCAGGCAGCCAAAACCCTGCGTTCCACATCATAGTCGCAACCAATGCGTTCGGAATGGGTATCGATAACCCCCACGTTCGCTTTGTAGTGCACTGGAACCCTCCTCGAAGCTTCGAGGGCTTTGTACAAGAGTCCGGCCGCGCAGGCCGGGATGGCCGTGCCGCCGCATCAATCGTATACTATGGCACCCTAGAACGAGACAGAATACTCAATCTTATTTACCGAGACATCGAAAGTGCTATCAGCCGCCTCAACAAGAAAGTAGCCAATGGGAATCCCAAATACCACCCCGACACAAACCTTCAAAACCAGTACGCTCGGTTACGGAGTTATCAGAAAGTTGTCTGGTACTGCGAGTCAACTAGCCGATGCAGACACGAAATGATCAAGGATCTCTTCGGCGACCTAGAACTCAAAAGGATGGGTTCTCAGGCACCGAGCTCAGCAATGAACACCACGGGCTCAAGCGCATCGCCATGCGACTTTGCTTGTGACTTTTGCAAAGAGGGCCCTAAAAGCCTCGCGCTTCGCAAGGCAAAGATGATGCTCGAGGACGAGCTGTGGAGTGACGGGGGAAAGGATTATATGTTGGGCATGGAGGCGAGATATCCGGATGCCTTTATTGACCCCGACTGAATCTGATCAAATAGAGTATGTGTTCTATGTATATCGTAACGAAATGGAAGATATGAGTACAACGGCTGTTTTCCACTCCAAACTGATGCTGAAGACCCTGGTTGTTTTAGGTTTCAGAGTAATAGTATATTTCTCTCTCTACTTGTATGCCTTCTTCTAGCAGGATCATCACTATGGCGATCAAGCCTTTTTCATGCGAATGTTAATCCTACCGGGCACGGCGGCGCAGAGCAATGAGATGATGCTGAACAATAAAATTCCAATCTTTTCTAGCGCAAAGACAATATTGTCCAAATCCGAATTCGTCAGATGTCAAACAGAGAGATAAGCTAAAGTTACACTTGGCCAACGAGTAGGTACTTGATCAGCAACGGCACAGAAGGTAGGGTATTCCTATTCCTCCTTTGATTTACTACTGGACAACAGTTTCACAGGCCTGGTGGAGGTGGGACCTAGATCATACCGAGTCAGTAAAGGCTTTTTTCGCCATAAGAGAAGAAACAGAAGACTTACAGCGCTATAGTTGCCACCAGGGGGAGGGGGAGGGGGAGATCCTGAGCCGGGAGGCGGAGGAGGCGCTTCGCTAGTCGGGGGAGGCGGAGGTGGTGCGGGGCTTTGTGACTGCGACTGCGATTGCTGCTGTTGCTGTTGGGCGTACTGTTGATAGTACTGGTAATACGCGACGTAGTTTTGATATCCACCGTAGGCAGCGTACGGATCGGATCCGTAATACTGCGCATATTGTGCGCCATAGTCGGCTAGGCTGTGTCCAGCTCCCGGTGTTCCACTTCCACCTTGCGCGGCTGGGCTAGCAGACGTAGAGGGCGAGTTATGGTGCGACTGATTGCCGTAACCACCACCACTACCTCCACTACCCCCACCGTAGCCTCCCCCATGATAACGGTCTCCACGCTGACCATGACCATAGCCGCCGCCATAGTTGTGCTGAGGCGGGTTCTCCTTGAAGCGTTGATACTGCTCTCGAACGTTGGACAGCAGATCCTCGCACAGCTCTTTAGCGGTCTGAACGTCGTTGGGATCGGGTCCACTGTGCGTTGTTAAGTTGAAGAGCTTGGAGATGGGCAAACGAATTACTTACGCAACATGCAAAAACATTGGCTCATCGCTTTCTCTGCCGGTACTGGGTTCCATGAACCCAGATCCTCGACCTTTGATTTGGACCTTGCATCGAGTTTTCTGCTGGATATGCTTGACATATGCACCGCCTTGTCCGACAACTTGGGCACGAAGGTTAAAACCAGGGATGGGTTCAAGGTCCACTGGAATCCGTTCTTCTGGCCATTTACGCTGCGACTAGTTAGCATAGCCTCCAGCCCTTGTGGGATATACTCCTGCGATTTCATACACGACCGTATTCGTCACGTTCAACTTGCTCCGGCTCGCGTCGACGAAATCGGCGCTCATCTACCAGATTGGGGAGTTCCTTCTTCATAAGGTCGTCGATCAAAGCCACGGCCTTTTCGAGGCCGTCTTTATTCGTGCTCGTCACGTGTAAGTACAAGGGGGGGTTCTATGAAGAATGAAGGTATCCTGTCAGACAACTGCAAATCATCATATGTTGGCGACTGAAAACAAGCCACATACCGCAGCGGTGGCCATGCTCTTATCCGGATAATAGTTTCCTCGAGTCGTGACATCTTGAAATAGAAATTAATAGATGAGCTTCCTTCTTCACTAAATAGTTGATAAGTGTAACATGGAGTGAAGGCGTACCGGCGCCAGTTTCTTCCTTGATCTAGATGTCACGCAGCGCAGGTCAGCAGATGCAAATGAGGGGGGGTGGTTTGCTATGGATGATTAGGACTGGGTAAGCTTTGGCCACGACCCTTTACGGAGAAAAAGAAAAAAGTAAACGAAAAAGAAAGGCAAAGAGTGAAGGGGCGCACGGCCGCAGCGGAAGCCAGCTAGCGAGATGATGCCTGGAATATCAGCGGATGCAACAGGAGTAATTACCATCTTCTGAGTAGAGCCCTTTGTCAGTGTATAACGGTTGCGCAAGTCATTGATCTCGATATCCTTGATGTAGTCTCCATCAGCAACGTAAATATCTGTGTTAAGTTTCGAAGATGCATCTCCAGCGGTGGGTGAGGCGGCTGCCGGTGCGGGACTCGCAGTCTAATTAAACACAATCAGTTAGTTATATATCCTCTTGCGTTAATAAATGGATGTTGTTCTATACATACTGCACGGATAGGTGGAACGTCGACATGCTGGATACCCTTCTTTGCCTGCAACTGTGCGTTGATCTTGGCCGCTGCGGCAGCTGTATTTTGCCACGACGTCAGTCTCCAAAATCCAACACTTTCCTCAAATAATAAGAGGAGACCATACCAGCTGCGGCAGCCGGATCCGCACCCACTGATTTCTTAGTCGTATCTGCGCTAGGGCTTCGAGGTTCCCGACTAAGAGGACTCCGCGTGCGAGTGATTTCAGACTGTCGCGAGGAAGGAGATCGAGAACGACGATCGAAGCGGGAGGGCCGGCGCGGTTCCGGTTCCGTTTGATCGAAGCGGGAGCGTTTGACACGGCGTTCGTCGTCAGCCATGATGTGTGAGAGATGTTCTAGATGTTGAGGCTGAGAATGAAGGGAATTGGAGCAATCACGATGCGAGTGAGATGCTCTAAAAGACACCCGCTGCAAAAGGGCTTGAAAGGCGGTGGAGTTGGCCCGATCACCTAGTTGGACGCTAGAGTACAATGGGCAGCATGGGGGCGGTGATGAACTGGGAACCAATGAGGGGGAAGATGTAGGTAAAAGTACAGGTAATTCTACAATTAATTGAAAAAATTTCTAGTGAGAATACCATATAAAAAATAACCCTCACTGGGGAGGAATGAATAACTTAAGATTTAGATAGAAAGGATCATACAGTGGTTATCTGAGATAACGATCAATGAAGCCAGAGTTACAGATGAATTTTCCTCCAAGGAAAAGAAATCCAATAAAAATAAAAAAGTAAAGAAAAGAAAAGGTTGCAGCAACCAAAGAATCATGTGGGATGCAGTACTCTCGATCCCCAAAACGGCATAGCGGCATGGCTCCGGAGTCAGTGACATACTCCGTCCATAGGCCTGAGTCAGCAACCCCGACCTCGGAAGACCTTCGACTATAAAATACGATTTATGACTACAATCCCGTCCGCCGAGTGAAGTCACTGCCTCCATCCATTTCCCCATATTGTCTGCTTTCTCTCGCAGGCCAATTCGGGAGATCATGGCTTTCCGGCGCCCATTGATGCTGTCTTGGACAGCATCAGCGCCCTTTCCCTCACTTTCTGGTAGAACCGCCCGAGTGGCGGCGACTCTGCCCCGGTTCACCACAGCTAGGACCTCTTCTAGCTCGACCTCCGCCCTCGCCTACAAGGCGCTCCATCGTCGCTCTCCTCTTCCTCTTCCTGTGTCGGACTCTTCCCCGCAATGGGATGCCCCAACCGCCGTCTCGTCGATTCTGTACGAGACTCCCGTTGCGCCGACCAACCCCCCAAAGCGCCATATCCTGAACTGTTTGGTGCAGAACGAGCCTGGTGTTCTTTCTCGTGTTTCGGGAATTCTGGCCGCTCGTGGCTTCAACATTGACAGTCTGGTTGTGTGTAACACCGAGGTCGAAGACCTGTCCCGTATGACCATTGTGCTGCAGGGTCAGGATGGTGTTGTGGAGCAGGCCCGTCGCCAGCTGGACGATCTCGTTCCCGTCTGGGCTGTCCTCGACTACACAGACTCCGCTCTTGTGCAACGCGAGTTGCTTCTTGCGAAGGTTAGCATCTTGGGCCCCGAGTTTTTCGAGGAATTGCTTCAGCACCACCGCGAGATCACCACCCCCGGCGAAACCATCGACGGCCAGAAGGCTACCGACAGCCAGAGACAGATCACTGAATTCCACCCTCGCAATCTTCCTCCCAGTCAGGCCTTGAGACACAAGCACGAACATCTTGATGCTATCACCCGCTTGACTCACCAGTTCGGTGGCAAGGTTCTTGATATTAGCAACAACAACTGTATTGTTGAAATGTGAGTGTCCCTTGACGATGCATGCGTTGATGCATTAACTGACGATTCCGATAGCTCCGCAAAGCCGTCTCGTATTGATTCCTTCATGAAGCTTATCGCTCCATTCGGTATTCTGGAGTCTACTCGGACCGGTTTGATGGCTCTTCCTCGCTCTCCTCTTCACGAACAGGTCGAGGATATCGAGAAGGAGGCTGCCGACGTTGTCGACGCCAGCACCCTTCCTCCCGGTTAAAATGAATATCCGAAATAAAACAATCCGCAATAAAGAAGCTAATTTGTTCTCCCTGAGGCTATAATACTTGTAAAAACTAGCAGTTTGTCTTTTCTTCTTGAGTCAGGCACTTTCTTCTAAATGCGTACATTCTCTATGCCCGTGACGCTTTTTTGTTAACTTGTGACTTCGTCCGTTCTATTACTATCACAAATAGTATCTCTAGTTCCGAATGCTACATCGGCTTAAGCTTCATCCACCTACATCGGCATATATCTGCTTAGATGGGGACAGTGCCGAGAAAACTAAATGGAGTTGGACCAACAGATTGAGATTATAACGCAAATGGCTGAGTCCCGAGATTCAAGCCCACAAAACGATTTGACTGCCAATACCGTGCCTTCTATACCCAAACGCCAGCCTATATGACTCAAAGAAGGAGTACCAAAAAGCCTTTTCTTTCAGAAAAAAAAAAAAAAAAAAAGAGTGGATGCTTCTATATCGATCACTCTCAAAAAACTGGCATCCTAAAATTTCACCCTTGCGGTAATTCCGTGGCCGTAGTATGTTAAAGTAGTACGATAGCGTTCAATCTTAACACCAACCTTTGCCACGGCATCCAGTTTGAGGGAGCCACCCAGGGCTCTCTTCAAAGCATCATATCCTATCCCATGCATCTTCAGCTCAACGGGCAACCTCGGGGTCGTTGAGAGACCCGGTGGCACCGAGAAAGGGACATAGTAATTAATACTACCAACTTTCTTGTCGTTCTGATAGAAGGCGTTAGCTTCTACCGAGGTAATCAACATGGTTGTATTAGCGAACGGTGAGGACAATGTGAACTCAGCCGTCGATGAAAAAAGGTGCAACTAATAGCAGACGAGAATTAGCAAGACCGAAAGCCCCTTTCAGAGAAAACGTCTCTACTCAAAACATGTCTCCCAGGAGGGTAAGAATTTAGCTGTGATTGTCGTGTAGAAAAACGGCTTCCATGAAAGTAGATAATACCGTTGTGTCTTGGATGAACCTAGGTTTTCCATCCTCATCATCAGGGTCCCCAGGAACAGGCAACCTAGGGATCTGAACTTCAAATCCTAGCTTGGACAGAGCTTGTCCAAGATTTGGTATGGCTGGGATTGTTCCCTCGTGACTGCGGATGGTCACAGACGTGTTGTAACCTAGTAGTGGTCAGATAAATAGGACCATCTAGGCGTATATACGAACTCACCAGAAACATATCGTGAGAGCATCTCTTGACCAGCAGTTACACCAACTTGGCCGTTTAACTCTCGCGGGTTCCATTCAAGGTCGGCTTGAATACCGGAGTTCACCCCAGGTACTATTATGAGATCTCGAGCAGTTACATGAGCCACCTTGGTCTCATTATAGACAAGAATAAAATCAATAAAGGGCACTGATGCAGAGTACGCTGAAGGGTTTGTCACGTTTATCCTTGCCTTCATAACAAGAGAAGATTCAGTTGTAGGACCCAGTTCTATCGACTCAACTCGTGGACTGAGCTGGTCGAGCGAGCCACCGTACGGAGCTATTCAGATATCAATAAACAAATACGTTCAGCCTCAAAAAAAAAATACCAGCACTCACGTTTAACGTTCACCGCACCCTCGGCCGGTATCCCACGAATAGCATATGTTCCCAGTCCTGTGGAAACCTGTGCATCCACACTTGCGGTAACAGTCAGTCTTACCGGTCTCCCCTCAAAAAGTAATGCTTGAAGGATATCCGTCAAAACGTCACTATCAGTCACTTGAAGTGGCGCATGCTTCATAGAAAAGTTAATAAGTAGAGCCGGCGCTCCATCAACGTCTTTCAGAAGAGTGGAATTAGCTGACTGCCATTTTGGTAAATTCAGAACACCAAGCTTCTTCCCATGATAGTGGACGTCAGCGTCGGCGCGAACACGAGGAACATCCAGCTGAAGGTTCAGCTGGTTGGGCAGCCCAATCAGCACCTTCACCAAGGCTGATACTCTGGGTTGGGCCTCGGGCGAATTGGGCTCTGCAAGAGGGTTGGGCATGTCAAAATTTACATCCGACATGGTGAAGTTTTTCACAAGATTGTCCAAGGCATGTCCTGTAAAGGCTAAGGGCACCGTTACGCTTTTCAGAATGTCTACCACCCACTCAGGTGTCCCCAGAGATGGATCATCGGCTCCACGAACATAGACTGTAGTCCGAGAGCCTTCCATGTAGCTCTTGACTAAGAAATCCAAGGGGGATTTCCTCTTTCCAGGGCAAGCATTCGTTAACTCATCAGAAAGGCTCTGGATAATTCCAGTAATATCGACAGATGTGTGTTGCCCCGGATAAACTGGGAATCCTTTTGTTTTGACATCCGCTACTGAGATATAGGGATCACCTGGCGAACAGTTTGGCACTAGCACCTCAAATCCGAGAGGGGGGATTCTCAGACCAAAAGGCGAATCAAGAAACGCAGCGACTGAGGCGTCCACTGCCATAGCCCCATCGTATCCAGGAGGATCTGCATCATGCACATTGAACTTCGTAACATTGACTTTAGGGAGAGCCGGAAAATCCCCCTCTGCATACAGTGTTAGCGACTTACTTGAAAAGAAGAGAAGTGTGACTCGCCATGAAAGGTTACAGAATCAGCTATCGTCTGTTCACCCAGACTCAGAATACCAGACTTCAGGGGAACTGTTGCCTTTCCCTTGACTTGCAGACGACCAAGCTTCCCTTCCAACCAATCAACTGCTACCGCGCGGATACTGGGAATGTCGCCAGCGACTAGTTCCGCCAAGAAGTCGATATGATTGATATGGCCATTCTGAATGTTGGCCTTGATAGAAGGTAGGGATGCTGTCCCGACGAGAACATTGCCGTACTCCGGGAGATACACCTGGACCTCCGATTCACCTGTCTCGATTTCCTTACCAATCCAGGTGACAAAGCGACCAAGATTCCGCACTGGCGCTTTTCTTATACGGCCTGCATCAAGTACGAGGTCCCCTTGTATCCTTGTCTGAATGCCATCCGCAGTAGCCGACTCCACTGATACATTGGTTGGGTTGAATACGGTTGCATCCAGTACATATTGCTTCACTACAGCCGGCGCAACGAAGGTGAATATTAAGATTGATACGATCGCAATCAGGGATAACAAGACGCAGAAGATAGGCCATCGTACTCTGCCTCGCGGTTTCTTTGGTCCATGATCGGGGAGAGAGTCTTGGGAGGTTGATGAAGGTCGCCTGGGCACAACGCCCCCGTATATCGTCAAGTCATCTTCACGGTTGGGTAATAGAGGGGTGGATTCGGAAGATAATTCGAATGGCGGAGCGGCAGAACTCGACTCGGAAGATTGTCTTTTATCAACCGGTGACGAGGGACGTGAAGAGGGCTTGGCACTCTCGTTCAGCAGAGGCCGGGTTGCCTCTTCAGCCATGATGGCTGGGGTGGACGGGTGGGTTAGCGACGTGGAGAGGCAACACGATAACAAGTTCCGTACTCTCTTTGTTGATAGAGCGATAAGAAGTTGTGATAGATAGAATGTTGAAGGAGAGAATAACCGATGAGGGATGAATCGGTAGAAAAGGAGAATTTAGAATAGGAATAGATAGCTAATAATAAATGACAGGCCTGACAGTGGACAACACACAATGAATTGGCCTGACCTCGAAGTATAGCCTATCAGTCAAGTCACCATGATGATCGGCGTATCATGCTGCGCTAACCGAAAGAGGAGAAGGCGTGGTGTGGAGACGGAAAGGAGGACCACTTGAAAGTCAACTAAACTGACTTGAGAGCTTTCTAGTATCTATCTTTTCTTTATTGACTCCTTAAGTGTTGAGTCATTCCTGAAAAGTCCTTCTATATATTCCCCTTATACTCTACACAACTTCCTCCTCGGATCCCATCTTATCCATCTCTTCCAACTGTGAATCATCTCGGAATGTCTTGCGGTCTCAAGCTAGCCGCCGCTCGTTCCGGCACATTAAGCAACCATTCCTTGCGGCAGAGAATCCCACTCAATGCTGTGCGCCAATACTCTCAGACTACAAATGCTACGGCCCCTCCCACTTCGCCGTTCGCACCTCGCCATTTCCTTTCTATCGCTGATCTGACGGCGACCGAGTTCGCAACTCTCGTTCGCAATGCATCCTCACACAAACGTACTATCAAGTCTGGGTCTATTCCTCAAAACCTACTCGGCTCTCTGACCGGGCAAACGGTGGCGATGCTGTTCAGTAAACGCAGTACCAGGACTAGGATATCTACGGAGGGGGCTGTGGCACGATTAGGAGGACAGCCGATGTTTCTGGGCAAGGACGATATTCAACTCGGAGTCAATGAGTCATTATATGACTCTGCAGTTGTGATTTCCTCCATGGTCTCTTGTATTGTTGCCCGCGTTGGCAAGCACGCTGAGGTTGCAGACCTCGCAAAGCACTCAACGGTGCCTGTTATCAATGCTCTCTGTGACTCTTTCCACCCACTCCAGGCTGTTGCCGATTTCCAAACTATCTACGAAACGTTTACACCCAAGGCTCATCGCTCTGACAGCTTAGGTCTCGAGGGCCTCAAGATTGCCTGGGTTGGCGATGCCAACAACGTCCTGTTTGACATGGCGATCGCTGCCACTAAGCTGGGTATTGACATCGCCGTCGCAACACCCAAGGGCTATGAGATCCCCGCCCCGATGTTGGAGTTCATCAAGCAGGCCAGCAATGGTGTCTCGAGGCCAGGAAAGATCATTGAGACCAATGTTCCTCAAGAGGCGGTTAAGGGGGCAGATATCTTGGTCACTGATACCTGGATTTCCATGGGACAGGAAGCAGAGTCGATCAAGCGGTTGAAGGACTTCGAGGGCTTCCAGATCACCTCAGAGCTTGCCAAGCGTGGGGGTGCAAAGGAGGGCTGGAAGTTCATGCACTGCTTGCCTCGTCACCCCGAGGAGGTCAGTGATGAAGTCTTTTACAGCCCCCGATCCTTGGTTTTCCCTGAGGCGGAGAATCGGTTGTGGGCTGCCATTTCTGCCTTGGAAGGCTTTGTTGTCAACAAAGGAAAGATTGAGTAAACTGTGAAGAAAATGGTTAAATATACAGATAACATAGTTCATGTATGAATACTGAACACTGTAATGGAATGTTACTTGAGTTACCATGCTCACGTAGTAAGTGTAGAACAGCACAAAGTCCAGAATATATACGAATGTACGCGGGAACATTGCCAAGTAACTTCCGTAGTGGATAGGGGGATCGATGTAACAAAGATATTCGAATCGATTGCAATACCACGTCTAAGAGAAAGAAGACAATGAAAGAGAGTAGAGGGGAAAGAACGAAAAGAGCAGAAGCCGTTGGTGCCCGCATTCACATGTCACGGGCGGAGTTGCCGATAAAACATGGCCAACCCTTCAAATCTCATGAGGCTGCTGCATCTATCATACCATCTCAATTCAATGAGCTTGCCACTCGTTTAGTTTCCTCGCTTGATATTTATTGCTCTCTGTTGCCCAAGGCGCCCCCCTAATGGAGGTAGGTATTTCCCTGCCTTTATTTCCAGCCGGTATTAAATTAATTAATTCTAATGACCCCACAACAGCTTTCGCAGTCCGGGGGCGGCTTTCGCTCGCGGCGCTCCTATCCCTCACTAAACCATGCCTCCTTAGCTCCACTGACGTCTCGATTCCCCATTGACGACGATGTCGAACCTCAAGATTATTTCACCCCAAGAGCTGAAGACGCTGATTCCTACTACAGCGCCCATGATGCTCCCGCAAAAACCTCGTACCTCTCCAGTTACTCTGTCCCCGGTACCCCGGGTCTCTTGTCTCACTCCCGCAGCGGGTCCAGGGCCCGACACCAGCGGAGTACAAGTTCCTCCCGCGCTCACCTGAGCGACACCAACCTCCAGGGTCAGGATGACATTCAACCTTTCCACCACCAAGGGACGAAGACGAAACGACATTCATCTCGTCATCACCCATCAGACTCCGCCAGTCGGCGTGATGCAGAATGGATGCTTCGCGCGGGGATCGCGCTAGCGTCGTCGACGCGGGAGGAGAAAGGCCAAAGCTGGCTCGCCAAGCGGGAGAGCTCGACTAGTCTGGTTGATGAAGGTAAACATGACGTTGATTCACCGAGTCACTTGACCAAGATGAGCAGGAGATCTAGGTCCGGGCGGTCGACGCCAGCGGCGTCTCGGTCGCGCATCGTCAGTAGAAGAGGCAGCAGGCCTGACCTTACTATGACCGGGCTTGAGATGACTTCTACTCGGCAAGGTGGCAGTGCTGGCGGCTTTGAGAGCCCTGCGGGTGATGTGCGACACTTGATTCCGGACTTTGTGGACGAGCGAATTCGTGCGGAGATGGAATTCATTCAACAGGGAGACTATACCTCCGATTCTGACGACTACTCGGACTCGGAGGATGAGATCGATGAGCAAGAGATGCAGCGTCTGACTCGAGAGCGTGGCTTCGGGTTAGGCGGCTGGTTTGATCGTATGGTGGAGTGGACGGTATTCGGTGTTGATGACTGGCCACTTTCTTATTCTGGAGGGCCTGCGGTGGACCAGGTACCCAAGAATGTTGAGCTGGCAGACCCTAGTCCGGATGATGAAGATGACCAGATGTCCATCTCAGGACTGACTGATGGGCCTGACGGGGCCTCGACCATTGGCGACTCTGAGGCTTCCGCTGTGACTGAAAAACCAGGCGAGCATGGGGGCTGGGAAGACGCATGGTGGCTATTAGGCGTGATAAAACGTGCCCTGGTATGAAAATCATTTTCGGTTTATTTGTTAAAGCAAGTCAGAGCGCATAAATTGTCCAATTCTGGTCGTTTTCCGATATATGTATTTTTCAGCCTAAGACATGATGGCTACGAGTGAACTACACGGATACTTTTTAGTTGCGGCGTTATGTATTGTGACGACTCTAATAATTAACACCTCTGTTAACCACCCCTTGTGAGTGCTTAAGGCCATTTCTATCATGAAGGTAACACAAACTTGTCAACTATACGTCCATTCTGGCACAGCTTTGAAGCCTTTGTATCTTAGCTCCGTTTCCTCCGAATTAATTCTGCCTAATAGACTCCCATCAACATGTCAGCAACTCTGACATTGGTTTGATGGGGTTAATCTGTTCGCTCCACTAGCTCTGGCGACACTGCGCAGAAGCCCACGTAATGGGGCTGATGGGTCCTCTGAGTTGGCATGTTTAATCACCTCGCGTCAACTGCCCATAGAACAGTGACGCAAAATCAAAATTTTTTTTCCCTTTTTCCTTTTTCCTTTTTCTTGACCTTTACTTGACACGTAATCTGACCCGGCGACCGAAAATTTCAGTATATAACTGAGTCCTCCCAAAATGCAACAGCTAAGAGCACAGAATACAAGCCTCATTCCAGTAGAACAAAGAAAAATATAAAAGGGTATACAAGATAGGTAGAAGTGTAGGCAGTAAAATAGGTAGTAGAAGCTTAACAAATATGGTTCGTGCGAAGTGATAAAAAAAATCTCGAGAAACGTCCGAAAATGTCGACCGTAGAAGTATAAGAAGACGAAAGGAAATAATTCAATGAAGGACAGAAAACCATGCTGGCTCTTGATGATGCAGTGACATGGTGGTGAAAAATGAGACCTGGGCCAAGAACTGATGATCTAAGGAAAGGTGACACATAGATATGCTTTGAATTGCACAAGAAAAAAAGGAAAAAAAAGGTGAAAAATGAAAAGAGGAAAAGAGGAAAAATTTCTCTTTGCACACTGTAAACGTAAACGCCGAGTTGACCCTCAACTCTCTAGTTCATGCAGTTGGTATCGTGATCGTATCATACGTAGGTGTGTACGGTCGAGGATTTGGATAGTAATTGTGGGGATATCAAGGGCGAAAGAAAATGGTGTCTCCGGGAAAATTGTGGGGTATAAATAGGTCGTAGAAAGCTGGCGGCTCTACCATGGCCCAACTTTGACTGGAGTCCCAAGTCCGTATGTGCCAGACAAGAGCTGCTCCCGTATGGACCCAAAGTCATTACCTCCCGGGCTTCCATGACTCTGGGTTTCAGGTCCGTGCATCCATCCTAAACTAGATCCAAGCTCGTTCACGGCCGCCTGCAGTTTACCCCCGGAGTTTTGGTTATGTTTCGCCAACTTCTGATCCCAGCCACCATACTGTAGCTGAATGCCTCCACCACGCTTGGCAGCTTCCCGAATAACCAAAATCCAGGCTTTGCAAATTTCATCGTAGGCAGAGTCTCGCTCTATGTTGTTCTGGGGGGTATTCCATCGTGGCAGTGCGTGGATAATCTCAGTGGCGCCATCTAGGTAGTTCAGAGACAAAGAGGCCTGAGTTTCGTGGGGTGGTAAGAAGTGCGGCGTGAAGTCACTTAGGGCGTCCAACAGATTGGACAAAGGTTGTCGAACTCGGTTATATGCATAGTCGGATTCAGAGTTGCCACCCAAAGGGAAAGAGGACTGAAGAGCAGATTGGTAGTTTCGGAGCACCTGAAGGGCGGAAGACACACTCGGACGAGGAGCATTGTGGACGATTTCATCGACTAATACTGGATGACGTTCACACATCGACCGAAGAACACCTCGGAGGGCATCTGTATCCAGGGTCTCCAGTAAACGAGGCAGAGAAAGGGGTCTGCCGCTGACATTTGGACGGGCACGTTTCATATTCCGGCTTGGAAGAGATCTCGGAGTAAAGGCTGGGGAGCTCGTCGGAGACGCAGACATTCGTCCATCATGATCGTGACCATCGTCGTCGGCTTTCCGCTTGCGGCTATTAGGGGTGGAGTAGGTTGGTGTAGACACTAAAATATGTATATTAGCGAATCCGTCATCTCCACCATCAGGTTGTCAGTAAAAGGGAAGTTCGTACTTGAACGAGGCGATGAGAGACGAGAATACTCGTAGAAGTGTGGAGGCACAGGTGGTGCAGCCACCAAGCTGTTCATGTTGACCACGGACAGCTGGTGGGCGGAGAAGTGAGAAGGGACCGGGGGCTTGAAGCTGAGGGAAAGACGGAGATATAGGGTATTATATGGTGTCAGCTACAGGCACGAGGAGGAAGGTGATGCGGAAAAAGATAAAGCAAGGGAAAGACAAAACTGCAGGAAGAGAGACTGGAAGGAGTGAGGGAGAGAAAGAGAGAGATGGAATTGGTGGGGAAGAGAGAAAGAAGAGAAGCGGTGGACTGAAAGGCGGTTGCGGGAGGCAACACACACCTTCTGCGCAGGTCAGACATCCATGACTACGACACTATCGGACCTTCTTTAACGACTAAGTTACGGCATTTGAAGAGAAAGTTCATGAGAACCTAAATTGATTTGATTTTGTTCTTGGTTTAGATTTCCTTTTACTTCCCCTCCCTTGCTATGGGATTTACCGTCACGATCCTAATAATACAGAGTTTACGTTACATCTCTACCCAAGAATTTATTTTAATTTATTTTACTTTATTTTTTATAAGTTCCAAAATTTTATATCTCATTTCACCATAAACATAAATTAAACAAATAAGAAAAAAGAATAATTACACGGAAAATTATGAACGTTGATTTTAGAAGCCTTCCGACGCCAGGGAAATGCCACCACTAACACTATGATTGTCACACAAAACGAAAAGTTGGTCGGACGAAAAGATATCTCGCTGTAATATAACTAATCTAGAGATACAAGGACTGTGCGGCAACAATGTCCCTGCGGACCTTGGTCAAGGCCGTCTCGAATTTACTCTCAAGTTCCTCGCTACCCATGACCTTGGCGGCCTGTGCCATTTGTCGAAGGCACTCTTCCAATCGGCGGAAGACTCGGATCAGACTACCTTCGTACACATCTGTCATTTGGCTGATTGGATTAAAAAATGGACCCGTTAGCGTCTGATCTCTGTCAAACATCTGTGGCAATAGGGAAACTAACCAGATATCTGCAAAGGACTTGCCATTCGCCCAGTCGTATATAACCTCCATCAACTCCCAATGGAAGCTCTGTACGTACTCCTCTTCGTTGACAGCAAGCTTGGATTCCTGAGAGACCTTGGCAACAATTCGGGCCTGCGCCTGGATTTCCTTGAGGGGCTTTGCCAACTCGTCCCGTGTAAGAGCAGGGGTTTCCTTGGTCTTCTCTTCGAAAACAAACACACTCAACACGGAAGCAGCTTGTTCAGGCGTAAGGTTGTTGAAAAAGCCATTGAAAAGCAGTTCGCTGAGCATCAACTCGTCGCCTGTGCTAATTTCACAGGCTACACGGGCCTTCAACTGTACGACTTCGGCTTCGTTAATGAATCCAAACCGACGAAGCACTCGCTTACGGCATTTCAGCTCATCAAGTTGCATGATCGACATAGCCTCCGATATCTTCTTTTTGGTTGCCTTAATCTTAGATCCTAATTCCACCTTCTCTGAATACTGTTCGTAGAGCTCCGGTAGACGCGGCGAATTGTGCAATGGGTTAGATAGGAGACGAGATTCAAGCACCTCAATTTTCTGCAATTTGCGTTAGCATCTTATCTACTCATCGACAATCAAGGTACCCTTACTCTGAGCAACTTCTTGAAACCATCATCCTTGATATTCATATTTTCGATTGGATCAAGCTCAGCAATGCCATCCGGGAAGCGCTTTTGCACTTCATCCAGGGCCTTCTTCACCCCGTTCCTTGAATCTGCCGAATTTAGGTCCTTCGGGAGGAAAATTCGGATGTGGGAGATAGATTGTAGACAATTGAGAGTCACCGGCACTACCTCCATACGGGAATTTTCGCCCTCCTTTGGCGGCCGGACGCCGGACGGCAAATCTTCAAAAGACTTAGTACCAATCGACGGGCCGTCGGCTATCCTCAGCAAAACGTCGACAACGTATTTCTGGTGTGGTGCAAATTCTTCGGTAGAATTCTTCGGAGCCTTACGCTGTTTGTAGTTAACAACGACACCCCATCCGAAATTGGCATCCTTGTGTTTGATGCGTATCAAGCGTCCAGGTTGAAAGAAGGGTACACAATAGTTGGGGTGGCTGATGACCGCCTGCACATCGTCGGTGAACTGGCGAATTTGTTTTCTCAGGTCGTAGTATTCACGAATGGTTCCTTCGTCAGAGATGCTCATGTTGGCTCTCTTCTTCTCAAACTCAGCGAGCTCTGTATCAAAGTTAGCACTACGTTCGTCCCAGCAGTTGCATATATATATGCGAGTGTATGTGTGCGTACCTTTTTCAAGAGTGACAACACCGGCAGTGTTCTGGAACTGGTAAAAACATCTCTCCAACATGAATTCAGGTGAGATGCCTTCTACACGCATGAGGTTCAGAATCATATTGTAACCCAAATGGAAGGCTGAGTTCAGTCGGTCTTGTTCACCACGAACAATCTCTTTCGCCACGGCAGGATCCATCTCTTCGCCAACCATCATAATAACAATACCTCGGTCATCGAGGCCTCTTCGACCAGCACGACCTGACATCTGAATGAATTCGGACGGTGTCACCCAGCGCTGACTGATACCGTCAAATTTCCTGACGCTTGTGAAAACAACGGTTTTTGCAGGCATGTTAAGACCGATGGAGAATGTCTCAGTCGCAAAGAGAACTTTGATGAGACCTTCTTGGAAGAGAATTTCGATGGTCTCTTTTAGGATGGGAAGCAGACCAGAGTGGTGGACACCGATTCCTCTGCGCAAGAGAGGTAGGATGTTCTGGATCTGGGGGAGGTTTCTGTCCTCTTCTGAGAGCATTTCGATCGCGCTGTTGAAAACCTTGGAAACCATTTCCTTCTCCGAGTCGTCGTTGAAAGCCAAGGTGCTCATCTGCAGGGCACAAGACTCGCATTCACGCTTGCTGAAACTGAAGACGATCACAGGGTTGTAGTTCTTGATCATGATCATCTTTACAATCTTGTAGATGTCACTTGGTCCCTTGTTCCCGCCTTTATTCAATTTTTTGTCTTTGCCCTTCCCTTTCCTCTTGGCCATGGCGTCCGCTGGATCATCGCCCTTTTTGTCTGCAATGGTGCTCATGGCTTTCTGGAAGTTTTCCTCACGGAAAACGCCCTTCTCGTCCACAACCAGGTGGATGCCCTCGGCACCAGCGGGGAAGAAATAATGTTGTAGAGGTGTCGGTCTGAAATCGGTGTATACGACGTGACAAGGTTGGTTGTGCATCTTAACGATCCATTCTGCGAATTGCATGGCGTTGGGAATTGTGGCGGACAAGAATACATATCGAACCTTATCGGGAAGCAGAATGATAGTCTCCTCCCAAACTACACCTCGGGCTGTATCTATAATCAACAAACTAGATCTTAGCGCCCCCTCGAAAGAGACTTACTCGTATCGCGCATATAATGAATTTCATCAAAGACAACCCAGGCGACTTCGCGCATAATCTCAGAGCCACGGTAGAGCATAGATCGCAAAATCTAGAACCATGATAAGAATACTAAGCCCAGAGTATGCGTGTGGAAAACCTACCTCCGTTGTCATGACTAGACAAGTAGCCGTTGGGTTGATAGTAACATCACCTGTCATAAGACCGACATCTCCAAACTCTGCTGCAAATTCTCGATATTTTTGGTTGCTAAGGGCTTTGATTGGACTGGTATAAATGACTCTCTGATTGTTCTTCAAACTCTGAGCGATAGCATACTCGGCGACAACGGTCTTTCCGGCACTGGTGTGGGCTGAAACAAGTACACTCTCCTCTCTCTGTATCGATGCAACGGAAACTTGCTGGAAAGGATCGAGGGTGAACGGCCATACTCGCGCCGGGTTCTCGGGGGGCTTATGTTCAGATATGGGCACATATGGATAGTTGGGCGGAATCGCAACCTGATGGCGAACTTGGTGCGATAAAACAACAGATGATGAGTCATTTGCGGCTTGAAGCCCTGCAGATGCGGCGACTTCGCGCTCTTGCGCTGTCTCAAACAAGTCGGCTACCACGGGTTCTGGTTCCTGGCCGAGTCGCGGGCGTTTCGCATCCGGTTGTTCATTGCTGTCTATCATAGGCACATCGGCATCCTCGTGGTCGGCAGTCTCTCCAACTGGGGTGTCGGAAACAGCTACGGGCTCCTTCACGTCGCCGACGGTGCTACCGATTTCCTTCACATCACCATTAACCTGACGTTTTTTGCTCTTGTCTTTCTTGGAGCGTTTGGGAGCTCCGTCGGACGGTTTAACAGCCTGAGGCTGGTCCTCAAAAACATCGAAAAGTTCATCCATGGTCGGTCAAGCGTTCAAGATCGGCCACAGGGAGCAAGGGCGGACGACGACCGGATGGTTGAAGTGCTCGTCGCACTATGTCACGCTCGCCGATTCACCGAGAAATTTCAATGTTGCTTTTGGGCAAGACGGCTTGTGATTGGACCGAGCCATCTGCTGCTAGTCCTGCCGCCGGAGAAACTTACCGTTCGGATATATTACACGTGACCCGGCTTCCGGCCGATGATTGTCATTCCACCACTCCTACTCTTCCCGCCGGTTACGAGAAGCGTAGATTGCCTTGACCATCTGTGCCTTGCTGCTCTCCTCAAGGTAGGTAAATCGCTGTCCTGCGGCCTCGGTCTTTCCAATTGCATCTAACACTTCGTCAAGATGAACGCCGCCACCGCTCTCCGGGCCAGAATGGCCACCTCTTTCGTTGCCCGTCGTGGCTTTTCCACCACCCGTGCCCAGCTCGGCAGCCCATACCACTACGCTGAGGGCCCTCGCTCGAACATCCCCTTCAACCCTCTGACCAAGTTCTTCTTCTTCAGGTACTGGGCTTTCATGAGTAAGTGATCTTTAACCGATCGCTCCGGAATTGACGTTGCGCGTAGCTAACTCACAATGTCTAGTCACCGGATTCGGTGCTCCATTCGCCATTGCTGGTATGTTAACAATTTGTCTGGCGATAAAGATGGACCTCTATCTAACACAAATTTTACTACAGTCTGGCAGACCTATAAGACCAAATAAGCGGCTATTCGCATTGTAATACCGTGTCTGCTCCCTGGGATCGTTGGGCATTGGGATTGGTCGAAAATGTACCCTACGCTGGAAGTATTCGGAATTTGTGTATAAAGCTAGAGAATCAATTATTAAGCTCTGAATTACGGTCAATGTCCTGTAGAAGTTGTGGTTGCAATTGGGAATTTGGGGGGTTTTGGAAAATGGGCTGATTTGCTTATTAGAATATGGATGAAGTCATTGGTCGATTTTTTATCTGTAAAAATTAAAAAACTTTTGGTCCGCTTTCCGATTTAATATCAACTCGTGGGATCTTGATCTCACTATACTAGATGGAACATTATATCTGACCTAGTATTATTTTTTTTCTTTCCCCTTTTTTTTGATTTATATTCATATTTACTTCGTATTTTCCTATTTACTTACTTTTTCCTTTTGTGCCGTGGAGCTTCCATTGATTCATGGCAGCGGGGTAAAAAAAAGAAGACTACAATCAACTATCAAGATATGCGCAACTTAAAGAACGTTCGCCTCTCCTCGGTACAGCTCCAGAGTGTGCTCCCACTCACAGCCACTGCTTGGGACACTACGTCGGATGCTGTGGTTTGCACTTTCGGTCCTACAGAGACCAATCCCGTTATTGAACTAAGGAGAAAGCGTGAAGATGCCTCTTTTTCGGAACCTATAGGCGCAGATGTATTTGAGTGCATCGCCTCTTGGGATGCACCGTGCCCACTTCCAGACCTGCCCTGTGATCGGGTTCTATCCCTCCATTACTTTGCAGACAATCTTACTGCCTGTCTGGTACTCGAAGGTGGTGATATTGTTATTGTCCGTGAAGAACCTCTTCCCGGCGAGGACAAGATCGAGATTGTGGGTTCCGTCGATGTTGGTATCACTGCTGCTGCTTGGTCCCCAGACGAGGAGCTCTTGGCTCTTACCACAAGGGCGAACACCTTCTTGTACATGACACGGGAATTTGAGAATGTGGCCGAAATTACTTTTACCCCAGAGGACCTCAAGGCGTCTCAACATGTCTCCGTGGGTTGGGGAAAGAGGGAGACACAGTTCCAAGGAAAGCGAGCTAAGGCCCTTCGTGACCCTACAGTGCCTGAGAAGGTAGATGAGGGAAAGCTGAGCAGTAATGATGACGGGAGGACCACGATTACCTGGCGAGGAGATGGTGCCTATGTCGCGGTGAACAACGTTGAATCAGGCACTCGTCGCGCAATCCGAGTGTATTCCAGAGAAGGGACGCTGGACAGTATTAGCGAGCCCGTGGACGGGTTAGAAGGGGCCTTGAGTTGGAGGCCTTCTGGCAATCTCATTGCTGGTATTCAACGGCTTGACGATCGAGTTGATGTTGTATTCTTCGAAAGAAACGGCTTGCGTCATGGAGAATTCAAGCTCCGCCTCACAGAGGAAGATAAATCATCATGGGCCTCGGATATCTATTTAACCTGGAACATCGATTCAACGGTACTCGCTGTCCAATTCAAAGACAGAGTTCAGTTCTGGACGACGGGCAACTACCATTACTACCTAAAGCAAGAGATTCCCGTGATCGTGAACCCTAGTTATCCTAGCCATTTTGCCTTCAAATGGCACCAAGAAAAGACATTGCGCTTTGTTGCTGGCGCCTCGGGTATTTTTTGACTGATATCCATTGTCCTTAAAATACGTGCTCTGCTGACTGCGTTACAGAGTCGATTTTAGATGCGGAGTACGTGTTCGATGTCACTCACGGTTCAACTGTTGTACCGACCGATGTTGGAGCTGTTGCCGTTATTGATGGAAGTAAGTCTTGGTTGTTTTCAAGGAAAACTGAGAGTAACTCTAACCTGGTGAAGAAACTCTGAAATTGACCCCATTGAGGCTTTCGGGTGTCCCACCTCCTATGGCCCACAACGAATTGGCATTGGATTCGAACATCATTGACGTCGCATTCAGCAAGTCGGGAACTCGGATTGCCGTCCTTATGAAAGACAGTTTTTCTGTATTCTCGTGGTCCCTTAAGACTCGCTCTGTTGCTTCGCCAATTCTTGAGTCGAGCTATCCATTATCCGATGATTCTAATAGCAGGCCCCGGCAGATTGCTTTCATTAACGAGAATGAAGTTTACATACTCAAGAGTAGCGGTCCAAGTAATGCCAGCATCGAGCGAACGATCTTGGAAACTCGGACTACCAAGATGGCATATCAGGCCGCCGAGTCGGAGCAGTTGGTTTCATTGTTCCCTGGCCTCAATCATGAGGCACTCTGGTTCTCCCATATAAACCAACATGGGCAACCAATTTCCTATTCTACAATTTCTATGCCATCTCCAGAGGAGTTCGAAGCGACTCCATACACACAGAGCCCGTCTGTCGACACATATTGGGCCAAGGTCGCTCAGTTATCAGAAGATGAGGTAATGTTCTCATGAACTCTAGCGTTTGATCTGTTCCCCACGCATGCTAATTATTGAAGCATCTGTTAATCTCTTTGACGAAAACCGGTGCTTTGTATGGGAATAAGACCCTACTCGCGAAGAATTGCACCTCGTTCCTCATGACCCAATCCCACATCTTGTTCACTACATCCCAGCACCTCTTGAAATTCGTTCACTTAACCAGGGCAGATGGTAAGCTTACTACAACCCATTCCAACCACGACATAGTTAACCATCCAGCAGCCATGGAGGTCCCTCCTGATACACCGGAGACGGATGAGCGATGCAGAAGCATTGAGCGCGGCTCACGCTTAGTGTCGGTAATACCTAGTGTGTTTGCCGTCGTGCTGCAGGCACCGCGCGGTAATATCGAGACTATATACCCCCGAGCTCTCGTCCTAGCAGGCATTCGGACCTTTATCGACCGCAAGAATTACCGTTCGGCGTTCCTCACCTGTCGCAGCCAAATGGTGGACATGAATATCATTCACGACTACGCCCCGCAACAGTTCATGGAAAACGTCCCGTTATTCATCGACCAGGTGAAACGAGTCGACTTCATCGACGAGTTCCTGTCCCGGCTAAGGTATGTTTACTACCTATATTCTCTCGCAAAATGGTTTCCTTCCTGACCCTTTACAGCGAGGACGATGTCTCCGAGACTTTGTACAAGGATACTCTAAAAACACCTAAGGCGGACGACGGTGCGGTCCCTGCTCCTAAGGCCCCAGCTAAGGGTAGTAAGGTCAACCGAATCTGTGATGCTTTCTTGGCTGCCTTGGAAAAGAGGGTCGATACTAATTTGCACAACCTTGTTACGGCGCACGTTTGCAAGTCACCACCAGATCTTGAGGCCGGCCTTCAACTGGTTGCGCGTTTGAGAGGTGGGTGTAGATCTGCATTTCTTTATCTGGCTAGTTACTGACTGACTGTCCTATAGACGAAAGCTCTGAACAAGCTGAAGACGCAGTCGAACACATGTGCTTCCTGTCGGATGCGAACCGTTTGTACGATACTGCGCTGGGTCTTTATGACCTCGAGCTCACATTGCTTGTTGCTCAGCAAGCTCAGAGGGTAAGATGTGCTAAAATATTGACTGAGATGTATTTCTAAATCTATTCAGGATCCTCGTGAATACCTTCCATTCTTGCGAAAGTTGCAGCAGCTTCCTGACCTCCGACGATTTTTCGAAACTGATAACTATCTTGGACGATGGGCCAAGGCCCTGCGGCATCTTCATACGCTTAACGCCCATGACGAGCTCAGGGCGTACGCCGTCAAGCACGTTCTATACAAAGATGCCATCGACCTATACAAATATCAACAAGAGCAACTACGCGATATGACCAACCTCTACGCCGACTACCTATACAACCAGTCCAAGTACAAAGAGGCAGCCATCGGTACGTCTTTCTCATAATATCTCCATGACATCCTAAACGAAGTATCAGAAGCTAACCAATACTAGCTTACGAATCCCTGGCCCTGTACTCCGATGCCTACCAATGCTACCAGCGGGCTCATCTCTGGCGTGAATCCCTCTATTGTGCAATGATGGTCCCACTATCGGAGGAGGAGCTCAGGGCGCATGCGCTCGCCATGGCCACCACCTTGACAGAGGAAAGCAAAGACTACGTCTCCGCAGCTCACATTTACGCTGACCATCTCCACGACATCCCAGTGGCCGCCCGTCTACTCTGCCGCGGCTCTCGCTTTGCCGACGCAACACGTCTCCTTGCACTGAGCGGCAAACAAAGCCTCATTACCGAGATTATAGACACCGGCCTGGCCGACGCCATGGGCTCCATGACAGACCTGCTTGCCGATTTCCGAGCTCAGCTCAATGCCCAAGTACCAAGGATTGGGGAACTGCGTATACGTCGCGAGACCGATCCTCTGGCTTATTTCGGAGGTGATCCCACAATGGGAGGAGACATGGGCGTGGATATCCCAGACAACGTCTCTCTCGCGCCTACTGATGCTTCTACGCTTGCCGGCCGCAGTATGTTCACGAGATATACAGGAAAGACCGGAAAAACTGGAAAGACAAATATGACAAGACAGACTTCCAAGACTCGTCGGAAGGAAGAACGCAAGCGTGCTAGTGGCAAGAAGGGAACTATATACGAAGAGGAGTACCTAGTGAACAGTGTACGACGACTTATTGAGCGAGCCAACTCGACGGTGTCTGAGGTGCAAACTCTCGTTGATGCACTGCTCCGGCGAGGCATGCGGGAGCGTGCCGCCGCTATCGAAAAGGCTATGCAGGAGATACTCAAGTTGTGTACTGATTCTCGAGCGGAGGTCTTCGGCGCCGTGGCTCCAGCAGGAAGTGGGGAACAGGTTGACAACCCTGAGGCCGAGAATGTTGAAGAGGTCGCGGTGAAGGGTGGGCAACGTGCTTTCGCAGACAGCGTTGCGGCTACACTTGGTGTTCGAGAAGCACCGGCGGTCAAGGAGTTGAAGCCGTCTGCGCTGCTAAATTAGAGTACTGATTTGTAGGGGAAATTGACCTGAATGGCCGTCTGCCCTAAGCAGGTACTTAAGAAGGTCGAAATATAAAAACTTTGGATCAAGGAAAAGATGACGTCAAAAGTTGTAACTAGTCTTAACTGTAAATTCCAACTATATATTCTGCTTCGCATATATTTCGCATAGAGTTTGACTTAGGGTATCTCTCCATCGAAGCAGATTCCGCTAAGAGGAAGTTAGATTAAGAATTGTCTTGTTTCATTCATTCACCCAGTCAAACAAAGCCAAGGTCGTCGTGCTTTGCACCTGTGTGTTTCTTTCAACTAGACAGAATGCCACCCGTCTCACTGACGAGGTGGTGGTCTTTGACACTGACGGGACCCTCACCGACGCCGGTCAAGATGACACGGCTGACACCCTCCTTGAGCACCTCGACAGCCCTAGGATCTACCTTGTCCAAGGCCACACCGGGGGCGGTGAGATTCTTAAGAGGCTCGTAGAAAGGACCATCCCAGCCCTCAGAGCCGGCGCCCAGGATAGCCTTGACAGTGCCGGCTACGAGTTCAGAATCCTTCTCAAGATAGTAGATAACGGCATTCGGGCCAGCATCAAAAGTGTAAGCGCACGCTGTGCGACTGACAGCACGGTTGATGTCGTGGACGAGCCTCACAGCGGCTCTAGACACGTCGTTCATGTAGAAGATCGGAGGCCAGGAATCCAGACAGGTGGCATGGAAGCCATTAGAGTCCCGCATAGTGATCTCTGCAAAGGCAGGGAAGTCCCGGTTTTGGATGGCAGTCTCAATGGCCGTCATCCGCTCAGGCACAACCGATTCCGCGCGGGTTGCGAAGAGACCGGAAGTAGCAACGGTAGTCTGCATACCCTCCGTACTGGGGACATCCTTCTTCTCTGCACTGACAACCAGAACCAAGGCACGCATCTCAGGCCAGTGGGATTCCGGAGCGACCTCCTCGGCCAAGCTATCGCTACCATCGGCAAGAGTTCCAGCGCGCCAGGCCACATATCCACCCATCAGGGACCGACAGGCAGAGCCAGATCCTTGGCGAGCGATACGGCTGAGATCGCGGGGAGACTGAGGCAGCTGATAAAGGTCTGCGACAGCACGGACAAGGGCGGCGAAACCGGCGGCGGAACTGGCGAGGCCAGCAGCGGTAGGGAAATTGTTCTCGGAGACGATCCGCAGAGGGAGGGCAGAGAGTTTCGGCAGAGAGGAGTCAGCCGCCTCGAGTTCCTGGCGAAGAGAACGTAGGGCCGAAAGGCAAGCCAGGGTGCGCTTGGACGACTGGATATCCTGAGGCTTGCCGTTCAGGGTGAGCTCGTCGGCGGTGGGGTATTTGGCCGAGCATGAGGCGGTGGTGAGGGTGCGCAGAGAGCGCTGCGAGAGAGTTACGGAGAGGGAGGAGTTCGTAGGAAGGTTCAGGGTGGCATCCCTTTTGCCCCAGTATCTTCAGAATCATGGTTAGTCTCAATGCGGGCGGATGGTACCGCGGTCCCTAGGGAGTATAGACGACTAACTTGATAACAGCGATATTAACAGGGGCTGTGGTAGTGGCCCGGAAGACCTTAGTGTCGGAGGGGGCAGCCATGTTTGTAAGGTATAGATAGATGGTAAGGAGAGGGTAGAAAGAGAATGGGGGGATTGTAGGTTGTAGAAGGGAAGTTGGAAAAGGCGCTGTAAGAATGAGGGGCAACGGACTTCCCTGTTGGGAAATAATATTTCCAATTTCATGGTAATTTACTCCGCATAAAGTCACTAGGCCTATTTGGGTCTAGGTGGAATGTGGTTTTGCCTTCCCTTTCCGCTTCCTCCTCGATTTTATATCGGCTTGTTTGTCTTAGCCTATCGTCTCCATAGACGATACTTATCAATCAATCTTAAAGCCCTATGTAGGATGACTAACTATCCTGATGGCAGTCGTTATTGTCAGAATGTGTTTATATGCTGGGCGACTCCATTAGTTGCCGTAAGACCTTATATCTACCCTACACTGAACATCAGATTTATTTTCTCCCCTAAATTATCTGATCCTCAACACCACGCACGCTACTAGGGTCGGTTAAGTATTTCCAAGGGAGCTCGGATGATGTGGAATTTAAGGGGGTAGGAATTTCTCGATAAGTCGACCGGAAAAGGACACAGGAGTATTCTCTGATTGTTTCCCTACTTGCCCAACTTTGGATCAAAGAACTGCTCTGCATAATCTCATTGCTAGCTGAGTACTGTTTGTGCCTTAGTTTCGACACCGATTAATCTTCCGAGAAATATCCCGAAATTTTGCATTTTAGTAACAACTATAAAGGCATTCTTTACTTTTTCTTCTCCCCATAAAAATAGATAAACAACTAGAGACTAGCCTACAGGTTACAGCTGTGAACTTTCTTAGATAGACTGACCTCTCTACATGTATATACGTTCTATCTAATCAAAAACGACACCGGGTGGAGACTCGATACGGCCCGCTTCCAACACGATCCTCGAAGTGGTGTTTCTCCAATAGTAAATGGAGCCACCGGATTCATAGTTCCAAAAATTCCACATAACAACCCTCGATGAATCCCCGAGACTACGAAACCCCGGAAATGTAATGGATGTCCTCGGTGCTACTTAGGGTGATTGCCTAGCTGGCTTTGTCCATACTTGATGCTGATCAATAGGCCGTAAGCCAACTATGGATCGTTCATTCGGGCCCAACTCTAAGCTAGCTTATAAACTTTTGCCTTATCCCTCACCTTATTTCAACCTTAGTATCCCGTGATATTGGATAAAGATGCAGGGTTGTAATATTTTCATGCTTTTCCCTGGTTGGTATGTGGGGGTTAATGTTCCCCTTTGTTTCACTCTCACTATCGCTGGCTCTTTACCAATATTTCGCTACTTGGTTAGTAGGTAGTATTCTTCGTGATGGGGAACTATTGTTCTGCTGAACATCAGTTCATGGAATTCTCATTCGTATAGCCTGAATGGGGCACTAGGTAGATTGTCTGGATATCTAGATACATATAGTCTTCACTGCCCATCATTATTTACAAAAGAAAATTATAATTGCATACCTACTCCGGCCCAACTGAAATCTCAAACATACCCTTACTGTCCAGCAGTGAAAGGGATTCATACAGTGATCCCCTTTTTAGTTGCCCTTTTGATTCCCTCAAGATAGAGTAGCTAACAAGGCTAGCCTAACTTTGCGTAGGCCTTATTTCACGTGGACTTGAAACCAAATATGTATAATGCAAGGCTGGTGGATCTAACCTAGATAAGAGAAAACGAGCATGAAACAAGATCCTGACTTTGTGGCCACTAGCGCTGTAATTCATGGATCCCTGGGATGTAAATTTGGATTCTAGATGGTGACTGGTTGTATCCACTTACCTATCTCCCATCCATTTAGAATTTCATCCGATCTCTAGACACGTACCGACATGTACCGAACGACTAGTTCTCTCTATGGCTTGCTCTCAGAGGGTTATCTTGCAGATGTGGAGAAATACCGCTCCAACGGGAAGATATTGGAAGGTCTTAATATGGCTTGACATAAGGCTACACACTGAACTATAGAGGTAGGGATCGAAAAGATTGTAAGAGATTTGGTGGCTCGTGGGGCCCATGGACTTAAGAGCTTGTCAATTCCATCTCATTACTCTGTATATAAATTGATACCGAGGACAGGATTTACTTTTAGAGGCTACAGTATTTGAAAATATCAACTTAGACAGCCTCATATTGCTATTCTAGTAGAAAACACTGTAAGTGGTGATAAAATACTGCCAAAGCGGCCCTGTTCAGCCCACTCACATTACTTCCACACCCTACCTCTGTGACGCAAAAGCTAGGCATAGAGGTTCGCACCGTCATCTTCCGCACATACACAAACCATCGAACCTAAATCCATACACCGATGCGACCGTAGGCAGACAAGCGAGCAGCAAAACCTGAGGAGATTAGTATGGAAGTCTGTGTTCGGGGCGCGATTAAGAAACATACCGGCGGAGCGAGAGAAGTTCAAGGGCTGCTTAAATGTCGTTGTTGCCGCCCGAGATACAATGATCAAAGTTCAAGCGGGTACCACAGCAAGCGTTTGCGTTGGAGCCGTCCTTGGAGCCGACATTCAGCCATGCAGAGTAGGGTTCACCAAGTGTGATGCGCAAGCATTCTGTGTGACAAAGCTTCCCGCTATCGACACCGTGCATCCACTTATTGATCACACCAGCAATGGTTTTCTCCTGGGAAGTGATATCACAGTTGCAGCCCGAAGCATAAAACTTCTATCTGATATCCCGATAAGTACCATCAACACGTAGTTGTTCGAGAGATCCTTGATTACCTTTCCCAGTGAACTTGCCCAACCGACCGCATAGCCTCCGATATTCAGACAGACATTTTTGCAGTGATGATATACGTGCAAACATCATCCCGGCGGCACTCTTCAAGACCAACATCGGTACTATTGCAGGATGAATCCACCAGAAGTGACTGAGCATACTCAGGATACTCAATACCATTCTCATCGGCGAGATTCATTTGGTGTCATCGGCCTGGCAGTGGTTGCCCGTCGATAGAAGAAAGCGATGGCGAGCCAACAGCTAAGATTGGTAAAGATAAGGCGATTGCCGAGGTTGCAGTCTTCATAAGCAGCATGGTACTGGCAGGAGTTGCACAAGATTAAACCGAAGATGATAAAAGAGGAACAGTATTGGAAAATGAATTGAAGAAGTCCTTGTTGCGCACGCAATTGGAAGGTTGTTGTTTCTTGTGATAGATCTGGGAACTGGGAAACAGTATCTTAATTATACTTCGAGCGCAGCTAGAGCATTCTGAGCAACTTCGCTACTTTCTGTGGGCAGCTCATAGGAGGTGGATAGACAAAGTCAAGTGTTGATCTAGGGAGCGACAGGGATCTTTTAAATTGAGCAAGGTCTCCAGATTACATATTTATTGGGCATGTGGAGGGTATAATTTCTTTTTCTTTTCTTGTCCTCGCTATCACTTCGACTTTGCTTGACAGTGCTGATAGATATGCCCAGGTCGCGCGCACTCAGCGTCCCTTAAGTACCGGCAAGCCTGTCGGTCCGTCATCGTTGCACATAAGCTGCAATATATCCAGCACCATCACTATCTTCTCGAATTGTCCGATCCGGAGCAGAACTACGTTGAAGTTGAGATTGACTTCTCCGATATCCCCAAACGAATGGACGAACTCTTGAAAAAGGCCAGGAGAAGGCAGAGCGCGTAGCAGGTAACAATGACAAAATGTGCTGGGAACGGTACATAACCCAAGCTGCCGAGGCATGTTATTGGAAAGCTCGGTGGGAAGGATGGGCTGAAGTCTCGTCGAATGTCACACGCAACGTTGAACAGCCACCTGTTAAGGGGACTACGGTATGAATCTTTTGTGTTGCTTGACAGTAAAGACATGTGTAAGTTTTCATTTGGATCGGAGAGCTCCATTTAGTACACCGTCACTCGATCGATCTTGATCATACAGCCATCTTTGAGCCCACTTCGTCCGCAGTGAGCGCAACGACCCTTGCTATGGATGCCATTGTAGGCGGTCTTCAACTCTTCCCCGGTGGCTTGACAGTGCCAGCCGCAGACAAAAAGGCCGCAAGTTCCACTGCAAGTTCCGTTATTGGCAGTGCTCTGTCCAGTTAGCTTAAATAAACCCATGCATTGGTAATATACGGTAGACCTCCTCAAGGTAAGTGCTGTAGGTGTTCCCGGTTCAACTTTGTGACAGGCATCAGCGCAGCTGCCACCAAGACCTTCGTAAAGCTTAGAGCCCTCGCAGTCAATGTCACCTCCCGCCATAGCCTGCAAAACGTTGCCGGTGTTTGCCGGGGGTTCCGTTTCAACCATGACGGATTTCATTCCATTGAATAGAAAAAACTTCTCACCCCTGGCAACTAGTCCAGGGACTGCTGCCACAATGGTGGCCAGGACAGTAGCTGCGTAGATAGCGGTGCTGGTGGGTTACATTGTGACGGGGTTGGATAAAAAGCCTCTTGGTCAGAGAGAAAGGTAAAGATGATTTGTGGTTCGGTGTGTAGTATGTAGAGATCTTGTGTATGGTTATGGCGGAGAACTTGTCCTGAAGGAAGCGAGTGTCGCCCCTTTTATGTCCTTCTCGGTTCGAAGAGTCCTGGTACGTGAGATGCTGGCTATGCACCCGACTGATCCCGGTGTTCCCTCTCTAGTCAAGTCTAACTTCCCATGGACTCAGCTCGTAGGTCTTCGTCCTTGGGCTCGAGAATAGAATCGGGCTCCTGACATCGGAATAGAATGTCGTTCGAGTAAGTGAGACAACGCCTCACATAACAGGAATATAGACGATAATATTAAGCGCACATTTATCTTGCTAGAAGGAGTCGTTCCAATTAGATTGCAGTTTAGAGTACTATGTTGGTTGTGATATCTGTCAGAGATTTTTTCCGCGGCAAATACTATCAGAACGGCCTAAAATCTGGAGAAGAAAAGTTGTGTGATGAGGTTCTGTAGTCGGCATTATGGCCCACATTGTCTCGGTCGAGTATTAATTGTAGCATGAAGCTACCTTTTGGGGATGACCTATGAACACAGCGCTAGCTATAGTAAGATATATGGCAGAAAATGATGATAACTTTGCATATCAATACCTGAATCTGTATCAGACCCCGGTGGTAATGTTAGACAAATAATAGAAGATACTGCGGGAGGCTATATTGTGGAACTATTAGGTCCACTGTGGCATGTTCATCGCCATCTGTCTTCTACATTCTTTATAGCTAGCAGGTGTCCTACGAGGCGAGGTTATACGAACACACCCACCCGCCTACTTTATGGCCTTATTGCACTAAATTATAGTGGCCGTTTATGGAGCAGGTATTGTACATGCTTCCTTCTCAAATTTTCATGTTACATAGTATCTAGTTCTTGTAACAACTAGAGCAAGCTCAAAAGGTTGCGCCTTTTACTTAACTGCGGAGGAGAAAGCAGACCTTGTTTTAGCAGACTTAATGACGAATACGAGCAACCTATCGAAGCAATATCCGAATAAAACTAGGTGTACGAAGTACTTTTGGCGCTAGTATGCCCGATATAGTCCAGGCTCTCTGACAAATGCGCATGGCCGTCACAAAAAGAGCCTTGATTGGCCCGTAATATCCCAATAGGTAAACCCTATAGTCCTCATTCCATGACTGGTCTGTGGCGCTTATCGTTGGATCCGTGCCTCAATGACTACCTTAGTCGCTTCATATAAACATACGCCCTTTGTCGAGATGAAATCATTAGCAACGGTGCTCGAGCGATTTCGAACTAGATCACACTGCCAGTTGGTCTACTGCATGTTAGCATTGAACATGATGTGCATACAACCTCGATTTCTCCATTGCATCTTCAATCCTGGAGGAGCCTTGTTGTGACTCCGACGCCACTGAGATACGTTTCCAGAGCAGATATATTCTCATCAATATGTTGAAGAGGTCAAGACACATCATGACTTTATCCCAGTATGCACCTAGAGCTTGGTGGCAACCAAAGGGGTGTGAGGAATCAAGTTCTAGCTTTAGAAACCCACTAGGTTATAGAAGAAGCCAATATAGACTGGTACGAATATGGCCAATGGGATGCCACCCTTCAGTGATCAGCGGTTTTAGCCTCGTCTATCCCTAGTGGGTCTGCCGTCACCAAGTGGATGTATGGATGTGGCGGTCTCTTTTGCTTGCTGCCTGTCACGAAGCTGTCACGAAGCCATGATCCCTCTTCCTAATCTGTCATTTTCACAAGAATAAATATTTATTCCCTCGTGTCCTAGCCAGTACTCTATCCTTCTCTTCTTCTATTCCTACTACCAGAAAATCTACGATCCCGAAATCAGGATGCATGACTTACTCGGCGATTCACCAAGCTCTCCTCCGGGGGATAGCCCTAGCTGTCTCGGTGTGACTTGCTCCCCAGGGAAACCGGGTGGATGTTCAGTAGGCTGCTCAGCAAGGACAGTGCGACCCCTTCCGATCCGTAGCATATAACCAGACATGGATCTTGGGGCAAAAATATTGCCAGAGTGGGGATTCCATTGACATCTGCGAGCCGCATCTGCATGATCTCTGGTACACCTATTCCCAATGCAGTAGACGCATCTCTCACGAAAGCACCGAGCAAGATAGATTTGTCCTCGCACTCGAGAAGGGGGCCTTTAGCGGGGCCAGCGCCGAGCGGGTTTGGTGTTGATCTTGCTAGAACTCCCGATGGTACGGTCTGGAACGACCTACTGTTCCTTGCTACGGACATGGCCGACTTCTGGCTCAATGGCTACGCGGCAATGAGCGGCACCAGTGTATTAATGTTGCGACATTCCTTGCTAAGCTTGCTTCAACGCGTGTTGCGAAAGATAGGTTTTTCTAGATTGCTCTGATAGTTTTGCGTGATAGATTGGAGGCCACACGGCTTCTTGCAGGTTAAATGACCCAGATGACGAAGAACCTCGCCGAACGGCGCATGAACTTACCATTGCCGCATTACTCCCATCTGCAAGTGCGCGGATCAATCATGCTGGGCAAAACATATCCTCCTATCGGATGTATCGTGGAATGATTGCTCTAGTAATTATTATGTGAAACGTGGCGGGATCTTTGTTAGGTCAGAGTTCGGTAAACGATCATTTGGTGGATTTAGTCCCTGGAGATGGCTATACTGGCTTAAGCGTTTGCATGAGATCGTTGATGAAGCAGTGCAAGCTGACGGAAAGAGCCTCGCAGAGCATGCCACGAGAGCGATAAATATTATGGTGGAGAATGTTAAGACGAGGAACTCTCAGATTCTCAAGGTGTCTGAGGCGGCGGGCGCTGATTTGGACCATGATGAACATTTTTCGGGCCTAGAAAAGAAGTAATCCGAGCACCAGCACCATTAGATTTAAAGTGAGATCATTGCTCATTGTCATCCAAGAGATATCATGTCCTTTTCAAGTAGATTTTCCTTTTCTTTTTGTGACCTGAATATCACCATCTAACATATCGATCAACACTGCAAATTGCTACTCCGTATAGAACGTTTCTAGGCCATGTTATAGAATAAACGGAAAAGCCAATGATTGATGGAATGTCGAATCATCGACTTGAAGCTATTGTACATACCCTGTATCTGGAATGCAAGACCGCCTTCCGGAAAGAGAACAATGAGATTTATGAATTCGCAGCGGAAGGCGGTGAATTCAGAATTTCTCACTCCGCCTTCCGCAAGTAAATCTTCATTAAATAGTAATCAACAACCGCATTTGTCATTGGTGTTCTCCGTCCTCTTTGTCAATTAAAACAAAATCAAAACACTAAGATCTCCGACAATGGGAGCTGGTGCGAGCACTCCGTCGCCGCCTCCCGCCGAATCGACACCGGCAGCAACATGTCCGGTAGATCACAAAACCCGCGAGGTGTGGCTCCAGCAACACAAGGCCTCAGGTGGTACTCCCCATCCATTACCTTCAGAAGACGGACAATCCAAAGAAAAACTACAACGACCCCTATCGAGTGATCGTGAAGTGAGCAGTATTCCCAGAGCGTTCGACGCCTCTAAACCATCGGCTCCCTCGGCTGCCGCCGCGCCTCCGTCCCCATACTCCGCAGCGGCTGTATCGCACGGCACACCCTCCAATGCGGAATCCGAAACAGGACATGATGAAAAGAGTGGAAACTGGATTTATCCGTCTGAGCGGCAATTTTTTGAGGCTTTGATGCGCAAAGGAAACACGCCCACTTCGACAACCTCGCCCACTGAACTAGCGACTTCCGTCGCATCCATTATCCCAATTCACAATGCTGTCAATGAGCGTGCCTGGCAACAGATTCTAGAATGGGAGAAGAAAGCTCCTCGGTCTGATCCTGGTAGCACCAAGTGTGGAGGCCCGAAACTGTACTCATTCCGCGGATTGGGAGTTGACCCCCAGTTCCTGAGTCCCCGCGCTCGTATTAATAACTTGATGGGTTATCAACTGCCCTTTGACCGTCACGACTGGGTTGTAGAGAGATGTGATGGCGAGAGGATTGAATACGTGATCGATTTCTATCAAGGGAAGTCAGCGGGAGCCAACGGTGGGCCGGCTGGTTTGGCTGCTAATTCCGGGCCGGGCAAGTTAAGCTTCTACTTGGATGTACGACCAAAGTTGAACACTTTCGAAGGCTGCCGGATGAGATTCAGCCGCTTCACGGGTCTGTAGGGCGGTCATTTCCCCGGCTTCTGCCTCACCTACTTACGTGATTTCCGCAATGCACATAAGGGACGAAAAGGAGTTTGGTTACATATTGGGCAACGATCTTTGATGTATAATCTTTGTATAACACAAGCTATGTATGATACTCTAGAAGAAACAAGGATAGAAGGACAAAGATGCAGATACACTTCCATCACTCCGTATACGCCTGCTGGTCATAAATTTAGTCATGAGAGAGAACAGACTGTCCATAACGATACATCAAACCGTAGACAAGAGGATATCATGAACGGAAGCCGCCAAAATGAATAGTACAAGTAGAGTAGGGATGAAAGGAATGAAAAAGTTCGAGCGTGGCCAGATGGACTTATCCAATGGTAGCCGCCAGCACGATAATAGTTAGGATAACGGCAAGCATAACAAGCAGACAGCAAGCCTTATTCCGGGCATTCTTTTGGTGTCTGCTGGCGCTGCGGAGCTCGACATTAGCTCCGCGGGTGTCGTTCGTAACATTCTCGACGTTTTCGCTGATTATGTCTAGCTGGCCTCCTTGCTCATGCACAATGTGGGCGACATCGCGGAACAGCTCATTGAGTTCGCCAACGCTTTGCTCGATATTGCGGATCTCTGCCTCGCGTTCAATAATTAGAGACTCCTGGAAGTCTACCTCGTCCTGGTTTGCAAGTCGGGGCTGTTCCTGTAGGAGTTGTCGTTGTTCCTGCGCAGCTCCCTCAGCAGCTGGTTGTTGTTCACTTTCTTCCACGGCAGTGCGGGCAGCAACGGCAGATGCGCGCTGCTTCTCCAAAGCACGACGCTGAACAGTCTGGAACTCATCCAACGTAGCCTTGAATTCCGAAGATAGCTTCTGTTGTGTCCATTTTTGGGAAGGCTATCGAATGAATGTCAGTAGCACTCCACATGAAGTTGGGCCGTATTCGCATACATTGACATCCTCCCATGTTTGCACTTTCTTGATTCCTTCTCCTACTTCTTTGAAGCCTGTACGAGCCTGCTCTAAAAGATTGTGAACTCGCTCACGGACTCGTTCCGTGTCTCGTCTTGTCCCTAGAAGCGCGATCTGATCTGACAACCGAGTGATCTTCGAGGTTAGGCTGAACAGCTGGTTTGAAAGAGCCTCGGTGAGGCGGTAGAACTCGGGATCATCTCGATACTGTGGATCATCGGAGCGTCGCAGATTAGTAGGTTGGGATTCTAGGGAGCTAAGGCGATCAAAAGACATGGTGAGTGATGCGACGACGTTGATGATGAATGAAGTAGTGTTGGGAGGATCATCAGATGGAACGTCAACTTGCGGATTCGGGCGGTGACCTGCGGCTGCTACCTGGAGTTGCAGGCCGCAACATCTGATACGTGGCTAGTGGGTCCCATCACCTGACTGGTGGGCTGTGGCTAGTGTGTTTTGATGCTTTTCCCAAAAAGCTTCAATTTATCGTCGCATGTTGCCGTCACTGCTCGGTGTTTCGGTGACCTGTTCCGTCAAACATTGAATTTTCTCTTGGCCATTTGTGCCCAAGCGGATTGGAATATTACTGCGCAGCAGTTCTGATCATGCTGTGAATTTTCATTTCCTCTCTACCTAAGAGATATCCCCAGTCCCTCATTCAACTTGCATCATGGCTGCTGTCCGGCCGCGCCCATATCGGCGCATTCTGACCTCCGCGCTGCACCGACGCTTCGTTCATGCTTCTGCTTTAGCGCTACTGGTCTGCTACATAATTGCGTTTTTGATCGGTGATAAATCATCGTGTAAGTGGCAGAGATCCTGTTACTACAGTGTTCATCTTGGACTGCTGCATTTGAGCGGATTGGTAGCTAACTATGCTACTTTCCACCAGTTTTATGGGCCTGGTTCCCAATTGGAGGATGTGGTATCCGTACTGTCTTGCTCTTCATTTGCAGTCTCGTCGTTTTTGTCTTGCGCGTTGGACAGATGCACATTGGCTCGCGGACGACTGCCTCTCCTTTTGGCACGCTGAAATACCTTATCCCGCTCGATGTTGTCCAGACTTTCGGTTGGTATATTTTCTCCGCATGGTGGTTTAGTGAAATCTATAAATGGTCGTCTTCGACTGGAGCACACTTGGAGTGGGTGAGACGAGGCAGGTATGTGCTCACCCACGATAATGAACTACTAATAGACCATGGAACCTGACCTAAGATAACTAGGGCCCACGAGCGAGCAAGCCTAAATGAACGGCCGATATACCTCTATACTTGCCATTTTCTTCTAGCAATTGTGCAATCGGTTGTCCATCTCTATTACGATTTCGACCGTGTTCCTATTCCAGTTGCTAAACGAGCTGCCGGCACTGCTGACCAGAGAACCCACCCAGTGGAGCCGGTATCCAAGCGGATACAAGTCGCGTTGCCTAGACTCGCCAAGGATGGACTCACAAGGAGCGCCGTAGTCGCTGCAGCCTGCCCTGTGGCATACGCTTTTCTTCTCCGACGCCCGGCCTGGAGCTTCACCATGTACTTTGCGAAATTGTTCTGGGATTTTCCTAGGTCTGCTGCGTATCCCCCAGGCCTTGTTCCCCCAATCGGCCCCGGGATGCTTGTGCGCACGGTGTTCTCCGGAGGCTTGCTGGTCCTTTGCTGGCAAACAGCCAACCTTTTCTTCTCCGCATTCCTCAGCAAGGAGCCACTAAAACGTGGTCAGCCATTGACGGCCGAAGCAAAGGACCCCAATGGCAGCTTATTGACGGGTTTGACCGCTAAGAAGGAAACGGTTAAATCATTCGCGTTCTGGGAACTATGCTTCATCAGTCAGAGATTTCCTGACCGAAGAAAGGCGATTTTCAATGATATTGATCGCGAAGGGGGTCCGGCGTGGTCGCAGATTCTGCAATCCGCAACTGAGGTTATCAAGGGCGTCTCGACCCGCATCGACGAACAGAAAAACCCATCAACGGGTCCCAAGACCGCACAAGCCGAACTGACTGAACCCGTTCTCCAAACTCTACCACGGTTAACAGATCCTCTAAAAGACGGCGAAGTCTTCGCCCCCTCCCCTAAAGCAACCTCGCGGCAGCAAAGGATCGGGGAGGCATTCAGCTCGGCCGCCAAGACTTACGGACAATCCCCAGATTGGACCCCTGCTGCCCGAGCCAAAGCACGCGATGTTTTTGACCGTGCATCTACTGCCGTGTTGAGCCCGGAGCGAAAGCAAAAACTTCTTGCCTCAACGCAAGAGCTCAGGATGCTCACAGGTCCTTCAACTTGCAAGCCGGAAAACCTGAACCCATTTATCGCACAGATCCTCCGCTCTCCAGTAGGCCGACTCTTCCGACAAACGTACGACCGTCGATTGTCGGGCATTGTCCTCGGCGCACCACACGCAAATATATGCCCCATAGTTGACGCTATCGAGTCCCTGACCCGGCTCCTCATAGCAAGTCTCCAGGAGGACCAATACGGTAAAGTCCAGGCCGATGTGCCCGACGTCGTACGCCTCTTCACGAATACTATCATGACCCTAGAGCCCTTCATCAACGGCGGCCTTGACGCCCACTGGACAGACGTCAACTTCCCACCATCGAGTAACCCCGAAGCTCAGGCGGAAGCACGCCGAGTCCCAGATGTGGACCTCGTACTTGATACCCTCAAGGGGTCTCTCAAGGAGCTCCTATCCGCATTCAACCTATACCTGAAAGACATCGGAGTCGTAGGCAAGGATCTACGATTAGCTAAGGAGGCAGCCGGGATAGTCGAGGAAGTGTTTTGAATTACGAAACAGGCGTAACGAGAGTCATCCCCGGGAGGTATCGATTTTGTTTCTTTTTAAACTTCAGGTGGTGTACCCGGTCGGTGTATTTTTTTCCTTCGCCAAGTGTCCTAATGAATATTGGCTTTTGGTCGTTGTATGTCAGTTTCTTTATCTGCCCGGTGGAAAAAGTTACGGCTTAGAGTAGTTCTTATGCATTGTTCTGGCGTTGCGATGCATTAAATTCGATGCTGGTATTGAATTTTTGTTGTATATTGCCTGCTCTGATCCACAATATATTGTTGTTTTGTATATCCTCTTCTTTTTCTTTTTTTTTGCCATTCACAGAGTTCTATTTACATAGATACTAAGCACTAATTCCAAGAGATAGGATCTAGCGCAGTCTCCAGTGCCAAATCATCATGTATCAGTGACCAGGAACAGGCAAGAAGAGAAGGCAAAAGAAAAAAACATAGTGGAAAGATAGTTGAAAGATTTTGCAAAATAACACCCGTGTGCAATTATATGAACCAGAGACAACCTCCCAGCACGGATTCTCCAAGACTCCAAGTCCACCCATCGCCAAAAGATGGCTTAACGAAAAAAAAAAAAGACAAAAACAACTATATCATGTCGCATCACGATGACAATTCCCCCCTTTCCATGCTAGATTGCCTTCCGATGTTTTGTAAATAAACCATAATCCTGCCCTGCACCATGCCCTGTTTGTCCCAAATGATAAATTTTGTGGAAAGCAAAAACCGACTGCATGTAATGCACGAAAGCGATGCATTACATGAGTTTGCACCTGCCTACCCCGAGTAGTAGAGAAGAGGTAAACGCGGGTAAGACTGGGGTCCTGACGACAAAATGGGTATAGAAAGCTTGAAGGAAAGTGAAGTTAAAAGAAAGATGCAACATGTGTCTTAGAAAGACAAGTTTGTAGAGGAAACAGGATGGATCGTCTACAGCACATCATATGCTTCAAAGAAGTTTAATTCCCACGTAAGTCCCAACGCCGTAGTAAATATCACCGCAAGAATTGTCAGCAACCGCTGAGGACCTCGCTGATCTTATTTGACGCCAGCGTTGTAGTAGTTAGTGTAGATCCAGCACCGCTGCTGCCATTTATGGGTTCCGGGGGCGCCTCCTCCTTCATACAGGCATTCTCCAGGATGTTGGTCCACTTCCCACTCGTTCCAGCATGGCTGTGCTTCAGGTGTTGCCGAAAATGGTCTGCGCGGTAGAACTTCTTTGCATTATTGCATTCCCCGAACTTATGCACTGCCGTCAGATGCTCAAACCTGCGGTCCCAGTCTGGTTGAGGAAAGTTCGGGAATTCCTCGCCACAGTAACCACAGGTGTCGTGGGAAGAGCCTGGATTTGTTTGACTCGGAGATGAAGGATGGAACGCAGCCTGGTATCCTGGTAGCGCCGCGCATGACCAAGAATGACGCCGCAAGTGAAGGGAGTTTTGGTGGCGCTCAGCTTCATTCTTGTTTTTAAACCGATTGTTGCAGAATAAGCAGGAGTACTGTTTTTCCATCTCATGTGCGCTATTGAACATTCATGAGTTAGATAATTCCCTTAAGCAGGATAGAAGATGGGGGAAATTGAGACCTACCGAAGTTCCTCGGGGCTGTCAAACTTCTTGGGCTTTTTGGGACAGCAGTCACAGATGAACAAACCACTTATTTTAGGGCCCGCTTGTTTGGGCACGTTTAAACTCGTTTGCAAAGACATTTTCCTCACGGCACTCGAACTAGGCGGTTCTAGAGTATTGGGGCCCGGAACGCCTCTCATCGATTGGCTAGGGACTCCACCGGGAGAGTTGGGGTTAAGAAATTTGTCATGGAAGGAATCAAGGTCAGAATTTGGAGAAAGTCCCCCAGGCGAACGCTCATATGCTGATGCGCTTGTAACACTGCTTCCTCCCGCTGAAAGAGCGGCTGATGAATAAGACCCAGAAGTTCGCAGACTCAAAGACGACGCAGCAGAGACACTCCCATGGCTCGGGGCGTAAGCGCTGTTGACAGACAAAGTGTTCGTAAACGGGTGACCAGATGTCCTCCGCTGCGAGAGATCTCCATTACTCGTCGCTACATGCAGCGTGTGTCTATCGTCGCCAATTGGTTCTCGGGGAGGGGATGATGCTCTCCTCTTCATACCGGATTTTGATGTGTCCAAATAAGGCGGCGTTGCTTCTCGAACATTGAATAATCGCGGCGGTAACGATTCGTCTGTGGAGAAGTCACCCTCGATGTCTGAGAAGATACCTTGATCGTAGCTTCCACGGTTCGATCGACTCGGGAGACTGAGTGATTCTTCATTTTGCGGAGTGGTTCCACCTCCCCGACGGCGGCACATGTCGCGGAGATAGTTAGACTGATCGTAGTCTACTGCGGAAGACGGCGCACTGCTCTCGACACTTGGGCTCCGACAGCCGATGTAGTCTCTCCAGCCAACCTTGGTCCCAGGTGATATTCCCCCTGACTGAGAACCAGTGGACCACCTCACATCAAGCATAGACCCGTCAGAGCCCCCAGGTGAGGGTAAGCTTCCATAATTTCTCGACGGAATGGGTAGTGTTGATAGAGAGGCTCTATTCTCGGTTCCCAGACTTATCGATTGCCGTGGGGAAAGCGGTTTGCCTATTTTAGATAAAAGATGCTGGTCATATGCATCAGACGAATCTTTCACACTCCTTCGAGAGAAGTCTTGCTCGCCCTTCAAACTATTATATTAAATTAGTGATGACAATCGTATAGGGAAGCGCCCGATGACAAAACAAACGATGCCAGCGCACTGAGAAATGAGGCATATAGAAACGTAAAGATTAAGATAGGATAAGAAATGTTTAAGATTGTCCTCTTGAAGACTTACATAGGACTGGTAGTAATCGGAATCGAATTTCGGAAACCCTCATCTGCTGGTGGTGGAGGCTCGATCCTAATATGGGCCTCCGGGCTTCTTGATAGTGGTAAACCGCTATGTCTGCCATCTAGGTCGTCTAGGGCCATCCTATCGGATTGGGGCAAGGATCCCAAGCGGCGATGGCTACCAAAGAGACTCGAACTGGGATTAATGGGGGCGAGTTTCGCACCGGGTCCTTTAGAATTCGCATGCACCCAGCCAGCATCGTAACCGTCCTCTAAGTCTCTGATGCGCGGTGGTGGTGGAAGTGGCGGTGGAGCAAATGTGTTGATTGAGTTGGCTGGAATTGGCATTGGCCCAGGTAAAGAATATGATTGTGCAGGCATGACATATGAGGGTCGTTCAGTAGCGTTGTGATAAGAGCCACTAGTGAAATCATGCACGTTGATTGAAGGTGGCGAGATTCGCGGCAAGTCCATCGTACGACCAATTGCTCATGGATACAAAAAATCAAAAGGAGAGACGAGTTAGAAAGAGAACAAGATGCAAAGCCTCATCAACTTGCAGGCGGTACAATACAAAGGAGGCACGGCGTTTGCTGTTAACTAAATGCGACACCTTGGTAACCGATCCAGCAAGAAAGATGATAAACAGCCGGCCCAGCGCCTCAAGAAGATCCTGCTTCCTAGATGCGGCGCAAAAAGCTGCAGAACTTCCAGACAAGTGAAAGAGAGCGAAAGAAACGGAAGTGTCAATATGGAGCAGGAAGACTGCGAATGGTGGCGACAGTCTCTAGGGTCTGCCAAGCAGCTGAACTGGTAAGAAGTCGGGTAACTTTTGACGAGAGCAGGATAGGGCTGAGAGTGTGGTAACCCACCTTCTATCTGGTCGCGTTAACAAGATTTACTTTAATTTCCAGGTGGCCAAATCAGTCATTCAATATTTCAACGGCTTTCTGCAACAGTCGCGCGCACCACTTTGTGAAACCGTCTGTGTGCCATCAATTCGCCGGAGAGCGGCAATTTAGAGACGGAGAACGGCGCAAGGACCACAAAACATACTGGAGGCTTCTTCGGAGGGGACTGTGGTGTTTTAAGTAGCCGCCGATATATATTCGGGCGAAAGTTGCAGCGGAGGACAAAGCGGTTATGCAATGTATGCCCTCGAGAGGAAGAAGTGTAGGTAAATGTTAGACAAGATGCAGGGAATCGTTGCTTCCCCACGATCACTGCTCTTCTAGAACCCGGGTCAAGGAACGGGAAGTTCGGAGAGAATGGGAGACTTCAGAAGGAGAAACAAAAATGGAGCACGTGTTGACCCGTACAATTCCCACAAGGAATGAAAGGGGGGTTTGGAAAGTGAGGGTAAAGTCAAGCGACAGAAGAGCCAGTCACGGTGACGGCGGGCCTGAGGCAGACAATGAAATGCCTCAGGTAGTTTGCTGTATAAGGTGAGGCAGAAGGTAGAGATTATGGGCTGAACAAGTAAGAAAGTTGAAAAGGATGGTGGTGCTAACAACCGTCTTATTGGTTCCTACAAGGCTTTGAGAGAGGGGAGGGGGGAAACAACATCTGTAATTTCAAGATTTATTTTGCCTCTTGTCCTCCGTCCGTCTCACTAGGGATTTTTTTTTCCTTTTTGATTTATCGTCCCTTTTGATTTCTTTGTCAGCTCTGAGTGGACAAATTTCAAAACTGACGCCAACAATGTAGAAGAAATACGGGGTAGTCGTCGTAATAATACTCTTTTAGGAAGAAGCAAAAAATGTTCGTATGTATGGGACAGAAGAGATTAGAAGGACAGCTAGAAACCTAGATCATAATAACCAGCTTCCATTGTTCATAAAGATACAAACGTTGGTATTTTCAGACTCCGCTTTTACTGCAGTTTGGTCAGAGTGGGCACTGTTTAAGTTAGACTGACCAACTAAAATGGAGTCCTTTTCCCTGTGGTATTGAACCAGGGGAGGAAACTGTAAAGAACATCCATAGTACTCGCAAGGCTGGAAAGGAAAAGACCCGAAAAGCGCAAGTATGATCATTTGAGCTAGCCCAGGGACCCGTCAATATTATTTTTATTCTTTCTTTTCCTTCCTTATTATTTCTATTAAATAGAGGGGAAAAAAGCTAAAGTAGTAAATAAATTTCTTTTCCTCCCTTAAGAGGAACACCTTGCATTGCTTTCCTGTTTAAACTTTTGGGTCGCTTGTCAGACTGTTGCGGTACCAAAATTTGTATGTAAAAAATGAAATAAAAATATTGATAATAAATAATACGAGACAATTACCACGTATTTGTACCGAGGTTGATTGAAATTCCTGTATCATATATGTATAGTGCAAAGTACATCATCCAAATTGATGAATGGGGTTTCATGGCACGGTTACCTTCGTATGAAATTAACCTTCTGGCTAGACCTCAAGAACCACGTCGTTTCATAATGCGCGCGGGATGGCAGGGCTGGTGGGTGGCCACGTTTAATGGGATCTACCAAGAACTAGTAAACATATTAAATATCACTCAATATGTCACTGGGACTCCAGTTCCTTTCCCTTTCCAGTCAAGTATCCTTGAATTGTTCCTCCTGCGAAAGTCTAAACTGCGTTTAGTTGCCTTCAGACCAGACAAATCTCAGGACAATACAGCGGGGAATTCCACTCAAGGCAATCGTTTCACGTTTGCCTGCCTGTCAGGTCAAGTGAAGAAGAGGGAAAGGGAGGTGAAGTGGGTTGGGATTGTGTCCTTGTCAAAGATAGTAACCGTCATCAGCCATGGCCAAGAAGGAAGCGCAAAGTTGATCATATGTTTACTTTTTAAAGTCGGTCTTAGCAGAACTTTAAGTAAGGGTCTTTGATATCGCCTTTTTTTCACCCGTCATGAGGGCAGAGACAACAACAATCCATCTTTCCAATGATGAACCCATGTCTTTGGAGGAAACCAATCTCAGTTTCTTTTCTTTTCTTTTCATTTTATTTGATTTGATTTGACTTGGATTTTATAATACCGTGGAGGAATGTTTATTTTTCAAAACCTCAGAGCGGTGAGCACGGGCTAGCGTGGAAGGGCTAACTGGGGACGGATGCTTTGGAATGAGGCAGTGCTGGCAGATTCTTACTATTATCATTCGCTATTATTTTCATTTCTCATCATTTGTGGTCAATTGAACTCAACCATACCCGCCGTTACCACTGACAATGTCGCTTCGACTATTCTGCCCCCATACGATCCTCACACGCTATTGGATTCTCTCAATGCCTACTACAACTGGTAGTATGGACAATTAAAAACAAGGTTTCTACACCCGCTTATAAATGTCTGATGTTCAAAGTTGCCACAGGATGCCCGGGCCAAGTCTATCTTTGCCCTTCTAGGGTCATTTGTTCTTCAAGAGTAGTGCCTTTTTCATTGGGTTTTATTTTTTACCTTTTAACTCGACGGACGGGGGCATTCACTCACTTGATGAATCTGAGAGCAAGAGTATCATCGTGACTCGTAAGGCTTCACCAGAGACGACTAGAGAGCGGGTCATCGTGAGACCCTGCCCCTTCCGGAAAGACCACTGTATCGTCGAGATTAAAAAAAATGGTTTGAATATATGGGCATACGGACCCTCAAGCCTAGACGGGTTACTCCCGTACAACTAAGGTTCCTATACATGAACAGTGTGCCGTTCCTTACTCTTCTTCCTTTTCCTTTGAAATAATAGTTTTTTATACATTTAATACTTTAACAATTTTGTGGTATTGCTCCTCGGCAATATTTTCTTTTTTTTTTTTAAAAAAAAAAAAAAAAAAAGGAAAAGTTTCAAAATAATGCGTAAATTACCTCTGAAATTCCAGAAGAACCTAATAAATAAACCAGGGATTGGAAAGGGCTCATAACACTACTCAGGGTGCCGAGTACTTACATGCACTATAGCCCCATCAAGAAGTGTGCCGACGAACGTCAGCCAACGATTAGTGGCCTTGTCGAGCTTGACCCGCCGCCAATGTGGTATAGTGGGACCCACTATGTCCTTAGATACATGCACTGCCACAGTGCTGTCATTTGGCATTTTCCGTCGCACCCCGAAGACTCCGTCCCTGGAATTGGATAGTTAAAACGCTTAAATCAGAGTAGTGTAGGAAGAGGGAAAAAAAAAAGAAAAGAGGGGTTGAGGGTGTGCGAGATTTCCTTTGAACCAAAGAAAAAAAGGGGGTAGCAAAACAAGAAATGCCATTCAAGAGATACCAGATTGTCGGAGGTTTCTAAACGGATATCATATCCTAATTCTATAACACACTGGGCCCTTCAGTGAAGACCTATAATTAATGGCCTGTATCACTTTAAAATCTTCAACAGAGAAAAAAGGAAGAATACTAGTATAATTCTTGTTTCGATCCACTGGTCTCTCTTGCGAGCAATAGGATGATGCTAGCAAAAAAAAAATTTAATGCGGGGAGCTTAATTCCCACTTCGGGGCTTCGAATCTGGCGAAATAAATTGAAAACACAAGGCTAACGAGGGGCTACAACGAACCAAGGCAAGGGTAACCTGCAGTCTGGTTGATTATTACTTTGACTCTGCAGCAGTAGTCAGTATTGCTATTATTATGATTATTTGCCACCATCCACAGCTTTCTGCGCAACACTAAGCTGTACACAGTATGCGGTCACAGTGGCGATCACACAAAAAGCGATCAACTCCTATCTCATCTATAGAAGCTGAGAGAAACCGGGATTGACTTCAATGATCCTCTTGATTCTCTTGTGGTCGAGTCTTACGCGCCCACCCGAAGACCATCAGCTGGACAGAAACACGCACGCATGCATCCACCGGGTTGTGGCAATCCGACGGGTTTTGCCAGCATTTTGTCGCTCGTAAACCTATACGATGCAACGCTTGGTTTTGCCATCGTCCCAGTCTAGATCAATGGCCCGATACGATTGGGTAATCATGTACAGGTCAGCATCACATCTGAGAGAGGGGGTCCTGTAGTTACCTTCAGAATCACTTACTAGTTAACGGGTCCCGCACATAAGCACTATATATAGTCGGTCAAGGGATGTAGTGCGAGTCAGATGCCTCCTTTGACTGGATAAGGAAGAGGGTTGTCTTATAATTTACGTCGTAGCACAGAAGTTCACAGGGACAAGGGTCGAATTGGGAGGGGGTAAAGTTAGACTACTTTCCATACAAAAAAAAGCGCCGTCAGCCTTAAGCCTTAACAGGCTGCAGGCTAAGTCCCGTGCACAGGCCTGCTGACAGAGGACAAGACATTACAGGTACTACTAAGTAGAAAAGGTATCTATGGCTAGCTGAACTGCCCGAACTAGTATCAGTACCCAAATTCTGATTTCAGGTTGCCCAGTGCGCTGCAGGATGCATGAGAGTTGAAGAGGTCAAGCTTAATCTATTATTTGGTTTTTGCTTTTTTTCCCCTTTTCATTCCTTAATCTCATCCCTTTCTTTTTCGCCTTGACGGGCCAGAGGATTCAGGATTCTGGCATCGTGTGAATCCCAGCGGTACTTTAAATCGAGTCAGGGTCTACTTAGCAGCACCATAGACGGCTCATGGTGAGACAGAAAACGCAATCAGCATACACATATCTAGAAGTCAAAACCGAAACCACAAGATTTTATTACTTGGACCAAGGAAAGGAATACTGGAGAGTCTGTCCTAACACCCGAAAGTCCGGGACTAAAACTCGAAGCATATTTGTCGTCGATTAGTAGAATGGAAGCCGCACAGACTCCTTTACATGTGGTCTACTGATCGACGTGAACTTTCCAGAGCGGACACAGTTTGAAATCGCACAAATCTGAAACTATCTGAGGATTGGAACCCTTGGCGTCTACTCGACACCAATCATTTTTTGAAGCGCTTTGGGGTTATCCGATTCCGTCCCGCAATTGCGAATGAAGCCCATTCTTGGTGCAGGAGTGCGGAGATTTGATATTCCTTCTTTTAAGGCCTCCACTTGACTTAAATCACCAGCAGCACGGACGTGCGTACATACATATGTACAAGAGAGAATCCAATTTGAGAAAATTGGTTCCACCTCATGGCGACAGATCTCAGCCTCTGATGCATGTCGATACTTAGACGAGGCGGGCATTTGCGATCTATCGAATCATATTAGTGTCATTGTGTATATATCAGAATGGTTTTATCTTATCGAGTGAATTCATTTTCAGGGTTCAAAAGCCAAGTAAAGCGGGGCTCACAACCCTATAAAAATGCCTCAGGCTCCACAGGGTGCCTGCCCTTGCCCTTGCCCTATACCCTATCTGCCATCCTGTGCCGCCCTGCGCTTACCTAGTCCGCCAGCCAATAATGTCATCCATTCTATCATGTATGATATCTTGAACCAGATCTTTATCTGAAGTTGAAGGATCATCGCTAACGCCCTGCATTCTATCTCAAACATACGCCATCCGGCTCACATCGGACCTAACGCTATCATTATCATATATCTATGTGCATAAAATTGATCTGAAGATATCATCAAGATGGCTATGAACCGTATTTCCGGTCCGAATCTCTATATCGGAGGGTTGGTCTTACCTTTTCCCTCAGACCCCGTACCAAACATTTCTCCTCTGGAAAGAATCCTGACAACGCGGGGCAACGAATATACTCGAGGCCTAAGAACAAAAAAGGAAAAAAGAAAAGGAAAGACTTTCAAATCGCCGCTTGCTGACTTACTGGTTTGATCTGTAGCATTTTCTCACTTAAGAACAAGGCAGCATTGGAAAGAGCAAACATTACACACGTACTTTCGGTATTACGTTTACAACCGCAAGAAGAAATCTTTGCGGGGTTTCAACATCATCGCATTGAAGTGGATGATGTCGATGACGAGAACCTCCTAGAACATTTCCCGTCCGCCATTAAGTTCATTCAGTCTGGATTGGATGCTGGTGGAGGCGTGCTTGTCCACTGGTTAGTATACTCCCTTTTTTTTTGCCCACATTACCTCCATGTGTTTGTAGCTTGACTGGGGAAGCTGTATGGTACTTATGCCCATGCGCTTCGACTGCCACCCCAATGAAAAGCTCTAGACGTGTAGTCAAAGCGAAAATCGCAATACCTGTTTAAGGTCACGTGTGGTTTCACTGTTATGAGCACGAGTTTACGTGCTAGGCGAGGGTTTTGCATTCTTGACTAGACCTCGCCAATTGTGTTGATGATCAGCGATTATAATATAATATTGCTTACTGATCCCGAACAGTGCGATGGGAAAGTCCCGTTCAGCCACTATATGTGTCGCTTATATGCTCCACCAACAGCCAAGGGCACTGACTCCGCAGTCCGCCCTTGATATTATTCGGCAAAGTCGGCCTCTATGTGAACCGAATGATGGATTCATGAACCAGCTGTCGATTTATCATCAAATGGGCTGCCCAGATGATGTGATTAGCCATCCGTTGTACAACCGCTGGCTTTACCATCGCGACGTTGAGGAAAGTGTAGCATGTGGCCGCGCGCCGGAGATGAATTCCGTGTTATTTGAAGATGAACAACTCAGTAAACCCCTAGACAAGGCGGATCGAACAATGGAAATAAAGTGTCGTAAATGCAGGTTGGTCCTCCTTTTTTTCCCCTTTTCTTTTTCTTTTCTCTTTTTTTTTTTTTTATATTGAATTTCTGCGGCGAACATTGCTTGGATGACCTGCAGACGTTGACCGTGTTCGGTAGGCGAAATTTGGCGACCACGCCATTCATCATACCACATGGTCCGCAAAACGCAGGAAATAGCCAAGCCGACTGCGCCCACATTTTCTTACATCCTCTGACATGGATGCGTCCGTGCCTTTTCCCTGAAAGTGAAGAGGATGGAGCGCCGTCCGGGGATGCCCCCTTGTCCGGTCGCTTAACTTGTCCGAACACTTCATGTGGATTCAATATCGGAAAATTCGCGTGGCAGGGTATGCAATGTAGCTGCGGCGACTGGGTGGTTCCAGCAATCGGCCTTACGAAGGCTCGAATCGATATATCCCACCGAGTCAACCTAGGACATGGGGCTGGAAGGTTACCTCCAGCAGCACTAGGCATCCGCCTGCCGCCTAGTATGAGGCCTAACCCTGCAGATGAACCCGCAAATGGACGGGGCAATCTCTGAGTTTACGGCGGTTACTGCGCCTCATAACAGACAATGACACGGTCGGTACTCTACGGGCATCTACCATTGCCCTTGAACAGACATGATGTCTCCGGCACCCATTGTTTAGATGACTGGAGAACCATGTCATCACGTAATTACTAAGGTTTCGGACAGAGTGTAAAGGTTGTGCGCGCCTTAGCCCGCTTCGCCAGAGCTTAAATATTTCCATAAGCAAGAAGACTCCTTTGATTTAAATAAAGCTGGGTCTTGCGTGTACGCGATACTAGAAGACCAGTTTCCATGGGTTCACAACACCGACAAGGAGATAACGGATCGATAAAAGCATACATATACAGATATACCGGTTCGCCTTGGGTCTAGGCGCTAGGCGCTCAGTTTGGGTGCGTGAGCCATACCTACTGCTAGAGAACCCTAATACTGATCATCTCGCGATGGATTGATCTACCATGCTATGAACTTTCGACCACGGTGGACAGAATCAGTACACTAGGGAGACAATAGATCGTAAAATGTTCGAATGATTGACGAAATAATTTCTACACCTCGTCCGATAGTGACCTCAAAAAAAGCTCGCTACAAAATGGCCAGTCGCTGGGACCAAAAGCCAAATACTTCTGCTACTGTCAAAGCGCTAGAACCTGTCAGGATTCAGGGCTTAACCCCACAACTCCACGAGGCTGTTTTTAAGGCAAGCCCCACGGCCTCCGGAGCGCACCAATGGCCGGGCCAGACAAGTCCCGGGATCTGCGGCGTGGGAAGATCGGGGAGGAACAAACTCAACTTCCCATTGGGCAAATTTTGGCACAAGTTCCTGGGAAACTGGATTAGTAATCGCAGCAGTCTACCGTGACCCGGATCCAGGAGGAGAGCATCAGGGCAGGCCTAGCCTACTCACTAGCTCCGGCACGGGGGCTGTGCAAACTGCTCTTACGCAACTGGGGGGCACTAGACCCATGGATGGACTCCTGGCGTACGTATCAGAACCGTTACCCCAGTACCCTCCGCTAGTAATTTTAATTCTTGTAAACCCCTGACCCACGGTCTTCCAGTTACCGCCAGACCGCTCTTAAATACTGATACTCCCGTACTCCATAGTGGCAACACAGCGCAAATAACGATGGTCCTCTTTTTTTTTTTCCCTTTTTCTAAATTGCATCGAATTCCCTGGGATCATCTTAAGATCAATGTTATCATGGAGATAATGGTCTTGGCAGGAGGGTAGAAGGAATTTCATCATTACCCCGAAATTTTCGGAGGTGAAGACTGTTTTTGGCTCCCTATATCATCACCCAAGAATCAATCATCCTGCCTCTTTCCCTTCTGGACCAGGCAGGTCAAACCCATGGATAATTGTCGGGTAAACGCGACCGACCAACTTCCTTCCAGAAGCAAAAACCCGTCTGGAACATGACGTCACGTTCCTAAGCCTAAGACTTCCTGATATAGTAGAACCATCATATCAAACAATCTATACAACAGCCCACAATCCAACTTCCATAACCAAATCATCAATCCAACACCCCGCGTTGTCCATGTATACAAACTAAGCACACCATTTACTCCTCACAACTTACCCCATACATACATACAAACTAAAATAAACAATCAACCCCCCTTAAGATCCAGCCCATGAACCTCTTGCCTCAGTCCCGAAAATCCAATCCTAACCGAAGGAGCCTAACAACAGACAGCACTGCCTCCTGATTCCCCACTGCAATGCATATGATATGCCTCCTGGTTCTCCACAAAGGATCAAAAGTCCTAGAATTAAAAATCATGTAAAGTGAAACTTCACCCCTCATTCCCAGTATGACGCAGTTATGCATTTAGGCTACGGCGAGATATCCAGTTGCACAAACCGGGGGGAAGAGTCTGTACGGACGGGATCGACTTGAGAAAGGTATAGGGGAAGGGGGGAGTTGTAAGTATGTATGCATGCTACGTAGGGAACCCCACAAGACTTGGGTAGCTCTCTCTATATGCAAGATGGATCAGTGGTTCCGCATCAACCGCTAGCCGAATGTCTGTGGTTTTTGTGCATGCATGAGCTTAGTTCCCCCTTGCTTGGTGTCTGGATATTTTATCTGGCTTGGTTTTCTTGGTTCTTGCTATATGCAAACACGTGTTCTGTGATATGCGGGATTTAATATGGGTTTCTATAGCTCGTAAGTATAAGAGGGCTTTTGGTTATATTTGGCCATTTGGAATGGTGTTTGAGGTTGCCTGGTCCAACGCGTCATGACAGGCCGCAGTTGGTCTCATCCACCGGATTTACGGACTTCTTATTCTCCGGGGTGCTGCATCGATTGAGGATCGGTGTACCAGGCAGGAACTGTAGCCTGTAAGGCTGAAGTGGCTAGACTTGTCTAGTGCGGATTTGTCGCACGTGCTGGGTACCGCTCGGTGTGCCTTGCTTCCTGCGTTATTGAGGCTGTCTGAACTGGAACTGAGCCCCCAGCTCAGCAGGCGACTGTCAGGACTGCGGTATTGTTGAGTTAGGGGGTTGCTGACAACGTCATGCGGTGGGTGTTGGCTGATTGGCAATCAAACCATGTGTTGACGAGGATTTTTTTTTGAACTGATCTGTAGGCAGTTATATTGTTCGACTTGATTCGGACAGGAGATTAGTTTCGAAGTACAAGATTGCTGATTGTCTCAGAAATGAGGATAAGATATTGAGTAACTGTGGCTGTGACGCGCCAAGTGGATTCATGAGCTTATTGTTTGTCTCGTCTTCGCAGCGAACACCCACCAACCCCGAATGCCTAGGTTGTTGCGCTTCTGAATTGAGAGATTGAGGACGTCTGACATGGGTCAGTTTCCCGGTTCACACGAGTCAACGAGTCACCACTTCACCTCGCTATTAACAACCTAATCAGATCTTACGAGGCAAACGCCCCACGTAAGATTGACCACATCAAACACCTCCTGACGGGACAGACGGGAAGAACGAGGGATCCTGCAGGCGCTGACGATTTCTCTTGGCGGCCTCGAGATTACGCAGTCTGTCGATGCGCATCTGATAGAAATTTCTGCGGCCCATCCGGTCAGAAAACACTGAGCTGGCAAAAAGGAGTCAGGATCCTTAATCGGGTTAGACATACTTATGCAGAGCGAAAATACGAGGCCCGTCATCCGACGTGGACGCAGAAGGCGCTGACTTCTTGAGGGATTCGATCTTTTCTGTTTATCAGCTGGCTTTTTCTTTTCTTTTTCACATTCAGGGCCCGATTGTTAGGGGCTGAGAGAGAGACAATGGTAGGGGAGGTAGGATAGGGTAGGGAAAAGACCTTATCGTCTCTCTCCTTCTCGTCACTCGGACCCTCCTTTTTATCCGTGTTAGATAATCCTTCTTGTTTCTTTGACTCTTCGTCCGAATTCTTCTCCTTTGCCTTCCCTTTCTTCCGTTTCTGCTTCTCTTCGTACTCCTTTTTCACTTTCTCGATCTCTTGCGCTAATGCCTCCTCTTTCTTCTTCTTTTCCTGCTCTTCTGTATCAACGATAGGAGTGCAGAAATGCCTGTCCTTCAGGTGAATAGGGCAAACATAGAAGAAGTCCTTCGATGACGTTATTAATATCATACTACTCTAACCAAGCTATACGTAGAAAAGAATTAATTACCTTGTTGTCGGGCGTGATCAACACGCTACTTGAAGGCTTGTAACAGACGTAGCATGATTTAGCGGCGGTGTCTGCTACCCGGCGAAGGTGATAGATATTTTGGAAGGACAAGCTCATTTTCAGCGGCCGCAGGTATTAAGTTAATAGGTTCTGATGTGCAAATGCTCTATGTATACGCGATAGAAACTGGCATGCACGCTCTCTATGTATCTGGAGGGGTCTAAGATGGGGTTTGAAGATAAGATCCGACTGGCCTCCATCAGTGCGGAGATGGTATGTCATGTGACCCAGATGATGAATGTATACATGTGGGACAGTCTATAAAATCTACATAACAATATTTTACAAGGATTAATAATTACTCAGTCACACTATCCTTGATTCCCCTAAGAGCACTAGGCTCCCTCGACCCAGCAGGAGCCAATGCCGCCGCATTCTGGGATCGTCTCCTAGCATCCGTCCACAGCATAAACTCGCCGTAACTCTTCGGCATGACGTGGATATCCTTTTCAACCAGGAAGGTATAGTTGAACTGGCCTGTCGACTTCTTGGTGCCGTGCTCCACGTCCCGGACCTTGGAGTCCACACGGACTTGGACTTTTGTGTACTTGCTGTCCGCACCTTCTCTTTCGAGAGGCTCAGTATAAGCAACCGTGGCACGTAGGTACAGGACGCTACCGACGGGCACGGGGTTTTCGAATGTGCTGGGATCCAGGGAGATGAAGTTGGGTCGAGCATGAGAGAAGGAAGCCGCACAGCAGAAGGCAAGCTCAAAGGTTTGTTTCAAGAGGAAGCCGCCGAAGATCATGAAGTTGTGACGGTTGCGGTCTTGTGGTTGCATGATCATTGCCGATTTCAAGTTGGTGTCACTCATGAAGACCATGTTTGAGGGTCTTGTGGCTGGGGATTGGGGGTCTACGTGATATCAGTTGTCGAAATTCGAAACGGGTTCTATCACAAAGCAGTGACATACTTAGGTATGACATTTCCTTGGTCCACATGGAATGGATCAGGTTACTCTCTTCGTCGTCTGGCGCCTTCTGAAGCAAACTCCGCTTTCTCAGGGCCTTTTTCGCTTGATAGTTCTCCTCTCCCTTCTTGAAAAGAAGACGTTCTTCCGCGGTTTCCACCAAGAGCGGTGCGACATTGACAGGTCTAAGCTAGCGTCAGTACAATGCAATTTGGGATCATGCGCAGGTACTCGAGGAACATACGTCTTGGTAACCGGATTAAGAGACACCATTGTGAAAGCACAAGTAATCAGAACATCTTCAGGCTTCGCCTGCTCCCCTGGGGCCGGCGCCTTTGCTACCTGCAGGGATATCTCCATACTAGACCGTCCCGTGGCGTAGGTGACCTGACCACTGAGTTCGAGGTCGCAGATCTCCATCAGAGGGTGTTCGATAGTGATCCGATCCACCGCGGCGGTCACGGTGGCTACTGAGTCGCCCGTGTGTCTATAAGCAATGACACCAGCTAGCGCATCCAGGTCCATCAGTAGAGACCCCAACCTGGGATATCATTAGTAAAGGTTGCAGAACCCTTGAGGCAGATGTCAGGTTACTTGCCTAATATGCCCGGAAGCATTCAAATACGTATCAAGAAGCCATTTATCTTGAGCTAACGGTAAAATCTAACCAACTTAGTTAGTTAGATTACTCAAACAACGTGAGCGTTCCACGAACGGCACTATAATAGCTATCCGACATCTTCTTTGGCGTCAGATCAGGCTTCGCAACTGGCGCTGAAACTCCCTTGTCGGACTTCGCATCCTCTCTGCTCTTGGTCAACGCTTCGATCCACGGCGTCTTCACCCGCATAGGCATCCACGTAGGCCGGAAAGCCGCACTGGGTTGACTGGCGTGGAAGTCCCTGGACGCAAGACACGATTGCGATGGGCGCTCTGCTGCCCTTATCCGGAGAATGTTACTAGTGCCAGATGTCAAGCATCTGGAGCGGGTCGCGGCGGATCGTCGCGTGGTTAGTCCCAGCATTGTGAATACTTAGTTAGTCCAAAGAACGTTTCGGGAGAGGTAAGGAAGTTTAGATGACGCCGGCGGGAGGAAGTTGAAAGTAGACTTTAAATCGGCATCGGGTCATGTTCCCGAGGGCTGTTGGCCCGTTCCCGATCCTTATTCCGGAGGATGTCGGGACGCGTCAAAGAATATTTCCACGGAGGTTTACCACATGATGGAAGGGATTCCAGTATCTATGAATACCTTAGGGTTAATTTTGGCGTATATTGAGTGTTCTTGACTACTTAATTAGGGTGTATGCATGTCGATGAACATCTTCATTTTGTTGATATGCTCGATGACATCATCACAATATCTTCTATCTTATCATGGTTTGATTGATCTTTGTAGTACTTGGTGGTATTCCAACTATGCTATAGTTGGCGAAGGTATGATTTTCCTATTAGTTATACCCCTAATTCGTACTATTAACGATCATTGGCCTCAAGTACTGAACTCACAGGCTCCACCAGTAACCCAAGATTCTCGTCCGAGGTGGTGCGTCAAAGTGAAGTCATACACCATATAAATATAAATCCAAATACTTGTTGATAATGGTGCGTATAACTTGTCAGTTATTCCTTAGTCGGGTAGATCCTATCCAGTTTTCTTTAAACAATGAGCGACCCAGCAAACCCAAATATTCAAATGAGGACGACGCCTCAATGGGCGTTATACCAGCGAGAGAACTTCTGGAAGCTCAACGAGAGCCAGACACCTCCTTTTAACACGGGTATGATATTTTATTGCCTTGACGAGCAAGCCATCTCTAGCTGACCGGGACCCGCTGCAAATAGATCCTATAAAACTTGAGCAATTGGCTCATGAGAAGCTCAGCCAAGGTGGTTGGTATGATTCCAATCTCTTCTGGTATAGGATGTCCCATCTGCTAACATGTCTTCAGGTACTATGCATCCTCCAATGCAGGAATGTCCAACACCCATCTGGCCAACCGTCAAGCCTTCTTCCGTCATCGCATCATCCCCCGACAGCTAGTGGATACCAACCTGCGCGACACCACCAGGGAAATCTTCGGGCACCGCGTATCGGCCCCGATCGGGTTTGCTCCCATTGGAATCAACAAGATCTACCACCCATCGGCAGAAGCCGCAGTCGCCAAGGTTGCAGGCGAACTCAATCTCCCCTACTGCCTGTCTACGGCTGGGAGCATGCCGATCGAGAAAGTTGCGGAGGCAAATGGCAAGGGACCACGGTTTTATCAACTGTATATGCCACACGATGACGAGCTAACATTATCCCTCCTCAATCGGGCGTGGGAATCTGGGTTTGACGCTCTTATCCTCACCACTGATACCTGGCAGCTGGGGTGGCGACATGACGATGTGGCCACTTCCAATTATGCCTTCTACCGTGGGGTTGGTGCCGATCTAGGCTTGACGGATCCTGTATTCCAAAAACGATGTCGGGAAGCGGGCATCGACCCCGAGAAGGACGTTGTCGCGGCCTCAGCAAAATGGATTGACTCGGTCTGGCACGGACGAGCATGGTCATGGGAGAAAATCCCCTGGTTAATCGAGCAATGGAAGAAGATATCAGGTGGACGGCCATTTGCCGTCAAGGGTATCCAATCGGTTGCAGACGCGAAAAAATGTGTCGAATATGGCGTCGACGGTATCGTGGTGAGTAACCATGCCGGTCGGCAGGTGGATGGGGCGATCGCAAGTCTTGACGCATTGGAGAACATCGCCAATGCTGTTGGCGACCAGATCTATATCATGTATGATTCTGGAATCCGGGGTGCTAGCGATGTGGCGAAGGCGCTTGCATTGGGGGCGCGGTTCGTCTTCATCGGGCGGCTTTGGATTTGGGGGCTCAGTATCATGGGAGAGGAAGGCGTCCGGCATGTTATGAAGTCACTGCTCGCTGACTTGGACATTTTCATGGCTGTTGCGGGATTCAACAACGTGGAGGAATTTGATCGATCGATTTTAGGTAAGTTACAAATCTACGTCATCTTTTTTCCTTCAGAGAGTTAACACTGTCGCAGAGTCATATCCGAAAGCATATACCCTTATTCCAGACAAGGTCTTGTGATTGATGAAAGATGGCGGGATGCATTTAGAGTGCGATGCGTCGCAAGAGTATATACACAATTCTATACTAATACATCCACCTTCGGATGAAGTAAACTTGCTTTTTTTTTTTGGGCGGATCTGAGAACCATAAGTATATTAATGTAAGTTCCACTTCTTTCAAACGGCAATCTATCTCCGGAGATCATAAAGCATTTCCATGTAACGGTTATATATCTCCTTAATATAACTGGCTCTCCAGCATTGACTGTTATTAGTGCCTGAAACTAGCCCCCGTTATCCTTTGACTGTTACATTCTGAGAGTGCTAGAGGATATAAATGATGCTGCCTTCATTCCCAGATGATCTCAAGCCCAACTGTCTTTCTCTTATAGGGCTGTATTTGTCTGTGTCTTGACCCCGTGTTAACCGACTGAACGACTATACCACGATTTCATCATGGGAAACAACTTGCCCAGAGAAGCAAGAAGAATACCCCAACCAGACTACTTATCAGACCAATTCATACTATCCCTAATCATAACCACCATCACCACTTTGTATACCATAGTCACAGGCCAACCATTCCCCTCCAGGTACGAACAACCACCCTCTTGACCCCAAGATATGAATTGAAAAACCAAAACACCTAGCAGAACCCATCTATTCCCCCCACCATCTCTATAAACCGTAACCCTTCAGCCCGAGTCAAAATCCTTACTCCCCTACTCCTCCTTCTAGCCGCCGCACACGCATATCCCCGAACATCCCAACCCCCATCACAGCCCCATCCCACACTGCGTCCCTCATCCGGACCCTCAAACCCCTAATTAAAAATCCCCGCATTCCAAGCTTGAAAAGACAGTCCGCATCTTCGGAAAAAGCAAACAAAAGTAAGCCAACAAAACCTCCCCCCCCCCCCCCCCCCCCCCCCCCCCCCCCCCCCCCCCCCCCCCCCCCACCTCTATTCATCCTACCGTCTCGCAATCACATAGACTAGGATATTATATCAGCGTCTCAGGCCTCACATTTTCCCTCTGCCCTCTCGTAGGCCACACTCTCCGGCAATGCGGAGTCAACACATCGGCCGTATTATCAGCCTTGGTTGGGTTCCTCGCTGCAGCGGCGTGGTATACCAGTGGGGAGGTATTACCTCATCCCTGGGCTAGGGGGGTGAGGTATCGGGATGTGTTGAGGTTTGCGATGGTACGGGGTGGGCTATCCTTTACAGAGATTCGGAAGGTTGGGCGTGAGTATCAAGGAGGGGAGGAGGTTGTTGAGCGGTTTGTGGTTGAGGGGGTGGAGGTCACGGTGGGGGGTTTAGATTTGGGAGGCGGGGAGGTTTGTGTTTCTCGCTATGGGGATGGGGGTGTGAGTTGGCGGTTATGGAGTGGTGGGGATTGGGAAGAGGGCGATGGGTTGAACAGGGGCTGTCGAGGGTTGGACTTGACGGTTTCCTATGCTGTTCGGGGAAGGTTGAGGTGGTCTGAGGTTCGCCGGCGGGAGGTGGTTGAGTTGATTGGTAAAGTCTGGGAGGATTATGCTCGGGTGGACTCGGGAGGGATTGAGTGTATTCGGTTTGAAGAAGTTGGTGATGGGACTAATTTGTCTCCTGAAGTCAAAGGATGTGGTACTAACTACGGGGGTGTTGAAACTCGGGGCAGCTGAGGGTGAAAATGATGTTTCAGATTGGGATGGAAGATAAAGCGAGAGTGGCCATCCAGGCATTATGAAACGACCATTGGCCGGTGTCAATGCGGTGTGATTGGAAGATACAAAGACTGGGAATGCATGTATGTATATACGGAACCATGCCCCCCCATCAAACAGGCAGATAGAAGTGAATATCTGCCGGGTTACCAAGAGGAGAAATGCAGAAAAGACCGTCACTGGAACCAGAAAATACAAATCCGGAACCCCAGCAGAAAATGCTATACTTGTCGCTATGATATGTCAGGCGCTGAACGGAATAGGAGCAGAGATACACCAAAGCAACCGCAGGGAGTTGCATAGGAGATCACACTAGGCTACAGCCAAAGTGTGCACAGAACAACCACCAAGACGGGCAGATAAGGCCCGGAGATCACGCTAGACACCCCATTAGCAGAGTTAATTTCTGTCGCAGTCGAGCTGGCCGCGGCAGCAGTAGCGGAGACAGTCTTGTCTGTTCCGGTGGAAGGTGTCGTAGAAGATGTTTTTGCGCTAGAGTTCCCACGCTCGGCAAACCCAACTCGGTCTTGATCGAAGTCAAACACCGTATATACGTTCTTGAGGAAGACATCGCCCACGAGCCATTCGTTGTCACCGAACATCTGGTGGCCGACAATAGTCGAAACACAGCCTGATCCGTATTTAGATCCGACATAGTCCTTGGGAGAGATCGTGTAGCTAACGCCCGAGAAGGTGAGTTGAACTTTGGCGGTGGAGTTGCAAGGTATAAGGAAGTTTTCTTCTCCCGAGGCGCTGGAGCCCGGAATCAGCTTATGCAATGCGGCTGCGTCCTTTGGTGGTATCAAAGCGTAGGAGGTGCCGGTGTCAATGATGGCCGTTTTGTTGAAGAAGCGACAGGCATTGCCATCCACAATGGCATCGTCGAGAGGGATGGTCCAGCGATTGTTGCCGCTGAGAGCCTTAGTGTAGGTGATGTCCCCCTTGAATTTGGTCTTGTCGACACCACCGAACGTCACAGTACCATCCTTCCCTCCATCAGCGGCACGAGAGAGGCTGAAGCTGACAATGTTTGACTTGAGGGCCTTTTGCTCTATGACGGCCTCCATAAACGAGGGGCCATATGAGCTTTCTTCCGCGCGGCCGAGACCGATGATCCCATCCATAGGGTAATTCTGGAACTGATCCGACGCATTGGAAGCCAGTCCGAACAACATCCGCACATCCATACCGGCAATTGAGATGGTGTCGTTTCCAAGGACACCGCTGACTTGCCCGGTTCCATAACCTACACCCCATTCCTTGGAGGTCAGTTGAAGACTCGTCGAGGCGTGTTCACCGAACGTGTTGTGCAGCTTGCAGGCATTCGTGGTACAGTCGGACCCGAAGAGCCATGTATTGACACCCCCAGAGTCTAGCATCATCCACATCTTCTGACCTTGCGAGCCAACTTTTGCTGCAGCAAAGTAGGAGTAGTCACTTCCGCCTTGGTTGAGCGCCGCCGTGTTAGGTGATGTCGGATCATCTGCATACATTATCTTGAACGTATTGTCTCGGCGAAAGGATTCTTTTTTGAGGTCGAGGGTGAAAGTGTTATCCTCGGAGGACGAACCCTGGTCATCCTGAGGTAAGGTCCATGGCATAAAGCGCCGCTGCAGCTTATCGCTGGCGGGATCGGTAGAAGGATCCTCGAGCTTTAAGGTAAAAGGCACAAATGCCGTGGCACTAGTGTAAAGGGATGTTGTAGCGAGAAGACATTGCAAGAAACGCATGATCTGGGGTCAATTCTTCTAACTAGTGAACAGGCGCATTCGAGGAAGAAACCGAGCAGCGGCAGTGTAAGGGTGAATTAGTAGAGTATCGATAGAGACAGGGAATGATCAAGTCTTGTGTAATGTGTTCTATGAGCAATTGAATAAGACCAGCAGTTATAAATAGAAATAGAAATAGAAACGGAACAAAAGGAAAAGGCGCAGAAATGCTTCAACCTGCCAGTGAAAGAAACGGAACAATCAGGACTGCTGCATGCAAATGAATGAACTGATTAGAAAACAAAATAAGAAGAAAGTAAATGCAGTAAGATGAAACTGGACATAAAAAGATAAAAAGTATTATATTATGCAGCGATAGCCATGAGGGGAAGAAGGTATAAAGAAACCGGCTGCTGCAGGCAGGCATGGGCCAGGGAAGTTGACCATTAGGGAGCAAATACTAGTCAACGGCCAAGCTCTTGGAAAAAGGGAATCGAAAGCCCTGAGTGGCCCTCGTAGGAAATCGGCGTTGCTCTAGGCCCCGATCTACAGCTGAACCGAACTTCTTCCAAGGCTACCAGGTGGAGCTGAAGAGGGGAGAAAGACTCAGAAAAAAGAAAAAATCCCAGTCGATCCCCTGAATGAAGTTGCATCATTGGGCCTTGATCTGCGAGTTCTGAAGTGGTTTGAAAGGCAAATGGAAGTGAAAAAATAACAAAGAAAACACGGGGGAAACTTATCAATCAATCAATCAATCAAATCAATGAATAGATTCGCACACTCTTTAGTAGTAGAGTTCGATCTTGAAACCATTGTACGAACCACAACAGGGGCAACTTTTTGATTTTTCTTCTTTTACCAGCTTCGGAAATGTTTCAAAATCTCCTCTTGGCATGACAGTTGTTGATCCACCTTTCAAGGCAACTCTTCAACTCGTTCAACGTGCAAATAGGTGATTTCTGTTCTTCTCTGTCCATGAGAGTAGTCCATTCAACCATTTGATCTATCTTTTTCTTCGCATGAACCGCGGACCTCCGCTGTACAAAGCAGGCCCGAGGCACGATCGATCAATCGACAACATGTCGGGTTCTAGACTGTAAGCTGACGCACTCTCAGGCGCCGCCCCACCGCCCTTCCTTTTTTTTTTTTTTTTGACACGATTCCCAATGTTACTGTGGGGGGGGTGTACACGGCCTTAGGAGGGAGGCGTCCGTTATACGCCTCGTCAGTGGCTGCGGCCCTTTTTGTGGCTGCTAACATAATGTCAGACACTGGCTTGACTTGCTCCATGATGGGCCCATTTAGTGAACTCTGTTCAACATCGATTCCCGAGTACCGCAGTTGAATTTCAAATGTGACACCATGGCCGCCGTCGAGTGAAACATATCTCGGGATATTTTCTATTCTGATCTGAGCAGTCTCTGACACAGAGTACTACCATGCTCTCGAGTGGAAAAGCAAAAGAAATTCACACAGGAGACGGAAGGTGCACACTTCCGAACACATCCGGCCCAGCGTACATGTCACCTTTTCGCTCATAAGTAGAATTTATGTTCTCTCCGAGTCCTTCTAGATTCTTATATACCCGCAAGATAACTTCTACGCTCTTTGGATTAATTATATTTAGAGTACGGAGTACGCTAGCTAGATCATTGAACCAACTTCAATCTATACTGAGTGTTATAAATAAACTGGGGTTAAATTCTCTATGTGATTTTCTCACGTGGTGAATATATATAGATAGGTAGTTCAAAGCTATCAGATCTATGGAACCTCCACCTACCATCTATATCTGCGGAAGGATCGCAAAGGCCAAAGATAATGGTTTGGTTTCGTCCTTTTCCTAAAGTGGCTTTTTCTATTAGTTCCAGCGCAAATTTGGAGAGAAGACGGCAAGGGATTCATGGCTGAACACAAAACTACAGACAAAGTATGTCTCTTCTTGGTTTGAAAACGCTGTTCTTCTCAAAAATAGAAATCTTATACGATCTCCTCCGTATGCCCTAGCAATATCATGTCAGCATAAGCCCCTTTATCACCTTCCCGGTGTTCTTTGAGGTTAGAATCGAGACATTAAAAGAGTCTATCTATTTTGGGTATGCTTTATCCACTTCGAATTTGCTTTTCTTGGAAGGCTTCTTGGTTTCTTCCTTCCTGAAGAAATCTTTGACTAAGAATTACCAAAGATTAGGACAAGCCTGTTTTCTTTTTTCTTGAAAAATTAAAGACAATAACGATTGATATATCGCTTAACAGTTTCGGTAGAAAGACTTAGCAAGGGCGCGTCGACAAAGAGATGGTCAAAGCACTATTATAAATGCCCGTTATTATTGCTAAGTAAATGATTCTATTACTATATGATGATGAGCGCCAATGTCTATAAATAATAATAATTGGACGGCATTTCCTCAGGTGAATGCAATTTATGTTTGCGAACTAAAATGGATGAATGGCAGCAACGAAGAATGTTCCCTACTATAGATACCCAACAAGTAGACATCTAAATTGGTTTCTTATTGTATGAGCAAGCACGGATGAAGAAACTTCTACAGGATAGTTATTGAATGTATATATTTAAGTCCAGGCTATCCATTTGCGCTAATTGAGAATATGTACATTTCAGTAAAGAAATGTCCAAGTGCTGTACGCTGTTTAGATTGAAATGTTGAAATAGAACTAGTTTCTACCCTAGTCTGTTGGAATCTCCAAAGAGAAAATTGGCAATGCGTTCACTAGATGGCTTCCTGATATTTTTAGAATAAATGATGCTTCGCTATTTAATACTGTGATTGCAAGTAGCGGTAAGCTAAGGGAAGTAGGGAGTTGCCGACTCTCCTCAATACGGGGAGTCGCTACACCCTTTATATATTCGTGAGTCTATCCTATTCATGAGGCATCAAAGGTGTGCCATTTAGCATCTGCTGTATACATCATTCCGTAGCTATCCTCCATAGACTGAGGGTCGTCCCCTATCATCCATTGCTCGGAATTCACAATATTGTAGGTGACTTTATGGAGGGATCGGGCTTTAAGATAATGATTGATTTTTAGCTGCTACTCCTAAGCAGAGCTTATCGGATTGAGATTGAACCATGACTACAGCAGCTATATATTGGTTGCTAGTCAACCCGTTCTCATAACTATAGGAAGTCTAACTAAGCCCTCCATGAAAGGGAAGATTTCACATTAATTGTTCGGACAATCATCAGCACAGTTCCCTGGAGCACTTGATGACACCGTAGGATTGAATCCCAACGGACAAGCTTTTACCCGGGGAGACAGTTGGCTTAGTTCTATAGTATAATACATGTACAAGGTGTGAGAGGGCGAAACTGGGCAAACGTGGCGGCAATCCCACCGACCGGCAGGCTTCAGCACTCCGAGACACATGCCCTACTCCACTGAGCGCCTAGCTCCTAGAAAGAAAGCAAAATGTATCTGGAGAATCCGACCCATCTCCAAGAGGGATTGGCGAACGTAGCATCCTAAGCTGGTCAAGATAGGATAAAAAGTATCGCCGGCAAAGAATCCTTTCGCCATCTATATTTCTGTATTCTACATTCCGTTGGCAATACCTGTCATACTTAGCTCCACCTCATTGCCATCGCCCTCAATTCCTCTCTGAGCACGCTCTTAGCCAGCTCTTTGAACCTCTCTTATCAGAGCCTTCAATTCTCCTCTTAAAAACCACAAATTTCTTTCCACTGCGAACCTCCTCTCCCCGAGCCACGTGCCATCGGACCAGACCCAGCTTCTTCACCCCAACTATAAAGCTCTTTACCTAGATACTTAACCTACGTCGCAACCACAGAAAGATGTATTTTCAGAGTATCCACTACCTATTCTCCCCAGTCAAAAGCTTCCAGCGGTATTTCACTATAAGTGAATACACACAAATTTCCAAACAAGCCCTCCGGTTACCATAAACAGAGCATTCAAGTTCATTCATATATCTGAAACCTGCCGCTGTTGGTACAGGTAAAGAAACTTCATGAGGTGTAGAAGATTCATCCCAGTGGTAACGGAAGAGCTAGTAAAATGTCGGCTGTCCTTTCCACACTTGCATGTCATCAAGGATAAGGAGCTATTTTGGCGTCTCGTAGCTTGGAGTTGGGGAGTAGGGGTCGACGGGCTGATTATCGTGGTACTCAGGGGATTTGCATGCGAAGGTATTATAAGGGTTTACAGGTTATCGATATGTCGCTAAATTGTTGGTGATTGTGTGGGCGTTGTTGGTTCTTTGGTGCCAGCGTGTGTGGTGTTGGTTGGGAAATAGGTCTTGTATTTCGAAGAGAGTATTTGTTGTCTTCGTTTAGGTTAGTATTTGAAACGAATGTGTTATCTGCCGGTGAGCTCGCTGGTATATCTTGTATTTTGTTAGATGTGGAATAACAGTTGTTAAATTGACAAGGTTTAGGTGAAGACCTTCGTAGCTGACTCTTGCTGCCTGATGTCATGGCTTCTTACTAGGTGCATAGTTTGGAGCCATCTTAACCAAAGTGTACTGCATTTGCTTCTTTCTTCGATATATAGACTACCATACCAGGTTATTATAAGTACACGGGATCAATATTGAAGCCAGAGCAGCCTAGGTTCCTCAGGCTCTCATATATCAGGTTACGGATGGATATGTCACCACTCGGTGATCGTGAGTCACGTTTCACGTCAAAATGATTTCACCCCTACTAAACCAATGAGAAGCTGAGCACGACATGAACTTGAAAGAATCGCGAAAATCCACTTTCCGTCTCAAGACCAATAGGAAGGGGTTCCCTAGGACTCGTCCCAAGAAAGAGGACGCGTTATTATGCACTTATTATTAGAGGGAAGCCTGTAGTTTAGCCATGGTCGGCCTCATGGACGTGCCCTGGCTTCAATCTAGGTAGTACAATACTAGGCATAAGCAAAAGAGACATGAATCTGGGAGCACATGATGCTAGTAATGGTGATAGAAGAACTGGGAACACTGAATGATCTGGGAAATATTTAGCGACATACGCTTCATTTCAACGCCCCAGGTGCTGGAAAAGAAAACTACTTGTTCCTTTACATTTATGTCTCTATTGTAATTACAGTTATGTAGCAACTTCTGTTATAATCGTTGACCGACCCAATATTGAATACACCCATGAAATTACCTAGTATCGCGGGCGCCTGAGATATGCCTGGTGGATCGACCACCTGCGGAAGTATATGGATTGTTGAATACTATGGTAATCGGACCACATATAAAAGGCCTCATAATTCCCACCTAGATAGGCCTTCTAGATAGTTTGATAGGTGTCAACAATCTGGTCATTTTGATATCGTTTCATGTTAAGGCACTATGTGGAGATCATTCTCATCCAAATGATGATTCTTATTCCTACTATCTACAGCTATCCTTACCCCTAACACCTAAATGCTTGTCGGCCGGATCATCCTACTGGCTGGTCTAATCAGGACCGACAGCCGGAATCCCCAGCCAACATTTCATACGAATATCTTACCAGATATTCTACACCCAAAGCTAGTCTTTCTTTCTACCAAAGCGCTCGTGATGTACGTTCATGGTACATCGAGTCGATATATGATGTTATTTTGAGTCCACCATGCTGTTGATTAGGGTTTCTTGAAGCATAAGGATACAGGAAATGGTCAGGTCTCGCTATAATCTTTCCATGAAGAGTAGACAACCTCGAAGACATGAATATCTTGGCAAGTGCCTTGGCTGGCTCAGTTTCCCATTTAGAAGTATAATTGTAGGAATCGGGTAGAGTATGAGATAAAGCTAACTAAGCTCAATAAATCAGGTCCGTTTACCTTGCAGGTTTTCTCTTAATGTGTTTATGTCATTCTACATCTTAGACAATAGATAGAACTAGGCTATCTAGTATTCATGTGAGGTCTAATGCTATCGAGGGCTAGATTGACCTTAACATTGTCAGATGCTCCAATCTTGGTAGATAGGCTAGGGAGATTCTAATGCTACTATTGTCGCTTTTTAATGACATTCAGGTAATGGAATGTGGAAGGAAGTACGTTCAATCTATAATCTTTTGAGTTTCGTATAATGCGGGGGCCAATCATAAGGTCCGTACGGGATTTTGAGATACTTCTTCAAATTACTGTAATACTAACGATAGATAGCATACATCCAACGAACCTATGTGCGACCTTCTAACTAGTGAACAATGCATAGTAAGATCGGTAAACAGGAAACAAAAATGATAAAAGCTCACAGCCTATGGACATGTGTCAGTCGGCAATGATCTTGATTTTAAATCACGAGAACAAGCCCTACTATGTATGTACCATAGGTAGATATAGGCGTAAACAGTTCCGTACATATGCACCATGATCCGAAGACAACTGTATATCGTGCCATATTGTTGCTGAAAATACGTAAATGGTTGCTTTACAGTTCACTAAAACCAAAATCTCATACCTACTCAAATCACTGTAATTGTTTCTTGGAGAGTAGGTACAGCTATATAGTAGGTACAGTCCAAAGGCACCCAGCAAGAAGCGTCTGCTTTCTTCATACATTCAAAGGTACCATTGTTACAGACGCACTGGGTCAGAATCCTGATCCTTCCTTGATCTAAACTAATCAACCTGTTTAGACGCGAGTCTATGATCCGTCCGTTGGAAGTTTAATCCGTAGCCTTTTCCTGTACTCAGTACTCCGTAATTGCCTAGGATATTACGGCCAATGCATACTAATTTCAAAGCCATGTCAAACCAAGTAAATAAATGGGAAATCACCGAATAGTTGAGTAAACATGCAGCATGTATAGACCCACGTTTCAGGTTATACACGAGCACAAGAATAATAATCCCCGGTTCACATGTGATGGAGATCCCGGGGTGACTTTCAAGTTATCGGAACAGATCGGAGAAGCTTAATCACTCCACCCCCCATCGAGTAATACCCCGTATACCCGATCATCATCAATCATGATTTTCAAAATGGTTGAAACGTTCCCGGATGCCGAAGGAGCATGTCTCGTGCTTGTACCTAGGTTAAGTATTAGGGTTGATCCGTACCTTAAGGCTCGGGGGTATGGAGTGATTGATTGGTTGGTTTCTTAGTGGACGATCTACGTCATTCATTCTTTTAGGTGAGGTGTGCCTCTTTCAATCTTCTTATCTACCAGTCCAAATAGTTGCATACTTGTGGTATTAGAAGTAATTGATTTGGTGAATGGACAAGTGTCATCAAATTGATCAAAGGTAGAACATCATTGAGCATCATGATGATTAGGAAGAACAAAGAAATTGAAAGAAATAACACTCCAGTAGAATATCAATCATCGCTAATATAGAACAAATCCAAATAACGTTCGTCAGCTCAGTGCTGTTTCTGCAAACCTTGCTGTTTGGGACCTAAAATGTCTTCCAAAAACCCAGTCCACAGTTCCTTCAGCACACCGGGTTCGTTCTGTTGCTTCCACTGCTCTGCACCTGTGCGGGATTTACCAACGGTCTCGGTTAGGGAGAATGGGTCGATATCCACCGAGTTGTTGTCAACAACTTCAGCCATGGGGCTGACTGCGACATCGGACCCGCCCCCGGATATAGTGTAGACCTGGGGCTTCATGGGCAGACTCGAGGCTTGGGTTGAGTCATAGTTGGTGTAAACGTCGGAAAGGATCGGAATGCGTGTTTCGGCGGAGCGGGCAGGGGCATAGACTTCATCCATGGACGGCAAGTATGCGAAATCCACGGTGGATGAGTCATTGACGGCCTTTAAGGCACGGGAGGTGTTGAACTGGCGTGTGGAGATAGATCTACTCGAGTGGAGAATGATGTTAGCGCTGAGAGCTCTTTCAACCGAGGTACGGGATAACCACTTACTCTGCAGCGGCGCTGCCATTGATTCTTCTCATGGCAATGCTAAATGCACGGGACTGAAGGAAGTCATGGTTGGAAAGACGCTCGACGAGCTGCAATGAGATGAAACGGTCAATTCGGGTACTACAGGAAGATGGGTTTTGTAATCATGGATACCTACCTCACTTTGGCTGCCACTAATTCCAAGATGCCTCTTCTGGCATTCCTTCTGGAGGTCTGCCAAGCTGCGAGTAGCGTACAAGGACGTACGATCCGTAACGTTGGCAGGCTGTGCGGAATGGGCACCGGTAATGTGCAAACTCCGGCGGAGGTAGGGTGTAGCATTATGTTGCTGAGACAGCACGCGGAGGGCGCGCAAAGAAGTAGAACGAGGGGCTGCCATTGAGAAGAGCGTTGTGTGGTAGATGGGCTGAATATACGTTATGTTCAACGCTCAAAAATAAAGGTCTGAAAGTTGATAAAACGATGATGCCAGGAAGGCGCGGGAGTATAAGTATAGGTATACTTATACTATTAAGGTAGATAAAGTGTAAAATGATACAAAGTAGAATGTATGTGTAAGACAAGCAAAGAGAATCCGAAGATGAGAAGTAGTAACGCTTAGATTTGAAGGAACTGGAAAAGGGAAGGAAGAGAATTGCAGTCGAGGGGAGGTCAGTACTTGTACTTCTGGATGCTTGCAGGAACCGTTGGGGGGATGAGTGAGCTATCCACTTTCTCCCTTCCGGTGGACGACACTCTGGGCGGTCTGGCCCCAGTCGGCGGGATACTAAGAGTAGTAACTCACTAAATTCCCCGACTAAAGGGATCGATCGATGGTGTCGTCTGGGCGGGACACAAATTTGGGTATGTAATTAATACATACAACAAACTATTTTCTTGTTTTTCAATAGTACTCAGTATGCTATCGTAGTGTTGATTCTCGCTTGAATTTATATTTGTGCGAGGAATTTAGGAGGGTAGAGGAGGGGTAAAAAAGAGAGAGGGAGAGGAATAAGAAAAGAAAGGGCCAAGTAATGCTCATACATTACATATCAAGTCTTCAACAGGAATAAGAGTATGGGGTACACTCAACACACACCCGTGGACCTTGGGATCGGATGCACCAACATGCATATTCCCCGGCACTACGGGTGGGAAAACAGCCAATCGATCAGGCAATCCAGGAATTTCTATGACTATGACCTCGCTTCACCGGGGAAAGGTCAGTTGATGATCACGAAAACACTGGCGCATCCCGGCCGCCGTTGCCCGTTAACATTGGTCACCCCCGGTACACCGAAGCTTGATACGCCAGTATGCCCTAAGTTTTCCCCTCTCTCCGCTCGTGCTTGTTTGTCGGCTTCTCGAAGTAAATTGATTTCATAATAATAATAGTAATAATAGTTTCGAAAATCATCATATTTCAAACTTACTTTGTAACACCTTGGAGGGAATTCTAGCGTGGCGTATAGAACCAATCCGATCATTTGAAGGCCTTAGGCCAGACAGGCGATCTTTTCTCCTTCTACGGAGTTAAAGAGGATCTCTGTCCCTACCTGGGTCCACTGATGACTTTGATCTCCAACCGCGGAACTGATAGACTACCAAATTTGTTGCCCTGCTCTGACTCCGCACTTAAGACCTAGTTATAATTCATATATGTAAGGTATGTACTTTTGCCGTTGACGTGGGAAATTACATGACTAGAATATGATACCGGACGAAATGCAATGTGGCTGAACGAAAGTGGTAATAATCGCAGCCCTACAATTCGTAGACAAATTTCTGGTACTATACTACTAGTAGTAGGTACTAAGTAGTATGTACTAACTGAATGTTCTGCATCCTCTTTTCCCCGTCCTCCTATGGTTTAAAGGTGACGCAATGATTCGAGGGAATAAATACCGCGGGAATCAGGCGGTAAATTACATACGTACGGTAACCATCCCGTACTACTTACTAAGTGAGTAATGATAAGCAAACGGGGATGAATGACGAAACTTCCATAGAAACTACCTTTTACAAGAATAGCAAATGAATCCCGCCGGGTCCGCATGAATTTGACCAGTAGGAATAATCAATCTTAATTTCTGTTGTTTTTCTCAACTGTTGAGACTCATGAGAGGCGGTGAGTGGGGAACCAATCCTTCTGGTCGATCGGAGTTGACTCCATATTCCGGCAAATCCCAGAATTTCATCCAAGGACATATGATTATTATGGGGACAGGATCGCAGATACGCAGTATGTTATAGTATAAGGGGGCGCAGGATTCAGAGTACGGCGTCGAATATAGCATGAGTGGAACATGATCGAAGGTGCAGTGTACAATCGGGACTGGGATTAGAGATACGCGGCAGTGGAGAGAATGATTTACCCCTGTTCTGCATACCATTCCCATTGGAGGGTCACGAGGACAAAAGATCGATTCCTTCCAATTGAACCGAATTTAATCTAATTCTAATTTTTACTTTTATGTATTTCCTTTTCTCTCTTTCTTTCTTTCTCTCTTTCTTTATTTTTTTTTTTCCTTTTTGATTTGTTGATTCAGTCATGAACCTAAATGATCCACGACTCTACTACCACTAACTACTATATAGCTCGGAGTTGATACTGTGTTAATCCCAGTTACTGTCATGGATGAGTATGTAACCTTCCGCTTTTGGCCCTCGGTGATGTGGTCAACTTCGATATGGTCATCTTTCTCCTTTCCCTTGGGTACATTATCTGTCTATCTACTCCATAGTACTCTCTTCGTTCCCTTGACCTATCTGATTGGGGAACTCACCCAGCTACAAGATAAGCACATGTATGGATTAAATTATTGCTTGGTTGGTGACCTCATCCGGCATCCCACTCCTGCTTGTGATATGTCACTGCTGAATTGTTAAGATTCTATGTTGGCCGCTATTTCTCATTTATCAAATCATGTCTAAACGTGAATTTAATTTGATACACCTGGACGGCTTTCGGCATATCTGCATAGTATCATGCCTACATGAAGCAGCAAAACAAACAGAAGCACTATAAGCTAGCGTGAGACCGGTACATGAACGTGACTAGGTATTTTATTCAACAACGGAGTATTCTCAGAAACTGAGATACTCTTGAAATGAATCGTTCCTTTGGAGGAGAGTGACAAGGGGGGAATTAGTAGACCGCTCTACGACTATCAACCAATTGTCTAGAGCTTGGAGCGGTGCAACGAACGTCGCCCTTTGGCAACCTTTCGCGCATATGGGTGTTGACGGGATTCGGGAACTAGGTGGTCAATATCGGCCGTATGAACTAATTGTGGACCCGCCTCGTCGAGCGTGGTGATTCCGTTGTTGCGCATAGCTGTTTCTAACTCGTCTTTCATGACTGAGGTAATATGAGCAATGACGAGAGAGAAAGGCACAAAGGGGAAGAAGCTCGTCACTTACTGTCTATCAAATGCTCAACACCCTCCTGGCCATAGTTTGTAGCGAATAGCATACTACGTCCCATGCCCACGGCAGTTGCACCCAAGCAGACAGCCTTCAAGATATCCGTCCCGCGCCTGATCCCACTATCCACATATATCTCCATCTTGTCAAAAATTTCCGGACATCGCTTGTGCAGTTCAAGAAGTGTAATGATAGACGGAGGGCTAGTGTCAAGGTTGCGTCCTCCATGATTGCTAAGAAGGATACCGTCAAGCCCAGCTTCCATGGCTAACATGGCATCGTCTGCAGACATCACGCCTTTTAGACACAAGGGAAGATGAGTGTGCTGTCGTACCCACACCAAGTCATCCCAAGTCAGTCCAGGGTCGATGAAACCGGCCATCACACGTCCCAGTCCACCGCCCTTCTTGTCATTTTTCGCTTTAGCTGGAGCCATCGGGACCGATAAACTCTCATCCGCCTTAACACGTTCGTCTGCTTCTCTTTTACCTGGCCAAGCTGCATCAACCGTCACGAAGATGGCCTTCACGTTGGGATTTTCTGAGCATTGGTGCAGAAGTGCAGCTGACTTTTGACGATCTCGGTTGACATATAATTGGAAAAAGAAATTTGCTGAGGGAGCAGTGTTTCTAAGCTCTTCCATCGTGTATGAAGAGTTATTGGAAATCTACACATAATGATTAGAGGAGAACTAACAAAGATGAAAGCCACTGAACGTACTCCCTGCATAATCCCTTTATCTCCACAAGCTCTTGCAATAGCGCATTCGCCATCAGGATGAATGAGCTTTGCCATAGCTGCAGGACTCACAAATAATGGCAAGCTACTGTCGACCCCAAGGATCTTAGTACTTGTATTAACAGAACGGACATTCCTCAATACCCGTGGTCGGAACCATATCCGGTCAAAACACGTCTTGTTTGCGTCCCGGGTAAGAAGGTCTGTTGCGGCGCTGGAGTAGAATGCCCATGTTTTCTTACTGGCTGTTTTTGAAGCCACGAGCTCAAAATCGTGGGAATTAATCAATGTGTGCAGCGGCGGTTTCTCATGATCAAGAACAACCTTAGGGCTCTCAGTAGATGGCTGATTGATCCATTCCTCGCTGATTGTGGACTCGTCTAGCACACCCAGAAGTTTCTCTGAGGGTAGATTACTTGTCAGGACACCTGGGGTATGAACTTCCGAGTAAGCCTTGGTAGCATCACGACCTGCGTATTTGAGTATGACTGCATATTTCAGGTAACCACGTCAGCGTTAGTAGTGTTTAGGTGCGGGTGTATGTCTCACCTGAAGATCCTCCAGGATGGTCTTCCAAGAAGTCTGTCACATCCCACACTTGATTATTGACAACGATCCAGCAATCCTGAGGCGTATTGTGCCCCGAGATTTGCCGAGCTGCCAGAAGCTTCTGGTCTGCCATTGCAAGGGAAATATATATATAGGCTGAAACCCGAATGATGATGGCCCTGCAATTGCAGAAAATGAATGAGATAACGATCGGAAGACGCAATTCTCTAACGTGCGATGTTTGTTTGTATATATATACAGCTAGCAGCTCCTGAAGAACGGGGGTATGCCGAATTATAGAAATAAACACATTATTATAGATGGTCTCAGCAGTGACGAGGGGTATCTCCGCAGATCTATCTCATATATGCGGAGAAAGATACAATTAAAGGCTCCACAGCGGCTTTAGCGCCGAACTCCCGGGTAGGGAGAGTCCGACCTTTTCTACACGCGATACTCCGTACAGCTTCGTGTATCACTATTACCGAAGGCACCTTGTGGCTGAAACATGTCTGCTGGGCATATTACTTTGCATTGGCAGTCTTACAGTGGAACAATGACCTGTGATGGGCTAAAATATCTACTGTTTCCTATTTATTCATAATAATGAACTGGAATCCAATAGGAAACAAATGAATTAGCACTCCCAACCAGAATCGGAGGTGCCCCGAGTCAAGTGATTGGCTGACTCGGACAGTTCTCCGTTACTGTATGACTCATCAATAATCACTAGCCACAGAGGCGCTGCAATGAGGTGGCTTAGATGTGGGTTGCCAAGAAGCTCAAAATGTTTCGATACGGTGCCATCTTTGCAAGTGCTCAGGAAAAGAATCGTGCTTTCAGATGAATGTGTCTCTTAGCGTAGACAGCCTTTTCAGGACACTTGGGAATAGTAAGACACCTTTCCTCAGCTGTGTAAGATCCAGGGGGACCTACACCACTGTCAGGTTACCTCGTTTTCTTCAGAGGAATAGTGGAGGTATGTTCTGAGATCGCCAATATCTACAGCCAACAAGCGGGCTATTCCACCCCAAGCAAAGCTGAGGGCTTCGTCATTTTCCCCGTATCTAAACTCACTTCATGCACAGTACTCCGCAGTAATTGCTTGGTATCACAGCATTCTCCCTATTCCACCTTAATCAGAAGAGAATTCTCTACAGGCTCTACCAAACATCTAGCTGCAGCCAGTATGGGTGACACCAGTAAGCCCTTAAGATATGTTGATGTGAGTTTCCCTGTTATTTCGTATATCAATTTTCGGTAACTGATGGAGGGAAACTACCGTATAATCAGATCGGGATCAATTTTAGCGATCCTGTTTTCAGAGGAGAATATCACGGAAAGCAGGTTCACGAGAGCGACCTGGATGACATCATCCAGCGTGCTCGCGAAGTAGGATGCCAAAAGTTCATGGTCACAGGTTCTGACTTGGAAGAGTCTCGGCGTGCTATCGAGATTGCCCAGAAATATCGTATGTGGCACCCCACAACTCACCGTGGCAAAATTAGGACAGAGCCTGACAAGTCCCTGAACAGCGGGATTTTGCTATGCCACAGTTGGAGTTCATCCCTGCCAAGCAAAGCTCTTCGATGAATTCCCTGGCGGCCCATCGAAATTGCTTGACGAGCTGAGGATCCTAGCCTTAGAGTCAAAAAAGTCCGGATACGCGGTTGCATTTGGTGAAATAGGTCTCGATTATGACCGGTTGTTTCTAAGCTCAAAAGAGCCCCAGCTAAAGTATTTCGAGGCCCAGTTGGATCTCGCGGTTGAGATACAACTACCTCTCTTCCTCCACTCTCGAGCTGCTAGCGAGGACTTTGAGCGGTTGTTAGCACCTAGGCTCGAAAGGCTTCCCAAGAAAGGCCTCGTGCACAGCTTCACTGGGACTCTTGAAGAGATGAAACGCATGGTGGCCCTCGGCCTAGACATCGGCGTAAACGGCTGTAGCTTAAAGACTGAGGAGAACCTAGAGGTAGTGAAGGTTATACCTCTCGAACAACTTCAAATAGAAACGGATGGCCCTTGGGTATGCAGACAGTCTGTTCCCTATCATTCTGTTGAACCCTTTCGTTGACGATGATGTTTTTATAGTGCGAAATTCGCCCTTCTCATGCCTCTTCCAAATACTTAGAAGGTGCACCAGCATTACCAAAGGCTGTGAAAAAGGAGAAATGGCAAAAAGGATGTATGGTGAAGGGTCGCAACGAGCCTGCGGCCATTGCCCATGTCGCCCATGTTATTGCCAAGATCAAGGGAATCACCGTTGAGGAAGTTTGCGAAGCGTAAGTTCTTCCATAACTTCATGTTACAGATTGCTAATCCCTCATGTACTAGTGCCTGGAATAATTCAGTTCGGATGTTTGGACTAGGGGAAGAAGCCCCGTAGGTCTGTCCTCTATACCCTTCTCAAGGGAGTGCTCTATTCATACCGTAGCACTTAAATTTTGTTTCAGCATTTCTCTATAGATTGATAGATACAGTCCTCGGATTTCTCACGCGAGAGTCTAACAGCCCTTGCACGTTATTGTTGATAGATAGATGAGTCTGGAATTTGTCGTTACTGTTACGGATCCTCGGTTCTCCCTGAACTGGTCCCAGATGGCTCCTACCATGGTTCAGGATGGCTATAGGGCTTCCAGGCAGCACTGTGACGGCCAAAAACAAAGCGAAAAGAAAACTTAGACTCCTCCCTACTCCACCTCACGGCGTTGTTTCGGAACTAAGAGAACCTGCAGACAACTCTTTGTTTTAAACGCTTCCCGTCACGGAAAGTGGATAGTTATACCGCTTTGTCCAACAATAAATCACTTTCCCATTCTTCTTCTGAGCATTTGTCCTTTTTTCTGAGGCCGGTTGCTTCCTGGTAGTGGACTTCGACGGCAAGAGTCTACCAGAGCAGCTTTTTTTTACCCATCAAATCAGCTCACCGCCCCCAAAGGTGCAAAAGCGCAACAGTCTTGTTCCTTTCTCCACTCCCCCAGACTGTTCGTTGCTGTCGCGAAATCTCCCTGGTCCCTTGTTTAAACGTCTTTACAGTACAGCTACCTCGAAAGTCTACTCTGTCAAAATGTTTATCTTTCAAAGCTCATCGTCTATTTGAAACTCGAGTTAGACTTCTTTAAGTCTCTCTCAAGTTTCATAGACTACCCTTTTTTCGTTCTTTCTTTTCTTTTTCCCTTCTTTTTCCCTTCCTTTGCCTTTCGCTGGAGGGCTTCTCAGCACCTACTGTGCTCTGAATTGGCCTTTGCTTCACTTGAAACCGGTTGGAGTTCTAGGGGATTTTGTTGACGGTCCTTGCGTTCTGGTTGATACGCCCTGGGGCATCCGCCCCTTCCATGTTCGAAGACTGCTGGAGCATACAGTGATCCCTGCTATCTTATATCATGGCTAATATGGCAATGGTTATTCCTTTGACTCAGAAAAGTTCTAGCAGCTCTCTTGCCGGTCAAAATGGTATCTGTCCTGCCGATGCAACTACGCGGTATTTAGCTTTCGAGCTGACGTTTCTCAGGTTGCATTACAGAGAGGACGCGCCTAAAAGGCCCATCGGCAGAATCCGAGCCTGTTTACTCCGAACTACCCCCTAATTTTGGAGAGGTCGTGGAAGGAATCTATCGCAGTGCTTTCCCCGGATCTTGGAACCTTCCCGCGCTCAAAAATCTGGGGTTAAAAACGATAATGTTAGTATAAATTCTATATATCGCGTGGATAACTAGTTAACAAGCTACATAGCACACTTGTCGAAGAACCGTATGGTGTGAGCCATGTGAGTTTCCTCAGGGAACATGGAATCGCACACTTTCGCGTTATTGTCCAAGCAAACAAGGCTCCCGAGGAGAAGACTCCTGACCATGTCATCAATGGCATTCTTGAAATCCTACTCAACCAGGCCAATCATCCAATCCTTATCCATTGCAACAAAGGAAAGGTACGCGAAGGTCCTCCGCGTCATGTGACTATTTCTGATTGATCTTCCATAGCATCGTACTGGCTGCGTGGTGGCTTGCTTTCGAAAGCTCCAAGGTTGGAATTTACGCGATGTTCTTGACGAGTATTTAAGCTATTCCTGGCCAAAATCTAGAGTCTTGGATGAAAAGTTCATCGAAGCTTTCGACACATCCAAACTCGATCACACGGCTAAGGATTCCGGTGCCCACTTGTGGAGACCTACCGGCAACTACAAAATTCAGAGGCGGACGTGATGTGTCCTGTCCATGTGTTGTGTTCTAGCTCTTCGATGAGGTCTTTCGGATACTTGAACCTGCCGACTATCACGACTAATAAAAACCCGCTGATCCGAGGGAAAATTTACGGATATCAAAACCAGACTAATACATCTACAAGGAAGAAAGAGCGCAAGCTTTGAGGGGTCATCTACGTTGGTAGAACATTTGCTCTATATTTACAGTATCTGATGTCCCGCCCTCTCGAAACTTGTCCGCCGATCTGTGGCGATCATTTGTTTGAGTGTTTGCTAAAGAGTATGCCGGACTTGCTCTTTACGCGTGTGTAGCATTCCTCGCTGCTCTTAATGCTACAAACATTTCATAATGCATCTTTCAAAGACCTATTCGGCGCCTGTGTGTTGGAATAAACCATATTTGCTACTGCAACTTATGAAGTGCACTAGTAAAACGTGTCTTAGTGTAAATATCGTTACACCCATTTCCCTTGAGTTTTCTTCTGATGGTCTTTACAGCTAGTCACAGTTCACAGGAGACACTTTGAATAATATATAAGGTAAATTGCTATACTATTAGGACGGAGCCATGCCTTCATAACTGATCACACAACATATCATCACTATCTTTACTATAAGGCTCCTCCACTTCAAGTACGGGAGATATATCAGGAATTGGTATTGCGTTTGAGGCGTACTCATCGAAGCGGTGCGACACAAGCATTTCAAAATCACTTGACCAGTCTGCCAGAGAAGAGGTGCATCGCCTGTCACGCTTGGATTCCCTTGAGAAATCTTGCGTTTCTTGGCCATACTCCACGCAATCAAACTGGCTATCAATTATATTGGAATAGTTAGATATATTTTCGTCTTGGGACAATAGAGGATTGTTTGTCCCGTCTGGCCCATATAAGCTGAGATCTTTTTCATTGGTCCCTAGATAGTAGTCTGAATCGCCTGCTTCATCGAAATCCCAGTCATCCTGGAATTGAATTATCTCTTCGGTATGTTCTTTGGCTAGCGTATATTTCTGAAGTGGCGAAGTGCTGCATGGCCTAGGCGGAGGCCATAGTGGGCTTAACTTCCTTGAAGCTTCGGGTTTATAAAGTTGCTTCTGAGCGATGCACCAAAGGGATGCGATAATTGCAGATTTTGAATCCATTCCGCAGGGAGATGTAGATAAGCCATCTTGTCGACGACGGTGTGATGCTTTAAGGATATCAACTCCATCCTGTAGAGATCTGCTTCGTGTAGACTTTAGGATGGAACACATGGATTTGGCTATCAAAGGTATCAGGTGCGATCGTTCATTCATGGCCTATCAATGTGGGATTGGGTTAGATGTGTATAGGTAGGTATCTGAAGCTCTTCGGCTGCTCACTTCGCGGTATCCGAGACTGAACACTGGAGGGGCAATTCGAGAAAGAGACAGTAACTCATGCTCCCTAACCATCGGGTATTTGGAAAGCTTCGCTTGTTTGTCAAGCAAGAGTGCCCTGAGTCCTTTATTAAATAAAGAGCTGAACTCCGAAACTTGGGGGGTACCATTGGACCACAGCACTGAAAATGCTGGAGAATTCTGAGAATATCCAGAATATTCATCACCCTGATAATGCCTTTCCATGGGCAATGTCAATACGCTGTCCTTTGGAGTTATTGTAGTGTTCGATAACAGACTGTACATTCGGTAATGTTCATACGGGTCAACTTTTAGTACTCCCATCATCCAATGACTAGGGGCACGCGGCTTCTCGGGTAGGTTAGCTATCACTGTAGACGAAGAAGGTATATGGTGCATGTGTTGAGTGCGGTGGCTATATATCATCGAGATACTAATTGTAGATATACGGACAGTTGAAATGCACGGAGGAGGGACTGCACCGGGAAATGATTCAATCTTGGCTAGTCGCTTCGACGGCTCCGTTGTGATAGACCCTCCCGGCCTCCTGCGCAACCCAAATGATAGATGAAAGGAGGTAGAGTTGATAGGTTCGAATTGTTGATCACAACTTTTAAAGAGAACTCCGAGACCTAGTTCTCGCCAGAACTGAACAAGTTATTAGAAAGTAAGTAGCTCAGTGTACTGAGTCTTGCGCTAGGGATACCTTGGAGTTGCAGACGGTGTCTCCAATCTGAGAGGCGAAAATTGATAATGGATAGCTCAGGCCGGATCCGGCACTGACCTGGACGTGCAGTTTCAGCTCAGGCACCTGTTCCACCCATATTCTACCAGAATCAAATGCTTCTTTGAGGCTTTCAACGGAGCTCAAGGGAGTAGCCCTTTCTGGAAAGAGCATCTCTGCTGAAGCATGAAGGGAAAGATCCAAGTCAAAATTGGTAGAATAGAAGGTATTTGACCCTAAGTCAACTGTGCACGCCATTTTAGGCGCTTTCTATGGTATTCTCTGCAACCCCATTATCGAGGCGCGAGTGTCTTTGTATCGAATGGGTTGGCCGAGAGGAAGCCCCTGAGGCGGAACGGAGGCACCTGACATCATGGTAGCAAGACCACCAGAAGTGGGAGAAAAAGGAAAAGAAAAATAGAAGAAGGATAATAGAGCTATTGGCTACGAGCTAAACTATACATATTGCACCCATCTAGGTTTTTGCTTTTTTCTTTTTTCTTTTCCTTTCTTTTTTTTTGAAACATTTGAACCGGAAAGAGACTGCTGGGAAAAGGTTGGTCTAATAAGTTTAATATCATATATAGTATAAATATGATTTAGAGAACAAGATAAATACAATCCAAGTCTTTGTGTCATTGTTTATTATTTTATTATTTCAAAACTTAATCTAGTACTACTTGATGTCTATTGATCCTTTATTGGTTGAATGGCTATAAATAAGTGGCCCCGTCATTTCCGGAGCTTATCGATAAGTATCTCACGTGAAGCTCGCATGATTACTTGTCCCAAAGCATCATCCGCATGTGAATTTAATGACAAGAAGCCTCGCAAGCAGCAATGCCCAGGGATGAAGCTCAAGATCTACTCCTGGTTGACCAGAATGGGATTGATAGACTGGAGTCTCAGTCTTTGCTTCCAGGGTCTCCCAGTGAGGAACGTGATGGGGTAACCCCTATTAATACGACTCCCCATTCCCCATTCCCTTCTCTCAATGAAACACAACATCAGCGGCAGTCCTCATTCGCCCAGCCGGTTCCCGAAGGACAACGGCGCACTCCTCGCACCTTAAATCGCGTTCGGTTCGACCTTGAAGATGACACAGAAGACGAGCGTCGATCGAACGACTATCCCCGAAGCTCAGAGGACTCGTCGTCATGGCTGGAAGAGGAGGATTACGCGCGCGGGGGCAATACTCGGTCAGGAAGGAGTGTTACAGGACAGATGGTCCCGCTTCTGACAGATATAGAAGCTCCGAGTGTCACTCTCGCAACATCCGAAGACTTCTTTCCCGAGGAGCATCTCGAGAATGCTCGACCGAGAAGTGGAATGCGAATGGCATTTATGAACATGGCCAACAGTATCATAGGAGCTGGCATTATAGGGCAGCCTTATGCACTTCGACAAGCGGGCATGCTGATGGGCATAACGCTCTTAGTTGCGCTTACAGTTGCTGTGGACTGGACTATTCGCTTGATAGTGATTAACTCCAAATTAAGCGGCGCGGATTCATTCCAGGCCACTATGCAGCATTGTTTCGGGAAGAGCGGTCTCATTGCCATCTCCATTGCGCAGTGGGCCTTTGCTTTTGGCGGCATGATTGCCTTCTGTATCATTGTTGGCGATACCATTCCGCATGTGCTTAGCGCACTGTTCCCTTCACTCCGAGACATGTCTTTCCTCTGGCTTCTGACCGATAGACGAGCAGTAATAGTCCTTCTTGTTTTGGGTATATCCTACCCACTTTCTTTGTATCGGGATATTGCTAAGGTTCGGTTCTCTGCAGAGTTAAGGTTCCTTAATACTAACAGTTAAGTAGTTGGCAAAGGCGTCTACTTTAGCGTTAATAAGTATGATGGTCATTGTGGTCGCTGTGATAACGCAAGGGTTCCGTGTCCCTTCTGAATCTCGGGGTGAAGTGAAAAGCCTGTTATTTGTTAATTCCGGTTTTTTCCAAGCTGCTGGAGTGATATCTTTCGGTATGTCTTGGCGCATGATGCCCGGACCTCCTCTCTCGATTTTACTGACTGTGAATAGCATTCGTTTGCCGTACGTATTTGTTACTCTATAAAAGCCCCGTCTGAAAACTGACCGTAGCGAAGACCACAACAGTCTCCTAATATATGGTTCTCTCAAGAAGCCGACCTTGGATCGCTTTGCGAGGGTGACCCATTACTCGACCGGGGTGTCGCTCCTGATGTGTCTGACTATGGGTATCTCGGGCTTTCTTTTCTTTGGGTCACAAACCCAAGGAAACGTGCTCAACAACTTCCCATCGGATAATATTATGGTTAATATAGCGCGGTTGTAAGAACCACACAGTATGAACCTAGCAGGTTTTCAGACGAGCTGACCTTGGTAGTTGTCTCGGCTTGAACATGCTCACAACTTTGCCATTGGAGGCTTTTGTATGCCGCTCTGTCATGACAACTTACTACTTCTCCGATGAGCCCTTTAACATGAATCGGCACATCATCTTCACGTCGGCTTTAGTTGTATCAGCTATGGCTCTGGCTTTAATAACGTGTGACCTTGGGGCGGTATTTGAACTAATTGGGGCAACAAGTGCCGCTGCTTTGGCATACATCTTTCCTCCTCTTTGCTATATCAAGCTAAGCAATGCCCCTCGAAAAGCCAAGATTCCTGCATATCTATGCATTGTGTTTGGGGTAACAGTCATGGGTGTTAGCTTAATGCAGGCAGTTGCAAAAATGATCAGTAGTAAGTTTAGTGACGCTTCTTTGGAAGGAAATATGTTACTGACTATTGTTTTCTACTATTATAGACGAGGGTGGTGCCGGTACCTGCAGTGCTTAGACAGAGTAACAACTAAGCCAATCTCCGACGCTTCTTTTAGGTCTTTTCTTCTTTCTTTCAAAAGATAATAGAATTTTGTTATACCCCTCTTTGGGCTGGTGTACATATTTATTTTCAGTACAGGAGATTCAGCATATGTTGTACATTCTCGCTTTTAAACATCCCATATTTGGAAAGAACATACTTAGGGATGTGTAGGATGAACAACGGCACCAGATGACAAGTCACGTTGCTTCACTCTTTCCCGTGTTCTGCGTTCGCATTGAAGGTTGCCAACAGCTCAAAACCGATTCCCACCCACTCTCTCTTCTCTTCACTCTTTTCACTTTCATTTTCATTCCCTTACGTGTCTACGAGATCTTTCATTGTAGGCATACTTCCTCTCATTCCCACGACACTGTCTACTAGAACCTATATGCTCTTCTCTCTTCTGGCCTCACGTCTTCTTCCCAGATTCATTCGCTAGGCATTTCACTAACCCTCCATCTTTCACGTATGCTATTATTTGTTCATGTTCCTCCACTGTTTCGTTTTCTTGTTTGCTTTGTGAACACCTCGTCGATGGAAGATGGATCCCGAAAAAGCTGAGCGGCTGAGTAGGCTGCAAATGGTGAGCCTCCCTGCTATGTTTGTACAATACCGGTTTCCCGTTCGTTCATGCCTACCTTGTTGATAAACGATAGGAAGATTTAGGCACAGCCCGACGAGAACACATCTCAACAGTAGATGACAAAAAAGTTAAAGAGGCCCGATTAGAAGATATCGAAGCCACCCGACTATCGAACCAGCCCGGCACTCAGGCTCAGCGATTGGCTCAGCAGAACCAACAGCAACTTACTGAATGGAAAAGTAAGTGGTTGCATCGCCCCATGCAATCTCGCCTGCAATCACCCTTGCTAACCGATATGAAGACGTGTTCCAGAAGCTAAGTGATACAAATGACTTGGAAAATCTTGATGATCTCCTGAACGGGCAAAGTCACCGTCTAAAACTGAGCGCGGCCCTGCACGGAGCTGGTGCTTATGGCAACAACAACAACAACTCTTCTAGAGCCACTACCGACTACCCCAAACTATCAGAAACTCTAGTTGCTGCGCCTACCAGGACTGGAAAACCACGAGGCCGAGGTGGTGGCATTTTTGGCACGAGAAGTCGTACTGGAGCAAGAGTTATATCTGTCAGGTACGCCTCGGAGACATCTGTATCATTAGTAGGTAGACCTAATCTGAAGAAGGATCCCATCCAGTGCCTCCCACGACGCTTCTTCTTCTAAGCCGGGGCACCATATACCCCAAGCTTCTGGCGCCCGTAAGGCTTCGCTAGATCCAGCTCTCAATGGTAACAACAATGATTTCTTCTCGAAAGGCCGCGAGAGACAGGTGCAGAATAAGACGCAAAATCAGGTTGGCAAGAACAAAGGGAGTAAGCAGCTTCTCGCATAGTTTTGAACGAATAGCTAACCATTGCTCCCAATCTAGATGGCACCAGGAATCCAACGCCTGCCGTTGTCAAAACTAGACGACCAATGTAAGTCACAAGTTAGTATCATCAAAATCCGGTCTGACACCCACCAGTGGCGATAATTTACCAAGATTCCTCAGCCCTCCTGAGCGTTTTCTAGCGGAAGCCAGGAAGATTCTTCACACAAGGGCTTCGGAGGCCGTTCCTGCTGTTGCTAAGAATGACTCTAATCTCAGTAGAAATACTCCAAAATTGCCACTCCAGGAAAGTCGTGCTGCTCAGGAAAAGGATGTTGCTTGTTCTACTCAAGTGATAGCAAAGACCAGTGCTCCTCCACTTTCAGAGGAAATACCAGTGACAATCCCTACCCCAACTAAGGCGCCCAATGAAAGCCGAATGGCACCGCCTGACACAGCAAAAGTCACCCGTTCACCTAAGGTGGCAAACATAACTCCAGTCGATCAGGATGGGAAGCCTACCTCCATGAACTTTAAGATTGCAAAGGAAGACCAGTCGACTTCAGAACCTGTGAGTGAACAGTCTCAAGCAAAAGAGAAGCCACAGATGGTCATACCTGCGCCCAAACTGCCTCTCCCTTCCTCGCCCTCGGAGAATTGGGGTCTCAACAAGATCCCTGACAATATCGAGGAAGTACTGCTTGATTTGAGTAGCACACCACCCTCGAAGGACTCACTTGCCAACAATGACAGTCCGGTACTGAGCCCTTCGCTCCAAGACCTGAAAGGTCTAGACTTTAAGCAGAGCCCCTCAGACACTCCCAAAACCCCATTGCCCCATCCCCCCCAAAGAAGGCTTGAATTTGAGAATGTCCCCAACGATATGGTATCTAATGGAAAAAGCTCAGCTCTCACCCACGCCCTTGAAGAAGAAACCCCCGATAATTACCAGCGAGCTATAGAATTGCTCTGTGAGCTTATGGCATTAACATCTCTCTCAGAACAGAATCGAGGAAGATTGGAAGAATGTAAAGCGGATCTCGACGCAAAACTCCAGACCATTCAGCAAACACCAATGCTAAGTCCAATATCCCCGGGGCCCTCAGCTGAAAACATAACCAAGCCTGACATTAGCCTAACCGACAGCCAAGATCAAGGCAGTTGTAGTCCGCCAAGCCGTCTCGATGTGACGGCGGCACCATTTACTCCAAGCACCCCAGACGTGTCATTCACTCCAACTCACGCACGACCTAGATCGGCGTCATTTGCTATCCACCTGGATCATATCTTTGGGGACCATTTGCTGCCAGGTCGGCTTGAGCATCAAGGTTCACTGCAGATTGACGAAGCTCATATTTTTGGCAACCACCTACTCCCAGGTCGACGTCAAGTGAGCGGTACGCCACACCCGTTGCCCTTTCTCTGATACATATAGCAACTATTACTGATAGTAGGTTACTCTAGAATTGGGAAGCACCCAAGTCAAGTTTAGCATCCCAAATAGAAAATCAGTGCTACTGAAGGCGAGACTTCTAGGATTCGACCGGTTTGAGGATTCTGATCCAACTTCACACCAGCCTCTTGGCGATAATACTCAAAAAGACATACGTACGACTCCGGTGAGCAAAGCTGTTCGAAAGCTTGATATACTTGGAAGACTACAACAATCCATTCATGCGCCCAGAGAAAATGAAACCCCGGCAGCTCGGTCCGGTGGTCAAGCCTTGGGTGGGCTCCAATCTTCAATATATGCAGTCCCTGAAAAAAATAAGCCCATTCGTTGAGGGGGAGAACGTCTCGGAGAGTGAGTGTCATATTGGGCTTCTTCACGTAATTGAAGCTCAGCTCGCAATTGACTTACCCTCTCTTGTCAAGCCATGCGCAACTGATTGCTTTGTGTCTCTTTCCTTGACTCTGCGCTTGTACTATATTGTTTTTTTCTTGTGCACTATGAAAACTATTGCATGAATAGTACTGGGGACTCCCAAAATTGTTCCTTGCATATCCATTGAGGGTTCACAAAAGCATATTCTTGTCTTGGCAAAGTAGTGTACGAACTTTCCTCGCTCGCTTCATTGTTCTCTCAAGGCAGCGGGTTCTACACTGCCAGCCTATTATCTAAACAGCTCCAGTTGGAGAAAATGTAATAGACATTGAGTGTTTAAGAATGGCCATGGTACGGCAGAAGGACTCAAAATTTCAGTCAAAATTTCTACAGGTTCTCGAGGTCTCAATATGAAATACTTACTGGTCGCCCCAGACGACGTCCGTTTCTCCTGAATCATGCTTGGACTACAAGTGTCATACGCCTTCTGATCCCCCTATGGATTTCATCGGCACCTTATATAAGTAGCTATGCCCTAGATACCAAGAGCAAAAGTACATATGACAGATAGCAGCGACCATTAAGCATTTGTATCCGGAGCCCTATTACCTATTACGTACTCCTTAGCGCCATATTCCTTGAACTACCCATAAGACCGCCACTAATGATGCAACGTCCGGACATTCTCCACATAATCATGGCCACTTTATTGCTGCTGTTGTTGCTGCTGCTGCTGCTGTATAGGACCCTCGTTGAATCTCGGCCTCTTCTGGTCAGTTATACCACCAACAGGAGCAGACCCGCTGCCGCCCGGGGTGGATGCATTGGTCACATCACTCAAAGGGGGCCGTTTCCCGTTCAAATTCTGTGGTCCAACGGCCCGATTTGCAGCGGCAGCATTAGCCGCGTTTCTGGGGTCAATGTTCGGTCTTGTCAACGGGCGGTAAGACGAGGTCGTCTGGCCTCGATTCATCGGACTACTGGCTCCACCACTACCGGGGGCGCCGATCTTCCGATGCATATCTGTAGCGGGATTGATGAAGTCCCGGGAGTTGTTGGAGACGGGTGATGCACCGGTAAGCATGGGTTTCGAGATCGGGACACTCTTGCTGTGGTCAACGCCTGCTGTCTTACGAATCGATGGACTTTCTGCGTGGGGGTCGAACGGAGGAGCCGCGCCAGATTGTGGATTGTCCCGTAAAAGATCGACTGCTCGGGCTGAGAAGAATGAAGCGGATGGCATAGGTGAGCTGCCAGGTGGAAGCATGTCCTTGGGTCTAGGATCATTGAAATTAGAGACCGGTTCCTGCTTGATGGGCACCTGACCCCCTGCACCGGGCAGGTCTGTGTCCTGATTAGACTTTTGTTGACCAGGTGGTAATGTTCCTCCATTAGAGAGGTTGCGTTGTATGTTTTGAGGGGGCACAGCGGGGGTTGGTCTAGAATTAAGAGCAGGAGGTGGTATTTGCCTAGCTGCAAGTGCTTGGTTGAGAGGCCTTTCGGATTTGGATGGTGTGACAATAGCGGAACTTGGTCTCCCTGCAGCGGCAAGATTATGCTGTGGAGGGCCTCGGTAGGGGGCTGGGCCGTTTTGGCGGTTTACCGGTGTTGGTTGTTGCTGAAATCTCTGTGTATCAGGGCCTATTACTACTTCATCTGGGTTTCCAGTTGTGCCAACCCCAAAGTCCGCTTCGTCGAATAAGTCACCTATGATCATTAGCGAAACGCTTAGCAGAAAGACAACCTATATTATCATTGCATACTTCCAAACTCTCCATCGACATCAAAGGCAGTATCAACTGAGGCACCGCTGTTCTTCACAGTGTCTGTTGGACGAGGAGGGAGATCATCATCTTCTGGAATTGGCTTCCGCTGTACTGGCTCTTTTTTGATCGGTGCAAAATCGGGATGCCGGTGAAGGTCATCCACGTCCCATCGGGCCTGGGTAGCATATTAGTATACCCGTCCAACCAATTCGCAAGAAATTAAAATACGTACAGGTGCGGTCTTCACTTTCGTCACCTTTGAGACGTACTCCTTATCATAGATGCAATTGCCCAGCACATTGCCAAAATTCCGCAATGTACGCTTCAATGCATCTGTGGTTCCTTCTTTCTTGGCTTTTTCGAAAGCCGCAGCTTTCCCCTTGCAATTTTCAATATGACCATACCCGATGTCCTAACGTCATTCAAGGTGATTAGCGCTGATACTTTTAAAGAAGCGTTTCGTTCACAAGAGAGCATACCTCGTGATAAGTCCCGTCCTTCAGGGTCACCCTCACTACCACCGACAGTCCCAAGCTAATTTTCCCCGTGTTTTGGCTTTCATCGACCTACCCGGTGATGGCTCCTATTAGCTGCCCATACTAGGGTACACACAACCACGGTAGGTTCTTATCAATGGTAAAGACGGGACATACAAAGTCGATCTGGATTTGTTGTATCGAACTCGACCATCCATTGAATCCAAAAACTTCATTGGCAAGGTTGATGCACTTGTCAGCAGCTAGATAATGGACTCTCTGTCCCGCGGCGCCTGGTCTGGAAGAGATGTATTCTGGGCCGAGTTTCTTATCGAGACGTGCTTGCAATGTGGCAATTTCCTGAGCCGTATACTCGCTCATGCGGCGAGGGGATTCCTCAAATGGATTTGCTGTCTTGGCATCGGTCGCGTTGGGCATCATGATACATGTCGGATTGCCTCGATGTTGGTCACCAACACTAAGACGCGTTAGCTTAGAGCGGGATTAACAGTAGCGGCGGCCCAAGGCCTTAAGGGAAGCTCACGCGGGCATCATCAGAGGGTATATAGATGTTACACTAAATAAAGGAGGATCTCATTGAAATACACCGATGCTTGCGGTGTGCTCAGCGGGAATAAGATTCATCACGGTCAATCTAAGCAACTCGACGCGTGACGGAATCTGACACGCCTTATCGCGATATCACGTGGTTATCTCATCGATGGGAAAACTAAATAACCCACCCATTCTTGGATACAGTTCAATATTTTAGGTGATATTCTCTCATGGTATCAAAGTTTCTTCTTGCTTTTACTAATCTCGTCACATATGTTTACTCTTGTTCATAGCCAGTTTCCCCCACAAGTACCAATCACTGGATTACAAGGCTTGCACTAGGAGTGAGGCCCAGGTCCTTTAGTGACTCCCCGTAGTATTCAGTATCAAACACTTTCCTGGGAAAAGTCTGCAAGAAACTGTGGACTTCAATACCGTCATCCTGTTTTAAAGCTGCAGCAACCTCGAACAGCGTGGTTGTGACGGGAAGCGTTTTCAGAATATTTCCCTTAGGGGTCTGGAATCTCAAGCGGGTTTCGGTGTAGGCAGAGGCAGGTCTTGAAGTAGGAGCACCTGAGCTGACGGCTGCCGGAGCAAGGGCTGATTGAGCTGAAGGTGCTACACCGGCCCGTTCTGCGCGTTCGCGCTCAGCCTTAAGTCGCCGCTCTTCCTTATCCGCCTCAATCTTCGCCTTGACACGTCGTTTCGCTTCGATGTCTGCAAGCTTCTCCTTTTTCTTTTTCTCTGCCTCCTTCATCATCTGCTTTTTCTGAAGCTCCTCCTTAATATCTTGGGATTCTTTAGTGCTCTTTCGTCGGATTTCCTAGTCATGAGATGGTTAATGTCTATTCTTCAAAGCACGGTCAAGGGTGGCTCAATTACTTCATTTCTCTTCTGGTCAATCTTATCCTGTTCGGACTGCACCGATCGCTTGGCTGCCAGCCTCTGTCTGAGCTCTTCGAGTTTTGCCTTTTTCTCTTCCTCCGTGAGGGGTTTAAGTTCTTCCGTAGATTCTGAGAAATCAACATGTTTAGACTTCGAGGCGTGGAATTCCGCTTGCGCATGGCTTCGAAACTTCTTTCCACACTCGTTGCAGACCAAGCTCCTCGCTTCCTCGCCCGGTTGAAGCTGAGGACCCTCCTCCTCGTCATCATCCTTGGACTCGGTCTTTATCTCCTCCAAGGATTTGTCTTGGTTCGTTTCGAGCCATTCTAAGGCACCTTGGACTGGAACAAAAAGGCAAAGCTTGCCGTTAGTGAATACCCTTGGTATAGCCAGCGGTAGTATGGGGAATCACCTACGGCCACCACCCTTAATAACGGCCAACTCGGCTCGTTCCTTATCAAAGCCCATTTCAATGAGCTGGTCCAAATCGGAGGGAGCCATGGTAAAGTCGCGGCAGAAGGCGTAAAGAGGTTCAGTAGGAGAACGACTATGGATGGGAGTTGATTAGAGAAGAAGTGGGGTAAAACAAGGTACCAAGCAGTCGTTTTGTAGCGGGTCGGCGTAGGATTGAAGATGAGCGTCTGAATGTGCTCGGAATTCGAAGAAGAGAGAGGGGATTCAAAAGCCAGGTTGGGGAGTGTTGAAGAGGTACTTGGGGTTGAGGTTGTAGCAAAGTAAAGGTGTTCAAACGACGTACTTGTCGCTCCGGAACCACTCGACCGTTATTAATCATTGGTGATTATACATACCACAATACTACTATATGATCATAGAAACTTTTCTTTCTTTTCTTTCTTTTCTTTCTTTTCTCTCTTTTTTTGTTTCTTTCTTTTCTTTTCTCTTCTTCCTTTTTCTTTTCTTTAATAAGAAAATTCCTCATATATATTAGTGTACACTTCACCATGATCGGGCTTAACTAATGTTTCTCTTACAGATGATGCTAACCCACATAGTGTGATCAACAACACAAGCTCTCATAGCGCGAAAAGTTACTGTATCTACTAACAGAAGCCAATCCAACGGCCCTTCAATAGCACATCCCTAGTACTTAACAGGGAGATTTCCATCCCTTGTTGCAGATCAACTTGAAACAATAAAGCTATATTATCCCAGATGTAGTCCACATCTGGTGGGGAATGCGAGACACCTTCCAATGAGATTATTTCATATGGGCTCTAGAATAACGGTCAATTCTTGACTCGATCCAGTCTCGGAATGAGGTTGTGGTCGGTAGTTCGACGTCCAACCACAACATAGCAAAATCATATCTTATATTGGGACAAGGTTTGCTGTCTGGCTTCGAGACAAATCATCGAGCCATTCTTTGCATGGATGGTGTAGTCGCAAGGGTCTTAGGGAACAGCCAACACTGAGTCTAGTTAGTTGTACGCATTGTCCATAACATTAGACGCAGATGGAAATTTCTACGTGGGAATTGTGCGGAGTAGATCATCATATCTGCAGAACATCCTTCACATGTATCCAAATCTAACTAGAGGGGAAGATTTGGTTCATATTTTTAGAGTCCCGAGGATGTGATCAAGTGGATCCCGAGGATAGGGCCTAGAAAGAAAGGGAAAAAGGGGAACCACAGCATTTCCTGGGATTGCTTTCTGAACCGTAGCGAATAGTGGTCAAGACAGCAATGTGCGAACGAAACGGGGTTTGCGCTTGAATGTAGGAACTGTATCGATCGATCTTCTCTTATGTACTGTACAAGAATAAAAGCATTTGCGAGGAGGATAAATACTCCGTGATGACATCACCTGACCCCCTGCCCACGGTTTGGCTGAGTCAGCACCCCGGGGGGATCCAATTGGCGTCGTTGCGACAACTCTCTCTCTCCCCAAAACTAAACTACTAATTGCGCCTGAATAATAAATCAGCATCACCATCGTACTACCTGACCCAGTCTAAACTGCATTGGTCATCTCTCAGCCTTCTAAGTCATCTGCTGTCCAGCCTCCTTGGCCTCATCTGCTGCCCTACAACACATATATCCGGTTTCAACTTGCCAGGCCCTTTTGTTTCTCTTGTCACTCCTTGTCTGCCTGCGCACTCCCCAAAACCCAAAATGTCTATCATTCTCGACCCGCCCGAGTTGGGCTTCAAACGTGGGTGTTTTTTTTCAGATCTCGGTGTTATGTCATTGATTTAGAACTAAACGGTTTGGTCGTAGGCCCCTTCAATCGTGAAGTCTGCCAGGTCCTCCATCTCAATAATGACAATCAGGAACCCGTTGTTTTCAAGGTATGTGGCTGGACTCGCCTTGGATCTCGATCGCACACGAATACTTACTTGGTATTAGGTTAAAACGACCGCCCCGAAACAGTACGCAGCCTTTTCCTATAAAAACAAAATCCCCTGTTCATCTCTACCAATAGCGGTGGTGGTTGGCTTTAACTAACATGGATTAGCTACTGTGTTCGCCCGAACTCGGGACGGATAGAGCCCGGAAGGACTGTGGATGTCCAAGGTGGGTTCTCAAACCAACATCATACTGTCGGGAACCTTATAGTTCTAACTGCTCTAAAGTGTTGCTACAGGCCATGAAGGAGGAACCTACCCCAGATGCCAAATGCAAGGACAAGTTCCTCGTTCAAACAGTCGCCGTAACTCGGGACATGGAGTTTGCGAACGTCACTTCTATCGTACGTCTTTCCCGCTCAGTATTTACGGATCGATCTCCTAACAGCCTCACAGTTTGAAAAGGCGTCCAAGGCTTCAATCCAGGAGCGCAAGATCCGCGTGAACTGGTTGTCCGCAGAGGAGTCCCCAGCCGTTGAGCAAGGAGATACGAATGGTGTGGTACGTTTCGCATTTCCGCCCAGCCGCCGCTTAAAGTCACCACGGGGCTAATTAGTTGTTTAGAATGCACAGGATGACGAACCCCCTGCCTATACTTCCCCTGCCGCAAATTTCCAAACCCCTGCCGTGGGAGCCGCCAGCAAAGTGGCCAGCGACACGTCACCGATCCCACCGCCTGATTTCAGCGATAAGCGGGACATTCCCACCCCACAGGCCACTGAATCCACCACCAGCTCTGCAAAGGCGGCCATCGCAAGCGCTATTCCAACTTCGGGTGAAGACCTAAGTGCACAGCTTGCCGAGGCTAAGGCTCAGATCCAGAAACTGAAAGACAGGCTGTCAGACCAGGGCTTGAGGCAGAGAAAGATCGGCGGCGAGACCGAAAAGTCAGCTACACCAGGACTGCAACAACAACAACACGCTCAGTCCGTCGAGCCCGGTGTGCCGGTGCAGGTGGTGGCTGGTTTGTGCCTGCTAAGTTTCTTGATTGCGTACTTTTTCTTCTAGTCACTGATCTTTCCCTTCTTTATCTTTTCCATTTTCTTTTCTTTTCTTTTCTTTCCTCCTTTGCTTTCTAATTTCACTTCTTCCCCCATGTTCCTATTATTTTGTTCACAGATCAACTGTATTCCCTTTGAATTACCTCGTGGCACCGTTCTTAGCCTCAACTCCCCCTTATGTTATTAGTTCCGCACTCGCATTCTACACCGCTGCTGCTGGCTGCTTTGCTCATACCTCCTCGTGTTCCATTCCTCTTCGTTTCTTATTTCAAACTTTCTTCTTGTTCCCCGATTCCTCACTTCAACTTTTTTATTTCCTTATGATGACTAAAATGGAAGCCCAGAACAGAATTTTCAGCAATAGATACAAACATAAAAAAAAATCCTAATCTTGCAATCACTCGCTGCCTATTGCTATATGCTTTCACTACCGAACCCCCAAGCCTTGTCGGTGTCGCCTCCTAAAATCGACCTATACGATTCCATGATGGTCTGATCGATACCCTGCTTCCTTTCGCATCCATGTTGTTTTCAGAACAAATTTGTACGATATCAGACGAATGTAATGAGCAATCGTAAAGGAAACCGCAAATTTGCTTATAATCAATAGTTATACATCATTTATTCTACATGAGACCAGGACATGCGCATATTATCTCTGGACTATCATTATCAACAGTTTCCATAACTCACTTATAAAAGCCAGAATAGTACATATACAAATCAACTTTGAAGCTCACTCTCCTTCCATCCGTCTTCACTCTCTTCGGGCCCAGCCGACTCCGCCGAGATGCCCTCTCCACCACGTCCGGACTTCCCTGCTCCACCGCCACCAACAATCCGTCCCCCCTGAGCTCGCTTAACCCGACACCACATGCCAACATTCTTGTCCAAAATGAATGTCCAGATAACCCAGACCCAAGAACGGTGAGCAGGCAGCGGCTCGTAGAACTCGCTCGCGATACGATGAAGCTCATGCAGTTTTGTCCAGGGAATGGCGGGGAAATCGTGATGTTCATTATGCAGGCCAACGTTGTAGGTGAGGATGTTGAGAGGTCCATAGTAGGAGTAGGTTTCGGGGGGGGGGAGGTTGTCTAGGGGGTGGGGTTGTTTCTTTTCGGTAGATTTTGTCTTCTGTTCTTTGAGTGACTCTGTGCCGTGGTCGACGTTGGAGAAGAAGTAGTGCTCTGCGATAAAATGGCCTGCGCAGGGATGGAGGGACCCGGCGAGAAATGAGCTGAGGATAAGATAGAAGAAGGGTTGGAGGGAGCCGCCGCAGAATTTGGTGAGCGCGTAGTCGAAGGAGAGTTGGACGGCGAGGTTCAGAGCGTGAATGTAGGTGAAAGGCGGGCTATAGATGAACATAGGACGGACGGCGTAGAAGAGGATCTGAAAAGTGCAGAAGAAGGCCTTGCCTAGGAGGGAGTCTAGGAGGAAGGCCTCGACAGCAGTTGGAAGATCGGTATCGAGGCCTGTAACGCCGAGAGATTTATGATGCGTTAGGTGGTAGGGCTAGTTTTACACTGTCAGCGACTCTTGGCTTTACCAAGGGTTCGGTATCATGCAAGACATACACGGAACGCGGCGCTATAAGGCAATCCAATAGGCAGATTGGCAAAGATGGCCAACAGGCGATTACCCATTGGGGACCGGAAGGCCAGGTTATGAGAAATCTCATGGATAGCAAGGAATAGGTTCTGGTTGGAGGTTGCTCCGATCAAGTATGCAGTTGCAAGGAACCGCCAGGACAGCATCGAGGTATCCCGCAGTAGATATGCACAGCATATCTGGAGTGATACAACGCCGAAGACGACGTATTTTGTCAGAGGTTCAGGGCCGCAGAGTTTGGTTACCTGATAACGAGCCCGTGCGGTTAGCGGTGCATGAGATGAAGCGGTGAAAGGGGGCTGAACGTACCTCTGGATGGGCCTTGATGATTGCTTGTCGTCTTGAACGGTGTGGTTCTTCCGTATATGTCCAAAAGAAATGATCATCGACTACGGACGACTCCGGGGGTGGGATTCGAACCGACCGCTGCTCATCCTTTGCGTCGTCGTTCTTCGCGGCGGACACGCGGAGATGCGGAGTATCGGTGGTTGCGACGACGGAGGGCATAATTAGGGGAGAGGGTTGGAATAGGGAAAATTGATAGATAGATTTACGCCATGGATCAAGTACAAGTAGAGAAGGAGGGAAAGAAAGAGAAAAGACAATGGCAAAGGACGATCCGAGTCTTCTGATTAATTGCGACGACAACGTGAGTCGGAGTGGATGTTTCCACGTGGGGCCCTTCTCGTGCTTGTGAGTGGTCCGATCTACCGCCTTTCCTGTAAGGGAAGAATGGTTTGATATCCATTCCAATCCATTTGTACGTAGTTAGTATGTACTATGTTCATGACCATTTCTATTTGCTACAATTGGCTTTTCTTGATCTCATAATGCTATAGGCAAAGCAACTTTGGTTGAAATGCCTAATAAAATATCCTTGTTTAGTAATCGTCTCCACGACTGATCACTTCCTTCACGTTAGGCCGAAGGACAACCGTCTGCGCGCTCAATTAGTCTAAAATCCAAGTTTTACTTAAGAGTAAAGGGGACCCACATGTTCATATTGGGCAGTGTATGAGCCCTTAATATCACAGAGTGGCGGGTAATCCTGGACAATTCCAGATGAAACCAGGTTGTTCAACTACATATGGGTTAGCAAGGATCTTTTAATGGTCTGGAGATCGTCTCATCTTACCCCAAGAAGGTACTTCTCCTGTCCCAGTCGGTCAAGGTAACGACGACAGAAGGGAAGGGTGCCAAAGTTCTTGTTGATCACATTCAACAGGTTCTTCGCCGAAGAGAGGCGCAGAGGCACCGAAGGGGCATCAGCAGCCAAGGCATAGTGGGAAGTTTCCATCTATGTTCAAGTTAACTCCATTAAGCGCAATGACATTAACAAGGGTCACACTTACATCCTCTCTCACGTAGCCCTTTCCGGTACTACCGAAGGTTTCAATGGCGAAAACTTCACCTTCCTCCATCTTGGTCTGGTCTCCACCCTTCACAATCGGAACGCTCTTGCCGCCATGGATGACGTGCTGATCAATATTGTGACCGTTGAGGTTCCTAATACACTTCACGGGATACATGGTCCCGTTGAGTTCAACTTCATAGCTTTCCATGGCTTCCTGTATGGCAGCACCAATATCGCTCATGCGGACGTCAATACCCGCTTCCTACAATCAATTGTCAGCTAATGTCCAGGGGACTCGGTAAACGGGCAGTATGGAAGCATACGCGAATTCCAGTATTGGTAGCATCCTTAACGGCTTCCAGCAGGGGGTCGTAAACCGGATCGAAGGCCACAGTAAAAGCACTGTCGACAATGCGGCCATTGATATGGGCACCAAAGTCGACTTTCATCACATCTCCCTGCTGCAATACCATCTTGTTGCCCGCATTGGGAGTGTAATGGGCGGCACAATGGTTGATGCTCAGACCACAAGGGAAACCCATACCACCCTTAAGGTTGTCACCTTCCTCAAGACCCTGGTGGCCAGTCAAAGCACGCACCGAATCCTCGATGCCCTCAGCGATTTCCGTCAAGGTCTGCCCAGGCCTGATGGTCTTCTGAGCATACTGACGGACCTGACGGTGCACCTCGGCACCCTGGCGGTATTCCTGCAGGAAATCATTGTTCATGCGGTCGAGATAACGCTTTTCTTCGTTGGTCGTGCGGTACAAATTCTCATCCTTGTACTCGACGATCTCGCCCTCGGGGAACTGCTTGCCGGCGAATAGTTGAGACAGAGGTACACGCGGCGGCTCGCTCTGAACCTTCGCACCTCCCTTCTTCTTCTTCTTGGACTTGCGCTTCTTCTTTTTCTTGGCGGCTATAATCCTCCGGTTGTGTTAGAAGGGTTCTTGTATTTAGTCAGTTGCTAGAGGTATCTTCCATGTCTTGCGCACCTCCGTTAGCTCCACTTTCGGCAGCAGCATTTCCTTCATCAGCGTCATCATCCGAGTCGTCCTCCGCCTCTCCGGCTTCTGCTTGACCTGCGGTAGGGGCATCCGCTTTAGCGGCACCGCCCTGACCGTTTACTGGGGACAAGAGATATCTTATCAGTGCTGTGCGATCGACAATACAAGAATGGGATAAGCACCTACGGTCAAGCTTCTGCAGATCCTCGCTAGCCTGCGCAGCCATTATAGAAAGGATTTTAAAATAAGAAAATCCGTTGGCGGGGGAAGCAAAAACCAGCGTTTGGGTGCGCAGAGAAATCTGACGGCGGAAAAAAAGAGGGGAGCGGCGGCTGCAGTCGGTATTTTAGTATCAAAGAGGTATTAATGCCAAGACTCCGCAGGACTTCCTATTATATCACCAAGCATGCGGATTGATAGCTAGTTAGCAGTAAGGAACTCCCCTCACGCCACCGGGAATCACGGCAAAAAAGAGGGGGGAGAAATTTAGTACTGTTACCTAGAAATGAGAGGCGCTGCATTGTTCATTGGCCATTTCACTGACTTAGGATTAAATGTGATCGCGTGGAAAAGTTAGGCTGTAGATCGGAATGCTTGATTAATGAGATCTCTCTTTCTCTCTCTGTCTAGTTTCTTTTCCTTAGTCTCTTGCTAAAGTTCTCTGGGTGTTATTGCCAGAATTCTGCGCCAGTCATCTGCCACAAGTGTACGAAATGTACACTACAACCTAGTTAGCTACTTAGTACTAACTATGCCCGACAACAGGGCATTGATTGGCATGTAAAATCATTTAACAAGACAGGAAATGATGATGAGAGCAATACGAGTAATAAAAATAGTAATAACGTATCAAACAGTTTTCCATATAAAGAACTTGGGCTTTGATTGGAAAAGTACATAGATCGACTTAGAGATTATCAGATAACACTGATCAACCGATGACGCAGCACATCTGATGAGCGGCGGAATTTCCTCGTTTTCTTTCCTCTGTCTTACTTCCTTTCATTCTATGCCCAATAACCACCGGATAATCCACCGGATACCTCACGCTCTAGTCTCTTCCCCCCGTAATCTTTGACTCAAGTCCAATCCACCCTCGTTATCTCTCACCAGAAACTGCATGTAAACAAGGTCGCGTCCCAAGACATGCTACTTCCTCGCGTGAGGACCACCGGCATTCTACTCCGGACCACGCACCCGCACACTCAACATTGGAACCACACTCGCCCAACATCATACACCTGTACAGCTTCGTTCTCAACATCTCCAACCAGACCCGCCACGCCTCATGAACCGAACCACTATGAAGTCCTCGATGTGCCCATAACGGCGTCACCGGCCGAGATCAAAAAGTGTGTAACACCCTTATACCCCTCCTAGCCCTAAACGTGAACAATACAGATACAAACCAAAAGGAGAAAATAGCAACAACACAATACTCATATCTCAAATACTCTCCACCCCCCCCAAAAAAAACACACAAACCAGGTCTGACAAAGAGCCACCCCCGGTTGCAGAAAATTCTACGCCCTCTCCCTCCGCCACCACCCAGACCACAATCGCAACGACCCAAAGGCCTCATCGCGCTTCGCCCGCATCTCCTCTGCCTACGACATCCTCAGCAACCATACCAAACGCGCCGCCTACGACCGCGAACATGGCATATTAGCACACCACTCCTCAACACATAGCACCGCCAACCCTGGCCAACACCCCATGGGTAGTCACAGCAGCTACGGCGCAAATCTGCACACGAAAGGGGCGTCATATGCCGGGTCACGGCCAGCGAGCGGGCTGAGTAAACGGCGGGGGCAGTTTCGGGGACCCCCGCCGAGTTTCTATGCGCATGGGGGGTACGGGAATAGGAGGGCTCCAGGGGGGGGGCCATCGTCTTCAACTGCGGGCGGTTGGAGCGAGGAGGATCCGACGGCGTTTATTTTTCGGAACCCGGTGAACCATTTTAATGCGCAGGGGCATTATAAGACGCAGACGGCGGAGGATGCGAGGCGGCAGGAGAGAAGGTCGAAGGCGATGGGCGCAGCGCTGAATGAGCAGTACATTGGGAGTCGGGGGGATTTTGCTGTGCGGTTTATTATCGTCTGCGGGATTCTGGTGGGTGCTGGTTCTATGACGGGGCTCATTGGTTGGCCTGGGGAACGTAGTAGTAAGGCGAGTACAAGTAGTAAACCTGCTCGGCGGAAAGAAGAGTGAGCTGCTGGTGTTCTGTGGTTTGGTTGATATATACAGTTTGGTCTTCCTAATTCCTCATGTACATTACCTTTGGGAGCTAGAGACGTAAATTCAAATAGACTTTATTTCCCCAGATTAAATCGTGCACGGTCGTGGTTCCCCCCGGATCACCGCAGATATATTACCCCCTTTCCGTCATTAGGATCTCTCCAATGTCTAACTACCTGAACGGAACAAAATACTGCCCGTGGTTATCGAACCACCGGCGTGGATGCCAAGTACTGCTCACAGCTGCTCCATGATCAACAAGAAAGCTTAGTCTAGGCTGGTATATATCGCCCATGGATAGATACGGTACATGATTAATAGGGCTGATATTCGATACCATTCGCTCATTCTTAGAAAATCCGTGGATCCTCATATATATGCACTCATTTCAGAGTACAGAGATACTATCTCAAGAAAGCAACATGGGATAGAAAAAAGTCTAGTAATATTCACAAACTGCTATCTTCGAGCTAGCGGAACACGGTATTATAGGCGCGGACTGGTGATACAGGAGACTCTTTTAAGCCTCGAAGGTGAAGCTGGCACCAACCTTGTGGGCAGCCTGGTTCAGGTTCTGGGTATCGAAAGAAGCACCGAGGCCAAGGGTGACACCAGGGCGGAGCAGAACGTTGTAGGCCAGAGCGGCAATACCACGGTCGTTGATTTTGGCCTATTTCAGGAGAGAAAACATCAATTAGCGGCATGTCAACTTGCTCTTTCACAGAGATTTCACATACCTTAGCGAAGGAAGAGGGGTCAAGTCTGTACTTGCTGGCAACCTCAAGGCCAACGGAGTTGCCGGCCTTGGAGTCCCAGGTAGCCTTAGCACCAGCCTCAACCTGAGCGTTGACGCGGTGGTAGTAGCTGGCGGAGAAGACGGTCAGGTTGTTTCCAGCGGTGATGGCAGCAGAGTACTGGGGAACGCTGTAGCCAATGGCCGCGGAGTACTTGGTGATGGCAGCCTTCTGGACGTCGTAGCCACCCTCAGCACCAACGAGGAAGCCCTCATGACCAAGAACAGCATCGAAGTTTGCGGAGGGGCCGTTGAGGAGATCGAAGAAGGCACGGGCGTGGAGGTTAGGCTGCTTGAAGTAAAGGTTCAGCTTGGCACCCTTGGACTGCTTGGAAGGCTGGTACTGGGTGAGGATCTCAGCCTTGAGACCCTTGGCGATGTTGTTGTCGAGCTCAAGCTTGGTGTCCAGGGCGTTGGCAGTGGTCCACGCCTGGGTGAGGGTGAGGCCTGGGCGGGGACAGAACATTAGCAAGACTGCATGATGGCTAATCCTGGATGAAAAAAGGATTTTGAAGTGCTGAGATAAAGCTTGGCCACATGAAAATAGAAACATGGACCGAGTGTCTCGCAGCACTGTGCAATTGGGATCGGGTGGTTTGCGTAAGGGACGTCTGCGTTTTTGGGGGCCTTTACCAGTAGGCTTGTCTACGTACTTGGCCTCGAGCTATAGCGTAGGTTGATTAGCATTGTGCCCGGGAACTGATCTCATCGCAGTATCTAGAACTTACAGAGCCAGCAATGGGACCCTCGTGGGCGTTCTTGCCCTTCACGTTGAAGGTGACGCCATTGGGAGCCTTGGACTTAACCTCAAGGCTGGCTAAAGAAAAACAAGTTAGCCTAGGTGCGCGCGCGAAAAATCATTCAATGGCAGATTGCAAACATACCAGCGCTGGTGTGGTAGAAATCCTTGTTAAGGAGCTATTGCGTAGATTATTAGCACGAAAATCCTTCCCGACAAGCTCTTTGTCGATTTTTGCACATCTCAGGAATCAGTAAAAGCATACATCGTTGGCCGCCTTGGCGATGTCAGAGAAAGCAGCAGGTGCAGACATTGTGAAAGTGAGAGGAGTGGTTAACGATAACGTAGATACCGTAAAAGTGGTATAGGGTTGAAAGGCAACGGAGACGGTGAGGGGAGAAGAAGGGAGGAAAGCGATGGGGAAAAGCGAGGTTGAAGGTTGAGCCAAACAACAGGGAAACCCACGGGAAAAGTCGCTCGTGCTGATTGGCTGGCGGTCGGCTGCCGGCAAAAGCCGCTAAGTCCCGTGACCTTGGTGCCTGGGGCGGCTATGCCGTCATCTATCTACAGTATTAGTCAAAACAGAACGCCAAATATTTTAAGTTCCGTACTGAAACCTGGGCAACAAGCTCCGACTAGCCATGGGTCAATCGCTATATCACTTCTACCCCAGACTATTCCTCACCCACACAGTAATGTGCACTGTGGTTCACTATCACCAAAACGGATCAAACAGTTTATCTTTCACATATCAAGGCTACAATCTGATCTATTTTGAATGCTCTGACCTAGAGAAAGGAACGATTATACAAGAGCTAAAGGGAACAAGAGTCGTTTTAAAAAGGACCTAATAGCCTCCGCACTGAACTTTTGAGAGGCACCTCTTTAATGCATGAGTCTATCCCAAATACCCAACACGAATTGCAAACCCAATTATTTAAACATCTACTCCGCGTCATCATACTTGGCGTTGTGAGTGGAGATTGCTCTGATGTTACATGTTAGCATTCATTATGGAAGAAATAAACGACACACAGAGCTAGAGGGTGTGTGTCACGAAGAGAAGTTTATGCAGGCCTACCTTCCACTGGGGTCGGTCTGTTTCGACCACGTCGGCACCCAACGCTCGACAGTAGAGGCGCAGTAAGGTGGGAAGTGCTCGTCGAACATTGTACGGTACCAGTAACTGCTATAGTCAGTCGCTGTGCCTACTCGTTGCGCTTAAAGGTGCAGGACATACGCTTCCTTAGTATCAGGGACATCGTTGCCCCACTCGGGCTTGGGGTTCTTCATCATTTCATCGGTAACGTGAAGCTCAGCCTGGTCCTTCAGGCCATCGATCCAGCTGTAACCAACACCGTCGCTGAACTGCTCCTTCTGACGCCAGAGGATCTTCTCGGGCAGGTACGGCTTGACATCGGGCTCATCGGTGGTGTCAAATGCTTTGCGCAGAATATACTTCTCAATGCGGTCCTTGGTGATCATCTTCTCCTGAGGATCAATGCTCATAGCATCCGCAAGGAAATCCTTGTCCAAGAAAGGCACACGGGCTTCCAGGCCCCAGGCGGAAGTCGACTTGTTCGCTCTGAGGCAGTCTGCAAGGTGCAGGTTCTTTACTCGTCTCACGGTCTCCCTGTGGAACTCCTCCTTGTTAGGAGCGGCGTGGAAGTAGAGGTAGCCACCGAAAATCTCGTCACTTCCCTCACCGCTCAAAACCATCTTCACGCCCATAGCCTTGATCTTGCGACTGAGTAGGTACATGGGGGTGGACGCGCGAATTGTGGTAACGTCATAAGTCTCAAGGTGGTAGATGACATCGGAGAGAGCGTTGATACCATCCTCAACGGTGAATGTGAAAGCATGGTGCTTAGTTCCAAGGAACCTGGCCACCTCAAGAGCGGCCTCGGTATCGGGAGCACCGGGCAAACCGATGGAGAAGGAGTGCAGCTGCTGGAATGTTGTGACGGTAGACAACTCGTTGCTGTCATCAATGCCAACCAAATCAGACGAGCCAGTCTGGTTCATAATGGCTTCCTTAGCAGCTTCCTGCATGCGCAGAGTCTCCCGCTGAGCAATGGATGCGACCAAACTAGAATCCAGACCACCGGACAGCAAAACACCGTAGGGAACCTCTGCCATCAGACGTTTCCGAACAGACCTCTCCAAAGTATGGCGAATGACCTTATAGTCGACGGGAGTCGAGGGAACGTTAGCGGGATCCCACCACTTGGGCTCGAAATAACGAGTCATAGAGTTGGTCTTGGAGTCGAAAACGTGGCCGGGAGGGAAAGCCTCGATCTTATCACAAACTGGGTGCAGAGACTTCAGCTCCGAAGCAAAGTAAATGGCTCCAGGGGTCTCAGAAGACCAGCCGATGTAGAAGCTAGTGATACCGATGGGGTCGCGAGCCGCAACAACCCGATCTTGCTTTCTGTCATAAAGAACCCAAGAAAACATGCCATCAAGGTGCTTAGGAGCATCGAGGCCATGTTCCATGTACTGAATTTGTCAGCCTCCATGACTTCACCGTCTGCAGCTGCAATGATCCTTTCGCACATACCAACGGAATAACTACTTCACAGTCCGAGTGCGTCTTGAAGTTATATTGGTTCTTAAGGTTCTTTCTGATTAAGCGGTGGTTGTAAATCTCGCCATTAACGGCCAAAGCGAGGGAGCTATCATCGTTCACAAGGGGTTGAGCACCGGAATCTAAAAGGTCTTAGCAAGGCACCTCGCTTGGGATGCTTGGCAGCGCACATACCGACACCGACGATACACAGACGCTCGTGTGCGAGGACTGCAATGCATTAGCTCCCAGTCTCCAGAAGAAAATTACTGGTATAATTGGTTTGACTGACTAGTCTTATCAGCAATGAAGTTTCCGCCTATTGCTTTGTCAGTATAGCATTCACCAAACCCTTCCGCACTATGACTCACTCCAATCGGGTCCACGATGGCGCACGCTGGCAACGAGATCAGTCCCCAACTCTGCGGTCTGCAATAAGATCGGAATAACTTACGCCTTGGCCATGCGCAAAGCCGTGGGCTTGAACTTTTGCACATCAGGGTGGCTGTCGAGGGTCACAATCGTTAGCAATTTGTTCCGGAAGTGACCCCATACCCACTCCTTAGGGCTTCGCGGGGAGACCAGGATCAAAGAGAAACAATAGAACGTACTTATAACACGCGAAGATGCCACACATGATGACGACGAGCAATTGGCTCTCTAGGAAAAGAAGCAAGCAGTAGGACAGTAAGAAGAAGATAAAGGGGAATTGGCTAGCGTGGTCCCGGGAAAGTATAGGGTATGGGGGAGAATGACTTTTTTAAATGGGAAACCCGGCGGGGCGGAAATCGAGGGGCGATTTCGGCCACAATTTATTCAATCTTTTTTGACGGACGTGACTCACTGATAAGATAACCGCTCTGGGTCTAGGAATGAAAGCCCTCCAATGACATCTCGACAATTCCCATGACTACGACTCTATTCCTTTTTTTTTCGCCCTCTTAGGGCTCTTCAGGAGATACTGATACCATCTTACCTATGTTTTCGACATGGACATTGTCGCCTTTTACATACATGAAATTTTTTTGTGTCCGGAGCAGACCAATAATCCCTACCGAACGATCACTGACGGATTACTGTACCCCACATAGTAAGTACGGAAGTGTCAGATCATCCGTCTAGTAAGACCCTTAATGATGCGCGAATGCACCGTGAACATACGATACCAAAGTAGATCCAAAGAACCGGGATCGATAGAAGAAAGCAAATAAGAAGCGATTCTAAAACTCCGTCCATAACCACCCATTTTTGGAATGCTAAGACGCCACGCTCGCTAGAGAAAAATGTAAGGAGGGACAGAATAGGAAAACATAGTCGTAAAATAGAAAGGAAACGCGCGAATATAGTAACAGTTACTACCGCTACACAAAAACCGCCCTTCCAGCTCTCCATCATGTCCCAAAAACTAGTAAGATGTGGGATAGGATGGGTAACGTTCGAACGTGCATCTGCTCCCACATTGGTATTTACCATCCGCCCAATATCCGCATTGATTCGTATTCGCCATAACCTCGTGAAAGATGGTGAGAAGAGACTACACGTAGAAAGGAAGGAGCAAAGACCCGAAAGCAATCCAATCATCCGTAGAAAGAAAGGGTAGACTCAAAGTGACGGATTCTCCTTCACGACTTGTTTCACTCGTCTCTCGTACGCGGGACGATCCTTCTTGAACAGATTGTACGCTTCCGCCTGGGCGGGTGACTCCGGATTGGGGTCATCAAGCAGGTCCTGGATGCCGAGCAGAATCTGTTTGATAGTGATGGCTGGTTTCCAGGCTTCTTCTTCATTCAGGATGGACAGGCAGACGGTGCCCGAGGGATAGACGTTCGGGTGGAACAGAGGAGGAACGAACTTGCCTGTTACGATGAGGGTTAGTTTCGTGCGACGAAGGAAAGTAAGGCAAGGAGGCGAATATCGCTTTTCGCTTTGGTTTTCAACTGAGGGGAGAATACGCACACTTTGGAGGCTTGGTTGGATACTCTACACAGGTACAAAGTTAGTCAACTCTCTTGTAACTTCGCAGCACACAGGACGTGAATGGCTTACCATCCGGAAAAGTGACATCAAGCTTGAAAAGCCCTCCTTCCCAAAGGGTCTGCGCCTTTCCGGGAATACCACATTCCCAGCGCTTCAAATCCAACACACCCTGGGGGGATCGATGGGGTTTCGCAAAGAATCCAAAAGGGTGATCCCGTCGCCACTGCTTTCTATTCAAGCACCAAATCGCAATCAGTATCTGAGAAGCGCCAATCTGGAGGAGAGCTGCGAAATTTGGCTACATACCTTTCTTCCGTCAGGCGATTAATACAGAGCGACATCCTGATCGTTAGAGTGACCGCAAGTAGGTAGGTACTAGTAACTAGATCAATCTAGCAGGGAATAAACAGAACCAAGTGAGGGGCTAGCAAGCTAGATCAGCAGCAGAAATAAAATCAGCGAGGGGTAAGGGAGTTATAAAGAGATATGGAAGTGACAAAAGAAATATAAACAGAAGGGAACACAAGGGAAAGGTGAGAGTGAGAGGCACTGTGACTGAAACTGATAAGTCAGTGAATGTTCCAAAGTACCTCTTCTGGTTTGATGCCCAGCAGCCAATTAAATCACTTTCCGACGCTACTGAGATTGATCTTGGTCACATGACTCCTCAAGGTAGTAGTAATTACATACATGCATATCCTTCAGTAGTCTCACACTATACATACTTGGATGAATGGATGTCTGTCGCATGTCTTTTCTTTGCTACACTTCACAAGGATAGACATGAATCTAACACTCAACACGAGTAGCGATAGGAAACTTCTCCGCCCACATACACATATAGAGACTTTGGGTTTATCAACAATGGCTTGTGCTCCTTTGTCGATAAAGGCCGTTAAGCCTTCACTCGGTGGAAAGAAATTATCCGGTATGGTTACTCGATAGCAAGGCTCCCTTGTTCTGCCCTTGACTCCTATGGTCTTCATGCGTCAAGTGTCACTGCAAAGCCAGGTAGGGGAAATAATCAAATGTTTTTAATATCATTCATTAATTATATTCTGTCTGTCATGGTTTTGTTTGTGTGTTATTCATATATCCCCTCCTCAAACTTTTGTGTATCAAAGAATCGAGCTGTGATTGGATTCCCATTGAATATTCGACCCTCAAGAGCATTAACGGCCTAAAGAGATGTCAGTAGAAGAGTTGGCTACAGTGCGTAAATCAGGCTCCTTACTCTTAAAGCAGATAACTGGTTGGTGAACTTGACGAATACTGGCACGGGGGGGACTGCTCCACGGGCAATAAAGACTCGTTCGACATTGCCATACTGTCCAGGTTAGGAAGGGGAGACAGCGGCGGAGGAAACAACCCACCTTTTCTGAACATTCATCTCCGATCTCTTGCATCAAGCCCCCGTCTTGATCGCCTTCGAGTTCAGCCTCCACGTCCATGCCCTCTAACATGCCCTTCAGGATAATGACTTCGCTCATTGGCCCAAATTTGCCTTCATCCTCATTTTTCTTCTTCGCACCACCTATGATCTTGCCCCTACCAGCAGGGGTGGCGAAGCCACCTCCCTCTGAGTCTGGCCGCTTTTTCTGTTTTTCGACCTTAACCTGCAGTGGGTTGACGATGCCCGACCCTGTTGCACCCAAGCCAGTGCCTTTTGTCCAACCATACTTTTCAAGTAAACGCTGGGCGAAACCCCTCTGTCCAGGTCGAAGCGAGCGCTGGTCCTCCCCTTCAGCTTCAGACTCGCCTTCCACAGGTTGCTCCTTAGCGAAAACTTCCTCGAGCTCCGCTTCTGATGCAGGTATATCTGCTGGTGGGGGTGGTAGAGTATAGCGAACGGGTGCACGGGAGATAGTCGCGGAGGCAGGTTGCAGCGCCTCTAGAGGCCGTGGCTGTGGTGGCGGCGCAGACCCTGCTACAGGCTGAGCTCCAGTTGACATCTGAAGTCGACGCAGATAGGCGTCGTCGCCCGTAGGGTCATCTGGAGGAGGCGGTGGTGGTGTATAGTCGGCCATTGTCGTGTCATCAGGGTGCGCTTGCATCTGTGCACGCTGGGCAAACGCCTCTTCTCCAGATGCAGCGTCCGGATTAGCAGCAGGCGAGGCTGGAGGTGGTTCCACAGCCCGCCCGGGTGATATATTGTTGAGATTCGGTGGTGCGAGGCTGGCTGGAGGGGCAAATTGGCCTGTAACGGTTCAGCCATTGAATTATTATCACCATCTCGAAGCACATACGGTTCATCGGCCTTCCATAATCCTCATCACTATATGAATCTCGACTCCGAGATCGCACCATGCGATGTGCGTAAAGGCGATCTTTCCATTCGCGAACCTCGGCTATCTGCTCATCGCTATGTTTATATTCTTCGTAGTTATTGGGTCGCGACGGATCGTAGATATCGTCCCAGTTCTGAGCAAACTCATGCACTTCCTTATTCTTCTTGCGCTTTTTGCGCCCACCACGCTGCCTTTTCGGTCCTGCGTAGAAATCATTGACATCATCTTCTTCAGTATTGGCCCAATCAGCAAGAGTAGTCTTAGGTGCTGCCACCGGCGCGGAGACAGGGGCTGTCTTCGGTAGTGCTGGTTTCGGTTTGGGTTTCTGCGTAGATAATTGTGGTCTTTTTGTGGGCTGAAATCGAAGAGAGGCTGATCACCAAATCCAGAAGAACAATGGACAAGTGAGCAATCAGATCATCAATGAGGAAACAAATCTCGATCATGAAGGGGGAATTAGTCTACCAGTATTGAGCTGCTGTTTCTTGGCAGCTGATTCATCTAGCTGGGATTCGCCTTCGGAAGCTTGCTTGAAGACGACCGGGGCGCGAGAAATGGTCCCAGGAGAGCTATCGGCGGATGGGTCAAGCAGGTTTGCATAGAGCGAGAGTATGCCACCGGGCTTGGAGGGGGTGTTCTCGGAAGCCATGGGTCGAGGTCAGGTCATAGACGAGATCAACAAATGATTATGTCGGAGAAGTTGGAGACAATTTGAGTGCGCTATCGATACGGACATGAGCACTGTTTGCATCCCATATCACTTGACAATGGTCTAGTGGGGAACGTGGCTTAGTCAGGTCTATCGTTATTGGCACTTTCGATACCCCGTACCCCTGGAAGTAAACAGCTTCGGACGACGTGAATCGACGATTTACTCTGTTCCTCAAAAATTGGAAAATTGAATTCTCCATAAATCTAGTGTCAACTAATTGCACCTTTTTATCAGACTTTCCAACAGCATTGTGGAGGGGCTTCTTCCGGCATGGAGGGCGGTGACAGCAACCATCCATAAGGCAATCAGATCTTTTATCGCTACTATAGTCAATATGCAACAGAATTATGAAGGTGCACTACTATATTGTCGGACTACTCCTTGCAAGGGTACAAGCACTCAGCCCTGAGTTTAAGTGAACTGGGATTCGGTGCCCATTGCCGTGTGTTCGTAGAACACACGGTTCTATGTCCCAGCTGCTGCAGCCTGTATGCGCACATTGAAGGAGCCAATGTCGATCAGGATGGATGTAGCCAACAAAGTCATCTTTCATCTGGAGACAGGGCCGGTGAAAGTAGAAGGTTTGTCAACAGGAAACTCATATGGGCTGCACCAATGTAGAAGGTTGCGAATACATACGGTAGCTAGTATTGCTATCTATTTAAAGAGAGCCGTTGAGGAAACTTTATGCAATACTTCACAACTCTAATAACGCGGAAGAAAACGGCGTCCCCTTAATTAGTCATTGTGGGGCATGGAGAGCCCTTACAATGAAAGCGATCGTGTCATGGATCGTGGAGACGATCGGTCATCTCCGTTGCCTCCCCCCATTACCGGCCAAAAGGAGCTCTCTCTATCTAGTATCTACTCCCTGTGGATGGAAACAAACTAACAGAGTTGTGCAACTTCTTGTTTTTCCACAAATGAAAAGATCTACGCTCTTAATATCAATCCCTGAAGCCAAGACAGCATCCAGTGCTCCATCCAACTAGCGAACCCACACCCGAGACCACCATGACTACATTAGCGCAGTCCTTCTCCTCCCAGAGCGCCGACGTCGCCATTCTGGTCCCCAAGAGAGAGACCCCCTTGGCCAGAACCTCTCCACATTCGAATCCATCTCCTCTCACCATCACCTACCAGCAACTGCATGCTCATGTGGCTAAATTCCAAAGTAGATTGGCCAAGCTGGGCGTCGGTCACGGTTGTGCGGTGTCCTTGGCACTCCCAAACTCGTTCGAATTCATTGTCGGGTTTCTCGGCGCATCCTGGCAGCGAGCCATTGCCGCTCCGCTGAATCCTGCCTATAAGCAGGAAGAGTTTGAGTTTTATATTGATGATCTTAGTTCGACCTTAGTGCTGATACCCGAGGGATCATATGCAAAGAATGGCCCCGCCGTGCGAGCCGGTAGGAAATACAATGCTGCAATTGCAGAGTGCTACTGGAATGGCACGGAGGTGTTTCTGGATGTGAAGGAACCTGGAAAGTTGGCGGGAAGTGCGGGTGTGCCCGTTGGACAGGCCCAGCTGGATGACATTGCTCTTGTGCTTCACACAAGCGGCACGACCGGTAGGCCCAAAGCCGTAAGTCTCCCTATACCGATACGTATATAGACGCTCACAGATCCAAGGTTCCACTCACCCACAAGAATCTCACCACAACTATGAGTATGTCTCAGAATAGCATGCATCGATCAATAATATTGACCATGCCGTAGGGAACATCCGGGATACATACAAATTGACGCCGCAGGATCGCACGTATTTGGTGATGCCTCTGTTCCATGTTCATGGTCTCCTAGCAGCATTTCTTGCGCCCCTCTACTCCGGCGCGTCCGTCATCGTGCCTCCAAAATTCTCGGCCACTGAGTTCTGGTCCGACTTCATCACCTATGGTGCGAACTGGTACTCAGCTGTACCTACAATTCACCAGATTTTGCTCAAATCTCCCTTGCCCAGTCCCATTCCCCCGATCCGCTTCATCCGTTCATGCTCCTCGCCATTGTCTCCCAAAACTTTCCAGGATCTGGAGACGACCTTCAACACGCCAGTCCTGGAGGCTTACGCAATGACAGAAGCCGCTCACCAGATGACCAGTAACCCTCTCCCGCCAGGAAAGCGCCAGCCCGGCAGTGTCGGCGTTGGACAGGGCGTAGAAATCAAGATCCTCGACCAAGAGGGCAAAGAGGTTCCTCAAGGCTCAGAAGCCGAAATCTGCGTCCGCGGTGAGAATGTAACCAAGGGGTATTTGAACAATCCGTCCGCCAACAAATCCTCGTTCACCAAGGATGGTTTCTTCCGCACGGGAGACCAGGGTAAAAAGGATCCAGACGGCTACGTGATCATCACCGGCCGTATCAAAGAGCTCATCAACAAGGGAGGAGAGAAGATCAGTCCCATTGAGCTGGACAATACACTCCTACATCACCCCAAGGTGGGTGAGGCCGTGTGCTTCGCTATCCCGGACGAGGAGCACTATGGTGAGGATATCGGAGCAGCAGCGGTTCTGAAAAGTAACAATGCAGCCACCGAGGACGAATTGAAGTCGTGGATGGCAGAGAAACTGGCGAAATTTAAGACTCCCAAGAGAGTATGCACCCCTACCCCTACATACCACAGGAACGTCACATTGACCTCTCACTCTCTCATCAACTAGATCTGGATCGTCTCGCAAATCCCTAAAACCGCAACGGGTAAAATCCAACGCCGCAAGGTTGCAGAGGTGATGTTGACCCCCAAGGCCAAACTGTAAACAAACTCTTACAACTATCCCGATGGTCTGGGGAACAGCCCGTACATACATACATACCCATGTACATATAACACACATATATACTAGATTGGAATATTTACATAAACCCTTTGCATAATCAAACGTATCATATCTACAACCCATATGAATCCAACGGGAGCTCAATTGAATTTCCCAAGACAACCTAAGGAAGCGGCCGATTTCCGACTCTAAGCGCGCACATGAACTATAGTAGCCCAAGGTCAGCCGAGTTCAAGAAACTAACCCCCACCATTCTCTACCCATCCAAGAGAAAGATAGCGTAAAGGGGAAAGAAAAAAAAGGACCAAGAAAAAAGAAGAAAAGAAACATACCGGAATAATCTGCACGTTCTCAACATCCCACACCCCACTTCGCGTATAAATATCCTTACGGATGAGCTCCCTCACCTGGGCCTCATCCTCCGCGACAACGATCAAAGCACTCCCCTTAAAGGGAGGGGTCTCGCCAGGAGCGGGGTGCGAGTCCACCATGGCTCCTATAGTATCACATCGTAAGCCCACCGTGTTCATACTCTATCTATTGAAAAGAGAATGGGAACATACCACCGACAACAATGGAACCATTGTCAGCCAGAGGTCTGACACCTTCGAGGTGTTGACTATTAATTCAGCTATGATTAATCACTGTTATTTTTGAAATGGTGGGGTTAATAGTAGGTATAGTACAGACCCGCGGACTTCCAGGCGTTTTTCCAACATGCCTGGTTTGTCGGGGATGAGGCAGATGAATTCTTTCTTAGAGGACATTTTTTGTTCCTTTGTGGCTTGCGTGGATGGATGGGGATGTCTCAGGTCTGTGACTGATAGAAGGATTTGGGGCTGGTTCATTTGGAGGAGGGCCGGTATTTATGGAATCTGGAGGTCGAAGTGGGGATCGATTGATTATCTGGTGGGGAAAAGACAGTCCAATTGATTCACTGACTTTTAACATATTGCTTTCCGCCGACTTATTTTTCTAATTATACCGATTCTTCATTGCACTGCATTAAACGTGGTTGCATTTTCGATTACGAATCAATATAAACCCCTCACAGTCATAACAGCCCGACAAATTGAAGCCTATATATGTATGTACAGTACATGGACGCCAAGCACCGTTAGGCCCTGTCCCTTCTCTCCGACGACGACGGTAGCCTCGGTTCTTCGTCATTTCCGGAAGATGACAGGGGGGATCCCTCAGCTCTAACTGCTCGCCATCCCTCGTAGATGTTGATGAAAATGACCGCCACCCCCTGGTAAACCATCTGCCCAGGGACAGTCAGACCGTGAGGAATCAGCGAAAACCCTCATCGGAAACGACAGGCTTGTTTTGCACTGTCAGCAAGGAGAACAGGACAACTCCAGTAAGTCAAGCGTAAAATCACCCGTTCACTCTATGAGCGTCGATACCGCTAAACACGTTCCCCGTAGCGCCAAAATAAAAGAAGCAGCACGATCCCTAGAACACGACATGAAGAAGACTAATTACCGGAACCATGGGATGTCCGTTTCAAACGTCCAAAGGTAGAAAAAGTGGCAAAAGCAAAAAGTACGAATATCAAGAGAAAATCCCATGTAGTAAACCACGGACATACACGGGGAAAGGGTATTAAAATCTTGAAGGCAAAAACCGAGAGTCGCTGGCTGGATGGAAGAGACCATGTCCAGAAACATGTCTAGTACGCCTTACGGCCTCCAAGATTGCCAGGTTTTTCATCGGTGTCGATATGCCACACAACATAATTAGGCAAGCCGTACACCTGATATCCTGCTCGCTTCGCCATGCGCGCAAATCCCTCGGTCTCAGCCTGGTTCTCGAAAGCATATGATGGGAAATTGATTCCTGGGGATTCGGTTAGAAGCCGTTTTCAGTTCAACGATGAGAGCGGAGCATACCAGAACGATGGACATCGGCCTTGACAAGAATGTTGACACCGCCAATGCCATCGAGCTCGACCTCTTCATCCTTGTTTTTCCTCCAGTCGCCCATTGAAACTAGATACTGCCGGCCAGTATCATATTCCTTGTAGCCCTCGGCCAGCACAGTGTCCGGATCCAGAGTTTCCCGCAGCCGCCTTCCCTTGTCAGACTCAATCCATGAGTTGTAGTCAACTGTCAAGGTTAGCATCGACCATCACCAGAAGGCGGTATCTCTACTTACAGCGACCCTCGATATCAACGCCATCCTTATATCTGTGGAACCAAATATCTGCAGACAAGTTAGCGTGCGCTATAGAATAACTGCAGTATGTCACATACTCGGAACAAGGATATCTCTGTCATGTGCCATGAAGTCCTGAAGGATAGTCTCCGGGCTGTCGGAAATGTCCACATCTCTCCAGTAAACCCAAGAGTGATCAGGCTTCAAAGCAGAGTAGAGAAGATAATTACGTGCGCGACCAATAGCCTTTCGGCGCGGACCCTGGGCGGCGAACGAGTGTCGGTCCTGAACATTCATCTCTGTTTCCGCCCCAAAATCCTTCTTCACGATGGTTGCGCTGCGGAATGCAACCTTGTCGCCCTGTTCCTGAATACGGCTCAGCTCGGAGGCAAGCACGCTTTCAGTGTCATCCTTGGAGTCACCAATGAGGAAAGCCAGATCGATGAGGTTATGAGGATACGTCAGCTTGTAGAGAAGCTCGAAGTACTTTTGCAGATAAGGGGCTGCATCTCTCAGCGGCGTCAAAATGAGCACTCGTTCGGAGTTTGCGACAGCTTGAGCACTAGAGCCAATGGGGTTCAGGTCAACATTGTGAATAGTGGAAGTATTGACTTCATAGGCATCATGGTGGTTATAGAGGACGGGGGTTTGCATGTGGGCGCTCCATTCGACCATTTCGTTGAGACTCATGTCCATTGGTGATTTGGAGGGTCCGTAACAGTAGAAGCTAGACAGCGCCGATTAGTATACACCTCGCGTGCAGGGATTGCTGCAAGCCGCGTGTCAAGGCAAGAGAGATCGAACACTTACTTTTGCATCTCGGATGCGGACTTGCTGATACCACGCCATAACAAGATCAACAAGCCAGTGAGGGCCAGCGACACTAGGAAACGAGTGCGCGTCACAAGGACTAAAATTGCCCTCCATGGGGGCAACCTCGCCTTCGCCGACTTCCACGTTACACCACCCTTAGGAAGGAGCATCTTTGCGATCCGAGAAAAACCGCAAGGCCAAAAGGAATTGAAGTAGAGGGTATCGCCTTAATGACGAGAAGTCGTCGACGTCTAGAACAGGCGATGATCCCGGGAAAATGTAGGTTTCGCTGGCACCAACGTCCGGAGATCAATCACCCTTTAGCCGATCGCACGACCAATGAAGGTAGGACGGACCGCAAGGAAAAAGGAGCGACCGAAAAGAGTACTTGGCGGTGGCGCCGACAAAGTCGAGAGGAGTCACTTGTCTAGGGCAGTCCGAAATTGTTGTCGACTCAGTTGGGACGGGAGGGTGAAAAGGGAAGGGAAAATTTGAGGTTTGCGCTGGGAAGTATGGGGAAGGGGGGAGAGGGAGGAGCGAAGATGGTCCGTGGGTGTGGAAAAAGGACAGAGAGGTTGCCTTTGCGGGAGAGAACGGCAACAAGAACAAATGAAGCCACTCTACAGAAACCAAACGAATGGATTTTGACAGTCGTCAAAAAAGGAAAAGATGAGGAAGAATAAGAACACAATTATGAAACTTATACAAAAAAAGGGTAAGGGAAACAAGAAATGGGGGCAGAAAAGAAAAGAGGAAACCAAACTGTACTTTAACAGGCTAAATAAAATCCATTAAATCTAGACACGACGAAGTTGGACGCTTCGGGATTGGCGCTCACGTTACTTTTTATAGTCTTCGCATTTATTCAATCTAAACATTTATGCATACTACCAAACATCAACGTCAACAACACTAACACCACCACCAACAACAACAACAACAAGACCATTGAACATTGCTCTTACTCTTATGGAACTTGGAAAATCACCCAAATATTCTCAACAAGCAATCCAGATTTTTAACCACTCATTCCCTCGGGATTTGACACGAGAAAAGGGTCTTTGTCTTCTTGGCACATACGCGGCCAATTCAATCCATCGAGATTACCGTCACTTGGATCTTGGATTAGGGGTTATGCACATATTTCACCCACAACTATAGCGATCATGACGATAATACTAACAATGACATTCTTATTTAACAACAGTCGCTCTATACTCATATTCGCTTCAAATTGGACATGGATACCAAAAGGAAATATGAGAAAACCGAAATCAGCCATATATACATATAGATAGATAGACAGATATAGGTAAGGAAAAAGAATCACATTCAACTCCAGATCACCACAGGAAACCAAAAAGGAAAAGAAAGGAAAAGGAAAGATTGCCATTCCCAATATGGACAAAGGAAAGAAAATTATGTATTTTAAAAGGAAAAGGAAAAGAGCAACCCATGCAACTCACAAACCCCTAACCCAATTTTTGATGTACGCCATGCTTGCCCCAGTTCGCCAGGTTCCAGTGAAACACATGAAGGACGGCGGTCCAGAGAACCTGAGGAGAAAAGCAAGACATTCTTATGTAAAGTCCCCGTCCCGATGGAAAAATGGTACAATGCCACGCTATGCCAGAAAATTCAATCAAAAACAGCAGAATCGGCTCCAAATCACAAGTCTATGCCCAAGGACAAGGAAATTCATTACAAAGCCAAGGAAGGGTTTCATATGTGAGGCAACCTGCCAATGCACCATCTCACGGAGATGGAATCACGGACTGGCGCCGCGACGCGGGAACCGAGTAGGTCGACTGTGTGAAGATTGGGGACGAGGGTCCAGTCATTGGGGGTGAATGGCTGAGGAAGGATTGCGAGAAGGATTGGGAAGACCCGGTGTGTGGTGGTTCCAAGCGGCCAGACTCTGGGCTGTTCACAGCGATCTCGTCACAGAAGACACGCAGGCCAGGCAACATGTTGCGTGGCCTCGAATCAGGAAGCTGGGCGAGAGACTGAGGGCTTGGCTGTTCAGTCTTGGGCGATCGGAACATGTGTTCATAGGACTTCAACTGAAGCTCAAGCGCCTGATTACGCTCCTCCAATAACTGGTTCTCTTGCTTCAAGGCCTTGATCTGTTGCTGGGCAGACTGGTTCTGTTGCTGAAGGTTGGCAATCAACTGCTGAAGCTGCATGCACCGGATCTGAGGCTGCAGCTTTTCGGAGAGCTGCCGAGGCATCTCATTTTCCTGGCGGATGAGGTGGACAATGATTAGGAGCATAAAATCGATGAGGAAAATGGCACCCTGCACAATGTGCTCCTTCGACTCGGGAAGACTCTTCGATGGGTTCCAGCCTGCCCGTTCAAGAAAGAAGTCGTGGATACGACTATCCAGCTCACGGTGCAGCTGGCTCAAGTTCTTTCGCCGGTTGCCCTCTGCAATACGGTGCTTCTCCCTCTGGTCATCACATTCACCCGTGATCATGCTGCCCTTGCGCTTTCGACCGCATAGCTGCTGCAAGGGGGGCTTACGGTTGATATGCTTCGGGGCGATCAGGTTCAAAAGGTCGGACGAAGAAAGGTCCTGGGGCCATTCAAACACTTTCTGAGAAAGCAGTGATTCAGGCCATGAGCTATCGGCGGAATTGGCAGGAGAAGGGGGTGTAACAATGTGCTCGGATACTGGCCACGGTGACTTGACGGGGAACGCATCCTGAGAACTGGGAGGGCTGGGAGCAAAGACCTTGGAGGTCAGGGGATTGAATGGCCCCCGAGGCAGTGGTTCGACGCGGGGCAGAGGCGGTAACCGACGGTCTTCAGTCATCTCAGCTGCGTTGGGGGCGTTGGCGATAGAGCGCACGCCACTAGTACCCTGTCAGTTATGCATCTAGCAGCAAGGCCAAGAACATCCTACGGAAGAGAGCAGCGCCGAGAGATGTCATCAGTCATCGAACCCATGTCCTCAAACATCATGGCTTCTGTTACGTTTCGCGTCTGGATCAGTAAACAAGGTGAGGTGCAGCCGGAGGGTATGTATGTCTTAGTTGTGTGGGCGATCAAGTGGGATGTCGATATGTACGATGCGTCGATATGTATATGCGTATGTCTGAGATTGATATAAACAAAGATCTCTGGACGGTAAGATCAACGGGGAAGGCAGACGGTAATAAATTAGGATAAGGTCAGAGGCACAAAGTAAGGGCGGTCGATGAAACAATCAAGGGAGGTTGTTGCTATGGAGAGGAATAATGGATAAGTCGAATAGTCAAACCAATCCACGAGGTATAGAAGAGATGGAAGAACACTGTGCTTCCCGAAGGGTACGGTGCGATCCGCTGCATGTTTTATATCTTGATTGCAGATGGCGAACGAGGAGGGGAATGATCTGAGTAACCGAAAGAGAAGAAGAGGGGGCGAGAATGGACGGTGGCGGCGCTCAGACTTCATAGACTGCAGTAATTGATAGAGTAAAGATGGAGATGTATCATGTCGAAAGATCTGCGCTCCTCTCGATAGGGAAGTTGGTGGGTTTGCAGGTGATTAGGGTCTACAATGACATACAGAGAGATCTCTCTGTTTACGAAGTAGGAGATCGATCAATAGTTTTTTTTTTTTTTTTTTTAAATTTTTATTTTGGGAAAGAATAACAAGAATAATATTGATAGATGATATTATTTTAATTATTTTATTATTCTTTTTAATTTTCACTTTTCCATTTCCTCTAAAATTTATTATGATTATTTATTATTTATTTATTACTTTGCTTGGCCCTACCTTACTTACCTTATTGCATATGTTGGCATCCAAGGTAAAGTTAGGGCAATGAAATGGATGAGGGAACCTCCTGTCCGTAAGAGACTCCAACTATACTTACATGTGTATGCAACCCACTTCCTCCCTTCCGGTCTCCATGAGGTCGCGGGGAAGTAGCCTCAAGATTCCGGCAGAGTTCAACAATCCCCATTTAGTGTCCTTTCGAGAGAGACTCGTCCGAATCTCTAGTACAAAATGGGAACAGACGCGAGGCCGAGAAGATCGACGAATCAACGTGCTTTGATCGCGAGGCGCATCTTTGGAAGAGAAAGTGATTCAAGATCCTTGATTTGTCACCAATGCAATGGTTTGAATTCGATCTACACGGGCCATAGAAGGTAAATGTATCGAATCCCCTTGCATCGAGGTCTTCAATAGTCCATCGGGGCCAATAGCTGTCAACCATGCGGTTGTGTCTTCTCTAAGGCGACCTAGGATAGAATCGTTTTCTTCCCCCCGTTTCAAGGGCTATGATGACTGACTAGGTAAAAATAGTGCCTATTGTCTGCAGATACTGTGGCGGAACCGCATCCGGAGCTTGTCTGATAGATATCCAAAACAATCGCTCACAGTTTCTCGGAGAATACCATGGTGAGTCCAGTCCGCTGGAGCGTGGTCCAAAGAAAGAACCAGCCATAACAGATCGTGAAGATCGTCCATACGGAACTCAGATTGCTTCGGACACCCGCCTTTGAAACTATAGCTATTATGAGATAAGGCGAACATTGGCCCTTCCTTCAGGCGGGTTCGATTGCTTGAGCTACGGAGTACTCCGTTCTCGATTGGCAATGTAGGTACAGGCATCTTGCAGCAGACTCTTTGCAGCTCTCCATCTGGTGTGCCACCCTGTCAGGGGCCTAGAATATTCGAAAGACAGACAAAAGTACCAATGGAGCGTCTTGACGAACCATAATCATAGTGAACCACACATTAACATCCGACGCACAGGCGGACGCAGGTTCCCCAATGTAAATCCTTTCTCCGCAGGAATTGTTCAGAGCCAGATAGCATGAAGCAAGGACTCTGGAGCCAGGGAGAAAATCTTCCCCAAATCAAGAGGTACTTGAGACACTCTCTGTGAGGAGTAGGTGTCTACCTAACGTTGGATAGTTAACCCGACGACATGGTGCAATATTGGATCTTGTTACAATCGTATTAGAATGGTCATCAGCGAGTATAGCCGAATGGGGCCGAGACACTACTTCCTAGCTTCCATATAAAAGAAGGGGTCAAAACACAGAGTTTCTGATCGCCACAGCCCCCGAGACGGGCCCATACACTTGGGTCACCGGGAAATCCCAGTGACCAGGGTTTGACGGCTGTCAGACACAACGATTATTAGTTCTGGACTCTTCTTTCTTATTTTGGTTAAGCCCGGGATTAAGGCTGTCGCCTGCTTTTGAGGATAATGATTTGAAATTCGGTTGATGACGTCTCCAACAGACGGGATAGATCCAGATCGCTCGGAGAGCTTCACTAGATCGAGGTGGAGAATATCCATCAAGGCCACAATGCAGAGATTCGCCATGCCACGATGATGCTGGTAATCCGCACATGAATCGAGCGGATTATTCCATCCATCATCATCCCTACCCGGGATCTATTGGGGAAGAGCCCAGGTTCGGTGGAGATGAAGAAATGGGGATAGCCTAAATACGGTATATGGGAACAGAACTAAACAGTAAAAACAGCCCAGATGATGTGTGGATTGCTGTTGACCCTGTTAGGGTGATTAGTAGCGGGTCTCATAGCAGTGGGATAAGATCTATCATATTCGAAGTCAAGGATCTCCTCTACGGACGAGTATGAAGAATCCAGTGGATAACATGCATCTACCAAGTGTTCTCTCAGCCAGCCCCACGTTTTTGTCCTCGCCCATCCCTTGAGAGCCATGAGGTCTCGAGCACCCGAAGGTTCTTTTTTTTCTTCTCTTGGTCATCGTCTTTTCCTGAGTTGACATCCTGCCCCTTTTTCGGCTTATTTCCACTCTGTGCCCGTTTCCCGTTGCGATGGTGGGATGATTCGTCCGTACCCGATTGGGGGAATATCGACTCCAGACTTGACCCTGAATGTTAGTAGCCGACCAGTGACGGCTTTAATTAAGCACTACTATAAGCGACGTTAGGGACTTAGAGAGGGGGTGTCTATCCCAGTCTCCATAGGAGGTTGATGAGTTGGCAGAATGTCCATTTACCTATCCATTTCTCTGAAGAGTAACGAGCACACCGTGATGAACTCCTGTTTGAATCTCGCACGCACTCGTCATCCAGGCACGAACTCTTTTTGAAACTTAAAACGTCGCACACACATACGTATGTATATGTATGTATATACACAATATCTGTACCTTTTTGCAAAGCGAATCCCCTCTACCAGAACCCGTCATGCGCACCTACATTGAATCTTCACGATCCCACCAAAACTGTCCGAATCGCCTGGGATTTGGGCCAAATTGCTCGTCTATTCTCCGATATACCGGGGTCTGGAAGAGTCGATAATCCATAGTGTGTTTTGTTATTGGCAACCCGATGAGAGGGGGACCATGAACCTTAATTGGCCATCCTCTCCCTTGGGAGTTTCTCTCGGATCTCATCCACACCAACGGGTCTGAGCATTAACTCCATTAATTCGTACACCAAATGTGCGACTAGAGCTTATCACTTCCCGCGATTACACTCCTTATTACTGTAAATGGTTGGTAGCGTTACACGGCAGGTTATACCAGAGGGTCAGTGCAATAGCACCAATCTTATTACATAGGTACCTCACCTTAGGGCACGATCAGCATGACCACCACCATCTATCAACTCCACAAGGATAATCAACACAATCCTTCAGATATTTTGCCACCTTGGAAGGAGGTGGTAAAGTTGAGAAGGGGGGGAAAAAATACACACACACACACACACACATATATATATATATATATATATATATATTATATGTAATAGAATAAAACACGCATACTAGAAATAGTAAATCATAAATGAATCAACGTCACGCCAAAAAGCCTCAACGGACCCCAGTCGCCACAGATCTCGAACAATATGACACATCATATTTGCCCAGAAGCCCTACCTAACCCAACGCGCCAATGATCTCTACCTATCAACCACACAAAGTCCCAACGCCTACTACCGGTTTCAAAACGCACACACATATTTTAACGACCTGCATCGATACTACATGCATGCAACTACTATCGTCAAACAGGGGACACCCCTAACCAGAGCGAACCCTGCGTGCAATTTGCAAAAGATGGCAATAGGAATCATGTATCAAGTCGCTTCACTTCCGAGCTATTCATTCGCTAGGAAGTGGCCACGAACACCTTTGTCGTAGGCTAGGGCTAGTCTAAGTTAATCGACTCGTGCTCGTGTTTCAGGTTGTTGTCTCTCTCTCTCTTTTTCTAGTTCCACTCCAATAGTTTCCCGCCGCCTACGTAGTAGTAGTAGTAGTAGTAGTAGTAGTAGTAGTATTATCGTTATTATTAGCATACCTACATTCGACTTTCTTTACATATGCATCCAGTGCCTATTTTCTTTTTATCTCTTTATTATTCTATATGATACACATCCGTACTTACAGGTTTATATCCACTCCTGCAAGGATCGCGACTTCTGCTGAGATATTACCCTCTGTATGAACGATAGCAAGGTATCCATCCATATGAACTATTATTGCCACCGAATATACCACGACCAGAAACTTCCTTACACCTTCCTACCTACCAAGGCCACTAAACAAGACCAACCTGCCCTGTAGGACAACTAAACTCCGTAGCGGACCGGGCATGTATCCAATGCATTGTACCATGCCAAGTACTCAGCTCCTACATTGTGGCCAATTCCATCTATACTGTGAAGGTGGACGTCGGCCTTACTTTACCTAACCTAGACACAATTGAGTGACGTGGTTAGCCCTAAACAAAGTAACCTGAGGCATCCACCGCCCACCCCACATCCGGCAGGTAGCATCATATAGGTGCTGCAAGGCATGCCATTCTATCTATCAAAAAACCCACTTCATTCCAAATAAACCAGGCCCCAGTTCCCAGTTTTTTGCTTCTTCTTACATCTTCAACTGACCTCATAGATGCCCGATTCCAATAAACCCCATTCTCCCTTCCTATCAAATGCCAGGGAAAAAGTATCCCACCAAACCCCGGCCGTCAAACTCAAGACCCCATCGATCGACTAGATAGAGTCCTTCGTGGGAATTAGGTAGCAAAGAACTCAATGAATACAGGCTACTTCCTCATACAGGAAAAAAAAAAAAAAAAAAAAAAAAAAAAACCAAAGAAAGACCAAATCCCCCCTCCCTCCATGCTCCATTGAAAGTAACACAATGTCAATCCCTACATAAACAGTATAGTCTTAATCCACTTTCCCAAACTGTGCCTGCCAGATCTACCTATCGATCTTGCAAAAAGTACCAATTGAGCCAACAGCTTCATACACATACAATAATCCACACACGAACTGGAAACGATCGAAGGAAGAATCCCGCGGGCACTTCCCCTTTCCCTTCCACATGGCCTAAACCTAGGGTATTGTTCCGGCCACAAGTGAGGTACACGATCAGATCCACGAGTCTCCAGTCTCAATCTCCATTACAACTAATAATTCCTCACGCTATTCGTGGCGTTTGCCTTTGCCTTTGCCTTTCGTTTCCTCCCTAAGCCTGTAACCTATTTAACATTTAAACATTTCGGCCCCATTAGCACAGGTCGGTCTCCAATGGCTTATCTTCTGCATACTAGTTCTCTTCCTTCCCGTGCGGGAACTCTCTTTTACTTTACACGCGATGTGGATAGTACACATTCTTTGTCTTTCTCTCTCTCGCTTCCCACAGTTTTACATTTAGATATGCTAGTAGGTAGGTAGACAGCTAAGTGAAACACATATAGATCTGTCAATTGAAACTATATCGGACCGACAGGTGGGGATCGATATCCTTTATCAAGGGGAACAACACCCATCCACTAAGCCATGCCTAGGCGAAAATATATCCATACAAAATGTATCAGTAGAGAGGTTCCTTTTATTCGATAGGGTTATCAGAAGACAAAAAGCAAACCATACACTTGGACGTGCTGAAGGCGGGTAATTGCCTGCAGGGTTCCCTGTATGGCGCTGGATATGGGGAGGTCATCCGCCGTACGAAATGACTCGTCAATTTGCCTTCATTCGCGTAAGAAATTTTTGGAGGAATCCATGTACGCACGGCTGGCTTGCTGCGCGAAGCACATACCCTCCACGAGCCGCTGTGTGCTAATTGCTCATGGAGATAACGCATCACATACTGTTTGATGGATCCCGCACGATCCGAGAATCGGTTCAGGATGAAAGAGTTAGGAAGACCTCATTGATGCCTGGCAGAAGCAGGAAGGTGGAGGAGTATCTACAACGAGTAGTAGTCCTCTAGTGATGAATCGTTCTAATCTCCACCTCATCGGCTGAGCCCTAGTTGCTATTGCATACTCGTACTGGTAGTGAAGTCATTCACTATGTTACAATGTATATGAAGGAGTGACCAAAGAATAACAGAGATTATAGCACAAGTACACAGGCTGGATGGGAACGCTATAAAAAAAAAACTGCAAACGCCTGTCCTCAACCAAGCGTATGGCCCCCGTGAACCTACTGGATTCAAGCACAAAGGCAGGTCTCAAGACTGACACAACTTAACGGCTTCAAACATATTAACCACCAATTGCGATTTCATACAAGATGACAAAATGAATCGTCCGTTGGAATCCTGACTTCCACGCCGGCGACCCAGCACGCTGCGAATTTGCTCAAACAAGTTCAATTATAGTCATAAAAACAAAGCACAGGAATCAATATACCCGTTGCTTATTAGGCAACTCTACACGGTAGTAAGTGGAGCTTGATAAGAGAAATAACAAAGTACACAACGGTTTGGTATCGAAACAACCTTTACAGAGCGTACTGAACGAGGGCACCGAAGACAGCGGCCAGGCCCATAGCAGGCATAGAGGACACATCCAGAGCAGAAGCAGCGCCGGTAGAAGTGGCAGAGGACTTGCCGGTAGAGGTAGTGGAACCGGACTTGCCATCACGGGTGGTGGGGTCGGACTGTTTCGGCTTGCAGGTCTTTTTACCCTTGATAACTTGATGGTTCTCTGCCATCTTATCGAAGGGGTCACAGGTGATGTTACCGGTGCTCTGCACATTCAAGTCACCCTTGACAATCTTAAGGGCGTCGAGGTGGGCCCTACAAGATAATGTTAGGACACTGGCAAGATCTCATGTCATTGAAAAAGGATGACTTACTCGTTGAATTCACCGCTGAAATCGATGGCACCGGTGACAGTCTCCAAACTGGGGAAGTCGATAACGCCAAGCTTGTCATTGCGGGCAATCTGGAATCCACCGTTGATGGTCTTGAGCACAGGCATGCTGATGTTAGCAAGCTTGCTGTTGTCGTTGAAGATCAAGTCACTGGTCTCGGTCAGGTTAGGGGCGCTGAACGACTTGAACTTGTTACCCCAGAAGCCGAGCTGGCCCTTGAGCTTCTCCAAAGAGGGAAGGGAAACCGAGCTAACGTTGCGGAAAGTCATGTTCTGTCCAGTGCCAAGGTTCGCGAATTCAATCTCAAGACTGTCCATGTTTCCAGCAAAGTTGATAAGAGAAGTAGCGTTCTTCAAGTTGTTGACGTTGACAGTCTTCAGGTTGGTGTTCTCGGTAATATCGAAGCTACCGACGGTGTCTAGCGAGATTCCGTTGAGGCTGCTCAGACCAGTGTTGGTGATCGCCACACTTCCAGCCTGGTTAATGCCCTTGCTGAAATCGAGGTTCTGCAGCTGGGGCAAAGCGGTGAACTCGATCGAGCCAACCTTGGTGAGCTGGGCGAAGCTGAGAGTGGTGAGCGTAGTGAGGCCGTTTAGCTTGAAGGTGTCGCCGATGGAGGTCAAACTAGAAGCACTGAGCCCGGTCATGTTGGCAGCGCCATCAGAGCTCAGGGAACCGCTAATCTCCCGGACACCATTGAGCTGAAGATCGCCGGTGTATCCTTTAGCGATCTCAACATCACCCTTAAGGGTCTTGCAGCTAGAGTAGCCATCGGCATCGCTCTGGTTCTCGATCTTGATGGTGTCCCCGGAACCGCAGTCTATATTTCCTGTCAGCCACTTGCTTCGAGCCTCATCTCCTTGCGCTATCGCTCACTTACCAGCAAGAGCGGCCGAAGCCGCAGCCAGGATTGGAAGAGCGTACTTGATGAACATTGTCGTGTATGATTTCGCACTACAGTACGGACACAGCGTCAGCACGTCCGACGTGATCGAGCCTCTCTTTATGAGAGTAACAAGCCAAGGTAGCCGATGCAAGTCTCCGATCATGGCATACATAAATGCAACATGATGCAAAGTCTTTTCGGGGATTGAATGAATGATGAATCGTCTTTACTTACCAATGATCCGTGGACTTCTTGTGTATGGGGCGATACTCAACTCTTAAATATGGTCGCAAAGTAACGCAAAGCTGAAAGAGGGGAGGGATTCAAAGATAAATAAACGAGTGGAAGAAAAATAATGCTTCAACGAACGAGAAGCTGTTGGTGGCGGTTCCTTCAGTAAAAGGTAGTGCACAAATTAGGCAGGCACGTCTTGACACAGCAGAAACGAAGGAAAAGGAGAGGAAGAGAGGGAAAGACTGGATGGCGAAGAAAAGCGTCAGAAGAGGGAAAGAAGGATTGGCTTTCCCAGGAGCACAAGAAAGGAGTCGTGGCCCGAGGTGGACCTGAGACTGACCCTCCTTGCTACCACCATTCATTACTAGTATGTATTTTCATTACCAGAGTAATTCCAGCAGCAAAAGAAAATTAAAACAGGATTTATTTTTTTCTTCTGACCAGGAATGAGTCCTGTTTCCCCTATCCTGTAACACCTCTCCAATCAGCAAAGCTCAATTCCCCCTCTGATTCGCCCTCGGATTCTTCCCCCTTCCCCATCGCCATTGATCATTCATACCAAAACATTGTTTGTCCCACTTCATACCCTGGATTAAGAGGCAAGTACCTACCTAGACTGGAACCGAGATAATAATAATAATAATCGCATCTTTGTAAAAAAAATATGATACTCAAAGGTACATCTAATTTACTAAATAACTATGTTCTCTAATATTAGATATTTTAATATCCTCCAAATCTTGAGGATTGTGTTTGTATACAATTTTTATCAACTAGCCAGCAACGTTACATCAGTACTCCCAGAGGTATATGCATCTACTAGTAGGTATATACCTGTATTGAAAATCATGTATTTCTGCAACTATTGTACAAACTATAAACATGGGTAGGTATCTTGCGTCTCAGAAACAAAATGGGGGGGAAAAAAGTTCTTTTTCCTGACCTCATAGTGGAGTTGTGAGAGATAATCTGTACCTGATTCAAAAGATGCATAGAATTTGTACGTACAACTATCAAGATCATCACGGAGATCGTGCATCATCATATTACGAGTTACAGTAACTTACCTAGCACTACGTGTATTGGCGCTAGGAGGGGCCAGACTCTAGATTACTTAGATATCATGGATTTGCAAGCATTTAGTATTGCCGTTGTAGGCATTGTACAGCGTCTATAGGAAGTCCGATCACCCCATTCCATACCGAAAACTATCTATTTCTGCTCATACCAATCTCATATTTTTCGTCCATTTCTCAGAGAGTATCCAGAATGTTATTAACGTTAAACAGGTCCATTAGAGGATAAATAAAGTCTGCGGTAGCCGGTCTGAATTTGCTAGAAATCTAGTGGGACCCACTCTGTCTCCATTTCTGGTTTTGTGAGCCATACCGCACAGGCATTGGAATGGACAATCGCCTGGTCGCCGACCAACTCTGGTCTCATAGTGACATACGTGTAATAATGTGGCTGTCATAATCATCATTCTTGACATTAGTATCTACTTGGTAAAGTACAGTGCGGATAGCCCCATTCTTTGGTACCTTGAGATCTTTTATTTAATTTTGGTGTTTGTTTTTCTTTTGATTTTCCGTTTTTGTCTGTGGCCGGTTTTACTTGTTGATTCTATTCGATCTACTCGTAAAACTCAATGTGATGGATTCCACGGTTCCTTTTGTTTCTATTCCTTCTTTTAATTTTCTTACACGGCTAGCCAGGTACCTATGGATACAGTGGGTAAATATTTACCAATGCGTGATAATAATAGGTGAGTCCAGTGGCGAAACCACGGCTGGAACGTCCAATAGACACCACCATCACGTGTTGATGAAATACAGCTACGGTTGTAACTTCCATACGGTGGCTTCGGCCCCACCTGGGGCTAGTGCTAATGTAGCTAGACAGACCCATACTAAGCTCCTGTAATTGTGATCTTACAGCACAACGGGGCAACCGGGCTCAGTTATCTGCACAAATCACTTGAGGGTCACTTTCTCGATTTTGTGCTTGATATCAAGTCATTGTCAATATAGGCCTGGTGTGGCGAATTTTCAGGTCAATCTTACTACTAACTGGACTCACTGGTGAGGACAAACAGTGAAACCTCCGGATACCTTGGTATGTAAATAGAACAGCTTCTATTATCTTGTTTATCCATCGTAGTGCTTTAGTTACAAAGCCACATTTAAGAATGATCCAGTTTGGTAACAATAATCGGTACAGTCAAAGGCTGCTGCCAGGCTGATCGATCCTTCCCCCTTTTATAACAACGAGCCTTTGTATCAAGGAATGGCAGCTGATTGCTCTGTCTTTCGTCGGGATCGGTTTAGGGTTCTCACTCATCAATCACTCCACTATCAGCCACGGCCCATCAAACTCCACAGCTAACCGTCGCAACAATCGCCCTCTCAAAAGAATGGGTCGCGATCTTATAGTCTACGACTTATTGGATTCGCTAGTCGCTACTCGGTGTACTCCGAACGGCCTAGTAGTGTATCCCATCAACCCATCTAATCATTCTTTTTTACCAGTATACAGAACAGAATGATTCTTCTATATACAAAATGTAGGATGGTTGCGCGTGGTGTTTACATTCCAGACTGTGGCGTTTTCATTGGCCCTTTTATTTAGTCCGGTCCTCCGTACAAATTTCAACAGCACAACTCCGTGTGCTTGGCATGTTACACCTAAATATAAGAGCTATGCATCAGGGTCTACCGTAAGACTGGGACAGTCACTACTCGAGCTGGACACGCACGACGATCAACCCGATATTTACAAGAAATAATCTATCGGGGTTGGCTTAACACATGGAGAGTACTGCGTATCCAAAAAGATCAATCGCGAAAAAGCCGGTAGAGAAGCCCAGCGTATCAAGTACATTCCACGTTTTAAAACATACTGAACCTAATGACAACAACAGTAAGAACAAACCCTAAGAAATTTGCGCTCGAGTAGATCCACAGCCACGTCTCATGCTATCATACTCGATCATTCGCGACGGGGAGGTGCTTGTACTTCTATAGTAGCCTACTTCGCACAGAAACCTGCATCTTGCAAGCTCAGTCACTACTTTCCGTCTTTCTCATTTAAGGCTATGCTTTGGACAATATGTTGTCACCGAGAGTCCAGTAGATACTCGTATATGGCTTCTCCAACATGCCAAGTTCTGTCTGATTCATTTATCTGTCTACATATGCATTTTTAGATGTTTTGATACGTGTAGCAGGAGCTACGTTACCGCTTCTACTCCATGATAACTTTGCACAACCATTTATAGAGGCTCGTACATTCAGGCTGAAGGAAGAGACCCCGGGGTTTCCCTATAGCCGTTGACAAGGTATGTCTCCCTATGGTAGTCAACTATTACTTCTTAGTTTTAAAGCACCTCGGCGCAGACCGGGGGCTGACGTCTCTTTGAATATCATTTTTATGGTCTCTGCGAGGAATTCACGGTGTCGTTGGCTGCAAGTCCAAAGCCCATTGCGTCAAAAACAAAGGCTTATTAGCTCTCATGTCTTTCATTTCTACTTATGGTTAAAAACCGTCGACTAGATTGGTTTCCTGATTCTCCGCGCTGCCTTGCTCCCACCTCTTGTCACGGATAGTCTACCTTTGACCTCACTCTTCTTGCAGCTATAGTAGAGACGAAGCCCACAGGATCCAGTTTTGCTTAGGGACAGTAGCTATCTGACACAGATCTATATAGAAGGTTTTTAGCCGATAAGAAACGAGAATTAGCTTTGCTGACACGTCCAGTGTTGTGGCAAAATAGCAGAACACGTTCATCGGGATCAATAGATCATACAAAAGTCTCGTCAAGTCCTTCCAAAGCTTTTAACCTCATCCACTCCTCTTGTTCATGCAGGCATAAAACCAGAAAAGGCTCCAGAAAAGTATTTCCATGGGTCAGCTAGAGCAAATTGATGGGTGATTAGAATTATACCACTTCTGGTAATTTGCTGCCTGTGAGTCAGTAACTATATTACGATGGTATACCTAGAGAGTACCAAACCAAATTCATGCAGAAAAACAGGGGATATTGAAGGGCTCAATTGTTGGTCATATTACCAATTCAATCATTTTATCGATCGTTTGGTTGGAAAGCTAGGCAGCTTGATTGATGCCAGGCTTTATCGGAAGTGCATTGCATATAATACCCCTTGTCGCCCTGTGTATTACACCAATACATTAAAGACACAATATTACCCACCCGCCACCACGTTCTCGCGGGTGGGTAAAACACTAGTAAGTAATACGGAGTACCGTACGGCCCAATGCCCGGGAAGGGCGAGTCCCTTGAAACTACGGAATATGGCTGAACATCACCGTCCGATGATAGCAGAAGCGGCTGAGAATGAATGAATAATCATCAAATATTCACCATACAACGTGTATCAACAAAACATCCATACTCCGTACGAGTACTCGATGCCAAAAATGCCAACCTGAGTAGGGGGTCAGTCCCTCGACAATATCAGTGCAACCCAAGGGATACGCAACTGGTCAAGGATCCGTACATCATATCAGAAACCCTACCTGTCAGCTTGGCACCCCTTAACATAAGCTTTCTGAACAACTCAGAGCCGATGTACGCCGCTATCCTCACATAGATCCCTCCCGTTTCCTTATTGGTTATTTCTACGTTCAGGGAATGATTCCTTCCATGCTTGCCTAAGCCGAATTAAATGGTGGAAAGTACTTACCTACCTACCTACTACGGTGTCCGAGTTTTACAAGTGAGTCACGTTCATCTATGGAAATCCTCTTCGGCTCTGCGTATGGAGCGGTTGTTTTATGCGTTTCTAATATTAGTCCTAATAACTGGGTGCAATGTCCGCTTATTTTCCTTCGGTCAAGGGCCGACTAATAACAGGTCCTAGTTTTGGGCTTCAATGGTTAGAGCACTTATCTCCCTTGGTACAGGCCTTCCCCTGCTACCCTGCCGATCCATAGTATTATCTCAGATGTCTTCATACTAGTAGTCGATAGCCTAGGAATGCATGGGATATTCAACGGACGGTCCGGATACAATTTCACACTAGGGCTACTTTCATCGGCCGCTTCGCTTTGCTTGATCATTAGTTTAGACGTGACGCAAGCACATTTTTCCGTGTGACATTTTGTATGTATTGAATTACTGCATCTAGTCTAGATCTCTATTTTCACGAAAATAAATACACGATATGTATGAAGGCCCTTCAGCAAATGATAAGTCTGTTTCATCTTCTATATATAATTGAGATACTGCAAGGGCGGGAGGCAAGGTATATAGAATGACGCACTGCTCAAAGACATCAAATTGGTCGCCCTGCAGGTAAATCTAAGCACCTAGATGCCGTACTCTTGAGGCACGCTTTTTAAGTACGGTGTAATCTCATCGATAGACATGAATTAGTTGTCCAGGGAAGCGCTCCAGCTTCCCGAGTATACGCTATTAATGGACTTACTCATAGGCGAGGGTTCAGTAAATCACCAAAGTAACCATACCTACAAAGATATATTGCGATTATAATAGAAGAGAATTTCTATATTTTTTGTTACACCTTCTCAACCTCAGAGGAGCTATGCAATTCTCGTGTACCCGAAGATTTATGCACTCAGGCGTAGAACATGAATAGGGGAAATGGAACGGTTTAGACACACATTTAGGAATTACACGATACTTTGGCAACGTTTTCATTGCTCTTCAGGGCATTCTTCCTTGAATTGCCTGAGCAATACATGATGTAGGCACATATGAAATCGACTCGGTTCTTAAGAGAACTGTTACTCTTCGTACTATGGTCGGAAATACGAGACCCGTGATTGTTTGATGACATATCCCGGTGCAGCCCTCCACTAACTAATCAGTAACCACAAGCTCCAAAGCTTCCCTAAGATCATTGAGTTATCTGCATTCGAAATATAGAAACTCCTTATCATAATAACGTGGAAGCATATACGCAGCTATACAGAACCCTACAATGACCCTCCGGCGCTCCGCCCGCCTAAGTGCAGTGACCACCAGCGTACAACCGACCATCCAAGCAAAGAAGATCAGCAGAGCTCAACCACGCAACGGCGTCACCAAAGCGCGAAAGCCCTCTACAAAAGGGAAACAGGCCAAAAATGTGGTTCTAGAACAGACTCTCGCAGAGGCGACCCTGAGCACAACAGCAAAAGCTGACCCGGCCAAACAAGAGCCCAATAACATCTTCGATCCTTTCCGCACTGATCGTAGTATTAGCAGGCTACATTCCACACCCCCTCCGCTCGACCGTCCCGTTGAACCTCATAGAACGAACGCGACGCTTCTAACACCCCGCGGTTCATCGTTGGTGGCCTATCCGCCCGGCATCGAGGATGCCTCGCCTAGCAAAACCGGCCGCCCTCGCCCAACAGCTACGACGGGTACGCTTCTCGAGAAAGCTGTCGCACATTTGATCGCTACAGACCCCCGGTTGGAACCAGTCATAAAGCAACACCCGTGTCCGCTCTTTTCGCCTGAGGGTTTGGCAGAGGAGGTTGATCCGTTTCGGAGTCTGGTGGTCAGCATCATTGGGCAGCAGGTATCAGGTGCTGCGGCGAAGTCAATTCGGGATAAGTTCGTGGCGTTGTTCCACAGCAAAGATGAGGGTGATAGTGGGAAGCAGTTCCCAACCCCCGAAGAGATAATTCAGTGCGATATCGCTACGCTGCGAACTGCCGGTCTTTCCCAGCGGAAAGCGGAATATATTCATGGGTTATCGCAAAAGTTCGCACGCGGCGAATTGAGTGCCCGGATGCTGTTGAATGCTAGCGATGAAGAGCTTGTCGAAAAGCTGACGGCTGTTCGGGGCCTAGGCAAGTGGTCTGTGGAGATGTTTGCTTGCTTTGCGTTGAAGCGCATAGATGTTTTCTCGACCGGTGACTTGGGCGTGCAGTAAGTCGTCGCGCTGCCTGTGGATTGCAGGGTAGTCATTAAACAGGACCTAATTATGAAATAGGAGAGGATGCGCGGCTTTTATCGGGAAAGATGTAAGTAAACTGAAAGCAAAAGGGGGAGGTAAGTTTAAGTATATGGCAGAGAAAGATATGTTAGAGTTGGCTGCGAAATTTGCTCCATATAGGTATGTTACGCAAACCCCAGAAGTGAGATGGATTGAATGCAATTCTCACATGGCCCCAATAGAAGCCTATTTATGTGGTACATGTGGCGTGTAGAGAACGTGGACATCGCGGTGTTGACTACCTAATATTCTGGTTTGTAGTATATGAAGTTGTTGGTGTATACTGGGTTTAGCAACCTGTGCTACGAATTCCCTACCTCTGGTAACTTACTCAATAAAGCGCTTTCCTAGGTTACAGTTTACATCGAGGTTTAGCCTCTATGTTCAAGAATGTAAACGTAACCGTGGAGCTTATTGCCTATCAGGTCAAACCTAGCTTGCGTACCTATAGCCTTGGACACTGCCTACGACTGGGGGTATCAACCACAGCCATGACCGATAGAATAGCCAACCGGAAGAAATTCAATCAACAGAATGGCGACAAATAAATTTGTACAGTATCAGTACACATGATCGAACGACGTATCAAAACCAATTAAATTCAGCCACGTGCTCATCGCAAATAAGCATTGCAACCGAACCGAAACACAAGCCCGTCCTCATCTATATTCCGCTTTTCTATCACCATGGCGCGGTTTTGGCTCTTCCTAATCAGCAGAGGTGACAAGACATTTACCGGCGCTTGACTACAAGGGAGTCGAGGTCCGCACGCTCCTTGTTCTCCTTCTCGATCTCGCGGATGATGGGGCTCAGGTATTCGACATCCTATCAATAACAATCAGTAATCTGCCCCTCTAATGTCTCTCGAATAGTCTCAGATCCATCTTTTCTAGACCCCGATATGTCTTTTATGATGTAGATCGGTTGACAAATCCGCGCCACGGGATTGGCCGAGAGAATGTGCGGAGAATCGGAGTATATGGGCAGGTGAAAAGCTTGAAATTTGACTCACCTCTTCGGGCTTGGTCTGCTCAGCAGCAGGGAGGAGGGTATGAGAAACGGAACACTGTTTAACGTAAAACATTAGACCGCTGCTCCAGAGGATATCATAGTTAACAGAGACAAACCTGGAAAGCTCTGCGGATACGGAAGACGCGGTCATAAGCCTCCTTAGGAGGCAGGCGCTTGATGGCTGTCTGGACAACTTCGCTCTCCTCGGGGATCAGGTCATCGAACCTGCCATTGTTAGCTAAGTTGGGTCTCACAGCGAGCTATGAAATTTGTTCCTTGAACAACAAGCGTTGACCGAAATATGAGACGGAAAGGCCACACAAAATTGAGGCAGTCAATTGGGAGCCATCGCTTCATATATCGACTTTGGCCGGTGCCTGTTTGGGATTATTGTGGGTAGGGAGGCCTACTTCAACCCGAGTCTTCTGTAGCCGGAGGCGTCGGTGTACCAATTGGCAATTGGCATCATCCAGCGCTTGAGCCAAGGGCGCTTGACGATGTAGTTGGTGAGAGAAGGAGCGGACATGGTGAATGATCCCAAATGGATATAGAAGGGGTCAATTGACAGTATTGCGGAGAGGAGGGGGTCGTGAGATGTCAGACAAGCTGAACGTGAGTTGGCCCGACGTTGGAGATTGTGCAAAACGGAGAGGTTCGGCGGGTGACTTTCCCAAAAACATCCGATACTTCCTGCCTGAGGCCGTCAGCCGAACCTTGACGCTTCCGACGCCCCACGTGACTAATTCTCGGCTTGCCTCAGACTGCATAACACTTAGGACTGGGGGTGAACTTAGTACCTATTACTCCACCTGACCGACAAGAGGGCGTTCCTTCAATTCACCTTATTCATCACCGTTCTCCGTGCTGCTCCGTCCTCGCCGTTACTTCCGAAAATCTCATTCCTTCCTTGACTTGTGATTCTACTAATCGTCCCTACTCCTTGCTAACTGGTCATGGGGCTTATCAACCGTTAAATTCTCTGTGGTCCTGTAGGGGAGCTGAGTAGCTTCGAACGCCCCGCCTGTCTGTCCCTCGGAATAGAACACACTCGACTGTAAGGTGGTAGCCTCAGCTTCGACTCACTTAACGGAACCCTTTCAATTCATTGGACCAATAACTGCTATTGCAACGCTCGCCGTCAACGACGGGAATACGCTCCTACTCTGCAAGAAAACCAGCCTTTTTGGGTTCCGGAGCGAGCACCGCTGTGCTCGGGTCCGGAAACCCTCGTGACAATTAAGACGAATAGATAGACTGTCTGGGAGCTGGCTAGAAAGATGTTTTCAGAAGGACACGGCACGTCGGGAACTGCCAGCGACACCCAAGAGCAGCAGGTGGCACATTCAGACAGCCCTCCACCCTCCAGTTATAATGCGTCATCCACCGCAGATCCACCGAGGTCGCCGTTTCTCACCCGCCTCGAACTCTTCGCCACCCACGTTCCGGATATCTATATTGCCCCATTTTGCGGTGCTAGTGCGGGTGTAGCGTCGGGTATTGTGACATGCCCTCTCGACGTGATCAAGACGAAGCTACAAGCCCAAGGAGGTTTTGTCCGGAGAGGGGGGCAGGTGGTTGAAGCTAAGGCTTTATACAGAGGCATGTTAGGTACTGGCAGGATGATATGGCGGGAAGATGGTATTCGAGGTCTATACCAAGGATTAGGTCCAATGATCTTGGGATATTTGCCTACATGGGCTGTTTATTTAGCGGTCTATGATAGGTCTCGAGAATTTTATCACGGAGTCACTGGTTGGTCCCCTCTCTCCATTGATACACTGAGTCATTTTTGCTGAACTTTTCGGCAGATAGTTGGTGGCTTGCAAGAGGTTATGCTTCTATAACGGCAGGCGCTTGCTCTACAATCGTGACTAATCCGATATGGGTCATCAAAACACGACTCATGTCACAAAGCCTTAGATCAGATAGCGAAGGTTTCCGCGCTCCATGGCGGTACTCCGGCACGTGGGATGCGGCTCGCAAGATGTATAAGACCGAAGGAATTCGGTCGTTCTACTCGGGGCTCACGCCAGCATTATTAGGATTGACACACGTTGCCATCCAGTTTCCCCTCTATGAATATCTGAAAATGGCATTTACCGGCTACGGAATCGGGGAACATCCTGATAACGGTACTTCTCACTGGATTGGGATATCGTTGGCAACATTCCTCAGTAAAATTTGTGCGAGCACTGTGACTTATCCACATGAGGTACTACGCACGAGACTTCAAACCCAGCAGAGAACGTCTCCCGTGTCCTCACCAGAAGAGATAGCGTTTCGCGGAGGAGTCGACCATCCGGAAAGCCGCGGTAGGCTTCCGGCAGCGGCCTCATCGGATGGCATGCCCAACCGGCCCCGATATACAGGGATCATCCGTACGTGTCAGACCATTTTAAAGGAGGAGGGCTGGCGGGCATTCTATTCAGGAATCGGCACGAACTTATTCCGTGCTGTACCGGCCGCAATGACTACCATGCTTACATATGAATATCTACGAAAACTTATTAGCCGCCTTCAGCATGAGGGGGCAATGAAGCAGCAGATGGCAGAAACAGCGGAAGACTCTTCCGGGATATGATAATGGTTGAACCTTCAATTATCAGCCAACCTGCCACAATGCAGGCCGTTTCGAAGCTCAATGCGCCTACTTTAATTAGGGGAGCAAATTATAGGCGCCCCGGCGATTTGGCTTCACCGCTTGTAGCAGATGCAGTGTGGTCTATCGCTCTTTTAAGTCTATCCTTTGCTTTGAGTCCTATCCTCAGACATAAAAGTATTGGGCCTTTTCCCTGGAATAGATTCCTCGGTATCGGTGGTAAATGGTTTCAACGGTGTTAGGGTAGATCCAGGTTTTGACATGTGGAGAATCAGTTTTCCTGCTCTCTACGACGTGTCATATGGTAGGCTTTGGTTTTGAAGAAAGATTCCTTTCTGCAGTCTTATCATTTTCACGAGCGTTTGTTTGCGCACAATATTGCATGATTGCTCTTGTACATACTCACGTGCTCATCGCAAGAATACACATATACCGAGTTCAACAAGGTACAGGAACTAGAATCGGGTATACAGGGTAGCCATGAATAAAGCCTATACTAGGATCTAGCTAGTAGTCTATGTAGTACTTATAATCAAGTGAGGGACATGCGAGAGTGTAATTGATTACTTGGTCCCTGATGTTGGTTCTGATGGAGTGAATAGCCACTATAGCTTATACCGCAAGTGAGAGAAGCGTATGACAATGTAATGTAGATCTAGCAGTCTCCAGTCTCGAATAAGCTAGGAAAGAGAAAGCATGTTGCATTATGGTTGTATATGCAATTTTATACTTAGTGTTTGTAGAAGACATTGCTCATCCGTCTTCCCTTTCTTCAATTGGATATAAAGTTATAGAATGATAAAGAACGCCAAGAACATTGTCAGATAGCCTACTGGTTCTCCGTCAAGCATCATTGGTCTAGTGGTAGAATTCATCGTTGCCATCGATGAGGCCCGTGTTCGATTCACGGATGATGCATTTATTTTTGCCTCCCACTGTTCGGAGCGCACAGAAGCAGCATCTTGGTGTATAATAGTCTAAGCGCTGCCTGTTCGTTGCTCTTCTTATACTTTTACCTGTCTGTGTAGACATACTATGGACGACTGTCTGTTCCTCTGATCTCTACTTTGGCATCCAGGACGATACTTTCAGTAATTCTACGAGCATTCTACCTCACACCATAACGTGCTGCAAATCTTGGCTTCGTAGCTATCCCGGTTAGAGATCAGCCGAGCAGAGTTTGTGTGAGAGCATCAAGGCCTCTATGAAACCGTGCCTAAATTTGCCAATGCGAACATTTGATAATTGCGTGCGAGGCGCTGCACTGTTGACCGTGATAATCAGTGGCCCTATAGATGGCTCATGGATACGACTGGGAGAATATATATACGGTTATGAATATGTCTTGTTCCTCTAGTGTGGAACTGCCGCTTTATCTGTCTTTGTTGACGAATACCAGTTTTTGTCCTCTGATGATATGATTATTAAGTACCGCATATTTTTGAAACATGATACCTAGCAGTAGCCCCCCATTCTAGACTACTGAACCCTGTTAGTTTCCGACTATATTGGGCTAAGTCAGCCCTCCTTATATCCTCGAACATCATTACTTAGAATCAACCCTTGCAGTAGCCTGGGGGAAAGAAACGAAAGAAACGAAGCCCTGGGGACTAGTGGTGCCATGGTTCAGAAGCCCTGAACGCTCTTTGAGCTAATATCTGTCTATCTGCTGGCCCGCCTTTTTTTATATATACAAATGAAACAACCAAGTACACTTTACTTCAATATTAGGCTCAAGGTGCTCAAATTTAATTGCGAGGTTGAATTGAACCAGTCAATGTTTGCTCCAGAGGGCACGTGCATTTTATTGTAAGGCTTGATGATCTGCTGTCTGAAAAATACAATGGCTAGGTGCCTTGGGGTATACCCACTGTCAGACACAGATTTTTTGGGTTAATGTTTAGTAGGGTCATGGAGCTGCACACATGCATTTATACATTTATACTACTTACAGAGTTTCAAGAGTGAGAGGTGACGCTGTTTAAGAAAAGGTTCACCTGAGAATCAGAAAAGCCTGGTCTCTCTGGGTTACCGTCTCTGCATGATACAGCTGAAGTATCTAATACAATGGCATACAATGAATGAATCGCCTTTCCCTGGGTAGGATTTCCCGACTAGGCAAGTCTATGAGTGACAGAAGACTGGGATTAGTCATTATCATAGAACCCGAACTGGACTAGCCGCAATTAAACGATTGACTTTTAACTTATTTTTTTTTAACCTTCCGCCTCTCTCACAGACCCAGACTTCTTCCTACTTTTGAACAACCAGAATACGTTTCAGGTAATGTTGAATCTTGTATACCCAACTCTCTTTGTCCTCTATAATGTCCAGGAGGAATTCAAGCAGTTCAATGTTATCCGTTGATATGATGAAACTTATTTTAAATGGTAGATCCAGTCAACACTGGAGAGGACTATTTCATACACTGAAAATTCTGATCATGGATACTACAGCAAATTCTACCTTTAGCACCTGTCTTTTACATCTGCTAACTTCTAAACTAGTATTCCACAGCATTACCTAGCCAATCATAAGATAGCTTAGTTAGCAAAGATAATGAGAAGAACCGATTCACTTGCAGCAGACCTACCCCTTCAGCATGTAATATGACGTCCACCACCGGGCCGATTGCTGAGATGTACATTGTACGACGCTTGTTACTTGGATTCTTTCTTCCGTTCAGCCTCTCGACTTTCATTTAGAGCCTGCTGAACCCATGATTCTTGTCCTGCCTTGTCTGATGGTGATTTCTGACGCATAGCTGTAGTCGGACTTTGCGCTTCACGACGCGCAGTGCGGATGGAACTGATGCAGTAGGAGGTGAGGATGAGGGCCATGGAGAAGGCAGCTATTGGAGCGTTGACAGACTAACGGTGTTAATTGTCATGGATACATTCGTGATCCTACTGGAGGAAAAAGGAGGCTTTCTACGCGTCCTTGTGTATGTGCCATTGATAATCGATAAATAAAAATACACTTACCCCCGACGATCGACCAAACATCTTCCCCGCCATTTTAGCATCATTGGTTTCAAAATTTAAAACCGAAGAAGGGAAAGCTGATATCTGCTGATGATACTGGACGGAGGAATGGTTGTTCCTGAAACCGCATGGGGAAAGTTTTATCAGATGGAGGGCGGCTAATCCTCCAAGATAAGAAAATTAATTACAGCGACGCGAAGTGTTGGCTTGGTAATTCCGACCGACCGAGACCGTTGTTGGCTGGTAATAATACAGTTCGTGAACCGGGATAACACACTAGAATTGAACTAGAACGAAAGTGATCCTGCCAGTTCTTCCACCGGTGGAACTCTCTGCGCTTTCCCGTGGAAAAAGAAACATAATCAACTGGCTGTGAGGATGCTATCATCATGAGCTAGTACTTAGTAAAGCTTTGCTGGACCTATCATTTCATCAGATAACTTGATCCTGTATTTCATTTGCTACCAAGTCGGGGGTAACGTCATGTCCGAGGCCGGAACTCATGAAGGCGACGGGGTTACCAAAAATGTATTAGCGCCGGTGAATTACGCCGGGTTTGTCATCGTCCATTTTATCATATTAATCAATCAGTTCGATCAATCTTTCTTCAACCATCATTACTACCTCGGCCATCGACTATTCATCCCCACAACCAGTGGTCTTTCCATCTCACTGCCTAAATTACGTCTACAGATTCCTGGCAATTGACTCCTACACGTTCAGCAATGTTCAGACGCTTGGTAACAGTCGCTCCCCGCGTCGGCACCGTGGTGTCGCCTCGCATCACCCCGGCCCTCGCCGGCATCCAGACTCAGCCCCTTCTCCGGGTCCCTGCTACAAAGAGAGGATATCATGAGAAAGATAAGTATTTGTTCATGGGTTGGGAAAAACAACGAAACTGACCGCCTGCACTGTTAGATCACTATAACAACCCCCGTAACGGTATGTCGACTTATATATCGGAAGTCTTTTCGTTCCCTGATGGATTGAGATGCATATGCTCTCCATGTAATTTATTTTTTTCGACGGACCCGACTGTTTTGAGATCGCAGTTCTGGGCTTCCGTCGTACCACTCAACTGATTATATATGGGAGAGACTAACAACTCTAAAGTTGGCAGTTTCAACAAGAATGACGCCGATGTCGCCACCGGGCTTGTTGGCGCCCCCGCTTGCGGTGATGTCATGAAGCTCCAGATTCGCGTTGATAAGGATACGAATGTGATCAGTGATGTCAGGTTCAAGACATTCGGCTGTGGCAGCGCCATTGCCAGCTCGAGTTACCTCACAGAATTGGTGCGCGGAATGACTCTTGAGGAGGCAGGAAAGATCAAGAACACTGAGATCGCTCGTGAACTTTGTAAGTCTTCCAAGTTAACCGCTCGACCTTGTACAGTTTTACTGACTATGTGCACCAGGCTGTAAGTTATTCACATTCCTTTCCCCTCACAGTGGAATGTTCAATCTTTGAACTCGTATTCCTCTACCTTTGTTTGTATACCGTGTCCAAAGATCGAAGGTACAGGCCAGCCAATGCGCTTCTATGGAAGTGAGTTGGTGGGGTTTCCCTGTAGGTATATGCGGGGCCGGGAAAAATGGTCGATTATTGACAAGGGGTCATCATGAATGCGCGGGTTTGTCCACATTCGGGGATGCTCTGGGGACTTCTAATCCTGGGGCTGCATTATTAAAAGATGCCACCGCCATGCATTCTCGAGCTGGGCTCCATTTCCCGCGCTGCCCCGGATCTTTCATTAGCCAAATCGTTTCCGATTACTCCCCACACGAGCGCTTGAATAATCGCATGTTCGCTACTAGAAGAAGTGTCGCTGACCACATATAGTGCCCCCCGTGAAGTTGCACTGCTCGATGCTTGCTGAGGACGCTATCAAGTCCGCAATCGCTAACTATTATACCAAGAACCCCAACACTCGCCAAACCGATCTTGGTGGTACCGGTGCCTCCATCCCTAACGTCAAGGTCGAGGTGGAGAAAACTCAGGGTGCCGGTGCTACTGCTTAACGAATCCATAAGCACAGCGATCAAATTACTAAAAAAAAAAGAAATATCGAAATCATCAAAAATAAAGTTGATACCAGATGAGATTCCCTCACAGTTTTACGGTTTATTAGCGGGAGGTTGAAAATTCTATTTAGAATGGAATAGCGCGCTTGGACAGTTCCATTTTATTCCAGCAACAGACTGTATTGGGTACAGTTTTCAAGGTTGCACTTCACACTTGCTTCACACTTTTTTTTCTTTTTTTTGTGACAACGCAGGAAGGCATTGTGATATAGTCCACTTGATGTGTCAAATAGTCTTTAATGAAAAGCACTAGCGTGCAGTGAATTCGGACTACTATATACTACTCATTGATTCAATCTTTTATTCGTATATATCGGCTGAAGTGAGATGAGCCAACAGTAGATACATGGTCTTTTGAGGATGTCGTCATATTTGTCCTCTAGTCTGTTGCTGTCTTCAATCACGACCTATTTTCATCCATCCTCTTTTGGTTGGTTCTATAACGATCATGTACATATATTGGAAAACAAAAACAGGAACTTTTCGTCCTCTTAACGAAAGAAACCAAAAGAGAAAAGAGAAAAAGGAGACATCCATTAGCCTATGGACTCCAAAATCACAGTTAAGAGAAAAACGCCGCAGATGCATAGATAAGCCAACCCGTGCCCATCTATCGAACGTTAAAGAAATAGGTAAGGGTTCCAAAAGAAGAGAAGATAAGGGAATAGAGGCTTTGAAATAAAGATATACAGGATGCTATTTCTAGAAACATGTCTAGAAGAGACGCTTGAGGCGGGTCGGTCAGAGCAGTCCTAGTCGGCTCTTCAGAGAAAGCAATGTCTCGTATACGGATAATTTGAGCTCGACACGGAGGAATCCGGTCCAGGCGGCGAGAAAGCGAAGGAAATTGAAGGGATGGAGAAGACCGCCCGTTTCGTGGATGATATCCATCTGTTCTTCGAAGACGGTGCGGGTGGCGTAGCGGGCGAGGATCAGGAATGTGCGGACGGGGCCTTGTCTAGTGTGGAGGTTCTCATCGAGACTGCGGGCTGTGTTGTTTTTTGTTAGTTGCTGGACTCTGGCGGGCATGGGGTATACTTACTGAGATCATTCGTCTTCAAAATCAGTAGTATAATTCTGGGTACCTGGCCCAACAGTTCGACTAGCTGCTGCAACATGCCCTCTCCAAGAGCACCGGACATGCTCTCCTTCTCTGCAGATGTGCGTGCGGTGGCTATATTCTTCTTTGCCAACTTGGTGTAGTCTCTACCAGTGATCGCACTGGCAAAAAGAGGGAATTGCTCATCCGTGATGCCCGCCACCTTGCGGGAATACTCGCGCATATGCGGCTCGTCGGCTTCAATGACAGCCAACCACAGTTTGGCGTAGTTACGACGCAGATCGCGGGGAATATCGCGGTATAATCCGTGGTCGTAGAGGATGATATCGAAGTTGTGACGGCGCCGGCGAGGGTTTTTGCGAATAGCGATATTGCCACCATGAGGATCGCAGTGCAAAGGAGCATTGTCCCCAAAAATCATCTCGTTGAAGACATGCGCCAAGGCAGCAGAGACTTCGTCACGGTCGATGTTGTTGGTGTCCAGGAATTCCAGATCATCAGGCCGGCGACCGGAAATGAACTCCATGACGAGTATGCGCTTCTGAGCCCACATGACTATTTTCATTAGTATATAAAACTACGTCTGATCGAAGTCCAGCACGTACCGTCTGGGATGACAAGCGGTGCATCCGAGTGCTCCTTGAAGTACTCGCTAGCCCTCCTAGCATTGTCCGCTTCCATCCGGAAATCCAACTCCTGTGGCAAAGACAGGTCCATTTCCTTAGAAAGCCACTCCAAGTCGTATTCAGGGAAGAAGCGCTTCAGTGTGGAAAAGGTGAATCTAGTCAATGAGAGATCTAATGGAACCCATTCTGCCAATGATGGATGCTGCACTTTGACCGCAACCTTCTGACCCGTTTCTTTCAGAACACCGATGTGAACCTGGGCAAGAGAGGCGGCACCGATGGGTTCTGGATCGAAATTTGAGAAGAGTTCGTCGATTCGATGGCCGGTGTCGGCGATGAACATTTCCTCAATTGACTTGATCGAAGAAACAGGGCATTTATCTTGAAGCGGGATGAAGGTCGTCGTCCATTCCAATGGCAGCAAATAACCCATACTACTAAGATGTTGCCCTAATTTAATAAAGATGGAGCCATTCTTTTCGAGAACCCGTAGGGTCCGCTCCGCGCAGCGTTTGTGACATGCTCGGAGAGCTTCGTTTCGTTCTTCCGGAGAGGCAGTTTCTTGATTGAGGGTCATTCGATAGCTGAAACCATGGCATGAGTACATGTGACTAGAATGAAATTCACTTGGCGTGCATTCTTTCCAACTTACTCATTGATGCACACAGCCAATGTGCCAACGACCCTCCCTGTTCTCACCGCAGCGTGATAGAGATGTTGATTGTTTGACAACGACGCCGCCCCGATGATTATAGTTCCTCCAATCACTGCATACGTGATAGTTTTCTTCCGTGACCATCCCGACCCCGATTGCTTTCCGCCATTACCATTTACCTTCTCCGGTCCAAGCCGAGCGGAGGTCCTCGTTGTGTAGGAAGCATGTGGTATTAACAATACCGATGGTGTTCGCGAGAGTAGTTGACGGGCATTGCGAGAGACTTGCGCTGAGCTGGGAACCGATCTGCGTAGAGACGAGGGGATTGATGTGCGCTGGAAAGGGTGAATCCAAGAAGCAGAGCTAAATCGGAGCATCGACGCAGGGTCAAAATCGGATGCCCGCAGCGGAGCGCGAAGCGCCGCCCTCATACCGTACACAAACTATGCCGTATGAAGAGCGAGCGCAAATTGAGGGTGATGATGAAGCTGACAGTGGACTCAAGCCATATAATGTCAGGCCATTTGGACATGGATTTAGACTGGGGGCCACGGGGAAAAAGGTCTTGAAATCCCGTTTTGCTCCACCATCGGCCTCGCCGCTTGCCGCTTTTAGCTCTCCGCCCCGAAGTGCTCCGATTCTTGCAATTATAGTAAAGCCTTTCATATTAACAAGTACTCCTACTCGTTACTGCAGGAGATATTAGTATCTACAGGGACCAATCAATAAATCATCTCCCTGTATTGAAAACAGGGAGCACAAGAAGTCCGACAATACAATTGCATCTCCTATAGCCCAAACAAGGAAAGACAAACTTCAGACCAACAAAGGTAAAGACCTCCAATGCGCCATCGTATGCAATGCATGTGTATAAAGATCCAATAAACCGCGCAGACTTTTTTGTGTTGGTAAACCCGCAACCCTCAAGGACCAAAGAAAGCAAGCATGAAACTCCAAGAAGAAAATGAGATGCACAGCACAGCTTCAGCTTACGGCGTCCACTCGGCATCTGGCTGTGCTGTATGTCGACGCCGGGGTAGAATAGAAGGTCGGCGAGATGCTGAACTTGGCCTTCTAGCATCTTCTTCAGCCAAAAGGTCGACATGGGATAGTCTGTTAGACACCCGCGGCACTCTGTTTCTGGATACACCCGAGCTTCCATTCAAGACTGGTGCAAGGCCGGAGTTGACACCATCTCTACTGCCAGGTCGTATCGCAAGGGCAGAGCCACTGAGGGCGTTTCGTGGGTGCCGTTGGCTCTCCCGGCCCTCGTAGAATCCTTTGGACTGGCTATTTCGGTTGATCTGTGGCGTCGACGGGGCCGACTGATTCGCTAGGAGAATGGGAGGTGTGTTGGAAGTACTTCGCCGTCGTACACCGGGTTTGCGTTTGCCTAGAGTGTAGACCTCGCTTATCTCGTTGGATTGTATGAGTTTTCCGGCCATGTCCCTAACAAGAATAGCGGGATCGTTCTCTAACTCTCTGATAGCATCCAGCAGGCCATATTTTGCGAGAAGGCCGCCCTGCTCGTCGCTCGCATCGCAAATGCTGGATATTATCCGGAGTAGGTTCAAACGTACTGCTGCTTTGTTATGATGAAGCTTCTGCCCTACCCTGTTGAATAGATCTGGCCGTGCGAGCGTCGAGGCAATGGGAGGACTGAGTCTAAGAAGTTTTTGGAGGGGTTCAAGGAGGTTCTCAAATGCGTTTGCCTTGGATATCGTCAAGCACCTGACAATGGCGTCTGTAAATGATGGCTTATCAAGACGGTTGTCAAGAAGGTGCTCCTCAACCTTCGCTGTCTCTTCTTGAAGCCTGCCAATTAGTTAGCATTGACCACTGTCGATCTTGATAGGCCAAAAAGCCAAAAAAAAAACTAACCATGTAAAGATAGCATCTAGAGCAGTCACCTGCCAGTATGGATCGGAAAGCAAAGAGATATAGAATGCCAGACCCTTGTTGCGCCACAGCTCGCGACGGCCGACTTTGCCAGAATGAGCCATGTCGCAGAGTATTGGCAGTGCGAATTCCTTTAATGGTCGTTCGGTCTTTACGATTTTTTGCAGTAGTGGTACAATACCATTCAGAGCCGCATCCTCCTGCCGAGATTTGTTAAGACGACACATGTTATAAATGGTGTTCAAGATCTGGTTGGAAACTTCTCGGAAGTGTGGTCGCTTAATCGTAGATCTCAGCAAATCGGTCAGCACGTCGATGGCATTCGAATTTTGTAGAGAATCAAGAGTAGTCGATAACATGGACAAGTTTTTGATAAACTTCAACATGGTAATCTGGTGAGCAGGAGTCATGCGCCTCAATTCTTTTAGCACCCCTAGGGAGGTCGTTAGCGAATTCATGGTTATGTATTGGAGCCGGAGCCTTACTGTGTAGAACCGTCCGCTCAGCAACCATCTCCTTTACATGGTTTTCAGCTTGGGAGAAAATGAAAAATATGTTCGCAATGCGACCCTCGACGATCTCAGCTAGCTCCCCTTCCTCGTCCAACACCCGACTTAAAACTAGAGAGAGAGGATCCAACACTGAATTACGGGATAGAATTCTACAGAAATCATTTTTTGGCGTTGAACCCTAGAGTATCGTCAGAACATGTCATCATATAATGGAAGACACAGGCACATACTTGCAATTCGAAAACGCTCCAGATACCGTTCACACCAATCAGAACCAGATCACGTTCATCTTCATAATCATCTTCTAGGAATTCAACCAGAACGTTCAATCCTCCTGCACTGACAAACATCTGCAAAGTAAGAGTAGACGTCTGGTACATCTGTTGTACAAAAGTTGCGGCCTCAAGTCGGATCTCTCGCGGGTACTTCTTGGAGGCAAACTCGTTGATAATAGGAATCCCCCCAACGAAGCAGAGATTTTCTTGTACTTCATAGTCATCATAGATAATTGCGTTAACTATTCTCAATAAACAGATGACGATGTCACGCCGACGGCACATGTCAAGAATCTCAAGAATTGGTAGCATTCCGTGAGCACTGATGATGATGTTTTTAGTTTCTGGGAGATCATAGAAAACCGTCAGTAACTGCTCCGAGATCTCACCAAGTACATCTTCGTCCTGTGAGGTCTTCAATGAGCTAACGAGCCCCTCGACTTGACCGCGGAGCCGAGCATGCTTATCACGTGCGATGTTTGCTTCCAGGTCTACTTCGTCTAAACCTTCCTCAAGCTGGGCAAACGGATCATCCTCATCATCTTGATCTCCAAGCCAGGAATCGTTCGACAGCTTGGAATTTAGCATCAGTGTACCTTGAACCGAACTGCCCTCGCTCTCAGATTTGTCCAGCGCTACCTGATCAGCGCCAAGAATATCAGAGAAATCTTCGTCTCTTTCGTTTTCGGTGAACCTTTGTATCTCTATGGCTGAACGATGACGTTTAACAGATATCCTTTTTCTAAGCTGAGGTTGGGGGTCATTTTCATCTTCAAAGGATGGTTGATATCGGGCCACTTCCTTTGAGGACGAGGAAAATAGCGCTTCCAGGTCATCATCGGCTTCCTGTTAAGGGTTAGAGCCCGCTCACAGGTGAATCAGATAATGACATAATGACAGTGACTATGCTTACCCGAAACACGGCAAGCTTCCGGTCTAAAACATCTTCATTCGCTTGTATTAGATCAGAGTAATCCTCTACAGAGTTCTCCTTGTAGTAAGAAGCCGGACGGGGTTGCCTCATTGGTGGTACTGGGTTCTGTGTGAGTATAGGCACATTATGCATGGCCATAGTGCTTTTGTTGATTGGGTAACCTGGTTCATTTTGCAGTTGTGTATCTTCGATATCTGTTTGTTTGCTTGGGAAAGGCCGAATTGTTTCTAGCGGATCTGAATACCCAAACTGGAGCGAGGTTCTGAAAGAGTCATCGAATTCATCGAAGTTCTCATCAGACCTTAAAACTGTTCCATCTAAAGAGGCAAAAGCCTTGAGCTTCTCAGAAGAGAGCATTCCCCCGAAATTATCCTGTGGCCGAAGGTGAGGTAATTGCAATGCACTTGGGGAAATAGCAGTAGCGAAGTCATCATCCCAATTATCTTCTTCAGTAGAGTCGGGCGACCTGAATCGATCTGCTACACTTCTGGAAATTGGAGATGGGAGAACATCCTTCGTTGGCGTACTACGGGATGAGGGCAGGGGGGCCGGGCTTTGATAATCATGTCTGAACGGCTTCCGTAGAGTCCCTGCTTCAGGTGAACGCAGGGCTTCATTCCATTCTTGGACACTTTTAACTGCTTCCTCATACTCGGTGGACTTTTTGGGAACGACCGAGTCTGATCTGCGGGCGTTGGCTATCCATGGATGTTTCAGAAGCTTTCTTGCAGAGACACGAAGGTTGGGATCTTTCTGAAAGCACTGCATTAAGAAATCCTTAACAGCCTGTGACATTCGTTAGACACAAATGACGTCTCTATGAGGAGGGAACAAACCGGAGAGGCGCCTTGGGGAAGGGGCGGATGGTCGTCATTGACAATGCGGAAAAGAGCTGGCATGGGCTGAAGGTTATAATAGGGAGGCTTTCCTTCCAGTAGCTCAATCACTGTACAGCCAAGACTCCAGATATCTGAAGCTGTCGTTGCACCTGAAAGCTCAATCACTTCTGGGGCCATCCAATATGGCGTGCCGACAACACTCGATTCATTGAGCCCAGTAGTACGGCTGGCAACACCGAAGTCCGCAAGTTTGACGAGGCCTTGTTTAGTTGTGAGAATATTTGCACCTTTGATATCTCTATGGATGACACCTTGCTCATGGAGGTACAAGAGACCGTGGAGGACCTGCGACATGTAAAGTCCGACCAGGTTTTCTGGAAAACGTCCGAAATTCTTTGCGATTGAATGCAAGGAGCCATTTTCGCAATATCTAAATCTGTTAGTGGAACCCATCCTAGGGAGCCTAAAAAACATACTCAAGTATGATATTTAGAGTTTCAGCCGATTTCACAAAACCATGGTACTTCACGATGTTGGAGTGCTGAAGACAATTCAGTTAGTTCGCACTAAGGTTCAGCCTGCATATGATCTCGGTTGTTGTAGCGTACATCCAGATTCTTCAGAAGATCAATTTCTAGCTGTAGTGCACCGGATTAGCAATGGTACATAACCAATTACTGCCGTGGACATTCTTATCGTACCATAATGACACGCAACTCACTCTTCGGAAGATCTGCCAGCTTTATCTGTTTAACGGCAACAGTCTCCCCAGTGTTCCAGTTCAGTGCCCTGTAAACTGACCCGAATGCCCCTTTACCTAAACAATCACCCAGTTGCTTATCGGATGTCAGCATCGGTAACCCATTTCACCAGGGAATGGGGACCACAACTATACATAATCTTTAAGTTCGGCAACATCCTTGGCCGTGGTTTTTGCCGCCCTATCATCTTTCGGTCTGTCGTCTCGTTTTGATGGGCTGGAGCCGAGTCTTGCCAGCCGTCCTTTGGCGGGAGGGTTCGGTGGTTTAGAAGACGGAGGGGCTCCCTCAATCCCCCCACTGCATCGAGAAACCATCATCCAGGCCAATATAGATTCGCTATTGCTTGAGTAAAGTCTGAAATCACTTGGGTCGACAGGTTATCTCGGACCTTGCGATCTTAGGTGAGGAGCGGGTACGGCTGAAGGCAGGAGCCAGTCGATCGGAAGGTTTTGTTCATATCAGCAAAGCCTGTTATCCAAAATCATATATAGTCAGTAAAAAACCCTCGGTGACAGAACAACATAATGCAGAGCCAGAGGGGAGGAGGCTCGTTATTCTAACCAAGTCATGGCATGACCACGCCTAAGAAAAACGTACAAATAAGTTATTGCCCTCCCACCTATCGAGCCGCGTTGAAACGCGTCACCGCACACATCAGATACACCCTGCTCCCTTTGAAATCAGAATTTCCAGTTCTTTTAACAACTTTACAAGTACCTCCAAATCAGTAACCAAAAGAGAAAATATAACTTACTACTGTGTTGGGTGAATCAAGCGCAACAAATTGGAGTGTGTTTTGAACTTTCCTTTTCTCCACAATTCAGGCCACCACCTGTGACGCAGTGACCGCCTCTGTATCTCCAATCAGCCTTATCGGTCCCCGAGTTAGATGGACCTGACCATTTTCATAGCTATTACAGGGATAAATCAAAGAGGGAGCGAAAAGGACAAGATGATAGAAGCGTGCCTTTTGGAGGTAATACATCTTTCTCAACTATGTATGAATAGAGCAATTTTGGAGTTCAATCTCAAACGGAACCCTTCGAGATAGTTTCAATTATTTACGGATAAATCTATGCTGGTAATGAAAGGGTATCTTCAGTTATAGAACTATCGCATCTCAGCGGGGTGTCCTGACTGCTTGTGTGCCTCTCGGAGAAGACGGAGGATGTCGGAAACAAGGTAAAGGCTTCCAGCAATAACCAATGGGCCGCTATTGGCCTTGGTACAGGCCCAATTGATGGCCGCGAGAATGTCATCTTCAAATGATTTCACATCTCCAATTCCTGGGATTGATTGTACGCTTGACGCCAACTCCTGGGGATCATTTGCTTTGACCCAAGGCATACCGTCGACAGGTCCAAACGCGGTAGTTGCGACATTATCCCCAGCTTTAATGATAGGGTGGAATAGTGAAGCAATGTCTTTCCCACGTGATGCTGCGATGGCCCAAGTGACAGGTTTCCTTTGCGATCGAAGCTTGTGGTCCACGTACTGCCCAAGAACTTCGGCTGACTGATTATTGTGAGCGCCATCAAGCAGAATAGGCTCGGTGCGAGAGACCAAAGGATTCAGGGCAATTTTCTGTAGGCGCCCTGGCCACTCTACACGAGAGAGTTGGGAAATTAAAGGATCAACCTCGAGGTTTGGACGAAGTTTCGGGATGGCCAGCTTTAAAGCCGAGATCGCACAACACATATTCGCCCTCTGGTGAGGCTGTACATCAATATGTCGAAAAAGCTGACCGAGTGACGGCGAATGCTCATCTGGTGCGTCGGGGTGCGTGTAGACAGCATCTACACTGAGCTCCTTGATACGGTCTTCAAGAGTGGCAAGGACTGCAGGTGCATTCGTTCCATCAATCACGCACGGAACCCCCGGCTTCAATATTCCAGCTTTCTCGCGAGTAATTTCCTCTAGAGTATTTCCAAGCAGAAACTGATGGTCCAGTCCTATTTTAGCAATAACCGACACAAGCACATCGCTTAGTATATTCGTAGCGTCCAGCCGACCACCCATGCCCACCTCAACCACTCCAACTTCGACCCGTTCATGGTTAAAGATCTCGAATGCCGTGGCAGTCAACAACTCGAATTCACTTGCACCAATTCCCAATGTCTGGTCACGCAACTTGATCTTAGCTTCAATCTGCCGGAACAGAGACTCCTGAACCACCCTTTCGCCGATAGTGATGCAGTCCCATCGGTCTATCAGATGAGGCGAAGTAAAACGGCCGCAACGAACTCCGCTAGTAGTCAAGAGGTGGGACAAGTAAGCGCTGATCGAGCCTTTGCCGTTTGTCCCAGCGATGTGAATGGCCTTCCAAGTTAAAGGCGTCTGCTGAAGGAGACGGGATATGCGGCTAAGGCCGAGCTCAATCATTCCTCCGATAGTATGCTTTCTGATGATTAGTCGGGGTCAATTTTTGATCAGATTTACCTTCTCATCCAGACGGCATTGGTGAGCGCATCGCTCTTCTTTAAAAAAATTGTTCGGCGTCATATCTGACCCCCCGCTGCAGGAGCGATAAGAAGCGGTGCTTTAGCCCCGGGAAACGGGAAACTCCCTCGAACTCCGAGGCGGACCGTACTGGATTATACGCAGATGGGGTATTGGCGCCACATCCCAGCCTCTCCCTCACAAAGGCGCGCCAGATAGCCAAAGGCAAATCCTTCCAAAAGGTTGCCTCCGCTTTTACCTTAGAAAATCAAATCTCTCCGTTTCTCCATCAACACAACGCTTCGTCGCGCCCTCCCCGCAATCGTCGCACCTCCTCTCTTTCAATTTCGCGGCACTCTGGGCGTGGTACTGGCGTGTGTCTCTTTTGGGAGATAAAATTTAACCCTGATCTTTGCACAAAAAGCTCTAGATCTCTTGTAGCCATGGGTATACCGTAAGTTTGTTCCGTCCTTCTGTATTTAGCCTTCATCGGGGGTTTACGCGCTACTCCTTCGTATACGGAACTGCCATCATAGCTAACACATCCCCAGTATGTACCGCGAGCCTTCGTCCGCCGCGACTGCGAAGACCAACCCTATCAAAGACCCTTGTGCCGCTGCACGTTCCGCGATCCGTCGCCAGGCCAGTATTCGGCGCCCTGCACGTTCCAGTAGCTCTGCCTTGCGCAGCGCAACTTTGCGTTCGCCATTTCCCCGTCCGCTAGCAGATGAGATTGAACGCGAAGCGAATGGATCTCTGCGTCATGTACGGTCTTCTATCCCGAATTCCGGTTCCGGTGAAGATCCATTCGACCTGACCAGTGGCCTGTCGGATTCTAGCGCACGGGAAGCAGGCCAGCGCTTACTCAACGATGTTCTCCTCCACAGCCGTCCTGGTCACAGATTGAGAATCCCGCGCAATCCTGTGATAGACGACATATACTTACGCTCAGCGTCTGGTGACAATGGGGGCGCTCGACCAGAACAAGATCATTCACCCCCTTCTTTTACTCCTCGTTTTGCCCCAGCGATTGCGTACCACAGGACAGCATCTTCTCAGGCGCCCCCCGACGTCCGTTTGTCGCCATTTCCTCGGTCGGATGCTCTTGGAGGGGATGCCTCGATTGGTTCAACTATACCTCTATTACGGCGGGTTGGTCAGCGGTCTATCAATCAAGCGAGCCACTCAAATTCCCAGACTGTCGTTGATGGGCTTGGAGATCGCCAGCGAAGCGTAAGCCCAGATGGCGACCACGCAAATGACGCATGGGAAACGCTTTTGACCACCATTACACCAGACACCAACCTTCCTAGCGCGGATTCCTCTTTCACATCAGCAGGCACAAACGCTTCAGTGAACGGAACCTCGAGAAGCTCGGCGACTTCTTTTGGAACACTACCAAGTTCCGGGGACTCCACTGCGGCAACCGTACAGATGGTTCTTGACCCTTATCCGGAATTTCTCAACCCATGTGACTATTCTAGTTCAACCGACTCCGAGTCCGACTCGGAGGCAGAGGCTACCCAGAATTCATTATTTCATTACCATTACCGCCGCATACGCGAAATAAACGCTAGGAGGGATGCCAGGAGGCGCGCTCGTAATGTGCATTCGACCATGAGTAGCCATCCTCCGATCCCTACGATCTCATTTGCTATTTCCGATTCTACCGATCCGGACCTTCACCATATGCAGGCTATTCTGGATCGACTTGCCCGACGAGAAGATGTCCCTGATGATTTGTGGACCGCAGCTGGTCTGTCTCGCACCATCGGTCATCGGGTCGCCGCAAATGACGGAACCAGCAACCCTGATGCGATTGATGGACCATCGAGACAGCAGCAGTGAAACCACTGTCTACTTCATTTCTGATCTGTGTTATATATTGTGCATTTCTTTTCTCTTAATGTGTTTTGGGGAAGTTGTGTCGACGTTAAAGGGTTAAGCGGGAAGGATATCATGTTTGGCGTTTTTGGAGTCTTCTTACAAAGTACACAGTCGCAGGTGCCCTACAGTGGCTGGAAGCACTTATCATGGCATGAGTATTGTTTATCCCCATGAATTTGTTCGGATCCTTCATTTTTGGATTTATCTCTGATTCTGAATTCTAGCAGCCATTTTGCTTCCTGGGGTCAGGGCGGAAACAGGTCTAAGGGGAACTACACGGCGTTTGTCTCTGATTCGTTATCGCTTTTGGCTTTCCACATTACATAGTACATAACCTGCATTTATGGGTTGTACAGTTTCAAAACAAATCAATTGAACAATGGCGAAGCCGACGGTCAGATCAATCACTGCATGAAACCTATTGTAAGATGTAACAGACCGGTAAGGAGAGTTAAGAATTGATGCATAGGGAAAGCGCAAGCTTGGTGTAATTTGATATGTAAATTCTTGTCGGACAATATAGGTAAACATAGTACTGCATCTGGAAGAGTTGTGCCTGTTTGTTGTTGGTGGATTTCCCCTGTGACGTATAGGATGTACTGTACATACTACGTACCTGCTACAGATCGCAAAACCCCACTCCGATGACTCGAAGCCCCGCCCACTGCCTTTACTTATTTATCTCAATGGACCACAGAGCTTTCTTCATCCATACACATTAACTGTCAGCTGTACACTCATTCTGCGCCGGACTATACCCCCACTGATCCTGAAACCACGTTTTAAAAGCTAGACCTAATTCGAATTTCGAATTTCGCCTTGTCATTGTCTGGCGTCTTTGCTCAAGTACGGTACTTCTCAACGGTTGTCTGTATGAACTACGACCTCGAGTGTTTAGGTTGATTTGAGGCATATGCCTTTAGTATTTTTTATTACCTTTAAATTCCTTTTGGAGCTATACACATAAAGTCAGCCATGGATAGCCAGGTAGACCGGCTGGTGGACAAGGTCTGGGGTAAGTTGCTCCGCGCGCCGCATTTTGCATAACATGAATGCGCCGAACCTTGCATCTCGAAGAAAAATTCTCTAGTACCAATGGATTACTAATAGCTCTCAAGGTAAAATCCAGTCTATGCCGGATGGTTCCCGGTTGATGATAGCAGTGAGTGGGATCCCTGGCTCCGGAAAGACCGCACTTGCCAGCATGATGGCGAACCGCATCAACCAACTGTATACCGCGCGGTATCCAGGTTCACCGCCTATCGCGACTGCTATCCCAATGGATGGATATCATCTGACGCGGGCGCAACTCGCTCAAATGCCCGATCCTGTGTATGCTGTGGCGCGACGTGGTGCGGCTTTCACCTTTGACGGGGAGAAGTTCTTGAAATTAGTACAGGCTTTACGGGAGCAGTTGACGCCAGAGACGCAAAGCTTGTACGCGCCAAGCTTCGATCATGCGATCAAGGATCCTGTTGACGATGATATTCCCATCCCCGCCACGTGCAAGGCCATTTTCTTCGAGGGGAATTACCTGAGTTTAAGTAAAGAGCCGTGGAATCAGGCGGCGCAATTGATGGATGAGCTCTGGTTCGTCGACGTTGAATTTGAAACCGCTCGAAAGAGGTTGATTCGGAGGCATGTCAGGGCAGGCATTGCGAAGGACGAAGCCGAGGCAGATAAGCGCGCCACAGAAAATGACCTTGTGAACGGGCGGGAAATAGTAGAATATAGATTGCCTGTTCAAGAGATTATTACGAGTCGTTATGACCCTAATTGGGATAGGTGATTGTTGAATTTTTTTTTTTTGGATGACCTTCGGCATGAGCATGAAGTATAATAGATGATTGAGTGAAGCATGATATGATACATGAAAGCGTTCCTTTCCGTCTTGTTTATAGGGGAAACCTTGTATCGATGAAGTCCCTGAACGGGGGTATCGAAGAGTACTTACATATGATGCTATAATTAGATGCATGGGAGGTCTGGCCATTGATTAGTTATCGCTAGCTGTTGGATAAAATTAGGACAATAAAGGACTGAGTCTGAGACAATGTTACTTGAAGGTACTTGGCATTTATACCCCCCCAATTTAACCTAGATGTGCATATGCACTCCTGGACCCATTATCGGACCAGACAATTTTTCGACACAGCATTGATGATCATCCGATATCTCACTCTTTACTTGCATCCTGGGAATTGTCACCGGAAATCCCGGTAGGGGGCCTTTTCGAAGTTCTAGACTGGGGACTAGGGACTAAGGGTTAATTAATACTGACAGTACATGTGTTACAAATGGAGAACAATAGCCGGGAGCTCCACCAATCGAGTTCCGATATTTAACCACAAAAGCAATAGAGGCCTCCACTTAGGAGAGATAGTCCCGTGCAGTAATTTTGCTGCGGAACGTCTGGAAATGAGAAAACACCCCAGACAGAGGAAAGGATCTGCAGGGTCGATGCCTGATTGGATGAGACAGGTCCCCTCAGCTGGACTCTTCACTTTCTCTTCTTCCATTAAATTTCCATTCTGCTGCTCCATCTCTAGATCTCTCTACAACCTTTCACCTCAAACTCATCGCTTGTCTGTCACTCTTTTTTCTTACAAGCTGTCTCTCCTTTTATTTATCACCCATCACATTCATTACCAGAAAGCTTGTCTACTCCGTAGTCCAATCTTTTAACTCACCATCCTTCGTCTGGAACTTGATCCTTCGCAATTACCACCTGTACCCCTAAGCGCCCACTTTGTGCCATCTCGCCAGAATGTTGTTTGCCAAGTCTGCTCTTGTCCTTTCCTTTTTGGCTCTCGGCAATATTGCCGCTGCTGCAAGCACTAAGGCTTGCCTTCTTTCGGCTCTTGCGTACGTTTATTAGGAATAGAAAAATGTGACATCGGAAGAAGCATAGTTGTTGACAGTTCGATTAGCCAGGAGCCAAAGCCCGGTGATCTGAAGGCTGTCTGCGTTACGAACGGCGAGAAAGTGCAGAGCAAGATCGCCAGCCTGTGCGGTGATGACAAGGAGGAAGCTCTGAAGCAGTTCGCTGATACCTGCTCCTCGGCTGGACATAAAGTTGGTAAGTTTTACCAGACGACTGCCGATAGAAGGAAAATTTGTGGCAGCTAACATTCTTCTCCTAGTCGTCAATACCTCGACCTCCTCTGGTGCCGCTTCCACCGGTACTCCCTCTGCGGGATCCAAATCAAGCAGCTCCGGTTTTATCACTGCTACCCCTACTAGCACCTCCGGCTCCCACTCCGGCTCCGGCTCTAGCTCCAGCGCTAGAGTCATCCCTACCTCTGGCTCTGGCTCTGGTGCTAACTCAGGCTCTGGCTCTAGCGCTAGCCCCAGCTCGAGTACCTCTGCTGCCGTACCTCTTCACACTGCCAATGCTGGCTCGTCTGACAAACATATTCCTGCTGCTGCCTTCGCTGCCGTTGTCTTCGTCGGCTTCGCTGCTACGCTGTAAGGATGATCCTTTGTTTGAATCATTTTATTCAGCGGCGCGGTGAACCTTGAGTTTGGGAGAGAAAGGATGCCTGAATTTAGTTCTTGTTTCATTCTTTGAAAATCGATCGTATATTGAGACCAATCTGCGTCATGTAAGGGCGTGTTGCAATGATGAGAAGGAAAGCTGTATACTCTTTTTGCAGTTGGTAGTGAGAATCCGACACACTTATATCTACTCTATAACTCATGGCACGGGCCGAGACCTCTGGGTGCGTGTAAACTAGCTTCCAGATAGTTTATTAAACATCTATCGTAGGTTTGAAAAGAGTATAAACCATTGCATATCCATAGATCGGTACTCAGCGAGATTGGACGTTCGTCACTCGCGTGGCGTGACGACAGCATCTCGGTCACGTGGGTTGGCGGGTTCTTCGGCGTTCGATGATTAAGCAAGGGAGACCCATTGAACACGAAAATTCGCGTTGATATCAAACGCGTTGGCCCGGGCAGCATCAAATATCTGCTGGATTCTCTGCCCCTCCAACTTCTTTCCTCCTTCTCATCCACTCTTCACCCCATCCTCAGGGCTTTTCTCTTCTTGTCTTCGACGATTTTATCCTTTCCTTTTCTCATTGCAGAGCTTTAGTACTTGATCTATTCAGTGATTCCGTTATACCCTAACCCTTGTCGTCTTTTCACCTGCCTTACCAAACTCTCCCCTTCACACGTCAAAATGTTTGTCTACAAGAGAGGTATGCCTTGATGTTCTTCATTTTGTCCTTCTAGACTCGGCTCTAGGGCTGTATTGTTCGGGGGAGGCTCTGGCCGTCCATCCTCGCCACCAGCTAGCAATTCCTGCTAACGATCTATAATCATTAGACGGACGCAAGGAACGCGTACAGTTCGACAAGATCACTGCCCGTGTTTCGAGGCTTTGCTATGGTCTTGATCCCGAGCATGTCGATGCTGCTGCAATCACTCAGAAGGTCATCTCTGGTGTTTACCAGGGTGTTACCACCGTTGAACTGGATAACCTGGTATGATGACTCCGCAGCTCCGCAGGTCAAGTAAGGCAACATACTGATATCATTGTGTAGGCTGCTGAGACCGCGGCATACATGACTACCACACACCCAGACTATGCCATTCTTGCTGCCCGTATAGCTGTTTCCAACCTTCACAAGCAAACGAAAAAGCAATTTTCGTTGGTTATCTCAGACTTATACCACTATGTCAACCCGAAGAATAAGAAACCTGCACCGATGATATCACAGGAAACATACGAGATAATCATGAAGCATGCCGATGAACTTAACTCTGCCATCGTGTACGACCGCGATTTCAACTATAACTTTTTCGGCTTCAAGACACTTGAGCGGTCATACTTACTGCGGATTGATGGAAAGGTCGCCGAGCGTCCTCAGCACCTGCTGATGCGTGTCTCTGTCGGAATTCACGGTAATGATATCGAGAAGGCTATTGAGACCTATCACTTGATGTCTCAGAAGTATTTCACCCATGCGTCTCCAACATTGTTCAACGCCGGTACCCCTCAGCCTCAGCTTGCTTCATGCTTCCTTGTAGATATGAAGGAGGACAGTATTGAAGGTATCTATGACACGCTCAAGACATGTGCGTTGATCTCCAAGACTGCCGGTGGTATTGGTCTCAATGTCCATCGCATCCGTGCTACTGGTTCCTACATTGGTGGTACCAACGGTTCCTCTAATGGTATTGTTCCTATGCTTCGGGTGTTCAACAACACTGCCAGATATGTAGACCAGGGGGGCAACAAGCGCCCAGGCGCTTTTGCTATCTACTTGGAGCCTTGGCACTCCGATGTCTTCGAGTTCTTGGATCTTCGCAAGAACCACGGTAAGGAGGAAGTGAGAGCTCGTGACCTCTTCTATGCTCTCTGGACTCCAGATCTGTTCATGAAACGAGTTGAAGCCAACGGCGACTGGACTCTTTTCTGTCCTAATGAAGCCCCTGGCCTGGCCGACGTTTATGGCGACGAATTTGAGGCCCTCTATGAAAGGTCAGACCAATCCCCATGAGTTCAAGCAGAAACATGCTAACAGGATGATAGATACGAAAAAGAGGGCCGCGGCCGTAAGACCATCAAGGCTCAGAAGCTCTGGTATGCTATCTTGGAAGCCCAGACCGAGACTGGAAACCCTTTCATGTTGTATAAGGATGCTTGTAACAAAAAGAGCAACCAAAAGAACCTGGGAACTATCCGCAGCTCTAACCTCTGCACCGAAATTATCGAGTATACAGCCCCGGATGAGGTTGCTGTTTGCAACCTTGCTTCCCTCGCCCTTCCCACATTCGTTGATGCTGTCCGTGGTGAATACGATTTTGGCAAGCTTCACGAAGTCGTGCAGGTGTTGGTTCGTAACCTGAACAAGATCATTGATATCAACTACTATCCTGTCCCTGAGGCGGCGAAGAGTAACTTCCGTCACCGCCCTATTGCTCTTGGTGTCAATGGTCTGGCTGATGCCTTCCTTGCCTTGCGTTTGCCATTCGACTCGCCCGAGGCGAAGCTGCTTAACACCCAGATCTTCGAGACGATCTATCACGGAGCTTTGACTGCTTCGTCAGAACTGGCCAAGCAGTTTGGAACGTATGAGTCGTATGAAGGCTCCCCCGTCTCCCAGGGCATTCTTCAGTATGACATGTGGGACCGGACCCCTACCGATCTCTGGGACTGGGACTCTCTCAAGGCGAAGATCGCCCAAACCGGCGTGCGCAACAGCTTGTTGGTGGCACCTATGCCTACCGCAAGCACCAGTCAGATCTTGGGCTTCAATGAATGCTTCGAACCTTACACCTCAAACATCTACTCCCGTCGTGTCCTGGCGGGTGAGTTCCAGGTCGTCAACCCTTGGCTTCTCAAGGACTTGGTCGATCTTGGTCTGTGGTCGGACAACATGAAGAACCGTATCATTGCTGAGGGCGGCTCCGTCCAGAACATTCCTAACATCCCCGCGGACATCAAGGCCCTCTACAAGACTGTGTGGGAAATTTCCCAGCGTTCGATCCTGCAGATGGCTGCGGACCGTGGTGCCTTCATTGACCAGTCCCAGTCGCTCAACATCCATCTCAAGGAGCCGACTATGGGCAAGATCACCAGCATGCACTTTGCTGGCTGGAAGATGGGCTTGAAGACCGGCATGTACTATCTCCGTACCATGGCTGCCTCTGCTCCCATCCAGTTCACCGTGGACCAGGAAGCGCTCAAGGTGGCCGACACCAACGTCGCTCGCGCCAATGCCTCGTTCAAGAAGAGAGCCGCTGGTGCTGCGTCCAACACATACTCTGCTGTTCCTCGCTCTCCCACAAGCCCGACCAACGGACAAGCCAATGGCTCTGTCGAGTCCAGTGCACGTGCGGAGGAGACCGGAAATGGGGCTCCCGAGAACGAGGACGACGAGAAGACGAGCGAAGAGCGTGAGAATGACATCTATTCTCAGAAGGTTCTCGCCTGCAGCATTGAGAACAAGGAGGCCTGCGTGATGTGCCAAGGCTAAACATATTATATATAATGACTGGGTTTGCAATAGGCGTGTGGATAAGGATCTGACGTTTGTATGTATTGATATCATGAGTTTGATGGACACTGGGTATTGATTTTTACTGTTGGTTTTTCTTCTTCTCTTGCGGGTTTTCTGTTATTATTGGGTACGTGTACTTAAAAACCTTAACGGGTCTGTTTTTCTCTCTATTTCAACGTCCTGGGACGGTTTTGATGGCAAAAATGTGATTTACATAGAATGATTAGGAATTCATTTTTTTTTTATTCCTGAAGAATCTCTTGAGATGCCCTTTGGAAACATAGCTGAAGGCGTCATCTTGTTTTGGTAGCCGTAAAATCCCATCTGAATCTTGATTGAATGCTGTTTCATAATAAGTCGTGCACCGCCCTATTACGTTTTGTACCGCCCAATCCGATTATGTTCCCGTCCATCACCAGTACTGCAGGTAACTGAGGTCCCTTGTCGTAGTACTCCGAAGACCGATGGAGGGGTAGTATGTCTAACGAATACCTACCCATGTAAATCCATAGCAAGTAAAACAGTAGGAGATTTGTCAGCCTGACCCATCTCCTGGTGGATGTTTTGACCTGCCCAGTCTCTTGTCTATTTTGATTATTTTCAGACCCGCTAATCACTCTAGAGAGATAGGAGATACCTCAGAACGCCGAGTCACGCTTCCTTGCTTCTTTAGTAGAGCATCTTGCCACCGGAACTAAAGCGACGAACGATTATCTCATCAGGGTACTAGGTACTAGTAGGTAGTTATTCCCGTACGTGAAGGACCCAATCAAGTCAAGGCCACAAGGCATGGCTACCGACGGAAAGACTGGAGTCAGAGGGGGTCCATGCCCTAACTCCCAAGCCATGCCACCGTCTCTTCCAAGTTCTGTCCCAAGTACCCAACCCGCCTGGACCCGATGAGGTAGGTGATTGAACTCGGATGGAGGGCCTAGTTCTGGTCTAGACTTGCTGGATGTATTCATTCTCGAGTTGTACAGGGGGTTGCTCGTTATTTCCCGTTTGCTTCGGGTTGTGACGTGACACATTGACATCCACCCCATTCGTCCTCTCTCAGCTTCCTTTGGGAGTATGTTCAACATTAATGAAACCCAGGCGTAGATGATAATATGAGAGAAAAGGGCTTTGTGCGATGTGTTTGTAACAAGAAAATGATTTTTTTTTTCTTAAAAGAGAAAAAAAAAAAGGAAAGAAAGAAAGATAAGTCTCTCCCTCTGCCTTTCTTCTTGCCTGACTTGAAAATTTTTATTCAATTGATTTTTTTTCTTCCTTTTTTTCTGAATCTATCCCAGTAAAATGTCTGGATGTGAGGGTCTTTCCCACCTTATCTTCCAGGGTTGATAACATAGGGCTAAGTCGGGGCTCGATTTAATAGATTAATATATCTTGCGAAGATAGATTAAATCGAATTCAATCTTGTCAGGGTCTAGATTGGTGGGGATTCCGAAACAACATCCGATTCACACAGTACGTATATAGGAATGAGTTATCAAGCTTCACTTCTGCGCTCTGTCTTCATTATTTCCCCCCTGCGCGGAGAGTAGATTGTACAGTGTATACTTCTATAGAAAGTAAATCTACGTGGAAATTGAGATGAAACTGCGCAGGGGACACATAATCTCTTCACTTTGTCCAGCACAAGGCCTTGATGGAAACACATTTCACAGGTGGCGTTGACATCTGAAGGAACCGAGTCAAGTACTAGATTTATCAAGTGGGGAATCGGAACTAAAGGGTTTAGCATGGATTCTCTTTCTTTTCCACACGAGAGAGGACTGTGAATGTGATTCGAGAAAGAAGAAAAGGTCTGGACTTCGGAGGGAGGGGAAGATTGTATTCGAGAGATGAGACGATTTCCAATCGCCGTTAGGGAACCACCACGTAGTATCCACGTCGGAATGGGTCTCGTTTTCTTTTCCCTTTCATTGTCCGACCATCCATGACTTTGCTGACAGGGTTGGTTCAACCTCTGCTCGCTTCAGTTCGCTTCAATTGTTCTTGGCCTGAGACAAGGCCTCTTTATTTTTGGTATTATTATTTTATTTTTAGGTGACGTGAAACCAATTCCGCAGCAACAGTATAGGGGAAAAAAAAGTCAATAAATGAAAAGGCGACAATTGTCATGTTCTCAGAGAGAGAGCAAAGCCACAGCTATTTCCAGTGTGGCTGAGGGTCAATCCGGACACACACACAGAGAGAGAGAGAGAGAGAGAGAGAGTGTGTGTGTGTGTGTGTGTGCGTGCGCTGATCCCCCTGGCCCCGGAAGGCGAAAAACGAACATGGGCCGGTAAGGGGAAGAAGAAGGGAGAAAAAAAAACTAAAGTCAATACCAAGCCTACACTAAAGTGAGCTAGGGGAAATTTACTAGGAACACTATCACTGGAATTGGTATAGATTTTACACGGTGTAACACCGGCGCCAATCTTGTTGGACCAATCAATTGAAATTGGAAATTGCTCTCCAAAGCGGGTACCTGAATATCCATTGAATCTTTTCGTGGACGATGGCTGACCACACGTCATCCAGTCGGGGCTGACAGGTCAGAGTGCTGGTGAGAAATCCCCAACATATCGACATATGTAGGACTTGTCACTTGATCTTTTCTTCCGTATGTAAGGACAATAATCACACAGTAAGTCCCTTTTGTTTTTGTTCTCGTCTACTGCTCTGTACAACGTTTGGATAACTGTCGGGCCGTCCCAATCAGACATCCAAAGTTGAGATCTTCCCAATCCAACGGTTGAGGTTCAGGGCAAGTGGAACTGCGCAATGAGGGTGGAAAAATTTCAGCCACTGTGCACGGCAACATGGAATCCGGCCCATGGGTTCACGAGCTGTGTGGTGGGTCCGGGGCTTATGAAGGCCCCACTCGCTACGCTGTGTGATGAGCATTCGCTGCGTTCCTGAACCAACCACCCTTGGGTATTGGTCAGGTTGGAAAATGAAATAAAATCAAAAATGAAAAATAATAATTGTTCTTTGGAAAGTTCAGAGTATGAGGGACAAAGGAACCACTAATGGAGACTAGTCCCACATACATACGAGGACACTAGTCCAAGTAGTACTGCGTACCTCGTTTAAATACCAGGTTCTTCCCTCCCTTACTCCGTCCTTCTCTTTACCGATCACTCACTACAGTCCTCTCTCTCAGACAGTTTTCTGTCGTTCCTTCCTTCCAGCACTCTCATTCTTTCCGAGTGTCTATTCACCTTCAGACTGCTGCGCAGTTTGATAACTTCAAGACTCATTCCTTCAGTCGGACTTCTATCGGCTCGTCGATCTTAACTTTCTTTACAAACCAAGATATCAGTCTCATATCAATCATGGCTCCTCTTGCTAAGACCCTCGCCCTGGCCGGCGCTCTTTTCGCCGCCATTGCATCGACCGCCCCCGTGCAGAAGCGCGAGGATGGTGTATCCAGCACCAAAACCGTTGTCCAATGGACCACCGTAACGGTTACCGAAGTCATCACCGAGGACCGGCCCACCCAGACTGCCACTCAGCCTGTTGTTTCCGTTCCCGCATCCTCCGCCGCTCCCATTGTGACTTCTCAGCCGGAGGCTAAGTCTGCTGAGGTTCCAGACGAGCCTGAGGAGACTCCTGAGCCCGAGCAGCCCTCGTACACCGTCCAGCCGGTGTGGTCTACCAGCGCCGCTCCTGAACCTACTACCCCCACCACTGTCGCACCGGAGCCTACCAAGCAGCCAGAACCCTCGACCGCCAGCGCCCCTCCCGCTGTCGAGCCTACTCAGTCTAGCACCACCTCCGCCGCCCCTCAGCCAACAGGCAGCAGCTCTGGTGGGTACAGTGGCTCCTGCTCCGAGGGATCCCCATGCACAGGCCAGGTCACCTTCTATGATACCGCTACCTCTATGCTCAACCCCAGCAGCTGTGGAGTCACCAGCGATGGCGCCAATGAAGACGTGCTGGCCCTCCCCGTTGGCATCATGCAGGACGGCCACTGCGGTCGCAGGGTATCCATCAAATACAATGGTCAGGTCAAGCACGGCAAGGTCGTCGACAAGTGCATGGGCTGCGACTCGTCTTCCATTGACTTGTCGCGTCACTTGTTCAATGAACTGGCCGATGAGTCTGCCGGTCGTCTCCACGGTGTTGAGTGGTGGATCGAATAAATGCGTTGAACGCTAGCCTCTTCTGCTTCTTGCTTCTTTTCCAACACCTGATGGTTGTTTGTTTCTCTTGGCTTCCATTCTTCGATATCCATCACGCTTTTCTTCTTCACCTTCTCGACTTTCTTTTATACATACTTTACACACAAATCGCTCCACTGGAGCAATTGATCTATGTTCATAGATTTTTTTTTTTCTTTTTCGGGTTATTTAAATCCACATTTATATTCGGCGAACAAGAAGCAGCATGCTGGACGCATCTTATCTATGACACGATACCACGACACTGGGACGGGCGCATTGCAGATTGGACGGAATCGGGTATTCTATCTGATCAGGGCTAGGTAGCATTGATTAGGGGGAAATGATAAAAAAGTTTATTCTCTCAAAGTTCACGCGCATGGTATATCTTCTCCCGTAGACTCGTATTCCTGTCTACTACTCGAACCAGTAAGTAATACAGAGACAGCTGGGTCTCACATGATCTCTTGTTATATACTCCGAAACTTGTGCCTTAGTACGGAGTACTGGTCAATCATTTCCATATTAAGTTCAATAGTCAACGTCTCCCAAGAGAAACCATTAGACGCTTGAAAAGTATATACACCAAGTTATCTTCACCAACGTCACAGAATAAACCAAACCTCCCCCAAGTTCATTCAAACCTTCTCATAAAGCTTCGCCCTCTCCTTAATATACTCCTCCGCATTGACGCCCTTCCGAGCCAACCCTCCCACGATCCTGGCCAACACCGCATCCTCACAGAACGGTCGGTCCACGTGCACCTCCTGAACACCGTCACTCCGCTTCGTGATCTGGAATGGCGTCCCCGCTCCCTCGCAGTTAAATTGTGCGTCTCCGCCGCGCAGCGAACAGATCTTATTCGTCGCACACTCCCCCTTGCACTCCTTGACATCGTGCTCTCTGGTGGTACGCGACCACCACGCCTGGAACACCGAGTCGTCCTTCTCCATGAGAGCAGTTACGTTATGCCAGAAGGACGGGGTCATCTCGACGGCTGGGTCTGTGACCGGCGGGGTGAGGAGGGAGCCGTACGCCTCTTTGGCGGAGTAGTACTTGCCCCATTTGGGCGGGGTGCTAGGGCTGTTGGTGCTGCTGAGGTCGGCCGTGTAGACGGTGTAGTCCAGGACGGCGAAGGTGACAGGGTCGATGTCGTAGATGCGGAAGGACGGGGCGCCTGAGTCTGGGGTCATGGAGGCGGTGACGTAGCCGATTGCGCTGGCCGAGTCGGCAGTGCGGGCGGTGTAATTGGTGTACGAGATTTGGAAGAGATCGGTGTGCGTATGGCCGAAGAAGAGGGCGGCGATGCTTCCGCTGTAGCGGTTGATGATCTGGTCGAGGTAGTGCGAGTAGTCGTGCAGGGTGTCGGTGTTGCCGCTGGGGATGTGGGCGATCATCCAGACGCGTTGGCCGGCGGTTTCCGCGGCTTGCAGTTCGGAGATGAGCCACTGGAGTTGGTTGTTAGGGTCGAATTCCATCGGTTCTTGAAAGGCGTAGAAGTTGTACTTGTAGTAGAAAATGCTGTTGTAGGAGATGATTCGGAGGTTGCTATCGGGGTGGATGATAGAGTACGACCCGTGCTTGGTGGTGCTGGCGGGGGAGCTCTGGATGAGGCTGGACCAGTCGCTGGCGAGAGCGTCGTAGGCCCACTGTGGGTTGTGCTCAGATGGGATTTTGTCCGAAGGAAAGAGGTTGACCGGGGCAGCGTCATGGTTGCCTAGGGCAGCGTAGACGAGCCCCAGCTTCCCCAGGTTGCCGTAGGTGGAATTGAAGCTTTGGAGAACAGAGTTTTTGGTCTCGAGCCAGATATCATGTGGTGGAACGTCGCCTGTGTAGAGGGAAAAATCCGGGTTGAGAGCCGTGATGGCGTCCATCATAGAGTCCTCAAGACGAACTGGAGGGTCGCACTTATGATCACCCCAGATTCCGCACGGGGTTGAGGTGTTACCTGGGGCGTCCTCTGGAGTGAAGCTACGACAGCAGATAGGCTTGGAGCATTCTGCATTGGCTCCGGGGGTGTACTGCAAATCGACGTGAGTGTCACTAATGTGTGCGACGCGGATCGGAGCCTGGCCACTCGGAGGCGGACGAGTGACCGGGGCCTTGGCCACAGGCAACGTGAGGCTGTACGGCCGAGGCTCGGGGTAGTCGCAGAGGCCGACAATACTTGCGCAGAAGGTTTTCGAGGTGTGCGAGCCGAGCTTGAGATTCTTCAAAGCGTAATAGACGGCTGTACCTTCTTCTCTGATCGCACCCTCGCAGACATCGGCATCCTCTATCTGAAGGGATATGTTAATAAACGTCCTTAGACTTTTACCTGTGATAAACTCAGCTGAAAGCATGCACTTACCGCTGCCAATTTACACGCGTCAGTTACGACGTTTTCCAGGGCTTTCTGACCGAAGCCGGCTACTAGTTTGAGCGCGCCCAGGAGGCCCTTCGACCGTCAGCACTTTTGCAAGTCTAGATAGATTGACGCAATTCCGACGTACCTCACAACCAGCGCAGGTCACTATTCCCTTGAAATCGTCCCAGATGCCAGCCAAATCGGGCTCGGCTTCGGCATGCGTGCCAGCCACAGAGGCCAGGGCGGCCAGGAAGAAAGCCGGTCTCATGTCACAGGATATCTATCTTAAGGCAAAATAGCCTAGCACTCTTGCAATCTGAATTCCCATTCTCGAGATAGAGAGGGCCTAGCCTACTTTATAGTAGGCAGGTGTTGCATGGACGTCCAGCCCCTGATAGTGCGTCCGTCGGAAGCCGACTGATCATCTTGAAGAAGGAGACATTCCATTCTAGTCTATTCCTTCGGGTCAGGGAGCAAAACTGAGGGCAATTGAGGGGAGAAGATCCCATGTGATGGCTTAGGTTGCATCGCGAGCGGGCGATAGGCTGCGCATCGTTCTCCGCAATAAGATTTAGTCAAGAAAACCAACGCCTGACATGGTGGAGAAGGGACACGATGGTCACTAGTCAAGGGTTAGCGAGAGTTAGTTGGATAGATGGGGACCATAATGCATAGGCGACGTTACCCTGATACTTTCATACTGCACAAAAATTGGATATTTTTTCCGCAATCATTATGGAGAAGGGTCTTGGTACCAATTTCCGGCTCTGGGAACCGAGGTTGCCCTTTCAAGCTGCCAAGAGTTGCTCTATCAACATGTTATATATAAGTGCTCGATAGTATGTATTGACCTAATTTTGTCAACCATAATGACTCGGTTTATTATCTGTCGCACGTCCCCAACTGCACGGTAGATCCTCCTGTACGGAGAATGGGATCGATTATATACTTTTCACAGTGGAAGTTGACTTTCATGTCAACCATATCGTTAAATCATTTCCACCAGTGAGGGAGAAATACGGATTGGGTCGCATGCATGCGAGGGATGAACGAATCCAAGAGAAATTAGTCTAAAAGAAAAAATCAAATTCTGGCTGAGTCAGAGATTATATACGCCGACATGGAGGGAGAAAAAAAAAAAAAAGGGCACAGTACAAACAAGGCCAACTGAAGCAACTCCTTAAACTGCCAAACCTCAAAAGTACAGCACTTGACTTGACTTTACTTCTTGCGGCGGCTCACAATCCGCAATTTCCGCCGCTTTTCCCTCTCTTCTCTCAACATGAACGAGGAAGACATTCATTTCTTTTTTCCCCAAAAAGGGTCGACGGTGGGATTTCTCCGGCAAATTCCAATCATCTGGTCGTGAGGAGGCTTACGGACTATTGAATACAATTTAATCCCAACCCAAGGATCTCATCTCATCATCCCTTGGGTAAAATAAGACCCACGCCGAACGAACCACACAATTTCTTTTCTCCGCTTCTCCTCATCATCAACTTTTCTTCACTGTTACTCGGGAATTTGCTTCTTTCCAGGAAGGTTATTGTTATTATTATTATTATTATTATTATTATTATTGCTATCATCATAACCATCATTATTACCTTCGACCCAGCCTTTCCAGCCTCCTCTGTCACTCTCTTTAGCCAAATTTCATTCTCCCCGGAGATGTGGTCCTCCTTCCTTCGTATCTTACGCATTCGGTGACCATGGAGCCGTTCTATTCTCAAGAATTGACAATCACCTCTCCGTCGAATCCTTTAGTGACAAGTCTTGAATGATCGTGACTGGCCTTGAATTGTTACGCAGCGCGGTTCCCCCGGAGTTTACACGAGGCTGCTGGGTTGTGGCCGCGGTCACCCATCATGGAAGACCGCAGACCCGAAGTGTTGGTCGTATCCATTGTCTTCTTCGTCATCGCCTCCGTCTTTGTGGCCCTACGGTTCGTCTCGAGGGTTTTCATCGTTAAAAGAGTCGGGCTACATGACTATTTGATGTTGTTGGCATGGGTATGTCTGCTGTCCCGTTTCTGAGTTTGTATACAATTGCTCGAATTAGAGTGTGGCCCAGCGGGGAAGAAAGAAAGAAAGAAACAAAGAAAGGTTGAAGGGGCGAAGACAATGAAATCCTTTCCTCTAATGTTACACAGGTCATCGATTTCGGTTTCTCATTCTCCCTATTCTATGCCACCAGCAAAGGCCTTGGCCTCCATGATGACGACATAGCCCTCAAGGACCGGTACAGCCTCAATCGAGCCAATTATGCATTTACGGTGCTATATGTGAGTTGCCGGCTCCGCACTCGGTTGCTCCGATTGCTGATTCGATAGAACCCTGCGTTGATGGCCGTCAAAACCTCCATTCTCGTCTTCTACCTTACTTTAACCCAAGGAGAAAAGGTTTTTCGTTGCGCCAATTATGTGACCCTATTCGTCGTCAATGCCGCCGGACTAGCACTCACCCTTGTCAACGTCTTCCAATGTCGTCCCGTTGGGGCGGCCTTTTCCTATCCCATGGCCCCGGGTGCTCACTGTACCGATATCCTTACTCTATACCTCTCATCCTCTCCGGTGAACATCATTACGGATTTGGCCATCCTTTTTTTGCCAAACCCTATTTTAACTCAGATGCGTCTTCCTCGAAAACAGAAAATTATTCTTGTGATTACCTTTAGTTTCGGTTTCTTCGTCGCCGTAGTCGATGTCATCCGCATTGCCTACCTACAAAATGCGGCCACATCGCGTCAGATATTGCTAAAAGAGATACACCTGCAAGATTCGGGCGGTGATGACCTTAATTGTATGTCTGACCTAGCTTTATTTCCTCAACCCCAACCTCAACCATCCTACGCCCGTACTGACCTGACAAGGGTATGCATCTCTTTCGTTTATGTGGTCGGTAGTCGAGGTCAATGTGTCGGTGATGTGCGCCTGTGTACCGAGTCTCAAACCGCTGGTAGCACGAATCATCCCCAAGATGATCCGGGACACAGATGACAGCACGACCGTGCCTGACGCTCCCACGGTTGGTCCTCTGGATATTCCCGAGATTGCCGAACCTGCGCCTCCTCCCACTGCACAAGCTCCAGGAATGCGACGACGCTCACAATCCACCAACAATAATAAGCCTTCTCGATCAGGTAGTGGTAGCAGTGCCAGCCGGAGAGATGTGGACGACCCGATAGACATGAGGGAGTTCCTTACGGCCGGCAATCCACCCCCTCTAGATGCAGAAGCGAATACCACCATCACAACCACCTCCTATCCACCGAGCATCACCTTTTTCGACTTTGTCAACATGAAGAAACCGGCGAATATGTTGAAGTTAAGTAATAAGGAGTCCATTGCTCCTATTTCTCTGACCACCATCCTGTTTTTCATGTGGGGATTCGCATACGGCTTGCTTGATATTCTCAACAATCAATTCCAGGAGATTGTTCGATTAGATGCTTGGCGATCATTGGGCCTGAACGTTGTTTACTTCGGAGGTTATTTTATGGGTCCTCCGTTGGTGGGCCGCACCGTGTTGAAACATTGGGGTTTCAAGTCAACTTTCATCACAGGCCTGTGTATATACGCTTGCGGCACTTTGATCTTCTGGCCCTCGGCCGTTCTGACCTCGTACTCCGCATTCATCATCTCGAACTTCATCGTCGGCTTCGGGCTAGCCGTGCTAGAGACCGCTGCCAATCCGTTCATAGCGCTGTGCGGGCCCCTCGAGAACTCGGAGATCCGATTGAATATCTCGCAGGGTGTCCAAGCGGTTGGTAGTGTAGTTTCGCCGCTTTTGGCGAAAAAGGTCTTGTTCAAAAAGGTGACCGACGTTTCCTCCCTGGTTGATGTCCAATGGACCTACCTTGGCATTGCGTTGTTTGATGTACTCCTAGCGGTGGCCTTCTATTATCTACCCATCCCGGAGGCGTCGGATGAGGATCTGCAGGAGCTAGCGAACCGTCGCCGGAGTGATAATATGACCAAGGTGGCCGGAATTCCGGTGGTCTGGCTAACCCTAGGATTAGGCGTGTTTTCGCAATTTTTCTATGTTGCCGGACAGGAGGTAATTTCGCAAAGCTTCTACGCCTTCGTCGAAAATGCCTACCCTAGGTAAGTTGGTGATTAACTTAATATCCCGAGATATCCGCTGATCGATATCCAGTTCTCGGTTGAGTTCTTTTGACTTCCTGACCATCGCTCACGCTGTCTTTGCGGTGGGTCGTTTCCTTGCCGCCTTTTTGCAGCTGTTTCTAAAACCACGTTGGATTTTGCTTCTGTCGTACATCGGAATGATTGTATTCTCCGTATTGTGCATGAAAACAACGGGAGTCGCGGCGGTTGCCATGGGTCTCATGGTCTACCTTTTCGAAAGTGGCGCGTTCAGCATTATATTCGCCATCTCCCTCCGCGGCACCGGTAAGCATACAAAGACTGCCGCAACGCTTCTGACGACAGCAATTAGCGGAGGTTGCTGTTTTCCGTTCGCACAACATGCAGCCCAGCTCGCTGGGGGCGTATCGTTCTCTTATAGCGTCCTCGTTGCTGTCTTTGCTGCCGGCGCCATCTTCCCGGTGTACTTGAACTTGGTACCTGCAGCAAAGAAACAAGTTGACCCCGTACCAAATGAACACCTCCGCCGCCCACGTCGTCATCGCCCTAGACAGAATGTCGTCCAGCGAGAAAAGGAAAACCCTTCCGTGGGAGGGGTATATTCAAGACGGCGCAGCGTCTTGTCTGACCTACTACCTGCGGTCACCCTTTCTGACCAATCCTCATCTCAGCCTGACCTTCCTAATCATGGGCACCGCCGTCCGTCAGCTCACGGCGGCATCCAGCATGACTTGGCCCCTTGGCCTGAATCGTAATGTCTATGCCGGTTGCTACTGCATTTTTCTTTGGGATATTTCTTTTATAATGATACCCTACTGTACGATATTATCACTTAGTTTCCCGGGATAGCGAGGCGTTGAGGGAAAAAGTTTCTAGGCATATTATTTAGCGTGCCTCTTGGATTAGACCAGCGCACTGCATACATGCATTAGATAGCAGAACCGAAATTCGGGGTAATACTTGGATATTTGTATATACTGTGGACACGCTTCTTTACCTATTGAGGAATAGGTAGATATTAATAACCAACGAATAATCACTAGGATGAAATGTTTGGTGCATTAGCTATGTAAAGAGAAAATTAGTGGTGAACCTTGGATTTGTTCAAGCATTCCTACAGTTGGCCCCAGGTAAGAGATGTGCTAGAAGAGTTTTTTTTTACAGGAAAGATTTTTAAAAAAATATAATGTTTATTCATAAATCATGCTTATATGCCACGCATCAAATCATGTTTAGGATCATGACGGATTAAAAATGGCAAAAAAAAAAAAGAAAACGAAACACCGGCGCCTCTATCAACCAACCGCGCTGAAACCAAAATGGATCATCATCATAAAACTGAGGTATCAATGGAAATGTCAATCAAAGAAAAAGAGGTGGACAAAGAGAAAACTTTTCTTTTTGCTTCCGAAATGTTTACCACCAGTCACCCTGGTCCTTCATGGCAGCAGCAACCTTGGTGAAACCAGCAATGTTGCTACCGGTGACGAGGGAAGGAAGGACTCCCTCGGCAGGAGTAGCGTACTCGATAGCAGTCTCGAGACCGTTCTTGAAGCAGTCCTCCATGATGCCCTTGAGACGAGTATCGACTTCCTCAGTGGTCCAGCTGATGCGAGCAGAGTTCTGGGCCATCTCGAGACCAGAGACAGCGACACCACCGGCGTTGGCGGCCTTGCCGGGGGCGTACCAGATGGCGGAAGCACCCTTGTTGGCCTCACGGTGGGCCTCGAAGATGTCGATGGCATCCTGGGTGGAACCCATGTTGGAACCTTCGGCGATGAACTTGCAGCCAGCGTCAATGAGGGCCTGGGCCTCCTCGCCAGAGACTTCATTCTGGGTAGCGGAAGGGAGGGCAATGTCGACCTTGCCGACGTGGGTCCAAGGACGGGCACCGGGGATGTACTTGAACTTGGTGGCAAAGGCCTCGGTGCTGGCGATCTCAGAGATCTGCTTGCGGTCGACCTTGATCTGGGCGATGACGTTGATTTCCTCGGCGGTGAAGCTGTCCTCGCCGTTGACGATAAGGGAGCCCTTGCTGTCGGACAGAGAGACGACGGAACCGCCGAGCTCAATGACCTTGAGGGCGGCGTACTGGGCGACGTTACCGGAGCCGGAGATGGCGACGCGCTTGCCGGCGAAGGATTCCTTGCCCTCAGTGGCGTGCTTGATCATGTGCTCGACGTAGTAGACAACACCGTAACCAGTGGCCTCAGGACGGATCAGAGAACCACCCCAGGTACCACCCTTACCGGTGAGAACACCCTCCCACTGGTTGCGGATTTTGCGGTACTGGCCAAAGAGGAAACCGACCTCACGGCCGGTGACACCGATATCACCAGCGGGGACGTCAGTGTCGGCACCAATGTGCTTGCAAAGCTCAGTCATAAAAGCAACACAGAAGCGGCGAATTTCGTTGTCGGACTTGCCCTTGGGGTCGAAGTCGGAACCACCCTTACCGCCACCCATGTTCAGACCGGTGAGAGCATTCTTGAAGATCTGCTCGAAACCTAGGAACTTGAGGATGGAAAGGTTGACGGAGGGGTGGAAGCGAAGACCACCCTTGTAGGGACCGAGAGCGGAGTTGAACTGAACACGGAACCCACGGTTCACCTGAACCTGGTGGTTGTCATCCTCCCAAACGACACGGAACTGGATGATACGCTCGGGGACGGAGACGACGGCGAGAGCCTTGCGGTATTCAGGGTTCTTCTGGAAGAGAGTGGAGTTCTCAAGGGTAGAGGCGAGCTCTGTAATTTTTTTGTTAGACAGAGATCTATGAAGGAGAAGTTATAATGTCGACAATACTAATAACATACCCTTGTAGGCCTGCTCGAACTCTGGCTCAACAGGAAGGTTGGACATCTTGAAAAGAGTATTTGAATGGGAAGATGTGAATGTGAAGTGAGGGGCTTATCAGATAGCGATAAGGACACAACAACTGTCAATAGACCTGAGTCACGACAAATTAAGAATAGATGAGAGGTAAAGGAGGTGAGAAGTCTGGGGAGTGAAGAACGAAGAGAAAGAGGGAAAGAAGTTGGGGAGAGAAGGGAAGGGAATTTATGTTCAGGCAGATGTCAGCGGAGGGCGGCGACCGCTGAGCCGGAGTCGGACGAAGAGAGAGGGTGGGAATGCCCGACGGGGGGAGGATATAGTAGGAGTGGAGGGCCATTCGAGTCGATGATTCGTTCTAGAAATTAAGGTAGGGGACTAGGCGACAAAGCGGAAGGCCGGCATCAGGGCGGTGGTTTATGGTCCGAACTTCGGGTGTGTTATTCGATACTTTATGGTCACAGAATTTGCCCGTTATCTATCGGCGGAAACCCGCCCCCCGCCAGTCCGCTTTTGGATCCGGGAAATCCTCGTGGCTCAGAAAATTTTTAGATGAATCGTTCATGGAATGATATCAGGATGGGAGTCTACCCTCGATGTTGGATAGTCTACTGCCTACCTTACTATCCTTCTCTATGCGGTACATGGATAGAGTAGGAAAAAGGAAAATTCTCATGATTTCCTTGTCATAGTGATGTTCATTCGTTGCAGATCGCCAAGACCCAATTCCGACACTATCTACCAGGTCACGTGCATTCCGTGAGAGCTCATTCGAGCGGTGTCCCTGGGCAAGTCCCCACATGCTCCCCCATCGAATCTCTTATCTGATCATTTTACTTCACGACCTTATCAGTAGGACACTAAACCATTCTAGGAATGTGACCACGCTCAGACCAATCGCTCCCCGGCAGATAGTAGCACCTCTCTCCTCTCTAACAAGAGATTCCTCCGAAAAAAAGGATGGATAGGATTTCCTCTCGGTAAAGGCGGGACATGCTACACCGCACGATCTAATTCAGTTTAATGTGGGGTGAGGGGATCATGCGACGCCCGACCCCGTCCAACAAAGACGGGGTTTATTCACGGCAAAAGTTCTTGGTATCTCCCCCTCGAACAACCCCCTCTCGGCACGGAGCGCCGCCCTCCGCCTCCATACTGGAATAGGGAATCCCGCGTTCGGAGTCAATCGATACAACTCCGGGGTTGCAATCCATGGGCATATGCATACTACTATACTTAATGATTTAGCAAAAATCCCAAGATTCATTATTGAAATTTAAAGATTGGGTTCAAAGTTGGCCGGAAGCGGAAGTATAATATCAAAGAGTGCGATATCTTCTAGTATATTTTGATCGTGATTTCATCCAGTATAACTACCCCGTACCTTGCCTTTCTGTACACCAAACAATGGTCTCATTTGCATGACCCTTATCCATTTCCCTAGCTAGGCTTTGTTCCTGTGCGGAGGAAATGATCCCTGCACGATATCGATTTCCTTGCATATCAAATTCAGTAATACTCATTACCTCATTTCTACCCCAGGCTTGATAAGACACTAGCGTGTCGCACAGGCAAAGGCTGTGTATCCACCAACCATCTTAGTGGAAGATCGTCAGCCAAGCTCTCGGCTAATGCATCTCAAGTTTGGTTTGGAGAGTGACAAGGAATGTGGAATCGACGAATAGATTGGTCGGCAATGGAGTATTATGTGTGAAGTCTATCCGTCATGGATTAAGTCAGAAAGCCTCTCCGATAACGGCGCGCCCTTCTTTCCCTCCATGTTCATTCAATCAATATCTGGCTTTCTGATTAATATCATCTGACAACGGTATGTACCTTTATGTACAAAAGTCAGAAACATTTTGTGTGACCTTCTCTGCGCACAGTGATACGGGTCGCCTCACCACACGACCAGAGGGTTTTCATTGGATACTATGATGAGAAACTCCGCACCTGGGGTAATTGGTTTCCTGCAATGATCTTCATAATCTGCATTCATTCAATATCGTCTTTGTTTCCACTGGGCACATACCGTAGCTGACCGCCTGACAATCAGAACCTCCTGACGATCGATTTCGCCCCCAGCAACCAGGTAGATATAGACTGTAAAGAAGATATCTAGTAATTTTAGTGATCCCGAAAGCGCTGTGGGAGGCGGATTTGCCTGCCTCGACGATTTACAGTAGGAGGGTCTCTTCAGCAACTTCAGGCGCTGGCGTACTAATATCTTGCTGATTAGGGACTTTATAAGGCCTGGAGATGAGTTTAGTTCCTTTTTTTAGCTTTCTGAAGGTTACCTTGAAGCTATAAATATACTGCTTTAGTATATATCTTATCCTCCTTGTGGCGCTTCTTCCGCTCAGCTTTCTGTACCTCTAACTTTTTCTGATCTACCTTTATTCTCCAATCCTTTTTAATTAACTGTTACTTTACTTCTTCATTCTATTGCTTACACTGCTTTTCTGCCTCTTTTAAAGCCTTTATATTCTCTATTGCCATCTCCTTTTGTGTTTGAAGCACCCGAGTCTGCTGGATCTTGTTAGGCGAATAAAACACTGCGTTACTATTCCCAGGAGCCTGTAATTTAAGCTGTAGAGATTTTTCATATTAGCACTTTTTCTTCTCATATAGAGGGCTCTTTCGAGATCCTGGAAGCGAAGTTTTAGCAAGATATTCTCTGTAGAGAGATAAAATATCGTAGAAAATAATTTTCGAGCATTTTAATTATAAATATAAGTAAATAACTTTAGAAGTCTTTCAATTCTTCTCTAGTCTTCAGCACCTAGTACTGAACGGGAGGACTCGCTGGAAGAGGGCCTGCTGTCTTTCTTTTTGGTAAAGTGCTTTAGAACGGTTTCTGGATTCTATAGCTATAAATTAACTGATTTCTATGCACTCTTAAAAATTTTCTTAAGAAAAAGGCTCTTTCCTAACTCGGCTAGAATAGTCTAAAAAGTTTCGCTTTGTGAGATAGCTCAGGCCCTAGTAATCGTGCAAAAATACTTCTAATTTACTACTATAGGCTATAGAAAGAGGCCCAAAGTGACTAATATCAAGAGGCCACATGGAATACGTTAAATAAGGTGGATACGCTGCTAAAAGGATTATATTCCTATTGTAGAAATCTATAAATTTTGGTGTAAGATAAGATCTATAGCTATTGTCACGGTGTGCCTGCGAGCACACCTACCTGCCTGCCTGAATCCTGAACATGCTTATATATGTGAGTGCAGTACAAAGCCGAAGGCTTTGTATCCTAGTCTTTTGCTGATAACGCAGCGGTTAAGCTTCTGAATGCACCCAGAGGCCACACCGTGACGGCTATTAAGAATTAGAAATCTCTAGCGCCTTCCTGTCTTCTTTTTAGTGTCTCGATTAAAGATATCTTTTAACTATGTAAATCCTAGCTTACAATTGGCCCAACTAGAAAAGAAAGACCCAAAGAAGTAGCAATAATCTCCTGGATTAGAGTCTTGAAACTGTGCCGGCGCAGTCCCTATACAGGCTGCTGAGTTCGTAGTGAATGTCAGCGAGTAGTGACGTGATTCTAGTTTGTTCTGTTTTTATTCGAGATAGACAATACCCCACAGAGATTCGCTCGTGGGATAATTTCTTCTTCAAGCGATTTCCTCGTATCAGAGCTACCCAATTAGATCAATCTATCTACGTTGGCCTGAGCCGTTACAGAAACCAGGAGTCTTATATCTTGCTAGACACTGCCTGGATCAGATCAGGAGATAAAGAGATCCTCTCTATATAATATAAGCAATTATAGTAATATTTTCCCGATACAATTCTGAAGGCGTTTCTTGAGGTCTCCTTGCTTATTTGTGTTTCTGCTTAGAGAAGATCCTCTTGCCTTTAGAAAGCACTCTAATAAGAAATCCTTTTCTATCTATATTGTACATGTCTTCGGTTCTGAGAACAAATTTCTCTTTTTCTCTAGCTATAAGCTCGAAGTATAAGGCATATTTATATACGGAATCCGTCTGTTTCCTTAAAGAATCGATTCTAATAGTGTAGCGAGTAATAATGTCATTATTATACTTCTTTAAAAGGCGGGTTGGCCACTGCTTTCCAGGCCCGAATTCCAGTGATTTCTTGAGCCCAATTTCGAAGTGTCTTATGCGTAGGATAGAGTCTACGATTACTAAAGCTCTCTATCCAATTCATAAGGGTTTTAGTCTGCTGGTTATTGATTAATTATTAGTTTTTATATTACGCTTCCTTAGATACCTAGACTGCGGTGATGTCTTGGCAGAGTATTTCGATCAATACCATGCTGTTTTGCAATATCAGTATAGCTAAGAGATTCTCCTGGATTCAATGATTCTAAATCCGCCAGCGCTGCTTCAAGAGGAGTGATACTGAATGAGTCGTTGAGGTTTAAAATTATACTCTAAATGTCGGTGCACAGTAAAATCGATCTTCAGCTGGTTCCGATCGTCGGGCGGTCAGCTACGGTAAACTTCATCAATGATCTAGTGACTAACTGTATGGCAACACATTAAATACCAAAAAAATCCCGGGAAATTCCTCTCATAAAGTACAAGTCACACTTATTCCTCCTCCAACTGAAGTAACTCGAAGGTTTTCGCCCAATTGGCTTCACCATCCGGATGGTATGCCCACGTAGCATAGCCTGGCCCGTGTCGCTTGGTCAGGTCAGCAGGCGATGCGATCTGACAATTATTCGAATATTTCCCTCCTGTACCTTCCAATCCCCTCGCTACAACACCCCAGACGCTAGTCGCAGCGCCCTGTTCAGGGCTCTTCCAGTAGGTCTTGAGCCAGTCATCCGCATCCCACGCAGATTTCTGTTCATCTGAGACATGACAAAGGAGCTCGGCCGCAAATCGCACCGGGGTGCAGACTAAATGCATGAAGACTTTTTGAGCCGTAGCACCTCTTGATCTCATTAGCTGTCCAGAGATTGGCTGTCTTGCTTTGACCATAGGCCTTCCAAGGCCCGTATTCCCTCTAAAGTGAGGTTATCGAAAAGAACAGATGAGACTCGATGCGCGCTGGAGGACACCATGACCACCCGGGAATGGAAAGAAGGGATCGAGGAAGAGAGTAGCAGGGGTTTGAGAAGGTAGAAGAACAGGAAATGGGCTAGGTGGTTCGTTCCGAAACGCGTTCCGAACCCATCGGCAGTTCGACCTTTGGGGCATGCCATCACCCCCGCATTCTCGATCAGGATGTTCAAGGTACTCTCTCTAGACTTGAATTCTTCTGCGCATGCGCGAACGGATGCCAAGGAGCTCAGATCGAGGTGCGGAAGATAGACTCGCGGACTGATAGCGATGTCACCCAGTGCATTCTTTGCTTTTCCCAAGTCTCAAGCTGTGAGATATAGTGTTGCTCCTGTTTCGAAGAGGGCCTTGGCAGTCTCGGCTCCGAGGTCAGATGAACAGCCTGTGACGATGATCACCTTGTCGGCCAGGTGGTTTACTCGGTTTTCATCTCGGACGACTTGTAATGCGGTAGGCTGTGCATCTCCCGGACCCCTGCAGAATTTATGGACCTTGGCATATCTCGACTGTGTGGGGAACATTTTTGAAGGTATTGTACAATGGAAGTTGATTGGTTGTTGATGTTATGTAGACTTGAGAGGTATAGCCCGTCCGAGCAACGTGCAATGATTTTATATCTCAACTCCTTTTCTCTAGACTGTCAGCCGGGCCTTAATACATACTATATCAATATCATCATGCGTCATTCGAAGGTAGACTTCTTGAGCATTTACAAAAACACCGATGGTTACATCATTTCATGGACAAAATCCGGGGATTTCGGGAATAAGGCTTGTGCGCTTATAGGTAACCGTTCAACGAGGTTATAGTACCTCTTAATTCTTTGTCATCGCCATCTATATTCTCCTTAAAACCATTATATGTCCGCTCAAACTCCGGGGGAAATGTAATCCCTCATCAGGAGATAGTCCCTCCCTTTGATTCCATCGGTCGACGGCATGCCGATCACCTTGAGAATTTCGGCCGAAATCTAGCACATCGGGGCTAAAAGACGCTAATGATTACCTCGATCAGCCTACAACTCTAATCCAGCAGGGCGATCGGCCAATGATGGGAGCCAATTCGTCTCTGAAACAACTTCATCGTCCGAAACATTTTAAGCTTCCGCCGAAATATTCGGGCTTTGGATACGTCATCCCTATACCCTTCGATGTTGTATATTTTCGTGGCGCTGGTTTCTACAATCTTGGACGACTCTCATAAATACTTGAGAATCATGATGCCCGAAGGAAGTCTTGTTCATCTCCAAATTCATCTTTACAGATTCATCTTTAATCTGGACTTGGTCTCTTGGTACGGAAACTTTAGTTTCAATTTCACCCCAATCACCCCCAACACACAAAAATGTCTTCCCCGACCGAGGTCTCCTTCCCATCCTTCCACCTGAAGGTCTGCGGTGAGCTCCACGCTCCAGCAAACGACTCTCCAGACCGCAAGGGCGCCGCCGTGGTAGTCAGCCACCCGATGACCGGCGTGAAAGAGCAAACCTCGACCGACTACGCCAAAGCCCTATCCCAGGCCGGCTTCTACGCCCTCACCTTCGACGCCGGTTACCAAGGCCAAAGCACCGGCGAACCCCGCGGCCTCGAAGACCCCCACCAGCGCGTCGAAGACATCAAAGCTGCCGTCAGCTACCTGACCACCCTGAAGGACAAGGTGGATGTCTCGCGGATCGGAATGCTCGGCATTTGCGCCTCGGGCGGCTATGCCTCCTACGCAGCTCAGTCTGACTCTCGCATCCGCGCCCTGGCTACTGTCAGTGCCGCCTGTGTCGGTCGCATGACACGCAACGGAGGCGTGCATGAGCATAATAAGGAGAATGCCCAGGCTATTGCCGGTGCCCTTCAGTACGCTGGCCATTGGCGGACGGGCGTCGCTGCTGGCGAGCCCGGCGCGGCCCCGGCTATGTTTGATGCGTCGAATGTGCCCGATGATGCGGATTCGTTCTTCAAGGATGCGGCCGCGTACTATGGCACCAAAAGGGGAAAGCATGAGCGCTCGACTCAGAAGGTGCCCCCCGTCAGCTACGATATGATGGTTAGCTATGATTCGTTTAACTTCCAGCGGCTTATCTCGCCCAGACCGCTGTTGATGATTGCTGGTAGTGAGGCACAGACGCTTCATTACAGTAAGACTGCCGTCCAAGATGCGAAGGAGCCCAAGGAACTTTTCGTCGTGAACGGCAAAAACCATTTTGATATCTACGATGATTTGACCGAGACTAGTCCCAAGCTGGTTGAGTTCTTTGGGAAGAATCTTCAGTGAATTTACGGCTTGTTTTACGCATGATTGTTTGGTATGAGGATATGAAACGTGTGATGCCATTTAATCTATATATAGTTAGTAAGACAATGAAAAGGTTAGTCTTGGTCAAAATGCGATGACTTGACTGTTTAAATGACGGAGAAACATGATATGCTTTCCGCTCAAGCTCAAGTGCTACATCCAGGAGGCTTACCGCTCGTAGACCGCGATGATCGGCTAACAGTACTGATTTACCTCCGGTGCTGCACATGGGGACGGCAATGATTGAGTCAAGCATGCCTTAGATAGAAGCACCGCTTGAGATGATACATGTGCTTGAACTCAACCTCCCAACAATATACCCCCCGGGCTGGTGCAAGGGAATAGTAGGTACCTGATGGGAAAGAGGGACTTCCAAGATTTGAGGCTCCGAAGAATTTCCGAGGTAGACAATACCAAACTCGCGTCCGTAATATCATAGTGTATCGACACCTAAACTTAGCATAGTGAGGTAAAAAGCACACATGCAGTATCATGTCGCGACAGCCTCGAAACTGGCAGATCCAGTGCTTCAGTATACCCGTGGCGATCTCGACAGTCCCCCTCGAGATTTCATGGACAAGATAGGACGCATATCATATTCGCCGTACGGAAGGGGTAGGGCCCTATCCAGTGACTCAAAAAGTGGTTGAAGAGAGGGGACGACCCTCCCTCTTCCTCCCCCTTAAAGAAAAAACAAAAGGTAACTCCTGATTCCCCATAGGTTTCAGCGCGCAATGATAGCCCTTGCATTATGGTAGAGTATCGGCGGCAATGGCAGAGATCCGCGACGCTACTGGTATGCAAGAGAGAATCCGGGTCAAGGATAACCAGTTAGATCCAAACTTCGGGCTTCTATAATCCTGGCGGGACTATTGTCATGTGGCGCACTTTTAGCCAAAGGGAGAGACGAACTGAGTAAGGATGCATCGGTGAGGTTAGGGATCCGTTTTGATGCCTTTCTCTGCAGTGGGGAATAATGATTAGTTTAGCAAGAGTCGACTGATGTCGGAAACAATGGGTAAGGCTATATTGGGGATATGACAGCCATATACTACGCCAAGATATCAAACCACAAAGATCACCACCGCTGATCCGCAAATTTTCCACATGGTTTGGTTAAATAGGCCTTGATAATCCCTTGAAGGGTCTCTATCAAAGTGGGGCTAGAAAATGACCTCCTGACAACTACCCGTGTAGTCTCGCTACAGACCCAGTTTACAATATTTGCTCCTCGTAGATCCAGACCGAGATCAATTTAAATTTCGGTCGAGGCGTACATCGACGCTGAAAATCAGAATAAAAAAGAATAAACAACAGGAGAGGGGGCAAAGGGAAAGAAACAAGGGCAGGAAAAGGAAAACGAAAAGAAGGATCGTCGGCACCAAATGAGACAAACGTGCGATTTGCCCTATTTTGAAAAGCCAAAATAGGCCAAAGGAAGCAAGCACATGGTTAGGACAATTTTCCCGTACAATAAATAAATCACAAAGAAGGAGAGAGGAAGGGAAATTACCTACTTAGAAGGTAGGGAACCTGTTCTCCAAACGCCGAGGCCCGGGGTTTTAACCTAGTTGATTTGGATAAAGAGAGCCTTACCTGAAAGTAGTATGTATCCACACAGTCATTGCAGTTCAAGGAGGAGCAAGAATATCCGCCATTTCCCAATTTCTAGGTGTATGACCTAAAAGTATAACTAGAATATGGACTATTAAGTTGACATCTCCCATTCCTTGCCCTATTTCGGCGGAATTCGGTCATGAAGTAAAAAACCTGATACTCGATTTGGAATTGGCCTCATGCCCAAGTCTCTATAGATTGAATGGTAGACATACCCAGAGTTCTCCACTTCTATTCGATATGCCTTGCTTTGGAGCTCTGTATCTGACCTTGAACTCCTGATAGCCAAACTATCACGACTGTTTACTGTCATTTATTCTCATAAGGCTCGACTCGAGTTGTACCAATTCCTATTCAAGGTCACTGCATAGCGGAGCCATGTAAACTTAGACTTAATGGAGGCAAAGAATATTCCCACGGCTCAAAGATGAGAGAATTAACCAGTAGTAGGACGTTCTTTGGAACAATGGAATGGAGAAGGCAAAAAAAGTGAAGCAGGTTTCTGCATCAGGAATTGTTCACTGCGCGGGGAGATGGGAAGTAAGAAGCATCAGCGGCATTTATCATCTAGGTAAAAAGGTGCGAGGCAATTTGCATTGAGAGCAATAGTAGTTCATCTAAGACAGTCAGCAACAAAGGGAGAGCAAACCATTGTATTGACCAACTAACTGGTGCTTAGTCTTTACCACTCTAGGCAGTGTGTGGCAAAAATTGTGGCTAATGCGTGCTAGTGGCAATAGTGGCAGAAGACATACTTCCATGCAACTTCTCTTGCTACAGTACATATATATACAAGAAAAACAGGGTACATACATGCGTCCCGCCACAGTGGCAAATCCTGTGAGGCTGAGTGCAGATCCCTGTGGCTTCCGCGGCATCCGATGAGAATGAGGGAGACGAGACAAGGAGTTTGTATATCCTGCCTGATTATTGAGCATTCTACACAGCATAGCTGAAACTAGTACCTTGCTTAGTAGCACTAATGGGTACTTAGTTCGGCTTCTCATCATGGATTGATTAGCCAGATAGAGTATTGGTATGGTATAGGTAATTTTGTTTGTAATTTAACATACACACATACAATGTTTTCAACATCGCTTAATCTATAGAATGTTTTAAATCCGAGATCAATGTAGATTCTACACTCTCCCTGGTTGTGCAGCAAACAAGCAGATGCTACGTAATCCCTCCCTTTAAAGAATAAAGGCCGGCATTGTGGCAAACTTCCCCTTTCGACTGTCAGTCTACCAATTAAGCGAGAAGGAGTTGTATCGATGGGTCTCATAAACGTGCATTCGCGCCTTATGTATATGAATTCCTGGAAATGCCTTCGGGATCATCCCTTCGGCGTTAAGTCAAGAGGATGTCCCGCTCCTGTCCTGCATATGATGGGGCTATATAACTTGGCGTTCCATCGACTTTATACTAGTAGACTCGGTAACCAGATCGTTTCTCCAGATAGAATAACAAATACATTCCTTGTAAATTCTTAAGGGATAAGGGAAAGAAAGGGCAAAAATTAAGTTTTTTTTTAAAAAAAGGAGAGATATAGAGAGAGGAAGAGAGAGAAACCAGGGAGACACTTGACCTTTGCTTCAATCACCAGCTGACACGATATAACGGTGATCTCGCATACTACAGTACACCGCTACGCAGTATAGCAAATGCATCAACGTAATGTAAGCTCTAACCTACGAGCCTCCACCGCTCATTAGATTTGGCCTGGAAAAAGCCGGCGGAAATAGAGTCTTCCATTCATATAGAGACACAACAACAAGCCGAGATCAACCTTAAGGTCCATCCGCCCATGGCCAAGAGTGCAGAACACGAACGAGATGCATCCATTATGTCTGCATCACATTTCGCGACCCTCATTGTATCTGTCAGATTCTGCCAGGGGGTTAAGTATCTACCTGCATCAGAAATATGCCGTCTCAACAGCACGTCACGGCTGTGGCAAACTCGCTTGTCGCTGCTCACCGCTCATCCTTCTATTCTCTATAGCAATACTGGATTTGTAGGTACAATGCATCTCTATGCAGTAATGGTGTTATTTCGCGTTGGCTTTTGGCTTGAGTGGAATGTCTGGGACCAACCCTTGATTTTCTTTGTCACCGTTACTTTTTCTGGCAACGTATCTGCCTGTGTGATCTGCACTGGCTGGACGCGGGAGAACAACGATTAGAAGGTAAAGTAGCCATCATGGCACTATCTAATCTATCCATATGCATTCGACACCTGATATTGCAGGAGGTGGATCTGACTAAGGCCTAAAATCTCCCATCCGCATCACGATGTGGCAAACCTGAATCCCAACCGTTCAGCCGACATTATATGCAAAATCTCTGATTAAAGTTGAGTTTAATGAAATGGAAAGGGAAGAAAATATAGACAAAAATCTAGCAACGAGCAACGAAACAAGTAAACCCTTTTCCGAGATCCTTTCAGCTTCTTACCCGTTACCACAAGCATTTTGGTATCGGGAAACCTGCGGCTGAAAGATGGGCGAAGAGTTTCTTCTCCCTTACATTACATTACAATACCAACTAGGTAGGACGTACATACGATACATACTTCATCGGTCAAGGTAAGATTCGGTGGGGCAGGGTTTCTATAATTTTTCCCTGTGGTAATTTGCCGGTGCGTAGGATATGCTGAGAGTTTTTGTTATTTTCAGTCAGTCACTTGAATCATACAATCTGCCACACACATTCAAAATGCTATCTTGCAGTAAAAAATTGTCATTTGACCATGAGGACAAAGTTTTGTAGTCTGAAGATGCAGGCGCAGGCGCAGGCGCAGGTGCAAATATTCCCCAGTTGAATTAAAGTCCTGACCATCTCCAGGTCTATCATCCTTACATTGGAAACTTTTCTTTCCTTTCAAGGCTTAGATTTTCTCGATCTTACCCAGGGACGGAGTACAGCGCGGAATTACTATGACAGCCCTAAAATAAAAATAGTTTTCTCTTTTCTTTTCCCCCCACTTGTCTCTATATTTGAAGATTTGTTACAAGTGACTATGTGCCAGAATGACGACGGTCCTAGTTTACCAGACGGCTATTGTGTATACATAAGTGTATGCGTCCCTGTATGCATGTGCAGTACAACCCGTACAACCTCGTAATCCATGCTAGTAGTAGTACTGCTGCTAGCAAGCTTAACTATAAATTAGTAGTTACACAGCATCACTTTATAGATCATAGAGAATTGATCTCAACTAGACGTGGAGTTGGGAGGTATGTACTCCGTAAGCATCATGTCACCGTATTGTCATGATCATGAGAACATATTTTTGATCTCAATTTATTGATGTAAATTGCAACCGTGGTACATTATGGGGGCTTTACCAGGGTGGTAGATTTCTGTGTGGATCTGATTCGGCGATCGTGTATCTCAGTCTCAGACTTGAAGGAACGTTTTGTTTCCTCTCTCTCTCTTTTTCTCTTCTTTTCCCCCTCGCCTTGACTGAAAAGGGTAAAAAGGAAGTACGTGACGAGATCATTCCGCCGTTGTCAGATGGATCTGCAGCTTAACCTAGACTAGACATCATACGTAAGATGTAATATAAAAAGAGAAAATAGATGACGATATTGTTCATTAACTCACATAATCTAATTCCGAATCATAGGCTGAATACGAGGATCAAAGGAGACTTCAAGACAAACAACCTATAGATTCCTTTCCTAATCTAGTCCTAAGTTAAAACTCTAAGTATGAGGTATGCAGCTGCATGGATATCTCTAATCTGGATTCATGGCCCTGTCTTCCATTTTCCCGGATCCACTACGAGGAAGAAGAGGGCGCGCGATGACCATGGCGCTTTTTTTTTTGCCATCCGCTAAGGTACGGACAGTATGTACCCTCCCCTCCTACATCGATCTGTGTTGTACCCTTTTTTTCCCCTTTTCATGGCATTTTAATTTCTCGCTGTCTTTCTATGTTTGTGTTTTTCTTTAGCTTTTCTAATAAAAAGGAAACAGAATAAAATACAATTCAAAACAATAGCAACAAATTAAAACCCCCAAAATAGGGTTTCTATTGGTATTTCATTATTGATTACACTGCATTGTTAATGTATTAGTTATAATCTTAATAATTTGACCCTCGAAACTAAATAAGGTACCCCGACTGACGGAAAATGTCCCACACAGCCCAGATCTGGTGGGTGATGTTTATTGGCAGTGCTTTACTACTGCACAACTAGCATTATTGGCTATTTGAAAACCACAAACTAATATTTCAAGATCCCAAAAAAAAAAAATTTATTTATATTATTATTCGTTCCCAATCTATAGCCCGACCAACCGTTTTCAAACTCTCCAATTTCTTCTACAACATCTTCCAAGAGTTACTCCATCGGGCAGACCCGTTCTTCTTAGTCGCACCGAAATAATATACTACAAATCCACTTCAGTCCAGCTCCGCAGGCTGTCTCTTTTCCAACCCTCTCGGCTGTTTCCTTTCTCCCCTTTCTTCTTTTCCTCCTTCAAATTTTTTTTATTATAAACAAAAATTGATGTATGTCTCATGCACCCCGTTTCATATTCTACTCAAATGGGCCTCCCTTCATTAAAGAACTATATCTCCGTCGTTTACCCATTGTACCTCTCCCCTCCCCCTCCTCGGTCTGTCCCTTTGTCATGAGCCGTGTCTGGCTCCCGCGTATGTAGATGGGCCTTGCCTAGCAGATGTCGATGAACGAATCTCATCAAGGAAGAGGGCTGGCGTTCTCTATCAAACACCTGTTCCAGTCCTCTCCATCCCCTTCTCCATCTCGACGCCGGGTGTCTGTCCTTCTTCGCCGAGGCAGGAGTGCTTTTTCTAACAAGTAATTTCCCTCTCACTTGTTCTTCCACCCCACCTCGGTCAATTTCAATCGCTCTTGTCACCGGAGGAAACTGGCCCTTTCCCATTGATGCTATAAGACTTGATCCACTCCCACTCCCACACACAAACACATGCCCTAAGAGCCAGAGGAGCTAGGGGAGAGAATCTGAAATTAAGGGGAAACAAGGATACGGGCTAAGATTATGCTTCCAACAGGAACCCTGAAACCCAGTCGAGTCGTTCATCCGGGACCCAAATGAACACGACACCGCAATTCGATCCCACTGCAATGATTGGACTTTCTGGAGCTTCTCCCGGGGTGAATGGCGATGGCTTTGATATCTTCGAATGGTACCCTCATTATCAGAATTGCCAACGGTATTTTCTCGACCATGCACAGCACAGTACTTCTGTCCAGGCACTTTCTGCTTTCCTAAACATCCGTCTCCCATTTCAACGTCAACCGCATCCCGTATTCAATTCTTCCACCGATCATACCCCAACTGCTGGTCAGACAATGCCTACGCCCTCGGCAACTCCCAATTCCAACCCACCCCCGCCTGTCTCCCTGATCCCTTACATCCGCCGCCTGGTAGCTACGGGAATGGATTTTCCTGGGGTACTACATGGGTTTTTTGGCGACGATTGGGGGTCTGGCGTCGCATTTCTGCATGAGCAGGAACGTCGCAACTATCTTTTTGCCGCCAAGAGTGGGGGCTGGGCTTGTGTGAAGAAGGACTACGATATGCCTCCTCTGGAGACCATTCCGTTCTTGCGTCCCTTGCAAGGACCGCTAGACTCTGAGATAGAAGCGGCCGAGAGAAGTTGGAGTGAGTGGCTCGCGATGGAAGATTGGATGGTCGGGCCACGAGCACCCGACATCCTTCGCGACTCTTCCTCACAAGCGTCGCGACCCCGAAGCGCACGAGGTTGATCTTGATATGATTCCGCCTTTTTTTTCCCATTCATATCTATCTTTTCTTCCCTTTTTGGATATCAAGCGCAGAGCGATACTACGGAGTTCTATGGAATCATCGATATAGCGATTTTTCTCATCATGAGATGACGACCATACGACTTTAGATTCTTAAGTGCGATAGATCTCTTGACCCACCTATATAGAAGGAAGGCTAGGTCATTTGCATACTGCGGGAACAGAATGAGACTGTCCTAGGAAGTGCGATAATCAAGATATATACATATGCATACAAACAGCTTTTTGTTTTTAACTTTATCTAATTGGGACCTGCGAAACTGTTAGGGGTGGCCTGTTAAAACCCTCACCCACGCTAATGATATTTGCGCAGATGCCCCTTGATTGCGCCAGGAACAGGGGAACTCAAGTTATCGGCCGCGCAGAAGGTCACTTCTGGGTTAGCTGATTTAGATTAGTTCCAGAGAGGATGTATGTATGTAATGGATGATGTAGGTAGGTAGTACATACCTATCTAGAGTAGTCTGCCGGTGGTCCGGCTACCTGGTCATGGGCTAGCCTTAGTATGGTGTAGCAGCGGAAAATGTGCCGAGTGGAAAGACCCCTGGATCGAGTTGGGTTGAACTCAAAAGGGGGATGTTAATTACCAACTTCGCCTATACACGCCTGTGGGTTAAAGTTTTGTTGATGAGGGCCCCACTAGTTTGTCCTAGTTATAAGTGGCAGGTTAAGACTCCGCCGACCTGGTCAGTTCCTTGGTCATTTGTGGAGAAAACCTGGATTGAATTGCGTTTCAGCCTCTCAGGCTCACATAATCACATCGTTGAAATAGGAGCGTGCTGTGTATATGAACCACTCAATTGACGTACAGTGTTTATTATATGTATCATCCATGTATGCATCTATCCATGAGATGTGATCATCCTCCTTCCAGAGGTTGGAAGAACGCCGTCCTTTGAATTTTGTTCTAGACAGGTTCAACCAGAATGTGTGTCTGTGGCGGGCTGAATGGCGGGGTCTAACAATTAGTCCACGCGCCATTGAGCGTTCGTCGTCGGGACTCACAGGACGGATCCCAAACAACTAACTTAAGTCAGGAGTCTATCTCGGATCTGATGATGTCTTATACAACATGGATCTCCGACCTGTTTTTTTATTTTATTTTATTTTATATTTTTTGAAGTACCCATATCACGGGGAGAACTTAGAGTACGTACTGATACACTTACAGGGTATACATACATCGGACATGTCTACTATTAGTAGGTAGTCATGTATGTACAGTACCTGGCAAATCGATATTGATGAAGCCTAGATTATAAATACGGAGTATGTGTCTCCCTCCACTTGACCCACATGGTCTGACAAGAACTTTTCGATCTGGGTTGAACTTACCCATCGAGTCGATTCTAACGAGTCAGACTGTGCAATTATACCTTGTTGTTGGCTCACTCCATCCGTCCCAAGCGGGTGTTGGTACAGCACCTGTTCAAACTCAACTCTGCAGGGACCCGGGTGTCTGTAAGATCTAGGTATGGAGGCATGCGTATGGACAGAAAATTTCCTTCGGCACTACTATTAGTAGTGCTAGTAGTTAGGTGGTATTGGAACTCCGATTGCGCGCTTGTTCCGGGCTATGATTCGTTCCCAGTGTTTGATCGCTTTTGCTTAGGTCGACCAATGATCTCATTCGTACAGTATGCCCTTGCGGACTTGACTCTTCTTCCCTGGCCTTTTGCTCCTCGAACCCCTTTTTCTTTGCGGTCCAATGTTCCTTTCAGACTCATGGTTCTATCCCATGCCGCCGCCATAATCGGAGTGCCTACAAAGTACCGTAGTCTCAGGATGTGATCATCGGCCTTTACTACTGCTCCAACAATCGTTTTAGATACAGTAGTACTACCCTACTGGCTAACCTGATCAATTCCGACAGGTAACCGCTCCACAAACGGATCCCTTGGATGGATACAGAAATATGGAGTGCATACATGTAAGTCGCATGGCTCGGAGAATTTTCTTTACGCGTCATCTGACCGATCTACTTGTTTGCTTGCTCGGATGATGTGTTTCTCTTTTGGTAGAAAGCGGTGAAGCGTTGATTACGATACACCTTTTATCTATAAGTTAGTTTTGTGTGCAGAGGGTGTCCATGCATCGTGGGTTCTTCCTTTTCCTTGTTTCAATGTGCGAAAGACGAAATGTGACGGTCTTGATACAACATAATACAAAAGCACTCTTTACGGTGTTAAGATTCTCTAACGATATAGCCTCCCTTGAAATTGACTTTTGTCCCAAATCAAACCATCAAATCATTTTACCGCCCATGGTGGATTTCGACATTCTTGGCATGACTGTTTTGGCCCTGCTCATGCCTGATCCCGATGGCATCAATATCGCTACCAATTGAACGTTCACCGGCGAAGACCATAAGTAAGTCCCTATCTTATGGCCTACCAAAGTTTCAGTACATTACGGGTCCCGAACAACCCAAGATCGCTCGCTTATCGGGTGGAGAGATCGGCAAGGAGATGAGACAGATATGCTGCGGGCACAAGATCTACTTGCCCATCTCTAGCTCTGAAGACCGAGGTTCATACCCGGGTAAATGCTAGAAAGTCTAAAGGTATATCTTCTCTTTAACTATATTAGGAAGTCCCAATTTTTTCTCTGGCTCCTTCCAGGCGGTATCTCTCCCGACATTTCCTTCTTTGTTTAAAATCATTGTGGTTGTTCCATGGTTGGGCCAATTCCTCAATCGGCTGTTGAGATTTTGGTATGAACCATACATAGACCATTGTGGGAACCCGACCTTCTGCATCGGTATCGGCCGGGTTATCCCCAAGAGGTGGATTAAACGGGTCCCAACGGCGAAGTTGGAGTGAGTTCCGCTTTGTAAGGCTGTATTGAGGTTGTGTCCGTGTATCAGTGCGTACGTTGTTTTGTATAGTATCTACTCCGTACAGTAAGTACATTGATAATAGGGCCAATTTGAGATGGAGTCTAAACAACGGAAAGGGAAAGACATGCGGATTGACTTTGCCTACAGTGGGGGGGAGAGGTTCAAATCTTAGATAATGCCTGTCAACTACCGAGAATAACATTCTGAAGATCAACATGGACTGACCACATGGATATTCACCAAGTACCTATAGAGTACTAAGGTGTCAAAGTTATTGTTATGTTGTTCTACAGCGAGCTATCCACAACAGGATATCTAATCATGTGATTGATTATATAAGTATCACGTGTACCAGCGCCTTTGACATTTCCAAACAATGCCCGTGTTTGTTAATGACCGAGGCCTCATTATGCAACCCGAGCAAAATGCCTAAGCATTGGCACCAGAATTGTGGAGGTGGGTATATATACTAAACTGACTATACTGTGTGTCTTGATATGACCCCCCTGAAGCCTGAGAGGGAAGCTAGAATATCGGGAACATGACGTCGTCTGAACAATGGGAGACATTCCTCCATCAATGTCTCACGCATCGAATAGATGCCGCCGAATTCAAGAATCTGTCGAAGCTGCTGTCTCAACGATATCCTATCGCTGAAGGCGCACTTCTCGACGTGCTACTCGAGATACGTCTCGCCACTGGAATCAAATGGGATCCGCTTCTCCCCCTTTACATAGATTGTCTCTGTAAGACGGGCATGGTCCAGACCTCTACGGTGCTGACTTCACTTTTGAAGTACTCGTCCATTCACGAGAAGCCACGGTCCCCTGGCTCTGAAGTTCTCCAGAGCAAAAAGGCCCTGAAGTGTTATACTCTGATGACAGATATCAGAGTGATACAAGATGCTATGCTCTCCGTCTCTACCGGTAGCACCCCGAAGTCCCTTTCAGAAGCTGTCAGCATTTTCTCTGCTATAGTAGATTGGATTCAGGTTGTCGTGGCCTGGCACAACAATCACATAGACCCCAGTCAGCAGACAGGCGGACTAATGAGCTCCCCGGATGCGGTTTCGGTGTTTGAGTCACTTGGAATCCTCCTGACGGCCCTATCGGGGACTGGAAAGGGCATAGAAATCCTTTCTAGCGATTCTCATGAAGGTACATACGGCTCACTTGTTCTCAGCTTTGGGCATGACCGTATATGCTGACGTATAGCAGCGCTGAAGGTCAAACTGGGTCAGGCTCTTTCAGCATATCTTCCGCTTTGTATGGAAGTTTCGCTTCCACTTCGCAGTAGATTGGACAGTCTGCAGAAAGGGTTCAATCTGTATGGAGAGCCACCATCCAAGTCATTGCAATCCATGATGGAAAATGTGAATGTGAACGCGCTTCAGTTTGAAGCCTCCGTCATGGACGGGCCTGTCATAAATTCCAGAGCTGGACTCTACATATATATAAATGCAATGGTATTTCTCATCACCATAAAGATCCTCATTTGTTCTTATTGCTGACTCTTTAGCTTGTGGGCCGTCCTCTGGTGGACGACAGCATGTTACTCAATTATCTCACTAATCGATATAATGTAAGTGGTGGAAAGTGTTTTTCCCCTTATAACCTTCTACTCTTTTTGGTCCGAATTTTTTCTAACACCAACAGGGGCACTATGATGTCCTAGTTGAGGAGGTCATAACCGCTACATTTGATGTTCTGTCGAACGCTTTATATCGCAATGAATCCAGCCGGACGATGTTCTTATTCCGTTCGTTTTTGGTAAACAAGCTCCCATCATTCTTCGCAGCCATGTTGGCTGCATCAATGGTCTCATTGCCCATGGAAATGTGCATAAGCCATGCTCTGAGTCGGTTGGACCCAAACACATTCCCATCTTTCTCGCAGATGTTTGCAATGCAAGGTAGTACCGTCCTTTCGGAGGTGCGACCGGAGTTTCTGTTTGCCTGTGCCTCACATAAATTGATTCCTGAATCCAGCATCGAGCGTCTGCTAGGTGAAAACCCCATGCAAACACCCCCTGTCGGATACAATAAAGACGACCTCGTATCTCAAATCAATGCCAACCTGGAACGCGTAGAGCAGCTCATCAACGAGATCGAATCCACCGAGGGTAATGCGGGTGCTATTGTTGCAGCCATCACAGAGGTATGCTCCTTCGTCGCAGCTCAATGGGGGCATGGTTAATATAGGCCTAGGTTATGCATAGTCTCAGCAGCCAGAAAGAGACAATGACGTTGAAAAGCATCTGTAACACTCTTTCCCGGCACCCGCAGGCTCTCGACGTAATCCTACTTTTCCGAAGCGCGAAGCATATTTTGCAACCGCTTTGTACTCTGCTGCATTCCTGGCACTGGGATGAGGATCAAGGAGAGAGTCAGCCTGTCTACGATGAATTTGGTAGCATTTTGCTACTTGTGTTAACATTCAAATACCGGTACGATTTGCGGCCATATGATCTCGGGATTATGAGCGATGATTCTTTTATTCTGAAATTGCTCGACTGCGGATCGTCCAGCCAGAAATTGGACGATCTAAGTGAGAAGCAAAACAAGAACCTAGGAGCATGGATCACGGCTCTGTTTATTGCCGAAGGCATAAGCGAAGAGACCATGTCATCCTGCAGTCCGCAAGAGTTCTATCTTCTCGTATCGACCCTGTTCAGCCAAAGCCTCGCAGCATGTGAAGCAGGAAAACTGGAGTTTGACACCCTCAAGGGAGGTTTTGAATGTATGCCTTTTTTTTCCATACCATGCAGGGTCAGGCTAACAGTTATAGATTTACTTGAGCCCTTCCTGCTCCCGTCTCTGGTTATCGCTTTGACTTGGCTAGGAAATCATATTTGGGAGACTGAGAGTGATCCCACGATTCCTCTGAAGACCTTGCATTCTCTGGTGAACCCCAGCTCAATATCCGGTGACGCGAAGGAGATCCATAGGACGGTACTGAACATCACCGCACGCTCTTTAGATGAGCAACTAAAAGATATCCGGTCCCGCCATCCGAATAGGACGGATGTTAAACCAATTCTGGACGCACTTGAGCCTTATCTATCTTTCCAGAGGACAGGTAGCTGTCATCGGTCAGAGCTCGACAGCTGGGCCACCCATTCACCTGGAGGTCTACTGGGCAGCATCCGAAGCACCTTTCAAGGGCTTGTCCTTTGGACCACCAGCCCCGGCGTGAGTATGGCGCCGCATTCATACACACATCGGCAGCTTGTGACCGGCATCCGGATGCTCGGATCTACACGCGTATTCGCCGCCATTCTTGATGAGCTGAAGATGCAGACTGAGACAGGCAACGCCGATCTTGCCCTTGACATCGCAGCGACTATGATCTGTTCGCCACTAGCTGAGTCCTTTGCTATAGAACAAGGCCACTACCACCCAGTGGATCCCAACAAGGAACCTCTTCCACGGTGCGCGATACTCACCCTTCGCGATGCACTAAACCTGCAGCATGAAAACGTACCAAAGCTATCAGAGAAGGATCCGTTGCGCGCGGAGGTTATTGTACGGCTGTACCGTCGTGTCAACGCCCTTATGACACCCACAACGCAGATGCCCAACCTAGACATGAGCAATATCATCCAAAACATGCAATTAGGGGTGGAGGACCACGGACAGATGGGCCTCGAGCCCGCGGGAGCAGGGCACGGCGTCGGCGATGATGACGCTGCCAACCTCAACCGCATGCTGGACAACGCAGCCGCCGCAGCCGCAGCGGGACTAGACAGTGGCATGGGACAGAGTATAGGCGGAGGCCTTGATACGAGCATTGACGATGTATTGAACGCGGCCGATATGGCAGTTGGGAACCCAGAGTTCCTTGATCTCGATATGGAGGGCATGTTCTAAACAACGAAACACTTAATTCGAAGGTTAAACTGATATCATCACAATAACCGTAAGGTATTAACCATATATTCAAACAAAGACTTTGTCCAGGCCCTGGTCCAATAGCTTTTCAGTCCCTTGTATCTTAGACTTCCATATAATGTCCCATATATCACAGTTTCCAGAAAGCTGCCTTGCAACGGCACCATATCAGATAGGGTGTACCCATATAGATTTATCTGTTCGATAACATAGCGCGTCTATGCATCCTTCAGATCCTTCTGGGACTTTCATTTCCCAAGAAAATCAGCTTCGGTTCATAAAACCCCGAGAACAGAACATGGGTAAGAAAAGAAAAAGAAACAACGTACACCTATCTTCAAGGCCTTAGTAACGCCTCCGAGTAACGACTTCGCGAGTTCCTTTGTGACGTCGCGGTCAGACTGATCGTCGGACGCTTTGGCGGGGGCAACCGGGGCAGCGAGGGCAAGAGTGGAAAGGGTGAAGGCGAGAATAGCAGCGAACTTCATTTTGATTTTAAAATTAGGGATGTTGATTGGGACCAATGGATGGAGATGTATGTTTGGGAGGGATTATGGATTGTGGTGAATCGGGTGGGTGAGGAGTGAGGTGTTTGTGGTTATTATACTGGGTGTTTTAAAAGGGGGTTGCGAAGTGCTTGGGTTTGTAATTGGAATGTAAGGAAGCTTAGGATAGATACAGTTTGGAGTTTTTACATTCTTTGGTCTTGGGTGTATACGTGTTTTGGGTGTGTGTGTGTGTGTGTGTTCTTTTGTGTTGTGCAGTTGTTTGTATGTGTTTATGTATATATCTCTCTATGTGGGTAGAGTGGACATGGTCAACCTAGAGAAGTCAATCCCAAATGAGATTGATGAACTGACTGTCCCAACAATCGATGTTTCATACCACGCCACTAGCATCTACTTTGTACGATAATTTTGGAAGTATATGCAAATCATTCTCGTTCTTGCGCGCAGTCGTTAGCAAAACACCAGACAATCCCTTTTGACGCGATCGGGGGGCTAAGGAATGCTAGGGATTTATATCCCTCGCGAGGTTGGACACGAAGCATCGGAAGGGCGGGAAAGGAGTTGATTTGAGGCTTATTTTTTGTCTCGAGGTATCTAGGAGGTTCGTTGGTCCTGTCCCTCGTCGTAGACCCTGGAGGAGCATGTCCTATCTTTGTTTGCTGCGTCGGGATATACAGTTCCCCAGCTGATGTATGTAGTCGCACCTAGTTTTTCGTTAGTCTGACCGGAAGTATCCAGGGAAATGCAGTAGTCATTAATATATAATCTAGTGCAGTCGACTCGAAGTAAGACACTAAGCATAATCAGTCCTATTAATATATGCATAAGACTCAATTGATCGATCGGGATTGAATCTTCAGCTTCTCTGTACAGGATAGGATGCATGCACGCTGTGGCTATCCATGCATTGCCAATGCATGGTACTTCTCGCCTCTGCCATAAACAGAAAAGGACTTCTCTGCTCCTACGGGGAAAGTACTTTGAAAAAGAAAGGTAAAGTGCCGAGTGTGATAGCGACGTGCATATCCAGTGGAGTTGACACTCGATTAGAATGGCCAAATCTGCATCTATCATCACACCGCACGTGACAATCTCTTTTTTCCCATGAGCCTGCAGAATGGAGTCTTCGGGTTGGTAACTTTTATTTTTTCTTATCTCTAATTTGCTGGAGAGATTTCTCTCTCTTCTTCTTCTTTTTCTTTTTGTTGTTGATTACCTTTTCTTCCCCTGCCGAGGAATCTGCGGCTGACAGCTGTCATGTCTCTACTGCATAATACTCCCACTAAGATATGGGGTTAGACGGAATGGTTCATGTTTGCTCGGTTGCACCGCTGCTTGCATCTGGGGCGTATAGACTCGACTGTATAGCTTAGACATACTAGGAATGTTATGCGATGAGTTCTTGTTTAGGCAAGTTGATTCCGATGCGCGAGAGAGAGGAAGAGAGGGTTGCTTGCATGTGTCCACCAGGGGTCTGCTTTCTTCTTCAATGCCTTACTTTCCTCTTTCCTTTCCCTTTCTTCTCATATTCTGCCACTTCCCTACCAAGCTCACAACCAACAGCGGAGAGGAATAAAAAAAGGCTGGAAAAACAAGAATACAAAGCTATCTTCAATTGCGCGGAATCTTTTTCCCGTCCATGACCTCTACTGGTGAATCTTCAGTCAAGAGTTAACTTTAGTGGGGCGCTGCCGGTTAAATCTATTCATTCTTCTCTGTCTCGGAACATAGGAAAATAAAATGAAACAGAACGTTCCCGTCCAACGCCCCTGGTCCTATAGTCAGAGCGAAATATAGACCGGGAAGTGACTCACCCGCGAGCTTGATTGATTTACCTAGGTTTGTTGCAAGTAGAAAGTCTTGCATGTGCTAGAGATTCAAAAGAAATGAAGGAAATAAAAAATTCGACACACCGCAATTAGGTTGCGATCACATTGTGATGAGATGAGTTGTGTGTGACAGGAAACGATTGAATTGATTCGCGGAAGACAAGACCACCATGCCTCGCCTATAGTATAGTGGAGGGAGGATATTTGACAGTCGTCGAATGAGCTTCCAACGATCCAATCGCACTCATCCCCTCCCAGTAGGTAGACTATCACGTAAGTAGTGATGGTTGACCCCAGTAGGTCCTTTCTTTTTCTCCTCTTCCTTCGCTAGACTAGGATGTGACTGATCGGCAGAGGAATCGCTATTTGTCCAGGCCAGCTGATTGTCCTTTTTCTCTCTCTGTAACACACATCTGTGGTAGGTTTTTTCTTTTCTTTTCTTTTTTTTCCAATTTTTTTTTTTTTAAAAAAAAAAGGGAAAAAAGTGCTGATAGTATCTCCGCTAATGCATATTGACTAACGGGACTAAGAACTAACTTGCATACATCGTTGCCCTGTCGGGAACGGGAATTGGGAAAGGGAGCCTGCAGGTCTTGTTGGAGGATGCATGAATTATCCCTGTGGTCACCTGGTCCAATCATCGCCGGGCGGGATATGCTTTCCTTACTAGTAGTATGCCTTTCTTTTCTTCCCCCCTTTTCTCAGCCCGTGGACTGGGGCAACGGGTTTCTTCATGAGTGATTGACGTATCCTCGTCCGAGTTAGGGCTGTGGATGAGCTGCACTCGAGTGGAGTGCACGAGAGCCATCTTCAAGACATTTCTCAATCGAGGGTATCATTGAATCCTGGTCTGGCGCTAGTCAAATTAGTGTCAGCATTCTAGTCAAGGGAGGATCCACGAGGTTTCCTTGGAAGTCGAAGCCTGACAGGTGAGAGAGTTGTTTCCGTCATATTCCTTAATTCATATCTTGTACGGTATGTCGTGGGTAGGGGGATATGGATAATTGTCGATGGTACTATTGTGTCATGTACCCCCGTTAATATGAATATATATATATATATACTCCGTAGAGATAGATATATCTCTTCGGGGTTGGTGACGCGTAGGCCCTGATCTAGGGCATATCACTAAATGTGGAATATCCTAGGAACAACCGTAGAACTTCTTCTATCGTAACATCGAGATCGAATGTCCCGACAATACGGGCGCCGGGTATAGCGTGAAATCCGGTGGGCAGTAACCCTTTGATGTCGATCCGTTCATGTTCGCAGTCATCATCATCGGATATCATCACCTAAATCAGGAGGACTATGGGACAAAATTGTCGCATCACTGTGGGACGGCTCAGTTTGCACGGTCGCCAAGTTCCGACGGCTCGTCGGGAACGCCCATATCGATGGGGCAGTGGGGTGGAATGACTGAGGACGAAACACGCCATAGAGATGGCATGACTGGATCCCATGAATGGAGATGGAGGATAGGAGTTCAAGATAATTAGCCTTGTATGTATGTACCTGTAACGCTCAGTCGGAAGTAACTACTTTTACTTTACTTGTTCATTAATATTAAGTATATTCACATCGACACATACCTAGTCTAGTAAATAGACCAAGTGGACTGACGCGAAACCACGTGATCCTCCGTTGCCCCTGAGTTTCCCTTTTTTGCCCCTTTAGGAGTTCGTCCGTACTCGGTTGCCCAAATACACTCCATCCGGACTGACTCGCAAGTTACTTGCCAAGGGCACCGCTGAGTAACCGTCCCGTCTATCCAATGGAACTACCCCTGATATCGTCACTGGTAGATGAGATAGGGGCGCCATACCCCACGAACACGCCGACACGGGATGAGCTCATGAGCTCACGAGCAGGGTAGATCAAGGGGAAAGAAAGGCGATGCTACAGGACCGTTGCACAGTCATAGGACACAGGACCGTGCCTATGATGCCGTGCCGCCTTGCTGCGGCACATCCAGTGGGGGCGACGCTATAGCAGCTATCACCTTTCGAAACCCAGACCATCATTCGTTGGATCTATGTCGTACATGACATCAATGGCTCGTGGCCAATGGTATCAAAATTGTGGTTTGTGTGGTACAACGTCGGCCATCATCGTGTTCCTGGAGATGGAATGCTCCTTCCTTGGTTCTGTTGGAGAAAAGTACAGTAGTATACTCTACGGTTTAATATATAACATCGTCGCCAATTCGACACACGGTCTTGTGAGGTATCAAGTCCTCAAAATTGAGCGCATAAGAGCCGTGACCATTGGTCGGGATCGGAATCTATTCCCTGAGCTTCGGTACACTAGAGTCCTTTGGTATAATGGATTGCTTAACCGATCAATTAGGCGACAGGGGAAGTTTGCCGCCCCGCATCCCACGATCAACACGTGCCCACCGCTAACCCATATCTGGTTCATGGCATGGTCGAATGGCTTTCCGGGAAAGACGGATGGTTTGATCCTGGTCGATAATACAGACTTGCTATTCTTTGTGAGACCGGCGAGACCGCACCTTGGCAAAGGCAAGTTTCATAAAAACTGCTTAGGTATCCGGTCTAGATTCGAGGATTATCGGTAGTAACGGTCGGCTGTAACTTTGTACGACCCGACTCTCCAGAAATTGCTTTGAGTCTCCTTCCTCGAGAAAGAAAGACGCTTCAATAACCAAGCATAGCCTTACAAACCGCTGTGATCCATCATGTGTTTTTCTTTGTCAAGCTGTCAATTTTGTTGGCGTAAAGCCTTTAACGCCACCCCACGGTCCCGACGCCACGGCTGGCTCGACCCAGGTTTTATTCCTCGTACCGTCTTCCCAAAAAAAGGAAAAAAATAACATCAAACTCTAGTCGATGGGGACGGTATACGGGGATATATTCCGCAGGCAACTTTGATTTTTAAGTTTTTTTCTGTGTTTCTTTTCCTTTCTTTGTTATAGCAGTCTGACCTCTTTCTTTGCCTTGTTAACATTGATCTAAACCTTGTCGGTCGCGGAGGAGAGAAGCGACATGGATGAAGCTGTAGGTGGATGGAATAGGAACCTATGGTCCTAATTTACCGTGTCTCAGATATGCGACGTCATATTATTGAGCGACGATCAAACCCAGGAACCGAGTCGATGGGTTTATTTATACTATATATGTGATGTATAATATGGACTCTCGCGTATCTATCATGCATACATACATGCCATGCTATGATCATCGTGCCTTGAGGAAATCACGTCATATCTGCCTAACATGGAAGGAGAAAGGAAGGGGGGAAACAACAGTAATAAGCATAATCCTTGTGTAACACCAACCCCAGTATCGCAAGGAACACCTATCAAAACCGAATTGCCGGTACAGTTCCCAATTCCGACTTGCTGAGTTCCTGTGAATATACAGTTTGTAATAGTTAAATTTTATCACCTCTCTAAGAGGCGACTTCTCTTTCGACTGGATCATTCCATTCATATGTATCGGAACCGACGGCATAACCGAGCAAGAGTTGCAGTTCCAGTGACCCGGATGAGGGAACTGATAGTATGCGGTATGGAGCGCTCCGCGTATCCACATCACCTTCAACCAGCGTAAAGTCTATTTCATGCAATTGCCCTTGCGTCGAATCTCGGACACCAAAAGGGTAGGTATATACTCTGTATAGTTTAGTGTTGTCACAGATTTGTTGCTGAGTCATGATGCATCGTCCAAAATGGAAATTGAGGTTACTCGGATTTTCTCATTTTTCAGTCGTCTAGTTCGGAGAGAGTAAGACTCCCTTCAAGAGATCTCGGCATTATTGTTCGTATGCTGTCTGCCGGATGACTGGAGCACAACGGGTCAGGAGGGATTTTTTTGGAGTCCGATTGGGGGATAATGCTGTGGTGCGCGGGTTGATTTGTGGGCTAGTTAAGCTTCCTGGGTCCTGGGTTAAGCGTTGGTGCACGGATTGTCCTGTTGCATCCAAAATATGTATATGTACGTATGTATGTAATATAGTGTATGTAAGTCGATAATATATAAGAATGGATGGATAGATATGGGTGTGTGCCTGGGTCAATAGAAGGCACATGCTTTCTAAGTGGGTTTAATGGGGATCACTGTCTGTTGATTGAATTGGATTAATGATCCTCTCTAATAAGGCTTTATGAAGAAGCTATTGTGGATGACTCCCAGAAAACCCCGCTCAGTACACTAATCGTTCCTTTTTTTTGAGACTTAGAAATTAGCCCCCGTTACACAAGAGAGAAAGCTGATAGAGAAAAAACCAGATGTCGAAAGATTTGGGTCTGGAATCCAAACTGCCTCAGACTGCCGACAGCTAACTACTCCTTCCGTCTTAGTGTGCAGGCGCTCGAGCTCTTAGTTTGTGAGACCGACGGTATGGTGGACCATCGCTGGGCCGTGATGCGTCCCATCCATTGCTGCCCGTTCTCTTGTGACAGTCGACAGGTCGAATTGTCACTTTGGGACTTTTGTCGTTCTATTTTTGATTGTTGGTTAATATCTCTTCGGCCACTAGTGACGGAGTCTTGAGGTTTTCTTTTTACTCTTTTTTTTTTTTTTTTTTTTTTTTTTTTTTTTTTTTTTTTTTTTTTTTTTTTTTTTTTTTTTT